CTCTGACCGCTTGGAGCAGACATTGCAGTTGTCTATGGTCGCCATTTGATGGCTCAATGGCCTTTGCAAGAATCGTACGAGCCATTACGCTGTGCCCTGAGACGAGAACACTGCTAACTTCATAGGGTTGCACGTGATTGCTCAAATAGAGGTGTCATGTGTGTACAAGACTGTGACTCTCATCTGATTCGATGTTGTTAGCACAGGGGTTCGGCGTTCGCTGCTTTGGCAGCGTAGACACGTAGACACTAATTATCGATGTTGGTGTTCATCTATTGCATGGGTGACCCTAGCAATATGTCGTGAGTATGTAGCCAGTGACGCACTGTTCCCAGCGATTGTTTCTACTTATTCTCGAATGTTTTGGTATGCAGGAAAATTTGGCTTACTGCATCTCGGCTGTATCCAGTAGGTCATCCTGTTTCGTGAAGAACAGTAGGTAAAGCAATGTTTCACACTTCATCGTACCCCACATCATGCCGAATCAGCGGCAATGAACCCCAGTAACCGGTGCAAATAGAATGCTCTCGATTCGCACGAGACTCATAAATTGTCTGGTCAGTATCCTGTACAGCAGGGATCATCTGAGTCATATAGGGACAATTATCCCTTCGTCGTGTTAGCCATTCTCTTATGCTTCGTTAACTACCGGGTCTAACAAGGTGGCTGTTCGTTCTGTCGTTCCTAGCAAATCATGTCCTTCGCAACCTTCGAATCAAGTCGTATCTGCATGGAAGTCTTCGTCGCATCACTTGTCGATACATGTGCCGAGAGGAGTGATCTGCTTGTCCCCATTCACACTATCCCCACGGGAGCAACCGCCTGCCCTCAAGACTGTCATCCAGATGGAGCAATACGCAGCTTCAGATATCGTGCGGATTTTTGCTGTAAACAAAGCCAGGATAATTTTGCTGCAGCACTTCGTGCATGACCTTGAAGTCATCAAACCCATCAACCCGGTCGAGCCGCCTTTGAGGCTGCGTCCATCTTTATCCTATATGTCGCAGAGGGCTCGTTCGTCGACCTTTGCGTCGTAGGCTGGTAATTTACCGAGGTGGCCTTCGCGTGATATCTCAATGTGCAGACCCGCAATATCAGTCACTGCTTGGTGTAGGAAGGGGCGAAGATGGTACGAGATTTGTCCGCCCAGCTCACGCCAAAATTGACTCGTAGCCGGCGGACATTGAACCAGACTACAATTCCGAGACCAGATTAGAAAGATGGATGTGGAGGCGATAAATAGTGGCAAAAACTCGCTTCTCACCTGCTTGCAGGAGTGCATCAAGCCTCCCCTCTCCCAGCAGGGAAACATCCTTGGATAGGCCATATCGAAGCGTATGGGATCATTGTAGAATGAGTGTCTAGGTTCGCACGCAAAACGACATGTTTGGTTTTCGACCTCTGGTGGGAGACTGGAGAAGGAGACATTCTGGAATTTCCAGGTCAGAAGAGAGCTCACAAAGGTGGGCAGCAAGGGGTAGTAGCTGTAGTCCGGGTCGTAAGGGTTGCTTGCTCGCTTTGCTTATGTGCACTACGTTGTTTTTCTCATCAGGGATCCTCAAAAGGTCATGCTTCCAAGCAGAGACGACTATATAGCGGATTTGTGCATCGATACAAAGGAATCCCATGAGAACAAATTGAGAATGGAGAGCATGCAAGCGGTACTTCGGGCTAGATATGGAGGAGCTTTCACGTATCAGCATAACTTCATTCGCTGTATAACCTGTGATGCGAGTATATGATATGTATGCTGATAATCATCGTGCGCAATGATATATGGGCTATTTCGATGACTTCTGGCTGGTTTACGTATGCTTCACCGAGCGGAGGTGACATCCGTGTAGTGGTTCCAAGATATCAGCATGCATGTGTATGTATAAGAGAGGGTCGGACATGTCGAAGATTATGCTAATATGAGGGAAGGAGCTCGAAGAATACGGCCGACATGTAGAAACGTGGTCAGAATAGTGATCAGCGCAGAAAATCCGCATTCAGCCAAGACTACCAGTTTTGGACGAGTGTTACGGTCTGTTGTCTACCATCTAATCACATCTCTAGAGGTGGAATGAATGGACTTTCATGTAGTCAGAGTTACGGCATCAAGATCATCATACACGCTTCGAGCCGTTATGTTGAGCGACTGATTGTCATTGGTTGGGTACCTGGTTGCGAGGTCACACCACATGTTTCATACGACTGACCAGGAAGACCAATAGCCGCCCAGGCTCTAAGATTGGTAGCATCACGCGACTTCATATCATACTTGCCTTCTCGCAGCAAGGGATGGATTACTATGCTCAACTTTGATCCTTCTTGTCTCAAGAGCAATCTGAGCAATCCCCGTCCATCTGAGACCTCTTATGACCTGTGGGGCTAGTTACACTAGTCAGTAAGCGGTCCCCCCCATAGTAGTAGACTAAGGTCCTGTGACAGACTCTAAGCAAGCTGCTTACCCGGAGAATAATTCGCGAACTATGTGGGTGGACGAGCAATCGGCTGTCATAAAGCAACTTGCACGATGCAGTTGAGGGCGCGCCGTCTGCAGTCTGTTTAGCTTGCCAGTTTCCAGACGCATACATGACACTAACCACATATCTGGGTACCGCTCTCAACGCCGGGGTAGGGCGAGCCAACACAAGAGCCAAAGCGCAGGCTCTCTCAACCAAAATATTACTGCTCGGCAATCAATCGAGAGATACTCTACCCAAGCCTGGTAAAGCAGTACGGAAAATCCGATGGTCCGAATCGCCGAGTCCTGATACAAAGGGGCGCGAATTTCCACGTTGGAACGCGAGCTATAGTCAGTACGACGGTTCCTGCAGGTCACAGACCAAATATGGAATAAATCACGACAGCCCTGAACACTTGTCCGGATCTGAAAGTGACCTATCGGACCTCCTTCCACATTCACTTCTGGATTTAGATTCCTCACCCACACAACCTCAAGCATTACTGAAATCCACACTATTCGCCCAAAAGAGTCCTCAGAGCCATAAGACAACTTCTTCGCTCGACTCGGAGCAGGAGCCTAGTTCAAACAACATACCTGAGATGCCTGAGATGCTTATCAATGGTCCCCCCTCAGGCGACGTACACATTGCACATGGCATTGACAGATCGGTCCCATTTCGCCTGGCTAAGTTTTCTGGGGTTTCAGCACACAGGTTGTCGACACAAAATTTGCGTGGCAGCTTCCGAATTTGTAGCCACGACCTTACAGAGAGATCCATTGTAGGCGTGTCCCAGTAAAGCACAGGTCAGTGGCCTTCTGAAGGGCTCCATGGCACGATAACAAGCGCGTGCCAACATCGCCGACGGTATCTCCATGATGAAGTTCGATCGACTCTCTGATGGAAGAGTGGTATGCTGACAGAACGCATCCATAGACGCCTTAGACAACAGCTCTCTGCGTCCAGCATACAGGAACCAAATTTCCCACGCACACACGTTCAAACCCGTCATCTCTTCGAGAGACTCAAGGAAGCATGTCGTCGCACAGTTCGGTACCGCCATTACCTCCTCCCTCGATCTCGCTTCCTCCGCCGCCTTCTAGATACAGATAGAGGTAGTGACAGCGCAACGGCTCAGTTTGGCAACCATTCCTGGACTTCTTTGACGTTCGCTTGCAGAAAGATTTGTGGAAACAATAGATAGCATGAGTCACATCGAGAAACCATCTCTAGTTGCCACTGTTGATCGCTCGACTTCAGTCTGCGTCTACGCCGTGGATTAAAGACGTGAAGTAAAATGGGACGAATTGTCGGAAGCTGAGAGGGCTTTGAGACGGAAGACGAGGAGTACAAAAACGCTGATTGCAAGGTGGTCAATCACTGTAACAAGAGTATAGCTGAGTCGTGATACCATTCCGGAAACTATTGAAGTTGACAACTCACGTCATACAAGTCTATAGATGACATGGACCAGCTGTACCCTCCTTCTGAGCTTCTATCTGTGCCTGGCTGCATACTAGTTGCCCATGCCTACCGCTTCACAGGTGTGAGCCGTCCGGTTGAGATCATCTATATCACCATTTTGGTCTCTGGTGAGCGTTATAGTATACCCCCATCACTTATGTTGTCAAGGACTATCTTTGATTACACCCATCAGCTATGAGAATTAGCATTACTTTTTCTTCGATCCGCCATCGTCTCGTCCTTCTTACGAATACTTCTAGAATCGATAGTCGGCAACTCTGGCTACAGCCTTTCTCCATGACTTTAATTGCTTGTCGCTCGGTCTTAAGTCAGCCTCCTGCAGGACTAGCTGATCTGAGAGTTCGGAGGGCAGAGCCAAGGTGGAATAAGGGTTGAACAAATGGGCGAAAGATATGGGACAATGACATCAAAAATGCAACGGAGAAAAGAATTCATATACTCACATGCGACTGAAAGTATGGTCGCAGGGCCATTTTCGCCAATCCACATCGAAGATCAGTTTGCGTGGCAAAGACTGTCTAGGCTCTCAAAATTACCCATACTCCCCCTCTATCAGACGATCAGGTGCACATTGATTGACCCTGCATGTTACGGTGAGCAACTAGTTGAAAATTTGCTTCTTAGAAATCGAAGAGATGAAAACTGATGGACTTCTGGTTGAGATGGAAATATTTGCTCTTGTTCGTGTGCGATGGTGCAATCAGAAACCATTTATTATGATCAAATCTTCCAATCCTCACGATTCTATTTCTACCTAGAGATCCTTCGGTTTTGAAGCGAGCTCAAGCTGGAAGCTCATCGATTTCGGGTCTTCCACTTCCCTATCAGACTAGATGCCTTGTCTAAACTTCCACTCCAACCTGACTGATCCCAGCTAGATCGACTATCCGCGACGTGTGTACAATTCTCCTTGAATTTCTGCTTGAACGTCAACTCGCGCTATCTGGCATCATTCACTATACAGCCGTATATAGACAAGTACGACTGAAGCATACTGTAAGCAGTGCAATGGCAGCAGACCTTGGAAGGTGTATACAAGTTCAAGAGCTCCACAAGGGTATCACGCTAGCACTCAGTCGCTAGTGGGAGCAACGGCGCGAAAGGAAACTCTTCATAATCCTTCCCGTAGCCGTCTGCCTCGGCGATCACCGTCACTAACATGTGATCAATGACACGACTGTGCAGGTCAAATATCTCCAGAGCATACTTGTCCGATTGCATAGTTGTCAATGAGGTCTGCGCGAATTTGTAGGCAAGATCGCGCAACGAGGTCAAAGAATTGTCCGTGAATCGAGAAAATCCGCAACTCGTCCTATACGATAGCTTCAATCCCTTTGAACCTTGTCCAAACGAGAAGATATTCCTCGGGTATCGATGATTCGCTTGAGATTCAGGTTCACCGCCATCGGGGTACGCTATCGATCGTACAGTCCCGTGAGTACCATTTGAGGTGTGTTGAAACAATGCTGACCTCGATTTGTAGATTGAAGTAGTCGAGCTCGGCATTGTATCAGGTCCTTTCAAAACACTCCTCAGCGTCAAATCCGGATACTTTGCGGCACTAGGACTTCGTTCCATGGCCAAAGTTCCGTTCTTGATATCAGTGGCATTGCTTGTTGGGCCATTCTCGGATGCTGCGATATACAGAAGTGTATATATCGCATCAGACATGCAGTTTGATCCTTCCACAACGCGGGTATTATCTTTCGTCTCGACACACGAATGGTTCAAGCCCGACAGCACACCGCTTCCCGTGGTCAACGGCGCAGCCAGGAGAACGACAGGATATGTCGTCCAGCCATCCACGTACCAGTCAGGAGCAGTCACTAAGCTGGTGCATACGCCAAGTGATGCTAGAGAAAGACCTGTAAGCAAGGGAATGAACATTGGAAGCGGCGAAGTCAAGAGCGCACTCTTGGAGAAGTTAAGTAAGTCAGATTGATGGAACGGCTCAACCTTTATATGCGGTTGTACGTGTGCATCATCCTCCGAATCTTCTTCCCGGCTACCAGGCATCTATTTTCTCGTCACGTCGCAATTTGCAACCTGAAGTAAAGCTGACGTAGTGTCATGAGCTAAGAATGGGTGACCTGACGAAAAGATCTCTGTAATAGACCCGTAAGATTTTGGTTGTGAGAGCCAGGTCTTCGATAATAGCCGAACAGCAGGTGTAGATCTAAGTCACACGATGACACGTAGATAAAAGTGCGATTGATTGAACTTGTAGGTTCAAGTTCAATCAATTGCACTTTCACCTTCGGATGGTTTCTCCTTCTTGACGATAGAACTCACACGACAGATCAGACTCGTGACGGTGGCTATTGCTTGGCCTGGCACTTTTATGGTTCCAGACTTGTCGTCAAGCACAGCCGGTCCAGTCATCACAGCGCCAGCGAGCATACTTTGAGTGATAATGTTCTCAAAAGAAACCATCTTGCGAGCAGAATCTTGATTTTCTAGAATTAGATCGGATTTGGCAGAATTGACAAGAAAAGATTAGATCAGCGGTTCTATATCCAGAGATTGTTGACTGCGTCGCTTTCTAGATTTCGCCCTCTCAATTTATTTGTCATACGACCCCGTGTATGGATACCGTGCCAGCAGTCTCGAGATACGCTTTCGCGGACGTGCCGAAAGATCGAGATAGATAGAAAATATCTTGAATAGCTCGCTGAAGAGACAGCGAAGCGCGTGAGCCGAGAGGGTGTGGGGTGTCAGAACGCGCCCGGCGTCTTGCCCGCAGATCCCCAGATCTTATTTCAGTTGCTGCTTGTCGCGTCTTCCACCTTCATGTTCCCTATCCATTTTCCCGTCTTCGTGTTCACCGTGGCCATCACCATCACCGTCAACGCCTCCGCTGTTTGATCATCACAGACACATTCTCTTCTATTTTGTCATTGCAGAAGCAAAACACAACGTGTGCAGGCTGCACACGCATCGATCTCGCCGCCTTACAAGATACAACCGCGTCTCGACTGCCACAACACACCTGCCATCCGTAACGCCCAACTGTGAACGTGCTACCACTGCTTGGTATACGAATTGGACATTGGGTACGTCGCTGCAGGCTTCTCAAGACACCTTCCGACCATATTCCTGTCGATTCGGACATCATTGCGACCGTGGCCTCCGAACCGTGCAGATACCACGGCAGCGCGTGTTGTGGTTAGTCTTCTCCAGCACACCGCGTTAAGCTCAACAGAGTCAAGGCTGCTCTTTGGTCCATCAAGAAGCCTGGGTGGGCGGGTTCGCATGTTCGTCTCTGACAGTGCGGGACGAGGTATTCCTTTCCTGCCTGATTAGCCTAGAGCACTAACATCAGCAGTATTTCGCCATGACCACCGAGATCCAGATTAAAGGACTGGCCTTTACGCTCGAGACGGACGACGCGGTGTCCCTGGTAGTCAAGGGCCAGCCTGTTGTTGCTGTGTTTGAGGATTCTACCATAAAAGAGAAGGATTCACTTGGACAGGTTTCAGAGTGAAACAGCTGCAGCGACATACTCAGATTCTGGATCGGGGTCGATCAAGAGATGAGCAAGCTCTTCATTGGGTTGGCCATCTGGATCGGTCCCAGACGGTCGCGCAACAAGAACAAAAAAACATGTCGCCTTATGTTTCTTGTGGTACCAGCCGAGACACTTACCCTGGAAAGTGCGTGTGATGATTACGACAACCTCGCTAAGCAGCTCCCAACAAACGCATCCGATGAGCCATCTGACAACAAGTCTGGAAAGTGCAAGCTCAGGATGTCGTTCGAGATCGATTCCCTGCGCAGCTTGCGGTCGCTGTTTGTGAGGACGCTGGGCCTGTCAACGAGTCACACGATGTGCATGGCCCTCCCCAATACGAACCACAAGCGCCTAGCTTTCGGAAGCAATTAAGACCACAGTCTAGGCACCAGACACCACTTCAAGCAGGTCCAGCATGGACTGGCGGTCACTCATTGCGCACTTCCCCAGGTCTTCCGTCCACAGCGCCGCCTTGTTCTACTCATGCTGGGCTCAAGTCGTCTCTTCATGACATCATGTACCAAAATGCCAGTGTAGCTACACCTGGTAGTCGTGATTTTCCTCACGGGACTCTGTTACAAACCTACAAGCAGCAAAAGGCAGATATTGTAGGTCAAGCCTGTTTGCGATATAGCGACAAATTATCGCTGTAAGACCCAGAAACTGTCGGCTTATGGACGTCAGAGAAATTAGGTGAAAGTGAGATCCTATTTATTGTCCAGAATTTCTTTTCGCTTGTGTTCGATCTACGTTGCGTTGGTGTTCCCTTGAGAAAACAAATTTGGCTAAATACATCGATCAAAGAATATGACACAGTGTAAACAAGCGAGCAGAGCAGTTGGTCTCCTTAACTTGTTCATGAGGGAAATGATCACCTGGGAATCACCATGAGTGTGTGAACAGGCACAGTCTCGGAGTGAGCCTTTGGTGGATCTCATGTCTAGACCATCTGGCAATGAGCGATATCTTGTATGTCTCCAGATAGCTCCTACGATGGGAGGAGAGTAAAGAACGGGCAAAGATAGCACATGTACGAGCGGAAGAGCGACTACTAACCGCAAGCGAAGTAGCAACTTGTTCGGGGTGCTGGGAGTCGCCCGTGTCGAGAGTCAAATTTTCGATCGCCCGAAAGTCGAAACGGGTCCAAAGAACCTGAAAGGCTCTGGAGATTAGTGCCCGCCCGGCTGTGTCGACGCTTTCTTTTCTCCTCTCTTTTTTTCTTTTTCTTTTTGCTGAGCTGGATCCTAATAGTCATGGGGAAGCAACCTTTGGAACACGGCATCTTGCAGCCGCTTCGCGTGTGTGAGCTGATCATTAATAACCTGTTGTATCGTGCTTTGCGCCACCAACACTTTGCAAGTCTTGCAGGACTACCGGCATGGTCTAGCCTCATGCACTCAAGGCTCAAAGACATCCTTCCATCCTTCAAACCTCCCAATCGAATCAACACCCGGGGTTTTCACGTAGACAATTCACATGCAATGGTCTACTTCTCGACCACCTGTTTGGACAATCTATCACTTGCAGTGACATCAAACATCCACCCTCAAAGCGCAAACCAGATTCACTTCCCATGTGCTTGTACGACGACCCGGCCCCCGTTAGATTTGCAAAGTGCAGGCACACGGTCAACATTCCTCGCGAGCGAACAATTCTCACTTGTCCAGAAGCCATGCAACGCGGCAGCAAGTGCGACTCTATAAAGCAGACAAGCAAGGGATCCAGCACGAACCATTCGGTCGAGTGTCCAGCCTGCAGGACTGTATGTTTCCCTATCGCGCTCGAGATCGTAGACATACGACTAAAATTGCAGCGCAGGCCAGAGCGCAAACAATGAAGACAGGTTTCTGAAAGACGCATGTTCTGGGCTGTGACATTGCGAGCTCTTGAGACATGGCAGATACAACAGCATGCCGTAGCTCGTCAAGGGTTTCAAATTGGCGAGACCATGATTTTGAGATAACATCTCCGAGCGGCAAGTCCATAGTCGATGGTAGGAATTCTGCGTCTGGCCATTCACCCATTGTCACACAATCCACCTGGAACTTCTTCCAGCAGGACAGTGAGTAGATAACGTTCGTGACGTGTAGAATCTCCACCTTTGAGCAATAGCCGCTGGAATTCCTGAGCGCACCGCTATCCTCCAGTGGGCATAAGGAGCTGTTTGCGAAATCAATGACCCGTGTAGTGTAGTCGTCTGCAAGTAGGATATTACGGAGAGCGATGTCGCACACAAGGACTTTTTTGGCATGGCAGGCTGCGAAGACATCGATGATCTGCAATATCCAGTCCATCCTTTGCGACCACGCTGGTAGGAAATCTTTTTTCATGTGTTCCTCAAGACATCCATTACTGTAGTATTCCAGCAGTAGCCCGTCTTTGAAATTACCCAGATAGTTGGCAACTCCTCGTACGCCCTGAAGACGTTCGTATATCGTGCTTTCGATGCTCAAATCGCTCGACCATTCGTTTTCTGGATCCGGTTCTATTGTACCGTCGGGCAGGAGGCACCCATGAAGTTTTGGTATCTTCAATACGGTTGACGGCTCACTGTGCACGACGAAACCGTCAAGACCTATGCCAATTATCTTAGATGTAACAAGCGACCCGTCCGGATAGATAATGCATCGTGTAGGTGCGGAGGCCATGGCGACACTGAAGGAGGTAATTCGACGTGCAAGTAGCAAAAAGTCAGGGAACGTGCTGGGGAAAGCGCTTATGGAGTGAGCGTATATACCACTACTTGACACGGCGTCCGTGCGCGGTCACCTCTTCGCTTCCCGGAATCATTGCAACGCGCAGGGTGTCGTCCTAGGCTCTATGCATTATCTCCCGATTGCATCAAATCGCTGCAGTTTCCACTATGATATAATTGTACTTTGGAAGCTTAAAGTCCTGGGATACTCTCAGAAAGACAAATATGACTCGCTGCTTCGCTACCTCCAACTTGCCAGGCTGTTTTCCAAACAGATTTGCCAGACGCGGTCATGCGTGATTGACAGAGAGCGCGTCGGCCCGCAGATGCTCGCCCCACATCTTGCGTCCAGGATTGACTGCTAATTAGATCCAGTGAGCTTCGAGCGAAATAGACACGCCTTGCTTGATCACTGTCGGACTTTACAGACTCTCCCCTGGAGGCATGGAAGTGTTGATTACGCGCTCGATGTTCACGAAAGTGGTGAGACTCGAAGCGTCCGTACGTCGCGGGTTACGACCTCGAAGCCCTGTATTTTGTTGGTCGCTCAAAGAATGGGACACTTCAAAAAAGCAGCGAGTACTCTATCCCAGAGCCCATGGAAGATTGGACCTGCATTGCGAAATATAGCTGTGATCCAGCTAGCACCTGTAGATGTTCATGACAAACCCTAGATGGTTACGCTACCTAAATAATTGACCCGCCTTCACTGCTTTACGCTTACCATGATCATCGAACAGGGCACTGATGATTCTAGACCTGTCGATCGGTCACAGTGCATAGATACCATGATGACTTCGATAGCGATGTTAGCAGATGCTGGCTAGATGCTTAAATTGATGCGCTAGAGCTCGTGAAGCAGCTGAGACACTGGGGCGGCTACCTTGTGTTTGTCAACTCATCGAGATCACGTTCGATACACCAAACAGCGCAAGAGTCTCTCATCGCTCAGGAGCATATACATACGTCAGCAGACTCGTGGCGCGGGTTTGAAAGGCATGGTCTTCATCAGGTCGTAACAGAAAAGGCAATGGTAGTCATATATATCCAATGTCCTAGGCTAGAAGACCGGAAGCATTTCTTAGAGGAGAACGTCCCAGATAAAAGCAATCGGCCACGGAGAGGCAAGGAATAAGTCATGAAATACTGCTGCGAGTGGTGGAAGCTTCATCACAGATGTTTCGAGGCGCGACCCAGGAAGACGCTTGTCGAGATGCGCCAAAGCTGTATGAGACCGGGGGTGTACCGAGAACGGTGACCGGTGGAGCGGAGGACTTCTCACTGGCTTTGTCCGTTTTCTGGATGGATCGTGCTGGAAGAAGAAGGTTTCCGCTCTGGTTTTAAGGATAGTGTCCGAGTCAGTACTTGAGAGTGCTCGGGGGCGTGTAGATCAGTCGGCTCCTCATATAGCACCTGAGACACAGCCGAACAGTATGTTGCATCTCGTCATGGCTTATGAGGCAGACAGGAACGAAATGTTGGGCGATGGCTCGTATCGGTACCTGGAGTTTGTAAAGCGAGCATCTTGGCAACCTGCCAGATGCAAGCCGCGTAGACTGACGCCGCTCAAGCCGGCAAGCGATCAATTTCGGTCCCTCGAACAGGCAAATCGTCCTTCGCATTTAAACTCGGACTAGCATCGGTATCAGCAGGGGATGGGGCGTCTGCGTCAGAAGCAAGCGTAGATGTGTCTGTGAGCCAGGGTATGTCATCTGCGAGTAGCGATCGAGATTCTGTAGCTTCTAAAGCTGCGAGAATGGTCGGGCCGCGTAGTCTAGCACGTCCTCTGTATCGACCGTCATCCTCGTCTTCGTCTTCTTGCTCTTCTGTACCGCACTCTCCCTCCTGGACGGAGCCTCTGTCGTCGCGCTTGCGCTTCGAAGGGCTGAGACTGCGAGACTTGCGGCTTAAATAGAGTTGCGTGCATTGGTCTCCATTTACTTCTTGTTTAGACGTCTCGCCATCACGTACGATGTAGAGGACTCTTTTCACGCCTTGCTGCAGGAATTGAGCAGAGTAGGCAAAAACAGTCCAGGCAAAGCGCGCAAACAAGTACTCGGGTGCGACGCTATGTAGCGGTTGTATAGCGACCCTATGGTAGAGCTTGACAAACTGCTTAGATAAGCCGGGGGAGAATAGATGCAGAGCTAAGCCATAGGATACCAGGCCATTAGTAGTAGCGGGGAGCGGTTTTAGAGTTATGGCGAACCGACGTTAGTCAAAGACGGTGTGAATGTCGGAGCGAAGCAGCAGGGCGTTGCGTGGGACATCGATGGGCTCGATTTCAGGGCGCGGGGCTACACCATATTGGAACATTGTGTTCTGTCGGAACTAATCACCTTCGGTACGTAGGACGAGATAGGCGTGTTCGGTACCCTCGACGGTATCGGTCAAGCGGCAGGAGATGTCACGCGCGAGGAGAGCGTCAGTTAGGCTGCCCTGGCGAGGCAACGCACAGCCGGCTGGCATGCTCGGGACTCTGAAGTGCGACCAGACGGACGGCAGCTTGCTGTGCGGAAAGCGCTAGTGTGCGAAAGTAGGGACGAGGGGATACTTTGCTGTCGGATTAAGTCTGTGTCAGTTAGGTTGAATAAAGTCGTTATTGTGTCGACCGACCATTCGCGTCACCAGGCAGACGGAAGTAGTATTCCTTGCCCTTCAAGACGCCGTCTCGCGGTGTCAGGACTCCGCTTCCGATCCTCTGTTCGCTTAGGAAGCCATCCTAGCGGTTTCCGGCGACGACAGCGCAGGCGATGAGAGCCGTTTCGTGATGGATACCTCCCTGCGCGTCGTCTAGCGCAGGCAGAATCATGATGATGTTGTGCTCGTCAGGGTAGCCTAGATGCCGGAATGTCACGGTGCATGTCACATCGTCGGGAATGTCCTTTCCGCCATCTTGATGTGTAGGACCAGCAAAAGGTGGCCGTAGTTGAGCCATACCGACGGCGAGGGTGACGGCGACGACGATAATGATGATCACAGCGACAGATGTTAGAGACGCAGATGCAGACGTAAACGCAGACGACCTGCCTCTCTTAGTTTGTTTTGACGCGCCGTGGCACGACAACCGTCTCTTCCCGTCCGGAAGCTAGCGCTAGTCTCCGCCGAAAGCATTCTACAGCATCGATCATCTTAGTCATCCGCGGTCTGTCTTGACCCTGATCACCGGCAGGTCGCGTATCACTACCCCACACTTTCTGGAATCATCGCTATCCAAATCGTCTTCGTTCACTCGCGTCTCGAAAATGAAGAAGCCGGGCAGTATGTTGGAGCGCTAGTTTATAGGGCTAGAGCTTCGCCCCACCTTGGCTTACAATCACAGCTTCTGTCTACGCCGACCACCGTCAAGTCCTGCTCAGGCACACCCTCTTCACAGAGGCTGGTGTGTGTACATACATGTAGTGGTAGCTAGACGTCACGTCAGAATTGATCATGGACGCATCCACTTGTGGAAGACAACAAATTGCGAAGACAGAGGCAGGTGAAGCCAAACTCCGAGACTCGGCAGGTACATACGAAATAAGAAACGTGACTTGGCGGTCCCTGTCGTCGCGTCATCTAACGAAAGAACGATTTACACAACCAAAAACAAGTCAATATTTGACTTAGCTAAGGTCTGATCCGGACATCAAATATCACCATAGTATCTATCGGCTGGTCCGTCTAGCGATAGCGACCTATATCTACGCACACACGGACGATAAACATGTTAAATCCACACCAACTCCCACCTCCGGTGAGCGCAAAACCTTATCGCCGTTTCTTCGATTTATGGAACTCGTCCTCGACCGGCCACCAGAGAGCAGACAACAGTCTCGTAGGAAGCACGAGTTGGCGTGAGTCGCGCAGTCTGAAACTTAGCAATCAGTTTGGTGGTGGAGCTTCCGGCGGTGCTCGGCTTGCAGACACTGTTGGCGCTAGCAGTGAAGACTTCGGTGAAGACGGCAGATTGGGAAATGGAAGCTGGGCCAAGGGCGCACCTGGTCTGAGGGGTAGAGGCTAGATTAGTGTGGTAGAAGCTTTTAGGGTCAGGAAAGTTGGCGTCGAGGATACGGCGACCGAGAAGGCGAAGGCAAAGGTTATGGTCGATGGGGCGAAAGAGACCGACCAAGATTAGGATACAGAGAATACCACTACATTAAAACCTGCCTAGGTGTTTGCAGGGACTTGCATCCATATCAATGGCAGCACATACCCAACAATCCTGGACCACAAGTTAAAACATCTGCTCGTAACCCATGGTGCACATCTTAGCATTCACCTTAGTCGTCGCTCTATAACTCACATCATCTTAGGTCGGCCGAATGCGTCGGCTGTTCTAGGTGCTAGTGGTGGCCTTTCGGCTTCGAAGATGCAGAAAGAGATAACCAAGATCAGAGGCAACAGTGTCAAGTTTGTCACAGTCGAGTGGGCCAAAGAGGGCGTGGCTAACGTAAGAAGAGCACCTAAACAAAGATTCGAGGCTATGAGGCTGGCTCTAAAGGATACAGGAAGAGTTGGGCAGATATTTACGAAGGCTGCGAAGAAGGGACGAGAAGATACGACGCAGCAGTAGTACTGATGGACAAGTTTGTGCTCACTCATAACAACTCCACAAAACCACTTTGAGCATCCCTACGTTAGCATCTACGCTCCTTAACATGCTCGACACCGACGAATATCGTTCGATATGGCATCTGGACATCTAACTAACAATATCTCGGACTTAGTGCATTTAAAGTCGAACCCTATCATTCAGGCCGCGCCTGGATAGATCCTCGCTCGGATTACCAATCTGAAAATAGTGTATAACTCATTCGGGTCAGTTAAGAGCAACGATTTCAATCGAGGAGGGGGGGGTGCGTATGCGACAATCGAGGGTAACTGAGTCGACGGCACTCTATCGCCTAGCACGGGGTAGGTGCCGGGGCCAATAGCTAAACTGGTCTTAGCAGCGCCTTATTGGACAATCATCTAGCCCTATTGCCTCTTTTGGAAGGGCTAAAGGTACCACTCTCAATACCAACTAACCAACATCATGCAAGCAATTCAGACTGTATAACTGATTGGGCGAGACTTGTCATATCCTTATGCTTGCATGTACACACGCCACGTCGAGCTGCACGTCTCTATACCTAATGGCCCCATTGAAGAGATATAAGTACCTGCTAAGGGACACCAGTGAGTCATGATATACTCTGCATATTCTTCATCATCTGTTTGCCTTTTAGTCTCGATCATGGAAGATTGTTCTCGAGATGCATTAACATTTTGTCGCCAGCCAGACTGTAGATAACGCGGTACCTGCGAGATCGGTATCAACAGTGGAGTGAGACTCTGTTACAGATGACTAGTGCATAAAGACTTCATCCGATGGTACGACGAAATGGGCAACTGCAATTTTTCATGTATGTACCTTAGAAGCTATGAGAACTGTCCATGGATCTAATGGTGCAAAGACTACGGTGGCAAAGCGGAGTGGTACTTCTCTCTTCGCTTGCGAAGCAGGAACAGGGTCTGCGACCTTAGCTCAGTATAGTAGTAGGATCAATGTTGCTATGTGTTGGGACAGTATTCAGACGAATTTTAGATGGCTGGACATACGGAGTGAGGTTCATCTACTACTACTAGTGTCAGGTGCTTCGACGAGGAAGCACATTCTGATCTTGTCCTTCCGCACATGCAGCTCGTGCACACAGCTAATAGAACAAATGCTCATTACGCAGGACGGACAGGGAAAAATACAGGCAAAAAAAGATGGGCCAGCTCCAGAAAACCACAATCTAAATCGTATGCTGAGAGAAAAATTCTGCAAAGGTAGTGGTGCGATGTGGTACACGTGTCTAATCAATATTCACAGTACGGAAACCACGGAACAACAGCACATGATACACAAGCAGGAAGACTGTCCAGATCCGCGTCGAATCGTATCACAAAAAATCGTGACAACTTGTTCGCATTATCCCCTCCAGCTTTCGAGAGGCAGTACTTAAGAAGCATATGTCAGGTGGAAGGAACGCGATGAAGGCACTGTAGATAGGATAGGGTGAGTTACTTGAAGACTGTAGACCTCAGACCCCGCGTGATAAATGCTTCGTTGCCAACAATCGTTGACGCACTCGCGCCACCGATATCTTGTGTCACTAACATGCACACAGCACAAACCACTTCGCAAGAAGGATGTACTGAGAAGTTATAGACGTGGGCGTTACCACTTTGCGAGCAGGATCTTCGAGGACTACACGCTCAGTAGGTCTTCCATCACACTCCGTATACACAGCGTAACAGACCCCAATCGACTCTTATACCAAAGGGTCGGCTTTCTCGAAACACTGCAACTCGATGAATCTTTGTATTGCTGCAGGTTTACCATGAAGCTCAAGCTGCCTCATCAAACGAGCAGCGGCACCTTGACCAGATGCTTCGACGTTCGTAGACAGACGTCTCCACTCGCGGGCAGCATCAGACGCGACATCACAAGGAGGAGTAATCATCTGCTTGGTGTTGCCAAATACACCAACAGCAAGACACTAACGAAGAGTAAGTATCTCAGAAAGCAGGGGTAGCAACAGATCTTACAAGCTCGCCAACTCGGGAAATGCTCAACAGGATATTAAGATCTGTCAATGTCAAGCTGGAACACATCGAACAACCCGTCCTCGCACACCAAGTTCGTGTCAGCCATACGGAGCACGGAGGAGAATGCATCATCACTGCGTTGCTTCATCATCCAACGCTCGGAATCTGCGCTACCGGGCCGGCGATTGATGATGGAATAACAGAGGGTACATGTTCAAATCTTAAGGGTTGAATCTTGCGTCTTCCGCGACTTGTCGTGGAACAGGAGGCTGAATATATGCGATGATCAAACACACAATCCAGAAGGCAGCAAGGAGGATTAGAATAATCAAGAGAGCAACGTTGAACGCCGTTACGAAATGAACGATGGGACCTGGCATTGGAGAATAAGAAAAATATCTATGCGCGACCCTACGACGGTACTTACATACCTTCGACGATAGCAGGCAGAAAGCGGCACAACTTGGAAGCGCTCATCGAGACACTAGGAGCGAGAACAAGAACCAATTAGAAGTGGGAGCCTATTGGGGTACTAGAACCATGGGGCTAACATCTCTATTGGGCCTAATGGTAGGACTAGCAGCACCTATTCTAGGGGATTTGGCGCCGTTCAGCCACAAAGACAACATTAGACTGCGAATTCGATGTACATTTGTCTTTTGACAATATCCCTAACGCTTATAGCCACGTAAGGGGTGTATTGACGGGCCCCTATCTAAGAATGCCAAGCTCGCAGTTATTCCATCTGTACACTAATTTACTACGAGCTTCTTAGAATCGTATCGTCTTACGAGACTTCCACATACACTCCGTCCGATCCTCTGGAAACTTTTCTTGTACACTGCTAGTCCGTTATGGGTCAAAAAGAGACATTACAACATGTGGCTCTAACACCATCCAGTCCCACCAGGTGATGCTACAGCCCGGGTTCACGCTCCACGTTTTAAATCGACGCGAGAAGGAACCAATTAACTAAGGTTCCGAGCAAGACTAAGGCCCTTCGACATGCCTTAAACATGATAACCACGAAGCCAAGGGGGTCAGCCGATCTTGGTCAATATTCGAGGAGTCGCTACCAGGAGAATGATTGCGATCGACAACGCTACCTGGCGCACGTATCGCATCCCTGGAACTGTATTTGAATCATGACTGCCGGATCCACATTCTTATGATGAATTTGCTAAGTACCGCTCACCTTAGACTAACATTTGCACTGCAGCCATATGTACATGGACTGGTCTGGAACCGGACGTAGCGGTTTCCACAGTGATACAGGTGAGGAAAGTATGACAATCATATCGAAAAGCGATGAGTGCTTTCCTGATATCGTGTCATCCCGCAGAAGAAACCGCGAGATATCTTAAGCAATCCCCTCTCGCATATGACTATTACCGTCACGTGAGAAACATCTCGAGCTTTCTTACGTCTATCTTATGATTACTCCCTAAAAGCTTGGCTGTTTAACACTAACGAAGTCCACTTGGTACGCGGACTAACCTAGCTATCTAGACCTCCTTCGGCACTTTACTAACTCGGAACAGATGGGATAGGAATCTGCTGTGCTAATGCCCCGATCACTTTCCATCGCAGAGGTTTTAGCAGACGCGAACCGAGTGAGAAGTCTGGAGCATTAGTACAAGACCTGGTGGAGAACAAAAGCAACCTGAATCATGTTCTAACGAAATTCTTAATGGGTTCAAGTCACTAAGCATACCTACTACCATCTTAAGGTTCTCGTAGCATGGCTCGAACAACTCGACAAAACTGTAGTCTTAGACAAACATAAAATTCTTCTTAGAGCGCTAGAACAAAGATTAGAGCAGCGGCATGATACACTCGCATCTAGTAGGACCCTTCCTCGTTGCACAGCAAGAACCAACGAAACAACGTCAAAAGAAGCTATCGCTACGATTGAAGGCTTGGAAAACATGGCCATCATCGAGCCTGACTTTCTAGAGCATAGTGAGAAAATCAGCTTATTGAATCTAAAGAACCACTTGCAAGCTTGGGGAAGAGCTACAGTATGAACGCCACAGGTTCTGTATTATTAAGAGACCAAATCCTTGTAACACTTAGATACAGACCTTTAATCGGGTATTTCAATGTGAAAAGACATTGTGTGGGCTACACTGCGCAGACCCACTATGACCATGTCACATCTTAATGCATCAATATTTGTGATGCGTCAAATATCTCCACTCCACAAACTTCACTCTACATATTTCACTGCATAATGGCGTGATTTCGTGGAGAGGTTGGTCGAAAGTTGCAGATAACATGACTATCGACGTGCAATGCGGTGAGACGATGATCTCTCTGAACAGATTTGTCCCGGTTGGAAATTGTCCTCTTCTCTGGAAGATAGCAATCCGCTTCGATCCCCTTCTGATTTTTCAATGTAAGGGATAGAAGCACTTTGCAAGTTCTACAGCACAGGTCCATTGAGACGTCGCAGGGGTCGGAGTAGCGGCAGCAGATGGAATAGCAAAATGTAAGTCTTTCAATCTCGCGTATGTTGACCTTAACTAAGGCGACAATGCTATGTATAGCGGTAGGCATTAGAGGACCATAGCGCGTATCGTTGAAGTTACTGATGCATATCTGTTTCGGCCTTATGGTACCTACCTAATTGGACAGCACTGCCACCATCCCTGCCGCTGTAAGGCAGCAACGAGACCTGGTATCGGATTCTAGACTGGTTCATAAGCTCGACATCTCCGCCGAGCATAACGCGGGTTTCGCCCATCTATTCCTCTCCTCGCGGATACAAACATTAGCACTCTTCATTAGCTTTCCCCGCCGCGAAACACAATATCTTGTATGGCGAGCTATCGAGCACATCGAAGAACCATACGACTTGCTAACAGTTCTAGCTCCATATCATCCGGCTTTGATAGAGATGCTGCATCCTATCATTTCAGAGGAACGAGATATCCCACTAACAGGACATGAGGACGAGATCCAAGAAAGTAGCATAACCCTACGGCCACAAAGGTCTAGGCCCTCAGATGCTCGAACGATAGAATTTTCACGAAAATAAAACGGAAAATTCGAGTGCGAATCTTATGGGCAGGAAATCAGCAGCATGTAGCACGGCGGCGCCAACATTTCTGCTGCCGATTTAAAACCTGTAAGCGGTCTATAGGAACAAGGAACCCTTTCCCGCGCCTTGAGAACCTAAAAAAGCATTTGCGTAATGTTCATAACGAGCAACGCATCGGAAGTCATGAGCCCGCTCGCAGAGATAGACGCAGACCTACAGAAATCATATCAAAGCTTGACTCAGATATGTAAAGTCCATCGAGCGATTCCAACCGCCTGGGTTCTAAGGATGGGCGTTAGGGATCGTCGTCTAAGAAGATCGACAGGGCTCAACTTGCAGATCTTAAGGCGGAGTCCTCTAGCATCTAAGCCATGTATAAGATCCAAGGTGCTGTGATCACTGACTTGAAGGGGCAGCTACGTAAGCTTTAAGCACAACTCAAAAACCGTATGCGAGATTAGGAGGCGGACTTTTGGAATGCTATAGATCACAGATAGCCTCTAATCCGTCATTGACGATCTCGCACTGGTATATAGACTACGAACAGGAGCCCAATGTACCTTGTAACGTCGATGCTTTTGTGGTTCTTCCTAGTGGCCCACCTAATGTCTAACATAGCGAAAAGTTCAGACTCCTTTAGTAACCATGAATCACACATCCTACTGTACACTTAAGATCTCTTATGGCTGAAGGACAGTTTCTTCTGCCGATAGCTATCCATAATCCTAGTCACGGAAGATCTCTTCCGTCTAGTGTACTTGGAAACGAGAAAAAGAGGTGGGTTGGCCAGTCTCCGGAGAATCCAACTATGCAGTTTCTTTTGTTTGTCGCTTATGCTCGCGCCGGTTTCTTAGTGCTATAACCCTCCACTCAAAGCGCTTTAGGCAATCTTTACTGCTGTCTTTGCTAGCAGTGCGTGCTGTTTCGCCACGAATTCTAGATAGAAGAGCGTGAGCTCGCAGATATAGAGTACTAAGTCATGTAGGAGCTTCGGCTGCTAGTAATCGAGCAGTTCGATCTGTATGAAACTAATAATTGAAGGAAAGCCAATAAGATAGTCGAGTGTTTGGAGCACGATTTTTTCCATCTAGATTGCGTCCTGCAACTCGTGCCTAGAAAACAGCCTCTACCTGCACAGAAACTCGATGCGAGGTCAGTCCGGTTCAAATACTTACTTGCTATAAGAAGAGCAACACCACCAAGTAGTCTACGATGACGTCTCTTAATAATCCTCTTCGAACTGTATCTATCCAAGATGTTGACCGCTAGAAACAGTGTATCGGAGTCAAGAGCCAGGTCGTCTTGACTTCTAAGAAGCATGACCACTAGATTGTATCTATTTTTCTACAGGTACTCGGGCTGTAGGGCAATTCCAGATTTATCGGGCCGGGTTCTGATCTGGCTGCAAAGTTAGAAACACAATGCGTCAAAATATTGCTAAGAATAAAGCGATGACATACTTCCAATGACATCATTTGTTCCCTCATATCATCTCTAGAGTCACTCTTAGGTTGAGAATCCATCCATCTACCCCTTCTTTGCTTGAGGGGCCTAAGTCTGGGAACAACAGATGCCTTTTGCATCGCTTCTCGCAGTGTCCCAAGAAGAAGAACAGATCCGTTGGATTATAAATCTATGATTCTGTCCAGCAGATCTTCTGCGGATTCGTGGTTGGAGGGTTTGTGATAACCAAGCAGTCACATGTCAGATCGCTTGAAATCGCTATACAATATGTGGTCTTATCGAGTTACACGTTGATGCCAAACATCTAGTATTCTACAGTAGCGAGCAACCGATTCCCCATAAACATGCGACCTAGTACATTGTTTCGTACTAAGCCACGAGCTGTAAATTACCGGAGGGGTGTAATTTATCCGCAATGGGCAGACTACTGTATGATATGGAATAAATACCTGTTGGCTTAAATGCGCAAGATCTGCAAGCCTTTTTCGAGACTAATGTCCTCAAGCTGCGCGGTGGCGACTTGTCGGTCAATAACCTGGCACGAAATAAATTCCAGGAGACACGGTGTATCAGCATGCACTCGAACCTGAGACCACCTACGGCACACAGGGCAATAAGGATGCGACAAGATATCCAGCAAGACTTCGTACAGCAAGACCGAGGGTGGTGAGCAGTGTACCGAGCTTAGAATGCCAGCTTGCACAGAGAAGATGAAAGTTCCTCGAAATCTGGAGTCGTCAAACGCCTAATATCACATATGATCTTCCGGAAGGAGAATTTGGCAGTCCCTCGTGTGGAACAAGTTAGATTGGAGTGAGATGGAAAATAAGTTAGGATGACGTGTGGCAGGAAGTTGAGAAGTAGCTTTGTCAAACCGATGTGTGAGACAAGAGAACTGGGGAAAGTCACGCTTCACGCTCCACGTGATGCCAGCCATTGGTGAGTTCCACCATAGGTTATGTACGAGACGAGTCCTAATAGGGCATGAATCACTGCAAGTGTTCACATCGTCCAAAGAAATGGTTGGTTATGGATCTCTGATCAATTTTGCTCACTTACTGCAATACTGTAGCATGTGGAAGAACGTCTGCCATTCTCTATTAGTAACTATCTATGAAAGTTGGCGACTAGGCGTAAAGCCCCTGCCACCCTTCCGACATTGTCTTCTAATCTCTCACTAGCCTTGATATTCTTGCTCTTATCTTCATTCTGTGCGAGTATCGATGCTCGAAAATTCTTTGACTACTATTTTCTTAAGTCTCGGAGAGTTATTCATAGTCTTAAGTCCCTCAAACTTAGCCATCACAAAATCTCGGACTCTTGAACGTGCGCGGTCCGGCATTTCACTTAACCGCAGCGTGATCTGCAAGCGAAACTCTAACGTTTCGCATGCCATCAGAATATGAGGAACCATCCCGATCCTCATCTAGTCTGTTATACTGGAATTCTTAGAGTCCCTAATTGCCTCCCTTTGTAGAATCTGGATCTTTGGAGTCCCTGTGGTGGAACCCACATCGCGAAGGATGTCTGGATCTCGGGTCAAAGTAAGCAAAGGAGAAACAATCATACTTTTGCTCTAACTCTGGGTAGTCTTTCCTTGGACTCCATCTTCTCCTATCCCGTTCGGCAGGAACATAGTCAGCAGGCGTCGGTTTGTCTCTCTCATTAGGATGAAATGGGAGCAGCAAGTACCAAAGAACAAGAGCATAGTCAAGATTGCCTAGACCTTACAAGCGAACCTTGCAGTTTTGCTCTCGACACTGATGAAGATGCTAGCGAGACATAGTTGCATAATGTAGAGGCCTAAGAAGAGTTAGTGGATTACGCTTAGAAACATTTCACCGTTCGTGCTTGTCGTGTTACCTTTGAACCGGCGTAGGGCCGGTTTGATGGCGACAAGGAGAGCGAACAATCCCAAGCTGCTCGGTATCAGGGCCAATGGAGTGATGATTAAGCACACCGTACCTATCTAAGTTAGCTTCGGAAAGCGGGTGCTGAATGATATGCTAAGCCTACCGATCAGTCCTAACAGTGCTACTACTAAGTACATGGATGTCATAGAGAAAGGATCTTAAGAAGCGACAGCGGCTACGTGACGAGGAGTCGAGCTCCGGATATAACTTCTAAACGCTTTCCTAAAAAGATAACTCCACTATGCAATCATATCTGCGGAAAGGGAGAAGCCTTATAAGGTGAGGTATGAGATGAAGTAGTTTCCAGCTTTCGGAAGGTTTAAGGCAAGCACTCGAGGTATTGTCGATGGTTGGTTCAGGACTTCGGACAGAGTTACCATCAAGTTCGAGGAGATTGCCACTAATAAGAAGGCTTGCAAAAAGAGAAAGGCCGAATAGTATCTGTAGTAAGCTATTTCGGCTTGAAAATGGGTGACGTAGCAGTGCTAAGTGGATAGGTACCTTAGAATCGATGGAACAAACGCTACTACACAGCAACTAGTAGCTGGGTCACTGCACCCTGGAGGTATGCCAGTGCGTGAGGGGGTATGCACCTCACCTAGAAGAGCCGCGAGATATTCTTCGTCAAATCTTCTATCTGACCGAGTGAAGCGCTGAAAGTCACGGGCACCGCAAAGATACATAATAATGCTGCAGGTAGGATCGTAATCATAACATTCATCGTTGTCTACGGATGACCGACTTGCGGGCGTTCATCCAGTTGACACCGTCAAGAGTCTTAGACACTCGATACGTGTGCAGGGGCCAGATAGTCTGCGACGTGATACCGTGGAGTACGACTGAGTCTGCTTCGGGTATCTTTAAGATAGCTATAGTGGAGAAGTCGTGTTTATCATAAGGCTTGGTAAGATGTTCTCGCATTTTCTCGAAACGTCGCTCTAAACTCTGCCTCGTGCTTTTCGACATCTCTGGAGGCAAGCTGCCGTTGGTTTAGTACACTTAGCAAGCGATATAGGAACACATACTTCTGTCCAGTTGCGCTCGAGAAACCTTTCCCTCCATCCAAGTTATTGCCTTATGGTAGCGTTCGCCGCTAACGAATGCGATCTTTTTATGTTCCGTGGTGTATAGTTGGACTCCGCTCGCAAACAGCTTGTTAAACATAGACTTAATGGCAGCTTTCTCGGTGCCTTTGGGAATATCGGTGATGAAATAAGCGCGACTGGTCTTTTCACAGTGGAACAGATTTCTGATGTTGACGAAGTTACCTAGCTCCCGGCGCGAAACTAGGCAGAACAGACCCTTGAACCAATATGCTGCAACTAGGTGAGCCTAGAGGAGGTCTATATGATTCTCAAGGATATTCAGACAACTGAACTTGTCTAGACCACGGACAGAAGACTTTAGATGATCATGGACGTAATTCAGTGGCACTAGAAGAGGGACGATAAGCATAGCAGCGATGCCGAATAATCCTGTGAGCATACGCAGCAGCGCAAAAAGACCTAAGGCGTCTAGGTCAGAGCCATCCAGATCGTGGAATAGGGTACAGAGAGGTCTGAGATCACTGTTATGGGAGCAGAAGTCAGTCTTCCTTAATCCTTTATGTATCTTCAAGTTTTACCATTTCCTTTTGTATCTCTTGTGAAGGATGACAAATCCTCCTATCTAAATTGCAGCTACGACAGCGCCCACCTGTATGGAAGCTAAAAAGCCATCGAAGGAGTTGCCATAGTTTTCTTAAGCAGATTTGGTGCTAACGGCTATCTTATCGAGGTCCATGTGTGCATCTCTTTCATTCTGTGTCTTTGCGCAGTGCAAGTTGCCTCGGTGGCGAGTGGGAGGAATCTCTAGATATTTAACTTATCTGAAATGGATTTTATGAGTCTGACAAACACTTCGCTACGACTCCTATACGTACATCTTAGGTTAGCTCACGTTCGTGAAAGGATGCTTAGAAGACAGAGTACACAAGATACATTGGAGTCCCTTAACGTTATCTAACTACAATTTTCTGTGACCGTGATCACATATCAGCAGGGCAAACGCTGACAGATCGCTAAGATTTGATCCCTCGAGAATCGAATGGTCGAGATGAAGACTATTACAAACTGGGGCTCATTCAAGGAGCCTGCTAACTCTAAACAGCTGCCGAAAGCCCGGGTAGAATCGGTTGTGTAAATACCACAAACCACAACGGACGAAGGCATGACGGGGATATGACGAGCCAGGTGATCGATGAGATGGAGACACACACCACATGGTTTGTAGGGCAATGCAAGACAAGCTTATCAGACTGAACTTACGTCAGACTCAGAGATCAATTTAGCGATCTTGTCGGACCCGGAAGGACAAGGAATGTACTATGGAGTCGTGGTATAAATTACGTAGTTTCACAAATTCTGCTCAACTTTTGCTGCATCGCAGCCTTGCATAATGCTTGATGTTGTGACACTGTGAGCGTCATCATCCAGGTTGTGAATACTTTCTTCTCCTTGACAACCAACTCCACCAGATATGATCAGATCGGTTTCCCCAGATACTCGGTCCGAGGACCCCTGGGGTATCATGGATACTAGATCAATGTTTGCATGGCTTGGAGCCGCTGCGGAGCGAGAGCCCTTACCAAAAACAGAAACCTGAAACTGTTTGAGCAGAGTGGACATTGCAGGAAGGGAAGAGGTAATGATCTGACCTAATGAGTTAGTAAGGCATTGTTGAGATTCATTACGTAAGAAACACTTGGTCTGCACTCACCCCGACGCAGAGCTCCACAACCCCCCAGATGGTGAACATAGATGCATCTCCGTGTCTGAGCATTGCCTCGATTTGGCATATGCGTATCACAGAGCAGATAGGAGTCAAGAGCCCGAGAAGGTTAAAGCTGACGATATTGAGTTGTCTACTCCTTGTCAACTGTAGACTGCAGAGCTTGCGAATCGGTAAGATCACTGCGATCATGTTGCAGGTGAGCGTTGTAGCAGAAGTTCCATACAATAGAGGTCCGATATCAAGGCATCGTCCCTCAGTTCTGGGTATCCATGCTTTCTCGGTCGGTCGGCAATATAGTAGTAGGATCAGAACTGATGAAAGATGACTCGCGGCAACAACACTTATCGCAAGCCATATCATCCGGTGATAAGTGGGCAAATTCGCGTTCGCAAGATATTCCAACGCAGTAAAGCTCAGGGCCAGGTTATAACCCGCTTTGGCCAATATGTACATCAGCCTTCCTACCAGATCAAGCTACAGAAGTCAGCGACTGTTTATATACACTTGACCTACACTGGGATCTACGCACACGAGCATAACGCTCTACATTGACCTCTGGGAAACTGGTCTGTGGCAAACCCAAGCCAAGACGTGTCTTAGCAATTACGATAGCGTTGTACGCGATAGCAGAAGCCTGTACGCCGTAAGTCCGAGCCAGCGATCAGAGCTTCTCTACTAAATACTAAGGACAAGCAGAGGTTGTAGAAGCTGCGTCGTCCCCTAGGGTTGATATGTAGACAGTGATATCCTCGGAGAACGACGACCATGATCGCCAGTGGGGTGGAGACTGCACAGACTGCTATTTTCAACGGGTATCTTGGTTGACTAGCGACCTCTACGGTCGTGTCGCGGATCCAGCCCATCTTGTGTCTCCTGTCACGAACGAGATATCATTAGTTGCCACAGGGACAACCTATATATACCAACCTTCAGATAGTCATCCATTAGTGTAGTGAAGACAAGTCTTGTGAAATTCCACACCATCTTCGACTTCATCTTTACGTTTAACTCCATCTAAGAAGAGAGCTTACACCTCTTAAGTGACGAGTTCTGGTCCCGCCAAATGCCCGCAGGGTCGATAGAGTATTTAGAGAGCGCACAGAGCACAATAAGCATTGCTCTACATCTCCAATCTTGTGCTATACGAATATCAGGATCAGGTTGCTCCGTGATTCGTCCAGGTGATAGATGCAGCAAGCCCAGTCGTAGTGGAAGTTCATGAACTCCACTGCGGATCTTGGAAGCTTTCCTGTCCGGTCTGTTGTCCATACAATGGATTGTGTGATTGCCGTTAGGTACCTATCATGGACAGCAGGCACGATATCCACGCTAGATGGTGATGTATCATCTTTGAAACGTTACACCACGACCAGATCAGGACAAATTGTCTACTAGCTGAGAAATCCAACGAAACGCCAGACCTAGATGCTTAAGGGCAATACTTGGGAGCAACTATATACAGAGCAACAGCGCTTCAGAGGAGCGGACCATCGCTTTCGGTCATCAACCTCAGTGTCTGATGTGTCGTGACGGTAACAATCTTAAGAACATCCGACATCGCCTGGATCGTATCGAGGAGCTGTCCCACAGCAACGACGGCATCCTGCCTAGCTGTCGCATCACACTTAGTGTCTTGTCCAAGATCCTCATGGTTCACGTTTATGACAGACCTGTATGCTCTTGTGGTGAAGCATCTGAGTCGTAGGATCCAAACCTTGAAGAAGTCGTGTAGAACTTCTTTGCTCTTCTCTAAGAACACAGGATCAGAAAGGAGAGACTGCGGCATCAGCAGATTTCCGTACACCCAGAGGCAAGCTTGCAGATGCCGCACTTGTTTGGCCTTTGATACTGCCTGCTGTTGCATCAACTGACCGGCGATCTTGCGTGTGATGATTTCTTGCATCGATTCTAAGGACACATCGTCAACTTGGTTCGCTAAGATCACGTCGCCTTCCAAGAGTGTTACCAGAGCGATGCTCGTCTCCCATCGAAAGATTGCAGACATTTCGAGGGCCGAAGGTCTTACTGTCATATGAGACTAACGACATGAACATTCAATCTAGGGAGCGAGTGACCTAGTGAAGAAATCGTAGGTTTAATGCCATCCTCTAAAGGACAAGGGATTCAAAGCCCAGGCGAAGGCCGGATGTTGCATCGATTGGATGAAGTCGGGCGATCTGTGCGACGAATGATTAAGATTCAGAGTCGACAGCGCTGTGGACGGATCCGAACGTGATGGAAAGACGTTCGAGTTGATCTTACAGGTGACTTTCGAAGCTCGCGCTCGAACAGCCTTCGAAATCATCCTCGTGGGCCTAAATGACTCGCCAAGCTGGTAGCGACCTGGCAAAGAGAGGACGATCTATCGATCTGTCGGGGTCGTATCACAGTGCGGTTGTAATTTATGATCGAACAATACATACGCACCTGTAGATATGCGCTGCAAGCACCTTCAGAAGTATGATGAAAATAGTGGCTTAAGTCTGTTAACAAACGTACGGTAGCTTTTCCCTAAAAAGCGTAACCGAGCGTGATTCTGCTAATGCAACTGTCGTTAAACCCTGCAGAGCGGGGTGTTGCATCATACCGACTTCAACCCACTATAGTTTTTTTGCGATGGCATAAGTCTCTGGAGCTAACATACGACAAGGCAGACTTTGGAAATATAAGATCTCGCCGCCATCGACCCGAAAGCTCCGAGCAGGGGACGCGATGTGTGGTGAGCCCTCGTAATTTTGACTGCAGTGCACTGGCACTGGTTGCTAATGTCACGTCACATGCACGGACCACCGTGTTTTCGTTGAAAGCTTTAAGGATTGTCGAGAGATTGGTGGCGTTGGAGTCATGTGGCGTGGAGAACGCAGCGAACCAATATTACCTTCAACGGTATTAAGATGGGTCTCTTCTTCGGAGAGGCGTCTAAGGAGTGGCCATCTCAGTTTCAATCTAAGAGGCGATGCAAGTAATTTGATTGCGCCCTCTGTCTATCCGATTCAGCGTCAAGTAAGTCTCCTGGGTTCGGAAGCAGCTCCGCCGAGTTAACCTGGTCAAACTTCGAGAGGACAGACGACGCCTACTCGAGCTACGCAGCTGAAGCCGTATTGGTCACCATGAATGTAGACACTGTCAACCAGCAGCACGCAAGAGCCAGATCTTCGAGAAGGCGACAAACATCATTTGCACGCTGTCGCACGAAGTAGTGTTGTTTCGTAGTGGGAAACCCGACCCTTAAGCATCATGAATACGTTCGTTATCTTTGTTGTCTTAAAAGGCTGTGGCTCCACTCGACACCGTTAGTCTCATACCAATTTGACTCAAGTAACCGAACAAGCGCTTATGGTGTAAGAAAATGTATACTTTACCTCTCTCATGTGGAGGTTGTTTAATGGGACCCTTGAAACCACTCTTGTTCGCGATGGTGCTATTTCACAACCCGAAAATGAGCCACCGACGAGATGATCTTAGGATCTTTAGTCTTTTCTGAAGCGGATAACAGTGTCCTATAGGATCATGCAACAGGATTTGTGCCACGCTGCATAGTCTCATCCATGGCGTAGCCTCTAGGCATAGCATTTCTTCATTACCGAGCTGGAAACTACGGTCGTAGTGAGCTTCTGCTCTGATCATAGTATAGATACGCTTCCCCTTCCAACTATAGGGGCTCGATGACCTGTTGTGACGTCTTTACGAGGTGGTTAAGATCGTGAAGTACAGCAGCGAAACTCGTGCAAAGCTCAAAGATTAGGTCGACCGCGTGTGAGACATCGATATAGTTGTCGATAACTATCTCACTGCCCTTGACAGACCGCCTACAGCGGTTGACGTCGAGTGATGCTTGCGACAGGTTGCCGTCTTGGACTGGTGTGATTAAAGGATCCACCAAGCGCTCAATCTGACTTGCCCTTCGAAGATTTTTCTGCCGGCTAAGGTTGTTCTCACAAGTACATAATTTGTCTAATAAAGCTTCGATCTTCTCCAATGGGTACGGTGCCTCTGTAATGCATTTGAGTTTTGTTCGAATCTCTGCGCTTTCGCGATGGAGCTCTATGACTCCATCTAGATGCTCGCCCGAGATCAATCCTGTGTTCTTTAAGGAGCTGGTCACTCGGATCCACGTGAATAGTCTAATGCACTAGTTTTGTATACTTGGAAGTAGTTCACTCGCCCATGCAGCATATCGTTCGATCTGTTCTCCCAGGCTTAGGAGATCCTGCATCACACTATGTTGATATCCGCGTCTAGGTTGTGTGCACTGCCTTGCAACATCATCAGGCGCTTTCCTAAGTTTGAAGCTAGTCAAGTGGGTGACAACTCTCTTTAGAATCATCTCCAGGCTCATGATACTGTGTCTTGTTCACAAGCTCGGAGATGGTGTAGCGTTACTGAACAGTGATTGTTGATGCAACGGTTTCATGGAGTTTGTCAAGAATTATAAGACTGTTTGACCACTCGAACTCACCTTTCTATCGCTGAGGTGATACAACGACTTAGTGCCACGAAATCTGTTGTCCTGTCACTCGATACATATCACTTCTCAAATGGACAGAGGGCTGATATGTGGCAAGACGATCAGTCGACTGTGGCCGTTTGTTGAACTGAGTGTTCTCATACTTGGTCTTACGTAACGCTGCACCAGGCCTCTTTTCGGCCAAGATCTAGCCGTTCATTTATCACATCACTGAACGCGGTTTCTAGTGAGACATCCAGCTCTTTGAAGCATTTCGGTCATAAATTGCGTAAGACATGGTTGCGAGTTTACGAACAACCACATTCTGTATAACTTATCTGCTCAATCACGTCTTACGTGGTTTGCCCCTTAAGGGAATATATGCCTTACGATAGTACTTGTTCAACTACCTTTGGACTGGCAGTGATTGCATCTCTGATCTCATTGATGAACTTCTCTTAAGCAAGCAAGCTATGAACCAGGTCAAAAGATGCAAAGGACGTTCCGGTATAGAAAGCCTGACATGTTGGTGGTGTCTAATCAATCACATAAAGAAGCTTTGTTAGAACAGAGAATGGGCACCTGCCTTTGCTCGTTCTGTTATGATGCGTTCCTTCTGTAGTGAGGACTACGCGACTATGCTTATGTTGTGGTTGTCTCGTATATTCTATAAGGTCCTATATGTCCGTCTGCCGCGGCCAGGGAGTTGTATAACTTAAATCGATACAGAGCTGTGCGATGCTACTCCAGACGTCTGAGGAATGGCTTGCATTAGCTGGCCACCTCGGTAACACTAAGACGAGCTTTTTCCAAGCATCTTGTCTCGACGTAGCGAAGGACTGTATACAGGATCATTGTGGCTCCGAATGCGATTATGATCGTGAGCTGATACAGAAAGAGCCAGCAGTCGATCGATAGTTAGGCTGTGGTAAACTCACGTCTAATTCAGGGTGTTACGAAAGGTGCGCTATTGGGCCAACGTACCACGTTTGTCTCATACAGAGCACAACAACGGCACAGCCTAGTGATAAGGTGGCCGAAGATGCGAGACCGAAGGGATACCGACGCTCGTCTTCTTGCTCTAACCACTCCTCGCAAGAACCGAAGCACCTGTTATATACGACGTACTCGACAAAAAAGATGGCAAACCATATACTGGTCAGATATCCAGTGATCGAGATGACCGACACCATGACCTCTACCAGGTGGTCCTTAGCCAGCACAGCTAACAAGCCGCACATAGGAATGATGATGGTCGGATAGATAGACCCGGATACTGTCTGAAAGTGAGAGTCGAGACCATACAGGTTTGCGACGATGCAGTGAAGAAACCTGGTCGTTCGCAGCATGATTCCTATCACTAGTACCTACCACGCCACAGAAGGGTTTTAGCATCACGCCCGTCGGTTGTAATATCTTCGCTAGGACCGAACACGTCGACTTAGTATAGGCCTCCTGCCATGTGACGACCACACCTGTCATTTCCCCCATCACAGCTCCGATTACAAAGGTGTAACCAAAGCCCGGTAGGTGAGTGAGCAGACTCTGTATGAAGATGAGAACATTCCTGTTGCTCGAACTGTCGGACTTGGTACGTTGCATTGCAAAAGGCGCGTAAGCCATAGTTCTTGCGATACAGAGACTGGCGAATGAGAATCGACGGTCGAAAAAATGCTTGTCTTGGACTCTGACCGCAGAGAGCATTGGCGTCGTCGGTGAATGCTTAAGGTAGTCGACTACGCTAGCAAGGATGAACATAACCAAGATTTGTGGAATAAGTGCATAGCGGAAGCCTAGATGTTTGTTGCCTGTCACCACCACAGTTGCACTAAGGATAGCCGAGACCACAATGATCATGACAGAAGTTGAAAACACCCTAAAAGCTATGACAGCAGACAAGATTTGACCAGCCACTAACAGCTCGATGATCACACCGCTAAGCCTCGTGGCTATGTTTAGACACGTTATCACTGTCGCAGGTATTCTGCCCATGACCAGACGATTGAGCGTTTTCGTACAGTGTCCAGTCGTAGGTCCAAATGTAGAAACGAACGCAACAGGTAACAGTCCGAGTGTCAGACCGGTGACACCGAACAGGCAGGCATCTCGGAAGGACAGATGATATTAAAGTGGTCCGGGTGCGGCAAGTATGATGTCAGTAGTTGCGATACTGTCGTCTACCCATACTGAACTGGCCTAACTACAGACAGCTGCTAGCTAACGATGCTTCGGTAGCGGCCTAGCTGCCACATCGGTCATAGCGACATTATGCTCAGTCGTGTCCAGCTAAACATGTGACTCGAGCGTAATCGCGTACGGAGGGAGAGATTGAGTCGGACTACTTGTAGCTGATGAAGTTTCTTTCGGGAGGACCTCGATAAAGCTCATCTTAATCTCTTATGAGCCGAATCTCGCGTGAGAAGCAGTGATAGCAGAGGTTAAGGCGTCCGAGGATTGATCGCAGGATGCGGGAAGGCGGATGGACAGAAGAAGTATTGTCATCACGCTTTTCTGTGCTTTTGGTATTACGGATCTTGAGAGAATAGGATGATACATTCTCGTAATGTAGAAATGCGTGATGGAAAGGGAGCTGCTATGGCTAAGACATAAGCGAAGACTAGTCTCGAAGAAGCTAGCAGCGTGTTTTGCTTCCATTCTCGTACATATTACGACCATCTACGGTGCGTATAGTACGATCGGAGATCGAGTTGTAACATAAAGGAGAATCGATGTTTCCTTCCATCTAGCTGTTGCTCTGTTTAGTCTCCGTATCGCGCTAGATGTGTCTACGATGAGCAGATATGAGGGCTAAGAGACATATATTAAGAACTTGTTAGTTGTGGAGACACGCTTCCGCGTGGAAGAAGATTTTATCGTCACGATCTAGTAGGTAGAGGGGTTCCTATAGGCATCAGCATCTTGTAATATGCATACATACTTCCAATCAGACTCGATCAGTGTATCTATAGAGTGACCCTGCTACCAGACAGAGTCGCTTGGTCAAGGTGCATCAAGACATCCTTACGTTCTACAATATATGTGTCACATTGTGACAGACTTAAGGACCCTTCTTGGAACCTAGGAAGATAATCAGCATTTAGGAGTAGGAGCAAGAGTGCTGATGACGGGAAGAGCGAAAAGTACCCTAGTTTGAGAGCAATCTGTCCGAGCAGAAGTTGCGGAAATATTACATACACAGCCGTATACTCTATCTGCTTCGCTGATAGTCGCTGTATCCCCGCGATGCGATACGTTGGATCGATGAGCTTATTGTAATCTTGATTTCTTCGTACGGGGTAGCGCAAATCCCGGACCAATCGAAGCATCGTTAGTTAATTGTTTTCTCTTTGCGGATTTCAGCTGGCTTGAGCCGTCAGTGTCTCGATTGTGAATGTCATGAAAGGTGCGCTTCTGTACGTACAATACCACTAGCGCTTGCTGAACTCCTGTGTTGACCTGCATCCAAGATGCAGGAAGCATAATGCGTCTACCAACACGGATCTAGCAACTCGATGGCCCCGTAGTATTCCCTACACTCGCTACACTGGCAAGAATAATAGTGTTGCTGGAGGACGTACCACGATATCTCACCCCACACTCGAATGATAGGGAGGAAGCCCTCTCGCTGAATTATCTAGATCTCTGATTAGCACAATTGACGGATCAAGATAGTTTGAAGTGTACTTGCATCATCATCTATCTCTCGGGTGACGATGTTTGTCTGGAGATCTTTCTTCATAGCCTACAACTCGGTCAGCTTAGAAAGACATTAGTAACACCACGATCGACCAACCACCTTTATTTTTCTGCTCTCGGTTACAGACACGACGCAAATGAGCTCCGATGACCTGAATAGGCAGCGCCAAACTCTAGTATGTCGATAAGGAAGGATGTATCTGACTCCCTTCTGATTGGGAGCTGCTGTAGAGACTTGCTGTCTGAATAGTCGTTCGGCCTTAGCAATAAGCTTCATGTCCTCTTGCTCAGCCTTAATGTTCTGTTCCTAGTTCGATTGATTTGCTCTATCGACATCCGTCTCTCCTGCGTGTTCGTCCATAATCACGACTTTAAGGACTTGGATCTTAGGCCCATATGCAGTCAGCTGAGCCAATGTGTTGAAGAGCTTTGACGCACTTTCTCGAATCTAGGAGTCCTCCTCGACAGAAGCACCAATTCTGCGCGTTTCATACAGTTGTTTGAGGTTTCGTGCTTCAGAGCCCACAGGTACGCGATTTCTCGCCTCTATTCCATGCTTTTCGAGAAGTGACTCGTTAAGGAGTTTTTCAAACGAGTATTGTTTCATGCGAGTCTGAGCTCGTTGGGACAGGGTGAGGCACTTACTCCGTAAGCTTGGACAGAAGTTTAAAACGACCCCTAGGTAGTCGGTGCCGGGATCGCTAGTGCTAGCATACCTTTAGCGATGTCAAAGATTTCGATGAGCGTCATAACCACTTACCAAGCATTAAGAGCTTTATGAGACGCTTCGAGTATACCTAGAGTAAACCTGTCATAGAGTATCTTCCACTTCTCTCCTTGCTTTCTCCATGATTTAACAGTATGTTCTCTTAGCTCGGAATCTCCTGCTCGCTTGGTCCATTCTCTTAGGGCCATGGTTGAGAACGAGACGCCTAGGGTGGACTTTCCGCAAAGTTGCAATCCCTTCTTAATGTTCTCGATCTGACAGTACAGTGCCAGCTTGTAGTAACGTGACTTAATGACGGCTTTTGAAGCTTGTTCCGAAGTACGCTACAGTGTTTCTAGTATACGCTGCTAAGGAGTTTTATGCGCATCCGAATCCGTGCTTTGTGTTATGAATATTCTCGGCGTGAGTATTCTCAGCTTGAAGTCGGGATCACTTAGAGACCTCGCACCCTCATAATACCGGAAGAGAACCTTATCGGATAAGCGGTGTCTCCACCGGTAGTCGAGCAACCTTCTAAGATCGCAACCGTCAAGTCGATCTATGTCTTTCGGGCACAGTTTTTCTAGGAAAGTCCGAGGATCTTTCTTCATATGGCTGATTTTGTCTAATCTAGCGAGAAAGACGAGGTGGTCATATCTGTCTGCAGTCTCTCGGGAGGATACTTGTTCTGTTTCGGATCCTGTGGTCTGATCGTGAGGTTCAGAATGGACATCTAAGCTACGAGTCTCACCGCTTGTACGGTGCAGTAGATGTCTATCTTTTCGCATGTTTGTTTCTTCCGAAGAGATCGTGCTACTGACCTCTGTTGCAGGCGACTTGCGCGTGAATGTCTTTCCTCCATCTAATCGTTTCGGGGTTCTTGGCTGACGATACGAGGCAAGAGTCTTATAGAACCACTCCAATAGTCCGAGGTCGATTAAAATTTTAGCTAGTGGTTTTAAGAAGTCTCGAATCATGTCTTTGTTCATAAGCTCACTCTCTGTCTGGACGATCTGGATACACAGGCTACGCAACTGTGCGAGGCCGCTTCGCTGCGAGTCTAGACTCTGTGTTTCCGTCATCTCGAATGTACCATCGTGGATAGACAAAAACTCCCTATAGTAATATTATAGTGATATCGGAGCCAGTATCGAGCTAGAGAGAGACGGAGACACCGTCTTGTATATGTTTGTGCTGTTTCTGACACAAGCGCGAGTGGTGACGCGTTTGAACCCTTCGAGTCACGCTATGCTTATGGCTTGCAAGAGTATGTGACTCAGACATTGACACTCTCGGAGTTACGTTGCTAAGCAAACAAGATCGACCGGAGTAGTCTATGGACTTGTCCTTATCAGCCCCTGCCATAAACATCCTGTCGCCCTAGCGTGTTAGTCATACTTCTAGCACATCTATAATCTATCCGACGAGATGCGTACCTCCACTTGTGGTGTGAGCGATGTTCCGCGATACAATTTTCTTCACTTCGCTGGTCACCGATTAGGATCTTCCCAAGCACCTAACGAGATATCCTAAATCCAGACAGCGGGTGATTGAGCATAACACACACTGATTAGCCAATGCAATACAACCGGTGTAGTCCTTACATTCGGTCTCATAATCTGATTGATAGCAACAGCACTGCTCGCACATCACATCGTGTGTAAATATACATAACGTCCTTTCTTCATTCATTCATTCATCCTATAGGAATCACCCAACTGTATCTTCTACTACATTGCGTTCATCACCATGCCTCTATGTGACCATTCCTTGAGAACCATCGGACTCTTAGTGTGGAAAAGTAAGGTTGACAAATTTCGCTCTCGGTTTAGAGGCGCTGGCTTTCGAGGACACCAACGTGGGTACAAGCGACTATCCTGGGTGCTCGCTGTTCATGAATGAGTATTTCCTCTGATGCAGAGCCGTACTGGGCCATATCTGCAGTCACTGCCTGCCTTGACTGGGACCACCTATAAGTTTCCCCTTTGCATCTGTTGTTGCGCGGCTATGTACCGACTGTACCAGGCGATGTTACATGGTGCCAACGAAGATCGGTATCTACCCCGCAAGACACGGAGCGGGTTAGCGACCGTTTATTGATATGGTGTTCTTTCGTTAAGGCTAATTAACCGAAGCCTCAATCGACCGAAAGTGAGACGCTACTAGCTTGTAGACTTAATGTAAGCACACATGGACTGTGCGAGTGCTGACACATTCGTACGCGGATATCGTGATATCCATAGATTACATACACTGTAATCGCCGCTTAGACACACAATCATAAATTACAAAGTACCTAAAGATGCGTTTTTAGCTGCTACCAAGTCTCCATTATCTGTCTATATTCTACAACATAGTATCTACAACATGTGCAAGTGCTAGATCTAAGGTTGGCCTCCACAGATATACATCAGCCTTTCCAGTCTACGGGTGGTACGGAGACTTCTAGGACAGGGCGATACGATATACTAAGCGAAATGAGGTCAAATGTGTGACCACAAGATACCTGTCGTCAAGTAGCGAGGGTCATAATATGTGCTGTATGATGTAGCGAGTATCTCATCCTGTAGATCCTCGATGTTCCTACAAGCCAAACCTCATGAGCCTTTCGGAGCACATCCTCGATCTTACAAACACCGACTTCGACTCGGAACACCTCCACGAGCAAGTTCCCGCTCCAGGTCTGCTAGCTATCTAGTCCGCGTGGAGAACGCACACTAAAGAGAACCATCGTGAGGCTTCTGATTTTGACATAAGTGCGTCTTTCGCTGGGTCTTAGCGAACTTGTCTGGCCCATGATCTAGGCATACCGATCATCCTTTTGCATCGACTCTTCATTAAGTCTTGTCGCGACATAGTCACCTACTGGATCCGCGTTGCTATGTACATAGGCCTCGCAATCATGATGGGTACCGTCTGGCTACGGCTGAGCCCGGTTCAGAAAGACATCCAGTCTTTCGTCAACGCACTATTCTTCGGAAGTGCCTTCTTGAGCTTCATGGCTGTTGCTTATGTGCCTGCTTTCCTTAAGGATAGAGCTGTATTCGCCTAGGAAGGTGCTAATGGTCTGTACGAACCCCTGGCGTTTGTGGTGTCCAACTTTCTTATCGGCCTACTCTTTCTCTTCCTTATCTCTATCCTCTTCGCTAGCGTTACCTATGGGCTAGTCGGCTTTCGCTCCGATGCCATAGCGTTCTTCATCCACGTTATATGGCTCTTTCAAGATCTGGTCGCGGCCGAGAGTCTGATTGTCCTTGTCGCGTCTCTCTTGCCCAACTTCATCGTCGCTCTCACCCTTGTGGCTTTCGTGAATGGTCTCTAGATGGCGGTCGGCGGCTTCCTTATGCCCATAGCACGCCTTAATGTCTTTTGGCGTTACGCCTTCCATTACATCGACTATCAAAGTTATGTTTTTCGGGGTATGATGGTCAACGAATTTACCGGCCGTGTATACCAATGTGCTGGTGACATCGGTTTCGGTTGTTCGTGTGCTTATGAGAGTGATCTTTCTGATCAGTGTAAGATTGATGGCCGGGCTGTGTTAGGGTATTACAGCTATGCCACCAATCGACTGGATACTTCTATTGGCATCATGATTGGTATCGTTGCAGTCTATCGTCTGCTCGGATATCTGGCTCTACGTTTCCGAAAGTAATGCTGGCGTTTCCAGAGTTAGAGAGAGAGATGATCATGTCTTATATCTCAATGGCAGATTAGATCTACAGCAAGGCGGTGAGATGACTTCTAGGAACAAGTAGCTCTAGACAGAACTTCAAATCTGCCAGCTGGAAGCAATAACAGAATGGAGTTCATCACTCGGTTTGGGACATGCATTATAAGCCGTGTAAGAGGTCCTGGGTCGTGAATCTTGTTCTCGTCGCAAGTGCCTCGACCGCTACCTTCGGCTACCCGAATCACTACCAGAGTTAAAGCATCACCATAGGATTAGCTCTGGTGGCTGGAGTGTCGGACGCTACGCTAACTCCAGAACTCACTCTGTGATGCTCGAGAGCTCGCTTCACAAGACAAAATCTTCGGCAGCTGTCGCACGATTCTCTTATGCTGCAGGATTGACGTGCAGAGAATCGTATAGAGCCACACAAGCTGAGGTGCAGGAACAGAGCTGTTCGATATGCCTCTAATCAACCCGATAAGTTACCAAGTAAGCCTAAGGTCAGATTGGCAGTGAGAACCTGTTTGATTACACGGAACAGGCATGTGACCTGTAACCTGTATCCTGATACTTCAAAACAGGTCTAGCCTGGTCAGAGTATTAATAGCAAGTATGAGGGGACTACTTGATATGTCTAAGCAGGAGCTAGCGACACTCGTACGCTGTGGACTTGACACAACCAGTCTTAACCGAACGTAATGTCGTCGTTGGCAACTTGCCCGGTTAAGCTTCTGGAAGCAATCGCCACCCATCTGCCACTTAACGACCTGCTTGCCCTACGCGCCACTTGCCCTTACATAGAAGAAGGCGTGAGAAACCTCATAAGGCGCGAACACTTTACTATACACGAGGTGGCTTTCTCGCAAGACGGTCTTGTTCGTCTTCTTCGTAGAACACTATGCCAACGTTTCCTTAGGGGGTTACGAGCGATGACCATCAAGTTCTACCAGGCACCGCTATTTTATCTGGATCAACTTAATCCATCCATGTTTAAACGTCTCTATCAAGCTTTTCTCGCGTCTCCCTAGCCCGACAGCGGACCGCTGCCGGCGATGATCACACGCAGACTCGAGCAATGGGAACACTACGGAGACTTCTACAAGGCATAACGGCGTATGTTCGAGGAGAGAATCGGCTTCCGTCTCCTAGAAGACATTATGAGCAACATTAGTGACGGCGTCCCAATGGTGAATGTCGAGTATGAGGAGGCCACCGACTTCGCTCCGATCACATGTGGAGATGATCTTTACGATCTCTTCGCAGTCATAGGTGCAATCGATGCCGTAAGGTTTCCGCAGTCCATACATCTTTGCGAGATGGTACAGGAGGCGGGAAGAGCGGTGGGTTTGGTGAGAATCAATTAGCTAGGGTCGGATAATTTATTCGCATGTGGAGGAAGATCGAGCGAACAAGCGAACAAGTAAACAAGCTATTTCAAAGCTAATCGGCAGCTTCTGCTTCCTGAAACCATGAACTTCGAACCCTCACGTTGCTTAGGGGTAGTGTGTAGTGCTCGATGGTATGCTTGAATCAGACCGCACCGGAAAGCTGACCTTGGTAGAGAGGCCATTGGCGCTTCTTTCGAGGGGAAGCGTGGTATTAACTGCTTTACTTCTTGCCTTAGTCATCGTAGTCGTCCGCCAAAAGAGTTCCGGCCACTTATACAGATGCTTCTCACTCGATGATCCCGCTCCGCGTGCATGCTGTCTACTGCCATACAATGCCACGTAGTCTTCGATGAAGCATTTGTTTCTTCAGAGCGGGATGTTTGCAAGAGACAACCACACGAGGTCACGGGGGCAAGGCATAGTGTCTCTCGCCAGACATCCTAGGCCAGAATAGGGGCATTAGCCGCTCCCTAGACTCTCGCTAATGCCTTAGCTTAGAGGATGAAGCGGGGTTGCAGAGACACGGATGATTAGCAGTTTGGTGACTGCGTATGCGAAGATGAGGTTCATATCTGCAATGGTCATAAGCGATACGGGCCATCTGCAAGGCTAAACACATCTAACTCGGTCCGGCATAACAGATTAGTCAGATGCACGTAGTGAAAGCTGTCTCCAATGTATTGGCCCCGTCGTTGCTCCTATCCATAGGACCGGTGACCGGTGCTAACTGATCTGAATTTTGTACAATGACTCTGGCAGGGACTCTGCTACTCTTCTGATCCGGAAGCATCGTAAATGTGTGCGCGCGTAAGCGAACACATCCTCGGTGGCTCTCGGGCTGCTCGATGGCGATACCTTCCCTAAGCCATACGCTACGCTCCTAGGCGTACAGGCGCAGTCTCTCTGTGCCCTTAGAACTATGGCTAATATTTCTTTCTCTTTACGAAATTCTCGATAAATTGGGTTGCACTGTTAAGGACCAGGTAGGCAGAGAACGGCATTGAGGGCGGTAGCGGCAGTGATGGTGGTAGCGATAGCAGCGGCGGTCATAGTGGTAGCGGTAGCGGTAGCGGTGGTGCTAGCTAGAGTTGGCTCCGATGCGAGTCTACGAAGGGGTGTGCGCGGCTACGGTGTGAGACTGGGAAAGCGTTGGTGTTTAGGACAGCGGACGGAGTTGGTTAGCGCGCGGAGGACGCTGCTAGCGCATGGGACCACAGCAACAAAAGATACAAAGACGGGGATTCAAAGTGCTTAGCAAGCAAGTTGGATGAAGAGACGCGCACGTCGAGAGCTGCAGTAAGGACGTTGCAGAGGCTTAAGCAACGAGAGAGACATATGCAGTATCTTGGATGATGTTGGTCAAAGCATTGTTTGCCGTCCCGCTTGCGTACGCTAAGGAAACGCGGCTCTGTTTGACATCTGCATCTGTGGTCGACTCGTAGAGTGCTGCCGCCTGGGCGGGCGTCTGCGCGTTCCCATTAGTTGGCTTTCCTGTCTTGTCGCCTCAGCAGATGGAAGCTTACACACGTGCAACAAATGCATGCCTGGCTTCCTTAGCTAATCTTTCCCTCGACTTCTCTAGCCTCTACGATGCTCGAAAAGCTCTTCTTAGCCTGGTTGTCCACGGTCCTCATCGAGTTAATCGAATTGTCGACCTGCGGACTAAGTATAGCTCTGGAGTTCTGCGAGTTAGTCGTGTCTCCAGGTACATGTGCTCCTGTGACTTCATCTTGCGGTTGCAACACCAAAATGTGACAACCTTGGTTCGAGGACCTGAATAGGATGTATTTCCTGCTCACTACAAAATGCTTACAAGTGAATACCGCTCGAATACAACTTGATCGTCGCAGGTTTGCGGCGTCCCTAATTCTAAGCAGAGGAGGAAGTTTACGATCAGGGTCGCCCGCGCGACGGACCTAGAAGTCGGATCCATTCAATCCAATAATCCATCTAACCCGGTCACCGCGCTTGCACGAAATACTACTTGACGGGTCAGCCAATAACGACAATGTGCTTGCACCACGAGCAACTAGGAAATGCTAATGATGCTTGTATGTGTATCGAGTCCGCGTGGCACACTAGGCACCTGCCGATGCATCATATCTAAAGCAGTCCGTGCCCACATTGTTGCTTAATTAGTTGATTCGTTTTCCCGCATTGCGGAGATCTGCTACTGTTAGGCGGCTCGGATGTGCACTACTTACGTCTCCTGAACTAACCTACCTGATCTAATGTCGCTTGGATGGGTTGCCTTGCATTTACTCATTCGCTTAGGGCGATTGATGGAGAGATCCCGGCAGACTGGTAAATACCTATTCAATTAAAGCAAAGCAAGGTCTCGTACCCTCATAGCACGCTAATCCTCCGTAAGCCTTTCCAGAAGTCTGAGCGACGATCAACGCAAACGACCAGGCGGTGCCTGCATGCAGAGAGACCTCTACTTTCCTTAGTACCGCTACTTACAGGTCTGCCTAGCTCTGTGTATTTTATCTCTAGTTTCCTAGTGGATAACTCACCTCTCGTATAACCAAGCCCTTACTTACACTGCTTGTCAGGCTCATGCAGACGCGATGCGCTGCTAGATATGTCCATGTTTCGACGAGACACAAACGCGCCTGACTGCTAACCGCATGTTAGACAGACAGCCTGTCATTCCTGCGCCGGGTTGATTGCTCGTCTACACCACGTGTACGCGCCGCACTTCGACTGCACATAGCCGCGCTACAATGCACGATCCGGCCTTAACGGCTGACTCACATAGAGTGATGATCGGTCACTAATGAGATAGAGCTTATCAATCAATTGCAGAGTGAGCTAGAAGCTGGCGGGGTTTCGCGCCCTCGGCCTTGCGTTCGTCGACCGACCTGCGCCTCTGGTTCACGTCCTTCAAAGCCTCGACAGTAGTGGCGGCGGCCACGAGAGCGGGAAGTCGCGCCGACCGGGTGGGGTGATTGCTCAAAACCAATTACGCTAACGATCCTAGCCATCTTGAACTTTTCGAGATTTGTGCATATTTCCACATAACTGACGGGCGAGAGTATTGCTCCCTAGCAGAACGGGACACGCTTGCATACGAAGAATGATCGGTGTCAAGTTATGGACACTGGACAGTGAGTTTGCTTCCTTGTTTGACACTGCAATTTGATCGCATGCTTGCCAACCAAAAGTCCCTGACGTCTTTCAGCCGACCCTAGCGCAACGGCCGTAAGCACGTACTCATCCCCGCACTCTGGCAGGGCTCATTTCGTGCCTCTGTCAACCATGTGAGCACCGTCTCACGGTTTCTCATGGCGATCTTGCTACACTGTGTCGAGTGCATGGCCCAGTCACAGCTGGTCACAGCTCTTGTCATGTTCGATATGACCAGCGCAAGGACCTGAAGCGACAGTCGACAGCCAGCGGGGTGAGTCCCAGCAACAGGGTCACGCAAGCCCGGCAATGAGCTGGAACCTAGAGTTGGAGATTGTCAGGCTGGTAAACCCTCCTCCCTTGTGGCTGATCCGAAGACTTTCGATGAAGCTGCTCTTCGTTACTATGCCCCTCCGTTCAACCCTAATGCTTTGTCGTTCTCTTTCACTGTCCTCCTACGTGTCCTCTTACCCATTTTGCAAAGATTCTTTGCTCATCACTCCCCATTGCGGGTAACTGCGGTCACTGTAGTGTTGTCCTGCCTGATACAAGGGGGTCGATTCAGGACAAACTGCTGTGTCGATCGTTCATGCCTTCTCGGAGAACGTTTATGACTCTTTCTAGTCCTGATGCTGTATGATTAAGACACGCTAACGATCCGACACCCACTAAGTAGTCAGGTTCAACCATAACGTCGGGACGAAGGTGGTGTCCAATGCTAATGATTGGCAGTAGAGCACGCATTCAAGTCTTATTAAGGTCCGTGAGTCGTGCTAGTATATTGCGTGCTAGGCATCGAGGCCCGTATACGCTTAGTCGGCGCGGACTTAGAACAATGGACCAATGGTAGTTCGAACACGATGAGACAATAACAGATCGCTATGCCGTTAGTGTGCATACGCTGTTATATCAGCTTGCCTTCATGTCTGCGCCACGGGACATAAGAGATAGCCTGGAAGTGTTCCCTAGTGTGTTGGCTATATAAAGCCACAGACGCCGGGGGATGACTCTGCTGGCTGCAGAATCATTCACCGCACCACTATCTTCAAGTTAAATTACCAAGTCGAGACCGCAAAGATTGTTGGTACTTGTACGTGACTCCTCTGTCGTCGTTCGCTTAACACTTCTTCTAATGCCTAGCTTGCTAACCACGAGACAGTCAACCTTGCGGACCTTTAATCCTACGACCATAGACGCTCCTAGGCCGACAATCGCTCTCAATCGATGGTCTAGGCCAATGCTTAGCCCACGTACTCACAATACCCATTATCGGCTTCTTATCCTATACATGATTAGTATAGCTGCTTCTCCGGCATATATCCACAGCCTAGCCTTTAGGAGACCCTCATCAACCAGCTACATCAGCTGCCTCTGTATCCTTAGCAAACAAGCATGCAAGACGGCTTGACAGGACTGGTCCTCGGCACAGACTTTGGGATAGAGCCTAGGACCGACGTCCTCTCTTCACCAACGATGCTAGGGGTTTCCAGCCAAGTAGAAGGTCAAGCTCTAGCTTCGAGCGACTGGGCCGGATCATCTGGCAGTCCTTAGCAGCTTTAGTTAATGCCTGCGGGAAGTACAAGGACCGTATTATCAGCGGGCACGGGGACCGCCGAGGATCTTATCTCCTACGTTTGCGACACCTTGTGGCAACCGAAAGGATGTGGTGGCCGGACTTTGCCCACTTCGAGATTCGAGATTAAGCCCGGCTCGATAGATGTTAGTGTCCGGTTCGTGGTCGAGAGTTCTCAGAGTTAGGGTGCAAATCAGGAGACGGATCAAGTGTTTCAGTCCGAGGAACTCGCCTAGCAGCCGCTAAAACAAGTTCTAAAAATCTTGTCGTCGCGCGCCTCACACATTCCGGGAGAACATGAGATCTGTATCTCCAGCAATGCAACATCCACAAGGATTCAGACTAAACACCATGGCCTCGACTGATTCTTAGAGACTTGCGTGGTTAAGACAAAAGCCTTAGACAGGTTTCACTACACGGATGGATATACGTAATTCAAAATCAAGTTCTACCCGTCTTTGCCCATTCAGTGATGTCCAGGGGAGGGTGTCAGAGTATAGACGCTTCATCTGGAGCATGTCCTGAAGTCGAAAAGCAATTTAGCCACGTGTTGTAGCGGCACGGAGCCGCGTGCTAAAAAAAAAAAAAAAATCGCTCAAACATTCTACAGGATCTGCGTACCTAGCTGTTGTGTCGAACCGATCGTCCTTGCCATAGTTTACTATCTCCGTGCTCAGATCATGGTCAGCGCGCGGCAATTTCAGCCGCAGGTGACACTAAGCTATACTTGGAGTGCTGGCGTTTTATTACACAGGCTGTCCTCCAGGGTCGTGCGAGTTTGATGCAATCAACAATGATTGTCATCCGTGTCATTGGTAATGAGATATGTTTGGAACAAGCGAGTGAGATTGGAGATGAGGAGTACAGCAATTACGAAAGACGAAGGGCTTAGTATCATATCTGTGTAGAGTTATGCTGAACAAGCAGAAGTATGTAGGTCGTGTCACAGGATCAGGAAGGTCGATGATGAAAATTGACAGGTAACAACGAACCGCACTACTTCGTTCTCGAAGTGTTCTCTCGTTAAATGCGCGTGCGCTTTCAACACGTCTGTCGAGGATCTCGACTCCTCACGCATCCGTTCAATATCGTCTCCGACTATGTTTGACAGTATCGTTAGTTATGTAAAGAATACTCGAGACGTTGCCTATCACGTACTTCTAGCAGATAACTTTCCAATCCTATCCTCCTGCTCGGCACCATCCTAACGAGCAGATCTCTGGCGTAGGCCACTGCTGTCATCGCTACATAGCCCTACCACTGCTTGTTCTTATGCAAGTCCGAGCAGCCGCTAATGCCCCGCACGACTAGGCATGGGAAGTGGTTCGTCAGCCCAGCGGCTTCCATCTCGAAGCACATCACGCCCATTTCCATCGCTAGGGTGTCCCTGACCATTACGTCTTTCATCAAGCTGCTACCAGAAGCGACTATGCCGTGGTGGATCGCTAGGCTGTCCTCTCTCGCGCTTCTCTTGCGGCGTCCCACCATTTGTGCCGGTTGCGCACCACACCGATCCTCACATATCTCTCCACAAGGGACAGAGTGGGCCACGTCGGATCTATAGAGGCGGTCTTTGTCTTCACCCGGATGACCGAACTCCTCGCTCAGTCTAGGGTTGTCGTCGAGAATCGCTCTAATGGTCTCCTCGATCTTGTGACCTTTCCTCTTGTATTGCGTCTTCAGACCGCTGACTGTCGTGCGGACAAGCGTCGAAGGCTGGTTCAGAAAGCCTATATGCTGGAACCCCTGACCTTGGATCAACTTGCCGTAGTCGTACTGGAAGACTCCGCCAGTGCCGTCTTATGGAGACCTCACAACGACGTCACCAAGTCGGATGTCGTGCTTCGCCGTTAGGGCGCCGCCTCTAATGCCAACCATCATGCCGACTCTGATGTTAGGGAAGCTGTTAAGCATGTCCTTGATCACGCCCGTGGCGGAGGTCTGGCCGTACCCGCCATCTGGCATCACTGCGATGACAACATTAAGACCGGACATCTCGCTAAGGGTGTAGTCGTTGCTGTCATTAGCAGAGAGATGATCCGATCGGCCCTTATGCTCTTTGTCGAGGAACAAACATGCCGCAATACTCTCGATAGAAAGAGCACAAATCCAACCCACAGTGTACTGCTTTGGATCTGGCATGTTTGTGGTCGAGTTCCGCTTCCCAATACTATCTGCAAGGATCGACCAAAAAGGAACCTCGAGCGGGCCTTCCCCCAGTTCATTGGGTTTAGAGAGTACTTGTTTGCAGGTCTGCGCAGCCACAGCGATAGCTAAGCTGCCTGCAGACGCCCAATTATGCCGGCCAACGTGTCTGAGTGGCGAGGCGGCAGGGTTACGAGGGGCCTACATTTCGATCGACGAACGCCTCTTATGTGGCCTTGCGCCCTGCACCCTTGAGTCCTGAGAGTAAAGCGATAGAAAGAAGGACATTCTTGGCCAGAACGCAGCAGGAGTAACGGCACAGGAACGACTGTCACTAGACGCAGAGTTGAGCCAGAATCACCGCCACTCGGCGACATCTTCGTGGCGGCGCGTCTTTACGCCTGAGGTAGTTCGGGAATCTGGTTGGAGTATTGAAAGCACCAAGCTGCAAAATAGCTTGCACTCTCCTCTCGACTAGCGTGGCCTCTCTCCCTCCTGCTGAGACTTACCGCTGATCTAGAGTAACAAGGCTTCTGTCTCTTTTACATGAGACAGGTAAATTAGCGAAGCTCTAGGCAGCGTGAGTAAATGCATGACCATTTGTCAATGTCGCCAGTCAAGAAGAGTTCGAGAAGAGAGACGGAGTCATTCGTGGGGACAAGCAGGAAAGAAACGTCACTTGACTTGCGTCGATGAGGCGTGGACAGACGCTGGCCAAAGCGCCGTGGCAGGCTGGCAGCCTATGTCCCGAGGCCCAAGGGTCCATCCGTGCATGATCGCGACTCGAACGATGTGCGTGAAGTGATTCATAGCCGCCTTGCCTGTGTCGACTCCGGTAGGCAAGTTGGCGCCTAGCGGCGACGCAACTACGGTGACGGGAAATGTGAGGTCGCGGCCTTCATGTCATAGCCTTCATGTACCTGGCTGTACGAGAAGTATCTTTCGTAGCCAAATTCGGGATGTCACGAGATTTGGGCGAAGATGTGATGATGTAATACATATTTGCGAAAGTGAGAGTCTGCACACCAACTCATGGTACTTTACTAAGGATCCCAGGATTCAGAGGTACTAATCTGTTCGTATTCCGTAGTCGTTTAATCCGACATTGAGTAAGATAAATAGGAACAAGACGGTTTTTGAAAGCGAGATGCTGCTCACGGCTCGAACAACGGAGATCATCTAGCCTGACTTTTGGGACCCAATCGCGTCGTTCAATTGATTTTCGTCATCTGATGTTCCACCATAACCCCCTCGGTGAGCTCGTCGTCACCGTTCTCCGACGAGATTGAGCTTGTCTTGTCGTCAAGCTAGGGCGATATCAGCGAAGCTCATCTCGTTAGCAGCAGAGGAAATACCTTTTTGACGCCGAAGCCAATTGCAACATAGGCGAAACACACGACAACCATGGCGCTTGAGCCCTTCTTCCAATAAGGGACATCAGTGGCAGGGTACATGACGATACCCCACCAAGTGTACAGAAGTTGGCCACTCATAGACATGGTGTACAAAATCACCGATCGAGCAGCATCATCTCCCATCCTCTGGAGTATCGAATTCGCCCAACCGTACATGACGGGGTTGACGATGAACGAAGTTCCACTAAGGTAATGTGCAGCAAAAACTCCGCCATCAGAGAGGCGGGGCTGCAAGAGCAGAATGGCTGTGACGAGCTGGATTGCAGCAGCAAAGACGACCATGGGGATTCTTTGCCCGGTTCTGTCGATGAAAATACCAGCACCAATCTGGGACACGATTGCGACTGATTGGATGCCAAGAGGGTACGTGGTGATGGCGGTTAGGCTGAATCTCTTCTTGTTGTATTTCATCCAGAGTAAGAACATGCCTTGGAAAGCAAAGGCCTCAAGCATGCCTGAGATGACAGACAAAGAAGCTAGGAGATAGATGTGTGGCGTTTTGAGCACTCTGTCGATAAGGGTTTTCCAGTGGATACTGTGGCTGTTCTCGCTCTTAGGACCAACTCTGTCGTGAGCGATTTGAATCTCTTCCTTAGAGAGGTAAGATGCTGTAGTGCTTTCAGGCAAATCCGGAAAGAAGAAAAAACCGAAGATGCCGAAAGGAATGCCCATTAAGCCATTGATGATGAAGACCCATTGATATCCCGTGAGGCCAGCATTACCATGGAGAGACTTGTTCATAGCGGTCATCATGAGGCCAGAGAACAGACTGCCAATCTGTCCGACGGCGGTGAAGATTGCAGCTCGCTTAGAGAGTTCGGAGGGAGTGTACCACGAGCCAAAGACATACATACTCCCTCCATAAACACTTGCCTCAAGGAACCCTTGGAAGAAGCGGGTCGTACACAAGGCCTCGAAGCTCTTACATGCGGCAAGACACATCGTGACACCCGACCACAAAATCAACATCATAGGGAGCCAGATACGAGGTGCGACTTTCTGAATGGTCAGGGCATGGGGAATGTGAGCAACAACACTGCCTGCCGTGAACATTGACAGCAGAATACTGTACTCGTTGGCGACAAGACCCAGGTCTTCACGGAGCCCTGAGACGTATGCATTGGGAAACGATTGGCGGTCGAGGTAGTTGAAGAAGTAGCAGGCGCAGCAGTACGTCTAGGTGGGCATCAGAAATTGGTGTAATGCAATGGTTCCCGGCTCAGTATACCATAAGGAAGAAGTCTGAACAGCGGTTAGGGGTAGTAACACATGATATAGGACACAAGACACGAACCGAGTTTCCTCACAAGCTTCTTCTCTGCCTGGGTTCGTTTCGGACGGTGTGCATCTTTTGTTGCTCAAGGTTAACAAGGTCTGATCTGACATGAACCAAGCAGAACAACTTACTGCTAAGAAAGCCCATCTTCGCAGACGTCTCAAGGATGAGAGAGTTATTGGAAGAAAGATATCAGATCAGATTGAGATGATCAGATTGATAAGGGGAGCACATCTGGGTTTTTGTGCAGCGGGCCCGAGGATCAAACTTTTCAATGGAAAGCGAGTCAACGACCGGACTGCTGGGCATCTCACAGCTTTTTGCAAAATCGCCTGTTCACCAGCTCGCTCTGGGTTTGGCTTCACGAGATACAGTCTTGGCTGTCAGTCAACATGAGCATGTGGCGTCAAGGCGTTACCAAACAGCCGACGGGATTAGCATCGTGGAAGTCTGCATCGAAGAGCCTTGGGTCAGATCGATAGCGAATGATAGTGCATGATCAAGCTGGTCACCAGGGCTCAATAAATGATGACAGAGCTGTCGAACCTCCATGTTGTTCTTCCACAGCGACATGTAGGGATGATCCCGATTCATGGTCGTGGCGCCAGGGATTGTATGCGATGACCTTGGCACGGGCAAAAGCGGACGAGTTCCCGCAGCTGAGGATCGCACGGACACTTCGACTAAAAACATCTGGGAAGACGTTGCAGCGATGAATGATGATCTAGACGCATCAGACAGGCGCGCGTGCAGGTCGTGTCCATCTGGAGCGAAGCTGATGCCAGGAGATTGAATGGACGGTGTCATCTGCGAAGACATGCTGAGAATGTTGAGAGAGCTCACCATGCCAGATCTCTCAGCCAATGGAGTCTGATCCGGATCACGGTACAAGTACAACAAGCATGTCTGACTGAAGGATGTGAAACAAAATTGATTCACTACTAAACACGTTGCAAGGAATTATGCGTCTCAGGCTCCCCCACAGTAGTGAATTCCAGAATCAATAACGCGATACAACCCAACAGCATCACCACACCCGCAAGACGACTGAATCTCGCTCCAAACCAGACGACTACGGTCATAAAGAAGGACAAATCCAAGAGTACAGCCATCTCAACAATGATTGCAGTACCTTAGTCGGACTTCCCAGCTGTATTGACCCACAGGATAGTCAAGCACAAAGTGAGCAAGAAAATGTTGCTTCCAACAGTATTCACAACCAAGATACCAGACCCATTGCGAGTCTCACTCATGACAGCGATGAACTCCTCTGGTGGTGTTATCACGATGGAGGGAAATGCGACGCCGAAGAGGACTTCCGAGATGCTGCTTCCTTCGGCGATCGATGAGGATGCACTGGGTAAGACGATGCTGCTCAAGGAAATCGCCAAGAATCCTAGTAGCAGGATTGCTACGTGGTATGCTATGCCGTGCTTGTGTCTCGATGTAGGGAGAGCTCCACCGGCTGCTGAAAGAGGTGTTGTCGAGTTGATTTGACTGCTCTCGACATCATCGTGGACGCGACGCTCATCGCTTTCGAGACAGCCAATTCGATCTCCGCAAGAATCCTGCCGGTTACATAAGGTTCGAGGCTTGGTAATCACAAGCCTTTGTGGGAGCCAGTCGCAGCAGAATTGATTGATCGCTGATTGAGAGAAAAGGTGACCCGCGCCGTCGACAGCAAGCCGATATTTTGCATGGATGTTAGCGTCGTTAAGCATTGAGCTAAGGCACAGGAGCGCCGCAGCACCATGCTGCAGTCTCACAGATACAGGGGTGTATTGACTATCGAGTGAGCGCCGGCATCCCTCCCGAATGTTGCAGATGAGAACATCGTCCAATTGAGGTGTTTCACTTCATGGACATGAACGCGTATATACCTGAGCAATCCCGTTCTAGTACACTGTCTCATTACTTCTCAGCGTATCTTGCCTCTTCTCTTGCTCATCAAGCACCAGGCAAGAGTGTACTATGTATCAGCCTATGAAAGTTCCTTCGTGTTATACAACATGGTATGCGAAAACGGGAAGATGATCTTGAAACAGCATAAGCGTGCTTGCTGATCCGAGCTTCAGAATGAGCAACAAAATCTGGAAAGGGATGTTGTTGATACCCATCAAACCTCCTAAATCGCAACAGACTCTGCAACCGCCACTCCAGCAAAGACTTTCAACAACACTGCTGACAGAACATGTCACAAGCTTGACAGTTCTACTTGACTCCACAAACCGACCAGAGCATGAGGTGTACGGGTTGCTCATCGACTACTTCTGTCTTCACCGTACCAGATGTTGGATGATTTGGGTGGTTCGAGCATCGAACTTGCCACTCGAGACACCTTTGTGGATTCCTTGTCGAAGTGAAAGCCGTTCTGCCTGATTGGTGGCCGAGGAAACACGCAAGTGCTTGCGTATTGTTGAGTATGAAGCGAGGCGCAATGAAATAGCCCCGGCTCAATCGTCTCATATACGCAGAAGATATCGAGGTACACTACGACTGTAGAGACACATGCACGGGATGTAAAAATCTACTAGAAGAAGAAAGGAAGAAAGTGTATTGGCAGAGCGACATCTGATAATATTAAATAACATATACGACTACATGCTCGAGGACTGGGGCAGAGACATGGACAATACTGTGCCGACCCAATGTTGTCAAAGTTCTTGCCATCCCTCAGGTCAAGCTACCACAAGCGACTCGCTAACGATGGACTTATTGTGAAAAATGTTTGAATCGTTCGAGAGCTTTGAGGACACCATCTTTTCTCTAGCATCATCACTTTTTGAGATTGTTTCTGCTCGACCACTAACCACAGCAACCGGAGAAGTCGTCTGGTTTGGTAGCTAATCATCGTCGTCGCCGTCATCACCTCTGCCACTGTTCTTGTTGGCGACCACCTTGAGACGCTTTTGCTCTTCCGTACTACCTACGTCCCATGATAACTAAAGTAGTGGTTTCTAAGGTTGATCACAAACACAAGGCAAGATCATTCATGTGTTTGCTTTCGCATGAGATTCGCCAACGCGCGCGGTCTAATGTGACGAATGGCGTGTTTCAGTCACCGCTGTGAACTCTGAACCGAGTGATTGAGACCACGAGACCGCTTAGGAACGAGGACCGAGATATCGTTGGAAATTCCAAGCCTGCCAATGAGGCAGCCCAGCACTGATGGCTTCAGCATCTTCGAGCTTGCGGATCTAACCCACAAGAGATGCTTATCTCGAAGAAGCCCACAACCGCTTAATGTATCAATGTGCGAGTGGATGATTGATTACGCATAACTCTGTCAGCTGTATCTTGGTGATCTCAGCAGTAACTCTCAACTCCGTAAGGGCTCTCCATATGCCTCTTAGTACTGCGACAAATGAATCCTTGTTTGCCCTCTGAGACAAACACTTTCGTCGTCAGTCACAACTCGGCAAGGAACGTGATGCTGTTGCTTACGTTGAACAAATGCATGTACGTATCTAGACTCTGCGTGGCGGCCAAGACGGCTCCATAAACTCGGTCAGACAAACAAGCCATCCCTAGTACGTTTGCTTGATGGGTTGATTGACTTCTGAGCTCTTGCTGACCTGAGGACTCGAAGCTAGCGAAGTTTACCTTGACGGAGTTCTCTGCCAGTTTGTCCACGTTGCTTGGAATAGAAACTCAAAAGTGTCGTCCAACCTCTTCCAGCTTCTCTAGATCTTCTCAATGAGTAGAAGCTCAAGTCGGATTGAGAAAAGTTCAACCAATAATTTGCTCTTCGATCCAGCATGATCGGTTCGCTGCTATGTGCATGGCGGTTTTTATCACTCCTCGCAAGGATCGTTCATCCAAGAGCCTCATGTGAGTAGGGTTCACCGATCAGCGGCATGTTGGTAGGTATTGGTTCGACGCCTCATCACATGGTCATCATGGTTGAGCTGAGAATCAAAAATGAGCTGGAGATTGTGGAATACAAGAAGTTCCTTTGGGATTTCTGTGCCGCATGACCGTTACCCTTGATTCAAGTGCGAGAACTGACTTTTCGGATACGACATTGTCCATGGTAGTCCAGATACCAACCTCCAAAGATCTGGCAAGGTGGTGCAGGCATACTTTCTGGAAAGGGTCGAACTATGCAGTTGCAATGATGCACAACGGACTGCGATTGTAGATTTTCATCTATATAGCCTTTGACCATTGTGATATCGAGTGGTTACATGCAAGCGCGGGGAAATGGCAACACGAGTTGAGCCTAACTATCTTCATGCTTCCAGTCGCTCTAGCTCAGCTACATTGAACGTCGTGCAAGTCAGTTTCCCAGACCAGTGGCCCAGCGCGACAGCGCCCTCGGAAACCGTGGAGCAGCTCGGCCGGTAGTCTGGCGGGAGCCAGAGTATCTTCCTTGACTTCCACATCACCCATTCGTCGCTTATATATAGCGGACTCGACGTCGGACTAGAGGTCATGGTTCCGGTTGTCGCGGCTGTAGTGATGTCGTGAAAGCCGAGGTCTAATCGGAAAAAAGTAGGAGTAGAAAAAGTAAGCCTTCGAATGCCGAAGCCGAGATGGAGACTCTGAAACCATGGTCCGCTGGTCGATGTCCCAAGCTTTGATGGTCATATCCCACGATGCAGAGGCCACCAGCTTGCTGTCGGGCGAGAATACTACGGCAACCTCAAGATAGAGGTGGAGATAGACAGATCTGGCAGAAGTTTTGTAGCGTGCAGCGTTTGTACGAGCGCTAGACTCACTGCGTTGGCAAGGGGACTTACACAGTGTATCGTGAGACCTGTCAGATCTCCTTGATCATGTGATGACTGGGGCAAACATGCGTGTCGGGAGTGACAATCCGAAAGCCAGGAAGTGTGATAGACGACGACGATGGCGACGACGGGGATATTATGTATCTGATTTGCCGAAGTTTGCTTCCGTCTTCAGAAATATCAAGAGGATCCAATGTGCACGCATTATCCTCGTAGATCAATTTGTGCGAAGTTCAACTTAGGTAGAGAATTTTTGCTTCTGCCGAGTATGTAGCAGTAGCGGCGATGATGGCTGTTCAGATCCTTGAATTTCCTGCCTTATTCTAGATCACCGGGTAAACTCAATTGAGTAAAGTAAGCAATTCGATCGTAGAATTGCCAAGGCTAGGATAGTTGTACTAGGAGTAGTCCGGTATAGCAGAATCTAGTTGGTCTGATTGGAATTCTGCTATAAACAATCAAAATCTCAATCGTTAGTCTTACACGATGGAGAAGCTTCTCTCTTCGCTAGCCGGTCTCGACTCGATGCTAGCTTCGTTGATCTTGACGATTGAACCATCTTTGGCAACGATACGGTTCAATTCAACGTCACTCCCGGTATCATCAGGAAGAGCGCCAGATATCTTTCTCCGAGCTCTTGCGCTATAATTACTACTATAGCCATTGGTCGTACGTGTTCCAGTTCCTGAGCGCGATTTGTTAGAGGACATGTTCCGTCGTCTAAGAAGCGATTTGAGAGCTGTGAGTGAGACGACTATGATTGCAACAGTCATCTGTATCATAGACCAGATGTAGACTGCATTCCAACTCTTTCCGACTTCAGTAGAGATGAAACGACCAAGACTGACGGCTATGGTGATAGCTCCGAGGGCGAAGGTTAGGAGAAGCCCGTAAAACTGTGCTCGTCTGAGTTGTAGATGGCGAAGGAGCGGGAAAGGGAGAGCGAAAACTGGAGGGTTGGACTTCAACAACTGTGCAAGAGTCGTAGGATAGTCGTATAGGGTGGGGACAACTCACTCAAAACATCGGTGGTGAATTCCATTGCCCAGTCGGCCTGGAAGACACTAAGTGATTCGAAAGCTGAGCACGCACCTTCCTTCAACGACCTGTAGAAAGAAATTATGATTAGTCAGACCCAGACATATCTATCACACTTCGTTGCGATGCTGTCGAGATGATGTTGACGAAAGACAGTTGAAGAAGCCTATGAACATATTGATGTCCCGCATACACGAGCTCGGAACACAACGCTAATTGGGATCCGGAGACTGTTTATTCCTCAGCGAGGTGCATCGGCGCCTTGCCACACGTCATTCAAGAAAACAGACCCCTTAGAGCAGTAGATGAACCTGCCTCTACCTCTTGTTCATAGCAAAGAAGTAGTCTTGAGATATGGAACAGATGGTGATGCCGGCGAGAGAATTGGCTCTGAAATACTTGGAGCGCGACTCCTGCTCTGAGAGCGCGTACGAGGGTCAGCGCTAGCTGCTACTTCGAGCAACGCTTCAGCAGCATTGGAATGGTCTGTTCTGGAGTGTAGGACAAGGTAATTCACCGTGTTTGTATGGGTATCGTTGAGCTCGTAGTGATGAAATTAGCTACTCACAGAATCAATCTACTTCGAAGTTGTGGGGGTGGCAAATTATCACAACATTTGAATATGAGAGTATCAGGAAGCGGACGATCACCAGCCGTGCGGGGCTTCTTTTTAGTCGTTGAGCTCTTTGTCGACTGTTAGACAGCTGCGTCTCAACAACCACTTTCAAGGCAGTCTTCCCCCCGCCATTGAAGAGAAGATCCAGATATATCATGAGGCCTTCGCCTTTGGTTCTCGATGACATTGTGAAGAGTCTTGCTCACAAAGGTGAGCAGGTCCCGTTGGTCGGGTATCCAAAGGACGACTCCGTGATGGATTTCGAGCTGTATACTGCAAGACACCTGAACTTGCTTATCGAGCGAGCTGCAAAGTATTACCAACGGCTTCTGCCCATTGAAGCTGTGCGTCCTGACTACTCCGAGCCATTTTGATTGAAGACTACCTAACTCGATTAGACCAGTGAACCTATTGTCGCTCTCGTAGGGCCATCTGACCTGGACTACCTCATCGCCAAATTCGCTCTGAGCAGAATCGGCTTCGGGATACTTTTGTTGTCGACCAGACTCACACCAGAAGCTTGCCTCAAGCTAATGAAAGAGAATGATTGTAGGACGGTCATTCAGGCCCCCTCGAGACTTGCATTAAATCTAGGAGACAGGGCGCATGACCTCGACAGCTCTGTCTCTGTATACAAAATCGCTACCCGAGACATCTATCGCGATGCAAGCTGGGATTCTCAGGTTTTGGATTGGAGCGAACTCGATGCAGAGAGTGCGTCCCAGCGCACTGCCATCGTATACCATTCATCCGGCTCGACAGGTTTACCCAAATCAATCGCCACAACTCATTGTAAACTACTGGCCCCTATCCCAACTGGGAACGGTACAACGGTCTTGACTTCGAGTCCTCTTTGTCACGCATTTGCCAGCAAGCTGACGATTAATTGCATGATGGTTGAGAAATGCATGTACCTAACTAATGCAAACATGCCGCTAACAGCTCAAACCCTGGCTGAGATCTGTCGTGTTGTGCAGCCACAAGTTTTCTTGACTGTACCATACGTTTTGAAGCTCATGGCGGAAACCGATGACGGTGTGTCTGAGCTCATCAAATGCAGGTCTGTCGTTTCCTCTGGAAGCCAGCTCTCAGATGAATTAGGCGACAAACTGGTGGAAGCAGGAGTCAACATTGAAGTCCTGTTTGCAGGGTAAGCAACCTTCTACTAGGTTAATTATACCAGAGTATCTGACAGACACTTCTCAGTACCGAGCCCGGAATGGTCGGCTCATCCATCAATCGGCCTTCGGACGACAACGCATGGAATTACTTTCGCCTCGTACCTGCCGTGCAGCAAAACGTGCAGTACAAACCTCTGGGCAACAACACTTTCGAGCTCGTCTATCTCTCAACCTTACCTACGTTGAACATGTTCAACTCGGACGATCCACCAGGATCCTTTCACTCGAGCGACATTGTCACACCGCACCCTACCATCCCCAACGCATGGAAGTACGTCGGTCGCATTGACGACCGTATTTCCCTTTCTACAGGTGAAAAAGTGTTGCCTTTGCCTATGGAAGGTCGAGTACGCCAAGAGGCCTTTGTGAGGGAGGCTGTCGTCTTTGGTATCGATAGATCTGTTCCCGGTCTTCTGGTGTTCAAGGCTGACGCGGCTCGGGAAATGTCTGATGAACAGTTCATCTCGGCCATTTGGTCTGCAATAAAAGCTGCTAACGCTAAAACTGAGGCCTTTGGTCGCATTGGTCGTGAAATGGTTGTTTGTTTACCTGTGGATGCTCAAGTCCCTATGGCCGATAAAGAGTCCATCATCAGGTCAAAAGTGTACAACATGTATGAGCAGCAGATCCAGGGGGCGTACCATAAGTTGGAGTATGGCTCGCAAGGTGGACTACAGTTAAGCTTGCCTGAGCTTGAGCGGTTCATTCTGAAACTCGTCCACGAACAGATCTCTGTCAACATCAGCGACGCTGAAACCGAGTTCCATCAGGCAGGCATGGACAGCTTGCAAGCCATTCGTTTGCGGGGCCTGATCCTTAGGAAGGTAGCAGTCAAAGCTGGCAAGAAGTTATCTCAAAACGTCGTCTTCGAAAGCGGCAATGTGAAGCGTCTAGCAGTAAAGATCCACTGTTCAGGCAACAATGAACAGGAAGATGAAGCTGAAGACGGGATCTCGTTGATGCGGAACCTGATTTCAGAATTCTCAACCTTTTCGCCCCATACACCGGGCAGTCGGCACATGTCGTCAGCCTCTGTGGTATTGCTCACGGGTGCCACTGGATCTTTGGGAGCACACTTGCTCTCTGAGCTACTCTCCTCGACCACGGTCTCTGAAGTCTTCTGCATCGTCCGAGGCAGTGAGCCACTCCTACGTCTACACCACGCCCTCAAATCAAGGAGCCTGCCGCAAAATCGACTAAGACACAAGGTTAAGGTGATAAACAGCAATATCTCTCTGTCCAACCTAGACATGGATGACGCCATTGTGAGCGTCTTAAAACACAAGCTCACACACGTAATACACGCGGCCTGGCCCGTGAATTTCCAACTCGGCCTCCGTGCCTTCAAACCCCAACTCCAGATCCTGCATTCCCTGCTCCAACTCTGCTTGTCCGTCACCAGCTCACAGCCAGCGAAATTCATCTTCTGCTCGTCCATTTCCGTTGCTCTTGCAACCGCTCCACCTGCATGTATCCCAGAAACCGCTATGGTGGATATCAAGCAGGCGCAAGCGACAGGCTACGCCAGATCCAAGCTCGTCTCTGAACGCATTCTGGAAGTCGCAATGGCGAGTGCGGGTGCGCGTGTCCAGGTCTTGAGGATTGGGCAGGTGGTGGGAGATACTCGGCATGGACTCTGGAATGATAGTGAAGCTTGGCCGTTGGTTATACGCAGCGCATTGACGTTGAAGACACTACCTGCTTTTGACATGGTATGTTTGTTTGCTTGATTCCTTACAGTGTTCATGTTTGCTGATGTGGTTGCTCTAGATGTGCTCGTGGTTACCTGTTGACGTGCTCGCAAAAACTATTCTGGAGGTCGGTGTTGAGCAGGACTGCAATAGGGAGAATTCATTTCTCAACATTGAAAATCCGTGCAGGTTTCATTGGACCAGGGATCTGCTTGCGGAACTCAAGAAAAAGGGTCTCGAGTTTAAGACTGAGGATTCGCAGATCTGGTTGAGGAGACTTACAGAGTACCAAAACAAGACTCCGGACGAGAGTGCTGTACAGCAAAATCCAGCGGTTAAGCTGTCTGAGTACTTTGAGCAGTTTGTTGACAACCTCGATAGGGAAAGCACTGGAGACTGCAGGAAGGTCACATTTGACACGACCAAGGCAAGAAAATGTAGCGAGCATCTCCAGAATGCGCCAGATGTGTTGGCGACTGGCTTAGTGGGGAAGTTCTTGAAAAAATGGATGGCTGAATGGCAACAAAAATGATGGAGGGATTCCTGGTGTCTGAGTGGACCGGCTGCTTGAAGTGTCCATTTTCTGGACTCGTGATAGCACACTATCACACTCATTCGCCCTGGGGATAAACATGCATGTATATGTCGGCCCTAGTCTCGTGCGCAGAGCCCGGTCATTGACTCGTATGCGGTATCTCGATATCCCCACCTAGAGTGACACCATTGACTAGGAGTGAGCGTATACGCAAAGATCATGTCTGCGGTATTGAGATAGGATCGTCAGCCGATATTCGTTATAAATCGGATCGTATCGTCCAGCTGTGTAGCACTTACCTGGATGACTGAAGACGACGCGGACATCTTTGAGCAGCAGACTTGTATGACGCTTTCCGATCAACATGTAAATGAATCGCATGGGTCGTTGGTGTGTTTCGAGTCGAAATCGGTAATGGTGTGCAAAAGTCGACGTACAGCCGCATCGCACTGCGGCCATCAACGCTCTGATTGCTTTATGAACCCGGCCGATCCATTCAATGACACCACCATCGCATCACCATTGTCATTCTATCGATACACAGTGCCACACATAGCTTTCTGGACGCGCGGAATGAACCGACGGCTCTGTAGCAACCAACACTCGCCCTCTCTCTAGGCGTACCAGCGAATGATACTGCTTACAGTCATCCGCACTACTGACCGCCGTGAGAGATGATGAGGTCCTATCTGCAGTGTGGACTCTCTCTATTAGCACAGACTCAAAGTCGCCTTCCGCCAAACTACTTCAGGAGTTAGGCCGAAGAGATCCAATGAGCAAGCGGAGCAAGAATAAAGCACTACTACACGATACACCGACGCCTCGGTATGAAACGGAGTTAGCAGGTGCGCCGTAGGAATCGTAAGCGGGTGAGGGCCGATCCAAAGATTTTCCCAAGACACGATAGGACGAGCAATCACATGTCCTATATTGTCCGCCGAGCTCTGCTCCATCGAACAAAAAGTTGCCTATATAGTGTCAGTGCGAAGTGGGGGCTACCACCACTATATCATAACTACAGAAAGTCAAGATGCTGAATGGGCGCTCAAAAAAGGTAACATGGCCGCAAAGAACCGAGAAGCGCTCCATGGACACCTCGAGTCGCTCGACGAGGCAGAATGCTACAAAGTCAACATTCGACTGTTAGGGGCTTCAACACATCAAGATGTACTAGATAACGTGCTAACGCATATCGTCGCTTGAAGCATGACGAACCTTGCAAGCAGACCAATAGGCAATTTTACGGCACACATATACAAGAACATAGAGCCGTCCGAAGCCTGGTGGCGAAAGAGGATTAGCAGTGACTAGAGGAAAAGCAACGCAGGACGAACCTAGGCACATGAGGCCAACACACACAGCGACTCGACGCCGCTCTTCATAAAAACACACGCTGGATCCATATGAGGCACTCGATTCGAACCAGACGGCTGTGCTTGTGCAAGCCCGCATGAATCACACCCAGCTCAACTCATATTTCGCAAGGCTACGGGTAGAGACCGCGAAGTGCCAATGTGGGATGGAAGATGAGACGGTAGCACATATTGTGCTACGATGTCTCCGATGGACAAACATTAGGCGAGAGATGGGAGAAGCAGCAGGAGGAAGGTGGAAGACCGCCCCTACCCTCTAGGAGGCTACGGCATGGAGAGATTGGCGGAAGGGAAAGCTAGTGGATGACCTAGGGAGAATTGGGAACCGAATTCGGTTATGGTAAAGTCAACGATCTGGTTTGATGCTTTCTCTGCTTTTTCTGCCACTGGCATTGTTCTTCGAAACGAAGCCATTCATCCAGGATCATACCTAGCACTTTGATCGACTGGCTTGGCTGTACTAGATCCGCATTGAAGAAGAGGAACAGGATTAGGGCAAGAGGTGATACTTGTGGCAGTCCCGACTGAGGTAGGTCCGCTACCTCCGGCGAGATGCGAAAGCAGGAGTGATGCACGAGTAGAAGAATCTCATGACAGGGTCACCACCACAACAATTCGATCTTGGTCACACGGAGAGTTGTTCCACACATGTAGATCAAGAACAATACATATTGTCTAAACCGCAGCTCATTGATGATTCCTCGCTGATTCTGTGGCAGGACTGAGTGGTTTTGTCAAGCAACGAAGGAAGAGCATAAGGCGCCACGAAGGTGTCTGGCCAGGGAGGCTCATTGGCTCAGTAATACAAGTAAAATTGTACAAGCAGGGGTTGAGTGATGGAAGCCCATCCCGGCCTCAGCTAAACGAAACTTGCATCCGCCTCAGACACACTGTTGGAATCGAGTTGTCCTGGTATCTGTTCAGCGTTTGTGGCTGAGAAGAACTACAAGTGCTGGTTGTATTGCCTGCGTAAAGGAGGAAGCAAGATTTTTGACAGCCTCGACATCAGAGTACCAATAGTAACGTCGACACTTAAGACCTTCGTATGTCTTTGTAGCTACAGGCGGCCTTCTGACTATGGATGTACGCCATTGAATGCCGACGCTGTTTCGCCCAGTACCCTGAGAGAAGAGATAGGCTACTAGTTGGATCACTTAACAAGGATGGCATCGTAAATGTCGGTGACGTTGCGCAATGCGCTACGATGGAGGTTACGATGTCGATTTCGACACAGCCAAGCGGGGCATGACAACAGTATCTCTCTTCGGCGCATCGTACAAAAACTCTTTTTGCTCGCAGTAGGTCGAACATGTTAGCGCCACCACTATAGGCTCGATCTTTGATTATTCTAAATTTTATCAACTTCTGAATGTTCGCTTTGAGAGACATTTCAAGCATGCTTTGATCGATGGCATAAGTTATGATGATCCGAGGTCGAGGTTTCAGATCCCGAATCTTCCAGGTGAGACTACATGTATCACACGTGTAAATTGGGGTACTGTGGATCCCGATAATGATGCAAATCGGAATTTGAACAAAACGCACCCAGAAGCTCAAGATTACTTTCTTATATGGCATGTCTTGGCAGGACAGCAGAGGGCATGAAGGATGACGCGGTAATCCAGCTGCAAGATATGCGCCCAGGTCTGCCGTATGCATCCGCCAAGACAGCTATGCTTGATGGCTTGCCGGGCAGCCCGTGTTGTCGCTGTGCTTAGCCAATAGGCAGCAGAGGATAAATGGTTAATCGCAGTGTATGCAGCTGCATGGCAGTTTGTGACACACGAGCCTTGAAACAACGAGAAGGACGAAGAGACAGTAGCGCCGCGGGGAATAAACGGTACGATAACATCGCAACGATCGCATACAATAAAGAGGGCTTCTCACCCGCTCCGATTACCAAAAGCATGGGTATTGCTCTTGCGGGAGTCTAGAATTGAAGGAAGCGAGCGTATCCGTTGAAACAGTCGAACTGTCTTCTCCATTATGGGGCTGACATGCCCCTCTGCCTTGCGCGTGAGAGCTGCAAGTAAGAATGTGTGCTGCAAATGGTCGATGCTACGTTTCATACGTGCTGCAGCTGACGTGTAAGCTTCGATGTATCCAGCCAGGATCCGACAGTGACAGAACTTAGAAGTCGGATAATATCTAAGCAGGCCGATTTTCGATAGGGTTGCGTAAGGCGGGATGCTGGTCGAAGATGCTGTAGCGGACAGACGCGGTCATCGATCTTGCAGGTCTGGTGCATATGGTGTTCAAGTGGCACCCATCAGACAATCCGGAAGTCTAGCCGAGCACGATGAATACGCCGTACGACACTAGATAACGTCCAGATATCCCGTCGGGATGTACCAGTTGCAGCAGCTCGTAAATGCAGGGAAGGATCTAGGGTCAAGATTTTTACTCTCTGAAGGATTCGAAGAGACAATCCGGTCTCGATTGTCAGCGGTTGGACTGCTTTTGCAGGTAGATGTCTCCATGTCATCACTCCGATAATCAATGGCCTTTCTGACTATCTTTGGGCTTGGACCTCGAGTTCGGTCAGACCGTAAAATTGATTCCCACCCAAAGGCTTGTGCACGGTACGGGTTTCTCCGCCAGAAACGAGCGGGAAAGTGACATCGTAGAGCTGGAAGAGATGAGGCTTAGAGAACAATGTGTTGCAGTCTTTGAGAGATAATGGCACTTCAACGTCAGACCCATCATCTACTGGAGGTGGATCCGTAGTAAGATAACAATCCTTCTCACTGAGAGACTGTTCAGCCAGTTGTCTCAACCTCCGAGATGAGAGGATGGTCCAGAGTGCATACGGCTGGCTTTCAAGTGAACGACTGGCTGGGGGACACTTTGGTGTGTGAAGCCTGTGGTTTGAGTTAGGCGAAGATCACAAGCCATGATTCCATAAAAAGGTTAGATACCGAAGCGACGCAGAATCTGTGAATGTTAGAAGGTCAAGCCGACGCGTGTGTGATGGTATGCACGAGCGCTTGATCACAACACAACTACCTCCCGTCAGATCTCGATCTAGATACAGAGTGGTCTAACCGCTGCCGGAGCATCAGTACCTGAATGCAGAATTGTATAATGGTTCATAAACGGTAATTAAACCAATCGTAGAAGGCGAGACTCCACTTGCAAAGAGGCACATTTCCCACAAGGACGTGCCTAATAAGCTGCAAGAAACCGGATCAGCGAGCGCCAAATCCGTCGAAGCTGCCTGGAAGACGAGGTTCCAAAATTGAGGACCCCATCTGTGATCAAACCATGACCTTTGTGCCGACCTTTGTGCCATGATTTGAGTGATACACCAAAGCTCCTGCGTCTGTTACAACCCAGACGGCTGCTTGCTCTTCATACATCAAAATTTCCTGCCTCTAACGCGGAAGCCAAACCATCTATCAGATGACAAGGTTGTGTTAACTTCAGTCAACCTGGTTCAGAGACAACTTTGCAACAACGCGTTGAGACTTTACTCGAATCTCATCCCACCCCCTAATCAATACTCTCAGACAGAATCTTTCTACCTGATCTACTTGTTACCAATCATCTAGCCATCCAATCAAACATGGAATACCAACAATCTTGCGTGACGACGGCCGCCTATCATCATCCCATATACGCACACCACAACCAAGGGTTCACGCATACACATCCTCTGTGGTCGGGTGTGACACAGGTACACATGCTCTGTTAGGTTACATAAAATATGTGCTGATGCTGTCTCAGTATCACTACGGCTATGAGCGGCACGCACTTGCTCCGTCAGAAGGAGGAACACTCGCCCAGGCACCTTCGCCCATGACTCCCGACCACACAACACCGGCCGGCCCAGTAGTTCTCAACGATGACAACGAGTATGCGACGGTGCGACCAGAACAGCCCCTGATGTATCGAAACGATGTCGAGATCTACTTTGGGCAACCTACCTCTCCGACCGTGGAGTTCAATGTTGATGAACTTCTGGTGTATCAAAGACGACGCAGTAGTGCCACATCTGAGGTGAAGGAGGTTTTGACGCCAGCACAGCGAAGACGAAGAGCACAGAACCGAGCCGCGTAAGTACCCTGTTAGTCATGCCTCATCACGGACTCTACTGCTAACGCATCGTGGTGGTTATAGACAACGAGCGTTTCGTGACCGCAAGCGTCAGCGAGTACAAGAACTAGAAGCTCAGCTATCAGCTCTGGAAGTACGTAGCAACTCCCTGGCATCAGACAATGAGAGATTGCAGCATGAGCTGCTCCGGACACGAGAAGAGAACGAAGCTTTACGAGGCATCGCACAACCTCAACCGTCGCACAAGACGATGCAGCCTTCTCGACGCAGGACGACGACCAATACAGACGATATGGCGTATGACCGACGCATCATCGATTTTGACGACCTCCATCCATAGTACCTGGGTAGCGTTCACGAAAGTTTCCGCGCCAGATAGAGCCTCAATCATCTATCGAGTCTAGAATAGGAGCTTCAACTCGACTGCTGTCAACGGCACCGATAGCACTGGTTTAACCACATATCTTTGTCAAGAATGTTTTCCTGTCATTATCTGTATGCTTTTGTATCGCTTGAATCCCAGTTTGATAATGATTGGTGTGGTAGTTGTGACTCAGAAGGAAGTGGAGACTGGGCTCTAAATCTCGAGGTGGATACCTTCGTGGGCCGCTTCAGACGCGTACGTGTCTTGTTAACAACCACCTTTGCAGCGTTCGAAATTTTAGTCTTTTCTGACTTGAAAAAGGCAACGGAAAGTGGCATCTTGCCAGCGGAAATCTCCTTAGAAGGTAATTGTGGCGGTTGATATATGGTTCGCGTTCTGGAGTCACCTGCGCGTGTTTCGTCGATTCTGCTTTTGACGACTGCACAAAGCAATTGAGCGTTACACCACGGGTGAATCCATGTGGAAGGTTTGTAGATTGTTCTTCTTCCTGCTCTTGTCAGTCTACATGAATCCGCGTTGAGGATCGTGCCCACCTGGGGCCACAGGGGATCCGAGTTGTTGGAATAAGTCGCATCAGGCATCAACATGTTGTACACAATTTACGGATCCGACGGGTCGACCGTCATCTGCAGCGATGTGGTGGAGATGTCGCCAAACACGAACAACTGGAAAGGTCACGACACTGTCAGCGACAAGTGCAGCACTTCGGTCTACATCCAAGATCTGTCTTACTTGGGTATGTTTGGCGGAGGCAGCTGGGATGCCAGTGTCAAGACTGTGGCTGCCAATGGTGAAGAGGTGTCATGTGGTGTGATTCACCATGACTGCACGGTCAAGAGTGTCTCCCCGACTGTGGTCAACGAGTACACATATGGATGCGAGTGGTGGTAGCGGTCTTGACATATATAGCGAGCCTTCGCTGCTCTCTTTCCAATATATGTAGATATGATCATCTCTAGTCGATGAGTTCGTCCTCAAAGGGCAGCACCTGTTATACCTGTCAACCTCTTGTTTAGGTATCTTACAGCACACACCGTTTTATGCTGCACCAGTCTCGACATGACCTGGTCGGATCTGTTTAGAGGATTGAGAACAGTCTTCTTTCTAATGACAATTCACAGGGCTAGAGTTTTTTTTTTTTCACTCAAATCAGATGTAGGAGCACGTTAGACAATAGGGTAGAATTCAGAACGATCGTGAGCGTTCCTTGGACAAGCTAGATCCGCCAAGTCACGACACTGTGACGATCGCTTCAGGACACCACAGCCAAGTGCAGATGCCGTGCTTGGTATTGCTCAACCATATCTCTTCTGGATCTCGCTTCTGACGCCAGGCAGGATATGCGTTCCGCACTCGACGGCGTCGTTGAAATTGTCGTATCCACGGATCGAGATGAGGTCAGCACCCAACTGAACATAATCAAGCAATGATTCCTTGACAGTCTCATACGACCCAACCAATGCCGTCGATGCGCCTCTCGCGTTGGTCGCTGTCACGGTGGGATACCATAGCGCGCGATCTTGAACCTCGCCTCTCTTCGCAATGTCGAGCAAACGCTGAGATCCAACATTTTGCGGCGCTGGCGCATTGGCCGGCGACTTGCCTACACCATTCGCAGTGTGCTTGGTCAACACGTCGAGGGTTCTGTGTGCTTTGGCCCAAGCTAGATCATCAGTCTCGGCAGTGATCGGTCGGAAAGTGACCCAGATGCGAGGGCGGTCGCTTCGGCCTGCTTTCTCGGCTTCAGCATAGATGCGGTCGATCTGTTCCTTGGTTTCCTTGAGTGGTTCACCCCAGAGCCCGAAGATGTCGGCGAGAGAGCCACCAATTCGGTATGCTTCGTCAGAAGAACCACCAACAGACACTGGTATGTTCTTCTCCTTGGGCACGACGTCGCTGTGAAAATTTTTGAAGGTGTAATAAGTGCCTTCCCAATCAAAGGGTTCCTTCGACTGCCATGTGCGTCGCAAGATCTTGATATACTCTTCTAACCGGCCATCTGGTAATGTCAGTGGTTGATCGATGGGGCGTCCACGCTAAATGGAGACCACTTACAGCGTTGATCCTTGGTGAGAAAGTCGCCCTCCTTTGCCTGCTCAGCATCACTTCCGCCAGCAATAAAGTGTACTACAACACGTCCGCCACTCAATTGATCAAGTGTTGCAAGTGCTTTCGCAGCGACAGTGGGATACAAAGTGTTTGGTCGGAGCGCGATGATGATTTTGATGTTTTTCGTCTTGGCCAGCACCGTCGCACCGAGTGTGAAAGGATCGAAGCCGGTAGAGCCGTAGGGGATGAGTGTATAATTGTACCCGTAGTCATCTAGGGAACGAGCATATCTGACCAGAAACTCGGGGTCGACACCAGCTCCAGGAATTGGTTTCAGTTCGTTTGATGCGTTTGAGAAAGTGAGACCGATGAATTCGGTGGTAGCCATATTGCTTGGATGGGGCATCGGAGCCGTGGGTGATGACCCGAACTCAGGCAGGGGCGACAGCATGTTTTTGTGGTGTTAGCAGCTGATGATTATCAATAATGATATTGCGACAGCAAGGCCATAAGCACGCCTTTGATCCTCCCGGTTGCGGACAGAGTGCACTGATTGATTGATTGATATGCAGGCGTGACTCCACTTTTCGCTGTCGAGCTGGCGCCCGACTCCTCTCCTCGTTATGGCCTAAGATAACGAATGCCTATCGCTTGGGAGATCTTTTGCTTCTGGAAAGAGACGTTCAAAAACTCCGCTCATGCGCTGCTCTCTGACTGAATTCATGGGCGTTTCGAAAAAGATCGTGCATTGCCACGATCACTTTCGGGTCCTGCGACACCATTGGCATCACCTTGTGAATTGATTTTTATATCCCTGGCGCAAGAATCACGATGCAGTCGTACGGTGTTCGCTACTTGTAGAGGTGTTGAGTCCGGAGGTGGATCAGGCGAAGGTGTCATCCCCTCCAAGAATCACGCAAAGCCTCTCCGCCAAACGCCGAGCATCTCGACATATCACACCTTTTGATATATACGACTCGTTCTCGACCAGTGCTCGAACTTCAATGCATGTCTTATCGAAGACGCAATTCTCGCTAGTAATGAGAGATTCGATGTTATGAGCCTGACGGGGTACGTATGCCTGCTACGTTGAGGCGCGAAAGGTTGGCATCGACAACGGTGGCACAGTACAAATATGACTATAGTTCACCTGGATGATGTCCCGAGACTCGAGAGTATCCTAGAAATAAATCAGCATGGTCGACCAGAAGCATCCCGAGCATCTCGTAGACACTGAGATCTACACTTCAGACACCGAGGCGAACCAAATTCCGAGAGAACATGTCGTCGTCAAGCCCCTCAAGACCTGGAAGGGCTATCTCTGGGATACCTGGGAGCTACCACCGGATCAACGCTGGCTTCTCTTCAAGGTAGACGCCTTTGTATTGACATTCGCTTCTTTGGGTTACTTCCTCAAGAACATCGACCAAACTAATGTTAACAATGCCTTTCTCAGTGGGATGAAGGAAGACTTGAGCATGTATGGGAACGAACTGGTCACGAGTAAGCATGACAGCCATTTGTGCGGTGAATGAACCGATGCTGACGTATCGCTGCAGGCACATCCATCTGGACAGTCGGCTATGTAATCGGGCAGATTCCATCGAATTTGTTGCTGACCCGAGTGTCTCCACGCTGGGTCATACCGTCTCTTGAAGTCGGCTGGGGTATTGCGACCATTTGCACGTCTCGTGTCGAATCCTACAAAGCGCTGTATGCTCTGAGATTCCTGGTGGGCTTCTTCGAGTAAGTACCTGTCAGCCAGAGATAAGCTGCTTGACTGACACTTTACGCTCCAAGGTCTGGTTTCTATCCAGGCATTCACTACATGCTGGGTTCGTGGTACACCCCAAGAGAGATTGGCAAGAGATCGATGATCTTCTGGCTCGCAGGCTCGGTTGGCAACATGTTCAGTGGTTTCTTGCAGGCCGCTGCATACAAGAATCTGAGCGGTGTCCATGGACATGCAGGGTGGCGTTGGCTGTTCATCATTGACGGCATCATCACAATCCCATTGGCTTTGATAGGGTACATCTTCTTCCCGAACCTACCTCAGGATGGCAAGAGGACGTGGTGGACGACAGAAAAGGAGCATGTTCTCGCTGTTGAACGCATGAGAGCTGTCGGTCGGGCAAGCAAGCAGCCTTGGACCAAGGCCAAGGCCAAGTCGATCTTGCTCAGCTGGCATACTTACCTTCTTCGTGAGTCTTGGTATTGGCGACATACGAATCTGACTGACACGCACAAGCGCTACTGTACATTGTGTGGAACAATGGCAGCCCCCAAGCAGGCATGGGCTACTGGCTGAAGAGCTTCAATGCCAAACCGGCACCCGTGCCCGAGCGCCACTATAGCGTGCCGCAGATAAACAACTGTATATCCAACACCCAGCCCTGCTATTCCTTCTTGCTCGGGAGCTGACATGTGAACAGTACCGCTTCCAAACACGGCAATATTCATCGTCATGGCGCTCTCGTGGGGCTGGCTCTCGGACGGACCGTTGAAGGGTGCCCGCTGGCCGTTCATATATGCAGGCGCCGTCATTACAGTGAGCATAGCCAGGCGTGGGTCGAAAGTATGCTGACGTATCCAGATGGCATTCCACATTGCTCTTCTCAAGATGCCGTTGTACGCGGATATCACAGGGCGCATGGTGGTGTACTGGTTTGCCAATATCGGGGTAGGTGGTTGCGGGTGAAGCGTGCGCGGTTGACTCGAGAGCTGACATGGATGTGACAGATGGGAGCAGGACCGTTGATCTTGAGCTGGATCAACGAGATTTGCTCGGGCGACACGGAGAAACGAGCGTTGCTGGTGGCCATGGCGAATGACCTGGCGTACGTGGTGCAGGCTGTCGTAAGTGCTTGCAAGGATACCCAGAGATTGGAGCTGACATTTGTACTGCAGGCGCCGAACTTTGTGTGGAAGACGACCGAGTTCCCAGCAGCTCACAGGGGCTACACGTGGGTTGCCTCAATGCAGGGTCTGCTGAGTAAGTCGGTCATAACCAAAGACAAGGACCAGTACTGACGCCAGCCAGTTGCCGTGACGGCAACGATCCAGATGCTGTTATGGAGAGACAAGAGAAGAGCCGAGACAGAGACCAGCCATGATGCCGTCGTGGTGGAAGGTCCGGGAGGCGATGGTTCAGAGGTTTCGGTGGGGAAGGCGTGAGGAGGGGAGTTTCAGCCTTGGTGTGGAGGCAGAAATGGCTTGGGTCCGCGTGGGTAGCGACTGGAGAAGGGACAATGTAATCGAGGCGTCGACTCTTGAGCTCGTGTCCGTCAGATTGTGGAACACTGGTGTATCTTCGTCCTGTGAAGCCTGATCATGACCTTGAAGGAGCCGAGACTCAACTGGTCGGGCCACGTGCGAGTACAATCGCGCAATCGCTTGTCAAACGACCGCTGCTGTGCTTGGGAAGCGGTATTCTGCATCGTCTTGAATGTCGCGTCCGGCGTCGCAGTGGTCGTCATCGGCGGTCGAAGGGCGAGAGATGGAACGAAAGCGACTTTGTCTGAGGCTGGTTACGGGGCGAGGATTTGCGACATGGCGGCGCCGCGAAGACGCTGGACGTTGATTCGAGTGTCAATTGGCCATGTCTGAGTCGGTCTAGCATCAACGAGCAGCGTGTCGACGAAGCTGCGGAACATTCTTCTTGCGCTTTGTCAGTGCCAAGCTTCTGGCCGAAGCTCCAAGAGCGCGCTTCCGTGACAAGGTTGTACCAACGACAACTTGATGCCATTGCATCGTGTCTCTGATGGGACCGCCATCTTGCTCGTGTCCTCGTGTCGGGCATATAGGCTATGAACGCGTTCGCCATCATATCGACTAACAGATGTACAGCTTTATATTCCACAAGCTTTAGGAAACTTGCTGTCAAAACGCGAGGTCAAGCCACAGTCACAATTCAAAATGACTTCAAGGCACTGGCAGATGACTTCTCCAAGTAGACTCGACACCAACACGAATACACTGTCAAATTTCTTTCGCCAAACTGAAACATCTATTGGATTTGTGTGACAGCTTCCGTCGTCAGCTCTTTCCGTGGAGCCTCAAGTGCCAAGGTGCCATCTTACTGGCAAATCTGATAGCCGCCTGTCCGCCTCACGCGTGAAAAGTTCCTCGACGACAAGTGCCTATATGGTCAATTGCAGTCCATCTCCCAGAGCAGTCAGCTCAGGCTCGTTCCTTGGTCTCATGCAACCATCTAGACCCGGAACAAGCTGCCCGGCAAATCACCGAGCTAAAATTGCCGCCTCCACCCTCGACGGTTCGACCCGTTCGCTTGCAACGTTTCTCAACCGCCCATGACGGGTTTATCATTGGTGAAACCACTCGTCCGTTGTCGTCCTTACTGTTCGTCCATTGCAAAGACTGCGGCGCTCACGGAGGACTGACCGGTCCAATCACCACTTTTCTGTGGTTCGATTACGGCGAACTTCAGTGTGAGCGAGCGTAGGATACAACAAAGACCAGGGATACAGACACTGAGTTTTCATACGTCTGTCGACTTCATCTTCCGTCCTGCAGCGCGTGCTGCCTACCTCCATGAACGGGGTACGTCCCAACATCATGACCAGCAATCTCCGTTGAAAAAAAATACTTCTCCGTTGAAAGATCCAGGGACCATGCCTCAGGAAGACTGAATGAACAACTGCCGTGTTGAGTATTGACCCTCACAACATCTGGCCGGTTCATGCTATTGGCAATCGAATCCGAATCAGGCCAACTCCACATGTCCTCATACGACTAGATGATGAACGTCCGCAAGCTAGCTAGTCATGTCCCTCCATGAGCTTTTTGGAATGCCATTTCCTCTTTCGGCACCTCAAGTAGTGGCCCGGAGACATGCTGTCCATATAGATCCCATCATGCGCTACCCTGTGCACGATCGCTGGCTTTTCGATCTCACCACAAGCTTTCACAGCACGTCTATACCTGCGGCAGTCCGTTTCTCGTCTCAAAACTCGCACCACCTTGATATACAACTACCGCTCTCTTGCAAAGTCGCTGAGACTGTCAGTTGAGCATACTAGGTCTACAATCTGACTCGGAGACGACAGCGCCCTGCTTTCTCGAGTAGGTCGCGTTCGTGATGAAGTCCCACATGGTATCCCGACAAGGTGATACCCAAGGGTCGACGCAACCCAAGACCTACCCGACCCACGCTGGTGCCCTCATCGCCATCTCTGTTGCATTCATGACCGTTACGATCTTCTTCACAAGTCTGCGCTTCTTCGTCAGAGGCTTCATGATCAAGAGCCTGGGATGGGATGACTGGTTGATCCTGGTTGCCGTCGCTAGTTTCATATGTCAAGCTAGCTTTCTCATCCATCTAGCATGGATGGAACAACACTACGACCTGACCTATATCAAAGCTCTCTCGGACGCCTTGGAGGTCAGTGATCATGACGCTGTTGGTTTGACATCGCTGACGATTGTCCCACACAGTTTGTCGTCCTCGAACTGGCATTTTACATCATGACCTCACTGTTCCTCAAAATCTCTCTGGCGGTCTTCTTCTTGCGCATTGTAGGTCTTACGACTGCTCCCCCTTACCCGTCTCTGTGCTGACCATGCATGCGATCAGGTTGTCGCGAAATGGCAGAGATACACCATCATCATTGGTACATCCATCTTCTCGCTATTCACCTTCGCCTTCTTCTTCATCGCAGTTTTTCAGTGCGGACCGCCTTCTCATTTTCTACTCAATAACGCCACAGGAAAATGTCTTTCTTGGAAGGTCACCGGACCCCTCAACTACATTCATGGTACCCTCAATGCTCTGACGGATTGGATCTTTGTCTCCTTGCCTATCCTTGTCATTCGCGATGCCAATATGAACCGCAAAGCAAAGGCATCAGTCATCGGCGTGCTTGCTATTGGTGTCTTGGGCTCTGTGGCGTCCATTGTTCGTCTTTACTACATCAAGGACATCCATCCCGGAGCCTCAAGTGCGACCGAATTCTTCTCAAAAGCCTCAACCATTGCAATTGCCAGCATAATCGAGATTGGCTTGGGTGTGACGGCAGCGTGCCTTGCAACTTTGAGACCTCTATTCAAGAGTCTTCTGGATCACACGGGGAGTTACTCAAGGGACAATTCCAAAAACAAGTCATATGCTCCCCAGAGCGGTCTTCCGTCTCACACTGGCGGCATCTCGGCCGTTCAATCTTCTCGCAATCACAGAGATTTTGCACAGTATGGATTTGACGCTGAGGACATGATCACTGGCAAGAACGACGTGCATGTGGAGCTGCACAGTTTGCCTTCAGGTCGCGGATCATCTTCCCACTCGGACGATGTAACAGTGCATGTTCAGACCGTGGTTTACGAGCAACGCGGTTCCCAGGACGAACTGCTGGCCGATCAACAGGAAGGCAGCAAGAACTACAGTGCCCGCATCTGGAGCGCCAAAGACGCCTCCAAGGTTAGGGCAGCACCTAGCGAAGCCTGATCGCTCCGGTCCGCTCAATACAAATTACTCCATCATGAACTTCGCCTTTCCAAACATGTTTCTGAGCGTACCTCCTCACGTCTTACGATGAGGCTTCGACACAACAGCAATTTCTGCGCAAGATTCTACTTCCCTTGTCGCCTCGACCGTTGCCCTATTTGTTCTCCCGACGATACAGCCCTTGGAAACTTCAAACATCTCCCGTATCCAGTCCTTGATAAGTCTTCCGCTCTATTGATGGAGCAGTCCAACAGCAGCTCCAAGATCTGTTCTTGTATCAAGCCTTTCCAGCTTTCAACCACACTCGTCACGCATCCGTCAGAAGCAACAGTTCAATGTGGTTTGGCCAACGAGAGCCGGCTGTATGCATCATCTGGCTTGTCGAAGATACGGACGCGATGTTTTGGCACCTCATGCGTCTCCAAATCCGCGAGCCCGTAAGGTCCAATGGGTGCATGTCAACAGGTCAATACATCCTAGCAGGAATTTTCAAAGAATCATTCGCTGCGATTGCCGATCGATGAGGGTTTGCGCTCATCTTTTTGCTTGAGTGTGATGATGGGGACAGAAAGCGCCGCCGGACAACCCGAAGAATGTGCCATTGACGACACCACAACGCGTCGACGCGCGTCTGGCAGGTAGGGTTGATGACATGCTGAGGATTGCTGAGCGCTGCAATGATGCAAACGGAGACAGATACGTACGTTAGAGAGACAAGGATATAGCCACGGTACGCGAGCATAATCGGAAAAATCATCGTTGTTCTGGTGAGGGTAAAGCGTGGGGAAGGTCTCCGTGTTTGCCCGAGAGACTTGCTGCTCCGACTTTACACGAACGAGACCACTCGCTCGGAATAAAACGGGCTATCTCATCATAGACCTCAGATCAATCCATACGTCGCTGAATGAACAACAGACATACTTTCCATCTCCTGGCCCACGAAGACTTACAATGCAACCGTCTGTCTTCTCTTATCATCCAGCCGTGTCGCTCGTACATTGCCGTCACCCTTCACTCATGTCGGTCTACCTGCATTGAGACTGTGTTTCTCTTGAAGGACTGCAATGAACCCGCAAGATGACCAAGCACACCCCTTACCTGCATTCAGAAGAAGACGAGAAGCACTTTTGGCATGTCGACGATGTGGACGTGAAAAGACAAAGTGTGATGGTCAGCCATGCCCAGACTGTGGAGACGAAGGCGTCGTCTGTGATGGTGAAGATTGTGGCCATCCTGGTGGAGCTGTTGACAGATGGTGCGTATATATTCGAGACCCTGAGAAATTGCTGACAGGATGACACAGGTATGTGGAGAGACTCGAGGGTGAAAGAGAAATCTTGTCACTCGGCCTACAAGAGGCGTGCAGAAGACTGATGATGGCGAATGTCTGGCCGACGACTCCATCGCCACCAGACGGACGACCGCATAGTATATACGAATTGCTTGCCACGCTAGGATTGGTTCCAGATGGCAAAGACAAGGACTCGCCAGGTGGATATTTGGAACGGGGCCATCCTGCCCGGATGGGAAGGGGGTCGTCGCTCGCTACCAGAAGACCACCAGTGGATCAAGCTCTGAACACAAGTAGCTACCAGAACTGGTACACCCCTAGATTCAGAGGACTCGACGTGTCTCATGCAGAACGGTCCGAATCGCGAGGCGCGCATGCTGATCTTGCATATGCACGGTCCGCCGCTACAACACTCGCTCCAGCCAGCAGCAGCGTTGTTGCAACTCTTTCGAAAAAGTCATTCATTACAGCAAGCCGTGCAACAGATTTGCGGCCAGATACAGCACCCATGACGCCACAGGACTTCCAGGCCGTCCTCCCCCGTCCAGATGAACAACTCTGGCGGCATACTACCGATGCATATCAAGAGGTATCCGGACCTTCGAATATGCGAAAAAGGAGCTTCGGAGCCATGACAACCACTCAAGAACACCATCATCAAAGGGCCACACGTCAATATGGTTACGACTTTCCATCCGGAAACCACGAAGCTGTTCCCAGCGGACAAGATGAGTCATCACCCGAGAGCGACGGAGACACGAGTGATCACATCAGGATCGCATTCTGAGGCACAAATCTATGCAAGGTGCAAGACGCAAGACTGATCTGCCATTCTGTGCCAAGACCTGGCTAGAGCATGCGACACTCATGATGCTGATCCTCTGAATCGTCGAAACAGCGACTACAATCCTACCAGGGCATCATCTGCATTGAACCCTCATCGTTGTGCCAGAAACCGCTTTTGTAGTCTCCGAAGGCGAGATTTGCGGCTACCTCTGCTCCCAGGAGCGGATCTTTCTTTCCTTTGTAACCATTGAAGGCAGTGCTGCAGTGACCAGGATTTGCCAGGTAGAAGGTGATATTACTCTCAGTCTTGGCCATCTCAAGAGTCATGATATTTAGAGCAACTTTTGACACGCTGTATGGTACACTGACCGTTGGGGGAAGATCACCTGACGTGAGTCGCTCGACAGATGCACGTCCGGAAGAGATGTTGATGACCTTTGCACTTTCCGACTGGCGAAGCAAGGGCGTCAAAAGCGAGGTCAGGAGCCCAACAGAGGTGACATTCGTGTCCAAGACTGAGTTAAACGCCTGACTATAGTCTGAGAGGTCCGAACTTGGGACAGCGGCAATGCCTGCATTGTTGATCAGAACTACGGTGACATCAGCGACACATATAGTAGCACTGCAACGATGTTTGTGTACTTACCATCCAACTTTCCATGTCTTTCTTTGATTAGCGCGATCAAGCCGTGCATGCTTTGATCGCTCGTCACATCCAGGCTCATTGGCTCAAAAGTGCCCTGGATAGCCAAGGCCTTCAACTTCCGTACAGCATCCGAGGCCTAGCTTGTCGTTCGAGCAGCGACTAGAATCGTGCTGGAAGGTTCCCGTTGGGCAAGCACCTGAGCTATGCAGAACCCGATACCCCTGTTAGCACCAGTGACCAAAATGACGGGAGGCATTTTGCAGACGGGTTTGTATATCGTTGAAGCGTGTTGAAAATCAGCAAATCCGAGTCCTAGAGCGCGGACTACTCTGTAATATAAGAAACTCGAGTAGAGCATTGGTTGAGGAGATAAGTGTACTGTAATTTCGCCAAACGCCGATATCGACGGGATGTTCGGAGTTAATGGAGATTGTCGGATTCCCCAATATGGGCATGTCGCCGATGTTCAGATGCATTCAAACTTTGATAACGGTCATCATTTTCCAGTGCTTAAGTACGAATCATCTCTTACGAAGTGACCAAAGAATGATACAGCCACTGCACACCCTTGTATCCCCAGATGATATACTCAGGCCCTCATTGCCTTCACTAGCTAAGAGTCAGAGCCTGCGTACTCTCTGTGTTGAACGAAATCTTTGACCTTAAACTCGCTTACGACTGTCTCGCTCTTTTCGCCGTGTCTCACGATGTTTGCCTCTTCCTTTGCAAGGATGGCTGCCTCGGCATAGCTTATCTTAGTAGTCGAGTGGTACTTGATCTTGAACATGAGATCGATCTCCTCGAGGGAAAGTTCTTTGGTCTCGATGTAGAAGAACCAGATGATTGGAGCCCAGGCGAAGTTCAAGACAGCAAAGATGATGTAGAACCTCCAGCCGATATTGGCGATGGCTAGATGCAGTCACGTCAGTAGATGAACGCGACTCTGTGACAAAGTCTGTGAGCAAGTAACTTACCACTTGGTGTGATTAACACTACCACATAGACAAACAGCCAGTTCACTACCATAGCGATAGAGTTGCCGATGCTGCGCATGCGAGAAGAATTAATCTCCGAGGGATATAGGAATGGTATGCAGAGAAACGATACGCCCTAAGTTCCAGCTCTTGTTAGATTGGGGGCCTGAGACATACGAAGACAGACTCACGTAGAAGAGATGATATCCAAAGATGAAGGACATCGACATCGCAAGCGAGGGCTTGGAATCGATGGCAAGACCGACTGTGACGAGCGTGAAACATACACCACAGCCCGGGGCTCCGAAGAGCATGAGTGGTTTGCGTCCAAAACGATCGATGAGAAGCGACATGATGGATCCGAAGAACATCAAAGAGATGAAATCGACGCCGGAAAGGATCAAAGCAAGCCTTGGGCTGAAGCCGAATGACTGGGTGAGGATGACGGGGAAGTAGTAGACAACCTAGAGCACGGGTCAGGATGGCTCGGATACGACTCTTGTCTCATACATACAACATTGATGCCACCCATCTGTTGAAAAATTGAGGTTCCCGCACCCAAACAGATTCGTCTGAAATTCTGTTGTTCTCCACCTGAGAAGACCTCACGCCACCCAACTTTCCCGCCAGCCTTTTCTGCTGCAATGGTCTCCGAGATGATCTTTAGCTCACCAGCAACATCAGCGTCATCCTCATCAGTGTTGGCTAGGCGAGCAAGGACTGTACGAGCTTCGTCGTGCCTGTCTCTGTAAACCAGCCAACGTGGTGATTCAACCATGAATGGAAGGAGACCTATGGTCACTACAGCCCAGAAGCATTGCATAGCGAGTAAAAAGCGCCATGTCACCTCGCTGCCCACGACGTAGGTCATGGCGAGATTGGTCCAGTTGGTAAGTGAGATACCGAAGATGACCATGACCAGTTGCAGAGCTACCAGTTTTCCACGATGTTCGGGCTTACTCGTCTCAGACTGCCACATGGGTACGACTGCTGTGCTTTGTCCGATACCCAGTCCAGCAATGACTCGACCGATGATCATTTGCGGGAGTGAAAATGCCGAAGCTTGGATGGCACCGCCCAAGACCACCCAGATCGATGACATGGCGACGGACTTTCGACGACCGAGAAAGTCACCGAAGTACAGCGACATGATTGCTCCAAGGATGCAGCCAATGTCATAGGTCGAAACAATCTGGCCTTGTATGACAGGATCGGGGTAGTCAAACTGTTTTTCAAAAGTCTTGTTATTCAGGATTCCGCCAAAGACGCCCTGGTCCCAACCAAAGAGCATGAAAGAAAAGCCGCATGTTGCAGTGATTCCCACTGTGAGCGATTTGCCACGGAGAGGCATGTTGGTTGTGGAATGAGCAGGTTGTATGACTGATGCAGCAGGTAGTAGGGATTCTAACAGATGTAAATGCAGATCACGAAGATGCAGAGATGAGTTCTTATAGACAGCTTTGCTCGGAGATGGGTCGATAAGGTTCAGCGGAAGTGTTGGAAGATGTGGAGAGATCTGGGGTCCCCAGATAATAGTCAAGGAATTCGTGCGCTCGTGTGTCTGTCGTATCGAGCATCCGCTGGAGATGCCCGGTGAACCGAGAGCACGGCCTTATGCACGGCTTTTTGTTATCATGTGAGAACCAGTCGCAAGTAGTAAGAGACCGAAGAAAGCCCCAATAAGCGCCGCGTGGTCTAGATCGTAGAACGGCTATATGCATCGTCGCTCGCAGCAACGTCGGTGGCATGCATCCTGCTGCTGAGGCTCAGCCCAGCGAGCAGTTACTTATGCTGCAACCAGACCACACGCTTAGAAAGGGACACCAGAAAATCTGACAGTCGAGTACAAATCCTGACACACGGCTCGGACAGTGATCGGCAGACTCAACAATGGTTCATATCGTCAGATGGGGCATCTTAGGTGGGACAGCTGATTTCTATCGTCGGAGCAGCAGTAGCTGATGTGCTTGACAGCCACTGGAGCAATCGCTGAGAGTGAGTACTGACCCTTCGTCAAGAGTAGTAGACTCTCTTACAGCGATTTCTCAGAATACGCTATCGATCTCCTGATCGATCCAGCGACCCGCGGGACTAGAGATGTCTCTCACAAGATCACAGCCATTGCATCTTCCTCGGGTAAGAGTCGTGCTGAGGCTTTTAGGGCAAAAGTCCAAGCGCCGATGGATTGCGCTTGTTATGGGAATTACGAAGCCTTGTCAAACGACCCCAACGTGGATATTGTGTACGTTGCAAGCCCCCACTCTCATCATTTTCAGCATGCCATGCTTTGTTTGCTGGCCGGAAAGCATGTTGTGTGTGAGAAACCGATCACAGTCAATGCCGCACAAGCAAAGATACTGTATGAGACAGCAAAGGAGCGCCCAGCTGACTGCTTCAAATCCTGCTTGATCCAACGCCACATCTTTACTCAGCGCGCTGACCTTAGCATCTTTGATCAGACCCTGCTGCTCAGCCTCTTGCGACATCATGTTTGCAAGATCGCTCCAGACGTGCTCGCCATTTTCTGCAAACATGTATCCATGAGAGCCCCAAATATCATCGTTCGAGTCCTGAGCCATTGCTCTTTCCAACAACAGTAAGTAGAGATCGCTCAAGTCTTCGATATGAACGTTGTTCCACCGAGCTTTGCCTTGTCCAACCACTGGGATGAGACTTTTCGAAAGGATCAACTTGCCCATCTCGTAGACTTGACGACCTCTTCCGCTGACTGGTCCCCGGCCCGTACCTACATAATCAGCATTGACCCATTCGCATAGAATGCCATGACAAGACTGACCGTATATAGTGGGCGGACAGACAATGACCGTCTTCACGACATCTTTGTTCTTCGTGCCCGCTTCTAGCACGATTTTGTCCACATTGCGGTGGAAGGCTTCGTCTGGAAGATTTACAACCTTCTCCACGCCTGCAAGGTCGTCATACTGTTCATCAGTCCACTGCCCGAGGGTTGCGAAGTCGTTCGCAGAGTCTTTGTAGCAGAGGATGCCAGTTCCGCCGGTGTGTAGCCAGTATCCGGGCTTCTCTTTCGTGTGGCCGCGTGCTAGCCCTGCCGCGATAGCTCTTGCAGCTCCTTCATGGACCACAGCTACATATGGGCTGAGCGCACCAGGCGGTTTGGTCTTGCTTTGCTTCTACTCTTGCGAGTCTTAGGAGCTTCGACTATCATTGTTACGGAGATCTTGGAAACGAGGATGAGTCAGGCAAGGAACTTTGGCGCAGACGCTGTCCTTTGCCCGCTGCGGACTACGGACGAGAATGAGACTACGCTTGATACCATCCAAAGACTGACTGGGGATGGTGTTGATGTCGCCTTCGACGCCACTGGATTACAATCAACTTTGGATCTATCAATAGAGGCCACCAAGCCTCGAGGCACGATCTTCAACGTGGCAATCCACAAAAAACCTTTGTCGCTGAACCTGAATTCACTTGCGATCAAGGAGAAGAGACTTCTTGCAGGAATATGCTATCTCGCAGAGGACTTTGCAGCCGTCATCGCGATGATGGCTGACGGGAGTCTCAACGCTGACAGAATGATCACCTCGATCGTACCACTATCCAACGTCGTGCAGGGCGGGTTTGAACAGCTAATCCATAACCGTGACGCACACGTGAAGATCCTCATCCAGCCCGACTAATCTAGTCATACGAATGCAAAGCTTGCGCTCTTCTGTCTTTGGAGTTTATGTGACACGTTCTTCTCTGACCATATACTAAGAGTGTCTGGACCCATGTCTCCTCGGTTCACCTAACCATCCGATGGGTATAGAAGTGATAGGTCGCGAGCACATAATTTCGTCGCCAGTGGACAAACTCGATTTGACGTACGAGCTATCGGAGGCTTTTACACCTCTCACACTCAAGAGTACCTCTTCTCGTAGTTCATACCTAGACTCAGTATACTTGACCCGCGTGTAGTCCTCCCGTAATCAGCATCTCCCCGCTCGTCATGTAAGCGCTCGCGTCCGCAAGCAAATAGACTGCAGCAGCCTTGAGATCTGTTCGATCTCCCATACGTTTCATCGGCGGCTCTGACTGGAAAACCTCCCCCAACTTCGGTCTCTGCTTCACAAGGTCTCCGATCAAATCGGTTGCGATGCATCTGCATGTTTGGTCAACTCAAGCTTCGAAGGTTTTCGATTTTTTGAGCTTACCCTGGTGATATACAATTCACACGGACACGATGATGAGCAAGTTCAACGCCCAGCTGTTTTGTGAGTGCCAAAACACCACCTTTGCTCATGCAATAATCGCTGGTGAATTGATCCTTACTTGCTCGATGCGCAGCCATCGACGCGATCATGACGATGGATCCAGCACACGCTTGAGAGGTGTCGATGGTTTCGGCCTGTTTGACCATTTGTCTCGCTGCCAGCTGTGCTGAGTAATATGTTCCTAACACATTGATCTCCACGCACTTCTTGACTGAGCTTGGACTGCGCTCGAGGAAGGGTTCATCGGGACATATGCCGGCGGCCGTGATGCTGGACTTGTCAGCTTTGTGGAAAGGGAAGCTCGGAAGGCATCAAGCCAGTAACACTAACACTCCATCGATTCTTTTGAAATCGGCCACGATATCTCCAAACGTGCTTGAGAGTCTATCGTAGTCTGTCACGTCTGACCTAGTACATCGTATCAGCATTCGTACTTTGGCTCTGAGAACGGCATCCTAAGAACAGCATCTATGCTTCGGCGAAACACGATAGTGGTCCAAGGCAGGGGTTTATTTCGGTAGAGCCGGTGACGAGTCACTTCTTGATGGCTGTCTTTCTCTCATCGAATGCCATTAGACACCCGAGACTTACCACCACCTTCGCGTTTCATAGTACACAGAGCAGAATCAGAACACTTACTGGTAGTAGCGCAATCCGGAGCAAATGTCCTGCAGTCTGTTATAGTTCTCGGAAGGCTCAGGGGAGGCGTCGATTATGGCCACTTTCCCACCTGCCTCTGCGACGCCGAAGGCGAGGGCAAGACCAATTCCCTTGGCTGCGCCTGTGGTCACGACGACACAGTCCTGTAATGACATGAGGTCTTTGACATTGGAGGTCAGATAGCTATCTGTTGGTAGGATGGACGACCTCGTCATCGTCTTCTTTGCGGTGTCCAGCGTGATGCTTCTTGACTGCATGTTCAAGTTTGTGCGCTGAGGATATACACCGGTAGAGAGGGGCAACCGGTTCCATTGTGACTGGGACCATGTCTTTCTCGGAAGAAGGGCGTTGGTGCGTCGGGCACTCATAGTCGTGAGTCTGCGGGACTGGAGCGTGACAGCCGACATGATAAAGCGCTGCTTGCGAGATAAGAAGTTGATAGTATCGTTTGCGCTTCTTCCACTCGACTCAAATGAAATCAGACGACTCAGAGCCACTGCGAGTGCTTCTTCGAGACAGATTTGGCGGGTTCGTTCGCCCTCCGTGACCGGGAGCTCCTTCGCGGTAAGAACAACCAGCGCGGGGCATTGCGGGGAAGCGGCGACCCGGTTATATGTTTCTTTCGCAGATGACCGGCGACTCTTCCAACCCGGTTATCTCTTCCGACTGGTAGAAGCAAGCGGGCACTGTACACCGAAGTGCCCAGTACTGCTGACATTCGGAGAATACCTTCGAAACAAGAACTGATTAAGAATGCATGACATCCATCTCGAGGAGATGGTAAAACCATCGAGTCCCCTTTCACCACATATCACATCATGCCTGTTCCCATCAATAGCGACCCAACGGCGAGCGTGCCAGTCGCTGACAAACCAATCACTGATGAAAGAAAGGACAGTCAAGCCGTTCGAGAGATAAGGAAGCTGGTCATCGACATCTGTCGTCAAAATGGCGGTGGTCACGGTGGTTCCGCTATTGGCATGGCACCGATGGCTGTTGCACTTTGGAGATACATCATGCGACATAACCCATCCAATGCTGAGGTGAGCATCGATGACACCGGCTGTCCATTAATGGTATTGACTATCATGACGACAGTGGTTTGACCGCGACCGGTTTGTCTTGTCCAATGGGCACGCCGCTATGCTCCAGTACGCCATGCTCCATGTTTCCGGATATCCACACATGACCGCAGACGAACTCAAGATGTACGGCAATGCGAAAGCCGTGGATGAAGCTACTGGCAAATGGAAGTCGACGCTTTGCCATGGTCATCCAGAGATAGAAGTGCCTGGTGTTGAAGTGACGACTGGTCCTTTGGGCCAGGGCATCGCGAATGCTGTCGGTCTAGCCATCGCGTCCAAAAACTTGGCGGCAACATTCAACAGACCAGATTTGAGGGTGATCAATTCACACATCTATTGCGTCACTGGTGATGGGTGTATACAGGAAGGAGTCGCAAATGAAGCCATGGCTATCGCTGGACATCTCGGACTAGACAATCTCACTCTCCTGTATGACAACAATCAGGTCACTTGCGATGGCCCCTTGAACTGGATCGTATCCGAAGACACTAACAGTAAGATGCGAGCTATTGGCTGGAATGTTATCGATGTGCTCGATGGCGATGTGTCAGTAGACAATATCAGTCGCGCTCTGCGCGAAGCAAGGGCATACAAGGGCAAGCCAAGTTTCATCAATATCCGTACCACAATCGGTTATAATACCTCGACAGCAGGCACTTTCAAATCACATCATGGAACTTACTCGGAGGAGGACGCAGCGAACACTGCAAGTCCTGGCATCGCTGCCACGCACACTTTGACGGAAGAGACACGAGAATACTGGTCAAACAATGCCAGTAAGGGCGCAGCCTTGGAGAAGAGCTGGGTTAACGATGTCAAAAGTTACTCCAAAAAGTACCCAGAACTTTCGAGAGCTTTGGAACTTCGTATGGCCGGCCGATACGATGTCAAGGATTTCCTCGAGAGCTTCGAAAAGCCGGACAACATTCAAGCGACCCGTCAGTACAACGGCGCACTGTTCAACGAACTTCTATCGCGAGTACCCAACATGGTCGCAGGCGGTGCCGACCTGTGGAACTCGAATCAGATGGGTGATCAGTCGCATCGGATCTTTGATCGTGACCATGCTGATGGTCGTGTCATTCGTTATGGCATCAGAGAACACGCGATGGCCTCAATTTCCAATGGGCTTGCTGCATACTCGCCGGGTTGCTTTATTCCCGTCTCTGCGACCTTTTTCATGTTCTATCTCTACGGCGCTGCTGGTGTCCGTATGGGCGCATTGAGCAATCTTAAAGTTATCCACATCGCGACTCACGATTCGATTGGCGAGGGGCAGAATGGACCAACGCATCAGCCCGTTGAGCTTGATTCTTTGTTTCGCGCCATGCCCAACCTCCAGTATATTCGTCCAGGGGATAGCGAAGAAGTAGTGGGTGCATGGATGGCTGCATTAGTGGCTGAGGACCGTCCGAGCATGCTCTCACTCGCTCGCGATCCTGCGTTGTCTCTGGTCCCGAACACAGACAGACAGAAGGTCCTTAAGGGAGGTTACGTCCTTGTCGAGAATGCAGATGCGCAGGTTACCCTGATCTCGTGTGGTTCAGAATTACAATTCGCGGTCGAAGCTTCGAAACAGCTCAATGCTGCAGATATCCCCACAAGGGTTGTTAGCATGCCTTGCATCAGTCTCTTCGAGGAACAGTCGGAAGAGTATCAGGACTCTGTTCTATCTGGGACTCCTCACGTCATCTCCGTCGAGGCTTATATCGCGACTACATGGGCGCGATTCTGTACAGCTTCCGTCGCGATGGATTCTTATGGTTATTCCGGCGCAGGTCGTGAGAACTTCGATCGCTTTGGCCTCGATACAGACGGGATTGTAAGAAAGGTACAAGCGCACGTCAGATCCTCTGTCGCGAACGGTCTCAGTCGCCATCGTCGTTGGCAGCTATTGAAGTAATAGCATGTTGTAACACAACTAGAAGACAAATTTGAGCATGGCAAGTGTTCTGCTATCAGCCCGTCATCCAAATTAAATATTGTTCACTATGGAGGCTATGTAAGCTAGCTCTGGAGTCACAGGACTCCTTCTTTGCTCTGAGAAGCATTGTAGCATCAGGTGCACTGAGTATGGCACGTGATTTGCCGTCCCGGATACTGTGAGATTACGCAAAAGGATGAATTCTTAGGCTAGTATCCGTTCTCGTGTTTGACGTTCAGCATGACCTCTCGTCCGGCTAACTGCTCGAACTCAATATCACACCTTGTGAGAGAACCCGGCTTCAACAATCATATTGCCGGGCCGCGCGTAACAGTTCAGGCGATGCGGGAGAAGATTCCCGGCCAAGTTGCAAGTTCTCACTCTGCGTAGCTCGGTAGTGAGGTCAACTTGTGATCGGCACCTTTGGGGCTGTTGTCCATACACTCGAACACTCCAGCTTGGCTAGATCCTGATAGGGTCTACTTATTCGTGGGGCCACGCACCGTCATTCCAAGTAACTTATCATCTCGTACATCGCACGTTCCAACATCAACCGTGTCATCTACAACAGCTTACACAGCCCCAGATGGGTTACAACAATAGCTGGTTCAAGCCAGGTCGACAGACTCAGCTGGCTATCACTGTCAATTGCCTCCACGCATTCTTTTTGTGAGTCATCAATCCTCTTCGTCCAAGTCGCGCATTGACCGTGATTTCAAAAAGATTCGGCTACGACCAAGGAGTTTTTGGTGGATTGATCACAAATCCTGATTTTCTTGAGGTGGTGGATCATCCTTCAGAAGCATTCCTAGGCTTCATTGGTGCGTTGAACTCATACTGCAGACTGTAGAGGGTTGATTTTGACACATCACAGTTTCAAGCTACAATCTTGGATGTCTAGCGGGATGTCTTCTCAACTTCTTCATTGGAGGCGGTATCGTGCGTCGGCCCACGCTTTGGCTGGCCATGCTCTTGATCAGTGCTGGTGCTGTCCTTCAAGCCGCAGCCTTTGGCGTACGGTCCCCCGAGCGAAGCCGTGTCCTCAAACAGCTAATCACACCGTCTAGACACCACAAATGATTGTTGGAAGAATTGTTACAGGTTTTGGTCAGTGAAAAATCTCACAAGTTCTCGCGGAATCTGGATGTATTGACTGAAACCTTTGTAGGCGTGGGTATTGATACCTCCACAGTTCCTATGTAGTACGTACAACCCACTCACTCGCCGGACATATGTCTTGCCTGCTGCTTGGTACCTCAATGCATTCGCTAATCATCCATGCAGTCAGGCCGAGTTGTGCAAGAGTCACGTCCGCGGACGTCTGGTCACCACCGAGGTTCTCTTCACTGCTCTTGGAATCGCAGTTGCGTACTTCTTCGCATTCGGCATGAACTTCGTCGGAGGGGCTGTTGCGTGGAGACTGCCAATCGTCGCCCAGATACTGCCCGCCATTATCATTTCCGTCGTTCTCTTCGGACTTCCTGAGACTCCACGGTGGCTCATCGAAAGAGGTCGCGTGCAGAAGGCCGTTGACGTCATGTGCCAGGTGTATGGCGCTGGACCTGAGGACGCATACATCGTATCTGAGAAAGCCGCTATCCTTGAGACACTCGAGTTTGAAGCAGCCGATCCATTTAAGTGGACAAACATATTGAAAAAAGACCGTGTTCATACAGGGTGGAGAGTCTGGCTTGCGGTTCTCGCTCTCTCATTCAATCAGGTATGTCATCAAGGCGTGCTCGAACGGATGGTTTGTACTCACCCGTTACTGTAGTGGTCTGGCATCAACGTTGTGGTCTTTTACATTGGCACCGTACTTGAAGTCAACGTGGGTCTACCTAGGAGTACCGCGCTCGTAGCTGGGGGATGCATCAATCTCGCTTTCGCTGTAGGCTCCTTGGTCCCGGCACTTTTCCTGGACCGTATCGGACGCCGCAAACCCATGAGTAAGCATACTGGAGCACTGAATCTTATGTCCACCTGCTGAACTGCATGAGTCTTTGGTACAGTAGCTATGGGTCTATCATTGATGGTCATCGCCATACTTCTGTCCTTCCAGGGCACCGCTCGGGAAGCCGTCACTTCAAAGATCACCATCGCCTTCTTCGTTCTGGCAATTCGCCGTCCGATTGAGATGTCATCAGATAACGTGCTGACACAGACTTCACAGTACATGATATTTTTTGGCAGTAGTCTGAATGCTATACCATGGTGCTACGCACCCGAAATCCTGCCCCTCAAATCCAGAGCGAAAGGCACTTCGCTAGCAGTCATGATGAACTGGGTATTCGTATGTTACATGACGCGTATCATGGATATCAAGACGCTTAACTGATATATTGTCCAGGTCTTCACCATAGTCATGGTAACTCCGACCATGATCACAAATATCAGATGGAAAACCTATCTCGTCTTCATGGCTTGCGTACGTGTTTGACATCAAAGTCGCGCCATCGCATGCTAACGGTGTGAGCAGAACTTTGCGATCGCTCCCAGCATATATCTTCTCTTTCCAGAGACTGCAAGACTATCGCTTGAAGAAATTGATCACATCTTCATCAAGGATGATGTGGTGTCTGATTCATCCGCGAGTCAGATTGGACCGAACTCTCACGGATTTTCGAAATCTCACGAGGCTGGCAGTATGGAAGTCAGACACCTCGAGTGATGCTTGAGATGCCAATTTTTACCGATGACCTTGTAACCTCGTCATAGCCTTTTCCCCTTTGGTAATCTCTTTTCAGTTAGCCCCAGTCGGTCTCATAGTGGTCGCGGCGTCGGCTATATGCCTACAAGACACCGCATCACACACGGATGAGGTTTGTGCGGGGACGAAAGAGCGAATCTGCTTTTCAGATAGTGTCAAATACGAATGTGGAGACCTTCATTTGAAGGCATTGTGATTGCGTTCCTGACTTACTTGATCGAAAGCCCGAAGATTGGCTAACTCGCGTCTCCATACTGGCAATGGAACATGCACTGAAGATCTTCCCTAACGGCTTGCCCAATCTTGAGCAGTTGGTAGCTTACAACAAAGGCAAAGATGTTCCTCCAGAGACTAGCTGGATTTGGGGTAGAGATGATGAGGTAGGTGATTGGAACTGTGGCATCACCCATCCCGGACTCAATTGCTGACTGCACACAAGATTGGTCGCATTAATCTTCTGACACCAGACAAGATCATAATCGCAAAAGATCGGCAGATACAACAGGGCAAATTTGTCTCATTGAAGTAATCGAAAGATCATCTTGCAGTAATGAACTTGAGGCTGATCATCAACTCTCCTCAGCTGGCCGATGAACCTGCCCACCAAACCAGCTTTTGGACGAGATGCTTGCAAGCGCACGGTCAAGAATCATCCAGATGGTCCGATGGTCTTTGACGATTGGATTGACATGAACGTACAATCTGGCAGCCAGTGGGACGGCTTTCGGCATTTCGGACATCAGACGCAAGGTAGATTCTACAACGATCTGACTCCGGATGAAGTCAAGTCTGGTATGTATCTTCCAACCATTTATCAGCGTGAGCTGTATCTCTTTAAGCGCATCACTGACGCAGGTAGGGACCCGTTGCGGTATTCAAGCGGTATCCGACCACGGCATAGCTGGTCGTGGGGTTCTCCTCGATTACTACAGCTGGAAATGTGCTAAAGGAGAGCATTACGATCCACTTACAAGTCATCCGATCCACCTCGACGAGCTTCTTGCTGTCGCAAAGCATCAGCATGTAGACTTCGAACCAGGCGACATATTGCTGATCAGAAGAGGTTACACTCATGCATACTACAAGTATGAGAAAGATGACCCTTCTCGACTCGACGAGGCGGGCTCTGTTCATCCATGCCTGGCTGGTGTCGCTCAAACAGAAGAGATGAAAACCTGGTTGCATGATAAGTATGTTCCAATCATCACTCGTATACGTTCAACCATGTTGACCCTTTGCAAGTTACTTCAGTGCAGTGGCTGGAGACGCACCGGCCTGGGAGTGTTGGCCACCAGGAGAATGGGCGTTGGTAGGCCGATCATCAAACTTCTGCTCCCACTGCCCTCACTAACACTTTGGCTCAACCAGCATGAGTTCTTACTTGGTTCCTGGGGTGTACTCATTGGCGAGATGTTCGATCTGGAAGTAGGTCACGAATTTGATCATCATGCTTATAGCTGACAACAATTCAAGGCACTAGCTATACAATGCGAACAAGAACGACGATGGTCGTTCTTCTTTTTAAGCACGCCTATGAACATGCCAGGTAGGTTGCATCTTTGTTGCTTTGTAACTCACGTTACTGACATGAAACAGGCGGTATCGCAAGCCTTGCAAACGCTGTCGCTATTCATTGAGTATGAGCTTTGCACATCAAAGCATGCGAGTCACTGCTACCACAGCTTCCTCGATCCACGGCAAACCCACAGGCAGTACTGTCCGGCAGAGAGCGGTTGCAGGCATGTTTTCTCTGGGATATATACCTAATAGTCAAGCTCAAGCTCGCCTGCTCAAGGTCGTGATGAAATCTATCACTGTTATGTCTACCACAGCTGCCGAGATCTTGAAAGGAGGCGGTGCGGTGATGAATCTCTCCAAAAGCTCTTTTGGAAGGAATACGTACTAGACGTATATGTATATTCATCATCAATAAAGTGGTTGTGAGTACCTCGGAGCCTCGGCGGCATAGAGCGCCACAATATGGGATTGTTGACTCATCATGTCATTTCCGGGTCTTACTCCGACATCCCGACAGGTAAAGTACGCAGTTGTCCTTGAACTCGGCTTCCGAAAGCACGACATTAGCTCCCAAGTACAGTAGGATGGTTCGAGCCACGAGGCGGGGTTGCCTGCCGGTTCGGCAATCAAAAAGCCATGCACTACCTCTCCGTCAGCTATCCAACACCACCCACGTTAATCAAGATAGAATGTGAGGATGGAACCCCAGGGTCTCGAGTCCGAAAAACCGTCACCGCTCACCTTGAGTGAAGAGGCTCAAGCATCATTCAACTGGGATGATCCACGAGAGACAAGAAATCCTATGCATTGGAGCAAGCCAAAGAGAGTTCTCCACACAATTATACCATGTTGTGCGGCATTTGAGGCGTAGGTGAGCAATTCGTCTACTGCGACATGGTCTAACGACACAGCAGGACATTTGCCACATCAATTTTGGTTCCTGCAACGCCTGTACTCATGCAACACTTTGGAGTCTCACGAACGGTCGCGCTTTTGTCACTGACGCTCTACACCATGGGTATAGCGATTGGACCGCTGTTCATCGCTCCACTGTCCGAGGTCTTTGGAAGGAAATATGTCTACATTGCCTCTCTCACCATGCTATTGGCCTTTACTGGAGGTGCAGGAGGTGCTCGAAGCTTTGGTACTTTACTTGCTTGTCGCACACTAGCTGGTATACTTGGATCTTCGACAGTTGCTATTGGTGCAGGCTCGATCGCAGACATCTGGGCTCTCGGCAAGAGTGGTGGAACTGCATCCCTCTGCTTCATCCTCGGACCGTTCCTTGGTCCGACGCTAGGGCCTCTCGCTGGTGCATACATCATGTATCATCGTGACGATGATTGGAGATGGACAATGTGGCTGTTGTTGATCGTGGGTGCACCAATCTGGATCGGAGCAGTCTTGATGAATGAGACATCCCATACCATCCTCTCGCAAAAGTATGGCCATGTCAAAGTGCAGGCCTCTGGGAAAGGGTTGGTTGGCGCAGCAGTAGAGAGGGTGATGATTGGGATCAAGCGTCCGACAAAGATGATCTGCACTGAACCCATCGTCGTCTCACTATCTCTCTACACTGCTTTCGCCTACGCCACGATATTCAGTTACTTCGGAAGTTCCTCATACGTGCTCCAGCGATACTATCACTTCAATATCCGCGAGGTTGGCTTGAGCTTCATCAGTGTCATCATCGGCTACCTGTGTGCTGCTCTCATGTTTGGCACCTTCGACAAAACTCTATATGCCAAAGCGGCTGCAGCAGGAAATGGGACTGCCGCACCTGAACATCGTTTGTATGCGGCCATGGTGGGCAGCATCTTTTTGCCGGCCAGTCTCTTCTGGTACGCTTGGGAAGTCAAGACAAACGGCAGCTGGGCAGCTCTTGTTGCCAGTGGTATACCGTTTGGCCTAGGCTCGTTCTCAATTTTTGTGAGTCGAGACTTGAGTACTTGAATATTTGAACAAGTCGGCTGATGCGTACTAGCTATCTTCAATTACATACATGGTCGATGTTTACAAAGCCAGAGCTGCAGCATCAGGTAAGTCAGTGTTCTAGATTATCATAATGCTGCTCAACTGACGGAACATCAGCTATCGCAGCAAACGGTGTCCTGCGTTACATGCTAGGCGCGGTTTTTCCGCTCTTCACCATACCGATGTATCAATCACTCGGTCCTCACTGGGCAGGCAGCATCTTTGCGTTCCTCGCTCTCCTGCTTATGCCTATCCCCTGGCTGTTGTTCCGACTTGGCCACAAATTGCGATGAGGCAAAAGAGAATTGTCCACTGCGATTTGTTCGCGTTTATGTATCACCATTGCCAAAGAATGTAAAGAGCCTTTTGAGGTCAAGTTGCTAATCGTTGATACTCTAGTCGAGTCCAGCAGTACTAGCGTATTCCCGAGAGATAACGTAGTATATAGCTACCACATCGATGGTAGAAGACTGGAAAGCCAATCGCTCGGTCATCTCAAGAGACCACAGCGGATTCTCGATGTATTGGTGTATGTTGTTTCGACATCGTGGAAATGATCCTTGATGCTGGAGGCGAATGTGGCTGGCTCTCGACGCTCTGGATCTTGTACCGCGGCGGTATCGGGAGGGCGCGGATTCGTGCACCATTCGGCATGTCGTTTTTGTCCGCACGAGCAAGAGCATGTAGCATATCTGGTTCAATGCCAGCTGGTACGTGTCTCTGCGCAATCCTCAATCTTGCGAGCTCCGGCTGAACGTCAATAAACCAGGTGTCGTCTGCCAGAGACGAGATCTCATTCCAAGGATGCACATCAACTAGGAGCCAGCTGCCCTTGTCGAGGTGCTGGAACAAGGCAACAATCTGCACTTTGATTTTTACTACTTTGGCTACATCCGTGACAGACCATGCGTCGACGGTCCTGGGAGAGTGATGGTTTGGGTATGTGGGAAATACTCTGTTGTTCGGCGTCCATGTCCAGGGACGGCCAGTCTACCTCTTGCTCCTTGGACTTGGGCCCAGCTGGCCACCATGTTCAAGCAGATAGTAGCCTCATCGTAGTTGGACTCGATTACAGCCAAGAACTTGTCAGACAGCTGCGGACGCGCACAACGTGCAAAACAATCTCGACCGCTGCTGCTTTGGTGCCTTTGGCGTCTGTCTGCACGATGTATGTTCCGCTCTTACTTACCTGCTTCGATGTCCTCGAGTCCCTTTTCGTCAGCCATGATTCGGGTTCATTCACGAAGCTTACTGGTACGCATGAAACGTCTTTGCTTTGAGCACAAAACGGGCGGTCGATCAAAGACCGGCAAGATTTCAGATCCAGCGATGACGGCACGAGTGATGACAGTGCTTCAGTCCGAGCTCTCGGAGAAAGTGGAGGAGAACCAACCTCCTGAAACAGTGCCGAGCACCGACATTACCCGATGTGAGGCGCGTCATGGATCAGATAAGAATCCAACAGGCACACATATGACGATCTTAGGGTCTTCTTCCTTTTTCATCAGTCATTTGTATGCAAGGCGGTGCAAGGCGTGCCATCACAGTCCACTGCTATGCACGCGTTCAATGGCTCCATGCGCGACAGGGCTCGCTCGCATCCTTCGTCTTGACGCCGCTTCGCTTGTATTATTTACAAACACGAGAGCGGACCGCCGTATTCGTGTTGATCACGACTCCTCCACATCTTCTCCGCTATGATTGTGCCATCGCACATGTCAAGCACTCCGTGAACGACTCATGTCGGTACATCTCCTGGCCACGCTTCTCAACGGGCGCTGATGTCGTCGGTCAGCCCTAAGATCCATGCGAGACTCGGCAACAGGCAATGCACGATGCGCTTGAATACATGCTGGAGCCTGCTGCACCATTTCAAAGGCTCGTCTTCTGTCACGACACAGAAGCACTCGCTGCTGGCTGCCATGAACGTCCAAGTGCGACCCTTGCGAAAGACACATTGGGAAATCGAAGCGCTTGGCTATGGATCCTGAATGGAGACTCATGCAGTGTGGTGCAGATCAGTCGCACGAACAATAAAAGTTTAGGCGAACGGGCTGCTGCTGCCGCCCTCAAGCTATCTTTGGAAATGGTCCCCAGCAGGGCACAACCATTTAAGAAGCCTGTGAACGTCTACTATTGTCGCATTTTGACTGCTCATCCTCTCTTGCAAGCTCTCCCATGATGCGTTCAATCGCTATCTCGTTAGCACTCTGTGCGGCCTCCACTTTAGCTGTCACAATCGATACAGAAGGTCTTCCCGACACTGGACTTGACACTTCAGCATGGACAGCTGGAACCCTCCCGCCAATCGAAGACCTCGTTGATGCAAACGACTTCCAAATCGCCGCCAAAAATGTACTGTCCACCAAGAACTATGCTTACTATCGCACCGCCGCTCTGGACGAAGTCACATACAACGCCAACATGTTTGACTGGGAGAAGATCCGACTGAATGGTTTCAGCTTCACCGATGTGTCCAACATCAACACAAAGACAAGCATCCTGGGACATCAATTTGACGCACCATTCTTCATTGCTCCTGCGGCAAAGGCCGGCTTTGCGAGTAATGGCGCTGAGACCAATCTTGCGAAAGCGGCCGGTGCTGCGAATTTGCTATACGTGCCTTCAATCTCTTCATCGCAATCGATTGAGGAGATTGGCAAGGCAGGTGTCAGTGGCCAAGTCATGTTCCATCAGGAATACATCTGGTCAGACACAGCGAAACTCCAAGACGAGTTGACACGCATGGAGAAGGCAGGCTTCAAGGCCATCTTCTTAACGGTAGACAACACAGTACGTGAAACTGAACGGTGCTATTGGGTTTCACAACTGATTAGTATGCAGGGAGTCAACGGTATCAGAGACCGCTACCTTCGCTTCTCCGCAGGTGGCGATGCCGGTCACAGTTCCTCATTCACCATCGATGCATTGAACAAGCTCAGAAACATGACTTCTCTTCCCATTGTACCCAAAGGCGTCAAGACCGCCCACGACGTCAAGCTCTGCGCTGATCTAGGCTTCCCTGCCGTCTACATCTCGAACCACGGTGGTCGTGTCGTTGACTTGGCACCCACGGCCGTCGAAGTGCTGCTTGACGTGCACCGCCTATATCCCGAAGTTTTCGACAAGATCGAAATTTACGCTGATGGAGGTGTACGTCGCGCAAGTCACATCATCACTTTATTGGCTCTGGGTGCTCGAGCAGTGGGCTTGGGTCGTGCACCCATGTATGCCAATGTGTATGGTCAACAGGGTGTCTCGAAGCTTTTGGACATCATCAAGAAGGAGTTGACTACAGAGTTGGCATTGATTGGCGAAGCCGACTCGAACAATGTTCGGGGAAACCGGACTTTTGTCAACACTCGACGAGTTGAGCTGGACTTCTTCGGTGCCCCTTTACCTTGATCACATAGAGTTTCTCTTGCACATTTTACAATAGACATCTACATTTTCGAGCTTCATGAAAAGTCTGACTTGCTCAGCGATGTATTTTTGGCTATACATAGTGGGAAGCAAGAACTAATTCAGGGTACGTACCTGTGCTGAGAACCTTCCTGACTCTAGTTCCTCGATATGACGCTTGACATCCTTGACACAAAACCTAGTCCGTAGCGCTACCGCACTACAACTATCATGACTCGGATCCAGCTAGAAGGATTAAACTTTATATATCGCGATCACGGATGATCGTGGGGACCCCAGCCACGACATCCCCTGATGGTTATGATCGAAACGATCCCTACTGGGGTCTTGATATACCATCACAGTCATCACATTGAAAAGGCAAGGTAGAAGACCATAAAGAACTCGAGGCCAAATCGATCATTTGCTAAAAGTGATTTCATCTTGCGCAACACCACATCCTGTGATTTGCTGGAGGAATGTACATCTAGCTGGTGCCTTGCAGTTTTCCAGTCACAAACTTGATGCCCTGGTTCTGTACGTTTGCATCAGACTTGTAAGACAAGTGAGCCGCGGTGATACCGAGGCCGTGAGTCGTATCACAGACACCGTCACCCTATGACAATATTAGCAAGTCGTGCGATGAATCATGAAAAGCAGGGTAACTTACATAAGCGCAGACGTCCAGAGTCTTGCTGACCCAATTGGCAGGAATGCTACCGAACAAGGCCTCGAGCCCGCTCACGTTCTTGGTGGTCGAGCCGCCGTTGGAGTCGACGTTGCAGGCCAGGCCAGCCTTGCGTTTGGGGTCTCCGATGAGGAAGACACCCTTGATCGCATCGAATGCGGTACCAGTGAGCTTAGGCATAGCGTCAACAGTGGCGGCAGCACCCTGAGAATATCCTTCGAGGATATAGCATCTGTTGGGGTCGGTCTTCAAGCCGGTGTTGACTTGGTTGATGATCTAAAGTTGTCAAATCTCAACCCAAAGATGATTTCGAGAGCATATAGTTCAACTTACATCAGTAGTACCAACGATTGAGATTTGGTCGATGCTGGCGGGATAGACAGTATCGTACTCGGTACCGCCCATGACCTGAGCGATGATGGCCGCATTCATAGTTTTGAAGCTGTTGGAGGGCCCCTGAGGCTCGTTGGTACCACGAGTCTCAATGAGAGCTTGTATCAATGTCAGCACTATGGATGAGAAAGAAAGTGTTGTAGGGGAGGTGCATACTGTATGCTGTACAAGCGGCACGCTTCTCAAGCTGCTCGATTTTCTCGATGGGGCTCGCGAAGGCCTCGGAAGCAAGAAGAAGCAGGCAGGCGGCCTTGGTCCAAGCGTAGAGAGACGACATGCTGAACTATGGATGAACGATTGAAGGATGGAAGAAGTAGAGGCTGAGATGGTTGCTGTTTGACATTATTGCAGCGAGGTCAGACCTTTTAAGTGTCCCTTGGTCAGATCTTCAGGCCGGCAATCAACATCGAGTAAGGCCGTTGATTCACAAATTAGCGAGAGACATGGTTTCGCGGTACTTGCGCACTGCCGAGGCGAGCAGTTTGACGCTGGTATAGAAGGCCGTTACGCGTTGGTTGGAGCTTACTATATGTCTCAATCTGTAGCGCGTGCATTCCAAGCCTCTTGTTTGCGAATTCAGGCATCCCATTGGACCTTCGAGATGCTTCGAGTGCTTAAAAATCCTCTTCCCCAGCACGCGATCGTGATGAAACGCATGCCCCGCATTTTTTTCGCTATCCCGTGGTCGTATTAATATATTTTGAGGCTTAATCTGTCAACCTCGGCACAGTTCCATGCGATAGACAGAGCGGGATAATTATCCAGGATGCGTTGGTAGTCGAGCAATCCGTTGGTCTTCTGCAGCTCTTGGTCATCTGGAAGCTGTTACCGGATTGTAGGAGTTTGTGAAGCAGAGGCCTCGGTTACAAGACTGTCTTCACACCTGTCAGGCGAGACGGCCCGTGACCTGAGCTGTGATATGCACAAGGAGTCTAGAACGAATAAAGGAGGTAGAACGGCAGGCGACGATCATTGGACCGAGTCCGAGCTATGACTATGCAACAACACAGACGTGCCTTTGTCGCCGGAGTATAACTTAGGATGATGCATTGGCCATGTTCGCGAAGACGGCTTCGTATACCGTAAACAAGTGAGTTGCAGCTGGCACGATTTCTCAAACATTCGCCTGGACCAACATGGCACGATAAATAGCCAGTCCTTGACCGATGATGTTTATGAATGGCCATTGCGAATTGCTCTCGAAGAAGTGCGCCCAGATCTTCAGCACGGCAAGAGCCAGACCAGCAGAGCTGGAAGTATCCAGGACTTCCGGTTTATCTTCGTCAAAGTCAACAACTGCATATGCTTCTTCAACAATGCACTTGACCCAGTACCAGATTCGTTCTTCGCTATCTGATTGGCCGTCAGCAGTTGAGCACTGTCAACATCTATCTTGTGCTCACCATTAAGCGGATTTGTCGTTGCAGTACGCGTCAGGTTGAGCAGCCATTTACTCAGAAGTATAGCACAATCCAGACTGGCCAATGAGTGCCTGACACTCCAGAAAAACGCTTGACTCTTTGCGACTCGATCAACGCCGAGTCTGACGGGTATGCCAAGCATGTGTGTAGCATAGAGCAGCGCTGCAATTACACCTTCGCTGCGGTCAATCTCTGGACACCCTGCTAGAGCTCTGGCGATACGCTGCGGGTCTCGCGTGTGAAGTTGACGGTATGGCCCGAGGTTCAGATAGATACGGGCGTAGGCCAGGGCGAGCAGAGAACTGGATGTGAAAGGTATCGGACCATTCTCATTGTTTGGGTCGAGCGAAGATTCTGGCGCTTGTTGCCAACCAGATGTCCAGCACCGAAGACCGCGTCTAGAGGATCCATTAGCTCAACATGGGTCATTGCCGCTGCGGGATGTCTTACTCAAGCTTCTCAACTTCCTCGGGCGGGAGAGCTGCCATATCGCTCATGACTGGCAGACTCAAATCTCTGACAATGTGTATTCTCTGTATCAATCCGTGTAATAAGACATAGTTTCCCAGAGGTGTGGGAATCGGATCAAGTCTCGCGGGCTCACTCTTGTGGTCTAGCAGAAATGACAGAGCTTCTTTGAAGTACAGTTGTGGTTTCGATATCGACTTTCTTGCGACATCCCACAACACGGCTGAAGGAGCGTTCCATTCTAGAGTCGAGCAAGGTAGACGAAGTCCCACTTCGTTGCTCCGGAGAGGTGGGTATACGTCATAGGCGATACTGTGCGTGTGGAGGAATGAGAAAGCGACCATCTTCGTGCGCCGAGAAGATTCTTGAACGATCCAGGAGCGCCATTCGCCTTCTGTTGATGTTATCGGATGTGTGACCCCAAGTTCTTGCAAGCCCTCGCTTCTGAGAAACTGGGTAAGCAATTCGCGGACAGCGAAAGCTTGGTGCACCATTTTTGGTTTCGGGTCCCATGTTGCATATCCCATCAGTGTCAGCAAAGCCCTGATAGTCTCAATGGACGAAGGCACGGTTGGGATGCCGTAAGTCTGCTGATCATTTCCTCCAGCCGGGTCCAACAACAAGGGCTGAGCATCATGCGTTCCGGATGCTCCTGCGACTTTCATGACAAGAGCCTTCCCAGCAAAGAATAATTGTTCTGCCGCTCGCTTCTCAAAACAGTATTGCGCACCTATAGCAGCGATGCCGAGTATCACTTCGATAGGATGGTCATCCAGACGCCAGGTCGGTACATGTATGAACGGCATATGCAAGTGGAAGCCACCAAAGAAAGATTTGATATATCTGGTGAGCGAATGGCGAGATGGTAATCGGAACGTTGGATCAACGATGTGCAGCGACAAGCCAATGGCGTGTTCAAGTCTGATGCGTTGCTCTTCGGTCACGTCAAAACGTCTGGCTTCAGAATCAATCACGCGAGGATCTGTATCATGTGAGCAGAGGAACCCGTATTTTAAGGGCACAACATACTCGATATGTTACACACGCCGTCTGTCGTTCTGTCCTTGGTAGGGGCAGATGGGAGCCACGAACTAAACGGTGACCCCGCTCTCGCCCGCACATCGATATTCGAAGACGTAGGCCGAGCAATCTCCTTGATGGTAGCAGGTTCTTCGAGTCTCTCGAGGATTGGACTCCAGTCTACGCACAACCCGACGCCATCGAGAAAGCTGGCAAAATCGCGAAAAGGAATGTCGGGATCAATACCTGACAAGTCCAACGACGAGACAGGATCGCAGGGGTCCATTATATCGTTGATACCTGGTAAGGGGGTCGGGATTGTTGCAGCACTGTAATATCTGGGTTGTGCCAGGTTCTGTGACTGGTCGTCGTTTGACACAAACGCAGCTTGATCGATTGGTGTTGCTGTATGAGGTTGCGAAAGCTTCCTTGAGGCATCTCTCGGATTGAGCGACTCAACAACAATAGTGTTGGAGTCGTTAGAATGACTGCCCTCACTCTGCGCTTGCTGAACAGTGTTGATGGCAGCCGAAGTGTCGTGCGGAGCGTGGGACGGGTCATGTCCACTCACTCTCTGATGTCTCGTGAGTAGATCTCGACGTCCGAACGAAGCACCACAGTTGCATGAGAAAGGCTTTTCCTTGGTATCTGCATCGGGCGGCTATGAATACATGGTCGCGATTCGGACGGGCGGGCTGTGGACTTACGAGTTCGCACATGTCGCGACAAATGCTCGGTTCGCTTGAACGTTCGGCCGCAATGGGAACACAGACGTACGTTAGCACCCCCGATTGAGCCATCGACCCTGCGACGCTTGTTCGTGGAGACTTGAGGTTCGGGGGCATTTGACATGTCGACTGTCGCGGGTGTTTGGAGGTCAAGCGGAGGGCAGACGAGCACCTTGACGATTGGGGCACATTTTGGGGGCTCGACCCCGCACAAACCCCAATCCTTCTGCCGCGGCTGATGCTGCTACTCGGAGTACTCAACCTTGAATCATCCAAGTCATTTGGCACCACATGATACCATTCGACGAACCACTCAAATCGACGGATTGCGCGGAGCTGGCAGTCTTGTCTGAGAGTAGCACTTCTCAACGCTTGACTGAGTAGTGAACGAGATGAATATCTCCCCGAAGACTCCTCAAGGCTTTGCGCTGATCCATCTCCGACCAACGCCAGTGACAGCTATGAAAACATGCTCGCAAACACAGTGGCGCAACACCTTGATCGTACAACTTGCAAAAGCTTGAAACAAAGACGTGTATTAAAGCGCATTCGACCATGATATTTGTCTGATAGAATCACTAAGGACGCATACGATGTGGCGAGAACTTGGCTGGAAGCAGGGTCGACCCCACAGCAAAGATTTCTTGATTTCTATCATGCGTTCACAGTTTTGACTTTTGCTTGACATCCTCCTCCCTGCCAGCAAGGTTCGGGTGTGCCGCCTTGACAGGTCTGGTTACAGCATAGAACGCCAAACCGGCAGACTTTGTCGAGAATTGCACCTTGCTGCCAACGTAGAAGAAAGCAAAGTCTCCAGGAACCAAGTGATGCGTCACACCAGTTGCTTCATCCAGAACGTCGATCTGTCCACTGATCACGTACTTGGTCTCCTCGCAAGTGTAGTCCAGAGGGTATGCTTTGCCCTTTTCGATCTTGTAGAAGCCAGATGTCAAGTATGACGGCGAGTCGGTAGTGCTTGTGCGGATGCTTCAAGATGTCAGATATCTGGCGCTCGGGCCTTATTGCACCGGATGATTCAAGACTCACGAGTGGAAGTCGGCGACAGTAGCATTCTCTCCAGCAGGGAACGGAATGAACTCTGAGCTTGCGCCCTTGATGATGGTAAGAGGAACGGGGTTTCCAGACACTGTGCTATGGTCAGAACTTGTCCTCGGAGACGCGGAGGTCGGGCGTGTCCGCCAAACGCAAGAGCGAACTTACTGATGATAATATTGTAAAGGGCGGTTAGGGGAAATACAGGCTATCGGACAGGATATGGAACAAGGAGAAGCCACACGGAATGGTTTCTCTTCATATATGATAGAATATCATAACGGACTCTACTACCACAAAGCGGTTTCGGGGAGCGACTGTCCCGATGCGGTTGCGGCTTCCATACCTCGTCGCGAAGACCATTTCAAGAAGGCGTGATTGCTGGAAATACCCACAGGCGATGTCAAAGAACACAGAGCACCTACATATATGCGTCAACGAACGACATGACCAGAAGGCCCAATACAGGTATAAAGCAGAATCTTCGAGGCTCGTTGGTCTTGTCGCAAAACCATCTGTCGGGGAATGCTCGGCGAAGACCCACCAAAAACAAAATCTCTCTCGGCCCCGAAAAGCTGCTTCCAGTCTTCTGCCTACCTCTCGCGTCTTTTACGCCTGCCGCCAGCAAATGTCTGTATGCCATCCGAGCGATCGGAGTGATGGTCGTGATGTTCTAGAAAGTTGACGACCCAGCCGTATCAAGGTTCTCCGGATGGTCAAGGGAAAAACTGGCAGGATATCATCGGACGGTCGCGGGCGGCACTGGCGAGAGAGAAAGAGACTGGAATGCACTCGACAGAGTCGTTGTGTCGACTCTTGTCAACAAAATTCTGTCGCTATCCAGCGCCAAATCGATTTCTAGAACATCAAACATGCTTGTAAGTCGCATCTCGCCGCCGTCAAGTGCGAGGGTCCTTATCTATACTTTCAACGCGTCTACGTGTAGCATCCTTGCTATCTGCGGCTTGAAGCCGCATTCGTGCTATCATCATATCGCGTCCAATCATCTGCCTCGTTCCTCCACCACAAGCAAGTATCGGAGAAACAATGATAGCAATAAGCACGGTGGCGCGCGTGTACTTCTCAGCTCCTGGTAAAATGCGAGCGTCTAGCCCGTTTTCTTTTTCGCGAAGGACGCCGCTTTGCGATAACACCACCCACCGCGTCGCAACAACGAAACATATATGAACGACTGATGACAGCAGAGATTGCATTGTCTTTCAATTTCAATATTCCATACTCTTGAAGTCGGCGACTGGAAAATCCCAAATCCAATATGGTCTACCAGGACACCAAAGGCGACGCCTCCGGGGATGTCACACACACAGTCCAACCTATCGAATTGGGCCACTCCTCAGCTTATAAGCGTCGCTTTGCCGGCATCAAGTTGGCAGTTGATCAGGAGCCTAGCAGTTTTGCGACGAATCCGAATGCTTCGAACGCCGATTTCGATCCCATACCTCCCTCAAACCGCACCTGGACCTGGAAAGCTTATGTTGCCTACTGGATGGCAGACGCGTGGGCTGTTTCGAACTGGGAAGTAGCTAGCTCCATGATCGCTGGTGGTCTGAGCTGGAGAATGGCCATTGGTGCATGTGTGCTCGGAAACTTCATCATGGGTGTGGTCATTACGATGAACGGCAGGATCGGAGCACACCTCCACGTCCCATTCCCCATCATTGCACGTGTATCCTTCGGCTACTACTTCAGCTACTTCGTCGTGGTGTCACGTTGTGCGCTTGCAATCATCTGGCTCGGAGTCCAGACAGTCACTGGAGGCCAATGTATGGAGGTGCTTCTAACTGCGATATGGCCCAGCTACGCCAAGATACCCAACCAGATCGCCGCCGGCCAGGGTATCGATACGAAGGGGATGGTCTCTTTCTTCCTCTACTTCCTTCTCCAGCTTCCATTCCTTTGCATCCCCTACACCAAGGTTCAATACTTCTTTGGCTTCAAATCCATCATCGCACCCATCATTTTCTTGGCTGTCTTCGGCCATACCCTGCACAAGGCTGGTGGTACCATCAGCAACAGTGCAATCATCACTGCCCCTCCGACGGTCAAAGGCTCTATCTTGATCTGGGCGTTCTTCTCCAACCTCAACTCGGTTCTTGGCAACTACTCTACTCTCGGTCTCAACATTGCCGACTTCGCCAGATATGCAAACAAAAAGAGTGCTCAAAACTGTCAAGCGTTTGTTATCCCCTTCATCTTCACCATCGTCGGTCTGCTAGGCATCTTTACCGCCGCAGCGTCTACAGTCGCTTATCCTGAGGAGGTTGCTAAGGAAGGCACACCTCTCTGGAACCCAGTCACCATCGTCGGACTCTGGAGTGCGTCTGGATCTTCAGCTGGGCGTGCTGCCTCCGCATTTGGCGCCATTGGCTTGATCATCGTCACCCTGGGTATCAACATCTCCGCCAACTCGATCAGTGCTGCCAATGATCTGGTCTCCTTCTTCCCTAAGTACATCAACATTCGCCGTGGTCAGATTTTGGCTGCTATCATCGGTGCCTGGCTTTGTGTGCCGGTAAGTTTTAGAGTACTCGATGCCATCCCGCCTTCTCGACTGACAATACGTCGCAGTGGAAAATCCTTGCTTCGGCCCAGAAGTTCCTTTCCTTCCTGAGTGGATACACCATCTTCCTTGGACCCATGACTGCCATCATCATGACAGAGTGAGTATCTCAGTGCTTTGACGGTGCATTGCGAATACTCATCAGTTTATAGCTACTACGTCACTCGTCGCGGCAACGTCTCGGTACCTGACATGTACAGATTCGATGGCATCTACCGCTATTCTCCAAAGTATGCGACCAACTGGCGTGCAGTCGTCTCACTCATCGTCGGCTTTGCACCTCCTCTTCCCGGCTTTGTGGACAGCATCGATCAGGGCCACACCGGCGTGGCGCTCGCAGGCCAGCATATGTAAGAACATTCCTCCGAAAAATCTACATCACTCATGCTAATGCTTTTCGCAGCTTCGCAATTGGTTATGGATATTCGTTTGTCGCTGCTGGGCTCTGTTACTGGGCTTTGATGCGATTCGTGCCAGAGCACGAGAGCAGAATGGACCATGAAGTCACCGGTGAAGAGATTCTGATTGCGAACGATGAGAGAAAAGGAAGATACTGGCACAAGGAAGAAAAGAAGGGCTTCTCGGTAAAGAGCTGGGTATCAAGACGTACAGATAGCGGGTCGAGTGTGGCTTGAGGTCGTGTATCGCCACCAATTCTATCCTGCAGACTATATCCTATGCATTCTGTACCGATCATCCCCGTCGACAATTAGATTATCTATGTGATACAACAGCCTGCATAGCGACTTCTGACACCCAAGGTGAGAGTTGTTGATAAGAGAAGTGACACCTCACGTAATTCCGCTATACCGATGACCCCGCAGGTGGGGTATCGGAGGAGCTCTTATCTACCGATTTGCCGAGCCGCATGATATCACTGTTGCGATATAATCAATATCCATCAGCGACATCTCTTCTGACCCTTTGACTTTTGCTTGATCCCACCTGAAATTAATTATAACACCCGCGAAGATGACCAAAGACTGGAAAGAAGTCGCAGCCACGAAAAAGCAGCGCATCACCGACTCTATACCTAAGGAATGGGTCATCGACACATCCTCTCTCGATGCGAACGTCATGAAGGTGCCAGAGACTTGCGGTCTCCTCAGCGAGTCAGAACTCGACATCACAAACTCTTCCGCCACCGACCTGGTTGCCAGATTGGCCGACGGCAGTCTCAAAGCCGTCGACGTGACGACTGCGTTTTGCAAACGCGCAGCCATCTCGCATCAAGTTACCAACTGCGCTCTGGAGTTTTTCCCGGAGATGGCGTTGAAACAGGCCAAAGAACTGGATGAGTACTATGAGAAGAATGGTCGCACAGTGGGGCCACTGCACGGACTGCCCATCTCACTCAAGGATCAATTGCGCGTCAAGGGTTTGGAGACGACTATGGGCTACGTTGCTTGGATCGATAAGTACGACACCGAAGACTCTGTGCTTACTGCCATGCTGAGGAAAGCCGGTGCTATATTCTACATCAAGACCTCCGTGCCGCAGAGCTTGATGGTGTGCGAGACTATCAACAACATCACTGGCCGCAGTGTCAACCCTCGCAACAAAGATTGGGCGCCTGGCGGTTCTTCGGGAGGAGAAGGTGCGAATGTCGGTATCAGGGGAGGCATCATTGGTGTTGGTACTGATATCGGAGGATCTATCCGCGTCCCCTCTGCATTCAACTTCTTGTACGGACTTCGACCCAGTCATGGGAGATTGCCATACGGCAAGATGGCAAATAGTATGGAAGGACAGGAAACTGTCCACAGCGTGGTTGGCCCAATCGCCCACTCGGTGTCGGATATGAGATTGTTCGTCAAGTCAGTCCTGGAACAGCAGCCATGGAAGTACGACTCGAAAGTCATTCCCATGCCATGGCGGCAATCCGAGCACGATGCCGCAGTCAAAAAGATAAAGTCCGAGAAGCTCACTCTCGGGTTCTTCAACTGTGACGGCGTAGTAATGCCACATCCTCCAATCCTCCGCGGTATCGACAAAGTGGTTTCGACGTTGCGAGAAAACGGGCACACCCTCACAGATTGGAAACCCCACAGACACGACTACGCCGTCGACCTAATCCAGAGTATCTACGCTTCAGACGCAGGAAAGGACATCCACACCGTCCTCTCCGCGTCTGGCGAACCCGCAATCCCCAACATCAACGATCTGGTCGACCCTACAAAGTCCGCCGCAGACATAACCACCCTCTGGGACGTGCAGCTGCAAAAGTGGAACTTTCAAATGGAGTACTTGGAGAAGTGGAATGAGATGGAGGAAAAGCTGGGTAAAGAGATGGATGCATTCATTATGCCCATCACGCCTACTGCTGCCATCAGACATAATCAGTTCAAGTACTATGGTTACGCGAGTGCGATCAATTTGCTGGACTTTACGAGTGTGGTTGTGCCGGTCACTTTTGCGGACAAGGAGTTGGATAAAGAGGTTCAGGGATTCAAGCCGATGAACGATATGGACAAACAGGTGCAGGCAGAGTGTAAGTCGTCCACGAGCAGTGACAGAACCATAGTACTGACCGATAAACAGATGACGCAGAAGCATACCACGGCGCTCCCGTCGCCATACAGATTGTAGGCCGCAAATTGTCAGAGGAAAAGACGATGGCTATTGCTGAAGAAGTCGGAAGACTGCTTGGCAACGCAATCACGCCATGAAATGGTTACAGATAATTTAGTAAGATACTTACAAAGAACACATCAATCAAGATTTCCTCAAACAACAGTGAGAGTGTACATGCACGAAAGAAATAACTAATACATCAATGAGGATAAACAAAAAGAGATCAACTAATTATCGATATCGATACTGGACAAAAACACGCCAAACACACTCTCAACGCCAGGAAACATTCACAACGCGACTTACCGTTCAAACGAGCAATCTAACGACCTCTGTTGTAATAATCAGCAAGTTCCTGGCCATCAGCCCAAACCCAGTTTCCTCTTTCAATCAGACAAACAGCGCAGAACCAATAAGTATCCCAGAAAATCATACGGTGCTCACACAAAGGACAGCTAAAGTACAAACCGGGGATAGGGGTAGGGGTAGGGAAGTCACTAAGGATAACCTCAGAATCGTCGTTTTCGGCCTCGCAGTCGGAGCAGGAGCAGTCGGAGTCGGTGTCGTCGTCTTCGTAGCACTGACCGGACTCTTGGAAATAGTTGATGGGACGGTTGATCGAGGGCATGGTTTATGTGTTGGTGGTGTTAATGGTGTTGGTTGTGTGTGGGTGATAGGGGTGAGAGTGAGAGGTGGTTATATGTGGACTTGAGGGTGAAGAAAGTAGTCATCTCATCGACCATGGGCTTTGGGTAGCATAAAGAAAGGACAAAGACAATGGTATTGTGATGAAACACTTTGCAGATACATTGAGCTGGAGCGACAAAGGAAAGGACAAATCTCTTCACTTCAAACAATGGAATCCATTGTCTTTGGTCCGCGAGACTGTATGCCTCTCTAGCTGTGGACCACAGCCTCGACGGGTTGATTTGGTAGCATGATGGAGGTCAGCGTACCGACCGTGAGCAACTGCATCTGGCTGCTTGCTACCAGCCGGCTCATTTGCTGGGCTTGCTTCTTTTTCTCTGGCCTAATTTTTTCGCTCAATCTAGTCTTAAAGGTGGGTTACGTTTCTCACGAGACCAGAACGAGCAAAATCAAAGGGGCAGATGCAAACGCAGGAACTCGATGTCTCGCCAATACAGCCGACAAGCAGAAAGAGTTAAAGGTGGTGTCTAACACCGAGCGGATATAAGGCTTGAGAAATGTCCATGCTATCGCTTGTCTCAAAGTCAAATAGCAACACCACGAAGTCTAAATATATCTTGTTCGAAGCCCTAAGGACTGTGCGCGACCCTCGGGTCTATACTTGCCAGTTTCGTCGAACGTTGTCCGAACGTCTGGCAGGATAGCCAAGACAATATCGACAAGAAACTCGGGCATGGCAGTTAGAGTCGGCGGAACCATTGCACCGCACCTGGTTTGAGCTGCCGAGGGCTTCAGCGGAGCGTGGCGAAGGAGGATGATGTCGCAGGAGGTGAATCCCAAGGCAACCATATAAAAAACCCTCGGAGATGTATAATTTCACTTGCAATACCACACCATCCTTGCAGTATACCTCAATCTATCACTGCCCTTTAGCTGTCTAAAGACTGCTCTCCAACGTCATACACAATGGCCTCTACTCTTCAACCCATCGACCTTAGACAGCGCATCGAAACCACAACCCGAGCTTTCCTCTCAGCGTTCGAAGAAGGTTCCACTCTCCAAGATGCCTCTCTCATAAACCGCGATGTCACAGCCTCTTGCACGCGGCACATGCTCCCCGCCTCCATCCTATCCTCTTTCTCCTTACCACCAGCCTTCGCATTCTCGACCACAGCTTTCCAAGAGGTCTTTGCCAAGGACATCACAGTATTGAAATTCGCCAGCAATGAGCTTTCGAATTTGGTCATCGATACCGAGGCACGAAGAGCGGCGTTCACATCGAAAGCGGAAGTGCACACGGATGCCGGGGAAGTGTATTCGGCCGAACAAGCTTGGATTCTAAGCTTCACCGAGGATGGAAGCAAGATTGAAAAGGTGGTGGAGTTTTGCGACAAGGATGTCGTGTTGAGAATGGCGGGTGCGAGTGCTTGAAACTCACTCCGAGCCTGGGTAGTCTGGTCCATGACGAAAAAGAGCTGCAACCTTGCAAAGAATCTTGAGGCGATTTTTTTTGACAGATAGCGTGGAATGTAGAGGTGAGCTTAAGACTGTATGATTATACTGTCGCGATGTGAGTTGCCACGTATCGATCATGAAGAGCTTTGTGATAAAATCTAAAGACTTTCATATATTACTTTTTCTTGTCTCCGTAGCTTAGGATTCCAAGTTGTCAAAGAGGCATCATGTCCGGCTCCGCAATGCTCTACACCTTGTACAGCCAGATCAACATACTCTGGTAATCAGCCAAAGTCCATTGTAGGTTCAATCCTCCATTCATCAATGTGTTTCCGCTCAGGGTACCATTGAAACCTTGACTCTCGACCCTATACCTCGCCGTGCCATTCAGACCTTGCATCCTCACGGGCGGCGGCGCAGGCTTGATAACAGCCTGTTGCTGGAAAGCAAACAACACAGCCGTGCTCTTATCCTCGGAGACAAACTGCACAGCAGGCCAATTGCTATCACCAGGCCAAGCAATACGGTAGAAGCTGCCAGAGATAACGATAGGGTTGATTTTGTCATGAGTGGCGATGATGGAAGGAATCGCTGCGCGTTCCTCGGCAGACAGCTCAGAAGGGTTGAGTTCGAAGCCGAAGGAGCCGCACATGAGTGCCACATGAGCGCGGTATTCGATGGAGATGTTGCGGTTGGTGAGGCCGTTGGGCACCTTTGAAACGTGGCAGGCCATGGAGGAAGGGGGGTAGGCGAGCGAAGTGCCCATCTGGATGGTCAAGCGATCGGAGGCGTCGGTGTTGTCCGAAGTCCAGGATTGAGGATAGTAGTGTAGGATACCAGCGTCGAAGCGGCCACCGCCGGACGCGCAACCTTCCCATAGGATCTCGGGGTAGGAGCCCGTCAAGTTGTCCATTACGCGGTACATGCCAAGTGTGTATGCGTAGTCAGCGGCTGGGCTCGACATCTCGTGGATACCTCTGTTGTTGTCCCACTTGATGTAGGAAATGTTGGCAGAGTTGATGATGTCGGAGATAGCCTTGATGAGATAATCCTGCACTTCCGGAAGTCCAAGATTCAAGACCAGTTGGGTACGCGTAAGAGTGCGTACGTGGTTACCAGCATGCATGACCCAATCAGGATGCTCGTGGTAGAGAGTAGAGTTGGGGTTGACCATTTCAGGCTCAACCCAGATACCGAACGAGAGGTCATTGGTCGTGTTTGCGACTGCGTAGCTATCAACGGTGTTGACGTAAGGACCAAGGCCATTAGGGAAACGAGCAGGGTTTGGTGTCCAGTCTCCAAGCCCGGCAGTATCGTTTGTACGAGCATATGGTGCAGTGCCAAACCAGCCATCGTCCATCACAAACAACTTGATACCGAGCTCAGCAGTCTCAGACGCAAGGTTCTCGAGCGAAGTCTCGTTGATGTCGGCTCCAAGGCCTTCCCACGAGTTGAGAAGGACTGGTCGCGTCTCGAAAGTGTGGTTCGATCTCGAAAGATGATTGCGGTACAGATCGTGGAAAGATCTTGACATGCCACCGATACCCTCAGACGAGTAAACAGCAACAGCCTCAGGAGATTGGAAAGTTTGACCAGGACCAACAGGGATGCTAGCATGTAGCGGATTCAGGCCGAGCAAGACACGAACCAAGCCGTGAGAGAAGCGCTCGGCAGTTGCAGCAAAACTGCCAGTGTAGACAAGGTTGAACCCCCAAGCTTCGCCAGAAGTCTCAGTTGTAGTGGGAGAGTGAAGCGCAAAGAAAGGGTTGTGAACGTGTGATGAGTATCCTTCGGTACTTCTGAACCCAGTCTCGCCAAAGTCGACGTTTCTGATGACTCTGTTGGCCTCGTGAGACCAATCACCTTGCAACTCCAGCATCTTGAGGTCAAGGTTGGGGAGATCGGTGCTGAAACTAGCCGCTCTCTCAATGGAGATGTTGTTGGTGCCATTGTTGGAGATCTGGAAACTTCTTGCAATGGCGTTGTATTTGGGGAAGACGGAGTAGGACAATGCGGCAGAGACGTCGGAGTAATTGTCGTAGAGCTTGACGATTAGAGTCTGGACCTCCCCCTCATTACCATATGTGGCAGGAAGTCCAGCCAATGCAGGCTTTCCTTGCACAATCTCGTGACTTTGGTATGTAAAAGCAGAGACGGTATCACCATCGGCATGGCTAATGTGAATGGCAGGAAGGCGGAAATCGCTACGACCGACATCTGGGAACTCGCGGCGGACGTTGGTCAGACCAGGAGTGCCAACATTGTCGAGTCCAGTCGACCATCCTTGGTTTGAAATGTATACTTGGGGAGTAAAGTCGTCTACCGGTCCGCCGAAATGGTCAGAGACGAGGTCGCCAGAACGGGGGTCGACATGGAAGCGATATGAAACATCAGCACCGCTCAGTGAGAAGTTTGTGCCAGAGGCAGTGATGTCTGAAAGTCATGTTAGCTTCCACATGGCAATAGCCTTTTCAGCCATTGACGCACCTCCATTGACATAAGCCACCAGCCCGGTAATGAGCGAAACTCGAAACAAACGGCTCGTAGAAAACATCTCGAAGACTCAATGATGAGGATAAGATTGAACCTACAAAGCAGAGAGGCGCATCACTTTATATATGTCTTGAGACGACCGGTAAAATGCTGTCTTGGCCGGCTGCTGATCTTGAGAGGGAACCTGGAGATCGACATGGGATGTGGGGTATAGAACTTGAGGCGGAGTGGTGGACGAATCGATCGCCTTGTCGTTTCCGCTGCACACATGGCGTGGTACAGGTACAGGCACACCGTGTGCCGAAGAGATTAAAGCCTTCGGATGCAACCCTGGCGACCAGTCGGACCGAGCGATACATGAAGGTTGCTTTCCATATTACAGCCTTCCTCAAACATTGCCATGCCATGCTATCTATCAAATGACCACTTAGAGACGGATTGACTTACGACAGCTCGATACTACTCCTTCATGAGTACGGGGATTCAGATCACAGGCGGCTCTTGCTCACATGCATACCGCAAGATGGCGGGTTGTTGCATGCATACCAGTAGCAAAAAAAGGCAGGTGGTGACGTGCAGAAAACATCCCAGCCCTCCCCGGGTGGAGAAGAAAGCTTGAAAGCGGGGTTCACAGCGGCACCAGGCGGAATTGCGGCGGCACCGGCGGGGTGGCGTGGCGGGAATGTCAAGCAATAAGATGGTATACCAGACAGACCGTGCAGAAAAGAGAATGAAGATCTGCTTGTGGATACAATATTGTGAGATTGTATTGATGAACAAGACCTACAGGACTCACCCCAACCTCAATACTCTGACCGCGTTTCCACCCATCACATCATCCCTGCCCTGATCATCTGAGCCAAAGACTCCACTCACAGCCTTCTCATTCGTCTTGACAGAAAGCCATTCGTTGTCCTCGTCTTCAAGCGGAGGGAAGAATGGATGGTCAGTGCCAAACATCAATCTGTCTTTTCCGCTGGCCTCCATGGCAGCCTTCAATCCCGCTTCACCGTAAACTACTGCATCGAGATAGATATTTGCCTTCAGAATATCCCAGATGGATCTTCTTCCTGCAATCTTGCTCGCTTGCTTCAAATGCCCGTCGTGGGCAATGCAGGACTCAATTCTGCCGGCGAGGAAAGGTAATGTACCACCAGAGTGGGCAAGCAGCATCTCCAGACCAGGAAACTTGTCGAAGACGCCTGAGAGAATGGCGCGGGTAATGGCGATGGTGGTTTCGAGAGGAAAACCCAGAGCGAGTGGAAGGACGTGCCCATACTCTGCTGCTCTATCGCCATACACGGAGGCAGGAAGACCGTAATGAGGGTGCAAAAAGACGAGCTGTTTGGTAGATTGCAGAGCAGCCCAGATGGGCTCGAGAGCTGGGTCGTCTAATCCATTCCCCAGACCTGAAGTACCAATGATAACACCGCGGAAGTGTGAGAGTGTGGTCAATCGTTTGATCTCAGCGACGACTGCATCTGCACCCGCACTGAGCGGTAGTGTACCAAAGGCGTACAAGCGACCCGGGTGACGAGAACAGACTTGCTCAACATCGTCGTTTATCTGTGTTGCTACAGAGGCAGCATCGGATGCATCGCACCAATCTAGCCATGGATTTGCAAGGGATATGACGCTGATGTCGATGTTGTGTTTATCCATGAACTTGATCTTTTCCTCTTCCTCGTAGTATTCGGGGCCAATGGGACGACCGCGTGCAGTTGATGTTGCTGCATCTTCGCTGGGCAGAATCACAAGTCTTTCTCCGGCTGAAGGGTTGTCGGCAAAGGTGCGCATATAGGGAACATCAGTGCGTGAGCGAAGCAGCGAGACATATGCCGGCGGGTAGATGTGTGTGTGGACGTCGACGACTGGTGCCATGATTGTGACGGTATGTTTTTGTGCGAACCGTCGAGAAGGATCGCGGAGTTGTAGGAAGATTAGAGAGGTGGACGCTTGTCATTTTTGGCCCAACAGCGAGAGAGCTGTACATATCACGCCATGACCAACGGTGAGTTGAACACCTGGTCTTTTTGTGTCTGATCAATAACATAAACCTACAGCGATAGGGAAACAAAATGATAAGAAAGACTGGAACAGAAGGTGTAGCTCACCCCGCATTCGCGAACCCCACCACGATAGGAACATGCTTCGCCTATCCATGCAGGGTAGAGATAAGAGCTGGCCTAGAGTGGTGAAATGATAAGCATAGCTGAGGAGGAGATGGAAGGATACAAATACCGCGGATGGTTCTTTTGAAGTTGTCGTTAGTCATTCCCTACCAATATCTTACCTGAAGCCCGACACTTTTGAATCATGAGCACTCCTACAGTCACTACAGCGGTCGGCGCCGACAACCTTACCATTCCAGTGAGTATTGTATGGTGCGGACTGCTGAGCTCCTGCTGACTAAGGCCAGCTCATCGACTTCTCTGCCTTCCAGACCACGGACTCTACGATCCGTGAAGCCACAGCCAAAGCCATCCTATCCGGCTTCCAGACAGCAGGCTTCATTTACATCCGTAACCACGGCATCGACAAAGCGGCAGTGCAAGAAGCATTCAAGTACAGCGCAGAGTTCTTCAAGAGACCAGTCAGCCAGAAAGAGCAGCTTGCATGGACGACACCAGAGGCCAACCGCGGCTATGTTCGCCAAGGACGTGAGAAGACAACAGATCTCGTAGATCCAGTCGAGATTGAGAAACAAAGAGCCCTGGAAGGAGCTGACTTGAAAGAGTCTCTGGAGATTGGTCGCGAAGGTGTTGAAGGATTGGAAAACCAATGGCCAGATCGATTCGACGCAGATGGTGCAGTCTTCAGAGAAAAGATGTTGAGCTTCTTTGAGATTTGCAAGAACCTCCATGTGCAAGTGATGCAGGCCATTGCGGTGGGTCTGGGCATTGACGAGCACTGGTTTGATAAGTTCTGCAATGCGGGCGACAACACGCTGAGACTGTTGCACTACCCTGGAGTGAGCAGCAAGGTGTTTGCCGAGAACAAGAACAGTGTGCGAGCAGGAGCACACACCGACTATGGTGAGTAGACTCGAGGCTCTTTTGTGAACGCAGCTGACAGACGCAGGCTCAATTACCTTACTCTTCCAAGATGCTCGTGGTGGGCTGCAGGTACTGTCACCGATGGGAACATATGTGAACGCGACACCGATCGAAGACACAATCGTGGTCAACGCAGGAGACTTGCTGGCGAGATGGAGCAACGACACGATCAAGAGTACCAAGCATCGCGTTGTCGAGCCGCCGGTCAAGACAGATGCAGACTTCCATCCAGCAAGATACTCGATGGCCTACTTCTGCAATCCTAACTTTGACAGATTCATTGATGCGATTCCTGGAACCTTTGATGAGGCCAAGCAGAAGAAGTACCACGGAGTGAATAGTGGCGACTATCTGGTGCAGAGACTGACGGCAACCTATTGATGGGTGTTGATGGAGAAGAAGTCGATTTCATGGAACGTGATTCAGATATCGATGAATGCATTTTGTATGTCTTTCCTGATGAACTTTGGTGAGATGACTGAGAATGTCGACGAAGGAGAGCGAAATGTCGATCGTCATGGGCGCAGAAGCGCAGCCGAAGCAAACGCGAAATGCAGCTCCGTCATTTTGTCCTTCTGCAGCTCTGCATTTGCACCCAGGATCCATACAATCTACTGTCACAATACCATCACAATGCGCAGCCACACAACATGCTCAATGCGAGCACTCTACCGCGTCTTTGTCCAGCCAGCTCTGTTAGCACGCACACGACCGATAGCCCAAACACTTACACCTCTCAACACCCGCGCCTTCAGCCTGACACCTCTACGAGCAGCAGCAGGAAAGCGACTCCCAGAAAAGCGCAAACATTTGTGGAACGAAGAAATTCCCGCTCGGCGCATCCAAATAGTCGACCCAGAGACAGACGCACTCCAGCCACCCGTACGCCTTCGAGACGTCCTGGCCAAGCTCGACAAGAACCTGTTCCGTCTTGTTTGCGTCACGCAGCCGCCGACAGGAGATTGGGAGGAAGAATGGATACCCGTGTGCAAGATAGAGGACAAGAAGGCTGCTTATGAAGCTGAGAAAGAGAAGAAAAAGGTCAAGCAGCAGAAGATGGCTGCCGAGGGCACAAAGACGCTGGAGTTGAATTGGGCTATTGATGCGAATGATCTGGGGCACAGGATGAAGAGGATGCAAGAGTTTTTGGGCCAGGGCAAGAAGGTCGAGATTATCTTGGCTAGAAAGAAGGGCGGAAGGAAGGCTACCCCTGACGAGTGCGAGGCGCTGTTGCAGAAGATCAACGAGGCTGCCGAGACCGTCAAAGGAACAAAGGAAATCAAAAAGTTCGAGGGCAAGTTGGCTGGTACGGGCAACCTGACGTACGAAGGTCCCAAGCCCTGATGAGACAGGCTATATTTGTACAGATACTAGAACATAGACAAAGCCTCTAGACGACGACCCTGACCCTTGATCCCAAGTCGCTCCTGTGGTTCCGGAAGATTTGTCGGAGTGCCCTCTTCTCAATCACCACGCGACCACCCTCGAGCAAGTCCTTGACATCGACCTCGTCAACGGTCAGGGCGCGGGCCTCCTTGTCCATGCCAGGGTGTTGCAAGGCAGTAAACAGCTTCTCTCTACGCTCGAGGGTGACGAACAGACTGCCGCCGCTTGGGTTGCCCCATTTGTTCCATCGCAGCATCTCTTTCAGCCACCTCGCTGCGCCAGCGCCCTCAACTTCAATCTCGGCTTCCTCTCTCAGAACGATCAGCTCGCCCTTCTTGTAGCGGTAACTCAGAGCAGTCCTCCAGGCCAGGTCGTAGATCTTTCTGGGCAGGTCGGTGCTGAAGTCTCTGGGCTTGGGGCCAAAAGCCACACCACCACCCTTGAGCATTGGCGACTTTTTGTCTCCGAGACGCGCTCTACCGGTTCCTTTCTGCGGGCGGACCTTGCGGTTGGAGCCGTGGACCTCTGTGCGGTATTTTGTGCTTGCGGTACCCTGGCGTGTGGCATCTCCCTCAAAGACGATTGCGCGGTGCAGAATGTCGCGGCGCAGCGGCAGTAGCAGATGTGTGCTGGGGAATGTGGTCGAGGATATGGGTTCGACCGAGGGGAAGCTGTGGAGAGTGCATGTAGCGGTCGAGAGGAAAGGGTTTGGTGGTTGTTGGAAGGGGAGGCGAGACGCGGCAGCCGGCGTAGGAGGTGGAGGAATGGGTTGGTCGTTCAAGACCGGGGCAGTTGCGGTAGACGAGAGGGCGGCATCGCTGTACGACTGGGCAATGGTGGCAGCGGGAGCATCGGGGGAGGATACAGGAAGAGATTCGGTGGCCAGCCCGCGCGCAAACACCTGGGACAAGTCAGTCGCTGCCTCTTGTCGACAATACAAGCAGACATACCGAGGGAGCACTCCTCCAGCGGGCGCAAGTGACGACTGCTCTTCGTGTGGCCATTGCGTGTGTGTGTGGATACGATAAGTGGAAGGAGCGATGCGATGCTGCTTTGGTCGGCGGCTTTGTCGACACGAAAAAGTCGGCCTTGGCGTCGACTTTGGAGTCGCTCGCGGCTTCCAATCGCAGCAACAGAAAGATTTCTGGCACTCGCGATCACCTTCGCTCTCTACACACAATGGCGTCGACCTCACGAGCGCTACGAGGCCTGTCCGTCCGCGCCTTCTCGACTTCGGCACCGGCCTGCGAAGAAGTCGCCGCCACCACAGCAGCCGCCGCCGCAACGACACAAACACCACCCGTTTCGTCGCTGGGTCAGGACAATGTCTTTACTCCCAGAGCTGAGCGCAAGCTCCTTCGTACCCGGGGCCTCACTCCTGTCGGTTCTCGCAGACGCCGTGCCGCTATCCTCTCGGGTTCACGCATCCCCTTCGAGCAATTGCCCTACCAATGTTTCCAAGAAGCCCGCAAAGTCTTGATCCAGCACCGCGCAGAGAAGGTCCAGGACATCGACGTCGAGCGCCAGAAGATTGCCAGACTCAAGGCTCAGTCCGTCGAGCCTCAGAACGAGCAACGGCATCAACACCGCATCAACAGCATGCAGCGTTATCTGGACGAACTCAAGATTCACGCAGACATCAACGACCCCATGGTCAAGAGGAGGTTCGAAGACGGCAAGGGTAAGACGCACTGTATTCGTTCCAACGAGACTCGGACTGACACCAGACAGGCGACATGGACAAGCCCATCTACCGCTATCTCGCCGACAAGAAGTGGCGCCAGTACGACCGTATGATCATCATGCAGCGTATCTCCCAGATGAACGTCGTACCGGACGTCTTGCCCGCCATCGACCCTACCCTCAACGTCTCGCTCTCCTTCGGTCCCCGCGACGTCCAGCCCGGTGAATTTGTCGACAGCAGAGTGTCCGAGATCCCTGGCCACCTCAACATCCAGCCCTACGACAAGGGCGAGCGCCATGTCAGCATTGCCATTGTCAACCCAGATGTGCCCAACGTCGAGGCAGACGCCTTCGACTACCGCTGCCACTTCCTCGCTTCAAACATCAAAATCTCCCCCACCCAGACTTCCGTCTCACTCGGCAAGCTGACTGACGACCAAGTCATTCTCCCCTGGTTGCCCGCATACACTCAAAAGGGCCTTGCCTACAGCCGCATGTCCATCTTCGTCCTCGAGCAAAAGGATGGTCAGATTCTGGACGCAAAGGCTCTATCACAACGCTACGAGCACAACGACTTCATTCTCAGGAGCTTCGTCGACAGACATCTCTTGAAGCCTGTCGGTGTGAACTTGTTCAGAAGCAGACACGACGAAGGTACTGCCGGTGTTATGCAAAGAGCCGGTATTCCTGGTGGTGATGTCGAGTTCAAGAGGAAGAAGATTGAGCCTCTGCCTTACAAGAAGCTGCCTGGTTCAAGATACAGGTAGTCTCGAAACACGCCTTTTGTACTATATATCCCTGTCATGTACCAAGAATTCTATTCGTGTACCTACTTTCTCCCCAAAACTTTGCCTGATGATTCCTGCAAGTTGGCATGTTTTTGAGAGAATCGATTCGATAATCTTTGACGCTCACAGATTGGATTTTCGACCACGATCATCCCCTCAATACGGAGTACCGTCTGTAAATAAAGGCATCACAGTTGTGCAATTGTTCTCAGTCGCTCATCCGGCTCTTCATCGGCGTTCGGCCGACGTCAATATTCGTCTTCACGTCCTCTTTGTCTTCAGACTTGTTCTTCGTTGATGTCCCAGAGCATAGAATCGATCAATCACACCAAGCTTAGTATCAAAGTAGGTAATTGTAGCTTAGTTTCCAAGTGATAGTCTCCGTCTCTCTTGTCCCCACGGAGATGTCTCGCAAGATGAGCAAAACCCATGGGTTTAGGCAATCGTCTTCCGAGAAAAGTGGACCCAGCAAGATTCAACAGCCCTGACAGCGACAATGATCATCAACAGGTATAAGACGGCAAGGACATCCTGTCTTCGACCCAAGCACAATCCATAAAGTTCGGAAGTGCGACAATGGCTTCCTCGGTGGAATTGACCGTCAACCCCAAAGCGCCAGACCACCAACAAGGAGACGAAGCCAAAGATGCCGGAGTCACCATCTGGGACACCGAATCGGATATATCAAAGAATCCAAAGAGCATCTCTTGGTATGTCATCTTTGCCAGCGCCCTTGCAAACTTTTCAGACGGATACCAAAACAATCTTGTAAGCATCCTTTCGTTCACTCAAAGCAAAATCAGAACCAACGGAGAATTACAGTCCTCAAACACAAACGTAGTCTTCAAACACACACTCGGGAGAGCCTACACCTCCACCATACAAACCCGAATCTCCAACGCCTTGCTCGTAGGCGCGGTAATCGGTATAATCCTCCTCGGCTATACCTGCGATATCTGGAGTAGACGAGGAGGACTGTGGGTAACTTCGTCTCTGGTTGTTGTGGGCAGTTTACTTGCTACTTTGGTATTCCAGGTGCAAGGGCAGGGCGTAAGTGATATGATGTGGTACATGACTATCGCGAGGGGAATCACTGGCGTGGGTGTGGGAGGTGAGTATCCGCCTTCTGCTGCTGCAGCGTTGGAGGGGAGTAATGAGGTAAGTTTTTGCTGCTTTCTTCCAGGTCTCAAAACAACGAGAATGGAGGGAATGAGAAAGGATGAAGAGAAGTTGACATGAGATGTAATCAGCATTACGACCACATCAGAGGACCCATCCAAGTCCTCACTTCCACCCTCATGGCCACCTCCGCAGCACCAATTGGCACGGCAATCTACCTGCTCACTCTCATCGCCACCAACAACAACCTCATCACAGCCTACCACGCCATCTACTCCATTTCCATCTTCCTCCCTCTCTTCGTCGCCTTCCTCCGTTTCCGCATGCGCGACGGCCTCCTCTTCCACCGCAACAAGTTCAAATCCAAGCTTTCTCCTCCGTACCTTTTGGTGCTTAAACGCTACGGCTGGAGACTTTTGGGAACAAGCTCTGCGTTCTTCATCTATGATTTTATCAATTTTCCAAACAGCATCATGAGTGCTGCGATCATCAATAACGTGGTGCCAGGCAAGGATGTACGCCAAACCGCCATCTGGCAATTCATTCTCGCATTACTTGCAGTACCCGGCCCCATCGTGGGAAGCTACCTCACCAACCGCATTGGTCGCCGCTGGACGGGTATCGCAGGATGGACTGGATATATCGTTCTTGGCTTCATCATAGGAGGCTGCTATACCTCCTTGACTTCCAACGCTATTGCTGCATTCGTGGTGTTATACGGACTCATGCAGAGTTTCGGGCACATGGGACCTGGGGCCACCATTGGTCTGATGTCAGTGGAACTTTATCCTACTGCTGTACGAGGAATGAGCTATGGTATCTCTGCTGCTTTTGGCAAGGCTGGTGCTGCGGTGGGGACGCAGGTGTTTACGCCGATTAGGGATCACGCTGGACCGGCTAGTACATTTTATCTGCTGGGTGGTTTGAGTATTCTGGGAGCGGGGATATACTATATCTTGCCAGAGGGCAGGGATATCGATTTGGCCGCGGAGGATGAGAGTTTTAATATCTATCTGAGGAGTGAGGGATTCGGTGGTGATGAGGTGTCTAGTTGAGTGATGTGAGAGAGGTATGTGTTCAGAAATGATATAGCAGAGAGACCCGATACGTTGTATCTCAAGCGACTTTGCAGCTATCACGGCCGTATCGCGGCAGAATTCCTCTTTCTTTCTTTCTTGAGCAGAAATGCAAACGTCTAGAATCCTTCAAGACTGCTATAGACCGACAGCAATAATGCATTGACCACAGTACAAATATCCAAACTCCCTAATCAAAAGACTTCTCTTCCTAATCTCCTTGATTTCACCCTGCGACTTCTTTCCAAGCACCGTATCCACAGCTGCCCATCATGAAACTTAACACGCCTCTGATTTTTTTCACAAGCTTGACAGCTTCCGTCATTGCTGATTCCAATTGGCTGATCGACGACACTCTGGCCAGAGAACTAGCCTTGGAAGCATCTCGCCATCCTGCCAGACCTCCAATGCCACACTCCCTCCGTCCCACCCATGGAGACAACACAAATTTGACGCGAGGTTGGAACTGGCCAACTTGGAAGTGGTTTTGAGGTCGCGTTTGGTGATTCCTCACAGGTGCAGCGACAGCCGAAGAGTGGTAAGGTGGCAGGACGGTATGCCGGACCGGTCTGTTGGGGAAGTGAGTGGCAATGACAGTCGACTCTGTCGATGGCCCTGTTCTTCCAGACGATGATCATCATGGCATCGATTGCCTCTCTGCTATTGCTCTGATGACTCTTCATATTGAATCTGTCTCTCACTGAGCCATGAGTTGTGTCTCTGCAATAGGGATGACACGTACTCCCAAGATGCCAATCAGGAAGCATGAGATGGAAATCTCGGTATCACGGATATCATAGTCGACAGCACTCCATCGTGATAGCATGGCAATATCTGCGGGTTGTACGGTTTTCTCGCTGTCCAGCTCCAGAGGTAATAGCTCCGTGTCTTTAGCACACATGCTCAGATCTCAGTTCTAGGACCAAACTGTTGCTTCTATGATGACAAGTATTTGAACAGTGTGCATATCGCGCTATTATGTTCTCATCTTTTGTTCACTCGTAGCCATAACCCAACGAAATAACGATTATGCCGCTTGCAGCGAATAAAAGCGTGTTCGCAATCAAGCCCAAAGTTCTTCCATTGTCCGACATATTCGAGTGCGTCAGAGCGGAGAGGATGTGCAGATTGCAAGAAGAATAGCTGCAGGGAGTGGAGTGAAAGGAGTACAGATGGCTAGCTCACTTGGCTTTGGAGAGATTTCGACATCCATTAGCGTCTGCCGCTGCCAACGGCCTTGAGTACAACATCTAAATGACTCCGAGATACCGCCTGTCGAGTGATACGGGACAGGATGAACGTCGGCAAGTGCACGATGCTTACTTGCTGCTACTGTGTGACAGGGCAAAAGATACAAACAATGATCGTGAGTCTGATCACTACAAACCGCAAAGATATTGTGTCGATTGAACAGTATTAATGAGACGCACAATCAAAGTGAAAGGTCAGTTGAATCTAGTTCCAATCCAAAAAAGCAGGAGCGATCTGTATACTCGATGCTCGACGTATATATGTCGGCATGTATCTCAGATTTGTATCTACAAGATGACATCTGTACCCTGCGAGTGTTTCCACAGATCCCAATATCTTCCTCTACCCTCACAAAGTTCTTGATGCCGTCCCCTCTCGACAATCCTACCCTTGTGCATCACAAAAATCTGATCGGCATCAACGATGGTGCTCAAGCGATGAGCGACTACAATCATAGTTCTTCCCTTGCCGAGCTGTTTGAGAGCACCCCTGATTTTACCTTCCGTCACTGTATCCACAGCACTGGTAGCCTCATCCAGCAGAACAATCGGAGCATTTCTCAAAAGTGCTCTTGCAATGGCAAGTCTTTGTGCTTCTCCACCGGACAACTTGACACCGCGTTCTCCAACCCGTGTGCTGTAGCCGTTGGGATACTGCATGATGGTATCGTGGATGGCGGCAGCTCGACATGCTCCAAAGACCTCTGCGTCGGTCGCTGAGCTTCGCGCATAGCGAACGTTATCCATGATCGAGCTATTGAAGAACAAGGTGGTCTGTGGAACCACACAGATAGCATCGCGCAAGGAGCCGAGGGCCACATGTTGTATGCTCTGGCCAGATATCGTGATCTTGCCAGATTCGATGTCGTGTACTCGCATGAGGAGCTTCAAGACAGAGGACTTGCCAGCTCCAGTCTCTCCAACGAACGCAACCGTCTGACCTGGCAATGCAGTAAAAGAAATATCGCGGAGCGCATAGTGACCTTTCTCATAATCAAAAGACACATCTTCAAACTCCACACTGCCGTCACGAACAGCAAGCGTATATGCATCCTCTGCATCAATAATCGAGGGCGTCGTCTTGAACAGCATGAGTAATCTTTCCGCATCGATAAAGTCATTCGACAACCAATGAATATGGTTCGTCAAATACGTCAAGGGGTAAATGATGGCATCCCAATAGCTCAGGAAAAACACAAAATCTCCAGGCGAAGCTTGTCCAGAAGCAATATCATGCACAATGATAAATGCCAGTGCAAAGAAAGTCGCAGATATCAGAAGCTCCACCGCAGCATCCAGAAGTGCTTTTTTCTTGTCAAACCAGGATCTGGCTGCTGTGTGAGTGGTCACTGCAGCAGCTAGATTGCGGGCTTCTCGTCGAAATTGGTTGAAGAAGGCCACAGTTTGCCATCCCTCAATTGCTTGATGTGTTTTCCTGATCTGGATTCTCTCTGCTCTGGTCATATCTCTGCGATTCCCAGTCATGAGTTTGGTGGAGAAAGCTTGGGCAGTCAGGTAAACCACGCAGGCAACGAAGAAAACGATTGCGACTGTGGGAGTGAACTTTGTTGCGAAGATTGTGCCGGCGACAATGACATCTATGAGTGTAGGAGCGATCTCAAAAACCACAGTATCCAGCACAAAACCCAATGACTCGCCCTGTTCGATAGTCTTCATGACCTCTGCAGAATCATGTGTAGAGTGAAAGTCAAATGCCTGAGCCATGACGTGATTGAAGGCTGCATTGGTGAGTGCGCCGTATGAGAATTGCTTGATGGGTATCTTCGACAGATTTTGGATGAGCACCAGACCAGATTCGTGATTGGCAATGTCCAGTATAAGTAGAATGAGAAGCTCCCGAGTCGGTACGTCGCCAGATGTGACCTTGTCGGCAATGACGCCAAGTGTATACGGCAACGCAGCTTGTAACATTCGTTGCAGAATAAATGCAACGATGCAGACAAAAAGGCATAGTTGAATTTTGATGTTCTTTCGTGGGAATACGAACGGGATGAAGATTGCAAAGTCTCGAAGATACCCAAGCCATCCTCTGGTCTCGTTCAGTCTTGCGGCTCGCGCGTCTTTGACATCTTGAACATCATCGTTGCCAGAGTCACTGTCGTCGTCGCTTAGGTTGTTTGCATGGTCATCGTCTTGGGCCTGAGGAAGTGCGGACTCGAGGAGCGGATCGAAGTCCTGCGAGCCAATGCCAGGCAATTTTCGTGATAGGAATAACATTGAAAGTCCGTTTTTTTTTTCAATCCAAGGATGTAATACCGAGTCTCTTATATACGTAATTGTTAGTCCGTAACTGTTCGAGAGGTTTTCATGGTCGCTCGAATCTGACACCGCTCGGGGTCCGCGGGCTGCCCGAACTCAAAATAGTTCGTAAGGAGGTATATTGTCAAGTATTGCCTGCTATGCTTAGTTTATAGAGGGGGAGTCTTGAATAATAGTTTTCCGACGCAAGAGAATGGGAAGTTAACTGTTATGCCATTCGGAACAGTTTGCGATTGTCAGTCGTCTCACTTGTTCCGCTCATTCCACTATTCCGGTGTCAACTCCGACGGACAAGCAAAGAGTATGACCCAAGAGGTGCAACAACCATAAGATGATAATTCAAAATGTCTGAACCTTTCTAAGTATTAGTATAGAAGTGAAACTACAATACCGCAATCGCACTGTAAAACCCCATCAACGACTCATCCCGAACTCCGCTATCCTGAACAACTCCGACCATTACGCCCCATCGTTATTCGTAGAAACACACACAAAGGCCATTCTCCAACTCATCCACATCGACTTCAGCCATATACTGAGCCACATCTTTCATTCTTTGACCGACATCCGTCACCGCCACTAAGATCTCATAGCCATATGGTGGAACATGGCGACTCTGTTCGTGTAGTCACACATCTCGGCGGCACTTATTATGCGTACGACATCTGCGTCAGGCTGGGCCATTGTCGCAAGCAACGGCGATGTCTCCTTCTCATTGGTCTGAAGCATCTCGTAGCGGGTAGGCTGTAGTCCGAGTCAATTGATATTCCCATGATGTATGACATTACAGAAGCTTACCTCTTTTTTGATGGTTGCGACGACCTTGCGGACGATGGTGTTCTTGCCGAAAAATGTCATTTTGTACTGGTGAGAATACAATGGGATGAATTGTGTTTGTAGTAGCGTAGTCTCTTGTAGTTGTGCGAGAGTAGAATATGTGTAGTCTTGTTGCGATAATCTAGATTTCGAGGTGGAAAAGTAGGCGCAAGATGGTAGAGCGGTCGAGAGGATAGAAGATGATAGTGAGGATCGAGGTATCGAATGAAAAATCTCTTTGAATCTGGTATGAGTCGAGAGGATGCTGATGTGAGTGTTTTGATATGCTCCATTGCGAGCGCAGTCGTCTATATATATATCGAGCTGTCTGCTGCCGAAATGGCATGTCGGAATGGATGGTCGGGATAGCCGGAGTTACAATCGGGATAAAATTTTGGCCAATCGACCAAGCCATTCCGAGCGTTTCTGTTCCGCATACACGCATCAAAACGCGCACGCCATGCTACCGGAATGGAATATCGGGATGAAGTAGGAACGGTTTGTCAATAAATTTTCCTGGCTCATATTGCAGGTCAGCAATCTTTACGCCCGGAGTATACTTTCAGATTTCTCCGACCGCTTCAGGCATGAGAATAGACTTGTAAGTGGCTCATGTCTCCCAAGGAGTAAGACAATCTATACTCCGCCGCTCACGTTCGTCCAATCGATCCCTCCCATCCAGTTGTTCATGTCCATAAGATTAGCTGCATCCCAGTCAAACATATCCAGCAGTGTATTGTCTGCAGCTTCCACTGCTGCAAAGCCAACGTCCGCTGTTGAGTTCTGATGTGCAGTTGTAAGATCGTTCGTGACACCAGGCCCTGGTTGCGGTGTATCATCTGCGGCAAGTGATAGCAAGTACTCTAGCACTTCATCCAATGCGCCAGAGATCAACTCAGAAGCCTTTATGCAAAGCGCGTAGTTGGCGTTCTCCGGACGATAGACACCTTCAAGGAAAGTCACAAACACCGAAAGGCGTCGTATTGAGACGCGGCGAGCCAAATCGACAAACTCAACTCGGCCCATGGCTCTGCTTGCAGTCTTCAGCGCGTTGATGAGGGTTATCGCACTTGGTAACCCATAGCATAAGACCTTGTTTGAGTTAGTATCCAAAAGCCAGATAGATAGCTCGTATTGACCTACAGTACTTGCTCTAAAGTTATGGTGTAGATGGTAAGAAGTTCTATTACGCAAGCCACCAGATTGGATAGTCGTCTCAATTATGCTTGAGCATGTCTGAACCATTTCCGGTGAACAATGACTATCGTTCTTACCCATCAGGCGATAGACGTGATACAGGGTCTGCAGGTATGTGAGATAGACTTCCGCCAATCGCAGGCTTACCATGGGCGACAAATCAGCCTTCCAACATCCAGGATCATAATGGAGACGGCTGGGCAGCTGTTCCCACGTTTCTTTGCACCGACGTGCTATATCTCTGGTCACGATCGGAGTTGGTTATCCTGGACGGATTCAAGCAGGAGGGGTGTACTGACTTTAATTTGGATCTCGTCTCGTGGTCGAGGGGTCTCAATTGATGCATGAGCGTCTCTTCCTTGAATTGCGCGAGGAGATATAACGCTCGGATCCATGAGGCACTGATATTAGAGCTACCAGCGTACCAGCCCCCATTCAGTTCCAGTGAAGCCTGCTCTTGATCGCTAAGACCAGTGACACAGATTTGGTCATCAGTCAGCTCCAGTGGTAAGCGACAGTCAGCGTAATAGCCAGGGATTCTAGGCGGGCGATCGAAAAGCGTTGCAAGAAGTTTGTCCCATGTAAATGCGGCCACAAAAATCCTCCTACGACACTCAGCCAGGAAGAAAGGAACTTTGGCGATAGCCGCCTCTCGATGTACTTCCAGACCAAAGATATCGGCTGACAAGTCGCCAAGCCGTCGCCAGACAGCCGGACCTGCGGACGCGCAAAGTTTGATTAGTACTGAGCTCGAGAAAACATGGACACAGATCACTGGAGACCTACTGGAATATCCTTGGATGCTCGTGGCTACGCGCAAGTTTTCATATGACAACCAGAGTATCACATCATTCATTTCCATGGCTAGTTCTCGCGCGAGTTGCAGGCACCGCAAGTTGCACTGGAACATGGTTTGAAGAAAGTCGTGGCTGTCCTCACCTTCCGGAACGAGTGCTAGCCGAGAGGCTCGAGCAGCAATGGAGAAGATCAAACCAATAGTTTCCAGACGTAAATTCGGACCGCTGTAGAAACTTAGAAACTCAGGCACGGTGGTAGATGGAGTTATGGTGGTCTTGGAGACTGTAGCGCGTAGGATCCGATGGGCCATTGCCGACACAGCGACTCTGCTAGCAGCAGCATCAGTCGTTGCTCGCTGATGCAGAATGTCTTCGTGAATCTGCTCAAGGTCGGATATCACAGGCAGCACAAGATGACTCGGCACAGCAGCGATCTGACCTAAACCATAGTACTCTGGAAGAAGTCTCCTGATGGTTCCACAATGGTGAAGCTGCTCCAGGATAGAGATTATGGAGGCCAAATCTTGGTCGAGGGTATCATTGCCACGATCATCGTACATTCCAGTCGATATGACATGTTGTGTATTCGCGTCGTCGAGGCTCTGGAGTGAGAGAAATGGAAGCGTCGCAGGAGATGTTGTGCTGGAAGCAGGGACGGAAAATACTTGATTGCTGTGTTCGGCATTCCGTATGCCGGCATCCAGACGAGTGTTATCGTGGAGCGGTGTTGTGGTTACCGGAGGCGCCTGTACGCTCGCTTCCGTCAAGTCTATTCCAGTATCGTCCGACGATGACATCCGAGTGCGTTTCGATGGCCGTGTCAGAGGGGCAGGATGGTAATAACACTCGCTGCCCATGTTCCGACGGCGGCATCGATCACAGACGGGCATGCGGTGATCGCACCGCACTTTGCCTCGACGGCAAGGCTCGCAAGATGCCTGTTTACCATTCTTGCGGCTTGCGCTCGCCGACATTGTGAGTCGAGAGTTTTGGTGTGAAGTCGTCAGGACCACAAGGATCAATTCCGGTGCTCGTATTCCGGTGTGAGCGTCGTGTGTTTGAGCATCATGACGGCTGGCGTCAAGATCATCCCCGTTGGGAAGGTGAAGCTCGAGTCGCGAAGGTTCACGCCTGAACGCGAAGCCTTGATGAACGCTTGGTGCTTGTTTACATAGTCTGAATTCTATTGGAAACTAGTCATGGCCTGACCCTGTAGTTGGTATCTATACCTGAAGACATCTATACTTTGTTGGAGGAGCAGAACGTTTCTTACAGAGCTTTGGGGCTGAATTTCGAAATCGAATGATCAGAGAAGGCTTTCAATTATCGCCCACTTCAGTACTCATGCTGACAAACTCGGGCATCAAATCATAATATCTACCAAGGCACAACACCATCATCAGACACCATGACAGCATGCACATCCTTCTTCTCCCCAAGCACACTCTTGACCAACTCCTTAGCACCATCTCTCGGGTCCTTGAAGCCCGAGTTATCATTCAAATTAGTGGCACAATATCCCGGGTCCGCCGCTGAGACCACGAAACCCTCACCTTCCAACTGCAGCGCATACCCCAACATAATCATGTTCAATGCAGACTTGGTAGAGCGATAGATGGGGTAGTTGTTGGCCGAGTACAGAGTGTCGGGCTTGGAAGCGAGTTCCAAAGATGCAAGACCTGAAGAGGTGAAGGCAAGGCGTTTGGTGCTGCCTTTGCGGAGGAGGGGTAGGAAGGCTTCTGTCACGACTGCAACACCAAAGACATTGGTTTCGTAGTGGGAGCGGTAGATTTCGCGAAGGCTAGGTCCGCTACCGTCGGCGGCGGCTTCTTGCTGTTGGGCGATGCCGGCGTTGTTGAGCAGGATGTCGAGCTTGCCGTACTTCTCTTCGACTTGCTTGGCTGCTGAGGCGATGGACGAGTCGGAGTTGACGTCAATCTCGAGAGGTGAGAGGTCGGAGGCCGAGACCTTGACAGAAGAGTCGGCGGCGAGGGTCTCAATGGCTTTGTTGGCCTTGTTAATATCACGGCTACCAATCAGCACGTGGTGGTTGCCGGTAGCGGCGAGCTGTTGTGCGGCATAGTAACCTAGGCCCTGGTTGGCGCCGGTGATGAGAACAAGGGTCTTGGATGACGTTTTTGTGAAGACAGTCTTTCGAATAGATGAGAAGGAGCGTTTGAATCGATTTGTTTGGACCTTTATAATTCTCGTAGATATGGAGCTATGCGGCGGGTTTTGTTTCCCCGTTTGCCCCGCTATCTCCGTCAACTCCGAGTGAGATCGTTCGCTCAAAAGGGCACTCTTACGTCCGGGCGGACTTTAGACACTCTCCTCGTCTAGCCTCGTACCTTCCTTCAAACATCTTAAAACCCATTCTGTAGTGACGACGCGAGGTGGGCGAATACGGCTAGCCGTCTGAATCCTTGACTCTCTCGCTGACTCTTCTCCCGAAACAACCACATGAGTGATCTTCTCATCCTCCAAAGAGCTCGCCAGACGAGCACCTGCAAACAGGACTATTCGCTTGGCAGCCTCGAGAACCATGTCATCGCCAGCGACATACATTCGCAGGCCACGGAACATACAGCCTGGTCCCTCCAACACATCATCATCAAAAAGCTCATCCATGATCTCGTTAGCATCATAATCGTCATCTTCGAACTTGGGCATGTCGGCAAGTATCTTCTCCAGTTCCTCAATGTCAACATCTCGAGCAAAGCTGTCACCATAATCATCAGTGTTACCATTGAAGCTATCCTCGTCTTCCTCCTTGCTGAATAGAACGTGTCGCGGCTCGAACGGCAGCAAAACATTTGGTCTTCCAATATCTGATTTGGCTTGCTTGATGCATTCGAGCAGCCATTGCGGTCTGAAGATATTGCGCGTGCCGGCCTTCTTAATCGAAGCAACACGGATTGGGTTGCCTTCGGCGATGCAGATGGTCTCGCTGTTGGTGTGAGTCGCAACAATGTTCCCTCCATTGACTTTGACCAGTTGCTCCAGCTCTGCTTTGGTCTTGTTGATTGGTTTGGCAGCGCCTGTAATGATGTAGAAGCTCATGCCATTAAACAAGGCAGTTTCGGGCCCTGCGTAAGGCGTCTTGACCTGTTCATCAGCACCGATAACGGTAAGCTCCTTCTTGCGACTACGTTTCGCGCGTTTCTTTCTTGCATCGTCGACTTTGAACTCTTTTTCTTTCTTCTCGTGCTCTGCGCGAGACTTCAATGCCCAGAATGACTCTACATTCAGAGCCTGCTTCCAGTCTTTGTCCTTACGAATTGCGACGAAGCGCGGAAATCGCAGGGTACATCCGGTGCGGTATCGCTTCTCGCCTGTGATCACAGATGCAGCTTTGATCTGCAGCACAATCGACTCACTGGGCTTGATCCAGACATCGGGCATCTCGTATTGTAAGTTGTCCAGCCAACCACCAAGTTCGATCCATTCAAGTGGCGGGTTGTTCTTATCCCAGTCGTTCCATTTGCCGTCTGTCATGTGCCGTATCTCTGCATAGTCTTGAGCAGTCATTCCACCACCGACCTTACAGAATGACCACATCAGCTCGGGATTGGGACTACCCAGCGCGTGGGGAGGAGCCAGACCACAGAGGAAACTCGAAAGATTGCCTCCGCGATGACCGGATCCATAGTAGCCTCCGATAACGATGCAGTCTAGATTCTCGCCAAACTCGGTCATATACTCGGGTTTGACCTTCATCCAATCATTGTTGCGGTCATTGAGACGGTACGCCGAGCGTGGATTTTTCATGACGAGGCCTTCAGAAGCTTCTGCCACGACTTTGCGGAGCATTGGCTCGACCTCAGCGGCAGTAGTAACCTCGTTGTACTCGTGTATCTCTAGCCGACGGTACACATTATTGACGGCAGAGGCGAGCGCCTTTCTTCGATCACGAAGTGAGTAGTTGGTGAGAGCCTCACCATTCAGGAACAGGCAGTCGAACACGCGAAACAGTGGGCGTGATGCCAGTGAGTTGGGGTCTTCTCTATGTGCTTTGGCATGAGTCTTCAGGTGGCCAAAGCCTACAATCCTGTCATCCCTCATGTCCCACGAAATCATCTCGCCATCAAGGATGATGCTGCGAACGTTTTCATTGAAGGCGCCCCTGACATGGCGGGTGAGTGCTGACTGCTCTTCTTCGAAGCCTTTACCATAGAGATCGGTATAATCTTTGGCCTTGCGTGACCAGTAGTTGAAACGGTAATCTCCTGGTATTGTCTCATCATAGATCATATGCAACTGCATTCTCTCCCCATCTAGCTTCTCCTCGATCCAGAAAAAGGGGTCTTCCTCTGTGCATTGCATGTTGGTGACCATCTTCTCGACTGTATGACTCTGAAACTGTGCAAGTTGAGGTTGGAAGCATTGCATGATCTTGATGCCGGTATCATTACCGTCGAGTCTGAGTTCGGGATCAACGAGTTCCCAGCAGACACGTCTCAGACTGGACGATACATTGAAGAGATTTTCTGCATCTTTATGCCATGCCTCGAACAAGGTCTTTTCGGTGGCGCCTACCTTCATCTGACGCAGAATGATGCGAATCAACCACATCAACTCCTCACGATTCATGTTGATATAGAACTCGCGGAACACTGGTAGTTGTTCTTCCTCCTTGTGTTTGGAAGAGAGCCGATCAAGCAGATCGTTGACTTGTTCGACTGTCATGTTGCCAGGGCCAGAAGAACGGCCAGCGGCCTCACGACCAGCCAAGGTCTCGTAACACCTGCCAGCAAAGTCGCCGGCCATTTGACTGGTAGACTTGACACCGGGCAGCTTCCAGTGGAGCAGATTGTAACCATCCTCGCCATTTTTGTCGAGATTCAGAGTCTTGAGCAACAACTTTGCGATGGTGGCCTCCTTCAAGCCATACATGGGACGTTCACGGTCTTTCTCGGGCACGATGAGACGAAAGAGAGGAAAGATGTCGTTGCCGACTTCGGTACGCCATCTGTTGATAAACTTTTCGATGATTGACTTGCGAGTTTCCTTGACATTCTGAGTGTGAGTACCGCGTCTTCTTGCAAGAGCAGGGCCACCACGGCGTCTTTTGTTCTCATTGAGAGGGTTGAAGAGGTCGAGGAAGAGGTCGCGGAAAGGCAAGGTTGTCGAATGATTGTGAGGACGATTGGGATACTTTTCATCGAGCTGTTCTTCGGACATGACTTGTGGCCGCTGGGTTGCTTGAAGGTTGTCGTCGGCATCTCCGTCATCATAGTCATCTCGCTCGTGCATGTCGACATCTGAAGTAGGCATGTTGCAATGATGTTGCGAAGCAAGTTGAGTGCTCCACTACAGCGAGGTTTGTAGAGACGATTGATTGCAGCATCAAAGCAGCAATGCGAGAGAATCGAGCGGGAAGACGCGTTGTGATTGACGCGCAATCATGTGGAGTTTGAAAGTGGTCGGAAGATGGATGATGTGTTTGTTAAGTAGGCGGCCGGGGGTGCAGCACAGCCCGATCACAGCGACCAGGGCAAGAGCCGCGTTTGAACGTGCCTGCTCGATGAACGTGCCTTCCTGAACAAAGGAAAAAGTCAACCTCGTCGCACCTGCCTTCAAAGACCGATGATCTCAAGCAAAGAGAACGACTTTCGCATGGCCAATGGGGAGCCCTAGGCAGCATCTGCGTTCGAGTCCGGATGCCTCTCAAGCCTCACGCGACGCCGCTCTCTCAGGCGCCAATCTAGCCTTCATCAAGTCTCTGCCGCCGCGCGAGGCTCTTGCCTATCTCAACAAGCGCTCACCGCCGCGACTGCCCACCGAGAAACAGCTGCAGAGCGTCCCGCCCGCTCCCAACCATCCTGTCGCCCGCCATGACGGACCCGTCAGCGCCCGCACATCGCCGGACCACCTGAGGCTGCCCAAAAGACCACCGCACAATACCGCTGCTTCGGCGTCGAGCCTGACCGCTACCATCGCTGCCGCTCGCGCCGCCCCGAACCTCGTCAATGCCTCTTCTCGCCCATCTGTCAAACCTCCTGTTCGCGCCGCCGGAAATCTTCCTCCGCCGACGGCGCCCAAGAGGACATCTCCGGACAAACCGGATGTGACGCCTATACCATCGACAAGCTCGCTGGTCGAGCTGTTTGAGCCCAAACAAGCACGTTCATTACCCGCCATCAAGTCTCCGAAGCCGCTACGCAAGACTCTGCTCCTACGGAACCAGACCCTCGAGCCCATCACGACCCGCTTGGAGCAGACATACAACGAGAGCTCCGGCGATGAGGCCTATGAGTCCGCCCGAGACCACTTATCGCCCGACCAGCCACACAAGCCCAGTCTGCCGCCACCCCGTCGCCCCATTCCGCGAGCCGACAGCAAACTTCATGGACTTGCAGAGCCCGAGATCCATGTACAGCCGCCTTCTCGCACCATCTCGACCAGCAGGAATACAACCCGCTCTCCACCCCGTCGCTCGCTCTCCCCCGACCCCTCACATCTGTCAATAGCCACCACCAAGCCCCTTCCGATCATCTCTCGTAATTACTCGCCCAACCACCTGACAGACCCTGGTCATCCCTCCATCACTGCTGCTTACCACCAGCTACACCCTCGTCGCATGACTCCACTCAAGTCTGGTGACTCGCTCGCCAACGCCATCGTTGCTTCAAGTCTTGCCTCCTCCCGAGCTCCTTCACCTATGAAAATCCCGCCTTCGCAACCAGCTCGACGCACATCGCACACCAAGCTTTTCACCCGGACCCCGAGTCCCAAGAAAGCTATGCGCCACACCATGCGCAAACCCGCCTCTGACTCGGACAGCGAACAGGACGACGAGGATCCTTATTCCAAGCACAAGAAGAAGAGATGGGTCAAGAAGCATCCCAACAAACATCACGAAGGTGACAGGAAACGCTGGCGAGATGCTGTTACCCAGTCCGAACGGAAACGCTACGAAGGTCTTTGGGCCGCCAACAAGGGCATTTGCGTCCAGTATACTGCCGACGAGCTGCTCATACTCGCTGCGCATCCAGAGTCCAAGGAGAGCGATAGGATCCGTGCTGATGTCAGCGATCAGATTGCAGACATCGTGGCACGGGATATTTGGACGCGGAGTCGACTGCCCTTGCACGAGTTGGAGCTGATCTGGGACTTGGTCGATAATCAACAATGCGGACGTCTGCACCGAGACGAATTTGTTGTCGGCTTGTGGCTGATTGATCAAAGGCTCAAAGGCCGAAAGATTCCTGTCAAGGTCACCGATAGTGTCTGGAACAGTGTGAGATTGATTTCTGGCATCAAGCTGAGGAAAGCTTGATTCATAGACCCGTTTCTTGTATGTTTTCTCGGCCTGGCTACCTGTTAAGCATGGTGTTTGTTTCCTTTTTTGCCTAGCGGAGCGCAGATACCCTATTGATGTTTCCTACTTTCTCTCTTGATTCAAGGCTCCCGTGCTTGATGGCCATCTCCTTCACCTTGCGCCCCGTGACCTGTTTCATATGCTCGCGGGAAAAAATTGAATGTCGTCGCACTGGTGGAGCGAGAACATCCGCACCTAGAGAGCGAATCATTCGTTCTGGTCCCAGCATTTCCAACTGTCGAAAGGTCAGGCAAAGCACAAACCCGGTCGCTCTTGGCCGTGAGACGTGATGTATATATGGTGGTGTCTGGGTTTAATCCGCTATAGCTCAGAGGCCTAAGCACACTTTTATCATGAAACCGAGCAGGGACTGTCGAAACATCAATGTTCAGACTTATATGGGCATGAGAGTGAGAAACTGTTTCTATTTGGTCATGTGTGGCATCATGGAGCCAACCAAGACTCGCATGTATACATCTCGCTGCCAGCCAGCCACCCACCCATCAAAGCCATCACTCACGAGTATTGACAGATGAGTTTTGGGTATACCATCTTGTAACCCCCATCGCCGCTCTCACACTTGGTACCATCGCCCCGGTCATTGTACTCGAGACAATCGAACTCTTGGCCGTCCGCACACGACAACGAACCCCGCTCGTTGGTGTACTTTGCGCTATAAGCACAACTTCCATGTGACCCGACATCGAACGGAGGTAGAGATTCAGGGTACAAAGGTTTGGTCACTTGGTACCCTTGATATTCGACGACGAGTATTCGCTTTTCGGTAGAGCACACGTCGAAGCCGGTGCTGTCGTTATCGTCGAAAATGAGCCATGCGTAGGCTTCTCCTGTGAGACCCGGTTGCTGACCACCGGTCATGATGTACAGGTAACCATTGCTGCTCTTCGAGGGTGATGGCTCCGGTGCAGCTGCCGTTGATGACTCTACGGGAGGTGTCGTGGTCGTACCGTCGTTGTTGGACGTCTCTGCAGGGAAGTCGATGGCAAGCATGGATTCGATTGCAGCGTCGGCAGCATCATCATCTGCGGCTTCTTCGGTAGCAGTGGGCCATTGTTCGACAGTCATAAAGTACGCGGGCGCGATAAGTGCAGTGGCGGCAGTATTTGTGCCTTTGGCAGAGCACGCAGTCTTTGTGGCGCAGGAAGTCGTGCACGAAGCTCCGACGCACTGGGTAGAACACGAGGATGCGGTCTGGGTCGAACATTCTTCGTCATCGTCATCATCGTCTGCACCTCCACCCCCTTCTCCAGAGCTCCCACCATGTGGAAGACAGAAAAGACAGGGTCCTGAGCAGAAAAGCTTGCACTTCTGGCCGCAGCCACTGGTGCAGGTGGGGAATGCATCGCCCTTGTACCACGATGTGGGTCTTGTGTTGAGGACAGGGTCTTTGGTGGTTTGAGACCATGGATATGGAGGTAGGGTTACGGTGGACGTTATGGGTGCGAGCGTTGTTGAAGTTTGTCCTCCGGGGTATACAATCTCGGTCACATATACGGTCATGGTTATGAGAGGTAAGTCGATACTACTGGTCTGTTCGATGACCTTGGGATCTACTTCGCCAGATGTGAAAGTCTGACGCCAGACATTGATCTTGTCGGTAGTGACTTGATGGTATTAGCCGGATGTTATTTAGGAGCGTGATATGACGATATGCTTACCAGGTGGTATCGTGATGGTGGTCGGGATGGTATCGATGGAATGGCGAATGATCGTCGTTGTGGTGCCAAAGATATCGCTTGTCCTGGTCTGTACGTAGGTTTGCTTGATAGAGGTCGTGTAGAGAGGAAATGAAATAGTCGTCTCCGTGTCTAGCGACAAAGGAGGCATGACCAGCGTACAAGGAGGTTGACACTGCACTTCGGGCTCTGCAGCTTCCCACACCGATGGATCGATGTAGACTACGCCCCTCTCTCCATTGCCACTCCCTGTATCGCCAATCTCGCTGCCCATTGCTGAGAGCTCAAGCCAAGCACTAATTTCTGTCGTGTACCCACTGCAAACGAGTCAACTCACTGGGGTCATGCTTTCTTCGCCATACTCTCACCTTTGACTGTTCTTCTGAAGAGCTGTTTCGAGTCCGCTGTGAGTCGTTAATAAGACAACCATTGGGATTGGTGGTGAATGAACGCTTACCCTCCAGGACTCATCGCTTCCACGGCACCCTTGGTAAACAGATTGAATATCCAAAGTCGTTCGGTAAATTCAGTCTGGAAGATGCGATCTTGACAAGACTCCAACGGGACGCAAACCTGACTGTAGTCATCATACCAGCTGTAGATGCCTGCGCTATATATGAGTATGTCGAGCGAATTTAGGATTCGGACTCCCCAAGACATGGCGCAAGTCTTCGAGCTTGTGTCACAATCCGAAAAGGTAGGATCGTTCGCAAAGTGACCTAGAGTGATAGGCTCGGGAGCAGCTGGTCTAGTCTGGAAGTAAGGCGACTCTGTTTGCATATGTCCCATGTATACGTTCCTGGCTCCAGAGAGTTGATACTGATAGAGGACGCTATGCTCGGATGCGGTGCCGTACATCCAGACCGGCCCTTGAGACTCGATGAGGACACCTCCTCCGGAATATATGCTGATTTGACCACCGAGCGTAGGGAGTCCAGGGGCATTTGGGTCGAGGTCATGGTCGGCAACCCATGCCCAGACATTCTCAAAATATCCGGAAGACTGCGAAGTGATGTGGAGCAACATAGAAGCAGCAACACAATATGTTTTGGTGGTTCCCTCGGTTTCTGCAGGACAATTGTCATGCTGCAAATCAGAGCCTTTGGCACCGCCGACTCTAAAGTGCGAGTCCCACATACCCGCTGCAACACAGTGAGCTGACGATGTGGCTCTAAAGTCCTGGAGAGACTTACCTGAGCCTTGCGTGCTTTCATGTACCCTCCACTCCATCAGGATGGTACCTGCAACAGCGCCTTTGACGGTGAAAAGCATGTCCGAAATCTCTAGAACCCCTTTGTCGCCAGGCTCTCCGACTCTATGGACTCGTGAGCAAATAGTCAGTGCCCATGTCGTACAGACTACTTACTGGACCATGACCTTGGGGTTGTTTTGGTCTCCAAAGTATGAGCCTACAGCCATACTTGACTCACCAATAATCGCGATTGAGCCCGTGCCTTGATCGTCGAGACCACCGGCAGAAGTGCAGTCAATAGCGATATAACAATCTGTCACCTCCATGTTCTTCCAGGTAAATCCCCAGTTCCAGACAGTAGATACTGCAGTAAGACAGTTGGTGAACTTCAGGTTGGTAGCCGTGAACTGCTGGGTACCGGCACGGAAACCAATGTTTCCGCCGTTGAAGACAAGATCACCGACGAAGCCGCCAGATCCATTTTCCATGTAGATACCAACAGCAGTAGCGGAGCCTTCTGAATTGGAAACAGACATATTAAACTCCAGGTTCTGCAATGAAGTGGCTTGTGCGACTTGCCAATGGATACCTGTTGCCGCATATTGCTGACCAGCGTCCCAATTGGTGCCAGTCATGTCCATCATGTCAAAGACAAAATTTCTGATCTGGCGATAGAAGTTGTTTTGGTTGACTGAGCACAAAGAGTTTAGCAATGTGACGATCATGTGCTAGCGTTGCTTGACTTACTCCACCACTCTGCTCCGCTGCCCTCGGGTATGTATACGTCAGTATCGATCAAAGCAATGCCAGTGAAATCCGAAGAGCCTTTGATGACTGGTCTGTTGTTCGGATCACCCACAAATTGTGTGTAGTAGTACCTGGGGCATATCAGTGGTCATGTTCTGCAGTTGCTGTGCGTTTCTGAATTCTTACTGTATGATCGGAGTGCTGATAAGGTAGGTTCCAGGCTAGACACGGTTATTAGCGAAGAGTCATGGAGCTCTTGAAGGCATTACTCACGGGGAAATAAACCAGTCCCCCTTTGATTGTTGTCGAGTCGCAGTTCTTGCCGCATCTGTCGCCGTCGACCACCGCACGATTAATCGCTTGAGTATCATCTGTTTTGCCATCACCAACCGCGCCGTAGTCCCGGACGTTGCGATAGAATTTGTAGCCACTGCCAGCAAAGGGCATCTAATCGAGCAAAGATATTAGCTTGGTTATACCATCAGCTGATTGTAATCATAAGCATGCCTATCCATGTTTGATATTGGCCAGCCAAAATCCGTCTGCTCGGGCATACAAAGTGGAATTGCCTTGGTGGAGATGGCCGATAGTGGAGTTTTTGTCTGTCAGAACAGGGCCGTCCATAGACCCTTTGTCAGGAGCGACACCATGGCTATTCTTGGTATTGTCTACCATATAAGTGGGTGCCGGCTACGAGGACGTTAGACACGGAAGAGACATTTGGTGTGCTCAGCAGCATACCAGGGGTGGGCCAACAGGCATAGACGCGTTTACAACTGTAAAGGCTACAGCCGCGTGAACAAGTAGAGAAAGACTTCTCATGATCGACTGACCACGTTCTTCGAACGTGTCTTCGTCAACAAGAATGGAACAGCGACTTTGATGAGTCCGGGAATGTAGAATGTGGCACAATGTAACGAGAGCTTTCTAGGAAAGCGAGTGTCGCAGAAGGGGACACGAGCTTGCCTTCATATATGCGATTTCCCATCTACACAAGCCAGTCATCACGTTCGTCGGAGCCCTCGCTCTCTCTCTCGGCAGTAGTGGTGAGATGCGCCCATACAGCCTGGCTGGAACACGGTACCCATGGCCGAGAAATCAACGACCGGATTATTGCGGTATACCATCAATCTAGCGAATGATGAATTCTCATTAAGCAAGAATGAGATGTCACTAGAGCAGAAGGATTTCTATCCCGTCTGCAAGATAATATCGCGCTTACTTATCGCGCCTCCCGCGCACGGCCAAAAGAAACTACATGCAGGGACCGCTTTTCCGACTCGACACCATTTTGACGCAGTACTCGAATCACTACGACTTGACAAAGATTGCGCTTGTCGGAATCTCTATCTACTGATGAAACTCACTTGCGCACATGCTGGGTGCAGCTCTTTCAACACGCTTGAATATGTCTTCGTCGCCCTCGCTGGCTCCGTCAAGCTCTGTACCGAAATTGCCTACCTTACACACCCGTCTACTGATAAGGTAGTGGCCATGTCTGTGGACCCCTCATACTAAGCTATGTACAATTACATCAAGTTGAGCTCCATCACAGATAAGTGCACTTGAGCAACCTCTTTGTGGGTTTCAAGATGATCTCGCAAAGCAGCGAGATGAGTGCATCCGGTCCCATGGTACTACTAGGCGAACATGCAATAAGGCTCCTATATGATATCCCATGATTGCGGCACAAACATCCACTGGTGCCGAGGCTTACAGGCACGACCTCCGCGAGCGGCAACCTTCCCACGATTGGCAGGTCTGGATGCGAGGAGGGTTCGATCAGGATAGTCTCGCAACGTACCCTTAGCTCAGAAGCAATCTTCCTTCTCGCCAGTATCTGTGCCACAGGAGCGCGGTAGCCGAGGATGTTCGGCAGTGGTTTGATCATGCATGGGCTAGACTCTCGAGTGATACCAATGGCGTCTACAATTTCGCCATATATTGATCTACTATAGATATGTGCTTCTCTCATCGGCTGCGACATTGGATATTCGACCGGGCGTTCGTATCCTGGACGTCGGCGAAGCAAATCTCGATACAACTCATCCTTGGGACCCAGCTATATTGAGTGGCGTGTCGAGATGCGAAGCGAAAGCGAAAGCTCAGTAGTCCAAAGTGCTCAGCCGGCCTGACGTCGTAGAAAAGGGTTCCCCTTCTCCCTTGGAGCTGAAAAAGATCAGATCAAAGCCATACCGACGAAGCTGGTCAGTACTGGAACCCAACATGCGCTCGCTCCTTACGACACTCGTCTTATCATGTGTGGTCACTTCCGTGAGAAGCGCGTTCGTCGACCTGTTCAGCAGTCCCTCGAGAAGTGATTACGGCGGCTGTGATGGTCAAACAGACCTGATCGATACTTGGCTTGTTGAAAGCCTGACGTTGGCCGATGCTGGTCTCGAGGCCGTAGCTGATTACGATTCCGACTTGGTCGTTCGATTGATGTTCGACGCTTTCTTCGGACAGAAGCAGACGGGGGATCGCGAAATTTTTGATGTCGTCTCAGGTATATTCATATGTTATTCGTATTCGCATGTCACTCTTGGTTCGTTAACACTGGTACAGCAAACTTGAATCAAGTCGCCAGCTTTCTGCAGAAGGGCCTGAGCGGTAACAAACCATGGTTGTTCTGTGACAGCAGCTGGCTCGTCTGGAGCGAATGGCAAGACGTCGCAAAAGACGCGAGAGGGAACGATTTGCTCATAGATGGTGCCCTGGTTTCTCTGCAGGAAGTGGATGACGAGCGATATTCCAAAGCCTTTAAAGCTACAGATCCTGTCCAGGTGCCGTACTTTGCTCCGGATGTCAACAACTATCTCTTTGCATCCGACGTGAAGGGCACCTCTTTTTGTGCATCGGGAGCAAGTCTGGCGGGTACCCAAACAGAAGCTGGGTTCAAATCAGTCACGTTGTGTCTCAACAACATCCTCCGCACACCGGAAATTGCCACCTTGGACACAAACACCGTAGGAAGGTCGGGGTTAAGTCTAACCAAATTTTTCCCGAAGAGCGCCACTTTGTTCCACGAGCTTTTCCATCTGGTCAGCGGACAGCTCGAAACGGAGGACGTACCTGGCTGTAAGTTTCCACCTTCTACACCCTCTTGTCTCTTCGCTTACATTTGCCGATTTCCAGACCGTTACGCGGACGTTGCAGCTTATGCAACATCCCCCGATGACATACCGTACCCAGAAGAGAAGGACCCCAAGACAGCTGGGTATTACAACTCTTATAATCCAGAAATCTACGTCTTTTTCTGCGTTGCGTACCATCAGTATGTAGCCAGTGGCCGAAAGTGGAAGTTTACAACGTCGAGGTCCAGCGCCGTCTGAGACCAGAAAGGGTGCCAGATGCCGATGTCATGCTGTCGTCAACATATATCGTGGATGGATGGAGCTAGCTTGGAAAATCTCTCGATCCAGGCATAGATGGGCATGGCAAACACCTAATCCTATTCGCTTGTGTCAACTTAGGCAACACATAGTTCACTTACTAGAATTGGCCCTTTTGGAGATGTTTCTGCTCGTACATGTCATTGTTGTTGCGAAAAAAAAAAAAAGACTGATTGTACAGCAGAAGCCAAGCCACTCTTAGTATTCTTTTCTTGCGACTACAAGATCGAGGATCATTGCAAGATCAACCGACGTATAGGCTATCAGATGACAGCTTTACGTATCACAGAGCCACAAAGCTACAGAGTTGCACATTGGAGAATCTATGCTGAGGTGATATATTGTACGAATTATCTAAGTCCGGGTCAGTCGACTCCTACGTCTAGGCGAGGGTCCTCGGCGGAATGCTCTCCATCCCGGTGCGCCATCTACTCCCAGGTCTTCGTCTTCTGAATCTTCCGGATCTTTGTATCGGATCAAATTATCTGGCGTGTTTTCCGCTAACCAGGCCAATGTGGAGTCGATGTTGTCATCCTTATCACAGGCTTCGAACGTAAATCCATCAATGTCAATCCGGAGGCGTTGTAAGCACAGGATACCGCGTAGTTCAGAGAACATGGCTTCCCACGCTTTGTTGTCCTCGAGGCGGACTGCGTATCGAAGCGACAAGTCCTGTAGATCGGGTACGGAACGTCCCAGAAAGTGCAACACCTGAGGCGACGAACCCCAGAATACCCCGAGACAAAGCTTCTTGACTCTCTGTGGATTGATATGTATCAGAGCATCGGTTAGCTGTATCCGATCCTTGGCTGTCCCCGGGAAATTTGACAAGGAGAGATGTTCCAGACAAGGTAGCTCGTCAATCAAGGTGAACAGGTCGAAGCGCCTTGACGTATCTGAGAGCTGGAGACTCTGGTCTGAGATCTTCAGTCCAATCTCAAGATGTTTGAGATGCAGGAGGTCGTATCCGAGATTAAGAGCGAGTTTGAGTTGGTCGACTTGAATTCTGTCCACAATCATGGCAGCCAAAGGCGTACCACTGTCCCTGACCGCTGAAAACACAACTTCCGTCATGCGAGTTACCATATCAATCTTCTGGTACTCCCAAGCGGGTCGAATGCCCATAAAGTTGTCTTCGAACGGGTCCTTGTCTGTGAATCTCATCAGATCCTTGCGACCCAGAACTAGGGATGGATCCCGTGGCCATTCTTGCACCTCGATACGTGCAACTCTGAGATTCCGCAGTGCACCTGTGAGCTGTTCTCGAAATCGCTCACCACGCACAAGTTCGGCGCAAAGATTAGCAGCCTCTTGGGTTGGCGATGAGGGATCGGGAAACGGGCGAGCAGTTTCGCTCAGAACGCGCAACTGCGGTCGAGTCCAAATGTCTCGAGGTCGAACTTGCGTCTCGCGGGCACCCCAGAACTGGTAGATAGAAGAGCATATGCGCAACTCGCGGACATGGGCATTCAAGCGTGGTTGTGTTGATATCTGCGTCAAGATGTCGAGGGACGCAGACGTGGGTAGTAGATGCAAACGACTGAAGAAGCGATCGCCAAAGGTTGCAAGCAGAGTGTCGTCCAGATCTTTGCAGACGCCACGCAGAGTCTTGATTTCATCTCTCGAGAGATAGGAAGTCACCTCTAAGACGATCTCCCGTGGCAGATCCATGAAGCAGGCGGTGTGTTGTCGCGATTCAGACAAGTCTGATGGCAACCTTGTTGGAACTTGAGTAGATAGTGAGCCACCCATATTTTTTTTTCCAACGGTGCAACTGGAAAATCTTGGATGTGATGACCATGGCTAACAAATAAAGAGTCGTGCTTCACATTATCTGCTCCTCGCTGGAGGTCTGCGCACGGCTCTCGGGTGTGGCACCTCTCATTACCCCAGGCTAATTCCAATCTGTGTTATCAACTCTCCATTAAACTATCGCACTGTACCGCGGTTCGTGTACGCTACAGTATATGAAATACTTATCTTGATTAACAGCGCAATTGGTCAGCCATCCTGATCTTGGAAGCTGGTGACTGTCGGGGTGATCCAAGCCTATACCGCGTCGGAGAGTCGCAGATCCGCCGCTCTTTCACTTTAAGAATGTCACATATAATGCATTCTTAGCCATCAAGGTGCAAAAGGCAGGGACGATCATCAAAGTTACGAAGCAGCTGCGACTCACACTTTTGCAACTATTCATGTCACTCATTCCTACCGATTTTTCATCAGACAGCATTGTACAAGCATATGTATTGCTGTTCGTGTGGTTTACTTACAGAAGACTTATTGACGTTTCTGTTCACCATTCGCCAAACTGCTCTTCTACGCCGTTCCGAAGAAGTGGTTCATCACTAACTCGAAGAAAGGAGTGGTTAGTGAAAGAGGAAAACAGATGCGAGATTGAGCTCGAGCCACAGGACTATTCAAACACCTCGAATCAGGGACTGAGTCTGAGACTGAGAATACTTGTTGAAGACAACAGTTCATTCATAAAAATACATAACGACAAAAGGAAAAGCACACCATTAATTAAGATCTCTGGGCCAACAAATCATCTCTTTTCTATCTGGTTGATTCTCTCTTTGATCCCCAGTCCAAATCATGAGTGCGACTCAGTGCGTTGCATACTGCCACCCATAGAGGACCTGCTGCTCTTCTTGGTGGTAGTGGTAGTCGAAGACTTGCTACCAGAAGAAGCAGCAATCGCACGCATCTGCGACGCAGATTCCTCCTCAAAGCGCTCGAGTTCGCGGCACTTGGACTCGTACTTGGAGTAGACCTCGTCGCGCTCGCGGTCGGCAGAAGCCCGGGCAGCAATGGCCTGTTCCTTTTGCTCACGGGCTTCACGCAGCATGGCGCGCATGTTTTCGAGCTCGTACTCGAATTCGGCAGAGCCGTCTTGGGTGACGGTCTCGGTGACCTCTTCGAGCTCTTCGCGAGATCTGCGCAGCTCCTCGCGGAGACCCTCGCGCTCGGCACCGCCCTCGTGGATCTGGGTCTGGAGGATGACGATGCGGCCCTTGAGTTCGACGAGCTGGTCGGTGAGGGTAGTGTTCTTCTTTTGCCAGTCGAGGCGCTCACGCTCAAGACCCTTGACCGTACCGTTGAGGTTTGTGATTTCGGCACGGGTCTCGATGATGAGTTGTTCGGTTTTCTGAGCGGTCTCGGTGAGGAGGTTGATCTGGCGCTTGTGGGCGTCGACTTTGCCTTGGGCGGTGATGAGTTCGTTCTGGAGCTCGTCGCGGGTGATGATGACGAGCTTGTGTTGCTCGCGAGAGTGCTCAAGGGCTTCGTGCTTCTCGTCTCTTTCGAGCTCGGCACTGCGGAGGCGGTCTTCGTAGAGGGAGAGCTCGCGTCTGAGGGCGTCGAGTTGAGTGGTCTTCTCGAGGAGGAGAGTCTGGACCTCGTCGTGTCTGGCAATGGTGGACTTGATCTCACGGTTCTTAACATCGACGATGTGAGTGAGCTCATCACGCTCGCCCTCGACAGTGCGGAGGGTATCCTTGAGCTTGCTGATGTCACGGTTGGACTGGCTGAACTTCTCGGAGATGATGAGAAGCTCGGAGCCAGACTCCTCCTCTCTGCTGCGAGACTTGCGAAGCTCTTCCTTGAGACGGTTGATCTCGTGGATCTTCTCGTCCTGGTCGAGCTCGTACTTTCTCAGACGCTCGGCAGAGATCAGCGCTTCCTTGCGGAGTGTGTCAAGGTTGGTCTGAACCTCCTCGAGTCTGTTGCTGATCTCTGTGCGCTCCTGGGTGACTCTTTGAAGGTTACGCTGATAACGGTCGGCATCTTCTCTTGCACCATCTCTGTCATCCTGCATGGCCTTGAACAGAGTCTCATGAGACTGGTACTCGGCCTTTAGACGGTCAATCTGAGTGCGGAAGGTTGATTGAAGCTCTTGCTGACCAATGAGCTCGTTGCGGAGACGGTCAATGTGCTGATCACGCTCGGATAGCTTGTTCTTTTCTGCAGCGAGTCTGTTGATGGCGGTAGTAAGCTCAATGGAGATGGCGCGGACCTTCTCCTTGTGCTCAACAAGTTCACCGTCGTGTCTGTGGTTGTCTTGCTGCTTGGTCTCGAGCTCGTAAGTGACCTCTTCGATCTGTTCACGGAGCTCCTCGCGTTCAGCAGCGAAGTTGCGGCGCTCTGCGGCCATCTGAGACCAGAGCTCCTTCAGGGAGATGGCTTCCTTTGAAGCATTGGCGACCAGATCCAGGAAGGCAAAGAACTTGGACTCGGCATGGGCACCATTCTCAATGGCCAACGAGTTGCGGAAAGACGAAGAAGCCAATGAGCTGCGGCGACGCGATGCACTCGAAGTTGAGCGACGCACGGCGCGGTGTGCAACTGATGAGCTACCAGAAGCGGATCTCGAAGAGTAGTCTCCGCCCACATTCGAGTACATGGACTGAGATCTGCTAAGGACAGCATCAACAGGGAGGGCAGCGCGAAGCTTGTCCATGCTGAAGCTTGCTTCGACGGGGGAGTCTTGCTTCTGTTCGACTTGAGGTTGTTCCATGATGAGATTTGTTTGGTATAAAAAGTGTAGATGAAATGAGATGGAGTCATGGCAAGAGATTGACCAGTTATATAGCTCAAGCTTAGGGATGGCATTGCATCAATGCTTCCATTGCATGTCCTCATTGACGTCGTCACCTCAGAGTTCATCCAAAAGTTGCTTGACAAATTCGGCTAGAGATGGGAAAGTCGATCTGCAGTGGGTCTACTCTACGAGACCAACTCTCCGTAAGCGCGGGAATTGATTTGCAGATCATGTCTTTCAGTACAACGTGTTGGAAACTTTTGGAGGTTGACAACACAAGGGACTCTGGCGTGCTCGTACGCACATGTCAAAGTGACATAGTGACATCAGGTTGGAGCTGTCTTGCTAGCTCCATGGTCGTTCACCCGAGCTCCGTCGAAGTAGGTACAGTACATATGTCGAGCTGAGATCTGACAAAAGCCACCACTTGCAAGTCAGCCACTGCATTGGAGTTGCGGTTGGCAGTACTTGGTCTTAGTATGGCCGTAAATCCAGCTGTTTCCCGGAGGCGATGTCAAGAGCATGTATCGAGATTCGACATATGTACCCTTGCCCATGCTCCGTGCACGCACCCTACACATGCTTGAGCACCATCTCTTCGACACAACCCGATTGAGCGACCGTGGGGTGTCTTGAAGAAGAGTGTAGATCAGCATAAGCCTCTTTGGGACGTGTGGGGTAGCGTGCAGGGATTCTTTGGTAGATCGGGCCGTGCGGACCAGCCCGATAACGTATAGCGTTGATCAAAAGCAAGCTGTCGTATCCACCGGTTGACATCAAGTTGCAGGTGCCTAGTTGTAGCTGCGCAATAGCGTGGTCGCCATCTTGCAACGTCTTCGATTCGTACTTTGCACGCCTGCATGTATGCACGCTCTGTTCCTGGACATTTTAGACACGACGCTCAACGTTCGTGCTTGTGAATCGATCAACTCTTGACATGAGTCGACATGTTTGTAGCATGATCATCCGAATGTCAGGTATTCAACTAGTGTGGCTCTGGATTTGGGTGAACACGCTTGGTCTCCGTTCGTTCCCAAACCAGACAACGTTCGGCTCGATCCTCGTGGGATAAGCATAAATCCTCGGAAATGTTTCCTGGGTCCAAAACGTAGATCGATGGTTTCCACTCCGTCGTCATCCCACCACTTTGGCTCGGCTCTTTCCTGGGACGACGATCGTCGAATGAGATGTTCTACCACTCATCCGCACCCCTGTTATATGAATGAGGGGTAGGTAGAGAAATCCATGTAGGTTCGGGCTGAATTATGCAGGCGTAAGGTCAATCGTGAGACTCATTGTTGCTATACTGTTGTTTGGAACCAAAGCAAAATACCGCAAGCTCGACTGCGGTTCGCTCCTCCGCTCGTTCGGCCGTAAACGTAGCAAACTCTTCGTCAGGGTCTCGTCACATATAATCAATGTCTTGATGCGTCTAAGACTGGTGGATCAAATGAAGACGATCGCCTATAGGAGTGATCCACTGAGCTATGAGTCTTGCTGTTCTTTGAGCGTAGCTCTTGCGAAAATCACAACTTGGAAAATCCTCTGACTCGAATCCTGCCTCCAAGCATAGTGTGGTTCGTTCCGAAGGGAGCCCGTGGAATCACGGAGATGATCGCACAATTGGTTTCAAGGCGAGAGCTTCGGAACATGGGCCGAGTCTGGCAAACAGAACCGTTTGCGAACATGACATACTTGTCGTCGCTCTTTGCGTGTGGTAAACGTGGATTCGAACGAGGGTGCGAGTAATTGCACTTGTACCATTGATTCGTGCTGATGTTTGGAAAGAAGGAGCCGGAGATCTTGTGAGAATGGCAAGGCATTCGCCAGATCTTGTAAATCTCTCGTAGTGATCTTCACGGCTGAGCGTAACTCGATGGTTGGAGCAGGTATGGTCCGAGATGCGGCCCACAGCATTTACGTTCCCTGTGCAGATGTTGCAGAACTAGGACCTTGTCGTCATGTACTTGGTTGATAGGAAGATTTGATCAGAAGGTTGTCTGTATATTCGTGCTGCTCTCTTGCCCTTGTGGCCGGGCCGCTGTTGTGATATAAAGGACGATAGTGGAGACAGCCGGATAGTCGAAGGTTGTCATGTATGCAAGGAATCGGCTGGCTTTAGACAGTCATGTACCATCCGTTTGAGACTTGTGTAGGATGCATCACCAGTCGGCCGTGCCTATTGGTGCAAGAGATCTCAGATCATGATGCAGCATGAGTTCATGCAGCTGTATTGCTGCATTCTCGATAAATGCGAGACCCTGTCTGTATTCGCAAAGTCCACAGGTCCTCGTCGAAGCTTTCGGCAAAAAGTCAAGTTGATAGTCAATCGGCTCCCGAGTCTCTCGGCACGGTTCTGGGAGAAGGATGCAGACCCTTGGACCGTGTTGGTGCATTGACAGAGCGAAGCGGGCAAACACTGGATGGTCAGCAGACAGGCTGTTATGCCTTTAAATCGTGTCCCATTTGGTTCCGAAAGATAGTCACGCCGTGGATTTTCGTGTTCAGGTATTGTTGATTCTATACCATCGTCTCGCTCCGGGTGTCGATGGCCTTTGTACGACGTTTTCACGGGACCGGTGCAAGTCGCGTCTCAATTCTTTCAAATGCCTTATCAGACAGACACCTGGCTGGGTGGACATACACATAAGGAACACACACCGAATCGATGGTTTTGAAGTGTAACCGGTGCTGGTTGATGACGCGTGTGAGTTTAAAGCTTGCGTGGTTTCTGTGGATTCTCAACTTCGCGCTCGCAACTACGACTTTTGGCCAGATTTGAAAACTGGATTATCTCAAAGAAAATGATACAAGACTCGACAACACGTATCTCTTGGAGTTTTCGATGATGGAATATGGGCAACGAAGCGTGTAGTATGTTGTAGCTCACGACAGTGCCTTCGGAGGCCGCATTTCGCGATAGTAGAAGGAAGTTCAGGATATTGCGATTTGTCGTGTTCAGACTAAACATAAACTAATAGAGCTTCTTGTTGGAAGACAATCAATCCACGAAATCGGGTATCAGAGGCATCAACAACCTTGTCTGAGACGCTTGCTTTTCAGGGTAGCTAGATTGGAGCTACAGATACCCAGATAGACTAAGCTAGAGCTGTTGTGTAGGATAATGCCACAATCATATGGCGATCAACCCAAAAACCACTTGTCGACAGTAGCACCCTGTCATGTGTATTGCCCGAAGTTCATCCACGCCTTGTCCTGCGAATCAGGTACATTGATCATTTTCAGTTGTGGCTCCCTGTCACAAGTCATTCGCATTACCGTTGAAGACGACGAAGCTTTGAGAACAATCCGAACTCTGATATAACCATGTCCGTCTGAGCTGAATGTGTGGTGGAAGAGAGTTGTAGGTATGCGCCGACGGTTGAAGCTTGGCGGTGGAAGACGGTGGTAGTGACGTTTTGTGGCACGGACGGCGTGATGGGCGTCGTCTCGCGATACCCCAGAAGCAACCGAGGACGGTGGGCCGGTTGTCCTGCCTCGTCTCTGCCTTGTCTCAGCGCGTCCTTTGCTGCCCGTCTTCTCCCCTGTGCTCCCATCGTCTTGCATACGCGCCGCATATCCCACCATGTCGCTTTTCGGAGAGTCACCGCCGCCGACGCCGGCCGCCCGCCAGAACAAGTCGTCGCTGTTCGACGACCATGAACAGCCCGCTGCTCGCAGCACCTCCAACAACTCGGGCTTGTTCGCCGAGACGGGCAATCCAGACGACGGTCAATCGCCCTGGGACTTTCCCGTTCCCAAGAAGCAAAACAGCACCCGCCAGAGAGGAGACTTGATCAAGACACTGCTGCCGCCTAGCGACGTCCCCGAGTCCTACGTCAACCTCTTTGATACCTTGCTGTCCCAGAGCACTGCCCACGGCGCCATTACCCTCGCACAGATCAAGACGCTGTTGTCGCAGAGCAGCATTGGACAACCCGAGCAGTCCAAGATTCTCGATCTCATTAGCGCGACAGATGCCGACAACTCACGTGTCCTAGGCCGCGGCGAGGTCAACGTTGTCTTTGCTCTTATTGGACTAGCACAAGAGGGCGAAGAGCTTGGTTTGGACGCTGTTGATGAGCGCAGAAGACAATTGCCCGTTCCCAATCTGCCTTCTCTCACCGCCCCTCCCAAGCAAGAGCAGAAACCTCCACGAACTCCCACTGGTCCTCCCCCTCAAGCAGACTCGAGTGCCTCACAATCTCAGAATCTCGAAACTCCTGGCTTCGGCTTTGGCGACGATCCCTGGGGAAGTCCTTCCCTGCACAAAAATCACCACCACGAACAAGCTGCCGCCCCCTCGTACGCTCAGGCAGCTGCTCCTTCATACCCCAACGGTGGTGTCAATGGTCGTGCAGACCCTCCCCACGTCCGAACGACCAGCAATTTCACAACCACTTCCGTCGCCGACAAGACCGACTCTCCCTCCACCGAGCCTTCCTCGTTCGAACCTTCGCGACCCACAACGGCCGAGAGTGGTTGGGGTGGTTATTCTGCCTCGAATGACGGTTTCAATACTGCTCCCGGTAACGAAGGCTTCGGTGAGCCGCAGAGCGAAAACAACCAAACCTCGGGTAGCGTGAGAAGACCCCTCGGCGTGTCTAGATCCAGCGGCGCGACGGGACCTGAAGAACTTGTTACGGTCAATGTACTCGAAGAGAAGGAAGGCATGTTTTTGTTCCAACATCGCAACTACGAGGTATCCAGCATCAGGAGGAACAGCCGTGTCATTCGCCGATACAGCGATTTTGTCTGGTTGTTGGACTGCCTGCATAAGAAGTTCCCGTTCAGACAGCTTCCTCTTTTGCCGCCCAAGCGTGTCGCCAGTAAGTCAAACGAGGCCTATTTGAGCCAACAGAGCTGACGGACTCACAGTCAACGGCAAGCACATTGCTGCTGATAACCTATTCATCGAAAAGCGAAGGAGAGGCCTGGCACGCTTTGCAAATGCGCTCGTCCGCCATCCCGCTCTGAGTCAAGACCAGCTTGTCATCATGTTCTTGACTGTTCCTACGGTAGACGTTCGGCCCCTGCCCTCTGCATCAATTGACCTTGACTAACTGTTTCCAGGAACTTGCTGTATGGCGAAAGCAGGCTTCCATCTCTGTGCAAGAAGAATTTACTGGCAAGCCTCTTCCCCCAGGTCTCGAAGACTCGCTTCCTCAAAACCTTTCCGAGCTCTTTGACACGGTACGAAACGGTGTGCGCCGCTCGACCGAGGTTTACATAAACATGTGTGGCATGGTCGAGCGACTTATTAAGCGTAACGAGGGCCTCGCAAGCGAATACATTCGTCTCTCCATGGCTCTCGGTAGCCTGACAGAATGCTCCGCCGATACTTACGCCATCGACACCAACGAAGTAGAGCTGTTGAACGGTGGTCTCAATGGCACAGCCAAGCATCTCTCCACCAACCAGACTCTCCTCGAGGATGAGGCTAGAGCTTGGGACTTGGGTGTTCTGGAGGACCTCAAGCGCCAGCGTGATGCTTTGGTCAGCATGCGGGACATGTTTGACCGTCGCGATCGTTATGCGCGCGACAATATTCCTCAATTGGAACGTCGCATTGCCTCGAACGAGAGCAAGCTGTCTGGCATTCGTGCACGACAGGAGTCTCAGATCAAGCCTGGCGAGGCCGAGAAGGTCGAGAGCGCAATTGTCAAGGTACGTGCTATTCATCCAACACAAATTGCTTCTTTACTAACAAGGCGCAGGACAAGCAATCGATAGTCGACCAACACGCTCGTGGCGTCTTCATCAAGGAATGTGTTCGCGATGAGATTGTGCACTTCCAATCATCTCAATATCATGTCAGCAGAATGCACCAAGAGTGGTCGCAAGAGCGCGTCAAGTACGCGGAGTTGGGTGCAGAGAATTGGAAATCATTGAGCGAGGAGCTTGAGGCCATGCCTCTTGGTGATTGAGAGGCAAAGCATTCGACAAGCCTCTGTAGTTATATATCCCTCTAGTGTAATATTTGCTTTATCATTGTCAGCCAGAAGATACACCACTCGATCTCTTTCAATGCTGCAGTTGCTCCTTCCTTAGATGAATTTGCCAAGCAGGGGCTCTAGGATTCACATGGCTTCCATGTGTTGTCGCCAGTGATTTGTTGTCAGCTCTGACACTTTCGAGAACGCCAACACTTCTCTTTGTACTTCAAATGGCGCTCGCGTGTTCTTCTTGAGATTTAGTGAATCAGGTCAACAAGTACATCCTGCTAGTCGTCACTTTACTTCGAGAGCTTCACCAAAGATCCTACAAGACCGATCTGCAACGCGATCTTGGACTCTGCAATACGAGCAACGACCATTCAGGGATACAGGTCAAGGATATTCGACCATAGCCTTTCCATCATGCCTGGAGCAAAAAAAGGAAAGAGAGCAATGGCAGTCGAGTCCGAGGACATCAACAGCTCGTCACCTCCGATCAAAAAGATCAAGTCCAGCAAACCCGGTAAGTTCAAACATACTTCTATGTCCTTGATACCTGTTCTCTGCCCGTGGTGGTATAGCCGTTTGGGCATGGTGATCCTGGTCCGAGCGCCTTCCTATCTTATCGATTGAGCGGCTTCGGAACAGAGCACATGGTCGGCGTCATTGCGCGTCGCTGCCTTCATCAACTTTCCTCTCAATCATCATCTGTCGCGCAATTATCCTTGTCATCTGGTTCTAGCCTACTGCCATCTGTTCCCGCTCAAACACGTACCTTACACTCTTCCTGGATACAGGCGACTGACATAGCACAACCATGCCTCCAGCCTACACAGCCTCCCAAAAAGCGGCCATCCAGAGCTTTGTCGACTTCACCAACACAGATCGCACAACCGCAGGAAAAGTCTTGCGTCAACATGGATGGAACGTCCAGGTAGCAACGAACGCGTAAGTAAAAGGAATTTCATTGCCTCCTCAGGAATCTGGCGCCGCAAGAGGGGCAATCTACCTGGAGACACAAGGGGCTTCGTACACCAGCCCAAGCTCGCTGTCGACTCGACGATGTCGTGTCTCGGCAGATGCACTGCGATGAGACTGCACGCGGCCGACCACTCAGAAGTGAAGCGGACCACGAATTCCCAAACTCTCCCTTCCGCGCGCATACAGATACCCTTTGTCATGCCCGACCTCATGGACATCGAGTACTCATTGTGCGAACTATGTTTATCTGACGATCAAACCAGATTCTTCCAGTCGGGCTCCAGCGGTGGCGGCAACACTGCCAGCAAAAGCACACTCAACAAACTCTTCGACAAGTACCGCGACGATGTGGCCAACGAGCCTGATGAGATCAACATTGAAGGCACCATGAAATTGCTCGAGGACATCGACCTCAGCCCTGACGACGTTGGCACTCTGATCTTTTCTGAAATGGTCAAGTCGCCCACTCTTGGAAAGCTCACGCGCACCGAGTTTGTCGACAGTCTTGCTGCCCTCGGGTGAGTTTTTAGAAATCTGCGCAAGGTAGGCCACGTCTGACGAGTTGTACAGTGTCAACGATATTACCAAGATGCGCGACATGGTGCAGCAGAGACGTGCCAACCTCAGCGATCCGTCGTTCCGTCCCACGTTCAAGTCCATCTACAAGCACACGTTCATACTCGCACGTCAATCTGGACAAAAGGCAGTCGCACTCGAGGCTGCTACGGAATACTGGCGCCTGCTCTTGACCAGCCCTTCGCTCGAGTGGTCATCGCCCAACACACCTTGGCTCGAGTGGTGGTTAGAGTTTCTCAGCGAAAAGTACAAGAAGAGCGTGAACAAGGACATGTGGGACCAGACTCTGGTGTTCGCCGAGAAGACACTTGGCGACGAGCAACTCAGCTTCTGGAGCGAGGACTCTGCCTGGCCTGGTGTGATTGACGAGTTTGTCGAGTACGTCAAGACGGACAAGCGTGCAGGTCAAGGTGGTGATGCCATGGAGGTTGAGTGAAGGAGATGATGCCGCAGAGGAAAATGCACCGAGCACAAACAAGAGATTAAGGATATGACTGCCAAGGCACGCGACACGTGCCAATACAAGATTATTCGCAAACAGAACAAAGTCACGGCTTCGAGAGGGATACAGATACAGATGGCTTCGAGATATCAAAGATGAAGCACGAGGATGGATTGCAAGCATGGCATAGCGGCAGCATCAGAGGCAGGCAGTAGACAGAAGTTCCAAAAAATCACATGAAGCGAATTCGAGATCGACGTCACAGGGTGAAACATGTGAAATTGAGTCGGCATGGCGCGGCAAGGGGAAGCACCGAGATTGGTTGTTTGGCGGGAGACGGGAGGACCCCCACACTCGAGCCGGCGCTGACGCTCCCCGGGCACCGGCGGTGATGAATTTTTGGTTGTTTCTGGTCGCACCTTCCCTTCCCTCGGTCTCACGCGCCTGCTCGTAATCGACGACACTCGAGGAAGCTGCAAGATGGAGCCCTTTCCTCCATTGAGTCCGCCCAAGGGGGCATTCGACACGCATGGCGGCCCGCCAGTCACAATGACCAAGCCTCGGCCCCGGCGCAAGTCTAGCAGTCTTGGAGGAGAGCCTCGAGGTGACACTGGTGCATCTGCTCTCGCGACTTTGTCCTTGCTGCCTCAGGTGTGCCTATGCCGTGTCACTTTGCAACGCCGACCATTGGACTGACACGCCCTCGCAGCGCACATCTACCCCGACACACGACAAGGCTACCCGAACATCCAAGCGCCGCAAAGCACGCAGTCTGCTCAGACGTTATGTCCGCGTCTCGCTCCGTCACACGTGGCTCAATCCTCTGATCCTCATGCTCCTGATCCTCGCTCTCTACGCCGTCAATCCCTCGACCTCGAACCCCTTCTACTACTGCATCTTCCTCGCCTACCCCTTGGACACCCCTGCCGGCGAGCCAATCCAATATGGCAAGGGCAAAGCCGATTTCGCCTTTGTCGCCTTCTACACCATCGTCCTGAGCTTCACCCGCGAGTTCCTCATGCAGCGCATGATCCGCCCTCTGGCCATCCGTCTGGGCATCCAGAGAAAAGCAAAACAAGCCAGATTCATGGAGCAATTCTACACGGCCATTTACTTTGCCATCTTCGGTCCCTTTGGCCTGTACGTCATGCGTCGCTCGCCCGTCTGGTATTTCAACACGGATGCCATGTTTGAGGGTTTCCCGCACCGCAGCCACGAGGCTGTATTCAAGGCTTACTATCTGCTGCAAGCGAGTTATTGGGCCCAGCAGGCTATCGTGTTGTTGCTCATGCTGGAGAAGCCGAGGAAGGATTTCAAAGAGTTGGTCTTGCATCATGTCGTTACTTTGGCTTTGATCTGGTTGAGTTACCGCTTCCACTTCACGTACATGGGAATTGCTGTCTACATCACCATGGACATTTCTGACTTCTTCCTTGCTGTAAGATTCTTGTCCGCAAGTTCCGAGAGGAGGCACCCTTGCTAACTGTCATTTCTTCTGCAGACATCCAAAGTCCTCAACTACCTCAACTCTCCCATCACCGGCCCGTACTTTGGTCTCTTCATCGGCGTCTGGTTCTACCTCCGCCACTACCTGAACTTCTACATCCTCTGGGCCACCCTAACCACCTTCCGCACCGTTGGCCCCTATGAGCTCAACTGGGAAACCCAACAATACAAATGCTGGATCTCGCAAATCATTACGTTTTCGCTGTTGTTTGCTCTGCAGGCCGTCAATGTGTTTTGGTTCGTGTTGATTTTGAGGATTGCGTGGAGGTTTGTGAGGAGTTCGGTGGCCAAGGATGAGAGAAGTGATGATGAAGAGGATGAGGAGGAGGTTGTCGAGGAGCAGGAGAAGGAGAAGTTGAAGGCTAGAATTATTCCTAGTGTGGAGTTGAACGGGGAGACACTTGTCGGGGCTACAGGCAGGGATGCTGAGACCGAGGGCTTGAAGCGCAGAAATTGATTTTCTGTTTCACCTTTGCCCGTGGTAGTAGCCTAGTGGCTAGTGGTGAGTTACACGTATTGCAGAGTATGCATACATGGCAGAAAAAGACATTTCGGCCGCTTTTCGCATCCTAGCATCTTATTCGTACAATAAAAGCAAAAAAGCATATTAATTCACACAGTTTACGTCTTAATGTATTCATTCTGCCAGATCCAGTCCAGGCCTCTACAAAGACGAAAAATGCTCCATCCGTCACAACACCCAGTCACATCAACCAATCTCAGCCCTCGACTCCCAAACCTCGCACCTGCTCATCTCTACCCCGTCTTTGCCCTTGCCCGCCACAAAAGGCATAACGCCAAAGCATTTCCCAGACTCGGGATACACCCTTGTCGTTAGCACTGTGCGGTTGTTGATGAAGACTTCTACAACGCTGACGTCGAAGAACAGTCTGATTTCTAGATCTTCAGGTCTTGATGAGCGGCTGGTTGTGGAGGAGTGCGTGGAGAGGAAAGCATGGTAAGCGACCTCATCATGCAGGGATATCTCTTTTGCATCGGAGGAGGAGCGGGAGTGGGAGCGATCGATGGTGATGAGGGAGTCAGAGGGCGAGAACAGGATGCGTGTGCAGCATTTGTGATCTGTAAGGTGTCAGTTTTAGTTGTCGAAAGGAAGGATTGGGAGAGAGATACCCGAGGAGTGGAAGATGTCGATGCCGAGATGGTCGACATTTTCGTTGTCGAACGTAAAGAGAATATCGAGTTCTAGACTTGGCAGTCCAGGGACTCGAAGAGTCGCATCGGTATCCCCTCGCACATCTTCAAGACTCTCGAATCGCGCCAGAGATACCATTGCCACCGCATCCCCATAGCGCAGAACCTTGAGCTGCGGCGCAGGTTTACAGCAAATTGTCGTCACCTTCAGCCTTCCTTTCCCATTTTCTTTATAAGTAAAGCCCGGCACTTTATCCAAAACACCTTTACATGCAACATCGACGCCATAAATCGTCTGCATAGCCAGCACACGAGGCAAAGAAATACATCCACTCCATCCTTGCTGCTCTCTCAACTCATCACTCAAATCCTCCTCTAGTATCCAGCCAAACAGCACGCGGTGATTGGTGATCGGATCGAAAAACGAGTTTGCAGCGTAGAAGATACCCCAGTCTAGTACGCCGGAAAATTCATGTTGAAGCTTGATTTCATCGCTTGAGCAAGATGGTTTGCCGCAGAGCCAGCGTTGACTGCGTCCTGTGCGTGCAGATCTGGGTATCGGTTGTGGTGAGTTTGTAGTAGATCGGGCGTCTGTGACTTTACAGCCTTCGACGCCTACAACGAGCACAGTGAATGCCTTTTCCCTTTGATAATGGAGGGTGGCTATATTCGCGACTTCCCAATTCACGCCAAAATCCCCACCGAGTGCCGTGGTGCAAAGATTCAGTCCGGGCTCCAGAAGAGTAGACAGAAATGTCCAGTTAGTGGGATCTGCTTCGTCGATTGCGTATAGAAAGATCGTGGGTGATTGATTTCGTACACCGCCAGAGATGATTCCATACAGAGTCGAGCCAGGTTGCAGGCCTCTTTCGATGTCGAATTGTGCGTTGCGAAAGGTATACGGATCTCGCCAGCCAGTCACCGAGAGATGTTTCGGTGGACCAGGCACGATTGGATTGCTGGGAGACCTTTGCCATGATAGTCCGCCATCGACTGACGTCGCCGCATAAAGTTTCTCAGAGCCCCTCTCGTAGGGTCGAGTATAATGGATGTTCGACCCCTGCGCAGACGTATAGAAACACGACAAATGGTCTTTGGAGCCCTCTCTCGGTAGCCTCGCTTCCGTTATTGCGCCCGTGAAGACTCCAGCGATGTCCTCGGTGGCAGAGGGAGCGATAGAAGGCGTGTTTGACACTTTCCAGTTGATCAGGTCTTCGGATGTTGCTGAGCCCCAGGAAATGTTGCCCCAGTTCCAGCCGGAGGGGTTCCATTGAAAGCCGACGTGGTATTTTCCAGTCGATGGGTTGTGGCCGAGAGCACATGGGTCGTTGAGCCATCCCCGTGGTGCGATCAGATGTACGCGTGGACGCCATCGACCGAACATTTCCCGCCGTGTGCTGTTTGAGTCTGGCAAAGCCATGTGTATCACTCGGTATGGAGAGGATGAGTGGCCGGAGCTTGAGTGTTAGGATGGATGCTGCAAGGTTGAGTAACAGAACATCCTGCATTGTCGCATCTTCCAATCACCCGAAGTTTTTCGCCGACATTTGACTCGGTGGTGATTGACTATCTTTGCAAAAGACGCCCTTTTAGTGCCGGAGGGATGTTCAAAGATAGAGGTTGCTGCCACAGAAGTGCCGACGGCATCTCGGACCGAGAAAGCGTTGCGATATGATCTGCCTCGATGCCGGAGAGAATGCCGAGACTCTGCTACGCTTCGGATAAATAGATCATGGTCAGCTTCTCACATCTCAACTGGACAACATGCTAAAGACTTAGAAGAGACACGATTGTGTTCGACTCCAACTGGACGACAGATTCCAAATGCCTCTGATTTGGAATCGATCATCAAGTCCTGCGTGCGTGTAGTCCCTGAGCATATCCGGCAGCGGCAACCTGTGAGAAGATCTGTATGAAGAGACTTGATCAGGAAACAAAGAGGACTCCACTTTGACAAACACAAGGATCTGGGAGTCACGAATCAGGACGAGGCCGCGATGAACATGCGATCTTGGTAAGAATGCAAAGAAATCCCGGGTCCAAGTATCTATGGACTGAGACGGACGAGAACGAGTGCATCCCAGTGGACGTCCGTGTGAGAGAGGATACGGTTGGAGTAACAGTGTCAGTGCACGCAAGGTAGGATGTGACATTGCTCTGTCTCCGGAGAGAGAACGAGAGCGACCAGGTGATGATTTCCTTACGCTCACTAGAGCATGTCGACGCTGCGGTAGACTCACAGGCCAGCGAGAAGCACGAGGAGATGTGACTATCAGGTGGATATAAAGACGACGTGGAGCGAGAGATAGAAGATTTGCCGACTCTGCTCGCTCACCTAGCACCTAGCAACCTTCACTTGAATATTCCGCTTTCCTTCTCTGGCTCCGCCGACCTATTCAGCGTCCCATTTCTTCAGTTGACCACCTCATCCACTTCTTTATCACAACTCACCTGCATCTTTCTCGACATCTTCATACCTCCTCAACAAACCGCGAAGATGTCTAGCAATACACCCGGCAAAATCATACCCAGCAACGTCGCCAACAACACACCAGACAAGCTCAAACGTATCTCCATCGCTATCGCCAGAGACGCATGGAACAGCTACATCTACGACGACCTCGAGCGCGCAAAGAGACTCGCCCCCCAAGCCCTCGCACAGCCTCACCTTCCAGACGGCTTCAAAGCCCCAATGCAATTCATCATGGACACGCCCAGTCATAATGGAGAGTAAGTGAACGCGCCCGCCTGCCTGACTCACCGTGGAGTTTAGCATAGCAACCCTCTTGAACTCTTGCCTCCACGACAATTGACACTGATACGCCGACGGTAGGACTCACCCGGCTCCCGCTGTCCACAACTACAAAGACCGATTCACCAGCGCTCAGCATGAGGCGAACTGTGAATACTGGCTTAAGGTCGCCCGCAAGCTCAGACGCACTCACAAGCGGCTTGAACAGGCAAAGGAAGATTGTATCAGATGGCCCCTGAAGATTACTCGCTCTAGCGAGAGTGACGATGACGAAGACTCCTCTGCTGATGAGTCTGAGGACGAGTCTGAAAACGGGTCTGAGGACGGGTCTGAGGATGAGTCTGAGGACGAAATCGAAGTCCAAGTCGGAGAATCTAGCGGTCATGATCAAAGTTCAGCTGAGGAAGATGAGAAGCACGACGCACGTCCCGCTGTTGAAGCAGACGGTCACGATACTGCTAACGAAAAATCACGCCTTGTCCTCCAGAGATTTGCCGCCTGGTTTTTCGGTGATGATGACGAATGTATCCCTTGGGTGCCTTGTCCCTGATCTGTTACCAACAACTCACTGTCAAGAACACGCTCACTCTACGACTGGGAACGCGGACTCTTGATACCATGCCTGCGCTTTCAGACTGCACCACAACAACATGATCATTTGCCTGGAGACCGAGTACTCGATGCTCGACCTCAATGAGAAGAGAACTTGCCTGTCGATCACACTCTTCACGACTCGTCTATGACCGAACTCAGACTGGGCTTACTAGACGACATTCATTCTTCAACACGTTTTCCCGATACGCCTCTTCCCGACGCGACCTTACGCTGCAAACCTCTTCACTCATCAGAGGTATCGATAGTAGTCCTTAGCCTCGACGAATAATATTCTGCACAAACCACAGACAATCTGAAGTACATACTGATACGTGAATGTGTGACACAATTTGAAAGAGAGGCAAAGACGTAGAGCGATACTTTGATTTACAGACACTTATTGCGGAATGCTTAGCAAGCTTAATAGACAATATAGGAACAAGAAACACAAGTAGGAGTGATGACCAAGGGCTCAAGATGAGTCCACTTAGACCTTTGACTCGTGGATGACCTCCTCAAGAGCAGAAGAGTCCTTGCCCATCTCCTGGGCGAAAGTGTCGTGAGGAACCCAGCCGGCTGACTTGCGGGCGGACACCTCGGACATCATCTTGTCAACCTGTTCGAGCGACAATCCCTTGGTCTCGGGCACGAAGAAGTAGGCGAAGACAATGCAGACTGCGCAAGTGGAACCCCAGAGGAAGAAGACCTTGGGTCCAAGGTTGGCCTCCTGCTCGCCGACGAGGTAGGGGGTGATGACCGCGATCACGCAATTCCAGAACTACGGAATTGTCAGCTTGTACTCATGATTCCATCATCAGAGGGAGTGGAAGACTTACCCAGTTCGAGGCGGTGGACATGGCGACACCCTTGCTGCGGATGGGAAGAGGGAAGATCTCTCCGATTGAAACCCAGGCGGTAGGGCCCCATGTCGATGCGAAGAAGGAAATATAGATGCATGTGAAGAGGATGAGGACGATCTGGGAGGCGCGGGAGCCGGCGTCGGCGGTGCCCGTGATGCCGACGATCCACTCGCAGACGCACATACCGATGGCACCGTAGATCAGGAGCGGGCGACGACCGAAGCGCTCGATGGTCCAGAAGGACAGAGGAGTGGAGCAGACGTTGACGATGGTGGTGATCATAGAGATGAGGAAGGCGTTCTCGATGCCGATGGACTTGAAGAAGGAGGTCGAGAAGTAGAAGATGAAGTTGACACCGGTCCACTGCTGCATCATCTGGAGGGTGACACCGATGAAGACCTTGCGGATGTTGGAGTTGCGGTTGGTGATGCCACCAGAGAACATGCCCAACCAGCTGACTTGGCCAACAGACATCTCGTACTCGAAGTTGGCCTGGATCTCGGCGAGCTCATCGACAATGTAGGCGCTGTCGGCAGGCTGGCCACGAACGCGACCAAGAGCCTTGGCAGCCCTGTCAAGCTGCTGCTTCTTGACGTAGTAGCGAGGAGACTCGGGCAAGAGGAAGAGACCGACCGAGAGGATGATGGCCCAGGCAAACTGGATAGCAATAGGGATTCTGTAGGCGCCAGTGTTCTGGTAGTTGCGGCAGGCGTACGTGACGATTGAGGCAAGCATGAGACCGATGGTAATGGCGAACTGGTAGCACGAAACGATGGCACCGCGAACCTTGCGGGGAGCGACCTCGGACATGTACAAAATGTTGATGGCCGAGACGAAACCGACACCCACACCTGCGACCAAACGGCCGACGACGATGAGAGGGACCGAGGTCGAGGCAACCTGGAGGATGACACCGACCGAGAAGACACCACAGCCGGTGATGATGGTGGTTCTGCGACCGATCCAATCGGCGAGGGCACCAGAGAAGAGAGCACCGAAGAAGGTACCGGCAGAGAGGATGGAAACAATGAGCGACTGAGTGCCCGAGGGAATACTGTAGCCACGGGTGTTGTCATCTGTGACACCAGTGAATCTGCCGAACTCCTGCTTGAAGACCTCGGTGCCCATGACACCGTTGATGTAACCAGAATCGTAACCGAACAAGATACCGGCGAAGGCGGCGAAGGCACACATCAGGTAGGCCCTGACGGTGACGGGCGACTCAACGCGCTCCACTGTTACAGGAGCCATTGCGTTGGAATGAGAGTGGTTCTCTTTAGATGAAATGAAAGTGGGAGAGGACTGAGGATCGAGGACCAGAGAAAGACTGTTGTCGCTGATGATGAAGAGAGAAGAAAATGAGCACGAGGTAGGGAAGCAACGACTCTATATACAACAGAGACCGGGGCAGGCGCAATGCTGGGCAGTTGTCTGGGTGAAGTATTCATTCCAGCATCCCCACACAACGACACATGCACTAGCGCACCTCTCCATTGTTCGTAGGCCAAATCACTGATCACGCGGCATCCCGAATCGGTTCTAGGATGTCCTTGCTTTGATGCGAGATGCGATTTGTCTCGTGCATGGGGCGTGTCGCCAATACCGCGCGTTGTGCCCAGAGCCCCAGATGTCGCCAAACGCTCCTTGGTTTTCTTGGACCACCAATTGTGGCATTTTTGGGTCGGGGACGGCCAGTCCTGGGCGCGCGAATACTTGCAATGCCTGAACAATCACAGCCCGGAAGACATTATTCGTAGTTTGGCATCCGCTTCGCCCTCGAGACGTCGACAAGTCGAGGCATGCATTTTCTGTCCAAGGTGCAACACCAAGTGTCGTCGGAGAGCAGAGAAAACGCCTCCGCCAGGTCCCTCGTCTGGCCACACCTCGAGACCCTCTTTGCTCGGCCACTGCCGACAATCTGGAGTTCCCACCGCGCAGCTCCCACAGGTACGGGCCTAATTTTACGCTACCCCGGGCCTCCCTTTGCACGTTGCGAAGTTGCACTCGCTAAAGTGTCTCAACCAAGTCACACCCGTCTATAGGCTAGCCGCCAACAACGACTCCAAGCATTCTGGAATATCTCTGTAAGCGCAGTCAAGTCTGTCGCACAACACCACCGTATCCTGCTTGACCTTCTATGGGCACCCACACAGCACATCTCGCTCGTCGCAACATGCTTTGCCACTCTTGACGGTCTTCGTTGCCTTGGTGCTCCATCTGAGGTCCACTCCAGACTCGCCGCAGGATGCTTTGTCTTCTTGGCTGTCACCGCCATGGCGTCGTTTCGAACGGCAAGCAAAGCAATGTGGCAATCATAATCACACCTATGTCACGAGCTGACACGACAGCCCCGACCTGATCCATGAACCTTCATCTTTTGTGTAGGCGATGCGGGCCGAGTCAGATTATCTCCCCCCAGCTTCTCCGTGGTGGCAGAATCGATACAGCCCTCTGTCGTCGATCATTCCCTTTGTGAGAACCCTTTTATTGGAGGTTAAAGGCACGACGTGAACGCTTCCCCACGAACGCTTTGAGATCCTCATGTCCCGCAGTCTTCTCAGTGCGTCGGTCAGCATACGATCCAGCCTCACTTCAGAATATTCTTGTGGTTACATCGCGATTCGATCGCTGACTCGCTCTACGCCCTAATGTCATTCCAGATTGGGTGGCGCCCTGCAGGTTGGACGGCTGCGTCCACCGCTCAATGTGCACCGGGCCAAGAAGCTGAAGCAAATCAGACTCCGCGAGGAATTCGCAACACCAAGACGCTTGCAGCACCCACGACGAGGACAAGACCAGCTGTGGAGAGCTTGAGTGGGGATGTCGGGGCCCCATCACGACGAGGCCGGCCGTATTTCGGTCTGATCCCTTTACAGAGCCATGGATCCGACTTCACATCCGACATTGGAGGCCCGTTCGGCAAGCCAAGTCGGCACCTGCGATGAGTCTACCACTCGGCTGATCGATTCTCAAGGCGATGAGGTCTCGCGCAATGTCCGACCGCATTTCTGACGAGAGCATTGTGTCTGAAGAGACCACGAACTAAATCTGTGTGGTACACATCTCATTCCAGGAGCTCGAGTGCATCAGACAAGACCATCGACGTGTTCTTCATGCTAGAAGCGTTGTTCAAACATCAAATAGATCACATAGAGACGTTTTTGTTTACCCTTATACAGAAATGCTCCAAAAGGCAAGCGAAGAACGCCATCTCGCGTCCATCAATGGTATGATCTGCTGAATGCGCAGTCTACTGTACATCACGTTCGAGTCACAGATCCGTGCCATCGTGCCATCTGAAAGGAATTGCAGCACTCTGCAGTCCCGTGATTGGGAGGCCAGAACATCAACCACGAGGACGAGGGACTTCTTTGTTGTATGGAAAATGTCTTCTGCACAATTAACCAGCATCCTTTGTTTAACGGCGTCGTCTCTTTGACTTCCATGGCACGTGGCATGGCGGCTCTGACGAACGCCAGATCCCACATCAGAGAAGATTTGATCCGCCAGATCGTCATCGAGTTTTCGAGTCTTCCTTGCTCTTAGACGTGAGCTTCTCGATATAGTTCCAAGCTCCAGTGAACCTTCTGGTATGGCATCGCTTCTTCCTACCGATTTCAGCAGCATCGTCTTCAAGACTCAGAGTCACTCTTGCCAAGCCTCTTCTCTGCCCCGGTGGAGTCTCAGATCCATGGAGACAGAGATTGACCGAGATGGCACCGAACGAAGCCATGAACTTCTCCCCACGCGATGATCCCCACTAATTATGCCAGCTCCGCCTCGGCCCAGAGCGCTTGACCCCCGGCTATGCTTCAATGTTAACATGCGGTCCTCTCGCTTCTTCAAAACGCCAACCCCGTTTGCCAAGTGACTGATCCATGATCTCGTGTTCTGATCCGCCGGTCTGTTTATTGCTCGATTGTCACTGACATGGCACCCCCTCGCCATGGCAATGGATACACACCCTTCGTGGAGTTGATCGCACTGGAAAAAGTGGACGAAACGACCTACCGCAGTACTTCTCTGCCCTTCTCTCCTAATGGTTCTGGAAGAGCATACGGCGGTCATGTCTATGCCCAAGCCGTCTGGGCAGCGGCGCAGACGGTCGAGGCTGGCTTTGTAATACACGTCAGTACTTCACTTCAATACCAAGGCCCATCGTCATCGAGGCGAAGCAATTCAGAATCAATCTGACTTCGTTATTCTAGAATGTCACGGGCTTCTTTGTCCTTGCTGGCATTTCTTCGATCCCGTTCATCTACCGAGTTCAGACTATCCGGAACGGCCGGTCGTATTGTACTCGCTTGGTCAACGTCACTCAAGCCGAAGGCGATGGAACATGCTTTACCTGCACTTGCTCGTTCAAGCTGTCCGAGGAGAGTCATTTTGATGTCCAAGAGAAGATCGACCTAGACCAGCGATATGGGAAAGTTCTTTCTAACAAGAAGCCGGAAGACTGGGACGAAGTCTCCGGCATGGACGTGCCTTGGTAGGTAATTCTTTTGCCCGGATCTCATTCTTCCAGCTTATATCGCCTAGGTACAATACTCGCCGAAAACTCACTGGTTTCAATGACGCATTCCCCGGCCTGGAATCTCGCAAAGTTGACATGACCCCGATAAACACTTCCCTCTCACCGTTCGATCATCGCCAACTATTCTTCTACCGCGCAATCGGCGACCTGCCCTCGGATCCTAACATCCACGCCTGCGCACATCTTTATGCATCCGATCGCAATTCTCTCTTTATCGTAGCAAACCACTTCGGAGTCAGCGACAAGTTCACTCACATGGCAAGTTTGAGTCACACGGTAGTGTTTCACAGTCCGGCTTTGCATATCATGATGCAGAATCAAGCCAAGGAGAAGCATTGGTTTTGTCAGGAAGTCTGGACGACGAGAGCAGGTGGAGGACGAGCTACCCATCACAGTCGTATCGTCGGGCCAGAGGGTGTGCATGTGGCTACTACCTTCCAGGAAGGCATGATAAGAGTAGGTCTTGGTGAAAATCAGTATGAGAAGGCGTACAAGAAGTCACTGGAGCGTCTATGATGGACCTGTGCCGTCTGGCGGAGGCTCGTCGATTACCGTTCTGCGATACTGGATTGCTCGTGCACGCTTCATCGCACATCTAGATATACAGTACAGAGTAAACCCCAGGTCGTTTTCGTTCACATTTTCTAATAACACACATTCCCGGCATTCCGTCTTCAGAACACTACAATTTGCCAAACATCAGATATCGTGCCTTCTCATACCACAGATCCATCAAAGCAGGACATGTCTAGTAGTCCATTGCTCATAGACGTAATACTCCACAGTCGCATGAACCTTTCTATCTGACCAGCTCGAGTGCGGACCATTCCCATTCCTCCAATTAGCCTCAGACCCCCATCACCCTGCAGGACATTGACTCACTTGATCCAAGCCTCGGTAGTTCCAGCAGGAGCATCCCTTCGCGCAGCTGCCTCACACTGTGCCTTCACATCCGGCTGTGTCGTGTAGTCGGCCTTCTTGCACCACCACAGGCTGATTCCATTGACTGGGAACGCTGGGCTTCTTCTGATGCCTCGCCAGATGTTGTCATGGTCTCTTTGTGAGAGTTGGGCGGAATTTGTTTGCTTTTGGTCACCTTTGCCTCTGCCTCTTCCCATGGTTCCGAGGATTTGTTGATCGCTGAGGATTTAAGTGGGTAGATTGATTTTCTAACTGGTGAATCTATCGCTGCTGTAAGAATCTGCTGTATGTTCTTGCTATACTCTGCTCTGCTCTGATCTGTTATGGGGGTACTTCTCATGGAAGGCATGTCTATACTTATGCTAATCGGAAAAGTTGACAAGACTACAGATTGCTATTCTTGTCACACTTAGACAGTCTAAGGCACCTATCTTTGGATTCGCGCGTAACAACGGTATTCTCTCGTGAGTTTCTGAGACTCTCTTCGATTTTGTTTCAGATTTCTTCGTGCTACCGCTACAGAGCGAGGTAGTCCCAGACCCGAGTTTTGGATTTATAAGTCGCCATCTAGAGCTCGTGTGCTGAGTATTTGAGGGACACAGTTCTTCTTTTATTCAGAAAAAATCAAGAGAAGGGAGAAGGAATAGGAGTGATCAAGCTTGAATTTAGTAGCTGACTTACCTTTTCTGTACACGGTTCACATTCAGAACACCATCTATCATGCTTTTCAACTACTCCAAAGCGTTGGATATCTCAAATTCCACACCCGACTACTCGTTTTGCCATCCAATCCCGTCCTCAGTGCCAGCACTTTGACTCCTCTATAACTGTCCCTCTAAAACAAGTATACCACAGATCCGTCACGGCGAACATGGACGGTCTGCTTTTGTCCATTGCCCTTGGTGTAGTTCACAGTGAGATGAGTGTTGTAATCAGACGGGCTCTCGTGCCAACCACACCTAATGTGGGCGTGAACAACCCTAAGAGGAGCTTTTGCTAGCACTGTTGACTCAATCTGGGCCTTGATGCCGAGCTGTCTGCAGTGAGAGTTTGGATCGTACCAGGAGATGGTGATGTCGCGTTTACCCATAGTGTTGCGAGTGTATCAAATCAGGCGTTGGAGGTGGTGGACTTACTTTTCTGAAGGCTGGACAGTGGACCTTGGACACTGGCAGATCTTGCTAGATGCTTTTGCTCTGCTTGATCTGTATGGGTGGTAGTGGTATGGATTTCTCGGCCTATTTCAATCGATGCGAGGAGCTGCGAAATCGTACACCTGAACTTTCTCGTCCTCTGGTCTCAGACATTTCCACAGACATGTCTTTAGATACAAAGAAAACGATGGCATTCTATTCCTATGAATCCGATCTTCTGAGACTTCTTTGTGTTCTTTTTCGTCTCAGGCATTTTCGTCTCAGACATTTTTCTACCGTCATCTACTTTGCACTGCCGTGACAAGAGACTGGATATGATGCTTTGGACTGAGCCATCGAGTTCATAGACCGGTGTCTGCTAACACGAGAATACGGATATGCGAACATGATAAAGACGACTTTGTGACATGGACACAAATTATTCGATGCGTGATATAGCCACGCACGCAGTATCATATAAGCATCGATATTCCATGAGCCCAGAAGATTATCCTCACCACATGGCCGAACGCAGTCTTGGAAGTATGCATTGACAGTTTGTCAATTCTCAGCTATGCTTCAATGGCCGATAAGACGAATCCGTTCCTGATTTTTCATTTCGCTCGAAACCCCCTCTACTACTTCCTGCTCTTGCAACTGCCATCACTCGACCACACCTCTCAAGCCTCACAGCTTCCCTACTATTCCCTCCCACCAATCCCCTCTCCAGCACCAGCACTCTGACTCCTCTTTACCTGCTCCCTCTGCCCTTGTTCGCCTTTTCCTCCATCCCTCCCTTCCAACTCCCTATTCGCCCTCGAACTCCCCTCAAGTCCATCCAGCAAAGCTTTGTTAGTCCCCGGGATCTTCATCTCAAAGGTATCTCTGATGACCGCGTAATCGTAGTATCCTAACCTGGCTATGGGTTCGGTTTTTGCAATGTCGATTTTGCCAGAGGTGAGCACGGTGTCGGAGATGTGGACTGCGAGGACTTTGCCGAAGACGATGTCGACCTTGGGATGTGTTAGCAGTACACTTGTAGAGAGTAGCAAGAGCGAGTAGATAACAGAGGATGAACAGATAGCAAGTGTATTCAGATAGCAGAAGATGAGTAGATAGAGGGAGAGAGTAGGACAAAGATGGAAAAGACAAACTTACAGTCCCCATAGGTGGATTACCAGGTAATTCAATCACTCTGTCGAATTGACACTCGAACCTCACCGGTGAGTCCTTGACCAGCGGCACAGGAATATTCTTCGCGTCTTCCTTTTCCAACTTTGCATGCACGAATTCATCTTCAATGGGGTCGAGCTGTTGAGCTGTGATGTTGAGTTGCTCGCGAAGTGCATAGGTAGCCAAGTTCCAGCCGAAGAAGCCTGGGTACAGACTTGATCAGTACTTTACAATCGTTTCTTTTGAAGCCCTGGAAGGAAGATGGGAGTGGAGGCGGGGGAGACATTTGGAAGCAAAACATACCAGTCTCCTCAGCATTGACGACGGTATCTTTGCGTTTTCCCTCGGGTGTGCGATTGGATGAAAACATGACGTAAGGCGGGTCGAAAGTCAGGTTTGTGAATTGAGAGTAAGGGGCTAGGTTGTCGGTGCCAGAGGTAGAGCGAGTGGAGATCCAGCCGATGGGTCGGGGGACCACGCAAGCCTGTGTTTCGGCATGGTGTCAGTTGTGAGGTTCCCTACGTGTCGGATAGAGAGGAGTGGCGATAACGAAGGGCAGAGAAGTTTGATAGGATGTAGTGATCCTGGAATGGAAAAGCATCTCGCTCATGGATGTATGGGATAGATTCGAGAAGGAGAAAAGAGGACAAATGTCCCTTCTGCTACTCCTATCCCAACAATTTATTGCATTCGTTGGAGGGTCAGATTATGCATGGTGAAATGTCATAGTACAGAGCCGTCAAAAGTCCGAATCAGCTCTTCGAACGACTCCAGAACGCAACAAAACTCAAAGCATTGTATAGTAAAGACACGGTGTGATCGTGAATCTAATAGACACGAAATCCGCTTACTTTGAATGGATCATATGGCAAGCCATGATCAGTCCCAATCTCGTAAAACATGATGTATACAACAGAGAAGAAGCAAGCTTTCAAGACCCGTATAATTGCAATCTGACTTCTTTGTAGTCTGACGGTATGACAGGGTGGAGGTGGAAGGATCTCGGATGTGAGCCGAGTTGCCGAAGCATACCGAAGCTTTAACCGAGAAATAGTCATCACTCATATCACGATTGTTCCTCACAAAGCACAGATAGGATATATGTAACAGAGTATGATACAGAATTTCAGGTGGACACTTTGGTAGGAAGCGCATGCTTTTCACCATGCACAAAAAAACAGAGAACAATTGACTGCCTCCGCGGAAAGACTCCAATCGCGTGACACAGACTCTCTGGTACCAACGTCGCGGTCATCACTTCGCTGCTTGGATCCTGCTCTTTGAGTCATCGATAACTGTGAGGTCGGTATGTGTTGATCTCATCCTTCGTATATCTCTTCCATCCATACCACTGCCTCCACCTCTTGCCGCTACTCTGCCCATGTTGAAACAATGGACTCCCAATACATAATCGCCTCTCCCTCTGCACTCTCCAAACTCGCCAGCTCCATCTCCTCGTCCCTTATACCCTTCCCCATCCCAACCATCGAACTACAACTGCTCGCACCTTTAGCTACACCCGCAGAGCTAGAACGCAGTCTCGCCTCCCACTCAACCTTCTCATGCCACGCCTACAACAACAACCCCGTCAAGAAAAATGCCATAAAAGTCCTTTCCACAACACCACTATTCCAATCCTGGCGAAAAGTGTGGTCTGAGTTCCCGCTTGGTGCTGTTGAGACTTTCATCTTCGACATCACTCTGCCTCCTTCGAATTTTGAGGCAGATGAATCAGAAATTCACTGGAGGAACTCTGTCCCTGAAATTGGAGGGCTGGCTGTGGAGGAGAACAGAGTGCAACAAGCAGTGGTGGAACTCGCTACTGTTATGAGGGTGAGGAGTAAAGGGGAGGCAAAGTTTGGACTGAAAGGAGTGGAAGAGCATGGGAATGGGCGAGCGAAGAAAGGAAGTAGAAGAGGCAATGAATTTGGCGGCTTAGAGAATATTCTTCAACGGTTGTCGACACAAGAGACTGAGATTGATTGATGGAGACAGAGCTTACTCTTCTAGCAAGCGACGAGGTATTGTCGGGAGAAGCACATTAGTGGTGGATACATGTGCTATCTCGGGGGTGAGGCTCAATGTCTTGTTGAGGATGAACAACGTTGCTAGTGTATACTTCTGCTTGCGCGTATCTGGCTCGTTGTTTCCTCGATGGAATCCTGCACTGAGCTCATACATATGTGCCGTGTGTCTTTTTGAGGACCTCGATCGAAATGCCGGTGGCCTGCCTATGATTGTGGCATCGTCCCAACGCTCTGGTTGTTGTGCTCGGTATAGCGACACCTTGACATTGCATATGGCTCGCGCTGAGCCGCCTCGAGCAAGTATCTTTCCCTCGAGCAGCCTGACTGTCACTGTCATGGCGCTCCTGTAGCTTGTAGTTTGAGAAGCTTTTCGCATCTTCCATCCTTCAGACAGGCTTGGCAACCTTCCTTAATTCGGTCCTCGCACCATTGACCTCCTTCATCTCCTTCCAACTAAGCGGCACCATCTGCTCACCCCCCTCACTAACCGCAAGCACAACCCCAAACTCATTCTTGGCCGTACTCGCAAAATAACTCCTCTCGTCTCCCAAACTGATAACCACCGCCCTCACAATATCGCCCACTCTGAAACTCTCATTCACCTTTACTTTATCAACTTCAGTGGCGCGAATGTCTTGCTGGCGGATGATTGCTGAAAAAGGTTCGCGGAGCACTTGTGTGCCGGTGGCGCCTAGAGCGAGGATGTCGAGGGTGGCTTGGCGTGGGTTTGTGCGTGTGATGCGGCCGAGGACAATGTCGCTGACCGAAGGCAGAGCAGCGGTGTAGGATGTTGATGCGGAGGTGGATGAGGATATGCTGATGGTGGGTGAAGGGGTTTTCTTGGAGGGTGCGGCGCTGGTGACGGGGCCGGCTAGACTGGCGTGGATTGTGGAGTTGAAGACGTGGGAGCCGGTGCTGGGTGTGTTTGTTGATGTGGATGCGAGTGAGTCGCCAGGGAGTGCAAAGTTGGGGATTGCCATTGTGATTGATTTGGTGATGTTTTGCGTGTGGAGTTGTCGTGTGTTGGACATGAACAATTCTGGATGCGCCAAAGTTGCGCCGGTATTTGTTCGGATGACCTCATTGATTGACACCAGGGTGCTACCCACAGCGACTAGAAATATCCATTTTTGAGCTACACAGCGCACGGTAGCCTTTTGAATAGACATGTCATGCAATCTATCATATCAGGCAATGTTTGTAGTTGACGCAGTACATGTTGTGGTTGTCACGTTGTCTGAAAACACGCTGAGTTAGTCCTACGCAAATACAAAGCAGAAATCCAAGGATTTCCGCAATGACAACACATCATAGAAATATCAAATGCACGGCTGGTGCAAGGTATGGAAAGCATATACTGAGAGTCATGCTACCCTCGGCTTCCTGACGACTTGCTTCGTGTCTAGATAAGATGGCCTCACTTCATGATTGAAGATGGTAGTTGATTTGTGTTTCATTGATTCCAATACCAAAAACAGAGACTACGCTATTCATTACTAGAGCTATGTGAAGAAGAAAAGTAAAAAGGAGAAAGAAAATGAGGAGGCCCCCATCTGATGTTTTACTCCAGGATATCATACTTGATTGCCGATTCCAGGCGGCGCGCGAGTGCGAATTGGTATATCAAAAATGGACAAGGAAAGAGAAGAGAGAGAAATTCGAGACGCCATGCAGGTACCGAGTCATATTGTCGTCGTCGTCTTGTGCATGCGATGAATCGTGCTGCTTGGTTACGCATCAACCTTCGGATAACGCCTTCTTGTTGCCGTCACCGCTTGAGATCTCGAGGCAGCGGCGAGCGAGTCCGACCACCTCGGCCTCGCCGTCTTCGCTGCCGTCCTCGTTGTCGCTCTCGACTTGTCTTTCGGAAATGTCTTGGACCATTTGCATGACATCTTCGGCCGAGTTGATGGTGCTGACGAGACGCGTGTCGTTGCTTTCAAGAAGTTGCAGCAGAGTCCAGATAGCGATGTGTTGAAAGGTTGGATCTCCGGATGCAAGGAAACGAGACAGGTAGCCGTGGATACCACCAGAGGGAGAACTCCAGTTGGTCATGAAGATTGAGTAGTCACCGACTGAGTTGGCGTCAGCAGGCGATTGAGGGACATGATCATCGGCAATCTTACCTTTGCTTGACAAGTTGCCCAGAGCAGCAGCACTGTTGCCCTGGACCTCGATGCTTTCGCTCTCGGTCAGAGGAATCAAGACGTCGAAGACACCGAGGCTCAGCAAATGAGGCTTGAGCTCATCGCTCAAAGCAAGAACAGCGATAGCAGCCGTCATCTCGCTCTGGACGTTAACCGGAACCTCCAAAACAAGCTCCTTGCACTTCTGAACAGCACCAGCCTCCAGGACGAGTTGCTTGTTGCGATCTGACGATGCAGCAAGGTTGCGAAGGGTGGAGATGGCGTGACATTGAATTTCCTCGTTGTCGGTGCTTCCAAGAAGATGGACCAGAGGCTTGAGGAAGCCTGCGTCGATGATGGGAGACTCGTTCATGGGGTGGATTGAGATGTTGCGGATACATGCGACAGCGGAAAGGATGAGAGGGAGGAACGCTGATTGGAGGAGGCGTAGAAGAGGACCAAGACCACCGTTGCGCACAATCTCGAGCTGATACTTCTCATCCGAAGCAAGGTTGCGCAGAGCAAGAGCGGCTTGGCATTGTACTTTGGGAGCATGGCCGTCCATGAGGTTCACTAGCGACTGGACGAGGCGAGGCTCTGTCTGTGCAAGGCGCTTGCGGTTGGTGCCATCGACGGCAATGTTGCTGAGAGCGGTGGTGCAGTAGTATTGGACATCGGTGTCAGGCGAGGTGAGGAGGTGGACGAGAACGGGGATGGCGCCGGCGTTGACAAGCTGCTGCCTGTTGTCATCTGCAGAAGAGTCAGGTCGAGTCGTCGGATGAACGAGCAGCATCGACATACCTGAATGAGTCATGTTCAAGAGAGCGCCGGTAGCATTTCGCTGAACACGCATGTCCTTGGACTTTGCCAGCCTCGTCAGGGGAGCCAGAGCACCGGAACGAGCAATCTTTGCCTTGTTGTCTTCGTGCGTGGCCAAGTTTGTGATACAACCGACAGCATTGCATTGTACCTCGACGTTGCTCGAGTTCATCTGTCTGATCAGCGGTTGGAGACCCCCTAGTTGGACGATCAGGATCTTGTTGTGTGCTGTGGATCTGTGTCAGATTCGTATCACATGAGGTCTAGGGGATGATAGGTACCATCTACGGCGAGGTTTCCCAAGGCGGCACTAGCGGCTCTTTGGACCTCGATATCGCTGCTTTCGAGAAGGAAGAGGATGGGCTCGAGGGTGTTCTTATCCACAGCGCGCACATCTGCGACAGGTGCTGTTAGCTTGAGTTTGGTTGACAGTCGGATAGCTTGTCAACACACCTCGCTCGGTAATCTCGGCAAAGGTCAGACTGGCGCTTCGCTGCAAGTCAATGTTGTGCGAGTAGACCAGAGTGCTGAGGGCATTGAGGGGCCCGCCGGTGAAGAAATCCGTCTCTTGTCTGTTCTCGAGGAAGTTCAAGAGGTCGGTGACGGCTTCGCGCTCGCTGTCGGCAAGCACATTTTCATAGTCGACCGTGTTACGGCTTGTGCAGCAGTAGAAGATGTTTGCGCAGAGGTTCTTGAGAGCTGCCATGGCCCCGAGGCCTGTCCAAGGGCGCTGCTAGGGTAGACTGAAACTGGGTTGACGACGACGGCAAGACTGCTCGTGGGAAGGGGTCGCTGTGGGCGCGTGACGCTATAACATGCGGCTGAGTTGGATGAAGCCTTGGAGTCGAGAGGTTGGATGTGCGATACGATAACAAGATGTCTATCTGTCCAGCGCGTGGTTGAGAAATGGCCGGCTTCAAGCTGAACTGCAACACACAACGACGTGATGCAACAAGCAAGCCAGATATTGAGCTCGGACTCTTTTTCGCTACAGACCAGACCCTTGACTTGCCCAATCTGGCCGTCATTGGAAAACCCAATTCAACAAGAACATCGACATCATACACTCTGCCTTGCTTGTTATCTTCCTACACCTCCATCCACGGCTACATCTGCGTAGGTACTTGTTGGTATCCCTTGGTCGTCTTTGTTTACACAGCCGTTGTCGAGCTTCATCTCGGTCGACTCGTACGGCGCGCACCTTGGCTGCCACCTATGCTTACCGAGGGCCATCTTGGCTGCTGACCGACTGTCAACCACGCCTGGCACACGACTTGTTTCTGCTCTGCTACACTTTTTTACCCTCGCAGTTTCACCAAACAACATGTTTGTCCTAATGGCTCACCAGCCTGTTACTCCAACAGTCGCGCTCGATGACGCTCTCGTTGGTCAAACGCGCCCCAAGCCAATCAGAGAGGCAGTTGGGCTCACGTAAAAAGAATGCGGAGAAACCGTGACTCCCGCATTAGCCGTAACTCTAATCCTCCAAACCATCCCACCTTCTAGCCATCTCTTTTTATCCTGTCCGGCCGACTTCGCCGTAAGAGTTTCGTTCAGATATCTTCTGACCTGGAAGCCTGACGCTTCGTGTTTCTCTACCACCAACACGCGATTTCGTCACGGCACCAGAGTCCAATTCCCGGCCAAGGTCTAGACATCTAAGCATCGACACTGTACTGTAGCTTCCCGCTTTGCACTCGCAAAAAAGTCCCCCGTCGTCGTCGGCTGCCTTGGCCAAGGCAATGGCCACACCTGCCCCTTCCCACGAATTCCGAAAACTGCGACTCAACACAAAGCATTCGAACTCGTCCCAAGATTTCCCCTTTGCCTCTTCCTACGACGCTGACCATGTCGCCTCTTCTCAATTTGAAAAGTCTGAGCTGCTCAACAATCCGGTCGCTCCCGAGCGTGACAATAGCCAACAATCCACCCGCACCAGAGGCTCGTCCGTGAGTTTCAAAGAGTTTGCAACCCTCGACGACGGTCGCCTGCACTCGCTCGACCAGCCTTTGTCCTCCAGACCACCCCAACCTCGTCGACCCAGCACTCGCGGGTCGTTCATGTCAGACGATACTGCCTCTGCTCCGGCTGCGCCCGACGACTCGGTCAGAATAAACCCTTTCACAGGAGAGCCCATCAGACGACGTACGAGGAAGAGCGATGCTGCCCCACGCCTCGAGACCATCGACTCGCACGATGCCACACAACTGCCCTCGTTGACCTCAGCCTCTACCGCCTCGCTGCTCAGTGAACAGTTGAGAAGCCCCGATACTCCCGCAGGCTCATACTTCTCCAACTCGGCTGTCATGTCTCCTTCTCCTGCTGCTAGTCCCTCCATGGGCAGTGAGCCCTGGCCGATGATGTCGCGTAAGCCCACTTTGTCGCGCACCGCGAGTCTGCGTAACACCAGTCGCAGATCTAGCAGGATGTCTGGCTCCTCCATGTCGCCTGCTGCCCAGTTCCTGAATGGCTGGGGTAGCAACTCTCAAACCGCTGCAGAACCAAAGCCGGATGATGAAGGTCAGTCCATTGGTATCAACAACGAGTATGTCGTCGGTCGTCAAATTGGTTCGGGCGGTTTCAGTCTTGTCAAGGAGGTTATCGGTATGGACGATAATGGCCAAAGGATCAAGCGTGCTGTCAAGATCGTTCGCAAGACGGTCGCCAATGTCAGTGAAGCCGAGAATGACAAGGCCCAACAAGCTGTCGACTATGAGATCGGCATTTGGCGCTACCTGAACCATCCTCACATACTCCAACTCCACACGAGCTTCATCACGGACTTTGCTACCTTCTGCATCATGGATCTGGTCGAGAGCGGCTCCTTGTACGATCTCCTCAGCGAACTTCGAAACAACGGTCAGATGGGCTTGAATCCTGAACTTGCAAAGACATACTCACACCAACTTGCTGCGGCGCTGAGATACATGCACGCAGACGTCAGACTCGTCCATCGCGACGTCAAGCTCGAGAACTGTCTTGTCCAGATCAGGCCTGAGGACGAATGCGGCAGTCTCAAGCTATGCGACTTTGGCCTGGCCAGCTTTGTCGATGGCGACGCATCGGGTATGACTGATAGTGTACGCTCACTCGACTCTGAAGACAACAAGGAACCTGCGGGCACCCTCGAGTACCTGGCTCCAGAACTACTAGGTGGCACTACGCGAAAGGACTACTCTGCAGACATCTGGGCCTTTGGCGTGTGCGTATACACCATGGTCACTGGCAAGCGTCCGTTCCAGCACACGATTCAGTTCAAGCTTGTGGAACTAATCGAGGCCGGCGACTGGAATAAGGATCTGGTCCTAGCATCTCCCGCTGGCCAAGTCGACGGCGAAGACATCTGCGACCTGCTCCATGGCTGTTTGGACACCGATCCCGAGTCGAGATGGACCATCGCTGATGTCATGGGCTGTAATTGGTTCACTGGTCTTGTCGACGTCGCAGCTGACCCCGACTGGGAACACGTGAACAACACACAGACCTAAGCATCTCTCTTCTGCTTTCCCCTCTCGCCATGTGCGATCTCTGGCTTAGCTTTACCCCCAAAACGAGGAAACACCACGCATTATTCCATCACGAATGAGTTTTACGCACGGTTACGAAGCACGACTTTCATGTTTTGCGATGCTCTGGCGGATTCTGACTTGTTCTTTTCCTCTTCTTCCTCTCTTCTGTTTTATTCATAGCGTCTTCTTCGCTCTCGATACCCCTTTCTTCCAATGCTGCATTATACCAAAAACAAACTTTCTGTACTACTAGCATTCGCTTCTTCTTCTTCTTCTTCTTCTTCTTCTTCTTTGTAGCTTTCTTCAATACCCATAACATTACGAATCATCGCACTTTTGCTCCTGTGTCTTGGTTCACAACCATGCGTTTCTCACAGCTTTCTTCGTGACTATCATACAATCGATCAGATTTGTACTACATGTCTTCCTTCCCGAGAATCTAGAAGTTTCGAAGTGTGTTCTGTCCAAAGTACAATCTATATATCAAAACTTTATGCGCTGCAGCAAGCACTTTTTGCACAACCGCGACTATTGCAATCCCTGAATGACAAACAACTTAACGCTGAAATCCTCACTCGCGACCGCCAACTGCATCTTTTGCTCTGCCTGCTCCTTGCCATCAGGTCTCCATCTCAAAGCATTGATCGCACCACTAGGTTGCATGCTCTTCTCAATTTTGAGTTCATTCTTGACGGTCCAGTCGTCAGTGCTAATGCTCCAAACACTGATTTCGCCATTTTCAGCGCCGGCGGCTAGGATAACGGTAGAAGCGGGCGACAGAGCTCCGGTGTAGAAGGCTACACTGGTGGCGGGTGCAGAGGTAGGAATGGTGAGGTGGAGATCCGCAGTTGTTGCCTCAGCAGAGGAATTGACACCCCAGATCTTGACGTTCTTGTCTCTGCCTCCTGTAGCGAAGACGTTTGATGCAGAAGAGCCAGCCCACGAACAAGATAATATCATTCTGGAGTGGCCTTTGGGGTTTGAAGCTGCGAGGTCATAGGTTGAGGAAGCTGGTGCTGCAGAGCGAGAGAATAATGCCCATTGGCGATCTCTGCCTACACTGAGCAGGAACTTGTCGTCTGCCGAAAAGGCCAGGGAAGTTACGGTTAGAGAGTGGGCGGTCAGGGCGGGCTTGACTTCTCTCCACTCTTTCGTTTCGTAGAGTCGAATCACCGCATGATCGATGGAACTAGCTCTGCAAGCAGTAGCAACGCGGGTTCCATCATGGCTAGCCGCAACGCAAGAAATCTCGTATCCGTGACCGTAAAGCTTTTCAAGTTCGGGGAATAGAGTGTGACGCGCGAGATGGTCTTCAAACGGCGGGTGCGAGAGATCCAAAGTCGATTTTGTGATTTGGGTTTCTTCGCTTGGTTCGGCAGTGGCTTCTTCTTCTGGAGTCAAAGCGTTGATGGCTTTGTTGCTGAGGCCTAGCACGGGTATGTTTGCTGCGTCGGGGAGGTCTGCGTCGCTTACATCCTCAGTGGTGCCGCTGAGCTTTGCGAGGAGGGAGGTGACGGCTTTGGGTTTGTTGAAGACACGCAGGAGTTTTTCGTCTGCGCCTGAGATGAATTGGGTTGCGCCGATTGCGGCCAGACAGTTCAGGTCGTAACCGTGGATCTGTGGCCGTGACATTTCGTGCCATGTGGTTGTGTCGTCGCGCTTCCACTGACCGAACAGGCGGGTGGTTTGGTCGGAGCTGGTGGACATGAGTTGGGTGCCGTCGTTCGACCATGCAATGTCCTTGACCGCGCGCACATGGCCAGATATACCGAGCTCACGCAACCAGCGATCCTCACTGGCGTTGTAAGACCAGGCTCGCCAACTTCCCGTTCTGCCCAGACTCACGACTTTGTTGCCTGATGGAGACCACAGGCCGATCCAGAAACCACCTGTGCTTCCTGTTGCAGTAGTAGAACCTTTTTGAGCACTGATCTCACCCAGTCTGGTTGCGCACGTCCAGAAGCCATCAGCATCGCGCTCCCACATAGCTAGCGAGTTGTCCGCTGATGCTGTGAGAAGTTGAGGTGCTGCGTCTTGTGCAGTCTTCGTAAACCAACGGGCCGTATAGATCCAATCCTCGTGTCCGATCAACAGTGCTTCGAAAGTGATTGAGTGTTTTGAATCACCCTCTCCAATCCAATGGGCTTTGTTAGACAACGAGCGACCGAAGACGGTCATGGCTGGGTCACTTGCAGCAGCAGCGACTTCTGGTAGCTCTTCACCAGCATGGAAGCGCCAAAGACGGGTGTACTTGTCTTGACTGGCGGAAGCGAGCAAGAGGTCGCTATCGGGTTTGGAGCTCTCGCGAGTAAAGTCCAATGCTCGCACCCAGGCTTCATGTCCAGTAAGCTTGGCTGCCAGCGAGAACGTGTCCCTGTTTTGCATGTAGATCTGAATGTTCGCCATAGTACCACCGACGGCGATGACAACTTGACCGCTCTGAAGTTTCGCCAGTGCAATCGCCAGAGGGAAGTAGCGAGGAGCAAGAGTCATGCTTTGGATCAGGTCGACTTCGACATTCAATGACTCCGAAACACGCAACTTCCAGATCTTCAGTGTTGCATCGGCAGCGCCAGTAGCGAAAACTCCAGATTCGGGCAAAACGCCAACGACATTGATAGAAGCAGTATGTTCTGTCAGACTCTTGGCCAATTCGAATTTGCCATCGGTCTTTTCAATCCAGATGCAGATTGTCTTGTCGGCTGATCCACTGATGAGAACTCGCTTTGCTGATGGCGGGTCTCTAAACAACTTGAGTGCATTCACAATGTCTGTGTGACCCGTAAGTAGTGTCTCAACGCCTTTGTGATTGTTATTCTCTGGCCTGAAGATGGCGATATTGTGACCACTTCCATATGCAAGTAGTTCCTCGGTCCAGTCTGCAGCGCATGGATGTCTGTTGCCTCCTGCGGCAATGTACTCTAGACGAGCGGAAGCCATGATTCTAGATGTGTCGCACCACAATCGGGCCCTCCTTATCCAGATTTTGATTGAGAATTGTCTTATCAGATGGTAGTATTTAAAGTCACCGTTATTGGGTTCATGTGAAGTAAAGGCAGTGTGGTTGGTGATGATGTTGATGGTTGACGAGCATTATTTTTTGTTGCAACGGAAGTCGCAAAAAAAGTTTCGCTTGCTTCAACGCGCGACTGCCAGATTGGCCTCGCAGCACTTTGTCTGACATTGTCAACATCACGCTCGCATATGAACCTCGACATGGCGGAAACAATCAAGATTGATGTTGAATTCACGTACGTCACACACTGATATTCGAACTCGAATTGATGATTGACTTGTACGAACACAGCGGCGGACTGGAATTGCTGTTCTCCAACCAAAGAAATCACAAAGTTTCATTGCCAGCACAAGATCAAGATGGAAACCCGTCAAACATCGCGTTTCTGATCAAACACCTATGTGAAAACCTCATGACAGACCAGAAGAAAGAACTCTTCCTCCTAGATGAATCTGTGTATGTTCCGCCTTGCTATCAAATCAAACCCTCCGGACCAGCTAACAACATTATCAAGTCGTCCCGGCATTCTAGTTCTGATCAACGACGCAGACTGGGAACTCGAGGGCGAGGACCAATATGAGCTGCAATCAAGGGATCAAATTGTCTTCGTATCTACTTTGCACGGCGGATAGGCAGCTACTCGGTAATTTCAGGCAGGCGAACTCCCTTTGATGTCGGTGTCGGTTTCCGATCAGCCCGCGATCTGACTCTCCCGTGTGGAAAAGTCTGTCACTCCTACCTTACTTTCAAGACCATATGCACTGGCAGAGCCCAAGACAATCCACATACACAGTTCTGTCAGAATCTTAGAACAGTCCATAGAGGACCAACAGCAGAACTATTCTTGTTCGCGACTGCCGACTTACTATACGAACACGCACGTTGCATCGTTCTTCGACATCGTGACATACTTTTACCCATGGGGAGCACGGGGAGAAGGCTGTCGGACACGAAGACCCTGCAAATCTATGACCGAGCACGCTAAAAATCTCACTTTGGCCGTTCGGATGCTCCGTTCCCGGCGAGAATAAGGTCTGGACCAAGTTTTCTACCACCAAATGGAGTCATCGCATATCGAAATCAACGACTGTGCAAGCAAAATGCAACACCGTCGGAGACAGGTTGGTCCGGTAGCAAAGAAGTCGGGCGTTTTTTCAGTAATGCCCTACCATTAAGCTTCAGTGAGCTTTGCGATGATGCGTGCTTGGCGGAGTTTATGATTGTATCTAAAACCGACACGAGTCCTGGCCCGTTGTCCATGTCAGCCCCTTCGCGCAGAGTCTGCTAATTGTTGATATGAAAGCATCTGGGAGAAGGCTGGACATGAGCCAGGAGATTCCTCCTCATGTACTGTATGCCTCTCCAGTGCCATTGAATGCACCTTCAGATGGAGGAGCGACCAAAGGCCAAACACTTCCGCTTAGCTTGATTGCTCATGTTATATCATTTGTAAGCCGTACGTTCAACGTGAGCGACTCTGGTCCAGACTAATGAGGCTGGCTGGTAGGTTGATGATGTAGGCGACATTGCGCGCATGACCCGAACATGCCGATTGATGTATTACATGACGCTCCCAGTCTTGTATGAACGTGTCACCCTCCGCTCTTACCCCGAAACCCGCTACGTCGATGGAAGACCTGAAGGATATGGGAGCGGCAGCCCGTTTGTCATGGGTCTTACTGGACTCGCTTCGGGGAACTCGGCAGCGCTGGTGAAAGAGTTTACAGTGGCAGGAGCTTGGTCAGAACCGGGGATCGATGAGTACAGCAAGGGAAAAATACCGGACAGCACAATTCTGCTTGGAATTGCTCTGCGTGCTGCAATGGACAGGATGACACATCTCAGAAGCCTTGTCTGGAATCTCGACTCCAAGCCCACAAAGTCGATATACCTGGGACTGGCTGCTCGCCCGACACTTACGTCGCTCAGCCTTCATTACCCTCAGATCCGATCGCCCCGTCCGATAGTCGTCATACCGCCCATGCCCAACCTTCGTCGTCTGCGTGTGAGCGACATCGACCCTCTCTGTTACCCAGACGACATATCGCTTCTGATCTTCCATGCGAAGCAGCTCGAAGATTTGCGCATTCAATGGAGTCCACGAATGCGACAAGAGGCCGAACCAAGCATCAACTTAAGAAGCATATTCGGGAAATGCTTGGAAGCAGGATACAAGCCCAAGCTCAAACACCTTGGTCTCCAGAACTTCTACGGTCCCAATACTGGTGATCTGAAGGATGTCTTTGAGCCCGCCTGCATCGAAAGTGCAGACTTCATCGAAGTGTTTGGAGGCACTTACAACCGCCCCACCACTATTTGGGTTGATGAGACATGGAAGAACATCCCAGATGCTGCCTACTTCGAGAACTACAAACGACACAGAGTTAGCGAACCAGCACCCGAACATGCCAAAATTCTGGCTATGTTTTCTGGCCTCAGGGAGATGTACATGATTAGCAACAAGTCTCCTGATCGCGATATGAAGTGGGAGTTCAACTCGCCCATGACCGTAGTCAATACACCAGCCACTCCTGTGCACACTCCTAGCGCTTTTGAGGAAAAGCAGGCCTATACCACATGCAGATTGTATCTACAAGCTTTGACCGTGAACCACGGTCAGACGCTCACAAAACTGCTCCTATCTGATCAATGGCCACTGTCAGGATCTCAGATTGGCGAAATTGTTAGCAAATGTCCCAACCTGGAACAAGTCGGGTTTGCACTGGCCAAGGACGCTGGCGAAGTCATGTCTATACTCTCTCCCTTCTTTGCCAAACTGATCGCCGTTAGGATTTTAGCAAACGCCAATAGCGTCGAGTTGCTTGCCGAACCTGGGATCGCTGGACTGATGGACGGAACTAGGACCGAGCCCTTGTATTGGAGATGCCTCAACCAAAGAGTGAGATGGTGCGGCATCGGTGACGCCATCTTCAGAATCGAAAAGGCTGTGCAGTTGCCCGATGCAGATGGCAATATGGAATGGTTTAACCACGTCACCCTGGCTACGCTGGAGGAAGTGCAACACCTTGAGGTCTGGAGACTAGACAAGCTTGAACTATGATAGGTCATTCTTGACTCTTTCAAGTTCCCTTGACTGCAAACGTTTGGATCGGTCCAGCGACCGTCGATGTGAGATCAAGCGCTGCGTCGCGCGACATCGCTTTTGCCATCCGAATTCCTCTTCAGGCACCAGCTCATCGAAGCCGATCAGACTCGAGACCTGTAAGAGCAAGCGCAATGCGTAGCCCTCTTCCGATCCAAGTCCTGCAAGCCTGAAGCTCCTGATCGAAAAGCTTCCCGCACCCTTCCTCGATGTACTCCAGTCATGTACCGCAAGTCGTGGTTTGGACAATGTGCATCCTCGAGACAGACATCCCAAGTTCAATCTTGCTGTATCTCAGTGAATACCCGACAAGCTCTTCACGACTGGTAACATCAGCTTGAGGCAACACCACGTATTTTGCGTCTTGGCATCTATCCGCCGCCTCGACTTCAAGTTGCGTCTTCTCATCCTTGACTGTTCTTCACTGACGGTTTGCGACCATCGCAATATCATGTCATCTTACATCGCTCTTGAAGCCACCGTCCGACGTCAAATCACCCTATGAAGTTATTGTCAACTCGGTCGCAGCAACCACCAAAACTCTCTCAAACCTGCTTTTGAAGCCGAACCACAACACCAGATCAATCAACACTTTACCCTTTATATTCTGCAAATATCCTTTGCTTCCACAGAAAAAGCTGTGGTAGTGTAGTGGCTATCACACCCTGAGTCTTTGGCGCACACGTGTCCAGCGTGGCAAAAATAATGACTTCCAGGAAGATCGCAGGTTCGAGTCCTGCCCACGGTTGTTGCTTGTGTGAGACAAGGATCTGATTCTCTTTGTCTCCCACAAGCATTTCTTTTGCCGTTTCTTTTTGTTACGTGTGGCGTCACTCTACTACGAGTAGCTGCATGGCACTGGTATGGCCGTCGAGGTCACATCGGTATCTAGGCTAGCAGCATACCACGCAGCCCCCGTGCTGATTGAAGCTGCTGGGGCAGTGTCCCATACCACTGAGAAAAGGGACTAGGAAGGGGCAGAGACATGAGATATGGGATGATAGTAGCGGAGGGTTCACGAGTAGTGAGCGAAGTAGAAGAGACATAGTATCTTACCATGACCTTATGCCCGCATGCATCTCCACGAAGAGCAGCTGTCAAAATGCATAAGGATGTTGGATGTGGAACTTCAGTCCAACGAGAGCGAATAAGCCATTGTCAAGTGATCTTTGTTCATTCGACTATGTCTATCTCTAACACGTCTATGATTGTTGCCACTGTGATTTGTGATCATGTCCTGTACGTTCTTTTCGTCGATACCAAAGACGTATTCAAGTCGCTTGACTGGTCCTGACCCTTGGTCTTCGAAGTCCCCGTACTTCCTTACCGCAGCCTACAAGCACCATCGGTCCCTTCAAGTCGTCCATGATCTCCATCCAGCCTTGAAACTTCTCGTGTATGGTCTGCCAAGTTTCTTCCCACCAAACCCGTCTTTCCTCTCGCCATGGACTCTCACGACCTTTTACGCTCTCCATGCCCACATCATAGCACGAGTTGAGTATTCTTTGCGTCCCCCTTTGACGGCCCTCCCAATCGGATTTCTTGCTCTTGTCGAATTCCGCCCACGACGCTTTTGCATCTCCGACGATGATGTTGAATACCATCATATCTTCATCTTTGGGCGTGATTGACCACGCTTCCCCAACAGGCGTGAAGAGCGCGGGTGATTTTGTCGGTCGTTGCAGTTTCACTCGCAGCACCGTCACGCCCGTCCTGATTTTCTCGACATTGGCAAACATGATGAGCCAATCGAGTAATTTCGCAAACCGCTCTTCGTCAGGGTCCTCAATGGCCAGTCCCATTATTCGCACGGCATGTTTTCTCTCCCCGATGCCTGTGATGAATAAATTCAGGAACTTGCAGGCTGAGGAGGCGAGACTGGTGACTAGAATATCCTGGATGAATTCGTTGTTGGCTAGGAAGAAATCGAAGCCTTCGTTGGAGATTTGGTGATTTGTGTAGAGTAGAGGGTGGTTGCGCGCGGTGATGTTCCAGATGTCTGGATGTCTTCTTCTTACTAATGCGTCTTGTGAGGAGTGTGTGCAGAAGTCGTGGATGTAGTATGCGGGTCCGCAGTGGGGGGTTTTGTGCTTAGAAGGACCTATTCCGAGCAGGACGTAGCTGTATATGTGATCTCTGATCTCGACTGGCAGAGATAGAAATCGTGAATCGTTCAAGGTCGACATGCTGAGACGTGAAGATCAGGAGTTACAACAAAAGTCGCGCGCAGATATAAAGAAAAGGAGTTGTTCATCTATATGAGCTTGGAACTCAATTGATCTCACATGTTACCTCAAACTCAAATCATCTTATCGAAGGTCAGGTGCTTTCTACCACTTGTCTTACATTGACGGATACAGCAATTCATCGACCGGCTGCAAGATAGAGTCTTTCCAACGGTCCGATATCGATGCATAGGGACAGGGTCTACGCCAAGTTGCACAGCTTAGCCATTCGCTTTTGGGCGAACGAAGGATTGCTTAAACGTTTAGCCATACCTATCAGGTCAACAGGACGTTGCGACCAGAAAATGCAACGGCAAAAGTCGAGAAACCAGACGTCAAAAAGCAGTGTTTTGAGGCAATTGATAGGCTGTAGGGGAAATGCTGGAAAAGCGCTTAACGAAAAGTATAATGGTTATACGTAGCGATGAGCAAGATCTTTTCCGCAAACATCGCAGGGAGAACAAAACAAAAAGTGACCAACTTGGGAAACAGAGTGACGTGAAGTCGCGAGCGACAGCTTTACCTCGGCTGTACTGAAATATTCTCCCGGTCCGAAAACTTCGTCACTCAACGCGTCCGCCTCGCAAACGCGTCTTCTTCCCAATTTCGTGTTTCGCCATCGGCAGCACCTCTCACTCATCAGCTATACCAATTCACACCACCACATTTTTGCGTGATCAGAGTCTTCTGTATCAGTCGAAAGTCTTTTCTCGGAGATCTCGAATCACTTCACCACGAATCGTACACATCAAACACGATGGCTGAACAGACTCCCCGCATCAACGCCTCCTACCTAGAGCAATTCACCCACCGCACAGTCCGCATCTTGGGCAAAGTCACACAACTCAGAGGCGAGGAAGCCACCATCGATGCTGGTGGTCAGATCAACGTACATCTGAACAGGGTATGTTTGAACTGCTTTTCTTCATCATTTGCAGCATCTTGGCGGTATCGATTGCCTGCTGTGCTCCTCACCAAAATACTTTGTGTATGATGAGCACCAGGTTCCTCTTCGCTGCTCATTCGGTATATGTGTTTCTCTACAAAAGGCTTTACTGACTAATGGCCTAGGAGTCACACCTCACCGTCAACCATGCCGTCGAGGTCATCGGCAAGGTGCAAGGAGACTTGAGTGTCCGCGTTCTTACCAGCACAGACTTTGGCGAGAACATTGGTAAGTCTACGTCTTGGGTTCTCTCTCTGGTCAGTGGCAGTCAGACTGACAAACCTTCTTACACAGACTTCTCACTCGCAGAGGCAGTGGTCGACGCAACACACCGCCACAGCGAAATCTTCTATTCGAAAGAGTAATGCTGTCTGACCTCAGCATAAGCACCTTACTATAATTCTCGTCTGGCCTTGCTGAAGAACGCGAGAGTGGTCTAAGTATGTTCTTACAGTGTCGGGCAACGGGCATGATGGAAAGACCCAAAGGAATGAGAACATGATATTAGAAAAGTTTTACGGCTGGATCGCAACAATATTTTCGTGTATCGCGAGGTTCCAGCAAATCAGCCTTCTTCATGCACGAAAGGGTCCATGGACTGCAAAGATATGTTAGCCGTATACGAGCATTCCCAGCTTGTATCGCCATTGGCAAGCGAAATGGCTCGAAGCAGAACAAACTCAATTTCGCTCACAATATGACGCAGTCTAGTGCTTGCCTGGAGTCACTCAGAACATTTCCACATAATAGTCATGATACTTTGTTTACTTTGTCGTCTCTCCGAAGTCTTCTTCTCTTACCCGTCCATTTCGTCTATCCCACAAATCCTCCATCATGACTTCTTCAGCCTCCACGTCACGTATCCTGATCATCTCCGACACCCACGGCACCAACCCCATCAACTCACCTCTGCCACCCGTCGACTTGATCATCCACTGCGGCGACCTAACCCAGGAATCGAAACTCTGCGAGTACAACCAAGCAATCTCTCTCCTCAAATCCCTCGACGCACCCGTCAAACTCGTGATCGCCGGTAACCACGACTTCACCCTCGACACACCCATCTATGCACAAAAGCTGATCGAAGCTGGCCTGCAGCCACCTTCACAAGATCAAGTCGTGAAGAAAACCTACGGCGACTTTGGCGAAGCAAGAGCATTGCTGGCTGCACGGCGTGACGATGGGATTTTCTTTCTCGACAAAGGAACCCACGAGATTGCACTCGCCAACGGTGTGACGCTAAAGGTCTTCGCAAGTCCTTGTACACCCTCCAAAGCCGGCGGTTGGGCCTTCACCTACGATCCTGCTGAGCAGCACCACTGGAGCATAAGCAAGGATATCGATATCGCCATCACCCATGGCCCTCCGCAGGGGATTCTAGACCGCACTGACGAGGCAAAACGAGCAGGGTGTCCAGATTTGTTTGCTGCGATAGCGACAGTGCGGCCGCGTATACATTGCTTTGGCCACATCCACGAAGCCTGGGGTACAAAACAAGTCGTCTGGCGAGATGACAGCGGGACTCCACCATCGCATTTCACAGCCATCAACAATGACGCTTCGAAACTTATTGAAAGTCTAGGCACCTTACGACCTGGAAAATTCGACTCTGCAGAGGAGAAGAGAAGGAAAGAAGAGAAAGTAGAAGAGCTCGTAAAAAAAGGGTATTGCTATACCAGGGCAGAGGCGCAAAAGGGAGTGCAAACGCTGTTTGTTAATGCAGCTATCGAGGGTGGATCCGAGGAGACTCGGCGCTTGCCTTGGATAGTAGAACTCGATCTACCACTTTCCACTTGTGTCACAGAATGAGCCGAGAAAAGTTGCGAGGGTCTGAGATTGGTTCAATGCAGTAATTAACAGAGACACTAAAAGCACAAGGCTTTACAGCACTGCTTACTATCTTGGAGTAAAGAGAATGGAAACAGCACACCAGAAGGATTTATTACATAGGCCAGATAACATAATATTCTACTCAGCCTAGCGTTATACCGCGTAAAGGTCAAAGAGGCGGGCAGAGAAGAGAAGAGACAAAAGAACGCCATCGCTAAATGTATTCACGCTAAATGTATTCATAACCGCCCAATCCGTCCAATTCCATCCGGTCCCAATTTCCTTGCAACTCCGCAAACAACCCCATCTACCACAGAAACTCATGCATCAAAGTTTGCTCCTCACTCCCTCCAACCTGAACCTCACATCCTTGAGCACCTTGCTAACGGGCCTCCACTCCTCAAACTCCTCTACCAGTGCTCTAACCTCTTCCTTCATATCCTCTCCTTTCACAACATCTTCTTCAAGAATGCCTCTCAGCGCCCAAGGCAAAAAGTAAGGATTTGCATTACTGCCGCTCGCTGGGATCTCAAAGTCTGCAAAAGACGGTGGAATACCAGCGACAGAGGAAGCAGAAACACTGCCGCGGCGCAGAGAGTTGGCTGCCGAGACGGACTCGGGCGGTCCGCCGCGAGACGAGCGGCGGGATGCTGCGTCTAAGGATGGGGCAGAGGAGGAAGGCAAATCGGTGGTCTCGAGGCAGAAGCGCAGGGCGAGTGTGTACACTGCTGGGTCATCGTAAATGCGCGAGTGGCCTTCGCCGCCGTACAAGGAACCGGCGAGAGGAAGAGACAATTCGCGGATGAGGCCGTGGTCCGAGACGCCGAGGTTGCGCAGTTTGAGGGCGAAGGCGACGAGGTGGGATAGGAAGTCTGGGGCGTGAAGCCGGCCGTCGACGAAGACGGCTCGGTAGACGTATGGGTGTGTGAGGGTCGAGAAGGTGGAGGACTGAGTCGAGAGTTAGCGAGAGGGATGGAAAAGGAGGAGGTGACATGAGGGGTACCTCTAGAGAAACAAGTTGATCGTCGATGCTACCGCAATAGGTGATCCTCACTCCATGTCTCAAGACACCATCAAGAGCAGCTTTGTATTCGGTGCTGACCCGACTGTCCTGTCTGCTAAACTCGAACAACTCAGCCGCTGCACCTGCACCCAGCCATCTGCTTTTGTAGTCGGCAAAAGGTCCTAGGTTGACGCCAGCCATTGCGCAGATACCGATCTTGGCATGAGGTGATAGGCATCCAAGCTGAAGGAGCTTGTGAACCAGCATGATGGCAACAGGCACGCCTTGGGAGTGGCAAGCCACAAGGATGAGATCGGCTTGACGGAGGTGAGACAGCCAGTTGAGCATGAGCTTCCAGAGCGTCGCCACGCGGTCAGCGATGAAGCCTTCACCCTCCAGAGCGACCGTCTCAATCTCGCAAGGCGTGTCTGGTTGATTGGTTTGGACCCAGTCACGGATGGCAGTCGACGCATAGTTGGCAAAGCGGATCGAGGTTCCTGTAGGTTGTCCGAGGACCTTCTGAATCAGTGGAGCAGGGAAGTAACCATGTACACCAATGGCGATTGCGTTCTTGATCTTTGGTGGAGTGGGTGTAATAGAGACGTGCTTGGGAGCTGATGGTGTCTCGATAAGACGGAGCGTAGAGGCGACATAGGTGGTCAGGCGTTCGCGATAAGAGGGGATATACTCTGCTGAGTAACTCTCGTCGAAGCTGGGTATCACGAGATTGGGATGTGCCTGAGGTTTTGCTGCTTTTGCATCTGCAAGGCTCTTGGTTGTGTCGGGTGTTTTGACGGCGTCTTTCAATGCGACTTGAGGCTGACTGGCTGACGACAGTGATGTGGAGCTGCTGTTGTTCATGGCTGCCAGACCGAGCTTAGTCGACTTTGTTTTTCGCTTGCGCTGTTCATTGAACTGCGCAGCCTCAGGATGAGATTGCGAGGGCGTGTCTGCAACGGCGAGTTCTCCGACCTGGCGCTGTGTGCCGTTGGGCGTGGCACTCTCATCGTTGCCCTCGGCTCGCGACCAGAATGCCCAACCTGACGACTTTGTCTGTGGTGTTTCCTCGCCTTGCTTGACCTCAGGTGCCGCTGGCTTCTTGTTTGGCGTTTCTGTGGGCTTGACGGGCTCTTCGACAGGGGCAGGACGATCGGGCGATGCGTCTTTGGACGGAGTTGTGACCGTTTCCTGCTCTGTCTGCTGCTGATTCTGAGCATTACTCCAAAGGCCGAACCAGCTGCGTGACGATGCGGCTGTACCCACACTACGGACCGAGCGCATCGTATCATTTATATTGATAGGGTCGACGTCTAGGCTCGATTCTTGGGCTGGCGTCTGTTCAGGGGTCGAAGGTAGTGGTGTGCTCGAAGCTTCTTTACGGTCGTCCTGTACTTTCAGCATTCTAGAATGATCAGTATAGCCGTCAGGGCGGGACCACCATCCTCCAAACCAGCCAGAAGCAGCATCTTGTGTCGGCTCTGGCGGCAATGGAGCCTCGGGCGCGGCTTGTGGTGTTTGTTGTGTTATAGCATCGGTGGGGAGAGGCTTCAGATCTGTCGAGGAAGAAGAGCTGCTAGCAGTGACTGTGGCTTGTGTGTTATCCGTCTTGACGACGACCTCATCAGCCTTCTTCTCAGGCTGCGTCTCCTCGTCATCCTTGGTATCGTCTACTTGTTCCTTGATGGGGGCTTTCTTAAAGTCGGCACTCGACTTTCTGATGTTGTCGGAGAAGAAGGCGGGCTTGACTGATTTCACGCTGTTGCCTGTCGCGTTGACCGAGTCGGACGAGATTGTGGGAATCGACTTGGAACTGCGTCGCAACGAGGGATGGACGAAACGACCTCCTGATTGTGGACTACCCGCTAGGGATTCATTGGTGGCACCTCCAGCGACTGAGATGCTTTCGTGTGTCGCTTGGGCTACAGGATTGGCTTTTGACCGCCATGGAGCGCCCTTGTACCAGCTGCTTCGTTTCTCTGCCGTAGATGACGGTGTTGATGGTGAGATGAAGGAGACAGATGACTGCTTCGCATGGGATACTGCTTGAGTGGTGTCGGACTGTGGTTGTGAGTGTCCCTGGGCGGTCGATAATGGTGGAATCTTGTGTGGTAGAGTATTATCGGACTGGGTACTGTCAGGGTCGTCCAGAGGGGTGGATGGCTTGTTCTTTTTCCGCCGTGGACCCATGGCGAGCTTGAATGAGTGAGAGGTATTGAAACACGCGCAGCTATGTGTGAAGAGGATAACAGGGCGACATGAGGGGGCAGACAGAGTTGACTTGGACCCCAGCCATGTCCAACTGACAATACCAGCATCTGACTGACGCGATCGTCATAGGCAGAATCCTGACTCGGCCTGGTGGCTGGCAGGCGGTGACTGACTCGTCCGGTCGGGGATTCCATCTTCTCCGCCCGGCAGTCGAGCCTTGCCTGGCTGCAATCTTTCGCCCGCCGAGACTTTTTCCTCTGTCACGCTCTTTCTGTATTTGCGCCGACTGCTAGACAGAAATCTGCAGAAATGGCCATTGAGAAGAAGGTGCGCATTCTTGTCTCTACTGCAGTCATGCCGTCCGGCTAACCTACTCCCTCTATTCAGCACGGCAAAGGTCGTTTGGACAAATACTACTACCTCGCCAAAGAAAAGGGCTACCGCTCGCGTGCCGCCTTCAAGCTCGTTCAGCTCAACAAGAAGTACGGTTTCTTGCAAAAGTCAAGATGCTTGATCGATCTGTGTGCCGCTCCTGGTGGTTGGCTGCAGGTCGCCGCAGAAACCATGCCCATCAAGTCTCTGATTGTTGGTGTTGATTTGGCTCCCATCAAGCCCGTTCCCAAAACAATCACTTTCCAGGGAGATATTACCACCGACAAGACTCGCGCAATCATCCGTGGACATCTCAAGACCTGGAAGGCTGACACTGTCATTCACGACGGTGCTCCCAACGTCGGTACCGCCTGGGTTCAGGATGCTTTCAGTCAAAACGAGCTGGTCTTGCACTCTCTGCGTCTTGCTTGCGATTTCCTCGGTCCTGGTGGAAACTTTGTCACAAAGGTTTTCCGTTCCAAGGATTCCGCAAAGCTCGAATGGACCTTCAAGCAACTCTTCGACAAGGTCGAGCAGACCAAGCCCCCATCTTCGCGTAACGTCTCGGCCGAAACTTTCTACGTCTGCCGTGGCTACAAGGCTCCCAAGAACCTCGATCCCCGTTTCCTCGACCCCCAGTATGCCTTCGCCGAAGTCAAGGACGCCGTTCCCAACAACGAGGCCAAGGTCTTCAACCCTGAAGTCAAAAAGAGAAAGAGAGAAGGTTATGACGAGGGTGATTGGACACAATACCACGAAGTCCCCGTCAGCGACTTCATCCAGACAACGGATCCCATTGCCATTCTCGGTGGCATGAACAAGCTTACTTTCAACCAATCTGGAAATGGCGACATTGCTCTTGCTACCATCGACAAGCTGCCCGAGACCACAGAGGAAGTTCGAATCTGCTGTAACGATCTCAAAGTCCTCGGAAAGAAGGAATTCCGTCTCTTGCTCAAATGGCGTCTTCAAGTTCGCGAACGTTTTGGCTTCGCTACAAAGTCGACTGATCACAAGAAAGCCACCGAGGCCGAAAAGAAGGCAGCCGAAGCGGCGGACGATGAAGAAGCTGCCGAGGTTGAGAGCATGGACGAAGAGATGAAACTACAGGAAGAGTTGCAAAACATGAAAGACATGCAGAGCAAGGACAAGAGGAAGCTGCGTCGCAAGGAGAACGAGAAGAAGCAAAAAGAAATCGTCCGTCTACAGATGAACATGACCACACCAATGGAAATTGGTATGGACCAGGCCGGTCCCAACGGCGAGGACGCCATGTTCCAGCTCAAGGCTGTCGACAAAGCTGGTCTTACTGGAAAGTTGCAAAAGGGCAAGATGCAAGTCGTGCCTGTGACTGAGAAGAAGGATGACGAGTTCGATCTTGAATACACCGACGACGAGCTGGGCGATGGTCTCGAAGGTGAACTCGACCAGATGTACAACCAGTACACGGAGAAGCGCGAAGCACGAGACGCAAAGTTGCGTGCTAAGAAGGCCAGAAAGGAACGCAACGAGGATGGCGAGTTCGAGGGCTTTTCAAACGACGAAGAGGCAGACAGCGAAGACGACGCTCCTGCCATCGAATACGACAGTGACTCTGATGAAGACGAAGAGACTGGCCAACTTATCACCGACCTCGACAACTCCGCCGCGCCTGCGAACGGCCTCACAAAGCGCGCCGCCAACTTCTTCGACCAAGATCTTTTCAAAGATATCGATGGTCTGGACGGCCTAGAAGACGAAGAGCCGATCAAGGATCTTGACAGCGGTATCGAGATGGACTCATCCTCGGCCTCACCACCTCTCAAGGCCGAGAAGCCTGTGGCCAAACCCGCAAAGGTCGAGAAGCCCGTCAAGGAGAAGAAAGAGAAGGCAACAAAAAAGTCGAAGGTGCCGACACCAGCCGAACTTGCCGCCGAAGAAGCAGCCTACGAGACCGACGACTCCTCAGACGGTGGCTTCGAGATTGTCAAGAACACACAATCCCAATGGGACAAGGACGAAGATGCCATTCCCCTCAAGAATGGCCGTCCCAACATCGATATCATCACCGCCGAAGCAATGACTCTAGCCCATCAACTCGCAACAGGTCAAAAGACAAAATACGACCTCATGGACGACAACTTCAACAAATACTCACTCCGCGACGTAGACGGCCTGCCGGAATGGTTCCTCGACGACGAAGGCAAGAACTCCAAACCTCACCGTCCCATCACCAAAGAAGCCGCTGCCGCCATCAAAGAGAAAATGCGCGCCTTCAACGCCCGCCCCATCAAAAAGGTTCGCGAAGCCAAAGCCAGAAAGCAATTGCACGCAGCACAAAAACTCGAGAAACTCAAGCGCAAATCTGCTCTGCTCGCCGAGAGTGAAGATGTATCTGAGAAGGACAAGGCAAACAATATTTCAAAGATTATGGCTAGAGCGGGCAAGAGCAAGAAGAGAAAGCCTGTGCAGGTCGTTGTTGCTGGTAAGGGTAAGCATCGTGGTCAAGGTAGACCTGGCGGTGTCAAGGGCAAGTACAAGATGGTTGATGCTAGATTGAAGAAGGATGTCCGGGCCGAGAAGAGGTTGAAGAAGAAGATGGGCAAGAAGTAGATGCGATTGTTTTACGTCCTTTATCGTTTTGCATATATCCGGTACGGAAATTGGAGTTTATTTGTTTCATCATCGCTTCTTCATGCTGTTCAGACTTTTTTTTTTTGAACTATCAATGTGAGCTCGTTGCACACTGGAGATATGGATTGCTAGTTCTCTTATAGGGCATGCGTGTGTCACACTTGTAGCTACACTTAGTGCATAGGGAACTTTCCTTTGGAACGGGAGCATCACGGAGAATCATGCTATTTCCAGCTAGCAAGAGAAATCGCCTTTATCTCTAGGCAAGAACCGTGTGTGCATCCTTGATACTTTGCAATAACGAGTCGTCAAGATGCAGAAAGATGCTGATTTTTCGGTGGTCCATTGCGATGATGGGGAGTGTACAATACACTAGTGAGATTGATTCATGCTGTTTTTCTCGAGATTTACTTTCGTTGTAATTCATGCTGTTTAGTCTAGCTATGCTTGTTTGTGATGATTGATGCTTGTTCGTGATGATTGATGCTTGTTGAATGCCTTGTTTTCTTTCCCTCAACGCCTGTATTGCTTCATGCCCATTGCCGAACGTTGTTTTTCCCCCTCCTTCAGTGTAACGTAGAGGTGAAACAGAAACTTCAAACTCCGAACTCCGAACTCCCAAAACTAGAACTCCAGACTCCAGACCGCCATAAAGCAAGGAAGAAAAGTGCAGTAACCATTGAAAAAGCAAAGCAACATGCAAAAGTGCAGAAGAGGACGAACAAAGGAAAGGAAACAGAAAAGAAGAACAGCTATGATGTGGAAAAAAAACCCCTCACCAATCACCATCCCCAACGCCCTTTTCGTCGACGCAGAGGTCTGCAATCCGTTCAAATACCCCACTCATCATCAAGGTAATCAAGACGCTCCTGCTCACTCATGTTGTAGTAGGCAGGGGCAAGCATATCGGTGTCGGTCTCAAAGGAACCAGAGGGGACAAAGTCAGGAAGGGTGGCATCGGCGGAAGACATGGATGGTTTGGCGTCAGGAAGAGACTCAGTAGGAGTGTAGACAGGTGGACTCTCACCCATGGTCAAAGCCCTGAGAGTAGGAGACGAGGACATCAGGTCTTGAGGGTGAATGTGAGAAGCAGAAGTCATCAACAGCCGAGGATCAATGGGAAAGTTATTGTCTGGGCTGTCGATGTCCATGTTTGTGTCGGGAAAAGGGTGCTCGGTCATGAGTGTGTCCATCTGATCCGGCTGGCACAGCATGCATGAGCAGAAGGAGCTGCGAGGGAGACCGTGGTAGAGGTGGTGATGAACAACGAAGGAGTTGTCGTCGGCGTACTCCCCACCGCAGCAGAAGAATGGACCTGTTGGGCCTCGCGTCGTGATGCTGATCTGGGTGGAGCGAGAACCATCGAGAGGTGGACGAACGGTGGGAGGAGGTGTGTAAGGACCTCGAGAGGAAGAGGTGGGCTCGGCGATAGTGGGAGGAAGACTGCCAGGAAGTCTCTACTGCCCACTCATACCTTCCTTCTTCGGTGTCTTGTTCCTCGTAGCACCTTTTCTGATTCCATTCTTCTTCTCAACCTTGACATCGATCTTGTGCGTGTCTCCGTAGTGACGGTGCAGGCCCCAAGGACGAGGAAAGCTTTTGGTACACTTTGTTCCGTCTTCATAAATGTACTCGCATGGGTAGTCGCGGATGTTGGTGTGGGTGAGTAGGTGGTCGGCCAGGTTTGCTGCGCAGGTAGAGACACGTGGGCAACCAGGGACAGTGCAAGGGAAGGACTTTTCCGTTCCTTTGCCCTTGGCCTTGGACTTGCGGGCCTTCCTGATCTTGCGGGATTTGGTAGGGGTCGTGGGGTTGTAGGCAGCAGGCGTGGGTGGAGGGGGGATGGAAGCAGGCGTTGCTGGGAAGACTGGAGTGTCGGTCATGCTTTGTGGGTAGTCATCCATGTGGGTTGGAGCAGGGCATGGGAAAAGAGAGCCATGGTCATTGAGCGAACCATTGTAGAGGCCCGGAGAGTATGCTACCGGAGAAGGAGTGTAACCCTCGTAGTCGACGAAGGGATAGCTGATCTGGGATGGTTGAGAGTAGGAGTTGTGGTAGAGATCACCCGAAGGCATCTCGTCGGGCACCTGGGTGTCTCTCATGCCGTAGTCAAAAGGCATGGGCTCAGCAGAGAGATGGGTCGCAGAGAAAGGATCGTCCGCAGGCGAGATAGACACAGAGACAGTGGGAGTAAACTCGAAGGCGGTCGAGTTGTCCGTGTGAGCCTCTCTGACGCGGTTGGAGCACAGTCCGTGGGTCTGGTCGTCCGGAGACAGGTTGTACATGCCTAAGGACATGTTGTTTTGGGTTGTAGTGTTGAGATGGTGTGCAGAGAGGAGGGCTGGGAAGAAAGTTGAACAGGGTTAAGTAGAAAATAGCGCCGTAGCGCCCTTTGTCACTCTGACCGTGTTGCATCCTCGTGTAGGCGCGCTGCTCCTGCTGAGGACGGTGTTGGATGTGAAAATGGGTGTAGTTGGCGAGCTCACCACAACTCGATACGCGTTGAACAAAGCCATTGTGGACTTCAAGTAAAGAGTTCTTTGTGTCGAGAACTCTTTGTGCTGGTATTGTTTTTCTGGGGTATTTTACTGGCACAAAATCCGTCATTGTAGACGACAGGAAAAGTAAAGAAAACAAGTGCGTGCATGAAAAGACAAAGGAAAATGTGTTCTTTGTTTGTACAATGTCTCGAACTTACGAGACCACACCTCAAGCATCACGACGACGCGGGAACTTTAGACCAGTGGTAGTTCCGGCGCGAAGACGGACAGCACCTTGTCTTCTCTGGCTCTGGCGGAAGGTGCGGTTCTCGTTCTTGGTCTGCCAAAGAATGCCGAGTCGATTGTTGTTGAGATCGTAGTGACAGTAACTTTTGAGGCCAAGAGCAGCGCGTTCCGGGGCTGTCATGGCGAAACGGGCTTGTTGAAGAGTTCGCTGTTCTACGGTCAGAGCTGCCATGGATGCAGCAGTGAGAGATGTGGTTGAAGCCGGAGTGGATGACGAGGCGTTAGTGGTCGAGACGGCTCGCGATGAAGTTGCTGAGGCAGTGCGCGACGTAGCTCTGGAAACAGTCTGCGAAGTAGTAGTCGACACAGGCTGTGATGAGGTTGCAGAAGCGGAACGTGACTGGATAGCCGAGCTTGACGGCGATGAACTGGCTGGGTGGCTACCAGCGACTTGTCTGAAGGACAGAGAGGCTCTCGCGGGTTCCATCTGCTGGTCTAACGTCTCTGTAGTCTCGTCCTCAGCATCCACGTTCTCGTTCTCCTTATCCTTGTCGACGTTGATGGCGTTCCAACGTGGTTCGGCCATGTCCATGAGAATTGTAGCAGCCGCCTCGACTTCCCTGCCAGAACGGGTCTTTGGCGTCATTATGCTGATTCAGTAAGTGAACAGTGCACGAAGCCACAGACTGTGCGCGTGTGTAGCTTGTGTTATGGTGGTGGTGAGGGAGGTGGTGAATAAACAAGATCGTGCGAGATAAACAACGCCTGAACCTGCACGTTGGCGACCGCGTCTAGTACAATTCACTTCTGTCCGACTCCGTGTGTTGGTACACTGAATGAATTTCTCATCTGTTATGCAACGCCAAGATGCTTGTCTACCTCTGAACCTTTGTAACAATTTACTGGATTGACTGGAGGAAAGCACGGAAACACACACCCATTGGCAACATTTTACCGCAACTAAACATGTCGAGGATGTTACTCTAGGCCAGGCCCATGGGCGGCACTTCCCTCGTCGTAGGATTGCCATACGTTCTCTCAATCAACAGACAACATTGATCGCGAGCATCTTTCATCTCGTCGAGAGCGGGCAATCACTCGAAGATGGATTCTCTGAGATCCTAGTCAATGGGATGAGACACGACCAAAATCAGCCATAGACGTGTACGATGCTTTTCCAGCAAAGGTGATGCCCACATAGAGAGACATTTTCCCAAAGGTAATCCGATGGCTTCGCTTGAAGCTGAGAAAACATTTCTACGTTCTCGTGGGTGAAATCTGACAAAGTTTAGCATATACAGAAGTCATCCCTGCTGTGATAAAGAAGGATGTAGGGCGTGATACAGATGTGAGAAGATGAGCTGACGTCGAGAAGAAGATTGCCGTCAAGTTGCAGTACAGGTAATACCGCGTAGTACACAGCACGTAGTCCCCAAGCCAATCGCATCGAAGATCATTTCTTATCTCAAGTACAGTACAAACAGAGTTGGCATGCCATTCGTCCGTCAAAACCATGTTGATAAATGGTGAGAAGCTGCTGTGTCCTCTCGGGCAGACTTGAAAGCTTTCTTGCCCTTTCTCGTCGTTGCTCCTCGACACGATGACACCCAAGACAATGGCCGCACAACGCCCTTCCGCCTTCCTCTCGCTGCCCGCGGAATTGCGCAATACCATCTACGCACTTCTACTCACGGCTCCTGCTCATGTCAAACAATCGCGTCGGGTAGCGACGCGAGGGCTGTGCTCAGACTATATTCTACCACCACTCGACTTATGTCCGGCGCTTCTGCGAACATGCCGGCAAATCCACGCCGAGGGGACGAGCGTACTTTACGGCGCCAATCAATTCGCATGTCATCCATCATTGCTCACCGCACTGCCATATCTGATGAGCCCCCGACAACCAATCACAGAAGGTCCCGGCAGATGGAAGATCAAGCGTTGGTATATCTATCTTCGGCTTGATGTAGACGCCCGATTCACGGCGAAGCAGCTTGAGCAAGCATTCTCCGGTGCTGAAGAACTCGAAGTTGAGTATTTTCAGCCAGCCTATGGATACGGAGACAATGGCACCCTGAAGCTGTTTGAAGGTATACGAGGAGTTGGTCTTGCAAAAGTTACTGGCGGCAGCGGATGTGACGCCGAGTACGCGAGAACGCTCGAAGCAATGATCATGAGGCCGATACACGATGTCTCGAACTCTTGAAGGAGTTTCTCAGGAGAATATGAGCTTCCAGAACCGGCAAGCTTGCGCTCAAGGTTGCTGTTCGTGAAGCGATGCTACCTCACTGTACGCAGTACATCGGCAGAAAAACGCCGTCCTCTTGTTCCCGATTGGTTGTCGGTCTCAATAACACACTTGTTTTATGTCGCCTTTCGCCTGGATGCTCGAATACGAAGTGCTCGACCTTTCATGTTCACGTCCGCAACGACTCCTGATTCTTGGAGGATTCCAATCATGACTTCATCATGCAACGCCTTCTCTTGGCAGATCCCCGTCTCCACGGGACGAACGTGCAGCTGCTCTAGTCTCAACACCAAGGTGGAATCTATGGACTCATACAGGCTACAGGCGCCGACTGTCCATCGTATTGTACTAAGCCGACCCAATCTGGACAAGCCAGCTTACGCGTCTCACAGCCTCATTTTTTTATGCCTTCGATCAGAGTTTCTTCGCTATACAGTACGTTCGATCCGGATGTCAAAGTATATTCTACCATGATCGTTCCAAACAAATCAAGCAGCAGCTCCCCCGCACCCCTCCAGATTTATCCTTTTGCGGGGTCCATTCGAGCTTTTAGTGCACAATAATGATGCGACTTGGATATTCTCTCAGACTTCTTGGACATGCGAAACAAGACCAAGTCGGATGCAACGGACTTGGCTGTCTGTCAGTTGTTCTGATGGATTCGGCGCTTTACACGCAGACCAGCGTGTTTACCAAGCAAACTCTGGATGTGCATGACATTGCTCCACAGAACGGCTTAGACCAAGAGGTCTGGAAGCTGTGGGTACCAGCTCTCAGATTTTACGACAAACTGGGTTGCTGCAACTTCATGTTGACAACAAACCTTAGGTCACGCTGCATAGTGCTCTGGGCAAGTCCAACCTTGCCGCCGATCCCGCCAGGGCTTGTCAGGCGCAACGGCTACCTTTCGAGCTGCATAATCCGCGGACAGCCAAGGACTAGCCAACACAGCCAAGTTGAGCTCTCGATCCTGAAAGAAGAGATATAAGCCCCTCTTCTGCCTTCGAGCGAGTGGTCTTGCAAAGCCCTCATTCTTGTCAGAGTACTCCACAGTTTTCTCTTCTATTCCCACATCCCGAGATGCGTTTCCAAAGTATTGCTCCATTCGCTCTTGCAGCAGTTGTTGCTTCAGCACAAGACAACAGCACTGGTGGTAACCTTACCACCGGCGGAAACATTACCTCGAGTACGAACGGAACTGTGCCCTTAGCCAACCAGCAGCTCAACTCGTTCTGGACTCTGCTTCAGCAGTTCAACTTGCTAGGCAGCGTCAGCAACGAGAGGAACGTCACCCTCCTCGCGCCTAGCAACGAGGCTTTGGCTCGCTTGAACACTTCCGGCGTTGCCATCACCTCTGAGCTGGTCCAAGCCTTGATCAACTGTAAGTTCATACGTTCTTTCCATTAGCAATCACACTAAAACATTAGGTAGACCATACTTTGAACGGAACGATCCTGTCAAGCAATCTCAACAATGTTACATCTGCCTTCCCTCACACTCACTTGACCAACCCTGCCTTCTCCAACGTCACTGGAGGACAGGTTGTGGAAGGCATTCTGAAGAACGGCACAGCCTACTTCTTCAGCGGCCTGAAGAACAATGTTTCGGTTACCAGCGCCAATCTCAACTTCACTGGAGGTGTAATCCACATTGTCGACGGCACCCTTACCATCCCCGGAAACCTCACTTCTACCCTGACAAACTCCAACCTGACTGCGCTTGCTGGTGCGGCTCAGGAACTCAACTTGACATCCACTCTCAGCAGCCTGCACGACGTCACTATTTTTGCTCCTGACAACAGTGCTTTCCAAGCCGTTGGCGATGCACTCGCTAACGCCTCCGTCACCGAGCTCATCTCTGTTTTGGGCTACCACGTGGTGAACAACAGCGTCCTCTACAGCGCTGATATCCCCTCGGGCGAGACAACTGTTCCCACCTTCATTGGTGCCAACTTGACCGTCCAGAACATCAACGGTAGCTACTATGTCAACAGCGCCAAGGTCATCAACCCCGACATCCTGTTCAGCGGTGGTGTCATCCACGTCATTGACAGAGTGCTCAACCCCAACAACACCGTCGCCCACAATGCTTCCCAGACTGCCTCGTCGTCGAGCACTTCGCAAGCCTTCGCCGGTGTCACCACCAGAGCCTCGAACGTACCCTTCACCTCCGGCCAAGCCACACCCAGTTCGTCGAACCCTGCTCAGAGAAGTGCCACCACTGGTGCTCTTAGCTCCTCGACTGGTGCTGCCAACGCTTTTGCAACCATCGGCGCTGCTGCTCTCTTCGGTGGTATCGGTGCCGCCTTTGCTGGCTTCTAGAAAGTGTCTGCTTGGTTCTATTTCACAAATGTCATCCATGTACAGATTGGGCCCCTAACCAGTCATGACTCTCGCTGTATGTATCTTTCATTTGTTGTGGTCTAATTCTCTATACCAGTCTCACATTAATACAAACAAATCATTCGTAATGACTTCTCGTATACTCGTTCCGCCCGTACTCTTTTAATCGCTGGATTCACGTGAATCTCGTATCTTATCAGATTTTGTAGGGACAACCCTGTGCATCAAGACATTCCCGTCGGGTAATCTTTGTTTGTCTACACGAGAAGGTCGAGGATCCCTGATTTGCTATCCATCGCGCCGAATAACGACTGTATGATCAGACTGGTCAGAGGATACATCCAAACCAGCTGGTATAAGTATCACATCGTACTTTGCCTGCGTGGCTCCATCTGATTTTCCACGCGGCCCATTCTCTTTGATGGCCAGAACGGCATGTGGCTTGCGATGTTCAAATCATTTGGTGGATAGAAGAGGTATAGTCGAGCTAGACCAGACCCCTGGTATGCTGGAGCTTGTAAACTCGAGTTTTCCCACGATGAATCCTCCCACGGCCATAGCAAAACGCATAGATTCAGAAAATCATTCATCGCTAGTTCACAAGCTCCGGGACCTTTCTCGCACATCTCAATCCTCGCCGCGCCAAAGATAATCCGCAAACATCATTTACCAATCACCGTCATGCCACTCAAGAAGACTGTCAGTACACACAATTCTATCACCAGATTCCCGACTGGCTTCTCAAGGCCGAGTTCAAGATGGCCGAGTACCAGGCCAAGATCGATGAGCTCAAGGACGAGGCTTAGGCCGAGCGTCAGGCCGCCGAAGAAGAGGCTTAGATCGTAAAGCAGGACAATAAGGATGACCGTAAGCCAGCACAAGTGCCGCAATAATTTGAAAACTACTCGCGCTAAAGTTGGCTAGATCTTCTGTACCGCTAAAGATGAATTAAAGAGGACGATCACGAAGATAGCGATGTTAAAGAAGATAATGCTAATAAGAACATAAGAGTAAAGAAAGTTATAAAGCCTAGGACTAAGACGACTGCTACTAAGAAGGTTGCCGCCAAGAAGGCCAAACCTAAGAGTCCATTAATTGCTTCATCAGTGTCTTGCCGACCTGAGGGAATCCTAACCAAGTAAAGCAGCCCTGCTGTCCGATGACAGCTCCGATGATTTGCCTGATGCCGCCGTGCTCAAGTTCAAGGCTGCTTCTGCCGATGTCTGGCACAAGGTTCAACTGGACAAGAACGGCTTCCACGACGACGTTAAAGAGTTCGTAAAGCAGTATACACCAGCGGATATTGTCGATGAGATAATCTCCGGCATGCCAAGCTTCTTCTATGGAGAGCTTCAGAAACCGATCAGTCGATTTTGACAAGATTGCTGATCGAACCTTGTCGAGGGTGGACAAGGAACTCACCCCCCAGCCAGACCACGCTGGCATCTACCTGTGCTGGGCTCGTCCAAAGAGCAACCACCAGAGTGAGATCTTGCTAGAGCAGCCAAGTGTACTTCGCCAGGCAAGACTTTCCTTCGTCCAACCTGCTAGGATGGTTGCAGGTCGCCGCAGATCGGTTTCACCACGAGGTCGAAGAGCACGCTCCATCCTGTATGCAGGCAAGTCTGCGTCAGCTGAATATAGAGGCGGAGCTTCGCACCGCGGCGCATCATCAAACGCTTCTCATGGTCCAGAAACAGAAAGGTACTCGCATCCGGCTGGAAGAAGAACTTCGGATGAGCCTGTGAGCAGCGACGGAACGTAACGCCAGATGCATAGTGAGTTCCCTGGAATATGAGAAACCGGAAGAATATCTCATCTTCTTCATGAGCTCAGTGTTATCAACACTTCCACGTCAACGATCAAGCCAAGCAAAGTCATCAAATTGCAGTTCTTTTAAGCTTGGCGTGAGGGCCATAGAGAGAGCAATGGGAGCTTGCTATATACTGGAATAACTGTACATTCATGTGCCCGTCAGGATGACAAAACGTGGCATATGGGGAGATCCATCTAGGGTCTCTATATCGTGATCACTTCGAGGTCATTGCATAACGAACGCTCAAGCTATGTGAACCGGATCGGCCAGCATCTCCGGAGCAACAGCATCTTCGGCTCCAATAGCTACTTCTGTCGTTTTGTGCTCCTTCTTCGCGTCTCGCTTTTCCAGGACCCGTATCAGACACACCGTCAGTATGAGTGCAACACTGAACGATGCCGCAGCAATAAAACCAGGACGAAACTTTGGTGATTCTTCAGTTCTCCAAACTGCATCGGTGAACCAAATTTGGTTGATGTAAGAGAACATATTCGAGAACGCAGTCAAGAAACCGCGCATCTCATGGTCGTGTGGCATCAGATCTGGGAACCAGGAGTAAAACAGCCCCGGTACACCAGCAGAGGTGAAACTGATGTACATGGCAAAATACTTGAGACCCAGAGGAACGTTCCAGATAGCCAGGACCAGAGTGCCGAAGCAAGACGCACCTTGGAGTATTGCTATGGTTTGCCATCTTTTGCCGCCTAGCAAAGGCGAGTCTGACAGCATGCCAGCGATGATCTGAGTGACAGCACCAACTGCTGATTGACCGGTAGGCCACACATTGATCTCATATACGCTGTGATGTTCAGCCTTGAGCCATAGCGAGTAGAAAGGCTGTTGAGAGGGGTGGCTGGACTGTACGAAAAAGTAGCCAAAGGACAGAACCCAGAACTGCCAAGTCGTAGCTATGCGCAATATCTTTTGTTTATCCCACTTCGACGATTCGGATCCAAGAGGTGTGTAGCCATCCACAAGGAGTCTTTGTCTTGCATACTCGGCTTCTTCCTTACTCAGGTAAAAGGCTTTGGTGTTCTCAGGAAAGTCAGGGTTGAAGAAGTATCCGATCACCCCGACGGGCAGACTGATGATGCCGCAGATGATGAACAGCCTAGAAATAAGGTTAGCCGAAAGATATCGCCTGTGTCCCATCTAGCGTATAGCCTACCACTGCCAACCCTGGTGACCTAATTTGCCATCGAGGTTGTCGTATGCCGCTGCTTGGACATAGCCAGAGAACATGTGCGCCAATGAAGCAGTACAGTAGAACAGTGTAGTTCTCTTCGCTCGCTCATGCTTGGTGTACCATGAACCTATCAGATAAATGATGCATGGGAAGAAAGCTCCTTCGCAGAAACCGATGAGAAACCTCAAACCATACAGCTGAGGGACTGAAGTCACAGCAGCGGAGCAGAAGGTGAAGATTGCCCAAAGACATTCGAGAGTTGGGATGACATGAGACGGCCGTAGCTTCGTAACCAAGATGACCGCTGGAAGTTGACTGATAACGTATCCGGCGGTGAAGACGTTGCTCAAATATGTAAGTTCGTTGCCATTCATATGAAGCGCCTCTTTCATTCCGGAGACATATGCGTTGCTAACGTTCTGCTGATCCAAGTTCTTGCAAAAGTAACTTTTCCGGGACGTCGTTAGTGTCTAGATAGCGAGTAAGGCCATGCCCAGTAGAGAAAAAATCTTACCCTAGACATGCATAGGTGAGCAGATAGAAATCAAGCTTGAGCAAGAACCTCTTCTCGTGTTTCGGTTTGTCTGGATCGTCCCAGATGTATCTTCGAATGGAGCGGAAGAAGTGTTGAGTTGAGGTGTATTGTTCTTTCGAATCGCTGGTACTCGTATGCTGACTTTCATCGCTAACGGCGTTGATTGAAGCAGTGCTCTTCCTCGGTGTATCGTAGTCTTGGCTATTTCCATGTCTGTGCGACGGATGTTGGTTCTCCATCGTGGTGAGTGATAAGCAAGGCTTCGAGAATCGAATATCCCAATGGACGTTGACTAGATATACAGTTGGGCCTGGGAAAAGGGTTGTTGTTGAGCTCTGCCACAACCACGAGCATCGAGATCTTTCCATAGCACATCATATTCACATGATATTGCGAGGTTGGACTGCCGGGATCCAAGATCCATCAATCTGACAGGATGCGCTATCGGACACCTTACCGGAGTGTACTATCGCCCCAGCATATACGCGCTTCGGTCCTTCCAGGAATATGGACAGGAAGAGCGGCACATTCTGGCTTGGTGTTTGACGCAAGCTTGTAATTGTAGCAAGTAGACCAGTCCGTATGCGGTGTCTCAAGGTGCAGTATTGGGAGTGATTCGAGTCATGAAGCAACAGAGTCTCAGCGATAAGACCAACGAAGCTCTGCCATTTGTCTTGTCGTAGCGAACAAGCTTTATCCTGCTCCAGTCCTCTTGACTAATCAATGAGTCGTTACAGAGTGCTGTTCCCAGTGTTGATATGCAAGCTGGAGTTGCGCAACTTCATCCCCGCATCGCGTGCTGACCCCTCCTTCCTTCGACCTTCAAACACAACCAAACCACTACTTGCCATTGGTTATTTCAGCAGTTCCTATCGCTCAACCTTTCACTCTATGCAACCGTCTGCTGTTACAATGATACATGTGGGGCCTGAGAATCAGCAGAGCTTGACTCGGGATATGGTGTGCCGGACAGGGGATCGCCCGAGGTCGCTGGAAGAGATGATAAAAGACGACTGCCCTGAGCTCAGAACTATGGCATATCATCTCATCATTCTAATCACTTAAGCATTCATACTACAAAACATGCCTGGAAAGACTCTTACTCCTTATGAACAGGTCCCTGTGACCAAGGAAGACCGTAAGTCGGATGGCTTGCCAGCATAAACACTTTCTGACATCTGTCTAGTGGATTGGGCTGAACTCATCACTCTTGATCTGGGCAAATTCGAAAAGCCAGGCGGCAAGCAGGAACTTGTCAAGCAACTCGAACACGCTGTTCGTCATGTCGGTAAGTTCACTTCATCTCTACCATGCCATGCATCCATTCCTCTCTGACATATATCAGGATTTTTCTACGTCAATAACTTCAACATCAGTCAAGAGGAGGTAGACCGCCAGTTTGCTCTAGGTCGTGAGTTCTATGACCTTCCTCTGGAAGACAGACTCAAGTACCACGATATCAAAGCTCTTGAATCTGGCGATTACAATGGTTACCGACCTGCCGGTCTCCGCTCTCTTGCCCCCGGTGTCACGGATAACATTCAGGTTTATAACCTTCCCAAGTTTGATGGCCATCATCAACGTCAACATCCGCCCGTCCTTCAAGACCACATCGATGAGATCGAAACCTTCAGTCGCAAGTGCCATTCGGAAGTCGTGGTAAAGCTGTTGAGACTATTCGCCCTTCTTTTAGAAGTTGATGAGGAGTTCTTCGTCAAAGACCATGTCTATGATGACTTTGGTGAGGATCATCTGCGTTACATGCATTACGCTGCCCGCAGCGCAGAGGAGAACGCTAAAGTGGGAGAGCTCTACACCCCCGGCCATACCGATCTTGGCTCTGTAACGCTACTGTTTCGTCAACCAGTTGCAGCATTGCAGATTTTGAACAATGAGGGTCAGTGGAAGTGGGTCAAGCCTCAGGACGCAACCATCACTATCAACACTTGTGATGCCTTGACTGCTTTAACTGGTGGCTACGTCAAGTCCAGTGTCCACCGCGTTCGTACACCTCCGAGTGATCAAGCTCACATTGACCGCCTAGGTGTCTTGTATTTTGCAAGGTTCGTATCCTCAAGTGTTGATCCTCCACATCATAATCGCTGACCAGTTCCAGACCCAACAACCACGTCATCCTGGACCCAATCAAGAGTCCCGTCCTTGACCGCCTAGGTCTCACTTCTAATGATTTCACCAAGCTAGATCAACATCTTACCATGCAACAGTGGGTCAAGGCTCGCCAGACACAACAGCAGAGAAGGACCCACACGCCCGAGATAAAGGAGGGCAAATACTTCTACAAGGACAAGGACCTCGAGATCTTGCCTGGTCTGAGCGCTAAGATCCACAACTGACCGCGTAAGGCTGGAGGAAGATATACACCTGGCTAGTCCGACCCGGAGAGCATGCGATGAAGTCTCGTCAAACATTGGCAGAAGCAGCATTTCGCTTGCAAACCGTAATGGATATTCGTACCATAGAAAGGCACAAGCCGTTCGAACACACACCCTTCTCCATCTGGCTGAGGCGTTTCAGTGGACCTCTTCCTCTCTTCTTTCTACCACGTGCAGACAAGCAGCTCTAGATAGACTCGTGTACGCGAGGCTAAGCTCAGGCTCGGCTTCACCTGCACTACAAACAGCATGACATGCAAGCGAATCCCCCGTAGTGCATCAAATATTCTTAATTGCGTTGTGCGAATATAAACTTATCTTCTAAGGTATCAGCTCTTGGCCATATGCTTTTAAGCTACGGAGAGAGACCTCCAGCTCTGTTCAAGTCTGCTGTCGTTGACTGACAAGAACAACATATCTTCTCTCTGGTCGATTGATAGTGCAACTTAGATGGAGTCATTCCAGGGGAGAAGTGCATGTTCAGCACTTGGCGCAGGTCATAGTTTGAGCTGCTCTTGAGGACCGTCGAAGGCTATAAACGAAGCACGCTCCTCAGCTCATCCACATCCGCGTTGTCCTCGGTATGTCCGCTCCGAGGCACGACGCTTCGCCAAGCAAATCCGCCCTTGCGGCGGTGACGACCAATAAAGCAGAGCTCTATGTTGTTGGTGGAAAGTAACTCCAAGCTCTGCTGCTGTGGATGAGCTGAATCACGCTTGGCAGCCGCCACCTCCACTCTTCCAGGCACGAACCATGGTTTCTTCAAGACATCTTGGCATACAGACAACGACTATCACAGTAAACCAGCCAGCCACCTGTCAAAGTTCATGAAAGAGCGAGGTCGATGGCAAGTCTGAGGCTAGAGGCTTTCATGAGAACAGCTTTGATTCTTCCAATTGTGCAAGTTACGAGCGGTCCTATTCTCTCTCACAGCATAAATACCTTCGTCATGGCCGCCCAGCTCTATCATCAGAGCATCGCAATCAATTGCTTCCAAAGAATCATCTCTCGAGCGAAATCCCACTATGAGACTCATCCAATTCGTTATTGCTGCCCTTCCCGGTGCCAGCGCTGCCATTGCAAGAGGCGTATGCAACGCTGTCAGTACCAGACTCGTTTACTGATATCCCTTGGGATCAGACCAGTTGACCGATGTATCAAAGGACAATTGCGCTCGCGCCATCACTGGAACTGCTCGACCATCTCTGATCGCCCGTTTGAATGAATGCGCCATGTATCAGGACGCCACCTTGTACCCTACCGCCACGTAAGTGACTACATGAAGTTCACCAAAGGTAGTATCAAGCATTGAGACTCACAATTTCCAGCACCAAGACTGTCTACGGTGCTACAGCAGACACCACTGTGTTCCCTGATGGACCTACCGCCACGGTTGTGCACAACACGGTGGTGCCTTCCTATGCATCCAAGCCTTGCGGCACTACCGAACATGTAGTTGCCTCTCGCTACGCTTCTGCATGCTCATGCGCCGGCTACACCAAGACCACCGTCACGGCTCCCACCTCGACTGTCACTGTCTCCACCACTGCCTCTTCCGCTGGCTCAGCGCCCACCTGTCGCGGCATCACTGTGGATTGTGCTAATGGCCGTGGCCTCTGCCAGTACAGCGTCGTTGACAACGAACCCACCTATGATTTGGTTTGCGCGTTCTTGAGCAGCTGCAACTATGAAGCTCAGTGCGAGAACGATTCTGATTGTGGTGCTGGAGAGGCTTGTGTCAATGCTGGTTTCCTCTGTAGCATCAACAACTGCGCGGCATTGCAGAACTGATCGTTACAAGCTAGCGACTGCTAAATTTTTGAGTAGTCGATGACGAGGAAAATCTGCACTGGAAGGCTATGTGAGGTTGTGGTCGGATTGTGGGGAGGCGGGATGAATGGTGATTTTGGTTTTTTTATATATTGAATATATTCTATCATGTATTGTCAGTGTTCCCCGGTGTATGGACTCAGGCTTTTGCTCTCAGCTTGTCCCTCTTCTTCTTTCAGTCCAGAGCAAAACATCTCTCACTGCTCTGCTCGTTGTTGCCCCACCAATAGGGCATACTAATGATCTTGCCACTACCAAAGAACAAGAACACTAATAGCAAGTTGAGGTTATATCCCGCATCAAACGCCGCTCCCATCAGATAGTTGTATCTCGCCCACAACTTACTTCTATACCTGAATGCCCAATACATGACCACGAAGCCACCGATAAAGGCAGAGGTGTAGCCAGTACTGACATTACCATAGAAGTTAGACACACAACTGAAGAAGATAGTAGTGTTCCAAAGGCGGAACTTCAACTTGCTGTTGGGGAACTTCTTGTGGAGGGCAAAGAGCAAGAAAGGAACCAAGGCACCAACAAGGAAGCCATAGGGCAGGGGCTTGAAGGTTGATTGTTGGAACATCTTTGTGGGGCCGATGATAACGTATTCGACGGATGTTGAGAGGGAGGACGAGAGGTGCTGGGCTGTCCATTGGTGCGTAGGATCTTTTTCGAGTCCGAGGAGAATGTCGCGCTTTGAGGATAGAACCCATCTTACGACGCCATAGTTGATGGGTACACCAATCGTGCATCCAAACACTTGCGAGAAGAATGTGGCACGAGGAGGGATATGCATGTAGTGTCCGATCCTACATTACGTTAGCTTTCTTCTGTCAGTCTATTTGGACAAAATTTACTTACTTGGCATCGTTGAGCATGTACTGCGCTCTGTACCAGGCATCTCCTGCGATGGAGCTGTAAATTGTAGCACCGGTGGGGTTCTTATGACCACTGACAGCGTTGACCATTATGCCGTACATCAGCTATCGAATGGTCAGCAGGAAACAAAATTTTTGAGGATGGGGGGGTCATTGACTTCGTTAAATGTGCCTATGGGAAGCTGATAGTTTGACGATGCGTACAGCCAGCCGAGAGGTGTGACTACAAGGGCTCCAGTTGCCAAGGCGACGAAGTAAGTCCAGACAGGGATATAAATTTTTCCAGCTGCAGCCATAGTGACGATAGACACAAACGAGCAAGCAAAGAGAGCTCCAAACCACCAGAGTGGAACCTCCTTGTATGAGCGCATGAGAACATTGAGCTGGTCATTGTATTGGTGGTTAATGCCTTTGTCATTGCCTCCGTTGTTTCTGTTCTTGAACTTTTGGTAGGCTTTCTTGAACGAGGAGTAACCGAAAAGAGCAGCCCAGACCCAAGCAGACAAGAAAGCTGCGTAAGAGAAAAAGATTCCCCAGAGCATCTGCGCTCCAAGGTACAGAGGGCCATATTCCTCGTAAGCAGTGGTGTTGAAGGTTCCTTCAGAAGTGACGAGCTTCGTCAGAGGATACTTGGTACCATTACCCTGAAGAACGCTAGTGGACATGAGACCGGGCTTGAACTCGGAGAGGTTGCCCCACTTTGCAGCAGGAAGTAAAATCCAACAGTTGAAGACGAAGGCCAAGAACATGATGACTTGAGTCCACCAAGGGAGCAGGAAGAGATTGCCATTTGTGCTGAGGGTAGACCAGTCAAGACTCAGATTGAGGAAACCCATGCCTCCAAAGCCAGAGCCGATGAAGTTGGCGACAGGGTTCTTGGGTGCCACCCAGCAGAGGAATGCAAGACTTCCGGTCATGGGGAAAACGTACTCGGGCAGGAACTGCCACAGAGCTACTGCAAAAAATACAGCGAAGAAGATTCTCATCTGTCTCCTCGAAACCGGGGTCGGGTTGCTTCTTTCCTTCTTCTGCGACTCGAAGAGAGCAGTCTGGCACAACGCTTGAAACCAAGGGTACTGTGGATCGTATAACAAAAACTGGCGTGAAATAGCAGCGAACGAGTAACCAGTCACCACTACAGCCCACATGAACACGATCGCGACTCCTGGATTCATGGGTTCGTTGAAGTAGAGCTCGGCTATCGAAACAGGTGCGTAGGCAAGGTTGTAAGTTGCTCCAGAAGCGGCAGACAAGGTGACAAGTACGTGCTCCTTCGTGCACCACGGACCAGGATTCAGGTTGATACCCAAGATCTTCTTGTTCGGTAACACCTTTGCAAGCCACATACCCACATAGTTTGATGCAATCTGAACAAAGAAGACCGAATATGCCGCCGATGTTGTTCTGAAGTATGACATCTGAGACAGGAAGGCGCCAGGTACGATAAACAGAATAGACAAGACAAAGTATCGGAGGGTCAAAGTGAGTTCCTCTGGGTTATCCGTCATGGATACAATGCGTCGTACAGCAGGAAGGAGATCGCGAACGGCCTCATCATCATCGGCGAACTCATCGCTGTCGATATCAGAAGACTTTCCAGATTTGAGTTCTTCGTCGCCAACTTCCAGTCCATAGGTCTTTGATGTCGGCTCGATCTTTCCAGTACCAGTGAGTCCATTTGCAGTCTTCTCATCAAGTGTCGTTGATTCGGCAAAGCCATCCGGTGTTATTGCGGCATCCTCGTTCTCACCCTTGACGCGCGCGACGATACGCCTGAAAACCGAGCCTGCCATCGCAAAGATGTTGAAAAAGAATGACTCGATTCGCAAGCTACGAGCCTGGCTCTATATACATACTCAAAAACTCCATGGTGCTCATGAGTACCACGCAGACAGCACGTTGAATTTTGCCATCCATATCGCACGTCTGATAGGGCGGAAATGGCGTGCTGTGGTTAGTTGGTCAAACTGTCCATCTTCTTACATGATCACCGTCTGTGCTGCCATTTTGACAGTGGTTTGGTTCGTGTTCGCCGCTGGCGCTCCTGCACTGAGGGTGCTGTAAAAGCTTGATAGGGCAAAAGCGTTGGCCAACAGAATCTCGGAAGAGCTTAGCCGGCCAAGAAAGCTTGTAATTTTCGCCTCCTGCCCTCGGATGCTACGGTTGTATGCAGATCTTTGCCACAACAGTCTTCGATCATAGTGGGTCTCGTCTATCTTCTCCTCCCTTCGAAGGGTGTCCTGTGCTGTGTTTGAATCGATCCGACTGCAGATAGGCCAATACATATCGCATCATTATTTCTAGCCTAGTCAATGGGAGGGTTGTGGCATCAAGCAGACCTATGACAAAAATCGATCTTCTCCAACGTCCTGATAGCATTCACTCGGTCGGACAGCTTGGAGGAAGCGACATCGATGAGAGCACGTCTTCGAAGGATTCCTCAACACGAATGACGCGATCGTGTTTGCGTGGAGAGCATCCACTTCAAGAGCCGGGCCTGGCCGACATCTTGTCGTTGCATGGAGGCCTTGCTTGACGTGCTTGAAGTACAACGGAGCCTGTTCTCTTCAGTCTCGATGAACTGACTTGCTGTGGCTGGTATCCAATTCTGTAGGTTACACCAACTCATTCACTCTTGATGGTCGTATGACCCGGGCTCTGGAACATATGCCTCGCATAAGTTGTGAGAGCAAAGTCGGTCTCATGGTCATGAATGATCGGACATTGAGCTGAGAATCTTGAACAAGCATCGTGGCGGCCTCTACTTATTAGCCAGTAGGAGCCATACGACTAGCAGATCTCCTTCACATCGTCACTCGAATTCTACGGTCTATGACACGACTGGCAACAATCTCACCACATACGGTTATCTGTGTTACCTTCACTTCACCTCGCAGCACACAGTCGTCTCATGCAGACTCCAAGATATTGTTCAATCCATACGGCGATGGTGTTCGAGGACTCGATATTGGACGTCTCACTGCAATTGTAGCACCTGAAACCATCGGATCCGCTCGGTCACATCAACTAATCCTGTGTCTCAAAGCTATGCTTCCGGTCCCCCTCCTTTCAAATTCGCATACTCAAAGAGCCGGAATGATGCCACTATGTGTTGCAACAGCCACAGTACACTATCTCGGATCCAGACCATTCAGTCAAATATGGAGTACGGGCAAATCCAGAGTGTGGCTCAGTAAATGGGCAGTCAAGCAGAACAAAAGCAGTCAACACTTTGATGCAGCTCGTAATTTCAGCCTTTGGCACAGATCGATAGGTTATGAATTTACTTGGCAAGTATGATTTGATTCTACTCTGATGCGTCTCTCAAAAGAGATATGGAAATGCTAAACGAATGTCGCTATGCTACGGCTATGGTCGCCACTATAATTACATCAAATGCAAACAAAGGAAAGGCTTGGTGAGAAGATCCCACTCTGCAAGACTAGGAGTACTCCCAAGCGGCAGGAGCAGAGTCATCGCCGACGAGGAAATCGAAGCCAAGGCAGTCAGTGCTGTCCTCGACAGCAGAAGCTCCGTTGACGTAGACAAGGTAGTTGTTGTCGTCGGTTGGGCAAGCAAGGAAGCCACTGCCATTGTAGGTCAAGTAGTCGAACTTGCCGTTCTTCGAGACAGCAAAGCCAGTCTGGGAAGAACCCTCGCCAATGGCAGCGCTGTGGGGCTGGGTGTATCTCAAAGCACCGACGTCGTTAACGTAGACCTGCTGGCCTCCGGGGACCTCGACCTTGAGGTTGAGGGTGTCCTTGCCACCGGTAAAGATGGTGTCGGTTGTCTTGGAGCACTTGACATTGGAAGGGCAGGATGTTGCGGTCTTGTAGAGGAGCCAGAAGTTGCCGTCGTTGGCGTTGACGGTTGCGAATTGGATGGGGGAGCCAGAGTGGATGGCAAGACCCTGGAAAGAGCTCTGAGGTGCGGGAGCGGCCATGACAGAGCCAGCAAGGGCGAGGGCGAAAGTGGCGGCAGAAGTGGACTTCATCTTGATGGTAGTTGAGTTTGTCGGTAGTGGTTTGAATTTGGTTGATGTGAAAGAGTTGGAAAGAGCTGGAGTTGTGTTTGGAAACTGATTGTGATGTGTTGATGGAGACAAAAGACTGAGAAGGATTGACAACTTATATATCTCGCAGCATCCTCAACTCCAGAGCTTTACACGTCGTCGCCTCTCGTATATCCGTGGTATTCTGTCTTGAGAATACAGAAGCTGCTTCTAAACATAGACCGGGACGACAGGCCGAAGGGTCGAACGGCCGTACAAACGGTATATGACGGAAGTGGAATTGTTCACGAGAATCTAGAACCCCACAATTTCGACGAGCCTCCGCTGGACTCGATGTAAATTGTGAGTTATCTGGAAAGTGTAAGTCCAAGATCAACACGTTCAATGAGTCACAGGACTACGCTCTACAGGTGTTTGTATGTAAGTCCACCACACACAACTACGCAAATAGACCCCCTTCGTATCAAGACTCGAAGAGGGCATATCTGCAGCAGATCCAGCAACGTGTATACGATCAGGCAATAACTCTAGATATATCCGGGAATAAAATTTGATACCAAGCTTCGTGGCCGCGACCAAGCTTTGTCTCAGATGTGAAATATGCAGGGTCGTTCTAAATTTGGGAGGTGATGGTGTTTGTGGAGAAACTCACTGCTTGCTGTAACTTCCCAGTGTATATCTGACATGACGTGTGTGAGCAGATCCGTATCCAAAGGACGTTTGTCATCGTGTGCATTGAGTTGTACCCAGGTGTACGACAATGTTGATGTAATGACAAAGCCGGTATCCGGTGATGCTTGATGCTGAATGAATTTAGAGCATCATTGCACATGCTGAACGATCTCTGCGTTGGAATGGAGAGAGCAGTTGGTAGCAATTTATCAGGCTTGTGAGCTTTCCGGGGCTTTATTACTCCCCGCTAGATAGCTAGCGACAAATGTCCTACCTGAGAAACGCGGGTATCGAAGCTCGGAGATAAATCTATATCTTTCGTGGTTCGAAGACTTGATCTCTCTTCTGTGACGTGCTATACCTTTTGGAGACATCGCTGACCACGACGGACCGAGATGAACAGATTATGGATACGACAAGTTCTGACATGGATACAGAGCTCCTGTGTGCGCCAAACTCAATGACTGCACCGCAAACATGCTCTCCGAGCTCAAAGTTGAGGTGATCGAGCTCAAGGCTGTCAAGAAGGCTGAACCCAAGCCTCCATCAACCGTCAGCAAGCGCAAGCAGTCTTCCACTGGAGAGAGATTCACCTTGAAGTTCCCAACTTCTGCGGAAGCTGCTGCCTCTCACAAGAAGGCCAGAAACATTAGACGACATGGCCGAGAGCAATTCATTAGGGTCTGTGACCATCCAGGGACTTCATCTCTATCCGTCCTTGGCAGGTAGTCATGAACATAAATGTAGATCTTGCGCAGAGTAGAGACCGAGGAATGAGCATTAGTTTACTGATCGCAAGACCTGATTGTCTACCTATGATATACTGCACAGTCGCATGATGTCCTTGTGGGCAGATTGGAAACAGATTTAGAGTAAGATAAGAAGACGAAAATAAAACAGTAGACCATGACCTTCTTGCAGTGAAGCATGGGCGTCGTAGACTTGTCCTCCTGCATGGGATTTGTCCAAGGCGTTGAGGTTCGAGGCTCCGAGGCTTACCTTCTGCAGGACCCGGTGCGATTACTCACCTGCGCTCTGAACTGGAGAGTTTGTGCCGAGCTCAACCTTCCTCGAGATCTTTGTCATCCTGCTCCTGAAGGGAGATCAAGGAGTACATGCTTGAGGCCAGTTGATCCCTCTCCGAGAGGACCTCGACGTTCAGAAGCTGGGGTGGTACGTGGCCCCAGACTTCAGCGTCACCGAAGAACTTCCAGACATTCTGGTTGGCACGCTCAGCGATGCGTCTCAACCAGGGGTTCGAGCTGCTGAGTTGCTCGAGCATCTCGGGAAGATGGTCATCGAAAGCAGCCTCAGTCCTGTGGCATAAATTAGAAAGGTCGAAGCAGAAGCAGCAATATTTGGAGAATACTCACATGCTCTCCCAGTCTGCACCAAGCATGAGAGCGTGCATGCCGGGACCGAACACCTCGCTGAGGTATGATAAGCTCAAGGCGGTGTTCAGATGCTTGCTCATCTCAGCGAAGTGCTGCTTGGAAAGCTGCTTGTCCTCTGGCAGGCCAGCTCTGCCGCCCTCACGGGTTTCCGCAAACATACCACGGACAGCTTGCGTCAGAATGTAGCGGCGTCTTGATGCTCTCATGCCAAGTCGGCCGAATTCCTTCTCGTAGTCGTTGTCAGCGAACACGTGAGCGACGTTGACGTACTGCACGGAGAGGGAGACCTCAGCGAGTACGTTGTTGAACTTCTGCTTGGCGACGTGGGCCAAGGAGTCGGCGAGAGTGGCGTAATGAAAGTGACTACGGGCGTCCTGGGTAGCCACGATGTCCATGTGTAGGGTGAGGGTGCCGGCGGAGGAGCGGGCAAACTGAGCTGAGGTTGCCAGACTTCTGGCGCCCTCAAGTGAGAACACGAAGGCCAACAACTTCTGCAGCGCGACCATCGACTTAGTGCCCAGGTCGGTCTTGATCAGGCGCAGATAACTGACGAATCCTGATGCCCAATCAGAATCGCGGTTGTTTGTTGTCAAAGGAAGCAACTGGACCCTCCCCAGGGCACAGCGCTCAGATCTAGGCTTACGGGCCCGATCGTTGGTCTTGACAACCGTGGTTTCTGCAGGTCCCTCGTCGTCACTGGGGTCTTCGTCCGGGGAGGCAGTCGACTTGCTGCCGGTTGCGCCACGCTTCTTGCGAGGCTTGTTTGTATCGGCGGGGGCATCATGAGCAGCCGAGTTGAGAGAGCACTGGACGCCACGATCCAGGGACTCCTGGAGCTGGTCGACTGGGCGAGCGTCAAGGTGACCGTCACGGGCAAGCTGCTGGCCGATTTGGACTGCGCGATTCAGAAACTGGACGTAACGGCCGGCGATACCGTCGGGTTGTTCATCAGGGGCGGCGGAAATCCACTAGTAGGCGTGAACAAGTTCCTGGCTCGATCGGCGCCCGATACAGATGATATGGGTGAAACGTCTTCCTCCTGGAGCGCATCAGTTGCGTCTCCGCTGTGCAGAAGGTCAGTCGAGTCCAGCGGGGCGGCATGATTACAACCATGAACCTGATCTCTTCCCACTGTCCCTCGTCCTCTTCCGGGTGACCCAGCAAGGAGGAAACGATGTACTTTCCTGGCTCTCAGAGGTCCGTAGTCCTTCTCCTGGGCCTCTGTCTCCAGATGTACAAACAGCGCAGAGTAAACTACACTGACTGCAAGCAATGGATTGAGAGGTCTTTGATTATCCTGGTGATATTGGTGCATTCACGGACCTGACCTCCTGACGTCGCTTGCCCTGCTGATCTGAAAAGCTCGATACAGACGTCCACTGTCTGGCAGACGTACAGACAAGCGTGCTCGTATTTTCCGGCGAAAGAGGTGTACTGCCATAGCGCATTCAAAATAGGTCGAGGTAAGTGAAGATTGATCTACCTAATGATTCTTTACAGTTGTCGACAACTTCTTCTTTAGGGAACGAATGCCTTTCCGTTTTTGACATTCGCGACAAAAATACCGTGACAAAGAAGGCTCTTTGCTCATAGCTGTGCATGTTTTGTCCATGGTTTAGACAAAAGGGTTACAAGCCGTGGAATTTGGGCGCTGATGGGGAGGTCAAAGTATTTGCAAGCCAAAGCACACATCAACGACCTACCGAGTCTCCTACCTTATCTACACCGTCAAACTCTAGTGCTAGATCTTAGCGATTGTAAGCTTCCTTCACGTAGTGTTCCCACTGATCCATCCATTCAGGCCAGTCCATCTGAGTGTCTCTAGCAATATTGCTCGTGCCAAAATCCACATCGATGCCGTCGAACAAGCGATAGAAGGTACCTTTGTCGACGCCGTGGATACCAAATTCCATCACACCCTCACAGCCACGTCCGAAACGCAACTGCCCGCTACCCATATCACGGGCACGCCAGTTGAAGCTGCAGGTGCGAGGGCCGTCGAGACAGAACTCATCAACGCGAATCACACCAGTCTTCGGTCCGATGACGAAATGTCCCCAGAGTTTGTCCGTGTGGATATTGTGATGGATAGAGATACGAGGCGGTCCGTTGAACTCGGGAACATTGGCGGGAGAATGGGATCTCAGATGGAGAAGATAGGTGCCGTTGATAATTTTGTCGGACTGAGACTTGATATGTGGAGGATCATTCCAGTTGCTGGGAGTGTGATCGTGTGCGTACTGAGATGATGACCAGGTGGCCTGTCGCTTGGTAAGGGGTTGAATGGCTTGCTTCTACGAGCTGTCTGCTTTTGGCGAACAGGAGCTTCACTTGTATTTCTCTCAGCTGGCTTCTTGGGTTCGAGCTCTGCTTTTGGTTTGGCCGCTGCTGGAGGGTCCTTGGGCTTAGGGATTGCCTTTGCCTTGGCTGGTGCATCTTTCTTTTGTGGCTTGACCTCTGCAGATTCGGTTTGCAGTTTAGCTGGGGTATTCTCCTTTGCTGGCTTGTTGATAGTCGCCGATGGTTTGAATTTGGTGGACTCGGCGTTCTGAGCAGACTTCTTGGGTTTGACCGTAGGTGCATCATTCTTGTCCAGCTTTGCCTTTGAGATAGCAGCACTATTCTTGACGACTTTAGTCTTCTTTGCGGCCGGAACAGCATCAGCTACAGCGGAGGTGATCGATGCAGCAGTCTGCTGGTCGACAGTGATCGAGACTCCACCAACGGTCAAGGTGATCTTTGTGTTTGTTGTGGCCTCTTCATGTGTTCTCTTCTTGCTCTTGGCTGGAGCAGTGGGAGCCTTCTCGGAAATTTTGGTCTTCTTTACGGCAGCAGTGAACTCCTTCTTCATATCCTTCTCAAGCTTGGTAACGTGGGCGGGTACAGAAAGTGTGTTGGCATTGATGGCTTGGAGAAGGCGGACCTTTGCAGTGTTTTTGTCTTTGCTGGGTTGCAATCCATAGCGTACGAGTTGAGCTTGGTACCAGTGGCCGACTTGATCCTTGGCTGGTGGAGTGGAGCTGGTCTCGGGTCGTAGAAGAAGGGTCAATTCGGCGACCGAGGCACGCGGGTGTCGCTTGTTCTCATCCACCTGGGCAAAGAACGCGTCGTTGTAGACAAAGTTGTCGCGAACTACCGCTGGCGTCGCCATATTGGATTAGTAGTGTGCACAACGATGGCGTCTTGTCGAGGATTGTGATGCAGGATATATCAAGGTGTTTATGGTGGGTACGGAACTTGATCCGCGGTGGTCATAGCTTCTGCTCCATTCGCGATACTTAAGCTCTTTCCTCGGCTCTTCTTCTGCTTCCCGACTTCGTAGCATCTATGGTTAGACATGCCTGAGATGTTGACATTGCAGCAATGTAGTGCTTGGAGCTGACTTCCAGGCACAAGGCCAGAAGTGATCTGAAGATTGTTTAAGGCGCTGTCCGAACAATAGTCAGCATGTGGAGTATGCACTGACTCTCACGATTGATAACTGCCGTGTGTTTAACAGGTACAAATATGGGTGCTGAAACTCGCGATTTTCTTAAGTAGAATTTCTGCACATTAACCAGGTAGGTCTTGAGTTCCGAGTATCGGATTCCAATCAAATGGTTGCATTGGTGAGGCCTCCAGATACTAGGTATGTCGTGGGAGCAGGAGCGGTCGAACGCTCTTTCCCTTGAAAGTCTATGTACAACCCAATTTTCTTTCCAGGACCCTTCTTTGCCCTCTCCCCCCTTCTCACTCTTTGATCTCGGCGGCGAATTTCTCTAGGTTCGAATGTTGCTCAGGATGTCGATACCGCAGCCGCTTCACCTCGCGGCCGCTCTCGCTTTGGTCAGAAGCAAGCCGAAGCATCTGACCATCCAGGGTAAGATACGCCTCTTCCTACGGAACACCCCAGCTAATATTCGTTCAGCACATGTGCAAAATCTTCGTGATTCAATTGGAACCATTCATCACGACGATCGGACACTTCGACAGTTCAATCTCTCTATATTCTGGCAAAAACAGCACGACAACCTGTATGACATGTTTGAGAAGGAACAAGCTGCAACTTTCGTCCTCCAACAGGAAAATGAGGCGTTGCAAGCCCAGATCACTCAACTTTCGACTCGTTCAAAACCTGGTCGAAAACGCAAGTCAGCCGAGCAAGAGGAGCCCGGAACGGTCAAAAGGATGAAAGCAGGCACTATCGCCATATCTGAATTTGGCTCTGCTGCCGATATCGATCCAGGTGTGTCTTGCTTACACGACGGTTTGATCAGCACTGATCCATTGCAGTTGTGAAAGCCATGCGACATATTCATCGTGTGCAATCTTTGTGCAAAGGTCGCATGTGGAACACTGACTCGAATGCGCTGGCTTATAACCTGATCCAGGCCATGCAAGCGCTGGGCCTAATCGTCGAGTCCCTTCCACGCAAAGTGCATGTTGCAGACTCTGCGAGCAAGTCTGTTGTTGCCGTGGCCAGGAGTTGTATCTGTGTTTTCAACGGGCTCAAACGTATGGAATCTGTCGATATCGCGGATAACTTTGCCAGCCAGGTCGTACATGCTTGTGTGTGCTTCTTCGATGTACTATTCACCAGTCTCGAAGAAGGTGCGGCGATACAAGTCAAGTCCAAGCGACCCGACCAAGAGACACCAGGCTTACAAGCCCTGTCACAGCTTGGAAAGGGCCTATTCGAGAATCTGCGAGGATCAGCCACCACATGCCAGTCCCACGCGAATATTCTCGAAGGTGCGGTTTACCATTTGCTTCACAGGCTAGGAGAAGCAGCACATGAGCTTTTACTGGACGGACCTCGCGACGACAATATCGAAAAGGAGATGCAAAATCTGCCACTCCCGGATAACAGGCTGCTCGACCCTGTCAGGCAAACGGAAATGAGAGGAGTCCTCACATCGGCGCCTCTGCTGCTTGGCTGCTTAAGGAAGGCTGTGACTGATCTTGATGGGATGCCGTCTGCTGGCACAGCACGGCTGAGACTCCAACGCACACTGGTCGACCGAATATTTGGTTCAGAACCCAGGGGTGCAGAAGCAAAGCAGGATGTGCTTAGGCTGCCAGAAGCATTTGGAGAACCACCAAAAGCTGTAGAAGCTGTTTGTACAGAAGACATGGAGGATAAAACTGACAATTTCGAATCTGAGCTCTGGACCTTAGTCGGATGGGATATCTTGGGGAACGAAGAAATGCGGTGACTGATGTGGCGCAAACTGTACTGACGATGGGCTTGCTTGATTCAAAACAAGATCATGTTTGCAGAGAGCAAATGGCTTGTGGGACCTACATTTGCTTCCCGAGGTAACGCATCATAAGTTTCATAGCAAACAGACTTTCTTTCTTCGATCTAATAGTGACCAGATGCCGCACTGTCAACAATAACTGATCAAAAACTGCATGTTCGAGGGCAACCCTGGCAAGCGGTAGATCGCCGGGATAGGTGGAGCGGAACGGCAACGAGAGATGCGGAGCTTGGGGGCGCGTCATGGAAGCTTATCGCCGGGCGGAGTAGTCTAAACAGTCTAGTTCGCTGGCCCATCTCACAACGACGACATCTTCCATTCTTGTTCCGATGCGACCATCGTCTTCATCAAGGCCGGCCGGAGACCGTTCACCCGATTCATCTCCTCCCCATCTGCCAGCCAAAAAGCGCAAGAGACCTTCAGCATCAGCAGCAAAAGGAAGTCCACCCGCCTCTGAGCCCCCACCCTCACTCGCCAAAGAGCCATCCATCCAGAACCTCTTCTCCGCTCAAGCCTCGGCTGGGGCATCACAATCCACCAAGAACGATTGGTCACCCAACCGGAAGAAGCCCAAGACACAGCCGTCCATCATGCAATCCGAAATGTACTCCTTCTCCACCAAGCTTGCCAGTGGCAATCCGCAGCCTACCAACACTGGACGCCGCCTCTCTGGCAAGCTTAACAGGGGCTTCCAACCGAAACCTGCTTCTACGAAGCTCGTAGTCAAGACGCTGAAGCCACAACCCGCTTGGGATGCAAACAAATACTTTGAGGAAACATGGGCACAGCTGGACCAGGCTCTAAACGTCATCTTTACACAAGCCCCGGTCAACTTCTCCATGGAGGAGCTATACCGTGGTGTTGAAAATTTGTGCCGTCAGAAAAGAGCAGAAGATATCTATGCCAGATTGAGCGCCAGATGCAAGCAACATGTGAGGGGTCCCATGAAGACGTCACTACTGGCTAAGCAGAAGCAATCCAACGTCCAAGTCCTGGATGATGTTCTGGATGCTTGGACTACCTGGAACCAGCAGATGCATACCATTCGCCATATCTTCTACTACATGGACCGTTCATACCTGCTCCAGACATCTAGGGGTTCTCTGCAAGATGTTACCATCAAGATCTTCCGCGACAACATCTTCGATGATCCTGCACTAAAGCCTGGCATAATCGATGGCGCTTGTGACTTGATCTCCATTGACCGGTCTGGGAAAGAGCTTGACAGAAGCCGCCTCAAACAGGCCATCTCCATGTTCCACGATCTCGCCACCTACTCCACAACTTTCGAACCTCGCATGCTCGCCTTTGCACAACAATACGTAGTCCAGTGGGCTGACGAGAAGAGCACTGAGCAGTCTCTTCCCGAATATGTCACTAATGCTGTCAATTTCATGACCAAGGAGATCGAACGTTGCGAAGACTTTGGCCTGGATCAAAGTACTCGACGGGATCTCTTAGCTCTGCTTGAGGAACACATCATCGAGAACAAGGCCGATTATCTAACTAATCAGGACAATGTTGCGGACCTGTTGGACGATTATGCTACTGAAGACTTGGAACAATTGCATGCACTGTTGCAGAGACGACGACTTGGCTCGAAGATTCGTCCGGCGTTTGAGAAGTGGGTAGACGATACTGGAACACAGATTGTCTTTGATGACAAGAATGACACACAGATGGTTGAGCGTTTACTGTCACTCAAGACTCGTCTGGACAATATCTGGCGCACTTCCTTCCACCGTAGCGAGGAGCTTGGACATGCTTTGCGCGAATCCTTCGAGACGTTTATCAACAAGACACGAAAGTCTGCTGCGACGCATGGTACGGACAACTCAAAGACTGGAGAGATGATTGCCAAATATGTGGACCAGATCCTTCGCGGAGGTGCCAAAGCCATTCCAACAGAATTGACTTTACATGCTCGTGACAATGCTGGAAAGGAAGATCACGACGAGAATGAGGCTATTGATGAAGACAGCGAAGTCAGTGCACAACTCGATCAGGTCTTGGACCTGTTCAGATTCGTCCATGGCAAGGCAGTCTTTGAAGCATTCTACAAGAAAGATCTTGCTCGTCGTCTACTCATGAGTCGTTCAGCCAGTGCGGATGCCGAGCGGAGTATGCTTGCGCGTCTGAAGACTGAGTGCGGTGCAGAGTTCACCCACAACCTGGAACAGATGTTCAAAGATGTCGAACTTGCTCGTGAAGAGATGTCGTCCTACAAGTCACGGATGGAAGAAAGAGAAGAGAGACCGAAGATCGATCTGAACGTCAACGTACTTTCGGCAGCGGCATGGCCGACCTACCCTGTCGTCCCCGTCATGATCCCCGCAGACATTCAGCAAGCGATCGATGAGTATGAGCGCCACTACAAGTCCAAGCACAGCGGAAGGAAACTCGACTGGAAGCACTCACTGGCTCACTGTCAAATGAAGGCCAAGTTTGCCAAGGGCACGAAGGAGTTGGTAGTATCGTCCTTCCAAGCCATCATCCTGTTGCTCTTCAACAATGTCGAAGCTTCTGAACACCTAACCTACGACTTTATTAAGACAGAATCAGGACTTCCAGAAGCAGAAGTAAACCGAACTCTCCAATCTCTGGCTTGTGCAAAACTGCGACCACTGCAAAAGCACCCCAAAGGAAGAGAGATTTCCCCCACGGACACGTTCACCGTTGACCCGAGCTTCTGGCACGACAAGTACAGAGTCAAGATCAACCAGGTCCAACTCAAAGAAACCAAGGAAGAGAACAAGGAGACGCACGAACGTGTGGCCGAGGACAGGAACTTTGAGTGTCAGGCTGCGGTGGTCAGAGTGATGAAGGCGAGAAAGACGATTGGACATTCAGAGTTGATCGCAGAAGTCATCAAGGCAACGAGGAGTAGAGGCGTGTTGGACGTCAAGGACATCAAGAAGAACATCGATAGGTAAGTGACTCTTTGCGACTGACTCTTGGAAGGATGTTTTACTGACATTCTATTCCAACAGACTTATCGAGAAGGATTACATGGAGCGCGAAGAGGGCAACATGTATAGCTACATCGCGTAGTCGTCTGTTCCGACGTCATTCAACACAGCGCCCGCCCGTATTACTGCCAGATAGAAGGCGTTGGCAAGGAAGCGCTCATGACCATGAAACCACGAGCCCATTCTTTCATATCCTTTTTCTGTACAATCTTTGCCGAAGTAGCTTTTGCTCCGGAGTAAGGGGGTATCATGAAGCTTTTTATTTTTCGTGCTCCTCGCTTCTTCGTAACCATATGTTTCCGTAAGACAGGCTGTTTGGCATCTCGACTTCCACGCACTTCTCGGTGATTGCGCCTCTCACTTCTTGCCCTTCTTCTTCTTCTTTGGCGCGGTATTCTGCTGTTGCGGTTGCGCCTGCACTGGCGCCTCTGCATTCGCTTCAACGTCTTGTGTCGCATCCTCCATGATTACATCTCCCTTGACCTCTGGCAAGGCAGCCATTTCCCTGCCCAAACTTCCCATTGCAGCGATCAATCTTCCGACCTCTGCAGCCTTGTCGGTGCGGTATTTCAGCGTTGTTCCCGAGACTGGATCGAAGGTTTTGAGCTCAAGTTGAGCAATGGGCTGTGCGGGTTTTGAATCTGCGGAGGCGTCTGTGGTTGCTGCAGGTGCGGGTTTTGAGGACAGAGATGAGGCGGAGGGGATGTGGTATTTTGTTGTTATGCGCGTCTGTCGAAGTGCGTCAGTTGGATGGTGGAGATTGAGGAGGGGTGAGAGGCAGGGGGAGACGTACGGTGTTTGGTCGTGCTTGCAGCAGCAGAGCCGATTGGCGCTGCCACTCTTCGCTGGATGTAAAGTATGGCATTGTGGGATGTGTGTGATGTGTGGTGTAACGGACAGCGGGTGTACTGATGCTCCTGCTGTCGCAAGTCGGTCGCCGTGTCTCCATCGCCGCGGGGGTGCCAAGAGTTTGGATGATTCTCTGGACGTCATGCTTTTGGTGCTGCGTAAGGCCTCCCGTTGCTGCGATTTTCTGTTTGCAGCACGCGACTTGCTGCTTCCGATCTCACGAGATCACCGGTTGTGTCTCTACGCCAATTATGGCCCAGACTCACTCCAATGGCCATTCAAATGCTCCACCAACGGCAGCCGATCTCCTACAACGATGCCAGACTCTGCTCTCCGAACTCGAGTCCTTCAAGGAATACCTCAAATCCCGCAAGCAAGACCACCAAGTCGAAATCGCCCACTTCCGTAACACTGTCAAATCTGAATTGCGAACGCTACAACGACTTACCTCTGCCCAAGAAGCTTCAGCAGCCCAACCCTCCACCACCTCCAAACCCGCTGGCTCGGATCCCGAAGACGAAGATGGACATGGACAAGATGCAGAGGAAAAGCAACAAACGACTCAACACACTGTCAATTCCTCCAATCTCCCCTTTCTGGAAAACGTCTGGGGAGTGGTGAAAAACAACACTGGACTCCAAGCCATGCAAAAGAGATTCTACTGGCAAGAAAAAGGCATGAAAAGAGGACAGAAGAAGCAAAACTCAGCGCTTGTAGATGTAGTAGCTGGAGATGGATTGCAGTGGTTCAAGGTCAGTTTGTTGACAAACAACCGCTTGTTATTCGACAAGGCAAAACTGGGCTGGGAGGATGCGAGTAGTAGTGAAGACGAAGAGTCAGACGACCAAGCAGAGCCAAAGCAAGAGTTTGGAAGCAAGAAAGATGAGGCGGACGATAATGATGTGCCCTTGGTCAAAATGACCAAAGATCTAGTCAGAGCGGCAAGAGAAGTCAAGATCAGAACCCGCAGCCCCAAAATCACCTTGGTGCTCCCGAAACTCAGAGAGGGCGAAGTGGTCGAGATCGACAGGATACTAGATCAACTGCGATCTCTGGGAGTGCGTCTTCTGTAAGTCCTCTTCGCTCTTCCTCAGCAACACCACGCTAACATCCATAGCACCTCATCCTCAGCCTACCCGCCCGCTTCTTTCAGCACCGTCATGCCTCACCTCCTCACCGACCCCTTCGCATCCTTCACCCCCACCCTAAACATCGACTGCACAATCCTTCTCGCCCTAGTCTCCGATTTCAGCCACTGCAGCGTCACCACAGAACCCTGGTTCCACCGCGCCCTAAAACGCCAAGTCGAAATCGAAGACGAGGAAAATCTACTTCCCAGCCTGTTGTTTCCTGCCTTGGCAGATAGAGAGTTGGTGTGTACGGATGAGGCCGCGAGACGAATGAGGGAGATTGTGGATACCATTGGCACTGCTGGGGAAAAAGAACGCACCAAGCTCTTCATGGGCGACACGGGCTTTTCTGCTGAAGCTTTACGTGGAGAGTTGGAGAAGCAAAGTCGCTTTTCCATTCCCTCGTCTTTGCGCCTTCCCATCCTCACACAGGTGCCAGAGGAGCAACCAACTACACTGCCACCATCGGCGGAAGCGGTAAAGGCACAGTTGACCTCAATCAACCAGAGTGTGTTCTTGCATGGATGGGCAAAGGGAGTCACGACTGTTACTAGCAATCGAACGGTGGTGAAGCAGATCGAGAATATTTTGGCCAAAGAGGCTAGTGATGAGAAGGAGTGGCCGTTGATCTGGCTGTGTCCCACCGCTAGGAGTTTAGTGGGTAAGGAGAAGGGAAGGAGGGAGTGATGATGAGAGGGATTGTGCTTGTGCATAGCATTGCATGGATGGAGTGATGTTGCCAAAAGGTAGGATGATATCTGTAGCCATTAGAATGTATCTGTATACCTTCTACATATGCTTTTTCTTTTTAAAGGATAGTGTCGTCACCTCGACTCGCACATGACTGTAGGGATATAAGCATATATCTGCACTTGCTCTTGTTTCTCGCTCACGGTTCATTAACACTGCTGCATCAATGATCTTGATTTCTACGACGGCTACATCACATGCTCATATACTGCTATCGTACCCTCGTCATGCTGATTCTTCCACCTCGGCATATAAGTCCATAACGATGCCCGTCTACCGCTCCACCAAAGACAAGCGTCCACACATGTGACTTGGAGGACAGAGTTGCGGTACGAGACCAGAAGTTCTGGCCTAGAGGGCAGACAAGAGGATCCAGGAAAAGAAGGGGGTCTGTGATACTGAGCTATCGGTGCTGCATCTCCTACGAGAAGTGACAGACATTGCAGTCTACTTACCCAACACACCTCGAGGGAGCATGGGGAGAATTTCAATTAATCACGGACATGATTCCCTAGTCCCGGTACTCTAGTGCTAGAGACAAACAGTCTTTGAGGAAACCTTTTGTATACAAAAAAACGAAAGAGGAACCTGAGCAGCCATACCATGCAGCCCGTGGCATTCTTGAAAAGAAACCAGACTAGACATCTAGTGGCCTGGAAGGACAGTGACTCTGGGTCGTCTTTGTACTTGTACACGGCCGACCTTGTCACATTGTCCACACGCACGAAGAAGCAGGTCCATGATACCCACCTCTCATACGCACATCTCTCGGAAGGAAGAATAGACCTGATGATTGAGCCTGCGTGCCCCGGAGTTCGTATATGCCTGAGATTGGGGCTGGAGCGACCGCCACAGAGCAGAGCTTACTTGCGATTTTCACTTCGTCACTGGCTGTGAGTGTCCGATATAAAAGGCAATTTGGCCGGTGTTCATAACTGATTATTTGACAGTGTTGTAACGAATGTTATAATCTCTGTTACAGCAGCAAAGATGAAGGGAAGCAGATCTACCTCTCAAAGCATCATATAGAGATTTCAGAATCAGATCAGATCAAACGTATGACAAACATGTACACGGCACCTCAACATTCATATAACTATCTCTTCTCAAGACATCAGAAAACCACCACAACCTCGCTCAGTCGCCAATTAACATTGGGTGCTGGCACACCTATTGATCGGGACCTCAGGAACCCGCAAAGGTTGAAGGCGAAGTCTGGCGTATCTCGAACCCAGCAACAAACAGTCGAGAACGAAATGAACCGGGTCGATGACGACGTATGATCATTTTACTCTCCGTGGAAAAACGAGATGTATAGCTTAAGGTACTGATGTTCGGACACATAGAAGATCTTGTGATTCGTCGACCGGCTGCGTTTCATTGGTATTTCGGACCCGAGCACCCCTGCTAGAGCTAGCATAGGAATGCACAGTAAGCTCCAGAAAAGGAGTTACTCCGCTGAAAGCCTGGTCTCGACAACGGAGCGACAAGGGCTGACGGTATCTCAAAACTGATCTCTCCTTGTAGAGGGAGCTGTAGAAATGCACAAAGATTTACAGAATAGGGGTCACTCCGTTGAAACCCGGGTTCGGAAAAAAAGACGAAACCGGTCAATGTATCTGTAAAGGGTTTGTCTCCTATAGCAACACGTCCTCAGGAGAGTGTATAGAAATGCACAGTACTCTACAAGATGGTGATTACTCCGTTGAAAGCCGGGTTTGGAGAACGAGGTAACAGGGATTGACACGATCCCACGCTGGAGTCACTCTCAATAGAGCTAGCTATTGATTTGCACAGTGATATATAGAATAGGAGTTACTTCGCTGAAAGCTGAGTGCTTGGAACGAAACGCAACCGGTCGATGAATATTTTCAGGGATATTTGCATCTCCTAGAGTAAGCTCGGATGCAGAAAGTATATCTACCGAATGAAGAACATGAGAGACATCCACGGTTTATCGACCCGAGGCGTTTCGTTTGCGGGACTTGTCTTGAATTTACAAAGGCAAGCACACGTCCCCAGGTCGGGGGGGTCTATGGGCTCGTCGATTAGTCTTGCTCTGACGAACCGAGGAACACGTAGAATCTGGGATGCTATACAGAGGAAGAGAAATGAGAGGATCTAACTCTCTGTTTTGTCTTCCTCTTTATCTTTCTTGGGCATTGAGACTTTTGTCGTTGTTTGCTACTTGATCAAGCAAACGACCCTGTATTCCAGGACCTCACAACCACAACAATATCTCTAACAACAAAGACCGCTCCGAGTCTTGTCCAATCCCACAAATCTTTTCTTTCAGAACTCCTCACTGCCCTCATCAATCGTCCAACTCCTCATAATAACTGTACGGCTGATTCAACTTGTAAAACGGCGCAGGCTCCGGCTGTCCACCGCCACCAACCCACACCGGCGTCGGCAACTTCTCCAACACATCAGTACGCAGAGTATCCTGGAACACGTGCTCGAACGTCTTTGCCCACTGCACGCGATTGTTCAGACCTTCGAGTTGCCAGAGTTCCTGCAGGAAGTGCAGGAAGGAGGTATGTGTGTAGGCAGAATCGGGCGCGTACGAAGTGCCTTGGTCGTGGATTAGAGTGTTGGGGGCGATCCAGGGGGAGATGGCCAAAGCGGGGACGCTGTGGGAGATTGGTGTCAGTGGTTGGAGACATGGGTAGGGTGAGGACCGAGATGCTTACCGCACTCCGAGGCGAGTGAAGTCGTAGGTTACGTTGTGAGCGTCGCTTAGGCCGCTGAAGGTTATGCCGTCCTCGGGAGCGGGAATGTTGTAGGGAGGAGGAACGTGGTCGGCGAATCCGCCATGTTCGTCAAAGTTGATGATAATCAGGCTATATGTACGGTATGAGTATCCTTCGGGTTTTCTGGGGTCAGGGGACCGATTGCTTACGTTTCATTCCAGTACTTTGACCTTCTTACAGCATCGTACAGATGCTTGATGAGCTGTTCACCTGCTGCCATGTTGCTGGTGGGGTGCATCGAGTCGATAGTGCAGCACTCAGGGTTGATGTAGCTGAATGTAGGCAGAGTGCCATTCTCAAGATCGGCGTAGAATTCATCTGCGTGGACAAGCTTGTCCATGGCATTCTCCTGGACCCACTTGTACATGAAACCATCGAGGATATCAGACTCGTAGTAGTTTTTCCAGCTGATGTTCTTGTTGGACAAGGACTCGAAGATGGAAGTGGCACAATCAGTTCCGGTGACGTTGTTGAACCAACCACCAGCTTGGTCACCGTTGTCCACCATACCGCAAGTCGAGCCTGATGTCGCGAACTGACGGTTGGGGTTGGTGGGTCCGGGATGCTCGGCATGGTATGAATCCCAGAAAGCAAAGTTCTGGCCAAGCGTGGCAAGGACTTGGGACTTTTCTTGAGTGTAGGCCTTGATGACAAACGAAGCGTCGCCAGGAGTCTCGCTGTACTTCTCAGATTGACGCTCGATGAAACCTCCCATGTTGGGTTGATCGTCCTTGGAAGGAAACCAGTTTCTGTAGATCTCGTACGAAGTACCGGCGAAGTTGTGGTCGGGATCCTTAAGAGGAACTTCATCTTCGTAAGGGCCAGCGCAGATATCGATAGCTTCGTTCCAGACAGTCCCTGACACATTGATCAACTTGAAGTTCCCGGACTCTACAATGGCTTCATACAATTAGGATTTGTGTACTCATTGCAGTATTTAGTTTTTAGATTGAGGATATTATCGATGTCAGGATGGAAATCCCAGTATCCAGCGATGTTGTCAAAGCTGTGGTTCTCCATCATGAGATAAACCACGTATTTGATCTATAGACTGTGTCAGCTGCCATCGAATTGATCCATCTCCGTTGCAGAGATTGACCTTTCCTCTTAAGTCAGTCCACTTGGTATCGTTATGGGTGGAGCCCTGCTCTCTCATCTCCACCAAAGGTCCAGGACCCATGTAAGGTAATGCAGAAGCAAAGCCTGAAAGGGATGAGGCAGCGGCCAAAACTGTGATTGCCTTCATGACTGTATGTTCACAAGATTGGGTTACTTAACTGTCGAGAATATTTCCAAAGCATGTTTGACGTCCATCTTATACTTCTTGACTGGAGATTGATGCGAAGCTCTGAACACCAACGGTGATGAAAACCCTCACCACGTGTATTACCCTTATCACCGTGTGAGGCCATGATGGTCACGGAGATAGTTCTTGCCTGCCGTCTAGCGTCAAGCCGCATATCGTTGGGCATGCTGGCCCACATGCGCAGATATCTACAGGCAGCGGTGAACACGAGAGAATTGGAGACTTGGACCATTGAAGAAGCGTAACTGTAGCACGTCGTGTCGACAAAGTTGCTGTATAGCAGAGCCCCGCGCGGCTGCTTAGGATAGGTGGGGCAAGTCAGTTAAGGACGGCAAGACAGGTCGCAGGAGGCGACGAATACAGGTGGCACACGATAGGTCAGTTGCCCAAACACCTCAGTGCCGAGACCCGTGCCTGAACGGTAATCCCGGCAAGTATTTAGACAAGCTTCAGTCCCTGCATCTGATACGTGGATGATCTTCGAAAAATCTTTGTACATACCGCATGCTTGTCGAGACATCCTTACAATTGATAGCACGTTGTTTGTACGATAGGCCAATATTGATTTTCTGGAAAGCTGCGCCAGCTTCAACACACGGCATGTCCTCGACAACGAAGTTGCCGTGATTTATGTAGATGAACCAAGATTGAGTTCCACGACCAATTCAAGATGCACCCAGTTCCTGAGAGTAATATATGACACTTCGCCAGAGTAACCAAAGTCAAGCAAAGAACCTACAAGCTTTTATCCACACAATCTTCCCAGAAATCATCATTTCCTTTTCTCCTGCAGACATGTCTTTCACATGGGCGAAACCCCTCTGGACATCTTCACAAGACCTTTCGGAAAAGCCATATTCTCAGCTCAGGACATCGACTGATGTCGAGTCGCTCGCATCGGCTCAGGTTGATGCCTCTCTTGAGCCTGAGGCACACAGAAAAAAGACGGTGATTGATGCTCGAGTCATATCAGATGCCATCATCGGACTTTCCGACGGCTTAACCGTCCCATTCGCTTTGACAGCAGGCTTGTCAGCTTTGGGGGACTCAAGAGTAGTGATTCTCGGTGGCGTCGCAGAACTGATCGCCGGTGCCATCTCCATGGGCCTTGGAGGATACCTAGGTGCCAAAAGCGAAGAGTGAGTCCTTCCTGTTATAGCACCTCTGCCAATTTCTTGCTAAGGATCGCAATGCAGGGAATCATATCGAGCCACTTACTCTTCCACCCGCGAGCAGATCGCAGAAACCCCTTGCACAGCAGCATCCTCTATCTCAAGTGTCCTCAATCCCTTCGAACTACCAGACACACTCGTCAACGAACTAAGTCTCCACCTCTCCAAATCACCACACCTGCTTGACTTCCTAATGCGCTTCGAGCACATGCAACCCGAGCCCGCCAGCTCGCGAGCAATCACCTGTGCCATCACCATCGGCCTCAGCTATCTGATAGGAGGTCTGGTGCCTCTGATCCCATACTTTTTTGTGCCCAGAGAAGATGTGTTGGTGGCATTGTGTTGGTCCTTTGGCGTCATGTTAAGTTGTTTGTTTCTGTTTGGGTATTGCAAGACCTGCTTTGTTGCGGGGTGGAAGGGTGATGGGAGGGTGTGGCAGGGTGTGGTGGGTGGAGTGCAGATGATGTTTGTGGGCGGTGTGGCTGCGGGATGTGCGATGGGGATTATCAGATTGTTCCATAATCTTGCGTCGGACTGAACAAGGCCAAGGGAGAACTAGAGAGACCATTCGAAAACGTCAATATTCATGTCCATGCTTTTGACCACTTTCCTGAGTTATTCTCAGCCTACTAGGACACCCATTCACACCTAATAAACCCCTTCTCTACCTGTCCAACCCATCCAACTCAACCAACCTAGCAACCAAATCCACCAACCCCTTCTCCCTACCCTTGAGCTGTTCCCCAGGCCTCTCCACAAGTCCCTCCAAAACCTGATCAAGCATTCCCCTCAACCTTCCCACCAGCACTCCAATTCTCGCCCATCCTTTGAGTCTGATCCACCCATCGACCACCAACCCTCTATTCTGCGTATCCAGTGCGATATCCCCTGAAAACAAAAGCAAAGTGTATGCATTAAAGGGAGTCAAGTCGCGAATAAACGTCTTGGAAGTGCTGAGGAGGGAAAAGTAGGAGATGAAAGCGGTGGTGGGAGGGAAGTTTTGGCCTGGGGCTGAGGAGAAGAGGACGCTGCTTGGATGGATGAATAGCCTTGAACTGCCCTGTTCTGGTTGTTGTTGCGGTGCTGCTGTCTTTCCGTTTTGTGATGGCAGAGTAGGTGCGGCAGCAGCATTGGGTTCGCGGAAGTACTTTATCGTTCTTGCTTCTGGGTCGAGCGCTACTGCACCAGAGACTGAGGCTGCGTACTTGGTATCCGGGAACTCTATACGCGCGACTTGAGGAGAGAAAGCTGCAGCCACCAATGCGCGAACGAGAGCAGTATTGCTGTTCCTAGCATTGTAGTCTGCAGTAGCTGAGGATGCAGAAGTATAGTTCAAGAACCCGATCTCTTGGAGAGAAGACATGTACTGTCTGCGGTTGGTATTTATATCGAATAGTGTCTGCGTAGACAAAAAGTTCGTGTCGCACCATTGGCGCAGGGAGGAGGATGGCATGCCTTCAGTGCGTTTCTGCGTCCATAATTCAAACGCGCGAAGATCGCAGAGGAGATCACCCTGCCCGCCTGGTGCAAATGCCAATCGAGCAGTCTTAGCCTCATCGCGGCGGGCAGGAGGAGATACGAAAGGTGAGCGTGCGGTAAGGATCGATGCAATGGTGAGACAAGCATCCAAGCAGCCAAACACCGCGCCATAAACAAGCAACTTGCCGCATCGAAGATCAGCGGGAATGGAGCTGAGATGGCGTCCCAGAGCTGTAAGTTCTGCACCATCAAGGGCACCCATACGATGTAATGTCGTCAGAGCACCGCTGACAGCAAGCGTAGAGGGAGGCGTGATGGCCCTGGACAGGAAGGAAGGAACATCCAGAACACCCATCGCCTTGACGCTCAAGCACAACTGCTCTAATGGTACACGCAAGATCTCAGGATCGGGGCGCTCGGCCATCTTCGTGGTTTCGGCTTGCTTGGTGTACAGCTTGTAGCAAGTACCTGCTCGTACACGACCGGCACGACCACGACGTTGTTTGCAAGCCGCTCTAGACGCCCATACTTCCTCGAGTTTAGTCATGCCGTTTGCAGCGTCGAAGCTGGTTTCTTTGACGCGACCAGAATCGATGACGGCAACGATATCTTCGATTGTGATTGAAGTCTCCGCGACGTTGGTCGCACAGATGACTTTGCGTTTGCCGGCGGGTGCGGGAGGGAAGACTCGCTTTTGCTCCGCTGGCTGCAAAGAAGCGTGTAGAGGCAAGGCGTGAATATGGTGGAGATGCTGTAATGACTTGAGTGTGCGGTCGATCTCGGCAAGACCAGGAAGGAAGATAAGAATACCGCCTTCTTGAGAGCCTAGTTGTTCGTCGATGGTCTGTACAGTGTCTGAGATGAGGTCATAGTTGATCTTCATGCCAACACTTCGCAGAGCTGCACCCATACTAGGCTCCTTGCTACTCTCTTCGTCACCATCCTCGGTGATACCGCCAGCGAAACCAGTCATGCGAAGGATATCGTCGAGGTAGACATCCTGGACAGGATGAGTTCGGCCTTCAATCTCAACTGTGCTCACGCTCATCTTGCCAGCAAAGTAGCTCTTGAAGATCTGTGCGTCCAGAGTAGCAGACATGAGGATCAACTTGAGATCTTTGCGAACCTGCAGCACGTCTCTCAGGAGCACCATGAGGAAATCAGTGTCCAGACTGCGTTCGTGAACTTCATCAATGACCACATGACTGACATCAGCCAGGGCATCGACAACATCTTGTGGCTTTCCACCTGATGTCTGTAGTCGTCTCAACAGCACACCGGTAGTGACGAACGTGATCTTAGTGGTGCCAGCTTTCTGTTTCGACTCACCCCTGATCGAGAAACCGACCTCTTCACCAACCTTAACACAACGCTCATCAGCGACACGATCTGCCAGACCTAGAGCCGAGATTCTGCGAGGCTGGGTACAGATGATGTTCGCCGCTTCTCCAAGTCCTTGCCTGATCATGTCATCAAGAACAAACTGTACAGACTGAGTAGACTTTCCGGAACCAGTTTCACCAGAGATAATGGTGACTTGAGAAGATGTGACGGCTTCGACAATAGCATTTCGCAACTTCCACGCAGGTAGTGATTGTCGTGCTGCCATCATCCGTTGTTGTGCAGGGGTGTCTTGTCTCGCTTGCCAGTCGGCGAGAATCTTCTGACTTGCTGGCGTTGAAGGCTGCCAGTTGATGGGTCTGGGCATACGTCTGGGCCGTTGGCGTCTGCGACTAGCGACCTCTACATCAGGCTCGGCTGAAGTAGACGAAACCGAAGCAATACTGCTCAACCTGCCAGGATTGGCAATTATGTTAGGGATCTCATGCTCAAGCCAGTCGATGATGTTGAACAACATCTGCTCGCCCAAAAAATCAGATTGAGCCTGTAGCAGAGCATGCTTGAGGATGCTCAGGCGGATGTATGCGGGTAGTGGGGCCTCGATAGACAAGACTGGGACGACGTTCGGGTACCTAGCAGTCGGTTTTTGAGCATGAAGTATGACGCGTTCCTTCGGCTTTTCAGTGACCTCCAAGACAATTTGGCAAGAAGTCTTGGTCGACTTGTATCTGTCGCTGTAGATTGAAGCCAATATGACTTGCTCTTCCTCCCACACATCAGTGTCGTCAGAGATGTTCAACGCCTCAGTCGTAGACTCCAGAGACGACGAGTCCAGGCTTCCCAGAAGTCTATGCTGTAGCCTCTCCGCTGCTCCTGCCTCGTCGCCAGAAGATGCGTCTAGCGCCTCTTCGCAGAGCTCCAAAGCGTATCCAGTGATGGCGAGACGTTTCAGTTTGCCTTCGCGAGCAAGATCGCTACTAGCCATCGATACTCCAGCAGAGTAGTTCTCGGGCAAACTCCACTTAGGCAGGTCATCTTCCGGAACGTGGATCAGCAGCCACTCGATGGTCTCTTCTCGATCTTTACAAATTTCCACTGCTTCCTCAACGTGAGAAGGACGGAATCCCAGTTTAGTTAGATCCTGAACGATATGTTTTTTTTCTGCATTCGAGAGAGTGACGCCATGCGGGTTCCAAAGAGCAGCCTGTCTGACCAAAGCCTCGACATCCCTACGCATCTTCTTGCCCATCTCGACTTTGGGAGCTCTAGTCCAGCCTCTTCCAGGGTTCTTGTTGACACCCGGGGTATTGTTGTCCTTCTTCTCTGCTTCCATCTGCTTTTCTCTTTCTTGTCTCTTCTTGTCTTTGGCAGCTCTTTCGTCATCCCATTCTTTTCGCGCTTGGAAGGGATCGGCTGCGTATAGCCAACCCATACCCTCCTTTGTCGCTTCCCTCCTCATATCCGCAAACTCCCCTTTCCATAGATCGCGATAGTTGGGCGGCATCATCATATGGAGGTTTTTGGCGTTGGCGACTCGGTAAAGCGCATAGGTAGCGGCGAAATGTCTAGCTTCTACAGCGGTTTCCTGTACACCCAGCGATCGCTTCGCTGGTGGAAGTGACATGGGTGGTAATGAGACCATCTCCTGAGTCTTTGGGTTCTTCCACTTGAGAATGACAGCAGAGATTTGACCTGGCGGATCAGAAGAGCGGTGCATTGTGTATTCAGGCTTCTCCCATTTCTGCTTTTGACAGTGCTCGGAGAGCATGTTGACGGGGAGTTTTCCAGTCCAGGATTGCCCGCCGATCAAGGTTCGTGTGTCGGGTTTCTTGACCGGATCACCAGCGACATCGAGTTCGGGGCCAGCATTCTTTCCCTTGGTCTTAGCAGTGCTGGTCGCGGCGGGAGGTGGTGGCTCGGTCTTCTTTGTCTTTTTCGAGTCCTTGCCGTTGGAGAAGACTATGTAACTCGTGTCTTCGCCGTTTGCTGTCGCGGCCGTCGACGTCGTCTTCTTGCCAGACTTATTGCTGCTTCTGGGAGCGTGAGGTTTGTTGACCATTTTCTGGGTTCGTCGCAGGCTCGTTGCCGCTCCTTCGATAAATAATTCACTGGTATGACGGCGAAAAGCGGAGATAATGAATCTGGGGTCCACAATGATCAATCACTTGGCAACTTTTACAAAGCGATATGTCAAACATCGGACGTGAACATAGAGCCGCTTAGCGGTCTTGTGTGTGAGCGAGGCTTCTGGAACGAATAGTGGTTCTCGTCATCCATCTACTCCTAAATGCAAATCCTACTACCCAAAAAAAACCCGCCCACTGCTTTTGAGCCTCTAGAAATACATCCTTCGTATGCAATGTACACTTCTCTCCAAGCATGCATGCTGCTTCGGGGAGGAAGTGTTCCATATCCTACTCTTGCACGCCCCTATGCGGCGGGTCTGCTTCTGGATCTGGGCTTGGCGCCAGATGCGACACGCTTGGCCTGAGGGCGAGACAAGTGGTGGGCAGGGATCCAGGACTCGTCGTAGGCAGCGGCACCGCTGGTGACAGCAGGGCCATCAGCACCGATGACGCTGACCTGGTCAGCAGGGTCGACCTTCTTGGTACCGCCGGAAGAGCGCTTGGCGCGCTCGCCGCCCTTGCCGCGACCCTTCTTCTGGGGGAAGAAGGTGGTGATCCAGGTGTTGTAGATGAAGTAGACGGTACCAGCAAAGACACCGCTGAGGACGAGGTAGAGGAAAATGCTGAGAAGACAACGTTAGTCCATGATTGACTACACGGTCTGGGAAAGCTGCTTACATCTGAGGGTCGAAGAAACTCGTGGGAGCCTCAACAACCGAGACGGTGCCATTGAAGGCAGGGTAGACGTGGGTCATGCCGAACTGGTCCTTGAAGACAGCAGCCAAGTTGAGGGTCAAATCCTGGGGGTGCATGTCGACAGCAAAGCTGTAGGTGGCAGTCTCCTTCTCGCCGGCAGGGATCAAGAGGTCGTACTTGGCGGCAGTCAAGCTGCTGTTGGTTCTCTGGTTCAAGAGAGAGCCACCAATGATGTTCAGGTGGACGGGGGTGGTCTCGTGGTTGGCGATGGACAAGACAGCGTTGGTCGCATGTCCATTGACGAGCTTGACACCGAAGACCTCGGAGTTAGGGAAGGAAACCGAGACGTCGACATTCAATTTGGGAGTCTGCTGGACATCGGGGTTCTCCATCTCCTCTACGGTCTCAGGAGCCTGTACACGTCATTAGCTGGAGACCTTCAGTCGCTTGCCATTGGGGACTGAACGAACCTGAGCGTAGGCTGAGATGGCCTTCAATGCAAAGAGCGCAAATGCGCTGAGCTTCAGGGACACCATAATGACTGATTTGAATGTGTGGTATACAATGTCTTCTCAAAAAGGTCACGCAGAGCAAGAGAGCTGCGGGGAGGTATTCGAAAGATAAACGTGGCTCCCGAGCTCGGGCTTCTTGCCTTCTTGGCAATTCTATACAGCTCCACCACCACCTGGCCTCGACCTTCGAGTCTCGACCACATCTCATCTTACAAAACAGACATCACCAGGTTAAAAAGTGGATCAAGCAGCTCGGTTGTGTGCTACATAGACTTTGTAGTATCAATACAGCTTGCTCTCGTTCCTCGTTTTCCCCTTCAACAACTTTGCTATAAACGACTGCACGTCTTCTTTCCTAGGTGATTTTCAAACGACGGACAGCGGTTGTGTCCATGTTATGCATCTCTGCTGGGAATCTGCACTCCGCGCCGTTAATGCATGGCTTTTCCTTGGAGCCGCCTTGTTTGCTTCCAGGGAAGGGACAGCGATGTCCATAAATGCATCCCGCATCCGAACATTCGCTACCATGGATGCAGGCGGACATACGTGCCACAAGCTTCAATGTCTCCAGCTCTTTGGGGTTGCATTTGTACGAATGATCGTGCTCGCACTTGCCATCTGCGTATTGACAGTTGCGACGAAGGTGGTGTGCGTTGCATAGCTTCAGCTTCTTCACCCGATTCACCTCGTCTTTCTTGAACTCTGGTGTGGGCGGATCGATGCGTTGGCCTTTCCTGTTGCGACGTATGCCATCGGCTGGCAGCTGCTCTTTCTCACTGACGACTTGTTTAGGCGGTGCCTTGACTGCTGCTCCCTTCTTTGCCGCCATGGCCCACGACGTCACTGGAACGGCCACGTTGGCGGACTGGTCCGATATTTCCGAGACTCTACGGCTGTGCGATTTGACTACAGCAGGATGCGCAATCCCCGTCGCTGTACGTGAACCAGAATACGATGTCGTTGCAGGAGACGATGACGACGGAGGTGGAGAGATAGAATCTCTGAGGAGCGCTGGAATTAGGCTTATCTCTGGATTCTGGTCAACCGAAACGGGTGTGTCTACTTTGGTATCGCGGAAAATGTTGCCCACTGGAGTCTCTGCAAGACGCAGCGCTACAAGACGATGATCGGGCTGAGTCCCGTAGAGCAAGGTGACACGAGACTTGGTCTGGAAGTTCTCGGCGAGCTGTCTAAGGATTGGTGCGTAAATCTCGCCGTCTGCGCAGCCGAAGAGTATGTGCTTGCAGTGGGGGTTGGAGATATTCATGTACAGGTTGTCTGCGCGATCGTCAGTGTACGCACAAGCATAGGCAAGAACCAGATTCATACCTTCCATCTTGTCGAATACAACGGCTCGGCCTTTCATGCCAACGTCGATGAAGTCAAACAGGGGCTTGTCCTGGCAAAAGCCACGAACAAATGACTTGACTTGGCTGCCATGGTTGACCAACCCAGCACGGAGACAAAGGCTGCACAAATCTTCTAGATCAACGTAGACCCGAGCGACGATTTTGGCTTCGACAGAAAGATCAGCGATGGTCGAAAAGACGTACTCGTTGATAGCCTGGAAAAGCGCACGCGCAGCAAGACGACCGCCCTGGTCGCCCTGATTGAGGAAAGCGGTTCGAAAGATGAGTTCGTTGCCGTCGATTAACACTAGGACGAAAGGATTCCTTTCAGCTGTAACGCCTCCGATTTGCATCTGCAGATATTCGCCTTTGGCTCGCTCCAGCGTCAAGGCATTTGCCAGAGATTGCAGGCGCATCACAATGTCCTACAGATCTCAGACTGATATTACCGCCTTGATGGGGCTTCATTACTCACATCGTAAAGGTTTGCCCGGCTCTTGTCGAGAATTTTACAGGTCTCGTGTTGATGGATCAGGTCCTCGATCGAGGCTGCACCGACTGGTTCGGGCGAGCTACTGAATCCAGGTGTTGTCATCGCGATTCGACGAGTGTATGACACGTGAATGAGGATGTGATAAGAATCAAGCGAAAAATGGATCGCGGAGGTGGGGTTGATGAAGTATCAGAGTCGAAGCCGGGAAGGTAAGGATGAGTTTTGGGGAAAGGACGAGTGAAGGTGGATGCGAGAAGCCGCGTGTTGGCGGATCGATGGAATCAAGCAATTTCTGCGTCTGTTTGATGCTGGGTGAGTGAGTTTTGATCAGAGCTCGAATTGCCAGCTATCTTTGATCAACCTAGAGGAGCAACGACGATATCGCCACAACAACAATCCGACTCGTCTCACAATGCTACAGACTACATGTTCGTCTTCCGGATTCCTGCTTGTTGGCCTTGTCGATTCGTCACAAATTAAGATGTACCTTCGGGAACTTGCATCCAGCGGTGAATTGTGACGAACGACCTACTGACGATATGCATTGGGCCTTCCAACATGCCTAGCATCTGTCTTTCTGCTTGCTCAGATAGGGTTTCAAGATTGACTTGTTCCTCTTTGTAATCCGAATAACATACGATTGTAGGTGAAGTACGCTTCTATGCTCGCTGGATCTCGATCGAACTTCCGATGTCAGAAGAGCTTAGGCGCATGCTCTTTTCATGGATCAATTCGAGTAACGCCATGCTAATCGCTAACATCCTACCACCCTCGGCAAAGTTCCTACTCTCTCTTCGACTGGTCGAGCTCTTGTGCAAGATGCGCCTTCAACTTGGTCACCCTATTCCCAAAATTCTTCTTGCATCGCCAACAAACAAGATCAACAGTATGCCAAGGCCCCTGACCAAGTCGGCGTATGGGATCATCTTTTGCCAGAGGAAACTTCTCCAGGGGGACCAAGAACGACGTCTGGAAACTGTTGTAATGAGCGCTTCTTGTCAGGCAATCGCTCACCATGTCTCGCGACATGACGTGGACATGGAGGTGGTTCATCGAAGGCACAGCGTGGATACCCGTGATGATCTCCTTCATCCAATCACGACCTTCTGGAAGGACTTCTGGAGGGTCATCGGCATCTCTGGCTTGAATTCGTGCTTGTTCCGATTTGGAGAACTGGCCGTACTTCCGTCGCAGCTCGCTCGCCACCATCTGTTTCGCTCTCTCCACTTCGACTTTGATATCTGCAAGAAGTTGTGGGTCCTCGAATGCGTCAAACGGATGCAGTAAATTGCGCTCTGACTTTGGAAGAACCAGCAGATGGACTGATGATTTGGGAAACATGTCCTGAATAATGACGGCATTCTCGTTGTTGAACAAGACTCTATCATAAGCATAGGGGTCGACTGTGTATACTCCTAAGCCGTCCCTTCTATCGAACGACGTTTTCGTCTTCGATTTGGAAGAGCCCGCATGCTTGTCGGACTTTCCAGGAGATTTTTGGTGATCAATAGGTTTCTTGGACATTAATTCTGTGACTGTCAACAATGAGAATGCAGTACTGGACAGGGTCTAGTGTTTTACTTACATGCATTCTTGGAATTTGTTGTGTTTGGCAGCTCCATTCCAACAATCTCATCCTCTGTTATGGCTTCCTGAGGTGCTCCCATGGTGGCGGTCTTGCTGTGTCGTCTGCCCCTTCCTTTGGCTGATATGCTTGAAGCGCTGAACCCCTTGATCGATATACACTCAGGTCTGAATATGCTCCGGCGGCAAGCGAACAGTCTGATCATGCAAGCACGTAGAAAAGACGAGATTTGTCTAGACTCGAGTAGTTCTCTTGGGCGCTCTTGGGGACAAGCAATTGTGTCAATATGATCCTTCTATTGACATTTGCACACCAAGTCTATCGATGACGCATTCAATCACTTTTCCCAATTCGGATGATCGCGTGAACTCGAATCGCGTCTTCCAGCTTTCTGCCTCGCAAGAAGTAACCAAAACTTTCACTATACCGTGCATATCAACCAACGACTAGCATTACGACTGCATGTGTTGCAAAAAGCAGGACTACAACTAAGGATCATCACATGTTCCGACTCTAGGCTACGAATCCGCTTTCACTTCCTCGTCCAACAAGCTGCGAGCTTGCGCCACCGCCCGCCATGCCTCGCTCGTCTAAGAGACAAACCAGGCTGACCTTCGACCCTCTCCCGACTTCGTCGCCCGCGCCGTCCGATATGAGTCAGTCAGTCCGCGACCGCGCCGCAACTGTTCGCTTCGAGGGAGCCACCCCAAGCAAGAGGCGCAAAGTGCGTGATGCGCCAGGAGCTTCATCACTCAGCTCTGCGATCGTTCCCGACATACTGAAAGAGAGCCTGCCACCCACACCTGATCTGACCGGGCCGACAACGTCTTTCGGCGCGTCGGCTGTGAGTGACGACGAGATCAGGCCAACACAACGACTGTCCAGTCGCAAGACTCAGAAGAAACAACAAAAGCTGGAACTCACACCCTCGAGCCCCAGAGCAATCAATCATGCACGACCCGTCAAAGCTGGTTTCTTCGGAACGCAGCAGCAGCCAGATGAATCAAGTGATGAGTCGGGCCAGGATCTACCAAAACTTCCAGTTAGGATCCAAAGGAAAAAGAGCAAGCGTGAGAAAAAGCACAAGTCGCCATCGCTGGAGGTGGAGGAGCAAATCACAAAAGAGCCCGCAACTGTCATCTCGGAGGACGAAAGTGAAGATGACCTTCCAGCTACTCCAGCACTGAATCGCAAGCGCAAACGTCAAGCTCAAAGTTCCTCACCGCTCGCACTCATACCTGATGAGGAAGATGACGACAGCGATGTTGTCGTCACTGGCTCAAGAAAACGATCACTGTCTACAAAGAAACGAGCCCCAGAGCCTGAGCCTGAAGCTGAATTATCAGATGAGCCACCTTCATCACGGTCCCGCAAACGTCTACGAAGGGTGAAAGATACAGCCCCAATGAACACGATCACAGAAGAGGAGAAGCAAGAGCTGGAGGATGATCTGGTAGACCTAGCTTCAAGTGGTAGTGACACTGAAGTGCGAGTTTTACAAAGAAACAAGTCCTCACAAAAGAGTGCTCGTCAGCTAGCCTTGGAGCGTCTCAAGGCCAGAAGAAGGGCTCCAATGAGCAGTATCGTCGAGGACGAAGATAATGAGGACGAACTGCAGATTGTAGACGACGAAGAGGAGGACTACAACCAAAGTCCTGATGAGGAAGAGGATGATGAACTTCCCGAGCCATCGACAAGTAGGACGACCCGCAAGCAGATGTTCGCCGAAGATGAGGAAGACGAAGGATTCGTCATTGATGATGATGAAGGCCCTCTTGGTGTGCCGACCAACGTACCTATCGCCTTTACTCGTTATGCTTCCATGAAGGCTAGGGACCTCTTCCGTTTCGCTATCGACTGGATGGTGCAGAAAAAGATCAATCCGGCTTTCCAGATGGATGATGAGATCTACGACCTGACATTCAAAAAGCTTGACGATGAGGTCAAGGGACTGGCTGGCTCCAAGTTCCAATCTGCGGCTTGGACTGCACAATTCACGCTTGCACTTCAAGCACGACCAGATCTTCTCTCAGCACATTTGGATCGTCAGTCTTCTGCCCACTTCGGCCGCGACAAGTGCGATGCTTGTAACAGATCAGGACATCCGGCAACCTACGAGGTCAAGTTCGAAGGCAAGCCCTACGACAAGAACTCTCTAGAGCCCGTAGCACCACGCAAAGACCACAACGACTCAGACGACGACTCCGACGATGACTCCAGCTCCGAAAGCAGCGTCGACTCCAACGCCCCCGTCAACTACGACTCCCAAGGCCGCCAAATCCTCCCCGAAGAAACCGTCTTCTACCTCGGCAAATTCTGCATGAGCAATGCCGAAACCGCACACTCGCTGCAACACTGGCGCTACCATCTCTACGAATGGGTAGTCGAGTACCTGGAGTCTGCTGGCTGGAACACACCGAAGCTCATCGTTAAGCGCGACAAGTGGAGTGTCAGGAAGCGCAGAAAGCATGCCAACAAGATTGTGGATATCATGGAGGAGCAGGGGAAAATCAAGGCGTTGTATTCTGATTTCAAGAAGGAGATCGAGACGGCGAGGAATGCTAAGCAGGGACGTTGGGATAGTTCACCTTGAGGACGAGAGGAGAGGAGAGAGGCACAGGGGTTCTTCTTGAGGCTTTGTGCCTATTCTTGTAATAACGCGATGATGACCTAGATCAAATAATTCTTATGGAAAAGATCATATTCTTCTGGCATACAAGCTTGAGTGGCAGTCTAATATTGACAAGAGGAAGTGGTGACAGAGCATGATTTGTAGCCCAAAGCATGAGCAGGATGATATTCGTACAGAATGGCGATAGACTCGGCCTAATGATACAACAGCAGTTTTGAAAGCAGCAAAACTCTTCCTGCCAGCCTGACGAAGCTGTATGTTGGAATCTCATCACCCTTCGCCTGCAGAATCCGAGCCCGAATTGAAAAGCAAAGTCCCCTTGAACGCCATCTCTTGATTCCCAAATACGATTTCCTCTTTACTGTCCCTTTCCATCTCTTTCCCACTGCTAGCAGCATTTTCGCTCCCTCTCAGTTCTGCACAGCATCAGCATCAGCCCTCCACTGCACCTCACCAACCACACTCCTCAATTCCTCCAACGTGCTCCCCATCTTCACCACCGAATACCTCAACATTCGCGGATCCAAGCCCAGCGTTCTGCGTACCGCGTGCTGTGTTCGCGCACTGCTGTCGAAGCGCACGACAAAGTAATGGCCAGTGTTGTGGGTGACTGTGTTTTTTCTCATTGGCTTGGGCAGATGGAAGACGCCCCAGTTTGTGATGCCGCGGACTACGCCGCCGGAGTTGAGGACGATGTTGCCAGTTGTTTTTGCGATTCTGGGTGGGTGTGTCAGAGGGAGGTAGGGGGGAAGGTGGGAGAGGAGAAGAAGGCGCACTCGCGGACTTCGGCTAGGTTGCCGGGGCGGACCTGGGAGGAAGTGTTAGTCTTTTGGAATTGGAAGGAAGTGAGGGAGACGGGATGACGTACTACGCCAATGAGTTCGTAAAGCATGATGTGTGGTGTGGCTAAGATGTATGACCTTTCAACAGCTGTATGCAACTCTGAACGCGGCGACTGCAGTATGCGCTTCGGAAGACGGCAAGCAAATTTCCATCTTATCTCTAGATTAGATCAAAAGCTGCCAGCTCGACCCTTTCCCCAAGAATCTTGGCGAACCACCGTCACCGCTGAGAAGCTCTCCGATTGCTGTTCCATACTCTTGCGCTCTCTGTGTACATAGCAATCACTCAGCAAAAACTTCACAATGGCATCAATCGCTAGATCAACCCTCTGCCGCTCGCTGGCCACAGCCGCCAGACCCAGCGTCTCCTTCCGCATCGCCAATGCCCAACTCTCGCGACCCTTCTCAATCACCTCTGCGAGTGCGTATCACCCACCAACTTTCTTTTCCCTCTTTGCACCACTGACCCCCTTCTGCCTGCTCAGCCCTCGCAAAGAAATACACCCAAGACCACGAATGGATAGACCTCCCCTCGGGCTCTTCAACCGCCACAATCGGCATCTCCACCTACGCAGCCAACGCCCTCGGCGACGTCGTCTTTGTCGAACTGCCCACCAAATCCCTCGAAGTCTCGTCTGGCGACACAATCGGCAGTGTCGAGTCTGTAAAGTCCGCTTCTGACATCATGACCCCGGTGTCTGGCACCATTGTCGAGGGCAACTCGGTGCTAGAGGAGAAACCGGGTACGATCAACAGAAGTCCCGAGGGTGATGGTTGGATTGCAAAGATCGAGGTCAGGGATCCAAAGGAGATTGAGGCGTTGATGGATGAGGCTGCTTATAAGAAGTTTACCGAGGAGAGCGAGGAGTAGATGTGACTTCGGTAACAACGATGATAGGACGTGAGAGGCATGGAGTGCAGATGAGGTGGGCAGGTGTTCAACCACAGGAGTTATACTTCGACCGAAGACGTCCGGCAGGACCTATGATTTTAACAATGAGTACAGAGACACGAATAGCAATATCGGAAGCGCGGAGAACATACAGCATTCAAGCATTCGCCTAGCATTCATGATCATGCAGGATCGTAGCGACATGGTTCAGATTGGATTCAACATTTTGTGATTCTCGCATTTTCGACGCACTTATCGGGGCCATTCTCGCGCGTTACAATATACAATCGAACTCGTCTTGTCGTCGAGAAAGTGAAACGCCTCGGAGAAACATCTATCTGCCCAGCTCTTCCCTTGTCTTCAAGTAAACATGTTGCCCAAAGATCTCTGAGCCAACGGCACCTCATCGCTCTGCAGTATACGTCAGCAATCTGTATCAGATCAAACGGCACAACCACAAAAAACATACCTCAACAAAGTCCGTGGCGTGAATCAGCGCACTAAAGCAACCCACCAAATCCTCCAAAGCCTGCTTGACACTCGGCCTCACCTGCGGACCCTCCCTTACCGCAGCCTTAAAAACACCTTGCATGCACTGTCTATTCTCGGTCAAGAATGCTCTTCCCTGAGCAATGACATGCTGATTCCTTGATCCTCTGCTGACGACGCACGACGTGAGAATCCGCAACATGGAGATCAGTAGACGGTAAAAGTTTTCTAATGCTTCTACGTTGTCGACGTCGAGACCAATGTCGGGGTCTGTGGCGAAGAGCTGGGAGTCGCGGACGGCGCTGAACAGACCTGCCTCGAGGATGGCGGCGGCGCCTTCGTTGGTGTGCGACATGCGTAGCAAGACAGAGAGGGCGGTGTGAATGTATGAGAGAAGTGTAGCGATGTCTGTGATGATTAGCTTGGGCCTCTGAGAGAGTCATGACCAAATTTACCTTGTCCTTCACGTTGTTGTTGAAACTCGCCAGCAATACCGCGAATGCCGTCTACGAGCACCGATGTGAAGTTCAACTTGGTCATTGCGCGTGTCAGGTATGGCGATTTGACCATCTGGAACAACTGCAAGCATGATTCGAGGACCATCAACGCAGAAACCCTGCAGCTACCTGCACTGGACATGACATCCTCGCAGATTGTGTCTATTAGTCGTTCACCACCGTGCTCGATGATCTTGGCGGTTTGGCGTTGCAAAGGTGATGATGTCCTGCATACTGATCTGACGAAGTGACGGATGGTTTGGTAGCATGTTTCGCGAAGCTCGGAACCACCAGAAGCGCTACCGATACCACGCAATGCAGTACGGAAAGTCGCCGTGAGCCTGTCGTGTACTACACTGACTTCCACATTCTTTTCTGTGGCAGAAGAGTCTAATACCCTCATTAGTGTGTATGTGAGCTTTGCAAGAGGGATGTTAACAGGAGAGTCCTCTACGATGGTTCTGTCCAGCTTTGGCAGCACAATTTGCAGAGCTTGCAATGCGAGTGCAGTCTTGGGTGCAGCTTGGAAATCACCCAATGCGAGCATCAACGACATGAGCTTCACCCATACGTTGAGCGTTGCACGCTGTGCAACCATGATCGAGGCGTAGTTGTTCTCTGATTGCAGGCATAGCATCGCAGCGTCAATCTCTGCTGCGCACTGTTGTTGCGAATTGGGGTCAGACAGTCTACCATTTTTGCGAAGATCAGCTTCGCGCAGAAGCAACAGCTCCTTCGCAAGCGAAAGGTCGTAAACGGCTCCTGTCTCTAGCTTGTCGGTCCTGCATGAACCAAAGTCGAGGCCGGTGATGAATGCTTTCTCCGCCATCTCAAAAGGTAGGGAAATATCCACATCGATGAAATCGAAAAGCTCAAAGATTGAGGCGTTTTGTACTTGCTCGCCAGAGGATAGGACAGTGACACCCACTAACGAAGACAACACTTTTTGTCGCTGTGTCGGTGTGTTGCGTTGAATGGTTGCTCGAATATCAAGAGATGCCACTTCGAAGAACATAGTACGTTGAATCAAGAAATCCTTGAATACCGCAGCAGAGTCTGATATGAGGAAGTCCTGGTCAGCACAAAGTCGATTACTCCATAGACTCTCGGCATTGATGGGTGCTTGCACAATGGCAACAGCATCAGAGTATCCAGACTCCCTGAGTTCCTCGAGGATTGTACGCTCAGTAAGTGAAGAATGAAGCAGTCTCGAGATGATCTGACAAGACGTGCGACGTATTGATGAGAGCCAGGGAGCTTGATTGACCTCTGGCAGGAAAATAGTGTCGGCTGAGAGCTTCGCCACAGCATGGAAGAGCGACGATCCTGTGTCAAACAGACCGTTGGGTGGAATACTGATAGCCCTATCTGTGCAACGGAAACCTAACAGGCAGTGAGCCAGAGCTGGACGATTGGCAGCTGTCTCGAGCGAAGTGTTGAGCAAATTTAAGATACCCTGCTTGATGTTAATGCCTGGCCCTTCTGCTCCCATCTCGAGTTCTCTAGGATCTAGTTGAAGAGGAGAAATGAAAGACGCGGCAATACGATCAACATCAAAGTCTTGTTGCAGGGCAGCAAGCACACGACTGCCTCCGTAAGACGTGCCAGTTGCGATTGAGAGCTTGCGAGCTGTTGCCAATTTCTGGAGAAGCTGCAGGGAGAGCATCGTCAGTTCCTGGTGACCAGTTCCGCAGTACAGACCGAGATCTACTATGATGTTGACGTGGTTCAGGATGACATCCTCAAAGGAAGCAAGCGCAGGATTGGCGATGGCTTTCTCGCGTCCAACATATTGCGTCTTGACAATCGGTCTGACAACATCGAAGTAGATGGATTGCAGTTTTAGAACCTGGTCAATCACCTCGATGCTGCGACACAATGCAACTACCATAGGAGAATCCGGGGAGGCAGCACTGATCGCATCAACGTCTTCGTGAGCGGCGGCGAATAGAGCACTCGAAACTTTGTCGTTGAACAGCCACTCCATGACGCGGGCAAACGGATGGAACCGAACGTAAGCGGCTAGCGAGGAGGTAGAGATAATCGAGTCAACGGGAATGTTAGTGCTGTTAGCAAAGATAACAAGATCTTCGTTGAACGTCGAAAGACATGTTGAGATGAAGGCAAGGCAGGTACATCTCAGTTCCCAGATTTGGTTCACGTCGGGGAGATCGGCCATTCTTTCCTGGAAGACACTGCCCATGATGAAGTCGACGTAAGGGTCCAAACCTGGCATACGGTAAGCTGCGCCCAACTGTTCTGGGAAAGGCAGCATGTCACGTAGACTGCTTTCCTCTGGACTGGGCACAACCATGCCCTGTATAAGCCTGGTGAAAGCATTCGGTAGCTCAAATCCTTCCAGTAGTGATTGAAACCGTCCTTCCTTAGCCACTGTAGGATTCTGAGGTGTCTTTGTGCCAAGGTAGTTCCTCAGACTCGGTGAATCGTACATCCATGAATCAACGTAGTCCCAGAGCGCATATCCGGCATCGATAGTCTTGTCTGTCAAGCTGGCGGCTATGGCCATAAAGGTACAGGCTTTGAGACGATTGGAGACCCCAGAGACGGCGAGATTGAGCACAATCTCATGCAGGTTAAAGGTGGCATGAGACAAGACAAAGATTCTGGCACTGACGCTGGAACGGCACATGTGTGTAACAAGACGAAGGTAGCACTCGAGCATGAGTTCACTCTCAGGCTCAATAAGCGGTCCGGCCAACGCACCATCGCCTTGTAGCGAAGTGGAGGTGAGCTTCTCGCTAATGCCCGGAGCGTAAAAGCTCAACTCGTTGAACATTTGTGCCCAACTTAGAGGTGCACCACGACGAAGTTTTGCTACCGCTGTAGTTGCGTCGTCCATGAGGAACTTGTGGGCGGCTTCTGCGCATTCGGCGTCTTCAGAAATAGAGAGGAACATTTCGCAGAAAGCAGCGGCCCGAGGAGTGGATTGTCGTTTGGAGGCCCACTGCAAGAAGCCATAAAGATTGCTGTCAGGATCCTGCCAGAATGACTGAGCTGCTTCAGGGAAGCCCTTGAAGGCATAAGAAATGATGACCAAGAATCTTTCGAGATGCAGACCATGTTCCGGGGCACCATGAGGCTGACGGATGCTGATGTTGCGGCGCTGTTCGTCTTCCTCGAACTTCAGTCTGCGGATAGTGTCGGGCATATTTGTGATGAAAGCGTCAACGAATAGCTGGAGGTTTTGAGCGAGTATTTCCTGGAAGTAGTCGGATGCTTTAATTGGGCCATTCCTGAATCGCTCTGCTCCTGCCAGGAGATATGACACCAGGCCAACCTTCGCGGGATCGTGCCACAAGTCTGCACGCACTTGAGCGCAAATGAACAGGATAAATTCGAAAGCACCATTACGAACAGCATCCAAGTAACGCTGCGAACGTGATTCGGTCTCTGCTTCCAGATCCACTCCTCTCAACGGCGAGCCAATAGGATTGTCGATGTAACGACCGCTGTACTCGGCCAACCAGAAGACGGTCGCAGCAGCGCGGAAATCAGGTAGCTTCCATTTGGAGTTGTCAGATTTGTCTGCAAAGTATTGGTCCAAACCGCGAGCATCTCTGAGGCTGGCAGCACTGTCGATGGGTCCGAGAACAGAGGCACAGCTGACAAGGGCAGGCAGGTAGTGCAAAGTGACGTCGTCAGGATTGGCCAGTTGAGCTGTCTTGTTCAGAAGGTAGCGATAATCATCGACGGTTGCGATGCCAACTTTGACCAGATGTGAGATTATGGCACCCAAAGTCTCATGTTGTTTCGTCAAGCTCTGCTTCTCGAAATGCAGCGTCTCCGTGGCATATCCGTGGGCGGTCTGGCCAATCATAGCAATCTGATTCAAGCGATCCTGAAGTTTCTGCAGCCATTGTTCCACGATTGCCATTGCATCGACACATTTGCGCCAGAAAGTTGCGTCGGTCTTCTCGGTGATCAGACCGGCGCAGGTAACGAACTTGTCGCGGTCATCGGTGTTTTCGCAATCAACGGCTTGTTGGATAGTCAGGCGCAGACACTCGAGCAGTGTTTCCCGGTGGCCATGGAAGCGAAATATAGCAGCCATTGATGTAGGTCTCCCGAGCTCTTGCGCAGTGATTTCCGACTGCAGGTTCAACCTTGCAGCATCCAACTCATCCAGATCTAGCTCGTCGGCGACCTGGATTACTTCCTGCCTCCAGTCTTCGTTGATCGTGTATTGGACCTCGTCGACGGTTATTGTATCTAGACATGATTGTCAGCGCGTGATTTCCTTCAGTCGAGTCTTGGAGAACGTACCAGCCTTGAGTGCCTGTCGGCTTCTGTCATTCTTGTTCTGACGGTCCAGCAGCTTGCGAAAGTCGGCGATGCTGTCTTCCAGCTCAGTCCATAGGCGATCGACATTGAGTAGGCGGGACTCGGAAAAGGCGACCAGGTCGGCTTGGAGACCTTGCAGGCGGGTCAAGCTATCGATTTGGTCCATGTGTGCGGAATGGTCGCTCGTCAATCGACGAGGGTCAAGGTCTAGGGTTCCAGTTCCAAAGTTTGCGCACGGTAGATGCGCGTGCTTGTTGTGTTGTATGTGGTGACAAGGTGAATAATGTTTTGTTGAAACGAAGCGCAAGCAGCAACACGCGCAGAAGCTCGACGCAGCGCCCAAGAATCACCTCGGCGTCCACCGAACTTCTCCCGTCTCTGCAAACCGCACCTTCCCAGCCATCGCGTCCATCCTTGCGCCAAACTTCCTCATGTCTTGTCCTGGTTGATATTGCTTTGGTCGTTTGTACGCGTGTTTTTCAAGAGCGGACTACCAACCATCTCGACAAGAGTTCTGTACAAAGCAATTCACCCTTCTCTGACAAGTACTCTCGAACTCATCGACCGGGCTTAAGCACTATATATCCGGCCAATCGTGACTACCCAAAATCTCACCACTCGCAATCGTGCAAACAGAGTCTAGTTTCTAGTCAACTCGCAGTTGTCTCTCGGCAGTTGCGTGGATCACCCACCCACTTCGGACTCATGCTATCAACATAAAACAATCGCCCAGCATGGCATCGGACATCAATCTGGCAGAAGCTCTGGGTATGTATACACCAACTCTAGCTCGAACAACTCTCTAACGTCAAGCAGAGGGTGTGTCTTCGAAGGCCGTCAAGGAAAGGACTGAGGCTATGATCACCCTCCGACAGATATTAAGACATACTCAAGGCACTTCCAAGATCGATAATCTGAAGGACCCGGCCCTCTTCAGGATCTACGACACAATCATTCAGGCCATTAATGTAGAGGTCACCCAATTGCGATCTCTTAGAGCCGGTGTCAAAAGTAAAACCACCCTGCCTGCGACCGAAGCGAGACTCAGCAGTTGCTCTGCTACTTTCCGTGTCGCAATTGAAGTGGGCGTTCGCAATATTCGCTCCAAAACTGTCAAGGCTCTCATCGAGCATATCATCACCAACTTCAATGATGCCGATGGTAATCCTGAGCTTGTATTGGCAACTGACTATGCTCGAAACCTCTCTGTCATACTCGGTCACGAGCCTCACGTCGAGCATCTATCTCAAGACTATTGGAAGACAACTATGGGTTTCTGTCTCGAGAAGATGAAACTCTTTCCCCAATCAGACCTCAAGTTGGGCTCCAGCATCTTGACCCAAAGATCATCACGCTCTCATTTCGCTTCTTTCCAGTCGAACGGCGAGAAAGGGACTCTTCCTAGGCATGTTTTGGACGATTTGGTCAATGTTGTTCGTTCCCTGGTCTGCGTGCCATTCGCACCGCTTCTTCACAAAGGCCCCGAGGCTGTTGACGCGATGGCACAGTTCTTGCACAATTCACCACACTCGGCGAAGCCTCAGATCGATGCATTTGTAGTGATCAACACTATTCTTCTCCAGATACGCATGGAGAACCTCAAATTCGCCAAAGAATTCACACGTGATGCGCTCAACCTCACCAGGTCACTGTGGAACACCAAGCTCTCTGCATTGAAGGACGAGATGCTGTCTATGCTGATCTTACTGCACCCATTTGTTGAGATGCTCACGCATGAGGGTGAAAATGAGCTGGTTCACACCGCAATCTCAAACCTTGTCGAAACGATGAAGAGCGAATACACGAGACGCCCAATCAAGGATCAGCTTCAGCTCAGTCAACTGTCTCTTCGACTCAATCTGCGGCAACCTTCTGATGGCTTACGAGGTCCAGTTTTTGCTTTGCAGGACGGCCAGACAAATAGTGAGAGCACTTCGAGTGCCGAGCACAATTGGACATTGCTCAAGTTGCTGGCGCAATTTTCATGCTGGAGTCAAACTTTCGATCAGAGAACTGGCAAGAGGTCAACGTCTCCAGGGGCAGGTCCCCAGAAGCGCCAACGTGTTGCACAATGGTCAGACGAGCTTTTCCGCATGCTCTCTGACTTCAGCATTGCTAGCAGACTATGTTCCTTGCAGATCATATGCTTCATTGGTCAATATACTCCTATTGAGGAAGAAGTTTTCAGCAGTCTGATTGAGAAACTGTCCACCTTAATTATTGACGACAATAGTTCTGTCGCTTCGTGGGCCTACTTAGCCCTTGCCAGGTAAGTTGTGACGACTCACATAATAATCACAAGGCTAACACGGTCATAGTTGTGCTAGCCAGGCCGCGGCCAAAGTAAATAGTCTGGTTGGAACCTGGGAATCTGTTTGGCGTTACACTTTGAGAGGGATCGCTCCTGCTCAAACGTGTAGACCAGCATGTCATGTCCTTCACATTATGATCCAAGCAGAACTTGTTGATCGGGCAATAATCCTTGAGAACCTCGGTTCTATGCTTTCGAGCATCTCGATCAGCGGGCCTACCATCTTTGGTGACTCGGTCGCTGGACTTTTTCAAGCCGTCATGGTTCGATTCCAGCGTGAGGGTACATCATCCATCGGCGAGAGAATCGAACAGATCCTGACCTGGGCCTTTCGGACTTGGGCACCAAGCAATTTCCATGATAAGATGTTTGCTTCACAACATACCACTATCAAGGTCGTGGATATTATGAACCTCATAAACGTCTGCTTGGGACTGCCAACTGAGCAAGAACCTTCTCAAGCCCTGCCGATATGGGGAACTGTAGCGCAGTCATGGATCATGTACGACCAGACTCGGGATCTTCTCGACTACTTGCTACTCAGAAGAAAAAGCAATGCAATCAAACCTCAACTAAATCGGGCTGAGCATACTCCAGAAAAAAGTCTCTCGTTAAACAATACCGCAGTCACACTCTTGCTCGGTCTTTGCACGACTGAAACCAAAAGTGCAGTGGAAAAATGGCAGAATGTGAAGGAGCAAACCGCCGGTCATCTGGACAGAAACATGATCCGTATGGTCGGCATTCTGGTCATTGTTGGATTATGTCTTGCCAACTGTTTGAAGGCCAAAGACACACGTCGAGCAGAGCAACTTCGTGTCGCTAATGAAAAGCTTATGATGCTCATGTTTAGCGACCTCTCAAACTCTGGTAGTGAGCAAGACAAGGTGGACGCATTGATTGATCTTATTGCTGGTAGACTTTTGGTCTGTCACCCGGACTCGTCGACTTACGAAAGTCACGATCGTCATGTCTGCATGGCGAAACTGTCAACCTCACTACTAGAACTTCTTGAGAATAGGCGCTACATGACACAGCCGGAACCCTCCCTGAAGAAGAGCGACACGAGCGACATGATGGACTTTGACACCGATTTCGAGTCGCAGGTGACTTCATACACTGCTCCTGTGAGCGAGGTCCGACCTCCAAGAAGGGTAATCTCGACCAACTACAGCATCATTTCGCAGAGAGCAAGTGTGACAGTCTATGCGAAACTGATGCAGTCGTTCGATTTTTCTGTGAAAAACGGCGATACTATTGCTGATACGACGAAAGAGCTTATACCTCGCGTCCTTGAGCTTCCTGCATCAGAAATTCTTGCCAGCGGGCCATTTCTTACAGCTCTACCCCTTTACGGTGTACAACTCACTCCGAAGCAATTCGAGCCACTTCTTGAGTTCTTCGCGGACAACACGCTTCAATCTTACGAATACGAGCGTGCTGAGACCAACATTGACCTATTGTTAGGTGTCATGGAAAGCTTTGTGTATACCTGGACAGATGCATCGGACCAGGAGTTCTATACATTTGGCCTCGATATCTATAAATGGTTCACCGTCACGGCTTTGAAAGCTAACCTTCTTTCACCATGCGTGCAGAAACGACTCATTCATCTCATGCTGCAGATTCTGCAGATCGATGCAGATTATGGACAGGCTGATAAACTTCCGACAATTCGTTCTATACTGTTTCGTCTGATGCGCGAAGGTACTCTGGAAGTCAAGTACTATATTGCTCAAAACTTGTCATCAATCTTCAGCATCTTCGCTCTACCTTTTCACCAAGAGGTCTTCGAAGAGCTCAGGACCAGTTTACCTATAGACACAGAATGGGCCGAAGGCCTCGCCGTTCGGATTTTAGTGTTAGCGAACCTAGCTGCTGGTTGGCACTCGCTCCGACGACAATGCATCTACCACATATTCGAAACCGCAGGCATGGTTGCTGAAGTTGGAGAATACGCTGCAACTTGTGTCGCCACAATCTCCAACTCCCTCAATCTTATTTCACCCAAAGAACTATTCCGACTGTTCTCTCCTCAGCTGCTGTTCACCTGGTTGGAAAACCAAGCAGTGGCAAAGATTCCTTTCGGAGTATTCGGTTATGAGGGCATGACTGAGCTGCTGGAGCATAATATTGACGAGATCTATGCACAACTGGTCATTCGCGAGAAAGAGGAGGAGATTGGCTGGTTAACTAAAACTCTGAACTTGCAAGAAGGACAGATTTTACGGTCCACATTCAGTAAGACGCTTGCTTACGCCATCTCTTGGGATGTGTCTGGCAAGCAGATATCTTCACAAGATTCATCTCAGGCGGCAACTACGTGTGAGTCCCGCATTCGAGCTTTCTTCAAAACAAGCAGCGAATACTGTGTCGCGGTCCAATCCAATCTGCCAGACATCATAGCTCAGATTTTTACCTCAACGTACCATGAAGAGGTTGTTGAGAAGGTCCTCGAAAAGAGATCTCAGTACGAATATGCGCAGAACGCCCTTTCTGCAATGAAGCGATATGGGTTTCTCGACACAGAGATCTCTCAGGTTCAACAACCAAGTTTCAAAGGCAGATATCTCATCGACCAGCTCGAGAGAGTCTGTCGCAGGACAGGTAACAAGACTCTCAAGACCGTCAAGGATGTTTTAGATGTGCCGCATATCACTGTCACTCTGCGATCGATCATCGATGGTATGCACCCTGCGTATGGTCCACTTCACGCTTGTCGGACTGTCAGAAAACTGCGCATATTCATTGCGCTAGCTGGAGATGAAGTCTTCAATGGCTATCCTTTGCAAACACTGATTCGAACTTTGCAGCCAGTCATTATTGACCCCCATTGTTCTGACGATGGCATGGGTGTATTGCAATACTTGCTTGAGCGTGGAAAGTCCTTCCTCAAACAGGAGTTATCAATGATCACTGGTACAGGCTTACTGATTCTCTTGTCGTTGAAGCAATTTATGACCTCTCGGCAAGACAAGACCACCCAGGAGAGTCAGTACCGCAACACGGTCTCAAAGATGCAGTCTTTCCACAACTGGCTCGTCGAGTATCTTCTCGAATTTGGTTCCGCCTCGAAAGCACCTCAGCATCAAGCAGCTCTCTGTTCGCTTGTTCAGTCGTGCCGGGATTTAGAACTACCAGAATCCTCGAGTACAAATCAGGCTGCGAGTGCCATGTTGAGAGGGCTTCTAGACGACGAGGACTCGGCCACGCCGATTCTGGGATCTACCGAAAGAAGACAAGTAATATCGACTCTGTGTCGCAACTTCCATGTAAGCAGTAAGACAGCTGACGACATGTTTGGTTCTGACCAACTGTCGCTTTCTTACGCTCGGCGGGTGTGGGAATCTACCCAAACACTCACAGTCGCTGACGACTATGGAGCATGGGCCGCGAAGGTTCTGGGACGTGCTTATGCATCAACAGTCTCTCTGGAACAGATTCGGCCTACACGAGGTCTGATGTCTCATCTAACAAGTGGCAATGGAGAGAAGAGTCCATCCATGCAAGCCATCGTGACCAAGCTCAACAATCTTCTCTCCAGTCAAAACCGAACACATGTTGGAGTTGCTGAGCAGAGTCTCAGAAGCATTACGAATCAATTCCTCGCTCTAGGAGACCACAATGGTGCCATCGAATTTGAGAAAGTTCTACCGGGCCATGTCATCGATGCGATAGCCAGAGTGTACTATAGAGACACGATAGATGCTAGAAACAGCCAAAAGCTTCGCAGAGAGGATCTCTGGCAGGCCGCGAAACTCGATGTCAAGAAGCCTTTCGCACTCTGGGTACAGGACTTGGCCGTCTCTATCTGCCGATGGACGAAAGATGACCCACTCATCGGTCAACTAGAGAGACTTTTCCTCTGCGGTGACGAATTTTCGGCAGAACTCTTCCCCTACATCGTTCATCTTGCTCTCAGTTCTGAGATCGAGAAGGAACAAGTCGTCCGGGTCTATCTATCAGAGTCCTTCAATGCACATTTCAGCACTCGTGAGGCAGACACTGACCGAAAATCTCGTCTGTTGTTAGAGTCGCTCTTGTATCTGCTCACTCGGAAGATCCACAACGAGAAGACGAGAATGGATCGTCTAGAGTGGTTGGAGCTGGACTATCTTCTTGCTGCAGAGGCTGCTGATAAGTGCAACATGCCAACTGCATCTCTGTATCTTGCAGAGCTGGGTGCAGCTCCTCAGACTGCTACTCAGTCGTCACGAAAATCATCGGTGACTCTCCCTGAACCAAAGCTGCCCTCAAATGAGCTACTTCTGTCGATTTACAGTCGTGTGGACGATCCTGATTCGTTCTACGGTGTAAAACAACTACCATCTCTGGAGTCTGTGCTGGCGCGTGTCCATCACGAAGGTGATGGAATCAAAGGGTTAATGCTGCACTCTGCTCGAATGGACGCGTCTATGCGAAAGTGTGGATTGGCAGATGAAGCTGATAGGCTTGGACTTATAGGCTCTGTTGGTGCTATGAACTTGAGCAGTCTGACTCACGATATACTTAACCGTAAAGGTGGTCAGTCTACAACAGCCGCGACAGACACCATGCTCAACGCTGCTCGCAAACTGGAACAATGGGATGTGTCTCCTCCTCAAATGAATGGTTCGGCTGCAAGTACGGTGTACAGTGTGTTCAGAGGACTCGCTGGTGCCACGCAGTTGGAGTCTCTCCAGCTAGAATTGAATAGAGCTCTGGGCTTATCGATACAGCACCTGCAGGACACTCGCCTCGATGCATCTGCGGTCCGCGCTACTTTGTCGAGCATTGCTGTACTCAACGAAATTGACGAGCTTACTACAGTGAGATGTTCAGCAGACCTTTCCGAGCTCTGGCAACGAATGCAACAAAGACAGGGTGGATGGGATATCGGCCGGTATGTTTTTTGGCTCCCATGATTCTCCAATGAGATTTACTGACCTGTCTAGTTTCAACGATGCTCAAAACATTGTTTCCTGTCGCGAAACCCTTTTCAGTCTGTTGAGTCAGAACAAACATCTCAGAGAGGCTCTCCATGTCAGTATCCGAGACTCTCGCGCAATAGAGGCTCGATCAGTCATTAGCTCTTCCCAATTTGCCAGGAGGAACGATTTGATACAACAATCCCTGACTGCGGCGACGTATCTTTCTCAGTTGGTCCCTGTCTGTCAAGAGGTTGATGTGAACATGGACGCTGCGGCCCACTTTGAGGTAGCAACTACGCTATGGAGACAGGGCGAAATCTCTACGTCGGTGCAAATGCTGCAGGAGCTCTGTTCTCGGACAGATCTGTTGGAGCAGTCGATCCAGGTTGGCCGAGCAGGAATGTTGGCGCAGTTGGTGAGTACTAGAGCGGCTCTGCATGTAAATCTGGTTACTGACCAACGATAGGGACACGAGGTTGCAGACGCGCGCCTTGAAAAGCCAGGAGAAGTCATTGCAAACTATCTCAGACCAGCCATTGAGCAGCTGGACAAAGCAACATCTGGTTCCGAGACTGGAAAGGTCCATCACGAGTTCGCCTCTTTTTGCGATCAACAACTCCAGGACCCTGGTAATCTGGAAGACTTTCAACGACTAGCAAAACTTCGAGATCGTAAACTGGGAGAATTGCGACAATTTGAGAAGCTCGTCAAGGAAGCCACTACCAAGGACAAGAAGCGAGAGCTGATGAAGGCGCAACAGACTGTGCACAAATGGTACCAGCTTGATGACGAAGAATACCAGAGGATGAAACGCAGCCGTGATGACTTTGTCCGCCAGAGTCTCCAGAACTATTTACGAGCACTGATGGTCTCTGACGAGTTCAACCCATCCGTTGTCCGCTTCTTTGCACTCTGGCTTGAGAACTCGGATTCAGAGTCTTCGAACGCCGTCGTACAAAAGACTCTACCAGACGTCCCTAGCTGGAAATTTGTTGGTCTGATGAACCAGCAGACATCGCGTCTGCAGTACGAGTCAAGCGTTTTCCAGCAATCGCTTTCGGACCTCATTCTTCGCATCTGCATCGATCATCCTCATCATGGTGTCCACTACATTTACACGGCCTGCTATTCATCCATTGTGGAGACTGACGTGGCTGCAAGATCTCGACGCGACGCTGCTCTCACTATCGCGAAGAAACTAAGCAGTGATGAGAAGGCGGCCGAGCCCCTGAGGAAGGGCTTTAGAGTGGGTGATTCCTACAAAGATCTCGCCGAATTGAACTTGAATCCGAAAGAGTTCAAGGGCAAGATTACAGTCAACATGGTGCCTAAAGCTAAGGATATGGTCAGCACAGTGTTGGCCAGGAAAGTGCCACCTGCAACGATGTCAGTTGAGCTTCGCCTTGATTGCGATTACTCTTCTGTTCCGATAGTTGCCCGGTACAGAGATGACATACGTATCGCCAACGGCCTGAGCGCGCCTAAGATCATGGTCGCTATCGGAACAGATGGTAAAGAATACCGCCAGCTATTCAAAGGTGGCAACGACGATCTCAGACAAGACGCCATCATGGAGCAAGTATTTGGCGAGGTCAGCAAGATGCTACAGACACACAAGACATCTCGTCAACGCAACTTGCACGTTCGCACATACAAAGTGCTGCCGCTCACATCAACATGCGGCATCATCGAGTTCGTACCGCACTCGGTGCCTCTGGGCGAATTCCTGGTTCCCGCGCACGTTAACTACCATCCCTCGGACCTGTCGCAAAACAAAGCACGCGAAAAGATCAGCAGCGTACAGAGCAACCCCAAAGATACACGCATCAAAGTCTACCGCGAGGTAGCAGCCAAACACAAGCCAGTCCTCCGTCATTTCTTCCTCGAGCGCTTCCAAGACCCAGACGACTGGTTCCAAAAACGACTGAACTACACCCGTAGTACAGCCACCATCTCCATTCTAGGCTGGATTTTGGGGTTGGGTGATCGCCACTGCCACAACATCCTGCTAGATGAAAAGAGTGGTGAAGCCATTCATATTGATCTGGGAGTAGCTTTCGAAGCCGGCCGCGTGTTGCCCATCCCCGAAGTCGTTCCCTTCCGCCTCACCCGCGACATCGTCGACGGCATGGGCGTCACAAAAACCGAAGGGGTGTTTCGGCGCTGCTGCGAATTCAGCATGGATGCTTTACGCGCGGAGAAAGACGCCATCATGACTTTACTCAACGTCTTGCGCTACGATCCATTTTACTCATGGACGCTTTCCCCCTTGAAAGCCCGCCGCATGCAAGATCCGAGTCGAGAGGGCGATGAAGTGGGGTCAGCGAGTAAGAGGCCTGAAGACGAGGCTGGGGAGGCAGCTAGGGCATTGGCGATTGTGGAGAAGAAGTTGAGTAAGACACTGAGTACGGCTGCTACGGTGAATGAGTTGATTCAGCAGGCGAGTGACGAGAAGAATTTGGCGGTGTTGTTTGCCGGGTGGGCTGCTTATTGTTGATTTGACCAGATGAGAAAAGGTGTAGAGGGGAGGAAGTAGAGGGGCTTCCTCTATTCTGCTTCTACGACTACTTTGCTCTAAATGCTTTTTGGTGTATATATCACAGCCAAAAGTATGTGTTGATGGAGAAGAATGTCGAGGTTATGCTACTGCTAGTTTGTCCATCCTGCTGTTATTTTTGTTTCGATAGGAATGTTTTCTTGTGCATATCTGTGCGCGAGGCACTTTGTGCAATTCATGCTGCTGGGCCGTGACCCTGTCATGGAGCAGAGCAGGGTGATAGCCCAAGCAATGCTCAACAACACGATTATCGACTTTATATAGCCACACCTATGATCTATCACTTGTATATAGCTAATGTAGCTGCTCCGATATAACGCTATCACCTCTTGTGAATTTTATCATCTTACAGTGTGTCATTGTTGTTCCACCTCGATATCTCTGATTTCAGAGTATTCGATATAGAAACTGACCTCAGATTACCACAATTCCTGACGACTGCTCAGACAAATGCTATGGAGATTCAAAGTAAACATGTTTCGGAGAACAATGACAACAGCGGTCAGAAGCAACAGGCGAGACCTGCAATTCTCCATATCTGCTATTCGTCGACAACGATGCCGACTTCAAATTGTTGGACACAGAGATGACATTCGTACGTTTGCTTTTCCTTATACACATGCACGTTGGACATTGCTCTGGAGGCTAAAAGCAATAGTTCATTTTGCATACAATAGCATCGATGAGGGTTGAATTTCCCATTATCAATCATAAAAATATACACACTCCCATTCATCACGTCCCAGTCGTTATACCATTGTGCTAGTAGCCATAGCCAAAACCACATCTAGCGATCGGCAGGCTCAGCGCGGGCGACAGGGAGGGTAGGGTCGTTACGGTAGTCGAGCCAGGTTTGCTTGCCATCTTCGGTGCTGTGGGCGGCTTCGCCGATGGGGTGACCGCCGTGGGGCACGTAACCTTCGCGTTCTGTATTTCGAGTCAGTGTCGAGTGCAGGAATCAGAAAAGGAGGGACTTGCCTTCTTCACAGACGACGTCGCGGAGACCGTGGCTGTGGCTGTGGCCATGACCGTGCGAGCCAGTGAGACCTGAGCTGGTGGTGCTGGAGCCAGTTAGACCGCTAGTGAGGCCTGAAGAGCCGGTGCCAGTAAGACCAGATGATCCGGTGCTTCCGATGCCAGAACTGCCAGTAAGACCTCTGTCACCGGTCAAGGTTGACTCCTGAGAGCGGACGGGTAGAGATGAGGTGTTGCTGGATCCGTAGGTGGAAGAGCTGTTGTAACCATCATTGCGGCCAGAACCGGAGATGACCTCTCTGGCGGCAGCGCGTGCCGAGTCTGGCTGAGAGCTTGAGTGGCTGCTAGTATCAGTGCCAGGGAGGTAGTCCTTGGCCTTTTGAGTGAGGCTTTCGCCGCCGGTGCTGGATGAGTATCTGTCGTTGTCGGAGCGACCTGTCAGGCCTCCAGATGAAGAGTGACCTCCTGATTTGCCTGCAGCGACATCAGAGCCCAAGTTGGTAGGGAGAGAGTCTCTTCCCTCATTTCTAGTGTTAGAGCTTGTGAAGTCGTCACCAATGCGGTGTCCACCGAGTCCAGGGGCGGTCTTTGAGTTGTATGCGTATGTGTCAGGGTTGGATCCGTGACCGACGGCAGAGCCGAGGGAGCTGTTGTTGTCACGCTTTGAAGCTGTGCCGTATCCAGGGTCGTCGTTACGGCCGCCCAAGCCAGTGCCTTGCTTGTTGCTGCCACCAACGCCGAAGGTCTCACGGACCTTTTCTGACAGAGGTTCGGAGGAGGAAGAAGTGTTGTATGAAGAGGTGGTGTTCGAACCGAGGCCTGAGCCGGTGAGTCCGCTGTTGCCACTCGGACCTGTGAGTCCGGTGCTACCGGTCAAACCGCTGCCGAGTCCAGTGCCTGTGCTGTGACTGGTGGTCGACTGAGAAGTGTAGTCGGAGGAAGTGTTGCCGAGTCCTGAAGCGCCTTGCATAGGTATGTCAGCATGTTCAAAGCTTGCAACGTTTGATCGACTCAACATACCATCCACGTTTCCAGCGTCGTAGGGCTCACCAGCCTCTCCACGACCAAGTCTGCCTGAGACAGGCTCGACACCAGATTGCGATGTGCCAGTAGCGACGTTCTGGGGAGCTTCACCGCCAGCAATGTGGCTGGTCTCGCCTTCTGAGGATTGTTGGTCAGCATTGTACTCTATAGTAGTTGTGTGGTTCTGTGACAGAAAGAGACATAGAACGAGCCATAGGCCATTCTGACGAGATGAAGCTACCACCCATGGAGAGCTGTGAACGACACAGCACCTCAGTGAGTGCTCCAATCCTGTGATCCATGCTTCTCTTGTTCCTGGGTAGCTTCATGTTGACTCGGCCAACACAGATTTTGTTGCTTACCTCTGGTCTCCTCAGTGTTACCACCCAAGCCAACGAGGTTAGCGGCGGCGGTTGCTGCGTTTCTGATAGATTCCATATTGTTATAGTGTTGTTTGAGTTGTTATTCGTAAGATAAAGTATGAGAGAAGTGAGGAACAAGGGAATTGATCAGGACAGTTAGAAGAGTAGTGGTCAAGTTCAGGTTTCGAGGTGGTTCAAATGACGAGCGAGCTGTTCATCGACAATTATGTCATGGCGGGGTGACGATCCGGGGTTTGATCGTACAAGACCACGACGAGCCGCACTGATGCTGCTCCCCCTGATAACTCTAGCTGCTTATAGGTGGACTACGGCATGGATCGAGCGGTTTTTCTGAACACCGATGTATTCCACGAAATCAAGTTTACTAGTTGGCATAGAACAAGGCACCAGCGGCACGGCTCGTTTGCTACTCTTAGTATCTCGCGAGTCCCCGGATTGATGCACACGGGAAGAAAAGGGACTCGATGCAAGCGGTGCAAGCGTGTTTGAAAGCAAGGTAATTAATTTGATCTACTGCCTAGACAGCCTGTGATGGTCATGAACAGCGGGTGGGTATAAAGCTTGAAAGTCGAAACCATGTTTCCAAAAAGACGCCAGAATCCTGCACAAGACAACAACTCAGATCATTGTCATGATCGACACTTCTACTTCTTCTTCCTTGCTTTCATCAAGGTCAGCGGTACAATCTGTGTCTTGCCCTTAGGTTTGATCGGCTTACGACACGCTGGACATGTGCCGTAATTGTGGTCGGAGTTGCGTTGGCTGGCTATCAAAGCTTGCGTCAGGCATTCGTGGCAGAAGATATGGCCTATAACAATGTTAGCACGAAGCTCAAAAGGACCTGTCGTCAAGGTGTAGACATACCACAATGCGTTGCAGTCATCCCGGTGAAGTGTTCCAGGCAAATCATGCAGTTTAGCTCTCCAATTCTACTGGGCTTACCAGCCTCTTCTCGTTGCTTGGCCACTAGAGCCTCACGCTCTGTAGCAAGTATGTCGTTGTCAGGACCCAACTCTTCCTCCTCTTCTTCGTCGGTATCATCTAGCTCTATCGGAGCATGAGCAGAGTTCAGGCGACGCTTAGTCCCAGATGGTGGAGTCCCGGGATCTGATGGGCGAGCACGTTTGCGACCTGCAGCGGCGGTAGAGGTCGAAGCAGGCATTGTGGTTGTATCTTCTTCCTTCGCGTACGGTTGGATGGCAGGATTTTGGTAGTCTGAGTATGATTGACCACTTCTGGAAGCACTGGCAATATGGTGTGTACCGAAACGTGGGGTCGAGTGACTGTTGGAATGAGAATGTGCAAGAGGGTTGGAGATGGAAGGACCGGTAGAGTGGTCGGTGAAGGATGGTCCTGCGAAAGGTTGGACGGACGAGGAAGAAGCGGATTGGTGTGCTGGGTCAGTAGTGGTGGTATGGTGTGAAGGGCCAGAGTCTTGAGGCGACTGGGGTGGTGAATAGAAGAAGTGATTGGGGATGTAACCGAAGCTGGATTGTTGAGCAGAAGTAGAGTTGAGGCGAGAAAGCGGTGGCAGTCGCGGGAGAATCGAAGGTCGTGGTAGGAAGTCGGCACCTTCCCTCAATGCAGCAGCCAGAGAAGCGGATGGAGTTGAGTGGTGCTGGGGTCGGGCTTGGGTGGCCGTCGGGTGGTGTCGTGACTGTGCAAAGTTTGGCAAGGGCAGTCGGGGATATGAAGACGAAGGCGAATGTCGGTGTTGTGGCGGTGGAATATAGCCCTGAGCAGGTGTGTTCGTGGGTTGTTGGTTGGCTTGCGAGTTGTCGTCGGAGTTGTGGGTGTCGTTCCAAGGTCTGTGAGCAACAGTGAGCCTGTGGTATGCCAGAGACAGCAAAGAGACGATGGGCAGACGGACGGGAAGGTGAAAGAAGTGCCAACAAAGGGCCAGTGGTTACCACTGGAAAAAGACATGATCTCGTAAGAATAGCGGTAGCGGTTGCTGTCTTGGACGATGAGGCCTCATGGCACTTTATTGCAAGAAACTACTGAGGGTACATAAGCAGCGACATATTACTGGAGTTTGCGTCTTTGGCCGATTGATGCTGAGCCGCTCTGCTGCTGCTGCTGCTGCTGCTGCTGCTGCTGCTGCTGCTGGCCGTGTCACACAAGAGATGCAAGAGGAGAGCCTGCTCTTGCGTCAGCCCTGCCCAGTGCTAGCCTTCATAGCGTGGGTATCCCAGCGCAGCCAAGGGCGTTGCTTTCGGCCATGAATGTTCCAGTCAACAGCTCTCCCTTCGGTGTTTAGAAAACGATAGACCGAGGGTGGCTTGGCAGACGACGGTTTGCGCTATTTGCACATGGTTCGGCCGCTTTGAAATCCGCACTGCGCAAGGTCATGATGTCGACTGTGCGAGAAGAAAGTTCATTGCCCCCGCTATGGAGTCGCTGGAAGTTACTTTTGTATCAGAGCTCCTCCGTACATGTGCATGTCAATGATACCATAGACACTAGACTGTCCTTGCCTCCGTACCTTCTAGCATGGCCGCCAGCTCGATGCGGTCGCAGCAGGCCTCGCTGTTGCGCCTCGGTCGTGTCGTCCGCCAACGCCCGCCCTACTCTTGCACACGACCCTATGCAACCGATGGCTTCAATGACCACCCTTCGCCTGCTTCGTCCGCCGCATCTCGTCGCTCTTCTCTATCAGTACCCGCCGAATCGCGCTTCAATGAAATTGGTGTCCAACAAATCAGCAGCCATATCTATCCCCAGATATTTTCTGGCAAAGCTCCCCCAGCCGCCGAAGACCTCGTCCGCCTATCCAAGGATCACTTGCAGCGACATGATTTACTGGGAAAGAACACGGACTCGTCAGAGCCTGTCGCCTTCGACATGCCCGAGATACAAGGCCAGACCCTGGACGAACATTTCTACAAGTTAGCTATGGATTCTGCCGAGCCGTACCTAGGTCTCGCCAAAAAGTACTCGACCGCAAATGCGCCACCAAGACCGCGCAAGTGGGCTCGACAGAGTGGCTGGACCAAATACCACCAGGATGGCTCTTTCGAGCCTGTAGAAGCTCCGGATGAGGAGATGTTGACCTTTGACGTCGAAGTCTTGTGGCACCAATCGTCGTATGCTGTCATGGCATGCGCCGTCAGTGATAAATCCTGGTATGCATGGTTGTCGCCCTGGCTGTTGGGAGAATCTGAGAGTGACCGTCATCTTATCCCGCTTGGAGACCCTCGCAAGCCTCGTATTATCGTTGGCCACAATATTGGCTACGACAGAGCCCGAATCGCCGAAGAATATGAGCTTGGTCAATCGCGCAACAACTTCATCGATACTATGTCGCTACACGTTGCTGTCAATGGAATGTGCTCGAGACAAAGACCGACCTGGAACATGCACCGCAAGAATCGCGAGACTAGAGACAAGATTGCGAATTTAGATGCTGCAGCTGATCTGGCCGCGCTTCTCCAGGCCAAAGGAGATGTAGATGAAGAGGAAGAACTCTGGGTTGGTCGAAGTTCTGTCAATTCCCTTCGAGATGTTGCCCAGTTCCATTGCGGCATCACCATCGACAAGGCTAAGCGTGAATGGTTCTCCGAGCTCGATCGAAAAGGTGTCTGCGACAAGCTTGACGAATTGCTCGATTACTGTGCTGCCGATGTTGATATCACTCACCGAGTTTACAAGAAGGTCTTTCCAGCGTTTATGGAAACTTGCCCTCATCCTGTTAGTTTCGCAGCGCTTCGCCATCTCTCGACTGAGATCTTGCCCGTCAATCGTTCATGGGATTCATACATTACAAACGCAGAAGCCACATACCGCAAGCTGTCTGATGCTGTAGAACAACGATTACATGACCTGGCCAGCAAAGCACTCGCGCTAAAAGACAAACTTGAGGAATACGAGAATGATCCATGGTTGAGCCAGCTGGACTGGTCGGGCCAGGAGATTCGTATGACCAAACCCAAGAAGAAGGGTGAGGAGCCCAGGCCTGCTGCCCGTCAGAAGATGCCTGGTATGCCCAACTGGTACAAGGATTTATTCGTGAAGAACGGCGCACCTATTGGTCTCACAGTACGCACGCGGATTTCGCCGTTGTTACTACGTCTTGCCTGGGATGGCTATCCGCTTGTGTGGTCTGACAAGTATGGATGGACTTACAAAGTACCGAATAATGAAGCGAGCAAATACATCAATCGAGGACTGTCGAATTGCGACATGGATGAGGAAGAGAACCTCAAGCTCCGAGACGACAGCCAGCATGTTTATTTCCGCTTACCGCACAAGGACGGACCGCAAGCCAGATGCGCCAATCCGCTTGCGAAAGGATACCTACAGTTTATGGAGAACGGCACCCTATCGTCGGAGTACACGTATGCGAAGGAGGCACTGCAGATGAATGCGTCCTGCTCCTACTGGATCAGTGCTAGGGACCGCATCATGTCGCAGATGGTCGTGTATCGTGGAGAGGAAGACAAGAACGATCAGCTTGGCTTCATCTTGCCGCAAATCATTCCCATGGGCACCATTACACGCCGAGCAGTCGAGAACACGTGGCTGACAGCTAGTAATGCAAAGAAGAACCGTGTGGGATCCGAACTCAAGGCCATGGTCAAAGCCCCACCAGGCTACTGTTTCGTCGGCGCAGACGTCGATTCACAAGAATTGTGGATCGCGGGACTCGTGGGCGATGCATCCTTCCAGATCCACGGCGGCAACGCAATCGGCTTCATGAACCTCGAGGGCAGCAAAGCCCAAGGCACAGACATGCACTCTCGCACCGCCTCCATCCTGGGCATCTCCCGCAACGACGCAAAAGTCTTCAACTATGGCCGTATCTATGGCGCCGGATTGAGATTTGCCTCTACCCTGCTCCGCCAATTCAATCCCACCATCAGTGATGCAGATGCAGACAATACGGCCAAAAAACTGTACGAAAATACCAAAGGCCAAAAGACGACCCGCAAAGTTTTGCGTGAGAGGCCCTTCTGGCGCGGCGGCACCGAGTCTTTTGTCTTCAACAAGTTGGAAGATTTCGCCGAGCAAGAACGGCCTAGGACGCCAGTATTGGGCGCAGGCATCACTGAAGCCTTGATGCGCAGATTCATTAGTAAAGGAGGTTTCATGACTTCTCGCATCAATTGGGCTATCCAGTCTTCAGGTGTCGATTACCTGCATCTGCTGATCGTGAGCATGGAATATCTGTGTCGACGCTACAACATCAATGCCAGACTCTCCATCACCGTACACGATGAGATTCGCTACTTGGTCAAGGAAGAAGACAAATATCGCGCCGTCATGGCACTCCAAGTCAGCAACATCTGGACACGCGCAATGTTCTCCCAACAAATGGGTATCCACGACTTACCTCAGTCATGCGCATACTTTTCAGCCGTGGACGTGGATACCGTGCTGCGCAAGGAAGTAGATATGGATTGTGTGACTCCCTCTCACACATCACCCATCGCCGCAGGCGAAAGTCTGGATATCTTGCAATTACTCGCTAAAGGCGAAGCTGCGTACTTGGATCCTGCTATTGTGCCCATTGATCCGCCTCAACCTCAAAGATTTGAGTATAAGAATCGAGAAGCTGTTATGACGAGTCTGCAGCAAGCGGAAGCTCCTGCATACCTCAAAGCGCAAACGACAGGCAATGATGCAGAGTTGAGGCAAATCATCAAAGACCTGCGCTTCCCTGCTACCACCTCCTCATCCGCTGCATCTACTTCCTCCTCCACAAAACTCAAGGCTTCTTCGTCAACGTCATCGTCATCGACAACCAAGCCCAAGACTGGAACCCGCAAACAGAATAAACCCAGCACAGATCCTTACATGCAAAACCCCTCGCTGCTGATGGTTGAGGACAACGATGTGCCGTTTGGAAGGTACGCACCGCAGTCATTTGCGGATTGGAGGGATAGAGATGTGTATTCTCAAGCTTCCTCTGCTTCGGTGGCCGGAAGCAGACAGGACAGGAAGAGACAAGAGAGCAATAAGGCGGCTGTGGATGAGAATTCCTACTGGAGTCCGGGGTTGGTGAGGAGGATTCCTAGTGCTGTTGGTAAGGTTGTGTAAGATTGTGGTGAGAGGAAGGATTTCTTTTTGTTGTGTATTCATACTCTTCTCTTTGGATGTTCGGTGTGCATGTGAGGTCTGCATGGTCAGTGGAGGGTACTGGGAAGTGTAAATATCTCATCAGGGTTACGAGACGTAGATTCATTTATTGCATATGCGTATTTTTCCAAGCAGAATCATCTCTTCTGCTGCACACTCAACGCAGGACCAAACAAATCCTCACCTTCCCTGAAACTCTTTTCTCGTGCCAACTTCTTCCTTTCTGCCTTTTCTCCATCTATCTCTCCCTCTCCCAAACCTCCTCGCTTGACATTTTCATGCTTTTTGATCAGATCTCTCGTGCTTGGATCCCTGACTACTTCTAGTCTGGCTTCTAGATCTGCTCGTTCGTCTTTACTCATCACGGCCTTGTTGTCAAAGCTCGCCATCATATCTGCACATTGCGATATCGTGGATATGATAACATCATGCGAAGGAGATGTAGCAGGGATTTTCGTGGAGAGGTAAAAAGTGAACAGGATAGGATCCGAGAGTTTTAGAGCAGCGAGATAGATCTGGGGTGGTGTGAAGAGAAAATAGACGTCAGTGAGCAAGGCCGGAGCGTCGAGGATATGGCGGGCGATGCCGTAGGCGCAGTGAGCTCTGTCTGAAGCTTCTTTTGGGCCGATGGATTGGGGAGGTTGCCATTGTGTTCGCGAGCCCGGTGGTGGTGGAGGCAATTCGCACATTTGAGATTGCAGAGCCGAGGGAGTTGTGGAGAGGAAAGGCAGGGGCGCACCATTGCCTTCGGCGAGGTTCAAGAGATCCATGAAGCATCCCTTGAGCGCGCGGAAAGGTTGCCGTACATCCAGAGTGAAGCGCAGAGCTTGAATGATTTTATATTCGGGAGCCAGGACATTTTTAGGATCTGTCTTTATACGCCGCGCGTATTCAGAAAGACTCATGTGGACGCCTTCAGTCTTGCTGGCCAGAAATAAGACGCTCTTGTAGATTTCCTTGGGCGGGTACGTGATGACGGAGTTTGTAGTGTAGAAGCGCTTGAGGTATTGGACGGCGGTGGCTTTGACGTTGACAGACCATTGGAAGAAGTCGGAGGTAGAGCGGACTTGGTCGCAGTAGCGCTGTACCAGACGCAGTTCGTCGTATGCGGTAGGCAGAGAGGACAGGTCTGATTCGGAGAGGTAGGAGCGGGCTTGTTGGAGGGCGGCTTCGTGGGTGTTTTGACGGAGGGAGAGGAGGGCGGACTCGCTGAAGGACCAAAGGCGGAATTGGGTCGATGTGCGGTACATGTCGTCCTCGGTGAGGGTCTGGGCTGGCGGAGCTGCCATTGCGGTTGATGGTGTGTGAGATGGAGGCCTGGACTGGCGATGGGATGTGGAGAGTTGAGGGTGCCGTAGAGCCCGAAGGTGTTTGCTCTGGTGGTGGTGGTACTCGTCGTGTCACAGATGGGCGAGAGACTGTCTGCGGCGCGACAGAAGCGGTGGTCAAAGTGATGATGGAGTCGGCGCAAAGATGATCAAATGTTTATGCTTCACATGCCCCAGATTCACCTTCGGCTCGGGTCGTCATTGGCGCGGAGAGCGAGGCCGCGACATGGATCGATTCGACCATCTGTCTCCTTTGACTTACAACTGCATTTCTATTCTTACTCCTCGTATGCAAACAAACTGTTAATCTACATCGCTGCCCAACATGGCAGCCAAAAGCACAACCATCAAGCGCATTCGTACTACCTCTCCCTCTACATTCATCTCTCACCTCCGCCACTAACTCCCGACTAGTCAAAGAAGCCGCCGAGATAACCACAAACCCCACTCCAGATTTCTACGCCGCTCCCCTGGAAGAAAACCTCTTCGAATGGCACTTTACAATCCGCGGCGCTCCTGAACCTTCGCCCTTCGCTGGAGGAGTCTACCACGGCCGCATAATACTCCCTCCAGCATATCCCCTTCGACCGCCCTCATTCCGCTTCTTGACTCCCTCGGGCCGCTTCGAACCCAACCGCGAGATATGTCTGAGTATATCTGGCCATCATGAAGAGACCTGGCAGCCTGCTTGGGGCATACGTACTGCCTTGGTCGCCATAAGGAGCTTTATGGATACCGATGCTGGCGGTCAGGTTGGCGGTATGAGTGCTCCTGATAACGTGAGGAAAGCTTTGGCAGAGAAGAGCAGAGAGTACTCTTGTGCTGGTTGTGGCAAAGGCGCCTTGGCAATCCTGGAAGAGCAAGAGGAGAGGTGTAAAGACCTGGGCATTCAAGCCACAGACGAAGAGGAAAATCCCTTGGTTGGCAAGATCGGCCTGATTGAACCCAAGAAAGATGCTAGCACTACAGACATCTCTGCTCCAACAAGCGCAGCATCTCAATCGGAAGATACTGTGGCTGGATCAGAGCCTGAGCCGCCTCGTGTCGCCCAAGGGGTCCAACCTACACCCACGATTCAACAGTCGCAATCACAGCCACAAGCCCAAGCTGCTCCTCAAGCTCAGTCACAACCACAACCACAACCACCCACTCAACTTCAACAACCGCCGCTACAGCCAGTAGTAGCAACCACAAGGACGGATGCTTGGATAGACAAAGCCATCATTGGCATAGTCATCGCTCTCGTCTTAATGATCTTACGTCGTGCCGCTTAGTTAGATACCCCGTTGCATTTTCTGTTGTCAAAGACCATTGTAGCTGTTCTTACCTTTCCACAGTTCGAAGAGTGTGAGCGCGAGTATGGCCCATTTAAAGAGTGTCTGGTCAGCTCATTCGAGCCCATCAAGGCACACCATTTTCCCGGATACGTACTAATAGCCCAAAGCACGCTGCCATGTGCGCTTGCAGCTGCTGTCGATGTCTTACGGATTTGTGAGTCCGAGTCGTTCCGTCATCTTGTTGGCTGTTCGATGGAAATTGTTGGGGCTTCATTGACCTTTCCTTCCCTGACGACAGCGAGGTTGGAAGTCGCAACTCCCTCCCACCTGCCATTCACGAAGCGTTGAGGCAGCCATCTGCCATTTCCCTCCATCCTCCAGCTTCGTTCTTCTCTCTTCTCCTTCATCAACCAAACATCAACTGCTTTGCATCTTCCAACGATAGCTTGTTACTTGCTTTACTACTCTTCTCTGCTTTACTCACTGTTTACTTACCGTAACATTAACCTCCTGAGCAAAAGGTATCGTTGATGCTGATCGCTTCACCATCTCTGCAATGGCTAACCATCGTCATTCATCACAGCCTCCCATCATCTTCCATCTGCCATCAGCTCATACCCACATCCATCAAGGCTTCATCCATCCATCTCGACGCCATGCATTTCATCAAGCTTGCCACCGGCACTTGCATCATCGCAGCCACCAGCTCGGCTGCTCAGCTGAGTCAGACACAGTCTTACGAGCAGGTCTCCAACATGACTGTCAGTGCCATCGTCAATGACTTCCGCTACAACGGCGATGTCACCGTCCTTCGTGGCCTCATCGACATTGCCTTTGCCGCGCTCCAGTCCGAAGCTGCTCTGGTTGCATCTTGTCTCCAGTCCAGCAGCTCTTCCACTGGAAAAGGCGGTCCACCTGCTACCTCGCCACCAACTTCCAGTTCCATCCTCAACCCCGTCATCCCCAATCCACCACCTCTCAGCGTTCCAGTGCCCGTCCCAGCTCCAGCTCCTCCAGCGGCACCTCCAGCTGGTCAACCTGCCTCACCACCAAACAACCTACCAACGGGCCAGCCTCCTATCGCCACTCCTCCCATTGTTGCACCTTCCATCGCTGCTCCTCCAGCTTCGCCAGCCCTTCCAGCAACTGCCGCATCTCCTGCAGGCAACAATGTCCAGCCGCCATCATCACCTTCTGGATTCAGCAACTCACAAGCATCCAACCCATTGTCCAACCAAGGCAGCTCCGGCTTCTTGACCTCACTTGTTCCCAACTCACGTCCAAGCCTCAATGGATCCACCAGTAGCTCTAACCTTTCCGGTCTTTTGAGCCCTGGTGGCTCGGGCTCTTCTGGCCCAATCACTGCTGGAGGAAGCAACGCTCTTGGTGGTATCGTGTCAGGAGTCAACAGCGTCGCTGGTGGTGCACTTTCTGGAGTCGGCGGCCTTGTGTCTGGCGTCCTCGGTGGCTCTGCTGCTACACCTGCTGCTGGAGCAGGAGGTCTCGTTTCCAATGCCGCTGGAGCTGCCGGTAACCTTCTCTCAGGGGTTGGCGCTGCTGCTACTGGTATTCTCGGTGGTGTTGCCAGTGCTCTACCAGGCCCTCTAGGAGGCGTCGTTTCTGGAGTCAACAGTCTTGCAGGCGGAGTTCTGTCTGGAGTCGGAGGTATTGTGTCCAATGTCGGCGGCGCTGCTGGTTCTCTTCCAACAGCTGTCGGTGGAGCTGTATCGAACGTCGGCGCAGGTGTTGGAGGTGCTTTGACAGGGGTCGGAGGTGCTGTCACTGGCGCAGTTGGAGGGGTCGCTGGATCCTTGCCTACCCCTCTCGGCGGTGTTGTGTCTGGAGTCGGGAACGCAGCAGGCGGAGCCGTTTCTGGTGTTGGAGCTGCCGTCTCAGGTGTTGCCGGAGGACTTGGTGGAGCAGTTGGTGGTCTACTCGGCGGTCTTCTTGGAGGCGGTGCCTTGCCGTCCTCTATCACCGGCACACCCAGCCCAGTCTCTGGAGTCATCGTCAGCGCTACCAATGGAGCCGTCGCCACTTGCACGGATCTCATCTGCCTTCAAGCATCTCTTCCCGGTCTCTTGGGCTTGAACGTCAACACCATTCCCACCGGTGGCTCTGGTGGTTCTCTACTCGACGTCGGTGTCAAGGTCCTTGGAGGTGGCAATGCACCTGCTGCTGCACCTGCCGTCACTACCAACATCAACGCCATCATCTCTGCTGCCAGTCAAGTTTCATCGGTCATCAGTGCAAGTCAATGCAACAACCTCATCTGTCTTCAGGCTTCTCTTCCAGGAGTCATCAGTCTGAGCGCCGGTGCCATCCCAACATCCGGTGCAAACCTCGGCAACCTTCTCGGAGTTGGTCTCAATCTCTTCGGTGGTGGTCAGGCGCCCACTATTGCCACCGTTGCTGCAGGTACTGGCTCGGCCCTCGTCGCTGCTGTCACTACCTCAGTCTCCATTACCCCACCACCAACAGCTGGACAGCCTGCACCAACTGGACAGTGGGTTCCAGTGACCTCATGGATGTACATTGCTCCTGGTGGCTTGGGTCTCTGATCTGGTGGAACGACATTGTGATGACCGTGATGAAATGATGGTGTCTCTAATTGATAACGGGAGTATTTTACGACAGTTCTAATACCAAAGCATCTTCTACATACCGTCTTGTGCCAATCATCTCGTCGTGCAATGTGACCGCTATCCATCATCGTTTCAATATCTCCTTTGCGACCTTCTTCTCAGTCTGTTCCAGCAAAGTCATCATGGCTGTACGCCTGTCTGTAGCACTGTCGCCTTGCAGCACGACCTTTGTCGCAGCAGCGATCTTTGGGTATTTTGGATCCACAACCTCTTCGCCAACAATGGCGCAATAATGTATCATGCCATTGGGCGAGCGTGCTGTCACGACTTTGAGGTTCCTTTCTCTAGGATACAACGCTTGAGCATTTGCTTTTACACCATCACTAACCTCAGCATGCTACAAAATGTTTGAATGGGACGTCACACGCATGCAATGCAGAAGGATGCACCTACCCGTTATTTGGTTTGTGATGTCTGATATTGTAATGACCTGGAGGACTTCATCATGACCGCCTGCTTTGACTGGTGGCATTTTGAAGTGCAAGATAGAAAGAAGATTTCTGATTGCTGGCGTTTTGCTGATCGATGCAGTGAGAGGTTCACAGAAGAACTTGAAAGGGTATGAGGGTGAGAGAGAGGAAGATCAAACGACTCTTTGTCAATTCCAAGAGGTTGTATGTTGGAAAGTTGGATGTGAGTATGGATGCGGGTATCAGACACACGGATCTCCTTATCCAACGGCACAACTATCTTGCACTATCTTCTTATCGCAGTTGGAGATGCATAGAACGTTGAATAACAGAACCCGTTGTTGTTGATATCATCATTGACCCTGTTTCCTCCCACATGGGACGTCAGTAACTTAGCCCGGCCGGCTTTTCCAAGTTTCGTTAAAGCCGAAGCAAAACAGCAGTGCGCCAAAAAGACAGACGCCACTGCAGTCATCGCAAGAACCACTGACCTTTGGCGACACAGAAGTTTCGAGATCTTGGTTCTGTAATGCAAAAGAGTTTCAAAAGCTCGCTTCTGGCAAACTCTATGATTCATGCTTTCAATGATGGATAGGTAGTAGGCGGAGTAAGAGGCGAAAGCAGCGGCAGATACGAATGTGTGTTTTCGAGTAGGGTTCATTTGTTTAGATCAGCATGTTTGGGGTCAGGAAGAGGTTTAGGGTGTTGCTTTCTCAGCTGCAACTCTGCGAGACTTGCACGGTGTTGAGCTGCGAGCACTTTCCCGAGTGTCGATCAGGGAGAGGGGTGCAGTAGGAGAGTGTGACCGGGAGGATTGTGGTTCGTTCGCGGTTGGGGCGCGCCGAGGAGACAGACGTGGGATGTAGAACAGTAGAAGATGTGGATTAGGGTTGTGCTCTTGTTACAGTATGCGAGTGCTATGATGATGTGCATGCAGTTTGAAGGGTTTGCGAATGTGCCACAGAGGTGGTATCGAATACTGCTGCTGGTAGAGTTGGTATCTCGCCAGAGGAAGAGGTCTAGAGATCTGCCATAATCAAGGAAGATCCCAAGATGATGGATGTTCCGCCAGCGAGTACTGTACCTGGTCCTTGTATGGAATCCTCGAAAACAGAGTTTCGATACCATGTTCGCGTGCAGAGGCGTTGGTATCCGACCGGGGCCGCTCACACTCACCCCCCCCACTTCGGTGGTGGAAGCTGATCCCTTTGCCAACGGCTTTTTTTGACTCGAAAGCAGATCCAAGTCGAGTCAGCACAGCGGAGTCTCGGAAGACCTTACTAAACTTTGGCTTTTGCGAACGGAGCAGCCCTCTCTCTGTGTTCCTTACACAACTTTCTCAAGCTGCTTGACCTGATTCTACCTTCTTCATTTTCCACATCGACTCTTCTTCTTATCTGGCGATACAAACTCGGCAGGAAAACGCAACTCGGAGATCTTCTAGGATTTACTGGACCCTAGAAAACAGGACTTATTTTATCAAAGCGACCTTTTGTTAAAGAGGCTACCACACGACAAACGAGACTATGCCTACGAGTGTGCCCAAGACATCTGCATTGGGTGTGTGCAAGCAGTGCCAGACCAACGATGCAGTCGAAAACGTCCGATCACGACCCATGTGCAGGTGAGCAACTGACACTCCAACCATCTCGTCGTCGCAACAGACGTACTGACTCTTGTCTCTTAGGGACTGCTTCTGCAAATACATCGCCACAAAAGCCGTAAAGCGCATGGAAAAGTTCCGCACAAGATTCTCCACCGCGGGCCAGCAACGAATGCTCCTGCTACCACTCTCCATGGGCGTATCTTCGCTGGCACTCCTACACTGTCTGGACGAGCAACTCAAACGCCAAATCGAAAACACAGGACGCACTGGCTTTGCACTGCAAGTGCTGCACGTGGACATGACCGCCGTCGTACCCGAAGGACCCTCAGCAGTCGATCTCGACGCCATAAAGCAACGCTATCCAACACACACCTACACCACCATCCCCATCTCCTCAGTCATGGAAGTAGAAGACATACAAGACCTACTCAAACAATACAACATCGATACCCCCGAGACCGCCCTTGAAAACACCGGCATCGAAATCACAAACACTGATTCCCTACATACTTTGCTCAAAGCTATACCCACCGCTACTGCTCGAGCAGATGTGCTGCAGATCCTCCTCCACAAATTCATCGTCGACTTTGCAAAAGCCGATCTCTGCGAAGCCATTCTCTGGGGCGACAGCACAACCCGCCTCGCCGAAAAGACATTAGCTGAAACTGCAAAAGGACGAGGATTTGCGCTCGCCTGGTTGGTCTCTGACGGCCCTTCACCCTACGAAATCGACTTCTACTATCCTTTGCGAGACTTGCTTAAAAAGGAAATCCACGCATATGCTGGTTATGTTAGCCCACCACTCACACCACTCGTCGCTGCTGAAGCGCCATTGGAAACAGCAGTGAGTGCCAAACACAGCACCATTGATGGATTGATGCGCAATTACTTTGACGCGGTGGAGAAGAATTACCCCAGTATTGTAGCTAATGTGGTGAGGACGACTGCCAAATTCGTGGCTCCCGGCGTGGGCGCTGGAGATGCGAGTTGCAGTCTCTGCGGATTGCCGTTGTTATTGACACCCAGGACTGAGCAAGGGTTGGAGTCTGAGGGCAAGGCTCCACCGCCGTTGTGTTATGGGTGTATGAGGAGCGTGCCTATGTTCTCGCCTTGATGAGGCTGGGTCCTTTCTCTTTTTCCCTCTCATCTTGGCATGTTTTTTTTTCCCCCCAGCGTATCATGATAGACGGCTTTCAGGTTTTCGTTGCGCTCTAGTTTTCTATTTTTTTTTGTTTCCCTCATGAGATGATTGGTGGTGGACTACCCACAGTATAATGATGATGAGGTGGAGAGGGAACGCAGATGTTGATACCACAGACAAACCCTCAAAAAAGCACGTCACAAGGACATTCACCCAGAGCAAACTGTCGCCCAGATTGGAGCTTTGCCGCTCCGTAGATCACACAGTCGGCATGATCAGCAAGTCGAAACTCGAATTAGCTGGCGAGAGATGTGACATGACATGAGTTGTTATGTAAAGGACATGGTAGAATGGGAGTCTTGAAACAATGGACAAAAAGTTGATGACTTGGTGGTATCTCAAACGCTATACGTCAAAAGGGGGGAATCAAAACCTTGCTAACAATCATAAGAAACCACAACGCCCTGCCGATTAACCTATACAAACAACTCGTGGATATCTTCAGAATCTGCTCTTCCTTGTCCATACAAAACCCTCCTTTGTCATCCTCATCTTCTATCAGAGCGCAGGGTGCCGGTCTCCATCGAGTTGTTGACACGAGGGGCACGACCGGCGACATTACCACTCTCCAGGTCTTGTGGCCTTCTGTCGTTGTTATTACCGAAGTTGAACCAGCCGCCTGACTTCTTTGCTCCGGTGTTTGCAGTGGGTGCAGGTTGACGGACGTCATATGCGCCATCAGTGTGTGGACGAGTCTCCTGAAGGAACGCTCTACGGTCGTCTTCTTCGTCACTAAAGTCTTCGAACGCTGTAGCAGGCGGGTTCTTCTTGCCTGAGCGGCCTCCAGTCGCTCTGAGGTTATCAGGCTTGTACAGGTTGTCCAGATGTTCCTCTAGGAGTCGGCAGTTCTTGGTGTTGGCCTTGAAGTAGGCATCGGCAAGATCGCCGAGGAAAGGAACGAGGCCGATGAGGAAGTCGAGAGCGACGTTGATGAGCATTTGGATGAGAATGCCCATTGGCAAACCGCCCTTGACCTTCATGCAGCCCCTGACGAGCAACAAGGCTATAGCGGCATCAATGGCGTCGCCGGCAGCGGGGACTATGCCAATGACGGAGGACCAGCCGAAGCGTGTACCAAAGACTTCGAAGAGTGCCATGTCCATTCTGTAAGAGCGACGGCGCATTTTGGCTAGGACGTCGGCGTCGTGTTCAGGGATGTAGGATGGAACAGTCTTCTTGACCTTCTTCTGCTTGCCGGGCTTGCGTGGGTCGTCGATGTATACAAAGAACGGATCCTGGAGGAGATGGGTTAGTCTTTGCATCTATACCGAATGTGTATTTTGAGATTTACTTACTTGATCGCCGCAAGGCTTCTTGCTCTGGTACTTTGCCATCTGGCCGCGCAACATCTTGTTGGCAGCGTATTTGCCCACCATTGCAGCCATGTTTGCGATGCTTTTTTGTGTTCGATCGGCGATAAAACGGGTACGTTGATTAAAGCAGCGAGGTCGATGTTTGTATGCTGGCAAAAGTAATGAGGCGAGTCAAAAATAGCAAATGCTGGTAGACACAAGTCTCGGATCAGCTTGTCTTAAGAGCTTGTCGTAGCACGGCGCGTGGTGAGACGGTAAGGGGAAGGAAGTAACTGGGCGTCAAGCTTCGGGGCGGTTGCTGAGGGAAACGACGAGTTTTGGAAGAATGTAGCGCTCGAGAGAGTTGAGTTGTCCAGAAAACTGCTCGTGAAGATAGGCTGATGACGTGCCAGTGTAACAATGATTCGACGTCGCATAGATTGGCCAGAGGCGCGACCTGATTATAACCTGCTTGTCGTCCGCCGTGATGATCGCATTTCGAAACTATCAATTGTACACAGCCACACTTTGATCGTCACTGGCACATTCTAGCCACAAACGCCTAAGTGCACCGCCTCACGCAAGGGGTCGAGGTGTCAAGGATCGACCCGGCGTTAAGTCCGACAAGCAATCGATCCGGAACGCGTCTGGAGCTGACGTGCGAGCTTCGAGGGGTGTGATAGCTACAAGACACATTTTTCTCTTTGCCTTTATACGTACCAGATCTTGTCTTCACACACAAGCTAGGGAAACATGCGGTCATGGTATCAATTGTGCACTGCTGTGCTGCTATCGTCGCTAGCGCTAGGTGTTTACGGCAATGAGGTCAAAGTTGTATGTACTGCTGCTTCAATTGAGTCGAGCGTTGACACTGCAATACTAACACTCTGCACAGGACCAAAAGGAGGAGAACCGGCAACAATGCTCTGGCATGTTTAGTCGCAAGGGCTGGGGTGGAGCTGTAGACCCCTTCATCTTGACCAAGTTTGTTAAGCCTGAGAACATACCCGAAGACCAGGATCCCGTCGTATCGCTCGTTATGTTCGAGTGGTCGGATCGCGACTACGTTGGTAAACTCATGGACGACACAACCTCGGATCGTGCATACATCTGCGATGCCACCGCCATCGAAGCCAAGTTCTGCAATACAACAGAGGAGGGCGAGTTCATTCTATCCCAGGACGCCGAAAAGAGCAAGAGCATGATCATCACACAAGCAATACATCTCAAGAACCCGCCTGCCATAAACTATCCTATCAAGCGTACTGGATACTATTGCGTGGGCACGTACGGTTATACTGCAGAGAACTACAACGGTATCGTCGAGTTCCGCAACAGTTACGGCGAGCTGCCTGCTGCTCAAATCGCAAAGCTGCCCTTTTACGGTGCTCTCACCCTCGTCTACGCCCTTGCATCTGCCGGCTGGGCTTTCCTATATTTCCAGAACCGACATGACATTCTGCCAGTCCAGAACTACATAACAGCCATTCTGGTTTTCCTCGTCATCGAGATATTTATGACATGGCTCTTCTACGACTTCCAGAACAGGCATGGTCTTAGCACAGGCGCCAAAGCGTTGCTCATCGTGGTTTCTGTCCTCTCGGCAGGCAGAAACTCTTTCAGTTTCTTCTTGCTACTGATTGTATGTATGGGGTACGGCGTCGTCAAACCCAGTCTGGGTCGCACGATGATCTGGGTTCGCTGGCTGGCCATCACTCACTTCATCTTCGGAGTTGTCTATGTAATCGCCTCTCTTTCCGTGACCCCTGAGAATGCTGGCCCTCTGGTCTTGCTCGTAGTACTGCCTCTCGCAGCTACACTGACAGCCTTCTATATCTGGACGCTTAACTCGCTCAATGCCACCATGAAGGACTTGATGGAGCGCAAACAGACCATCAAAGCCATGATGTACCGCAAGCTCTGGTGGTGCATTCTTGGCTCCATCGTTGTCATCTTCGTCTTCTTCTTCGTAAACAGCTGGACTTTTGCCGGAGTTAGCGATGAGGACTTCGTACCCACACATTGGTCGTCACGTTGGTTCATTCTGGACGGCTGGCTCAACCTGGTGTACCTCGCGGATGTTGCGTTCGTTGCCTGGCTCTGGCGCCCAACAGCAAACAATCGCCGCTTCGCCATGAGTGATGAGGTATGTGACCCCTGAAATTTGGCCGACTTTATACATGCTAACTTTGCTGTCTAGATTGCTCAAGACGATGAAGGATTCGAGATCGCAAGCATGCGCTCTTCCCTCGACTTTGACGACCCTGACCTCGAAGGCGCACCACCCGCCTATGATGCCCCTAGGAACAATGCTTCAAGCTCCATAGCCAACCGTGACACATCACCTCTGCCAGCGCCCAAGCCGACAAAGCCTGCGCCATTGCCTAGAGAATCTTTGGATGGTGAGACGATATTTGCGGTCGGTGGAGAGGATGACGATGACGAGAGGTGGAGTGAAGACGACAGTGATAACGAGGGCAAGCACTTGACGGGCAAGAAAGATTAAAAGACATCGCAAGATGTGAGTAGTGCACCCACTGATTGCAATGTCTCTGTTTTGGAGAACGATTGGCAGGGTTGCGATGATATTTTGTCATTCATTGGGTGGCGTTCTTCCTAGTTCTCGATCTTCTGCATGAGGCATCTTTTTTGATCCGAGCAATCCTCTCCTCTTGAGTCTTTGTCTTCGCCGTGGTCTCTGAGTTGGTTGTAGAGTGGCCATCCGGGGAGTGACGCGAACCAGTAGCCACATGATCTTGGTGTAGGAATTCTTGCTGTGATTTCTGATTATTGCTTTTGTTTGAACAATTATCCGGCTTTAGAACACGGTATACCCATTCCAGAGCAAAAAGCCAACATCCACTGCGATACTCGCAAGCCCATACCCCAACTTCATCTCAATAACACTCCAAATCCACAGCGTCCCCAATGGAGGCGCCTGCTTCATGACCGCAAAATAGTCATACGTATTACCCGCATAAATCATATAACAACCCGAAGCCACCGCAACAGCCAAACAAAGCAGTTGCTTGAGCGTTTGAAACCGATTCGCCATCTCCGACTTCATCATGTAGACGATCAGAAACAAGATCGGGTATGCGATAGTCGTGCGTTGGAAGATTGCCGGCCAACTGATTTCTTGCGCGTATTGCTGGAACACGAGCACGTCGAGCGTAAAGTGCACCATTGCCAAACTTGTGGACAGAAAGAAAGACTCGGCTCCAGCTCCCATGACTGCATCGTCGTCGTCGTTGTCGCCATCGCCGTCTTTTGCTGGCAACAGCACTCGCCCGTTCTCGTCGCGGGCTAAACCATCACCGAGGGATTTTTCAAACGGTTGGCCTGAGGACATCATGCCTTGGAGTGCGGCGGTACGCTCATCAGCGATTTCGAGTAGGGTTTTTCCTTTTGGTCCGCTGCGGTCTGGTTGTGACATGGGGATTTTGGGGGCAGAGTTTATGGTTGCTGTGGATGGGTGTTTGCCAGAGTCCTTTGCTGCGGCGCGGCGTTCTTTTCTGTTGCGTGGTTGGGTTTCTTCTTCGGCCATTGTTTCAACTGCTGGAGACTTCTCGAGATTTTGACTGGGTTTTCCTTTTGTTTTCCTGTAAAGTTGCTTTGTGTTTGTTGGTGAATTGTGTGTTCTACGGGCTTGCTTTAATTATATAATTTTTTTGAGAGTTGTCGTTTCCGGCCCGTGATCGGCATGCGAGCGAGCATCAATCAACTTCACCCCCGAGCTTCAATCATTGTCCATCAGTACAACATCAAACAGGTTACAATCATTTCAGGCATCACTGGATATCTAAGGAGCCAAAGGAATCGACCAAAACCCACCTCAGCAATCAATGGAAATGCGCGGGTTGTTCTGGGCAGCAGCAGCACCCATCATCATCTCAATCCTCTGGCTCTACACCAGCGTCCTCACCTCCTCATTCCCCATGCTACGCAACAAGCGCATTTGCCTTTTGATCGCCCACCCGGACGACGAAGCAATGTTTTTCGCCCCTACTGTACTCGCACTCACAAACCCTTCACTCGGCAACCACGTCAAAATCCTGTGCCTCAGTTCTGGAGACGCCGATGGCTTGGGTCACATCCGCAAGCAAGAATTGGTCAAGAGTGGATTGTTACTGGGCTTGAGAGATGCAGATGACGTGTTGGTGTTGGATGATGAGAGGTTTCCTGATTCAATGACCCAGGTGTGGGATAGTAAGGCCATTGCCAGTTTATTGGCTTCGACATTTGCGCCCAAGATGGCAAAGATGGGAGCGAAATCTACTCCTGAAGCAAGCATTGATGTCTTGATCACTTTCGACGTGGTGGGGGTTTCTTCACATCCAAACCATATCTCGCTTTATCACGGTGGCCTTGCATTTCTGAAGCAAATAATGCAGAAGCATTCAGGTTGGGAGAACCCGATCAGAATGTATACGCTATCTTCGACCAACATGGTCAGGAAGTATGCGAGTATCCTGGATGCGCCATTGACGATTGCAAAAACCGCATTTGCCAAAAAGGAAGCTGGCGAGTTTCCTACTCCGCTCTTGGTCGTCAGCGGTATAGGCAGCTACAGAAAAGCACAGAGAGCCATGACAAAAGCACATGAGAGTCAAATGAGATGGTTCCGCTGGGGTTGGATCAGTATATCGAGATATATGGTTTTGAACGACTTGAAGAAAGTCAAGGCTGTGTGGAGTCGAAGCAGCTGAGGAACAAGAAGAAAGAATGAGAAATCTTTTAGCTGGTGGGGACATCTGCACGGCAGTTTTTCGTATGCTGTGCGAGCTTGACAAAGGGGGGGGACATGCAGCCCTATGGCTTGATCTTGCTATCGTGTGGTCCTGAGACAACCAGACGGGTCGCTGCATGGATGTCACGACACATGACTTTTGCCAGCACAGTCTGCTCCGGACCAGATCTTTGCAGACAGAACAAGCCAATTGGCAGAAATCAAGCAAAAGGAAGCAATACGTTGACAACCTCGATATGCTTGACTGAAGGGCAACCAAGCAAGCAGAGTATCGCGACGGTCAAGTGGTTCGAGCAAGTAGCACTGGAAGAGGGGGACACCCAAAGCAAAAAGCTGACATATCTGCACGACGAAGCAAGCGAACAAACACCGAATATCACCTGTCTTTCAACCCTTTGATGTATGGAGCCCTCATCAGGCACGACAGGGCACTCTCTTGCGTTTCTGACCGATCTTTGCCTGTAGTGACTCTCTTCTTTCTTCCTGCTTCTTGTTCGACGGTGTCTGTACTGTTCGTTGGCTCTCGGCACGTTTGCATTGTGTGCTTTAGCCATATGCATTCCTTCTCTTGCATACACAATCATGTTGCGTTTGTCGTGTCTCGGGCAGTTATCGAAAGACATTCACACTTGTTCGATTGCAGCATCTCCAATCGCTCACGCACACATCGAGCAATGCTGTTTTCTCTCATCAGGAAGATCAGCAGCTCACAGCATACCAAAGACGACATGACAGAACAGGCAAAGGACGATGGTGTCGACGACAAGCACGAGATCAAGCAGCAGGAGGATATAGATGGCACCAGCTATGATCCTGATGCAGACCCGAGAGATCCTGGCAGCTATTATACTTTCCCGCACTTTGTCGAAGAGTAAGTTCTATGATTCCCCACTTGCCCTCGTTGGACTTTAATGCATTTGTGGAAACCTTTGTGCGTTTTGATAGTCATATAATTAACGGATGATCAGCAAGCAAGAGACGGAGACAACTCAGCAAAGCCCGGGTACTCCTACGCAGGACCAGGAGGCTACTCATCAAGACCCGGGTACCTCTGCTCGAAACTCCAACTGCTCCTCTCCAACCTCAGCCTCAACCCGTCAAACCGCACAATGCACCCCGATCCCCAAATCCACCAGTCCCTCAAGCCCAGGAGCTTCCGACCCAGCCTCTCCCCCTTTTTGGCCCATTTCACCCGTAGCAAAACGCGTCCGCTCCAAGCCCTCTACACCAAACCCTTCCTTGCCTTCACCACTCCAGAGACGCTCCACAACAACTCCCCAGCCCACCTCACCACAGCTCTCTCGCGTGCAACCAAGTCGCAGAGCCATCGCCATGACAAATACTCAGTACAAATCCCCGTCATCAGCAACAAAGTATCATTCTTCGCCAGCAGCACGTTCGTTGAGGAGTATCTCGGCAGCTCAATCGCCGACGAGAAGGTCACAACAGCAACAGCAGCAGAAACGACTGTCTGCTCAATCTCAAGGGTCACCGAAGAGGGATAGTGGCAAGACGGGTTGAAAGGGGCGTTGTTTTGTTGAGAAGGTCATGCTCAAGGAAGCAAATGTCGGCACTGTTGCTAGTAGGCGAACTCCTCTGGCTGGCAAGAGGGCGGTGAACTAACGAGGGATTTTGCTGTATACACAGCGAAGCACAATGGAAACGTGCAGATTCTGGAACCTGGCTCCAAAGAAGAGGCTGAAGGAGATCATGAGATGTCATACACACAAGAAATGCAAGATTTGTGAATAAAAACTTTTTGAGATTTTTTGGCTTGTTTCGTAGAATATGATTTCTCGAGGGGATATAGACGGGAGAAAAAGGGGAGGAAATAAGACTTAAACACTGATGGTCTTGAACACGTTGAAACCATTGCCACCGGTGGCCATGAGCGCACCGGGGATCTGGGGGTGCCAGTGCGACTCCTTAATCTGCTCCATGTAATGGACGAAGAGCAATTGGGGTGGTACATCCTGGACACCGGCAGTATCGCGGGACTCTTCATCGTCGAGCTCGACAGCCAGATCCCAGAGAGTGAGGGTGTTATCGCCAGAGCAGACGGCAACGATGGAGTCGTCTGTGGGATGCCAGTCGACACTGGTAATCTGCTCCTTGTGGAACTTGAACGAGGCGACAGAGTTGGGCTTGGGCGAAGTGGTGACCGAAGGCTTCCACTGGCGCAAGTCCCAGACTGCCCACTCGCCGTCTTCGTGGCCCGAGGCGAGCAAGTGTGTGGTGTTGCGCGACCAGGAGAGCACGTTGACATCGGTGTTTGCGACTTGGACGCTGAGAGCGGGCTTGCGCGACTTTGATCGGGCGTCCCAGATCTTGACGGTGCCATCAGCAGAGGCAGAGGCAAAGACGTTGCGTTCCGAAGGAGACCATTGCAATTCCTCGACGGAGCTGTTGTGACCGGTGAAAGGAGTTGTGTCGGTGACAAAACCGCCGCCTTCGGTGCGAGTGGTAGCAAAGATGCGGCCATCGACATCACCAGTCAAGAGCTTGCCGGCGGGGAAAAGTGGTGACCAGTCGACAGCGTAACCTTCAGTCTTCTTGTGTGCGCGGATGGTGCTGACGGGCTTGTTTTGTTGGGCGGAGATGGTCATGCCGGGGTTATCGAACGAGGCGAGGTGAGGAGTAACGTCGTGGATGAAGACGTCGCCAGATTCGGTCATGACGGCGCTGAGGGTGGTTGGAGGGGTGGACGATGAGGCTTGCGGGGTTTGGTGGACGCGGATGCGGTTTGTGCATGTGTTCAAGGGAATGTCCTTGGTCTCGAGAATGGGCTCGAGAGATTGCTCCTCCTCGTCTTCGTCTTCATCCTCAGACTCGGACTGTTCGCCACGGTCCATGCGACCCAAGCTGCTCATCTTCATGACCATGATACGGTTCTCCTTCTCGCTTCCTCGTGCGGCCTGAGTACCTGCGACGGCGTAGACGGTTTGAGGATAAGACTTGCGGTTGTCGCCCAACTGGTCCTTGACGAGATCGAACGAAAGACAGGGCCACGGAGCTTCCAGGTTGTGCAGCATCTCATATGTCGAAGTATCCGGAGCCAGCGTCTGACCAGCTTCGAGTTTGTGTCGTCCTGGGATAAAAGTGTCTTGGTCTAGGTCCATGGCCGCTGCGTCCATCAGCACTGAAGGTGTGTCAAAGAAGACGGAATGAATACACACCCTCACGCTCTTCAGCCTCGCGCTCCTCATCGGGTCTGCCATCAACACCGGCCTCGAGGATCTCATCTTCGCTCTCGAACTCGTCCTCAAACTCGTCTTCGAACTCGAGGTCGTCGGGCTGGCCGTCCTGCGGTCTCTGACCCGACTTGAGGGCGCGGATCTCGTCCTCCTCGGATTGGTCTGCTGTGCGTTTGCTCATTGTGTGTGGTGGATGAGTGGCGTGGGTTGGTATAGTATGGATGGGCTTTTTTTCGTTGCGCAAAGAGCGGCCATCTTATCGATAAGGAATGACGGGCACTCGGGCACTGCCAAGAAGACGGCGGACCGTGGATTCGCGCCGGGCGTGTGTGGCTGGCACAGGCCGAGCTGGAGTTGGAGGGGCGGCCCCAAACAGCGCATGCATGGTGCATCTTCTGCATACAAACAAAGCCGCGCTCCCTTTGCTATCGTCCGTCCTCGCTTCTTGCACCGCGGCCTTCTCTCTTTGACAGAAAGACATTCGACCTGGAGTCTTTTGTACCACGCGCTGGAACGTGTAGCTCGAACCGCTCGATTGACCGCCTTGCGCTTTGACTGGTAGCCGCACACCTGCGACGGCCTAGTGCCCAATTCTCAACCACTCGCGACTGTCGTTGCCCATCCGTGTCATTACACCAAGCTCTGTCAACCCTCAGGCCTCCCGTCCAGCTACAGGATACAATCAAACCATGGAGCACTCAGAGCCCGTCCCGCAGCCCTCGAGCTCCCATGACGCCTCGCTCGAGGACGCGAGCATGCACACCGTTACTGCTTCATCTGTCAACGCTCTCCCCCATATCCACAACCACAACATCTCCGACTCTGCCGATTCCACTCGTCGCCCTCAAACCTCCTACTCCGACACTGGCTTCGCTTCTCACTACCAATCTCAAGACAACACCCTCGACCCGCAACAACAGCACGAAGACCAAATGCCACAGTACCCCTCGAGACCGAGCTCTCGTTTGAACCGTCAAAACAGCGACTACAGCGACCAGAATGCCCAGCGGCAGCAGGCCCAGAAGAATGCTAGCGTCGTCATCAAGGTTGGAATGGTCGGCGATGCGCAGATCGGCAAGACCTCTTTGATGGTCAAGTACGTCGAGGGCAGCTGGGACGAAGACTACATTCAAACTCTGGGTGCGCAACGAACATCGCCATCACATCTGCACACGTGCTAACCACCTCGCAGGTGTTAATTTCATGGAAAAGACGATTAGCATCCGCAACACAGAAATCACCTTCTCAATCTGGGACTTGGGCGGTCAGCGCGAATTCGTCAACATGCTGCCCCTTGTCTGCAACGACGCCGTCGCAATCCTCTTCATGTTCGACTTGACCCGCAAGAGCACACTCAACTCCATCAAAGAATGGTACCGTCAAGGCAGGGGCTTCAACAAGACCGCAATTCCATTCCTGATTGGCACAAAATACGACCATTTTGTCAACTTTCCAAAAGAGGAGCAAGAAGAGATTAGCATGCAGGTATGAGTCTCCATTAGTTTGATGACTTCTAGTCAAGGCCTCTGACACACGACAGGCTAAGCGCTTTGCCAAAGCCATGAAGGCCAGTCTTATCTTCAGCAGTACCAGTCACAGCATCAACGTTCAAAAGGTCAGTCTCGGATTCTCTCAACCCCCTGCCGTGTACTAACAGTTACTAGATCTTCAAGATCGTGCTATCAAAAGCCTTCGACCTTCGCTGTACAATTCCCGAGATCGAGCATGTAGGCGAGCCTCTGCTCCTCTATCAACACGTGGGCTAGGCCTTGCTTTGCGGACTCGATCAGTCTTACCCGACTCGACCCCTGACAGCACTACCATCAATTCCGCTTCTTTCTCTTCTTTCTCGTTCTTCTAATCACCTTTTCGGCTGGGCTTCGTAAGAGAGAGGAAACACACACAGAACCTTTTTGCATTGGATCGGAGAAACAAGGGACGGTTGACTTTCTGGGCCAAGAGCTGGGAATTGAGAAAGAGAATCATGTTTTTTTGTGTCTTTTTGCACTTCTTGTTGCATGCTCGATTTTAGCGAAAGAAACCACGGCGTTTTTCTGGGCTGTTTCTTCTTGGAACGAGAGTCTTATCTTCGTTTTCACAAATCAGTCGTTTTTCTCAGTTTCATGTGCTTGATGTACTATCATCTGTTTTTCTGATCTGCTGGTGCTGCAGCCAACTCGTCTAGTTGCTTCCTTCTGGCAACGACGTCTTTGAAGCCTTTGACGTCTTCACAGCCTTCTGGCAATGCCTTGAAGCGAGTCCGTGTTTTGACATACCAACCCATGGCAGAAATACTCATCACTCTTGTTAACCTCGTCACTCTTGCCGACATCAACATGCTCGTCGTTCTCAGCGCCCTTGCGCCACCACCACAGCATCAACCCACCATGTAACGTCCAGTTGCAACCGTGGCAGTAATGCTCGACTCTGGACTGATGAAACAAAGGCACATGAGTTTTCCACGGCAGATGCTTGCGCACGAATTCGTGGTTTGCGGATCCAGTCGCCCAAGTCAGAATTCAGCCGCACGTACTCGTCGGTCTTGCGGGCTTCCCAGCCAGCGTGGTTGTCTTTGCGCTTGGCTTCTCGGAAGACTGGGTCGTTGCGGTAGCGGATTCGGTGGCATCTGGCTTGGGCGTTGTAGAGGGCTCTGCGGGATTCTTCGTCCAGAGAGAGCTAAGAAATGTTGCATTGCAATGGACACTTACCCATCTCTTGAGATGATTGTGCATCTTGACAGCTACACATGTAACATAGCTTTGTACCTGGAGAGGACGAATGACTTGTCGAGATCTGTTGCTAACAAGAAAGATGAAGACAGGCGAAAATACAACAAGTCGTTGATTTGGTGTAGACAATGTTCACCGTCTGTCCAAGAGCGACAAAGCCCGGGAACGAGAAGGGAACAAAATTGAATCAAGGAAACGCATGTGAGAGTGGAGATTTTGGGCGTTGACTGCGGCAGTTCAAATCGCGATGATCGAGGCAGATGGACAATGGAGGGGCATCGGCGCGAACAGTGACATTGGCGGTTGGGCGCGGCATGTCACCTCGATCAACGATTTCGAAGAAGCCGATAAAAGGCAGACAAGAATGAGTGGACTTGGAGCAACGGAAGGCAATAGACGGCTCGAGGACTTGGGAATGACCGGAGAAAGGGACAAGACGACAGCAAGTGTGGTCATGGATGATATCTCTTAGAAGGAAAGCCGGCAGGCAGGCATGACGATGGTCGGCGCACGGGGACTTTTCCTGGGGCGTTGAGAGGTTTTTGGACGCAGCACGCGAACTTCCAAGCCTCAGGTCTGTCTACGCACACACGGGCCTTGAGCGCTTTTCTTACCTCCCCCCTCGCCGTCTCTCTTCCTTCTTGCAACTCACTCGACTCTCAGAAATCACGCAGCTCAAGACGTCCAGCTTCATCCTACCACGCAGCACGCGTTGTCGAATGAACTAGGGCGAGTGCGGGATTTTCGTCACCTCTTCTTGTGGCTTCATACAACGAACTCTACCGTCTGCTTTTTGGTCTGTACCAGACACCGCTCTTAGATTCGCCCGAGTCCCAGCTGCCGCATAGGACTATCTCTGGGGTTCTTCCTCTCTCGGAGGAAGACTCGTGGAGGCCTAGCCGTCAATCCAGTCTAGGTTTCGCGCCATTCAAGCCGCCATAAGACGTATTGGACCACACGCAACACACTTATCTACCTGCAACCCGACATCTGGTTATGGCACCTTCGGCTATCTCTCCGACCACTGAGCACTATGCATCTCTGTCGCTGAAATCATCATACACCCCCCGTCTCGAAGAAAGCCACAATGGGAAGGCTCTGTCCAAGCCCATGATCGCCCGTGCCCTGTACCAGCGCGTCCAGAGCATTGATCAAGACACTTGCGAGCCCGGCGAAGAGGATGCCTTCTTCGTGGCCGACATGGGCGACATCTACCGCCAGCACCTGCGCTGGAAGAAGCACCTCAACCGCGTCAAGCCCCACTATGCCGTCAAGTGCAACCCCGACCCCCAAGTCCTGCGTCTACTGGCTGCCATGGGCACTGGCTTCGACTGCGCTTCCAAGGCCGAAATCGACATGGTCCTCCGCCTCGGTGTTGACCCCTCTCGCATCATCTACGCCCAGCCTTGCAAGACAAAGTCCTACGTTCGCTACGCTGCAAAGCAGGGCGTGCGCCAGATGACTTTCGACAACGCCGACGAGCTTTACAAGATCAAGGATCTTTACCCCGATGCCGAGCTCTACCTCCGTATCTTGACCGACGACTCGGCCAGTCTCTGCCGTCTGAGTCTCAAGTTTGGTGCTTCGCTCGACGACACGGGTGATCTTTTGGCCCTTGCTAGCAAGCTCGGTCTCAATGTTGTCGGTGTCGCTTTCCACGTCGGATCGGGCGCCTCTGACCCTGCAGCCTTCCTGAAGGCTGTCCGCGACGCTCGCTTCGTCTTTGACCAAGCAGCTGCTCTAGGTTACGACCTGAAGACCCTCGATGTTGGCGGTGGCTTCGTCAGCGAGACCTTTGACGCCATGGCTGCCGTGCTGTCTGCCGCTCTGGACGAGTATTTTCCTCCTAGTGTCCGTGTCATTGGCGAGCCTGGCCGCTACTACGTCTCCTCTGCCTTCACCATCGCCTGCAACGTCATTGCCCGCCGCTCAGTCGAAGACAAGGCTCTTGGCCTCAACAGCTACATGCTCTACCTCAACGACGGCGTCTACGGCAACTTCAGCTCCATCATGTTCGACCACCAACACCCGATCCCTCGCGTCTTGAAGGCTGCAAACTCGCCCGCCTCCACCTACGACGCAGTAGCCGCTTACGATGCCAACATCCAGTCTCCCATCGAGTACTCCATCTGGGGACCTACTTGCGATGGCATCGACTGCATCTCCGAGAGCTGGACTTGTGCACAGACCCTGGATGTGGGCGACTGGCTGTACTTTGAGGATATGGGTGCGTACACCAAGTGCAGCGCTACCAAGTTCAATGGATTCAGCGACAGCCACGCCACTGTCTACATTTCCAGCGAGCCCGGTGCTTCCGCCCTTTTGGGATACTAGAGCATCTTAAGAGATGGGACTATTCGCAAGAATGAAGGATGATGAAGAAAAGTGCTTTTTGTGTTTTTGTTGTTTTGGAAACATTGTTCAATTGTTGGTTTTTTAGTACATATTGCACCGCTTTGGTAAACGTACATGGAAGTGTTGATATTGTTTTATTTCGTCACTTTCGTGCTGTGTGGCTTGTGACTTTGATCGATCACGAGCTGCTTGCTGTTCAAAGCTGTTGACGCATGTCCACCTTGTCCATTGATCACTATCATTGGTTACTACAAACTGCAAGAAAGTGTAAAAAAGAATGATCCGTGTATTAAATTTCCCTGCCTTCTACGGTATCGTTACATGCTAGTAATTGCTCGAGTGGAAATATATCCTGTACGGCATCCCATTCTGTCTTTCCCCCAAAAAACAGCCTTGAACACCCAACCAACTCATTCTGTTTTTGCTCATAAACTTCATACCTCTCGATCTGGCCCTTCTCACGCAGCCATGACCTCAATCTTCTTGCCCTTGACAGACTTCCACTCCACAGCCAAAGACCCCACAATCGACAGCGTGGCCAACGCAGCAGCGACATAATACGAATTCGTCAATGCATCGTTGTACGCTCTCAACACGCCAGCACGGTATTGCTCTCCAATAGCCGATTTGAGCTCTGTAGCTCCGGTTCTCAACACAATAGCCGGGTCCAAGTCGGGAACAGCAGCCTTTAGCCCAGAAACAAGTTTATTCGTAAACACGTTTTGGCCGACTGAGATGAACAGCGCTCCTCCCAGTGTTTGGAAGAACATGACGATGGCGGTGCCGGTGGGGATGTCGGCTGCAGGCAAGGCGGTTTGGACGGCGATGAGGATTTGCTGCATGCCCATTCCTACGCCGATGCCGAAGAGGGCTTGGTAGCCGATCCACTCTGCGTGGCCGGTGTTGACTTTGAAGGTGGTGAGGAGGCCTGCTCCGATGGCCATGAGCACTGAAGAGGCGACCATGAAGGGTGTGTAGTATCCGAATGTAGTGACCAGGCCTCCAGCTACCACCGAGCAGATGACGACTCCTAGGATCAAAGGCAGAGACATGATGCCAGACTTTGTGGCGGAGACGCCCTTGATGGCTTGGAACCAGATGGGGAGGTAGTATACGAAGAGGAAGAAGGCGGCACCGAGGGAGACGCCGAACCACGCGCTTGCCGCAACACTGCGCTGCTTGATGATGCGAGGAGGGATCGTAGCTCTCTCTCCAACGTAGAACTGGATACTGACGAAGACAGCGCACAGCACACCGAAAACGACAAAGAGGGCAATAACGCGCCCGTTGCTCCAAGGATATGTGCTTCCACCCCACTGGAGTGCTAGCAACAGACAAATGATCATGGGCAAGAAGACCAGAGTACCAAAGGGATCGAAATCCATGACACGATTCTTCCAGCCGACACTGAGCTTCTTTGCGCTGGTCGTAGGGTTGAAGAAGAAGAAAATAAAAATCATCGTGACGGCTCCAAATGGCAGATTGATGTAGAAGCACCAGCGCCACGTCAAATGATCAGTGAAAGCTCCACCCATAAGGGGCCCTGCTACACTGGCGAGGCCATACATGGCACCAATAAGACCGGTGTATGATGGTCTTGACCGAAGCGGTACAGAATTGGCAATGATCAAGATGGCTCCAGAGAACAATCCAGCAGAGCCCACGCCAGCAATGGCACGTCCAACGATCAGAGCTGTCGAGGTTGGAGCGATACCACACAGGAAAGAGCCGAGTTCGAAGATGAAGAGTGCGACGAGAAAGACCCATTTCAAGCTCAAGAAGGAGTAGAGCTTGCCAAAGAACAATTGGAAGGAGCATGTCGTAAGAAGATAGGCAGATCCATACCAAGCAATGTCGTCAATTGCCTTGAAGTGGTCGGTGATCTTGGGAATGGCAGTCGCGATGATGGTGTTGTCCAGAGCTATACAGAAGACGGCCAAACAAAGAGCAATGGTGATCAAGGTGAGCTTAAAAGCCGTAGGATACTCGATTTCTGGATCTTCTCCGTTCTGTTGTGTGCCTTCGGCGTCAATTCCAGCTGCTGGCTTCTCATCGCCAGAGACGACTGATGCAGTCCGGATGTTTGCTTCATCAAGCTTCTCTGAGGATTGGAGTACACCAGGTGAGGTAGCGTCCAATGAGTCCGGACGACTAGAGTCCTTGATCTTTCTAGCGAAGAAACCCATGTCGAGGGCTTAGCTAAAAGAGTATCTCGATACCGATGAGTTTGTTTTGTGTGGTGTGAATTGAGGTGTGACAAGTCGCGACGGGGATACACGATGAGAGGAATGCAAGCTCTTTTTCTACAGCAGAGCTTTGGTACCGAAAAGATACCTGCGGCTGAAAGCAAACGGAGTCACCGAATCAAAATCCACCGACGGCCAGACACGGACACAGCGACGGGCAGATGGCTGCCTGGCGATTATGAAAGCGCCTCAAACCTGAAGTATAACGACATCTGCGCTAGCGCATTCCGACAGCGAATCTCAGAAGCTGACAACCCGACCGTGTGGCTATCCAGAGAACTAGTGACATCGGGTTATGATTCCAACCGCGTCCGTTTGTCTGCCAAGACTCGTATACTTCTTTTTGCGTTATGTTTGATCCATCCCTGCGTTGTTTGTGGGACGATGTTGTCTCTAACAAAGGGGGATTCTTGGACCGGGGTGGAGGATCAATTGCTCCTTGTCCGACTGGTAGCGAAACCCATGGCTTGCTATATGGTATTGTAAGCAAGCCACCAATTTTAAGGTTCCATGCAACCTCCCTATGATATCAGACCATCTTTATCCGACCATACCTCGAGAGTGAATTCTGCAGTCAAGAGCCAGGTATAATAATGCATAGTCGCAGACAACAAGGTTGTATCATAGCCAATTGTCGCGCGCACGAAGGCTACTAGGGGTTTCTGTACCATTGCAGCTGCTAGCTCTGTTTTCTCCACGATCCGGGACCGTCCGAGTGGATCGTTAGCATTGTCTGTTTTGGGCTTCTCAGGAGACTTGACCTCAGGTCCTCTGTAATCCTACATCGTTTGAAGCCGGGGTTTGTAAGCATTTGGTCATGGGAACTCAAGTACTGTACGTGAATCGGCGACTCACGCGTCCTTCAAGGGCACATCCACGAAAATCGGCGACTCACGCGTCCTTCAAGGGCACATCCACGAAAATCTCACTGCCAAGCTGTCTTATACTAAGCCTTATGTCGCCTGGTTGTTGATACATGATACGTGGACGCTGGCAACATCGTTTCTAGCTCTGCTTACTGTCCACTGTCAGGGTACTCATCGTAGTTGTTGCCTGCACTTGATTGTGTCTGACTTCAAATGTTCAGTGCTTGACACCATTATCTCGCGTGCCGTACCACGTCCGCAAGTGGACAACAAATCGACGTGCGTGTATTTACCTCGCTTCGATACAGATACCTCCATGCTCACACATTAACGCTCTCAATTCATGTGGCTTCTCTCGATGTCCATTCACATTTGTCTACGACCGTAGGAGCCCGCCATCAGGGTGGAGTTCGTGTCGAATGGAGTCGTGGGAGCTGAAGAATCCGAAGGCTTGTTAGCTGAATGGGTGGGGGCAGAGTGACTGCAGATCAGAGCGGTTCCTCTCAAAAACGGTTATACGGAGAGCGATGTGCAATACGCCATACTGTCTGTGATAGTCGAGCAAGAACCCCACAAAGCGACCCTAGTTGCCAGAGAGATACTGCGTACCCATGAGGACAAGCAACGGCCGTCGGCCGTGCATCTTGCCACAAAGCAGTTGATTCGTAATATTGAAGATCGCTCTTGCTGCATTCTGACACAGCAACTCAAGCCATATATTGTTGGCTGCGGTCGGTGTACCTTCGAAATGTTTGCGTAACACCATCTTCATCTCGATCGAGATATTATAAGCGAATGATGGCATCATGCGAGATCTGGTCAAGAAGGACGAGACACTTACCGCCGATGTGATGTCTGCTCTCTTGCGGCCTTGCAGTGCAACGACTGTCCTTGCTGCCACCTTGGTGATTCTGTGGAGATAATCGTCATGGAAGCCTGGCTGACGGGAAGACTGCCTGAACACGAATATGGCATGATCTTCTCGTTGAGCGATGGCATTCATGTGCTGGAAGTACGGCTCGGAATACGTAGGCTGAGGGCTGGTATTGACGTTGATCGCCGAGAGACTGAGTGTCCATAGTTGACGTTGGTGCTTGAGTGACTGGGCGTGTGCGTTGGCAGTATTCCTTCGTTGACCGTACTTTGTAAGGAAGTGAGCAACAAATTGGCCCATGTCGACGGGTTTCATCTTGCAGACTGTACAGTTGATGTAGCCAGGCAAGTTGTATGTTGCCGCGGCGTGCTAGCGGACCCAATGCGAGTTCATCGTGGTAGCTCGCTTGAATGTTCGACCTGTGTGATTGTATACCTGTTCTCGCCAGCATTGATGAGTTTGGGGCAATCGAGGATGAGTGGCGCCGGATGCTTCTTTGCTCCAGGGCAGACTCCTATCTGCTCATGGACGAAGTGGCGTGTTTCATCTAAAACCCATCGGTCGCATCCGAACTCGCACGGCAAACCATTGTTAATAGGATATTGCCAGTGACTAGGCTGTTCGATGTACTGGTAGAACTTGTAAGCCAAGAAGCCGGCATCAGAATCTTGTTGACATACTGGACACTGGAAGGCGGCATAAGTTCTGTCGTCACCAAGAACATGTGACGCATCGCGGCACTGCAGGCCAGCATCGGTTGTGTGTCGGTAGTTGAGCTCGCACCGGAGGAAGGCTTTGTACGTTGCTGCGTCCTTACCAGCTGGCCGCGGGCCGGAGGTTTGCATCTCTGTTTCGTCTTCGTCGCTAATGTCACCGCCATCGATATCGCTGGAGACGTCTTCGTCTGGTTCGAGTTCGGGATATCCAGGTGCAGAAGACTCGAGCAGCGCCTCGAGATTTTACCAAATGAAAACTCTGTGCACGATGTCCTTGGAGATACACCCCTTAGTTCCCTTGATGACTGCTGTAGATGACTCTCGGGGATCGTAATATGTAGGCAAGGAGAGTGAGGTCATTGTCCTTTCCCACAATTGTATTTGTCCGTCTAGGCTAAGGTCCTTCTGTGGGCGACAGCTACGTTTAGCGCGGGCGCCAGACACGCCTTCTGCATCATCGAACGCGTAGCGAAGGATGTCGTGGCTTTCGTCGTCACCTGGTGCGTTGAAGTTATGGACATATTCACCGCGGACGCCATCCGTCCAGGTTGCAAGGTTCAGAATGTTGAAGCACTCTTCAGCGTGACAAGAGTCCCAGTGAGCGGATCGACAGTTTTGTGTTGGGGAAGCAAAATGGTGCTCACAACCTTGGAAGCCACAAATGTGAAGGCATGAATGTTGGAAATCTGTCGATTTGTGACTACATTGTCCAGTGAGGCACGAGGCTGGGAAGCTGACATGGTCGACTATGTACTCGTTGCCAACGTCAGGCTTGGGTCTCCCAGATCTTCTGGGTTGCTTGTCGGCCTTGGGGCGGACGGAAGGCTGATCCTTCTGTTGCATGTCGGCATTAGGGTGGACGGAAGGCTTGTTCTTCTGTTGCTTGTCGGCATTGGAGCCGATGGCAGGCTGATCGTCAGAGGAATGAAGACACGTAGGGGAGGTAGGCAGGTCCTGAGTGAATTGGGTGAAAGGGTCGTTTAGGTAGGAGGCCCCTTCTGTACGAATGTTGCGGCTGTTGTATGGAGCGTCTAGGCAGTCGTCTTCGTCGGTAGATGCGTCATGGTGAGTGGAGAGCTTCGGCACATTTTCATTACTGTGGGTGAATGTTCGTCGTTTCACGGTGGGAAGGCAGAGTGCCTCAGCCTCTGCCCTCACATAAAAGATAGAGTCGTTGTGAGTGGAAGGAACTTGGGAACAGTTGGACATCTTCCTAGATGAAGAACTGACTTTCTCGGCAGGAGAGCTCGCTTTTAGTGACTTCATGTCGTTATCCTTACGGGTGAATGCCTTCTCTTTAGATGTGTCGATGTCCCGTAAATATCCTCCCTCAGAATGTTTGGGCTTCTTGGAGGGGGATCCGAGCTCTGGTGACTTCTTTGCGGATGGCTCGTCATGTGGATTGGTAGGACCGGATGGCGACCGTGGTTCCTTGGACTTCTTCGAAGAGCGCTTGCGCTTGCGATGATGGGCAGACGGCTCTTCTCGGAGAACGGCAGGGCTGGTTGGTGACTGTGGCTTCTTTGATGTGCCACCAGAGCGCTTGTGCTTGTGATGATGAGCAGACGACTCGTCTCTGGAGCTGGCAGGGCTGGAGGATGGCTCCACTGGGAGAGGCTTCTTTGATGTGAGCGCCTGGGCTCCGATGACAACGAGGCATCACTATGGCTGCTAGCGCCGTCCGAGGAAGCAGATGAATTACGCTGTCGATCACGACACATTGCTCTGCGCTGATCGCTTTTGGAGTGACGGCTGCCGCTACGCGCTTCGGCTGCTTGGGCTTTCTCTCTTTGTCGTCTGGACGTGAGAATGTTAGTAGGATTTTCCAAGAGAAGGGTGGTGGGTTATGTACTGGACATCATAGTGGGCTGTGATTGTTTGATCAGCCTTCCTCTTGGTGGTCCGGTCTGTCATGTTGTATCTCTTGATTGTTCGAATTGACAGCGGAACCCTTGTATCCAGTGGCCGGGAGCCTGTCTTTGATCTGCCAAACGCTTGTCTTCGTATGCATGCTGGCAATGTATATGATGAGGGGATATAGAAGACAGAAGATCAGGCGTATGTGAAGACGTGGTAGAGTGGAACCCTTCGTGCTCTTCAAGTGTTGTAGACGACGCTCGATAGCCTTTCAGTAACAGATGAGATATAATAATTGCTTATGAATACGGATTCATGTGCGCCTCTGACAGATTTGCAGCGCCCGCTAATATCTGGATACCGCGTATGTGCCGTTTCAGGTGATAGTTTTCCGGGGTCATCGATCGTGTTAGATTCACGGCCTACGGGGAGTGGCATGGACGTACAGGTGGAAGTCCTGTTAAAGGCAACATTTGGCTTGGTTGTCAGCGGACGCTTGATTTTGTTATGCTCCGGGGTATATGGGGACATTGCGAGGGAACTATAGTGTATGGAAGGAGTAATCTGTACGGGACACTTGATAGGACGCCAGCGCTATTTATACAAGATGTGTTAACTAGTATGACCGTGGCTAAGACGGAAAGGAGGCATAACACCACAAAAAGCTGACAATGTTCCGTGAGAACAGAGGCATAAACTATTATGCCGTGACTGCACTCGAAGTCGATTACCGATGCACGACTGGTCTGTACAGAAATTTACAATGGCATTCTACCAAGGGGCTGCAACGTTATACGACATACTTGTCGATGAAATCCTGAATGCTGTGGAAATAACCGGCCTCAGCAACTGTGTTGTTATGGTCACCGTAAGGGAACTCCTTCCAGATCTTCGGCTCTGACTGGCAGATGTCGAAGAGTCGTTTCATATGCGATGGCCTACTCATCGATCAATGCCATGCTCGGGAAGCTTGCATATGGATACGTACGGTACTATTTCATCTTGAAGCCCGCTCAAGAACAGGACTGGAACGTTTGTGATCTGTGGAATCATTTCTTCGCTGGGCCAAACTTGATGACAGAGTGGCGTCAAGTATTTGGCTGCAGGGATAACACTGCCACATGTCAGTCGGTCACCATAAATCATTGAAAGAGGTATCATATACCTCGGAATCATTTTCTTGATACTGAGAAAAGTGTTCTCAAGTATCAAGCCAGCAATATCGCCTCGATCCTTGTTCTTGACGGCCAGTCCAATACTGACAGCGCCCCCCAGACTCTGGCCATAGACTACGATCTTTGTTTTCTTGAGGTCTTCCCGACTTCGAATATAGTCGAGTCCAGTTTGCGAATCTATTGCGATGCCCTTTTCGTTCGGATTACCAGTCGACAGACCGTAGCCTCGGTACTGAAGCATCAAGACGTTGCAGTACATGTCATTCGCCAGAATTTTAGCGATAGGAAGTCGATGACCGATGTTTCCAGCATTTCCATGGAACATGAGGAGAGTGACATTCTTTGCCTTGCTTGCATTTCCTGGCTTTACGAGGAATGCGCTCAAGTTCTCACCATCCGGCGTGGGTAGAGTGAGCTCTTCGGCGTCCAGTCCCAGCTGAGATGGTCTTGGTACATCGGTGCGAGCATTTGCAGGAATATTCCGGGGATAGATAAGCTCACTCGGAAGGGTCAGAAGAGGGTAGTCAAATAACATCAGAAGACATACTTCTGGTAATAGAACAGGCCGCTGCTGATAACCATGCCCAGACCAGAAGCGAACATGAAGGGTATGCGAAGATAGCCCCATAGTAGAGTGGCCATATCTCCGGATGCCTCTGAGAAACGGCGAGATTGAGAGTTGGCTGATTTCAAGGGAGGTCTTGTCGAAACATCTGATTTAGTTGGAGAAAGCGAAGCGAATTTGAAGTTTATCTGGCGAGGAAAGTACTTGGCGAGGCGAGGTATTACCATAGGTATGCGCGGAGAAGGAGTAAATGAGAGACTGCGCGCATCCCATGCATCGGGATGCTGCTCAGGGGAAGGTGATTGGTGGTTGCTGCGGTTAGTGACGCCGGAAGCTTGGCGCTTTGGTGCATCATTGATGGTTTGCCTGGAGCTGTTCGCAACATCCGACTTGCATCTCACTCTCAACACTGCACGCGCGCTCTTTCATCTTGCATACTTCTGGACCCATCGGACATCTCACACTGCGCATTCACAATACACACAACTTACTCACGATGATCGGACAAGCAACGGGCATGCTCGGCGAGGGTGAGATTGCCTCCGAAGAATAGCTGTGCCAGGAGCTTACCAAGATGCAGATGGCATTCATATCGATATGAATCACCTCAAGAAGGGTGAGGTCAAGTGAGTGTCGTCTGAACTCGACCAAGAGCTTGACGGAATGCTAACACGACACAACAGCCTCGGAACCTCCATGTACGTCCAACCATCTCCAAGCGCACGCCTCTCACCTTACTGAACCGTCTCCAGCATGGCCATCAACTTCAAGGATGGTGTTATCCTCGGCGCAGACAGCAGAACCACCACCGGTGCTTACATTGCCAACCGTGTCACGGACAAACTCACTCAAGTCCACGATACCATCTGGTGTTGCAGATCCGGCTCGGCCGCAGACACCCAAGCAGTTGCAGACATTGTTCAGTACCACCTGAACATGTACGGCATCAACAACAACGAGCCCCCTACTACACAAACCGCCGCCGCCATCTTCCAAGAGCTGTGCTATGACAACAAGGATATGCTGAGGTAGGTTTGGCGCTGGGCGGCAATGTCCGATTGACACTGACCATGTGCGCAGTGCTGGAATCATCATCGCTGGATGGGATCGTAGACATGGTGGCCAAGTCTACTCAATACCGTTGGGCGGCTCCCTTCACAAGCAATCTTACGCAATCGCCGGTTCTGGTTCGACCTACATCTACGGATACTGTGACGCCAACTGGAAGGAGGGCATGACCGAGGAAGAGGGTATTGACTTCGTCAAGGGATCGCTGAGGGAGGCCATCAAGTGGGATGGAAGTTCAGGCGGTGTGATCCGTATGGTCGTCCTCACCGCAAAGGGTGCAGTAAGACATCTCTACTTGCCCGACAATGGCTACACTGGTCCTGGCACCAAGTGAGAGAGCTGCAGCGAAGGCCAGCCATACAGCGACGGTTTTCGCTTTTGACGCCGCAACTTGTTACGCAGCGGAGCATTTGGTCCGGGCAGCTAGATGCTAGCGTGCATTTGACTTCTCACCCATCGCTCTTCCACTTGTCACTCCCAAGCGTATCATGGGCTTGCGACAGTATTGATGGAGAACGAGAAGGACCAGAGACACCAGATAGACGATACGAAACCATGTCGCATTGATGCATTGACACGTCTGCTTGTTGTGTCAGAAACGCAACCCACGTGGTAGACTAGAGACGGCGCGAGTAAGGACCAGTCGTTATGCAAATCAGGGTGAGTCGACTCGCGCGGAAGCTTAAATAGTGTCCGGCGTCAACGACGGGACTGTCCCTTTGGGCCTTGGCCGCTTCCTCTTGTACTCGCAGCCTCACCCTCTGTTTTCTGTTGATTCCATTGTCCGATCTCTTGCGCGTAGAGACAGACTCCCTCCAGACATCCTGGTAGCAATTGTTTCTATGCAGAGAAAGATGCCTTGCATGTGTGAGTAGCAGATGCTTTTCTTTCCTTCCAGCCCAACTCGGCCTCGAATGTCTCCGTACCTACGGAGTATGCAATATGCCAATGGCTGTGACGTTGAAGCTGCGACGAGTCGGCGACACCGAGACTCGCTCGCTGGCCGGTCAGAACGATCCATCCATATTGTATCTGCTTGCTGTACGCGATGCAAAGGCCAGATTGCTCTCGTGTCTCGCTGCTGTTTGCCTTGTTCATGTCGCGAGCCTGTCTTGGCCGTTTTGTTGGTTGCTGAGAGCTTTGCCCTTATCCCCAACCTCTCACGACGACTTTCAGCACGCGCATCGCGGCAGCTCAAACTCCATTTCTGCCGCGCGACTAACGCTTGACACAACAGAATATCGAGAGTCTGTAGATTAGGTGTTCGATAGCAATCGACACTTTCACGCATCACTTTCGCACCCCACTGCCGCCACCATCTCCCCGGCACTCTCCAGCATCACACCCCCCCCCCCCCCCCCCCCCCCCCCCCCCCCCCCGGGACCACCACCACGACCCAAGCGGCCCCCCCCCCCCCCCCTCCGTCGCAACGCAATATGTCAGCAACCGAAAGCCGAGCGAGCAGCGCGCATGCTTCTCGAACCCCGGCCGAGTCGTCAAGACAGCGCCCTGTCTCACCCGCTCTACAACCTGCTGCCGGCCAGCATACTCCTCTTAATGTCGCCAATATCCCTGCCTCACGCCCTGCCGCGGCCCCAGAATCCTCTCCTGACTCCTCACCCACCCAGACCGACTCCACACGAGATTCGGCCTCCTTCTCCCCTCAGCGCATCAAAGTCCGCGACTTGAAACACATCCAGACCCTGGCGGACAACGATATGAATCCCTTTGCAGAAGATGGCAACAAAGTTGGTGACCAAGGTCCGCAATATGAAATTAGCGGCATGCCAATTGAAAATATCATCGAGATGGTCGCCGGTCTTTTGACTAAGATTACTGCTACAAACGATCGGCAACACCAGCATCTACATCGTCAGATGACTCCACCGGAAGGTGGTTCGTCTTCTAGTCGGTTGCAATCGAACAGTGTACTGGCCTTTCACGGAAAGAACGTGCCTAGCATAACGATTCTGAGCTACCTTCTCCGCATCAACAAATACTGTCCTACGAGCTACGAGGTGTTCCTGAGCCTTTTGGTTTATTTCGATCGCATGATGGAAAAGGTGAATGCAGGCGCCATGCAAAATCTACGAGAGATGGATAGACATGAACGTGCTGTAGCCTCCGAACAAGAAGTCAAGAGTCCTGTTTCTACACAATCCATCGAGGGCGTGGTACCCTCAAGCCATGGCTATGCACAAACAGCAACGCCTCCGTTATCTGGTGAGCTCGAAACATCGAGTCAAGGAGCCGTACCTGGAACCCCTCATAGCAAAACTCGCCAGCCGGACTCTCCAGCAGCATCTACATTAGACGCAGACGCTCTCGACCTTTCATATCTCTTCGTGGTTGACAGCTTTAATATTCACCGCTTGATCATTGCTGGTGTGACCTGTGCAAGCAAATTCTTCTCCGACATCTTCTACACAAATTCGCGTTATGCCAAGGTTCGTTCCATCCCAAATCATCTTCTTTTGCCTCGCTGACATGTGTTACCAGGTTGGTGGTCTTCCGCTCCCTGAGCTCAACCATCTCGAGTTGCAATTCTTACTCTTGAACGACTTTCGTCTATCCGTGCCTGTCGAAGAAATCGAAGCATATGGAACAACATTGGTCGAGTTCTATGCTAGAGAGGTTTTGGCTCAAAGAGCAGAGCAAGCCGACTAATTAACCGATCGCTTGTCTGGCTTGGTACGCAGACAACCGCCCAATACAAGCACCTTGCTCACGCACCGAACACGAGTCGTGCAAGAGTGCATCGCATATCAGTCTCTTGCGAAAGGCTCGCTCGAGAAACTGGACTCCTTACGACGAAATGACAGCAACCTGTTTTGGCCTCTTGTTGAGGCATATGATGAGGAAGGTATATTAGAGCGTGGTGTTGTCCTGTTTTAGAGCCTCATAGATTCAACATACCCTGACCGACACTTTTTACTTGGCATCTGGTTTTTGTCCCCTACTCTTTTGCTCTCTAGCCATTGTTTTCTGCCTTCGATATACCCAGTTTCCTTTCAGGTTCCTCTGGCTCCTTTGGCGCTCGCGCCTTCTTGTTAAAGTGGCGTTGCCAACATTTTACGAGCAGTTTCATAGTCGTTACCTATGCTAGCAAATCATCGTTGTCCCAGCCTTGCATGTGGGGGTTTCGTTATGACATGCAACGCTTCATTTAAAGTTCGTCTATGCCGAGAAGTGTTGAACACAAGCGAGGTATGAACGATTGTTCAAGAACGCGTCGGCAGATTTCGAGTCAATCGGTAGACGTGCAGATGAGTGCACAAATTGGATGCCTTTGCAACCCCTCCGGCAAAGACAAGTATCAAGTACATGCTCATGCGCTGTCGAACATGGGTTCGACGGCTTTGTTTCCTTCGGCAAGCACTTGCCATGTTGGTCACATATAGAGGCGCATGGACCTATGTAATGAGAAGGAACATAAACGAGCGCCAGAACAGGCTGTACTTTTGGTTGGAGGGTGGGTCTGTCCCAATCGATGGTAAACATGCGTCACTTGTACGATCGTTGCAGGGAATTCGCAACTTCGATGGCAGCGCCCAACGGGCAGGTCCGGGTGCCTGTTTTTTTGCATCGATCGTCAGACACGAAGGGGTGGGCTAGTAAACAGGGTAAAAGTTGGTCATGATCCTCCTGAAGCTACACGTTCTTCGTAGTCGCGAGGAGGCTACAAGAACGTAAACACATATATACAGACTCTGGCGCTTCTCTCTGCGAACTACTACTTACAAGCATACTTCTTGTGGTGCGATTTCAACAGTGTCGCGAGGTGAAGTCAAGCTGAAACCGACAGGGCACAGCAGCCAAGCAAAGAACTTTGAGGTTGTGCGCGGCGACAAAGCTAACTAGGCTATTTTGGAAAGCTCGACCGTCACTCTTGCATAACAGGCTCGCACGTCCGTCGGCTTTGTCTACAGAACTTTCTGGACATTGCTATTAAGCTGGTTGACGCCCTCTTCTTCCTACAAGCACCAGTCATAATTTGGGTTGATCCCTCACCTACAAGATCTTTTTGACCTACTCCAGCTGTCGCTCTTGGTGAAACGTTGGCCACTCATTACAGGGTCCACATCTAGGCTTCTTTCCATCAGAACATTCCCCTACCTCCCTCCACACATCATGTCAACATTCGTCGCTAGTCTGTGAGTACTACTATGCACAACGACTGATTGACTGTTCGGGTTACTGATGTTATCAGGTTCCTGCCGTATACGGTTGACTTTCATGATGAACCAGAGGCACCTAAGCGACCGAATCCGCAAAGGATGCACAGTCGAGCTGGTTCGGCAACTGACATGAAAGCTCTTGCGAACCAAGCAGCAAGTTTATTCAATGGTCCTCCTGTCCCTCCCAAAACTCCTGCAGAGGAGAAGCAGGACGATTTCTTCACCCAACTGCAAAACGATCCTCGCATCAAGCCTAGTGACCCGCGCTCGCTTGCTCGTACTGAAGCAGCTCCTCCAGAATGGGGCGCCGCTGCTCAATTCCTCAACCAACCTAAATCTACTGCTGGTCCTCTTCCATCTGGTAGCATTCTCGACTATGTGAAGTCGGAAAGGAAGGACCCGGAACTACTAGCCAAGCACACAGCTCAGAGGAAACGCAGGCCGACTACTGGCACTTCGCGTAGAGGAAGCAACGAGCGAAATTTCGCTAGGAAGACCTGGACCGTCGAGCCTGCCATCCAAGGAAACGGTGGCTTGATCAATGCCATCCGCGCCCACGACGCTCTAAGATCTGACGAAGATTTTCAGAAGATATGGGTTGGCACTCTTGGTTTCCCTACCGATGCTCTGCTCGGTTCCAAGAAGGAAGAGATTTCTGACAGACTGGCTAACGAGTATGATGCCGTGACTGTCTATCCTTCGGATCGAGATATTGACGGACACTATACGCACTACTGCAAGACCATTCTCTGGCCAGTCTTCCATTATCAGATTCCTGATCACCCAAAGAGTAAAGCTTACGAAGACCATTCCTGGGAGTTTTACAGAAACGTCAACCAGAACTTTGCCGACAAAATCATCGCAAACTACAAGCGCGGCGATATTATCTGGGTCCATGATTATCACCTTCTCCTTGTGCCTGGTATGATTCGTAAGAAGTTGCCTGACGCCCAGATTGGCTTCTTCCTCCACGCAGCTTTCCCTTCTTCTGAGGTATTCAGATGTCTTTCTACTCGTAAAGAGCTTCTTGAAGGTATGCTTGGCGCCAACCTTGTGGCTTTCCAGACGAAGGAGTATGCACACCACTTCTTGCAAACTTGCAGCCGCCTTCTCACAGTCGAGGCTACTCCTGAGGGAGTGCAGTTGGAAGAACGTTTTGTGAACGTCAGCCACGAACCTATTGGTGTGGATCCCGAAGGTATGGCCAAGGCTAGAGAAGAGCCTGAGGTGAAGGACTGGATCAAGGTGATTCAGGAAAGATACAAGGGCAAGCACCTTATTGTTGCTCGTGACAAGCTGGACAATGTCAGAGGTGTCAGACAAAAGCTGCTTGCTTTCGAGTTGTTCCTCAACAAGTACCCACAGTGGCGTCAAAACGTAAGTCGAAGATTAATCGAATTCTGTTAAACGTCTAACATAATTTCTACAGGTCGTGCTCTTGCAAGTCGCCACATCCACTACAGAGAACAGCGAACTCTTGGCTACCGTTTCCGACATCAACACGCGTATTGACTCGGTACACTCGACACTTGCACATCAACCTCTGGTCTTCTTGAAGCAGGACATTTCTTTCTCTCAATACGTTGCTCTGCTCACTGTTGCTGATGTCATGATGATTACCTCCCTCCGTGAAGGTATGAATCTGACAGCCCACGAGTTCGTTCTGTGTCAAGATGGAGCTTCGACAGAAAAGAAATACGGTCCTTTGATTCTCAGTGAATTCACTGGTAGTGCTTCGGTATTTGGTGGCAGCGAAATATCTGTCAACCCCTGGGACTACCAGAAGTGTGCTGAAGCCATCAAGCTCGCTTTGGAGATGTCTCCCGAGGAGAAGGAACGTCGTTACACCAAGCTCTCCAACGTTGTGCACAAGCAGACTGGAGATTACTGGTTTACTCGCTTGACCGAATCTCTTGAAAAGGCTACAAAGGAACAGTTCTCTCGCGATGCTATGTCGATCCCTCGTCTGTCGGTCACTTCGCTTGCTCAAAAGTACAAGGACGCAGAGCGCAGAGTCTTCATCCTGGACTACGAGGGTACCCTCGCTACATATGGTACAGACAAAGATGTTGTTTTGACATCTCCTCAGCGTGTCCTTGATACACTCAACGACCTGTTATCTGACAAGAAGAACCTTGTTTATGTCATGTCAGGTCGCACTCCTGAAGAGTTGCAGCGCCTGTTCCGCCAGGTCCCCAACTTGGGAGTCATCGCCGAGAATGGATGTTTCTTGCGCGAATGGGGTGCTCATGATGACGAGTGGACTGCGTTCGCAGATGTCGAGGCATGTGCTGCTTGGAAGAAAGACGTAAAGTCAATCTTTCAATACTACTCGGAGCGTGTCGAGGGATCATGGATTGAGGAGCGTCATTGCTCCCTCGTCTTCCACTACGAGAAGGCAGTGGATCCCGAGGCTGCTCGTGCCCAGGCGGGTGATTGCGCCAACCACATCAACGACAGCTGTCAGAGCTACAGAGTGCAGGCCATTCCCACAAGCAAGGCTGTCACCGTCGAGTCACTAGATTGGAGCAAGGGCTCAGCAGCCACCAGTATCTTCGAGAAGCTTCGTGAGAAGAATGTCGAAGGTAAGGGACGCACACCACCTGACTTCCTACTGGTTGCTGGCAACGATCGCGAGGACGAGACCATCTTCCAGTGGGCCAACAACCTTTCGGAGCAGGGCAAGGTTGCCAACGTCACCACTGTCAGTGTGGGTAAGCGCAACACGCAGGCCATGACCACTCTCACTCAGGGCACGACTGGTCTGATCAGCGCGCTTCAGAAGCTGTCCAACTATTCGTATGAGACCGCACCTGAAGGGTCTGGTGGCCGACGCCCATCTGTTCTCCTTACTACTGGTTCCTAGTTGGAGTCTTCGGCACTGTGATCCCTGTTGTTGTTGGTGAGAGGTTATGCATGATGGTCATTTGGCGAGTCTGTACTACTAGTTACTTCTTTCTCTTTTCCCTGTTCTTGCTTTCCATAGCGCCTTTGCTTACCTTCTGTATGTCATGACGGTAAATGAGTAGTAGTCTCCATGAAGTCACGTTTGTTGCATGAAACGATTTTGTCTCAACCTTTGTTTCGTGTTGTTCTCGAGTGTACCCTAGAACCCTAAACAAAGCTCCATCTCTGCCATATCCATGGTAGAGTAAGTTGCGGCTGCTTGCTCAACCAGTGTGTGTGTGTGTGGGTGCACGTGTCCACAACAACAATTTAATGTCAAGCGTTGTGGTGAAGAATCCTTCGATCGACCGCCCAGGCGGCTCAGGTCGGCATCATCATCGAGAACAATCGAGGATGTTGCATTCCTCAAACAAACCCTCTGGCAGTTTTATTATTTCTATCCTCTTGAAATATGTTAGAGGCAGCAAAATCACCGTTCCGATCCTCTTTCCGCGATGTGGGCGTTTCGATCAACGAGTGCGCGGGAACTCGGCTTGTCATGCCAGGCAAGCTGTACATCTGCGCCCGCCTCGACGACGCAACCGACGAGGACAATGAATTCCTTCGCAACGACACCAGATTCAAGACCATTGTCGACACTGATCGCAAGCAAGGCCGACCATTCAACACGATATCCACCACGAGTGGGATGACAAGCAGTATCTCTACGACCAAGTTTCTCGGCATTACTCGCTGCCGTGTCAATCTAATGTCCAAGTCATATATCAATAAAATCATGGCGCAGCTATCTGTCTGGACACATTGGTGAGTACCACAACTTCTTCCAACAGCACGTCACTCTTCCTGATAATCGCTTAGTAAAATGGTGTTTGGTATGTTCACATTCAACACCTCTGCACTGGAACAGCCAGTGACAGATGTAATACTCGCTCGTGGACCCATAGGAGAAAGTCTCGACATACTGGACACAGCACGACAGCAGATCTGCGAAGTCTTCAATGCCGTGCTAAGCCACGATGATGTATACCCGCTTCTGGTATGTGGCGGCGACTTGATGAGAGACCAGAATCTGCTGGTTGTTCTGATCTTACTGCTCTTGAATGTGCCAGTCGAGCATATCTCAACAAACTTTGTCTCTTTGGTGGAGGATCTACAAATCGGTTTGAACCAATGCAAAACCAAGGTTGAATTTGAGCTCGGTCAAGCCATGGTCTCAGCCAGACACCAGTGGGTTGGTGCCATCAGGGCTCATCTTGACAAGGTATATGGCGGGGCAGAGGAATATCTGTCACAAGGAAGCGTGACTTTGGAGTCACTTGATAGCCTGCGAGATGCGCTTCGGGGAGGCACAAAAGCAGGGTGAGCTTCGAGTCGTTCTGCCATGCAATGTAATCTCTCAGCATCCTATGCTGAACTTGGTCGTAACAGTCCCAGCTACACATGTTTGCTTACCGCTATACACACTAACTTGGCTCTGAGAAACGGTACTTGATCCGCCGATGATCTTGCAGTATCTTCAAGGTGCGGTTGTATGAACAACGTGGATGAGCTTCCGAGCCGACATAGGCTTGAGGCTTTAATGTCACGCCGCCGCCAACCCTCCTTCTTGATGTTGTAAACTTTACATTTTGCGAGGTTGTTCGCGTGTAATGTCTACCTAGGCTGAATGTTTCGCTATTACAAGATCGATCACCAAGTCTCAGTACGGTTATGGGTCTCCAGACGCGTGGACGTTTGTGTGCTTCTGCGGCAATCCGGGAGGGGATTCGTATTGCCGAGACACTTTAACCGTGACTACCGCAAATCTTGTTTGAACAACGAGTGATTGAGTATAGTGTGTGGTGTATGTAGCGAGCTTCGTGTTAGTAGGACTATAACATGATTGAATCGTCTCTGCTGTTGATGACTTATACAAAGCGTGGCGTCAGGGTGATACCACTTGCATGAAATGTGTTGAACCCAACTTAGCCAAGCCGAGTCGAGCCCTGTCGTGTCACATCCTTGACTCGAAATTGTCTCTCCCACAAAAGCTGCAGAGCCTTGAAAGCTCTGATCATCCATCATGACAGCCGACCCGATTGAGATCGGATATTCAATCTCCACTTGCCACAAGGGTCACCATTGTAGAATCAGTTTCAACTACATATACAGGGCCGTCGATCGTTCAGCCAAGATCCTGAATCTGGCCAACCGGATTCAAACCTTGACAAGCTAAGGTGATGTGGTGTAGTGGTAGCATGTGTCGTTGTGGAGGTTAAAGTCCAGCAACGCCGACCCGACGGCGGTTCGATTCCGCCCATTGCCAGGATCGTATGTTTTGGTTTTTTTGGTTACATGTGGCAGTTGCTCTATCGAGTGGTGCTTTCATTCTGTTGGTGCGTGGTAGATTGTGGACGAGAAAGCGATCGGTGATTCGGTTGGGGATGAAACGCCATGGGGGCATGTGATATGGTTTGTTTGCATTTTGATGTCTGGTTCCATATAGTGAGGTCGAGATGCGTGTTTTGTTTCTGCTCGCAGAGCAAGAGTCGCGTGTGCTGTACAAATTCGAATGGAAGGTCACTCGAGGGGCTCGAGTCGAGGAACAGTGGAGAGAAAGAAGGCATGTTGAACAAAATCGAAGGCATATTTTACGAGACGTGAAAACTGCACTCAAGATGCGGTATGAACACGCTTCGTTCCAAGAATAAAGAATTATAGGGAAAGAAACATGAACAATGGGGTCATGATAACATGACTTTCTGAGGTGCTCATTACACCTCTCGCGACTTCGTTCCTCATCATCCCCTTTTCGTCGCAGATTAAACCCGAAACGCCCTGCTTCCAGAATATGATGGGTAATAGTTCTCCCAAAAGAGAGTACATGATGCGCAATGCAGACCACCCCAAAAGATTTGCAAAGAAGAAACAAAAAACATGAATGCAAGGCCGCTGAAACTCCGTATCGATGCGAGAAACGTTTCAAGCAGGACTGACTGCTTTTGAACTAGGTGGTGAGTGGCTGTTGTAAGGTCTTGGGCCTTGGTAGATGTAGACATCAACGGCAGTCGCGGAATCGCCGTAGCCGTGACCGGGTTCACCAGGAACCGGCAGGGAGGTTTGTGACTTTCTCTGGAAACCCTTTGAGTGGAAGAGGTCCCAAAACATGGATTCGCTCTCATGACGGACTTTTGTCGAAATGAGGATGACTGCTTTTGGTGAACGCTGAATGAGGCGTTCGAGCGTGCTCACTAAGAGTGGGATGCTCTCGGTGTTGTAGATACATTCGGCGACCAGAATTAGGCCGAACGTGCGAGAGGAGATTTTTGGTGGCAATGGGGCCTCCCAATCCAGAGGAGCGAAGTCGATATTTGAGGACATGGCAGGGTTGGCGGCTTCGATATTGCGCTCGACCAATTCATCGACCTCGGGCAAATCGGTGAGGAGGACATCGCAGTCGGGTACGGTCTGAGCAAGACCAATACCAACGACACCACATCCACAGCCCAGTTCTAGGACATTCAGTTTCTTATATGTGGCGGAAGACAAGACACTTTCAAGCAGTGGTGCTTCGTGAACGGAGCGAAGGGCAACCACGCGATCGAGGTAGGCGGTCAGAGCCAAGCTGCCATCCCAGAGATGGCGGGCAATACTCTCACCAGTGTCTTCGAAGATGTTCAGAGTGCGCCCGGTCAAAGGAGTGAAACGGCGCTCGACTCGTCTGTCTGTGTTGAAGGTGCCCTTGGTGGGGTTCAGAGTCTCACTCCACACGGAGATGATGCCTGGAAGGTGACCTTGGGAATGGTGATCCTCGAAGCAGTCGTACATGGAGGTATTTGTTTTTGTGTGGACGTGGAGTTTGGCAGGCCAGTCGATTTCAGTTCTAGTGAGATCGAGGGAGATGTTGAGCGAACGGCTACCGTCCAGCCATTGCAGCGTACGTCGGAGGTATATATCGCCGCCATGGTCAGATTGGCGTAGGGATGCGGCGAGCTGGATGTCGTGAGGGTAAAAGGTCTCGCCTAGGTCGGTAGTGAGAGTAATGACGGCCGAAAGAGTGATGGTGCCGTTTTCGACGTGGATCTTGGGCGTTTTGAGGAAGCGAACTAGAAGAGCATGAGTGTGAGTGGACACCAGGAGAAACAACAAGATGAACAGCGAGGTGATGGACAAGAGTAACAGCAAGGGGAATAGTGATGGGGCCAGCGACAGGGACGGCAACAGACACAGCGACAGATACGGAGACAGGCACGCGGGACCTCGTCAGGTGGCTACCGACAGGCTCGGAGCATGGTATAGGGCAGTGTATAAGGGTATGGGACACTGATTGATAATAGAAACGTGGTGGCTTACTGTAGTGCATGTTTGCGGCGGTCAAGGCGGGGAGGAGGCACGGCAAACTGCTGCCAGGAGACGTAGGCAAGAATCAGGAAGAGCCTCGTCTTTTGGTCTCTGTCAACGAACTCGGAGGGAGTGCGGGCGTTTGCGCGAGCGCAAAGTGCACGAATAGGCCAGTCTGGACTGCAGCGGCACAGCCATCTAGAACGGCGGCCTTTTTTGCTTTTTTCAAGCTGCCGCGATCGACTTGGACAGGTTCGCTGGCTCCGATTATCTTATCTCATCTGATCCCCCGCAGTGCGCCGGTTGGTTGCATCCGATCGAGCCCTGCTCTCCACCCAAGCCCAGCGCGACCCTAAACCTAAGCCACGCCATTTCATCATCCTCCAGCGTCCGGCGCCCAGCGCAAACCCTCGACTCCGCGCGCCATTCCTCCTCCTACGATTCCCCTACCGCCCACTGATGCCCCTCGCCCGTCATGTATCGACGCAGCGACCCTCGCTTCCGCCGCACCATCAATGAGATATCCCAGACCATCGAGAGTGCCAATGAGTCCGCCCAGGCCAACATCTTTACTTTTTCCCACAGATACCTCGGTCCTTGCTTCTCGTCCATTGGCAGTTGCTTCCAATCATGCTCCTCCTGCTTCCCATGTTGCGACGATAGACTACATCGCTCTCGCGCCCGTACACATACCCGCCCCGAGCTGAGCTTCGACTTCTATGACGATTGGGACCATGACGAAACGGCCGGCCTGCTGGCATGGGACAACGATGACTTCGATAGGCTGCAAACAGGAGGAGGATACGGCGCTGGTGCTGTTTCCGATCAACCCGCTCGCGAGCGTGCTATGAGCTATGGTGCTCGCCGTGACAAGTACGGTCGTCGCAAGAGCCAACCGCGGAACGACCCCGAATCAGACCCTACCCTGATTCCTGCCTCGTCTTACTTTGGCTTCCTCGGCAGGTTTTCTAACAGGCTCACTGGAGCCAAGACCCTACGCTACAAACCATCCGCTGCCGATCTACAAGAACACCCTGGCGCCTCGAGGACTATGCCATCACTTGCCGAAGAGGATGACGAGTTTTCTCCTAGAAAGAGAAGCAACACTGCCGGAAGCAACGGGACTGCCGACTCTTTCAGCTCGAGAGGTGATCTGTTCCCAAGCGAGGACGAGGATGATGCCCGCGAGCTCGACGACGAATTCGCCATGGTTCTCGAACGTCGCACTACGGGTGCTGGCCTAGAAGATGTAGACAACAACGGTAAATCCCGTCGCCCGGGGAAACGACCAAGTACCGGTTCTAGGTTATCTACTCGGACCATGTCAAGTAGAAGCACACGCAGCTCCAAGCGGCGGTCTCGTGCAGCTAGCACTTCGCCGTCAAGGGAAGCTACCGTCGAGCCCAAGCCCATACCGTCCCTAACGGAACTCAAACAAGAAGAGGACAGGTTACGGGAAGAGGAAGAAGCCGCTATTGCGAGTAGAAGATATGCTGCCAGAGGTCTTGCACTGAAGCGTGGACTGAGCGTCAGTGAGCAGTTACCCATGGCCCCCGATCCCCTGTCTGGAGAGCCAAAGCCGGTAGTGAGTCCTGATGTCATTGAGGATGTTCACAATGACCAGGATCGGAAGAAAGAAAGTCCACTAAATTTTGAATCATCTACGAACGACAAGGTAACGAGCAGCGACACTGTTCCTTTCCCAAGCTTCAACTCGGACATGGCAGCGTCAGAGGATGAAGTCGAGTTTGCTGAATTTGTACCGGCCCAATTACCTCGGTTTACAGGCTCATGATAGAATTGAACAGCTCATGTTTGCAGCGTTGGTGTCTGGTGTCTGGAGGAGAGTCGGGAAGCCAGGGTACGAGTAATATGTGCATAACGAATCTTCTTTTTGGTCTTGGTATTCTGGTAGATTTGCTTTGAGATGATAGGTAATTATCGCTAAAGAGGCTCTTGAAGCAGCGGGCCGCCGCACTTAATCAATCAACCTTGGACTCCACAGTAGGAGCTTGCTTTACAGGGATGATCCTTGGCCTGGTAGAGAGAGGACGTCATGGATACATTTTTTCCCCCCAACCTCTCGCATGGCCCTATTTGGACCTGTCTCTTCTGCATGAGTCGCAGTTGCTTGTCCCGGCAGAGTGTCGTAGCAGAGATAAGCATGGCAACGTCTTCTGAACGGCAAGCGAGGTGTCTCGGAAAGGGCTCGAAGCCGGGGGTGGCTTGCTGATCTGTGAGTTGCATCTCAGAAATAGAGAGTCGTGGAAATTAGACTGTCAGATTTGGGAATCAACATGGCAGCATTAAGCAAGGCCAAGTCGCTAAGGTTGGGAGCAGTGTCAAGCTGTGTGACATTTGGGCCTTGTCACTTGTTCCATGAAAGCGAGAATAGGGCTCTGCGACAGTTGATTCGCCGGGCGAGATTGGCGCGAAGAGCGGAAACATAACGGCTTTTTGGCTGACGAGTCAAGAAGGGTCGATGGCTTAGGCGAGGAGGGTTTACTGGTAGATGAGCAGGGCAATTTGCTGTCGACCATCTTTTCTTGCACACGACCGGCAGGGAGACTCGACGAGCAAAAGGCAGAGATCTCTTGTGTCCTTGACATTCGCCCCGTGTCGACTTGAAGCTGGGTCTTGTTGCAGGCATCACGCCAGATACATTAGATGAAGGGCGCTAATTAGCGTCATTGGACCAGCAGGCTGCAGATAGGTACTCGTGGTAGTCTTGATCTGATTGTTTGGACGCAATGCAGCAGCATGCCGGCCATCCCACAACGACGTATCAGCTTCCTGCTGCTACCCTGCCGACCTCACAAAGCGCCGTCAGGCCTGCACACGACCTGCCATCGTCCTCATCGCCAACCCTCAGAAATTCGCCGCCTATCCATCCGCTGCATGGACATCCACCTTTCCGTGCCAGGCCGCTAGAGACCACTCGTCGTCTGCGTGCGTCCCATGTCCAAGACACTTCTGCCGCCGCCTCGCCCAACATGGTCCCGCCAACACCCACCACTGCTTCCCAGCGCGGCGCGAATGTCTCCTTGGCCCAGCAACGCACTGTCTCGATGGATTCGACCTTGTCCTCGCTCTCGTCGTCGACCGCTCCACAGCCCATCGTCCGCTCGCAATCAAACATCTCGCTCGAACCAACCGATATACCTACCTTGATCGCAGCTGCTGGTTCCCCCGAGGCCGCCATCGCGAAACTGCTACAAGAGAAACATTCCGCTTCGACACACACTACCCAACTGTGGAGGCTTGTGGAAAAGCAGAGGGCCATGATCCTTGGCCTTAACAAGGACTTGGAGCGTACACTCAAAGAGAAGGAGAAGTATCGCAAAAGACTCAAGGACTTGGTCGGCGAGCAGTCGTCCCGCCCACCTACCATGAGAGAAAGTATGGGTTCTGCCAGCCTTGACAGCCAGTCGCCCAATTTGCCCGCCTCTAGTCCACCGTTGCCTGCGAGTGCATCTCTGGACAGTCTGCCCGCAGGTTTGCAACGCTCCACCCGAGTCCAGCCATCCGTCTCAGCCTCTTCTTTGCCTGGTCTTCCAACGTGTTCCGCTGCAAATGGTCCTAAAACTCCCAACATATCCGATATCCCTCAAGTAGTATCGCCCAAGTCTTTTTCGAGCCCGAATCAAAGACTACGCAAGGAGAAGCCCGCCCCACTGGACCTATCGAGCGCCCCGACTATGCTCTGCGAAGCCTCAGATTCAGATGAAACCCCTCCGCTTTCGAGAGGAAGGAAGAAGACAAGAGCAGATGATGATAGGCTGAGAGAAGCGTTGGCCAGTCAGAGCGAGCACAAAGAGACAGTCCAGAATGGTAGCAGAAGTGCTCCTCCTCCAACTGCCGACCGACGTATCCCTGCCCCTGCCGACTTGGACGCTGATCCAGGTCTGCTCAGTGACACTGATCAGGGCGTACTCAGTGATGCCGAAACGATCGATTTTGGTTCTCCCCAGCTTGCTCAAGTTCAAACGTTCCAGAGCATGGGCCAGATGGTATCAGCCGATGCTCCTGCCCAACCCAAGCGTCATCCTGTCTCGTTGACCGTGTTGAGTCCTGGGCTACCTATGAGCCCTCGTCCGAGCGACAGACCCATGAATTCACCTATGCCCAGAGCTTTTAAGCAATCGCTGACCTCAATACCAACTTCGCCTAGAGTGGGAGGACAGACGCCCCTGTCTCCACGCGCTCCTCGCCAACCAATTCCAATGCCACCTCAAACTCCTCTCTCATTCGCTTCGCCTCATCTGGCTCGTGCCGAGACCTACCAGGCTCTTGCAGCAAGCTCCATGTCTGATAGACTCGCTGTGCCCTCGCAGTCCAACACGCCAGAGTCCGAACAACCATCAAATGTACCCGCACCGAGATCTCCTGGTGAAGTCTACCGCGGTTTCGTATCGGAGCAATATCCTGGCCTCCTCCTGCCTCCAAACGCTCTTCCCTCGATATATGTAAAAGTCGACTCATCGCGTCTGCGACCTTCCAGGCAGAGCTACATGGCACCCAGGCCATCTGAGGAGAACCCTGTCATTACACTTGCTGTCTTTGCTAGATCTGATAGAAGTCAGTTATGGCGTGTGGAGAAGTCGTTGACCGCCATGTCAGTCTTTGATCAACAAATCAAGGTCGCATCAAATTTCAGAACAAAGCTTCCGGATCGTTCTTTGTTCACCGGACACGCACCTGCTCGGATGGACGCTCGCAGAAATGCTCTCGGCGTTTACTTTGACAGCATGCTCGACACTCCTATGGACGACCAAGCTGCCCTGATTATTTGTGGCTTCCTGACTGCTGATGCGATTGGGCCCGATATGCCTGAATACTTCTCTCAAGAAGCGACCAACCCGGTCAAAATCCCTGTAGTTCAAGGTGCAGGTGTTCGCAAAGATGGCTACTTGACAAAACGTGGAAAGAACTTTGGTGGTTGGAAAGCCAGGTATTTCGTCCTGGACGGACCGGTACTCAAGTACTTCGAAGCTCCTGGTGGTGCAATCTTAGGCTCAATCAAGCTGTCAAATGCGCAAATCGGCAAACAAGCACAGCATGCGACGCGACACGACGACGATGACAACGATACCGATTATCGTCACGCTTTCCTAATCCTGGAGCCCAAACGTAAGGATTCCACGAACCACGTGCGCCATGTACTTTGCGCCGAAAGTGACGAAGAACGCGATGCCTGGGTTGAGGCCCTGCTGCATTATGTTGACCAAGTCGCTTCTCCCACAATTTCGAGAAAGCAAGATTCGATGAATGCGACACGTAGTCCGCGTCTCCAGAAGTCGATGAACGACCTCTCTTCAGCAAGCTCGAGACAGTCTGATAGCTCTTCTATGCTTCGTAGCATTCCTTACCAAGCCACAGTGCCTGCCGAAGCGCCTGTCATCGGACCTAATCGCGACCTTGCCACGCCGTCACCAGTCAACTCTCCGGCCATTGGCGACAGCGATTACCACCCGCAGATCTCTGGTCCGACGAACGGTGCGGTGATCCAAAATGCAGAGTCGTGGGGTAACAAAAAGGACATCATCACCCAGACCAAAGACAAGAAGCGAAGCATCTTTGGCTTCCGAGGCCGCTCGTCATCCGACACAGTTCCTGGCAGTGTGCCCAAGGATCTGATCCAGAGCGAGTCACCCGTTCTTATTCGGCCAGTCTTTGGCGCTCCCTTGGCTGAAGCCATCGAGATAGCGCCACCATCAGATGTTCCTGTGCACCTCCCTGCCGTGGTGTATCGTTGTATTGAATACCTCAGAGCGAAAAACGCTTCGTCTGAAGAAGGGATATTCCGTCTTTCTGGCTCGAACATTGTCATCAAGGCATTAAAGGAGCGATTTAATACCGAGGGTGATGTCAAACTTCTCGAGGGCCAATATTACGACATTCACGCTGTCGCAAGTCTGCTGAAGCTGTATCTTCGAGAACTGCCGGCCAGTATCCTCACAAGGGAGCATCATCTTGAGTTCCTCAAAGGCTTGGATGTTGATGAGAAGATCAAGGTCGAAGTATTCAACGTTCTTGTGAACAAGCTGCCACGAGCAAATCGAGAGCTACTGGACATTCTCAGCACGTTCTTGCGCGAGATCGTGGATAGAGAGGGCATCAACAAAATGAGCGTCCGCAATGGTAAGTAATTTCTCCTCGGATCGTTATCGTATGACATGCTAACATTACAACAGTTGGCATTGTGTTTGCACCCACACTTAATATACCGGCTCCTCTCATCTCACTGTTTGTAATGGAGAATGACCGAGTCTTTGGTACCCCGATCGACATCACGACACCAGTATCGCCTTACCCTGCAGCAGACACACCACTCTCTGGGGTGACGCCCGAAAGTGTCAGATCACCTCGACACAAGCCGAGCAGTGATTTTTCGATACCCAACTATAATCAGCCCGGCTATAACCAGTTAGGCTTCTTCCAACAATCTGCACCTTCCAGTCGCGAAGGCTTTGATAGTGGGATCTATTCGTCCAACAAGGAAAACGGGCCAACATCATACCACGACCGATTCTCAGCATCAAACGGGAGTCGCACAACACAGCTGAGTAATTCTATGAGCAAGCAGGCCAAGCGAGATTCAAATGCTTTGTATATGAACCTCGGACCCATGAGCCTCAAAGAGGCTCCTCTCAGTCGTCTACGGGAGGCTGAAAATAATACGTGAGTGGCACGAAAGAAGCAGCATCTGATTGCAGACCAAGTCTTTACCAGACGATTTTAAGCCACTCAAAGGATCTTTTACAGGAGTTTACAAGGCGCTCAAAGGGCGAGATGTGGCAGAAACGACAAGTGACGCATACAAGTCTCTGATTGTCACTAGATGATATAGCATTATTTCCATTTCCGAGATTCCCCTTTATGGTAGCAGCAGCTACCGAGCATTTTCTTTGGGCATTCATGTTTAGCAAGGGTGGTTGGCAGATAGACAAGAATACAAAATTTTAATTCATGATAATATTCCACGATTCATGGCAGGTGTCTGATCAGTTTGGGTGAGCAGATGTCACGGTGAAACAAAGCAGTTGCGGAGGAGGTGCACGGGCGCCATCGGGCCGCAGCGGTGGACAGTGTTCAGCGGACATCAACAAAGCAGGTGCTCGGGTCAACAACAGCGGCTCGCATTGCATCGCTGACCAAGAGCCGTGTCTGCTGCGTGCCAACCCACTTCCCATCCGCAGACTCGACCTCATATCCACTCGACTCGACAACCCGCGCTTCCCTTTGTTGATGGCCGTGTCGTTGCTGGCTTGACGACACCACCGCTTCCCCGCCGACACAGTAACGCCCGCAAACGAAGACACACGCCCATTACGATTTAGATTGTTCTGTCTCATCTCTGTGAGATTGGCACAGAGCCCAACACAGCCAGATCGTCTCATAAAATTCTGGACACACCCTACGCAGCTGCTACATCCAACACCACAACCTCGATATGGCGTCTATATTCGGAGGAGGGGCAGTAGATCCCGAGACCCTCTACACCAAGCAAGCCTGCATTGGTGAGAAGACCCCTCTGGTCAAGCTTGGAAGAGCGCGCGCTGATGCACTGCAACAGGAGGTGGCAGCTTCGGAAAGGTCTACAAAGGGTGAGTCGCAGACCGTCTACATATTCAAAGTCTAGACCGCTGACCATCTGTTGTCGCTAGTGTCGAGAAACGTACCGGTCAAGCCGTCGCCATCAAGGTCATCGATGTAGAAAATGCAGAAGATGAGGTAGACGACATCATTCAGGAGATCTCCATCCTCTCTGGCCTCAACTCTCCCTACACGACAAAATACTATGGATCATACCTCAAGGGCTCGGATCTGTGGATTATCATGGAATACTGCTCTGGTGGCAGCTGTGGTAATCTCATGAGGCCTGGCAGTATCCCCGAAGATTACATTACCATCATTATCCGTGAACTGCTCATGGGTCTGGAATACCTGCACAATGACAACAAGCTTCACAGAGATATCAAAGGTGACGACATTAGACAGGCTCAACCTAGTTCTTTGCTGACCGAGACTCGACAGCTGCAAACATCTTGCTTGGTGCGAATGGACAGGTGAAACTGGCCGACTTTGGTGTTTCTGGTCAACTATCTGCCACTATGACCAAGAAGAATACCTTCGTAGGAACTCCATTCTGGATGGCCCCAGAGGTTATCAAACAATCGGGATACGACCACAAGGCCGATATCTGGTCTCTTGGTATTACTGCCCTGGAGCTGGCCTACGGAGAGCCCCCTTATGCCGACATTCATCCCATGAAAGTTCTTTTCCTCATTCCCAAGAACCCCCCTCCACAACTCGAGGGCGATTTCAGCCAGTCTTTCAAAGACTTTGTCAACCTTTGTTTGCGCAAGGAGCCCAAGGAACGTCCCAGTGCCAAAGAGCTCCTCAAACACCCCTGGATCCGCAAGGCCAGAAGGACTACGTACCTGACCGAGCTGATCGAGAGATATGAGAGATGGCAGGCACGCCACGGTGATCGCGAAGAAGATGACGATGAGGTCCGCGAGGTATCGCCTCCACGAAGCTCCGAAGACGAAGATCTCTGGGATTTTGGTACGGTTCGACCCCTTTCACGAAGAGCGCCAGGACTGAAGGTCATGAATGAGGCCGCCATGAACACTCGTAACCAGACATCTGTCCCTGAGCCTCAATCTCCCACCAAGCAGTCCGCGTCTCGGTCTGGTGAAGAGAATTCGAGTCGCCGCACTGTCCGCGCAGCACCCAGCATGCCACCACCCCCTTTGCCCAGGGATCTATCTCCCTCAAAGCGTCCGAACTCATCATCGAGTGCCGTGCCTCCTTCACCCAGTGTTGCTGCCAGAGTTCCCTTGCCTGCCTCGCCTATCAAGAAAGTAATGTCACAATCACCATCCGACACTCCACGCACCCCACAATCGACAAGTTCGAGATACACGAACACCCAGGCACAATTAAGGTCACCACCACAACAGATCAATGATGACTTCATCCAGCAGTCTATCGCTTCAGACATGTCTTCTTACATAAAAGGTCTTTCTATGAACGAAAGAGTGAACGAGCCAAGTAGACCTTCGACGCCATCTACACAGAAGCAGACCAGCGCATCAAACCACAACTTGTCCAGATCTCCAGAGAAGACAGCCTCTGTTCCGTTCCCGCTCGAAAGAACGTCTTCTTCCTTGAGCGTTCAACAGCAGTATCAGCAACAGCAACGTCAGCAGCAATCACAACAAACTCGGCCACCACAGCAACAACCCTTGCCTGAGCTGGCACCTAGGAAGTCAAGTCTGTCTGCGTGGTCTACTAACCCGGCGGTGTCAAAAGCGCAAGCATCAGAACCGCAAGTCAGGTCGAGACAAGACTCAGACGTTCAGACTAGATCGAGACAGAATTCGGATGCACCAGGCAGATCAAGACAGGACTCCGATGCTCAACTGAGAGCCAGACAAAATCCTGACGCCCAACTCAGAACACAGCAATCATATGACTCTATGCAGAGCAGTTCATCAAGCAGCAGACCCTCTTCCTCATCTTCGGCTTCAGTCACCGGACCTTCGCCCCCAGCTCAGCCTCAGAACGATGAGATAACCGCTCTGTCAGGTGTTGTAATTCCTGCTCTTGAAGCTGCTCTCCACCGTCGCGCGTATCAATTGTCACAGCTGCAAAAGTCAGCAAACACGCAGTCGAAAGTCGCGCCTTCTCCACAAGACATCATGCTCAAGAGGCAGGCCCACGAGCAGATCCGCAGACTGGTGTCTAAGGTGGGCCGTCTGATGAAGGATATTGATCACTGGGACAGCGTTGCACCTGTGGGCATGGGAGACGGCGTTGAAGGTTTCCTTGAGGGTGTGTTGGAGGAGGTTTTGTGTCGCGTGGAGGCTGAGGATGCTTGAGATTGAAGCACCCAGCACATTTCTTTTCCGATTCTTGTTCCTGCGATTGGAGAATAGACTGGTGTTAGAGGAAGTTGCAAAAGGCCGTGAGCAGCAACTTCGCCTTTGCATAAAGGTCCTCTTCTTTCTGAGGGGAAAGGAGCATTGGGGTCTTGCGACTTCCGCAGCACGACCTCAAATTTCCGTCGTTCTGACCGTTTTTGTTTGTTTGTGCTGCATTTTGAGAGCGGCATTCGATTTGGCGAGGCAGCATGCATGCGCAGGGCGCACAAGCTGCGATGGTGTTGAACAGAGAAGAGGAAGCAGGAGAGTCTTACCCGAGATACAATACAAAACCCTTTTGACTTGACTCAAGAATGTCCTTTACCTTCACACATTGAGTATCATACTGTCCTTTTTCCCATCTTTCTATATAGCTGTGATTTGGCTGCTCAATCCTTTCTGTATCTTCCCTGAGCAGTCACCTGAACAGGTGCAAGAAGCCTTCAGACTCGAGTCCAAAGATGTTGCTAGTCTTTCTCACGCATAATTATCATACTCTTTTCTCCAAACTGCTGGCTACCATCTTGTAAGCCATGTCAACTGACCTGTCCGTCTATCACGTCTAGCTCTGCCCTCTTGGTGCAGAGTTTTGAGCAGACCTGTGAGCTATCGACTCTTCCTTCTGCTTCAACTTACAAAATAATGCTGCCCGGATTGTCATTCGACAACCCCCTTCTCGTGAAGCCAATTTCTACACAGCACTTTCAAGTACGGCGGATCCTCTTTTGGCATGATTTCCTTCTTCTCTGTGGATCTGGTCTACCGCACACTTTTGGCGTAGTCAGTATCGTAGAGACTAGCATCGAGAACATCCGAGGCGAAGACGTATGAGCCGAGCATGGAAATTGTATGATGCGCGTGCTTCCACTCTGACGCAGCAGATGTTTTCTCTCGAAGCCTGTTCTTCTTCATGTTGAGTAATCAATCATGCAGCAACAGCGACAGCGACGAAAAGCACACAGGTGTCGGCCACTTTCTTCGGCTCGGTCGTCTGGATCCATGGCTCCCTTCTTTCGGCTCGGTCAGGATTGGGCGCATTCCAGCCTGCGGAGCCGCTCTTGTTTTGGGATCATTCCACCGCCGCCAGAATTGGTTTGCTGAATTCGAAGGAGCGGGCCCGCCCTCGATAAATACAAATAACCTAACTCTCTTATTCTTGGTTCTTCGCGCCGAGAGCGTTTCTTTTTACTCATCACAACAGAACACGTGTGGTGATATTTGTAGTCTTTTTTTCGTGGTTTGATGCCTTTTTAAGAAATTTTTGATTAGTTCGTCCGGCGGGGCTGGGCAGCACCGTCGGGATGGTCGGAGTGGTTCAGGAGGGGCAGGACACCCGCTTTGGCTTGCTTCACCGACTCCCCGCTGAAGCTCACCTCGGTGGCTGCTCTTATGTTTTTTCCCTCTCTGTTCGAGTTTCACGCCCTCAACGGATCTCATTTCTTGGATGGTTGCTCTCATGCGAGAATTAGAATTCGACAGATGCAAGAGCGAGGCTGAAGTTTGATGGTAATGTTGGTTTTTCTTTTTTTTGCTGTTTGCGATACTTGATATGATATTTGATGTTCCCGGAGGCGGATCCGGATTACCTTTGCTGCTGTTGTGGTTTGTGGAATTGATCAAGACGCAGTAACTTGTACACAACAGACGCATATCTCTACAGAATGGTAGTTCTTTGATGCAGATGAGAGAAATTCGCGCAAGCACACCTTCTTTCCTCTGCTCGTTCCTTGTCGGGCTCTTGTTTTGTCTTCATAACTTTCCAAGACTTATAGTCAAGTGTCCTTCCTACCTTTTGACCTATGCTCTACTCGGCCGCATGGAGTTGGCTGACCTCGCAATCATATCCCTCTAAAAGGAGTAGCTTTGTCCTTGGTAATCAAAAGTGTTGTGTTGCAACTTTACCTCGGTGCAAAGACTCTGAAACTTGCAAATACGAGAAATGATCGGAGTAGGGCCCATTTCTTTGTGTCTTTTCTCAGCCGCATTGGTGATCATCACCGGGCCTTTCTTTGTTGTGTTGAGGCTACTATCAGACACACAGTCACACACCGATGACCTCGAGAACGCAATGATGTGACAGTAGCAGTAGAAGGTTACTCCGGTTACCATTCACATACTCTTTCTTCCGTCTTCTTTTCAACAAGAGCCCTTAGGGCAAACAATATGGGCGAGATAGGCTCAGAGTAGTGTCAAGGTGGATTCTACAGTTTTCTACTCTGTGCGTAGACTTTTCTGAGCCTGCATGAGGAACACCCTTTGGATGGAACTCTATGTCGTTGAGCCTCTTCCGTCTCAGCTGTCACTTGACAGATCTTCCAATGCTGACGGTCGCGAGGTCAGCAACAATGATCCTGACATCGCTACGTACGAGAAAACAAGGATCGAATATTGTACTCAGTTTTCCGCGGAACCTCCGTTGACTACATTCTTGAATGCAAAGTCCACTGTAGATCGCGGAAAATAATAATGGAGGCGACAGTCACGGCATGGAGAGCCAAGGTGCAATGGCGATGAAGCAGGTCGGTCCAGTCGTACGACGGGTATACGTCAGTCTCGAATGGCAAGAGGGTACACTAGAGTGATGATCTAGATGTTGCTCAGATGAAGAAACCTTGTCATCCGCTACATAATCGTATGAGTATGACCGTGGTCAGCATGGGTTCTGTGGCTTCTCGTGGGACTTTTTTGGTACACACGTGTTCTGAATGTCATGACGAAATATATCGACCAGAGGTATAGACGGAAATGTCTGTGTATTAGAGATCGCGCGGCTGGAAGCATCTCATGCTGGTATCGAAGCATGACATGCCACAACCTGCCGAGTTCTGCCTGACCGCTTGCCAGGCGTGAAGAAACAATGCAGCTGGTTCAACGCCTCGCTGTTAAAACTTCAAACAAGAGAAGACCAAAAAGGGAAACACAAACAATCAAAAATAAAACAATGTAAACAAGCACCAAGCAATAATCACAAATGCGCTTTTCTTCATCACCTTGCAAGCCCTTCTTGAACCAAGATGACCATGATTGTGACACCTCTGCTGTAGTTGCCTTGTTTTTTGTCGTATGTGCGTCCTTCCGCTAGAAGCACAGTCGAGTCGTCCTCATATTGGTATCCCTCTCCTGCGTCGTGTTGCAGCATATTAGACCACCTCTTCCACCTCCAGAGTAGATCAGTCCAGTATGTAGATGTACCATGTCGATAGCAAGACACAAGAGAGGTGTCGAAACGACCTTTCCTCTCGCATCGTTGTGCGTCTTAGAGCCCGAAGTTGACGACACCCATTCCCTTGGTCTTTGCAACGTCGATCCAATCCACCTCTTCCGCTCTACCTCCATTTAACACTCTCACCCTCTGCTCTTCAAATACCATACTCAACAACTCCCTACTCCTGGTCGCATTCCTCGAGATGCCGGTCCCTTCCATGACCCTCAGTAGCGCAAGGGCTCGAGATTTGGTTTCCGCATCTGGACTCGCGAAGCCGACCATGAACACGGGAAACACTAATTGATGTTGATCGTAGCTTTGGAGGGCAACGGCCGCGTCGACGATGGAGAGAATCTTGAGACTGTGGAGGCGGATCTCGGATCGTTGGGAGGGATTCGAGTGAAATGGTTGGGTGGGGTAGAGGGAGCTGTTCGAGTAGAGTATCCAGACGCTGAACTGCAATTGTGCCTGCGAAGCAAAAGAAGAAGGCATCAGTCAGCTTGGTGAATCTCTTCGACGCGGGAGGGAGGCAAAATGAGCTTACAAAATCTAGGAATATGCGGGCAACCACAGGGAGCCGGCCCGTTGCATATTCTGAGTTTGGCTGGAAGAGATAGGAAGGACAGTAGCGGTGCCATGCTGCGTAGAGCTCGCCCTGGAACTGATCGACCATCTGCGTACATATCGCTAGTACCGAGCTACCACCCTGGCCATGCAAAGTCTGGGCTGTAGCCTCGGCGCGCAACTTGAGCTGTAACTCGCACAGCTTGGCACCCTGTATGTACATGTGATGAGAGAATATGAAGACATCCGGGTGAGTAGTCGTGTCTTCACCGTGCCAGCCTGCGGTTGGTCGTACAATGTCTAAGCCTGAGAAGATGCGATTCCAATTGGGCAGTGCCAGATCATTGCCGAGGAAGGCGCGAACAAAGTGCCCATTACCGTTTCCTGACAGGCAAGCTTGATTGTCGAGGTAAAGCACGTACCACAGGAGGTAGGCTTGTAGGATCCCATTCGATTGTCCTTTGCGGTGCTGGGCTATCCTGACCAGGTGTTGGATGTGGTGCTCCCACATGTTCATGTTGAAGACTTCTTGTGTGTTGTTTGAAGCCTGGGTCGCGTAGCTGATGTCGTAGATCAGCAACAGGAAATGTAGATATAGAAGTCGATCGGAGTGCAGATCGGAGGGCGAGGACAAGCTGGAGGATATGGCTTGGTGATAGTGTTGGAAGGCTTCCGTCAAGAGCTGTTGTTGACCCTTGAGCGCCAGACTGAGCAAGGAAACTGCGCATATAGCATGATAGAGCTGGCAGAGTGTTAGCAGACAATTATGGCAGTCAGAGAGAGTCGCGCATGGTGACAAAGGCTAGCTCATGGAGCTGCTTGAGCTCGCATTCTCACAGAGCAGATCGAGATGCGATGGCGTGGTCGTGGTGGTGTATGCCAAGGAACTTCTCCAGGAACAAGGGAATAAAAGAGAGCTTCGTAACTCACAGGGGGAAAGTCTCTAGCTTCAGCAACGATCGGATCGTCTTGCATGGGTCTGTCGACGAGTAGGCCCTTGCCAACAGGAAATATACGCTTCGAGATGAAGCCTCGATAGTGGACCATAAGTCTCTCGTCTCGAAGCCCCTGAGTGACTGAATCATTGCGGCGGCCGGACGGTAGGCTGGATCCTCGCAGTCCTCCAGTCAAGTTTAGTGAGAGTAGATTCTCCGGTAAACTGGTTCTCCTATCGACAGGAAAGCTCGCTAGACTTGGTAGGGATAAGGGCGCATCCTCAAACTTGGCCAGCACCACGATGTTTGGATCACCATTTGCAGGATTCAGGTTTGGTCTGGGACGTGGGACTTCGGTCGATATTTGACTGTCCCAACTGTTACGACGAGATTGAAGGCTGGATTTTCGTGTTCGTGGTCCAGGGAGCGGTCCATACTCGGGAAGGCCAGCAAAGCTTTCGGGATTGACAACAACGTTGAATGTACCAGGTACTTGCCCTTCAGCTTTCTTTTCGCGATCCTCATCGTTGGTCAGTTCAGCAAACGAGGGAAGGGCATCGTAAGTAGGTGATTGTGATCTTCGGTCATCCAGGATTATACGAGGTGCTTGTGCTGGGCAGCGTCAGCCAACGCTTGCGTGTTGAGACGTACTGATGAGTGCAATGTGCTCATCGACGCTCATGATAAGATGTCACGATGAGCATGAGAGGCGACTTACGATCCCAGACAGCGTTGCCTGTTGTTGACACGTTGGAGTACTTGTTTTGGGTGTTTTGAGTGACGTCGTCGAACTTCCAGCGAAACTCCCAGTCGCATTCTTTATTCAGGCGAGTGCAGGGCTATGAAGATCAGCCAAATGATGTTGCGTAGGTCTCAATGCATCGTGCTTACACCACATCGTGGATGGGTTTCATCACACTTGACCTGGGAGCCTTGTCAGTCGATCTCTCATTGTGGATAGAGGCTTGCGTGTCCTCATCTCCCTGGTATCAACACACCTTTCGTTTCCTGCATGTCCTTTTGAGAGTGTCGAGTCAGTAATCGTCCAATTGTCTTGGTATACGGAAAGGGAATTGAATTACCAGCAGCCGGCCCTCGAGCGGTGCGATAGTCTCGGCCGCGTTGAGGATGTACTTCCGCCAGCAGATTCGATGTCTGTTCTAGCAGAAGTAGCAGGAACGGGCTGCTGGCCTCGAGGTGCTAGAGGTGGAAGCTGACTTCTAGCGTTCGAAGATGCATCAGGTCTTCGATGTTGCATCGAGGCAACAAGACATTGATATGCGGCTACCGGTACGCAAAATCAGGACCTTTTTAGTCAAGGGAAACGGCAACAGCAGAGAGTAGTATTAGCAGGATGAGGAGCAGCTTTTAGCGGGGCAGCTTGGGAAAATCCTAGTATAGGAGCGTCGTGCCGACCCAGCAAGCCAATTAGAGAAGGCGATATGGAGCAAACTGGAAGCAGTGACCACGCAGTTTCAAGAGACATTCAGACTGTCAAGGTGGTAAGTACAGAAGCCGGTGAGGAATTGGAGCCGACGGGGATCGGGCGCAGCGAGGTCGCAGGGTTGGATGATATAAGGGCAAAAGTAAAAAGACGAGAGGCACGCAAGCGCCGTGTGCGTAGGCAAGTGACAGGATTTTGCGTCCTTCCGCTTTGGATGTCTACTAGTTTAGCTTTAAAGAGTTTCGGACTCTAATAGGATTGAAGTAAACATGGCTTTTGTGGAGGGGCCACCAGAAAGAGACAATCGCGAGTGGTGAGGCATGATTGGGGGGACGAGCCATCAACGGTCGAGGAAATCAGAACTGTCGAGTGTGTCATTGGCAAGTGATGCATCTCGACACTGCGCACTGCGCACTGCGCACTGCGCACTGGAGGAAGTTGGTGCTAGCGCTGCTGTCGAGTCTTAGCGTTCCGTATGAGAGATGAAGACAATTCCAACATGCTTCAGTACCACGACCGTGTAGTCGCTTCTAGCGTGATTCTAGCTTTAGAACGTGGCAGCCACGGACACCCAACATGCTCAACGAGTTTGAATGTACGTACGTCTTGTACAGAAGCCCTTGGCATGTGCGGGAAGGGTTATGTTCAAGGTTGAGATTTTCCTCGCTTGGCCTCCGTTTTGAGGATGATCTCTTCTATGTGCAGGCGATCATTGTTTGATCAAAATTGCCATCTAGGTACTTCTCATCAGGGTGTCAAACGCAAGATAAATGAATCCCTGTATAACGGCGAAGTATGAAGCTCTTACCGCCAATGCTCAATGTGACCTCTTGCACCACCAACCTTTTCCAACTAGATGCTCTTGTTCATTGAGGAGCTTGTTCTGGTGATCGACAAGCCAGTTCCGTGCACATGATGTCTTTCATGTCGCGGAGAACGGTAATAGCAACCTGTTCCAGCGCCGTCGGACCCCTACAATGCGCCTGGATCTGGTCAAGATGGACGTCGCGTGTAGAGACCAATAGGTTTACTCAAAGACCGGAAGCCTCCGGGTGCACGGGTACATACCGAGAAAGCGTTGACGGTTGACACTAGCAAAAGACACCACGCTGTGTACGCTAGAAAGAAGTTCAGCTAGAACGCCACGGCCGGCCGAAGGAAGTCGTGAGGTTGCGACATGGAGATTGCCAGAATGTCTGCCCGAGCAAAGCTTGGTGTGGGATTGCCCATGCTCAGAGTGGCCAGACCGTTGTTTCATCAGGGCCTCTTGATGATATTCGAGATAGTTGAACTTGAGCATACCACAACGAATACCCAGACATCACAGAATAAATTCGGACATCACACACGGCTTCTGCGGCCCGTGGGCAATCAACCACGACCCCGGATGCTCGCAACGGCGCGAGAGACGAGAAGCAAACGTCATGTCATCGTCGAGCAGCGCTGTGTGCCGGTAAATACAGGCCTAAGCATGTCAGTCGTGTTCGGGGATTATCTTGCTGGCGGTGGGTAAGCGATGGAAGCGACGTAGGTTTCCTCTACCGGAGGATGTCTGCAGCTTTGTCACTGCAGCCACATGTGTATACCGGTGGTACGATTCGCATGCAGCGCCTAATGACGCAATGCAGGCACGACTGCAGACATGAATACCCAACTCCAAAAGGTTGCAGAGGGCCGAGCGAGTCGTTGCGTCCGAAAAGGTCGTCTTGTCTGTGAGTACGTTCAGCCACTTATCGCTAGACGCTCTACAGGGCAAGTGTAGCCATGCTGTGTTGCAGTCTACCGAGGGCACGCAACCCAAAGATGACGATGCCAACGCAGTGCACTACACGCCTTCTAACAGGGGACTCATCCGCTTCAACGAAAGCGCTTGTAATCCATGCTTTGTGGATCGCCCTGTCAACCATATCTCAATGTGCCCCGTCGTGAAGCCCCATCTCGAAGCCCCGTCGCAAGGCCCCACCGGGTAGTCTTTCCAACTGACAAAATGATGTCGTGCAGTAGGAACCGCCACAACTGCCGTGGTGACGCTATGGACTTTATTGGAGACATCGTCGCAGTACGAGTAGTTCTCTAAGCATGATTCTGCGGACTAGGTAGCCATCAGTTGCAACTTGCCAGTGCAAGAGGGTCTTCGAAGGGGTCCGATGGGACTTGGCATGATTGATGGTTTGCAGGTGCCACGTGCAAGACCAGAGACTCGTGGATTCTGGAACCGAACCAACGTTTGACACTCTCGCGAGTCGCGGGTACACCCGATCGATGACCCTTTTTCCCATTGCCTTCGCGAAAGCCCAACGTCGCTCTGCACCCTGCCAACGCGATTGTCTGTGTTCCACGATTCCACGTTGAGTCCTCGGAGGTGCTGATATACGTGGCTGAGGTGGCTTGCATGGCTATCGCTACGATGTTCCGCCTACTTCCCATTTGATTCCACGTTGTAGCACAAACTCTGTCGCTATGCAAATGTATTGACATATCTCGTAACTCTAGCTAGCAGAAGAGTCGAGTGGCGCTCGTCCACTAGTCCGTAGGCAGATAGTCAACGACACTACTACGTCGTCGCCTGCAGCCCCTCAATCCGACGGCGTAATTCACGGCCAGTGTCGCTCTCTCCGAATTCTCCTTGCAAGCATGCCAACAGGCTCGTCTTCGCCTGGCCCATCATCTTGCGAAGACTTACGTGCCCTTCGGTTCGCACCGGCTGCAAGATCTGCAGGGTTTCAACCACACGATCCAATCTCTTCTCCAGAAGCGTCTTGTCAGCCTTCCAAGCCACATCCGTGTGGTCAAAGGGTTTGTACAGCGCTTCGACACCGTTGACGATTGTGGTTTCTCGTCTAGATGGCAATTAGCTTCGAGAAAAAGCCGTTGGTCGGATGTCACTTACGAATCCTTGTCGCCGGCCCCAGCGCCGTTGTCAACATCCATGTTGTCATCGTTCTCAGTGTCCACTATCTCGGTGAATACAGGTTTGATCACATCACACATTGCGTCAAACAGACCCAGGTCTTCTCGGCTCGAGGCCACAAGGCCTAGACACTTGATGGCATGAGGTTGGTACGTCACGTTTTGTCGTTTCGCTTCTCTCAGAATAACCTGTCGCCAAATGTGTCAGCAAACCTGGTTAGGGCATCTCGTTTCTATCCGAATTTCGGCATGATGCGAAAGGGGCACAACATGCGGCTCACGCGCTTAATGACAAGTAACGTCACTTACCTTAACGAATGTCTTCGCATTGGCATCTTCGGCCGACCAGATGTGTTTGGTGCTCTCCACGAACTTGGCGAATGCGTAGAGTACTGTCTCCTTGCCGTCCCACGTCTTTCCAGCTAGGGCTTTCTCAAGAACAGGCCATACCAATTGACTGGACGCACTATCGAATCCACTACTCATGGAGGCGAGGGCCGTCGTGGCATCAGCAACTGACCGGGCGGCTGTATGCTTAATTACCCATTGCGGCGACTCCATATGCTCTTGGACCATCGCAAGGATCTCCTTGAGGTATAGCGAGATGGCTCGGCTGCCTCCAACGTTATCTTCCCATGTGTTACGGAAGATCTCTTTAACCTGCTCGTGGGAGTCGTGCTTGCCGAAGAAGATGAAAGGTAAGAGATCTGATGCAAGAGAGTTAAACCGATCGTTTGCATGTTTCGAGATTGCTTGTATGATCTCCGCAGCCGCAATGCTTTGGCGTGGTACCGATTGCTCGCGGTCTCCTTCGCTCTTGAAGTACAATGTTCTGGCAAAGCTGGCTAAACGGAGTATCTGTTTGTCTGATGCTCCACGAGCGACATAGCCTGCCGAGGCAGCGTACGAGCTAGACACGGTTTCGTTACGATCGATGACTTGCCTCTCGATCAATTTCAAGAATTGATCTGCGTAGGGCTTGAAAAGCACGTTGTGCCGTGTGCTGAGGGAAACCAAGACACGACTGCAACCAACTTTCGAAGGCAGACCCACTGCGCCCTTCATGGCAGTTTCGAGACGGGGTTGAAGTTGTTCCATAGAAGGTTCATCCAGAAGATCGAGGCATCGCTCGATAGCTTCCATCAGAGGACTGCTACGAATGCTTGATAGACGAATGTCGTCAATTTTCTGCTCGGTAAGGTTATATTTGCTTGCATTAAGATGCAGGTAGTTGACAGCTTGCGGCTCAAGTATACTCAAGAGACCCACCAGACGTTCGACTAATTCAGGGATAAACGGCCGTAAGATCTTGCCGCTAGCCTTCTTGATGATCTCCAGTAACGTGTGCAGAGAGAAGCTTTGAACCTCTTCGGCGCTCGACTCGATGCCAGATGTGGACATCAGGAAAGGGAGAACATTCTTGAGCAACACGGCAGCATTCTTCGATGCCATGGAGTCCGCCTCGAGCGATCTCGTGAGGATGCCCGTCAGAACGCGAGCCAGAGACGCTGCAGCGGTTCTGACCGATTCTTTGATGTCGTCAAGCACCTTGAAGCAGACTCCCCAGATCTTTTCGAGATACCTTTCGTATTTTTCCAGAGGCCGACCTTGAACGAGATCACCGATCGCCGCGCATGAAGCTTGGCGGACTCGCCATTCTTTGCCGAGAATGTTCAACAGGAGATCGTCCATGATGGCGTCAAAGTGCGAATCAATGGTTGCTGTAGAGTCCTTGACCAGTGCATTCCAGATATCAGTCATGGATCTTTGAACGTTAGGGTTAGGATCAAATCTGTATCGGTAGAGCTTGGGATATAGCTTCGGGTTGCTGGCGAGATAGCCGTCGACACTCGAATCTGACAAGACGTTGCTGAGCCCGAACCTGCCAAATGCGGCTCTACTAGACCAGATAGCATTGCTAGATGCCAAAGACATGAATCGATATACCAGACTGGAGTCTCCAACTTCCGCAGCGAGACTCATGATATCTTTGTAGGTGGTCACAGACCCATCACCGGTCGGGAGGGCTCCAGGCTCAAAGAGCTGCGTTTCGGCAGTGACGCTTCCAGCAAGCTGTGCCTTGTTGTCAGAAGAGAAAGATCCGATCAGATCTCTGACCAGATCATCCTTCAAGCTTCTATCTCCCTTTTCGTAAACAAGACCAAGGCCTCTCGAAGCAGTTTCCTGGACCAGTTCGTCACGATCAGAAAGACACTTCTTAAAGGCAACCTGGCAGGCGGCCAATTGACTCTGCACCTCTTGCAGATGACCGCAGAATTGCACTAGACATAGCAGCCAGATTACTGATGCTTTCTTGAGCGAAGGCTTAGTTTGCTTGCAATCTTCAAGCGTCCTGTCAAGCAGCTTGCGCAAGGCATTTGTCCGCTCGGGTCCAGTTGGTACCGAAGACTCTACGTCAATACGGTGAACAAGAGCTTTGGACCTCCAACCGACCGCTGTGTAGCTCAAAGCCTCACCTACCGAGAAATGCGTCTCGGCTTGTCGAATATCATGCAGTTGATGCAGACGCTCAGACGTATGCTCAAGGAGTGACTTCTCCTCGGAGGTTACTTCGATCTCTATTTCTTCGAGTACGGTGGCCATCTGTCCGACAGCCAGTGCTGCACTCTCACTGCCTCCCTTGGCAATATCGGCCGTCTTGTCGATGATGGCTTTAAATCCACCCAACTTCTCGAAGATAGTTGGCTTGACTGCTTGGAAGAGGCATAAATCACCAATTGCAGTGTAGCTTGACTCCTGTAGAATCTTGTCTGTGGAATGGAGAAGAATTTCCACCACATTGGCTATGTACTCCAAGAATGGAGCTGAAGACTCGAAGTCATTACCACCTCTCAAAGCGTATCTGCTGTAGAAGAAACCTAAGGCAGACACAGCACCATGGACTTGATTTGCTGCTGCTCCCACAGCTTCACGCCAATTCGAGGTCTTGCTCAACAGCTGTTGTACGACCTGCAACACTTCTGCCGGGCGATCGGCTTGGTTCTTGGGATGGGAAGCAAGCAGACCGAAAGCGTGGGCAGCAGATTGTCTTGTAGTGAGCTTGTTCGAGAAAACAGATGGGATCAGACCAGCAAACTGTGGAGCAACCGTTTCGACGAGTGAATCGGGACTGAGAGCACAAAGATCGAGGAATAGTTTGTCTGCGTCTTCGACCTTAACTTTGCTGTTCTCACGAATCAATACACTGACAGAGAACGCCCGCAAGATAAGCTGCAGGTCCGTGGCAGCACTGCGTCCTTCAGAGGCAAGCTGTGCAATGCGCTCTGTGACAGTACGTCGGATCTGCTCGTCATTCTCGATAGCAGTATCGAATTTGTATTCCCAGTCAGCATCTAGCTTAACCTGGGTTGAGCTCTTAGACATGGCGTCGTGCATGAACACGCGGCGACAGTATTTAATAGTATCCATGAAAGCGCTCGGGTGTCGCTGGAAAAGTTGTTCGACCGCCTTTGCTGGATCACGGGCTTCAGACAAGCCTGTGAGATCCGTGTTCACTTGATAGAAGACATAATTCATCAAGTCTTGGAAAGGAGGAAACTGGACACTTTCATCTGTTTGAGAAGTGCCGATCGAACCATTGAGCATCCGGTACCAGTAGGGGCTAAGTCCACGTCTGCCTTCCTCGATGACTTCTTGTCTATCTGTGGCCTCAGCAGCAATGGCTAGCAGGTTGACCCAGCGAGCTTTCACAGAGGCATAAGGAAGGCAGCGGTTGGCGTATCGGACAGCGACGTAGCGAGTACTGCGCCGTTGCGGTGTTCCAGATTTGTACATCTGGTCGATCAGAAGATTTTCAAGACTGATCGCAGTTTCCCCATCCTTGTGTTTGACAAACGCTCCCAGCATACTCGAGAGCGACTCCTCGATGCTAACAGTAACCGAGCCTGAAGTTGTGTCCAGGGCTAAGGATTCTAAGAGCCAGCGAAGGATATCCAGATTCGGCTCGACTACCAGGTTTTTGGGACCAGCTTTAGCCAGAAGGCCAATTACCTCGTAGGCGTACCCACGAGAGACGAGATCCTCATTTTGACTGGGCTTCGGCCAGCTCTGTCCCTCGATGTACTCTCGCAATCTTCCGAGGACACGTGGGGCAATGGCGTAAAGACTTTCCTGACTACCAAAACGAGACACGAAGTTGATGTAGACAAAGATGGCCGCACGAAGCTTTGTTGCCTCTCTTCCGAGCGAAGAAGGGTTGTCGTTATTCGAGCTTGCAATGCCATCATTGACAAGTCTGACGATTTGTTCGGTGAATGTGGTGCTTATTGTTGACTTTGCAAACAAACCAAGGATTTTCAGCTGTAGTGGCACTCGGACTCTCTTTTGTGAGTTGACACCTTCATCGCCGAAATACAAGGTATACAGAGATTGGACAAAGTCTGAGTCTTCGAGTGAGATGTTGGGCAGTGTTCTCTTCAGCATATCCTCACCGATCTCGGAAGTTGATTCAGTAGAAGCGAACAAAGCAGGCAGAACACGCTCCGTGTCTGTGAACATTCCACTTGCAAGAACTTTGGCAACGCTCGACTTGGTCTCGAGCAAGTTGAGCCCCATGGGAGAAGCAGGGCTCCAGACATCCTCTCTGTTTTGCAACGTCAAGAAGGAATACTCGCTTGGTCTGAGGCCGGGACAAGTTACTGAGGCAGTGTTACTGCTGCCCTTGACCACAGAGAACAATATCAACCTTCCAAACCAAAACGCCAAGAATGATGTATCTTCAGTACTGAGACGGAGAGTCGAACGCAGCTCATCATCCTCCTTAGTACCTCTTGGAGGGAGTTTGAAGTATTTCAATAGCTGGAGGAGCAGGTTAAACATTTGAGCTCCATGAGTAGGGGATGTCTTGCCTGCAGAAGCAACACTTTGCAATACGACAGGGAACAGAGCTGTGCTTTCGACAAATGACATGCGTCGGACACCGGTCTGAATGTACAGGAGATCGAAGTGGCGGATGAGTGGTGTGTTTGGATTTGATTTGAACTGTTCAACAAGAGCGGCAACGGGTAGTTTGATAGACCTGATTACATTTCAGAACAATCGTCAAATCTGCCTCGGGGCACTTACTCTGGTTTTATCCTAAGGTTAATATGTTGACAGATGCTGATGACCTATTGAGAAGCATCAGTCAGATATCGGTAGTTTTCATTGTCCAAGTAGCAAGGTATGAATGTCCGCTAGGTTGGTATCGCATACCTTGTTTCGAACGCTCATATGCTCAGAGGCGAGTTTAAGAAGTAGGGGTGCCAAGTAGGTATTGAGAGTGGCTTGCAACTTCTGATCGCCATCTGCAAGTGCTATACGCATCTCCACTTTGCCTACAAGAGACAACTCCTTGGCCTCAGGAGATTGTTCGGTAGCCATGTTGTCGGTGCTTTGGCCGGTAGAGAGTCCGGGAGGAGGAGGAAGAGAAAGATGATTAGAGGAAGTGTGATGAGTTGGTCGTTCACTTGGTCAGCATATCAAATTAAAAGAATCCAGAAGAAGAACAACAACAAGATTAACACGGATCTATAGATGTGTTGCCACACGTCTACGAATCCCACGACTGCCTGAATGTGGTCGGACTTCGTTGATAACCAAATAGGCAAGCGCGCCTTGGCAGGGAAGAGCGACCAACCCTGACCGCCTTCCTCCACATGCACGTCACGCAAATAATTGCTGTCGAGCATTCCCCGACATCGCATCTACAAAGCTTGCAAGAGCTGTTTCGCTCTGTTTTTCTGTACACTCCACACAATATACCGCAAACATGTCGAACCCCAAGGCCAAATTGACCGTTTTGATCTCTGGATCCGGAAGCAACCTTCAAGCACTGATAGATGCTTGCGCAAACGCAACTCTTCCCAACGCAGAAATCATCCGTGTCGTATCGAACAAGAAAGCTGCCTACGGATTAGAGCGAGCGCAAAAAGCAGATATTCCTACCGCCTACCACAACCTACTCGAGTACAAGAAGCGCTTCCCAGATGCGGCCGGATCCAAGAAGTTCGAGCATGCCAGAAGCGAATACGACCGTGACTTGGCCTCTCTTGTCCTCGCCGACAAGCCCGACTTGGTCGTCTGCGCCGGCTGGATGCACATCCTCGCTCCTACTTTCTTGGAACCTCTGAAGCAGGCGGGTGTGCCTGTCATAAACCTCCACCCAGCACTTCCTGGCCAGTTCAACGGCGCTCACGCAATCGACGAGGCATACCAAGCATTCCAGGAAGGGAAAATCGAGAAGACTGGCATCATGATCCACTACGTTATCTTGGAGGTTGATATGGGAGAGCCAATTGTCACAAGAGAGATCCCAATGCGAAAGGGAGAAACACAGGATGATCTCGAGCAAAGAATCCATGAGAATGAGTGGCAGTTGATCGTGCAAGGCACGCAAAAGGCTATCGACACGCTCTGGAAATCACGACAGTCTTCATGAGCACTTTGGCACGTCACGGAGGACGTATGAATGACGAATCGAAATATTGTGCCTCACTGGGGAACTATAAGCCTAGGACCCATGTCTATATGCTCCGATGCTGTCAAGACGATGATTCACGAAAGAGTCGAGCCGCGATCAATCCTCATCTATTCCGTCGGAAGGAAAGTCGCCGAGGAGTATGGCGTCTGGCGTAGGACTACGGGTGTTGCGCACTAAATGGAAATCAGTCACGGACACTCGATCAAGCAGCAAAAACAACTTACCCCACTCGGTCTCAACACGGAAGAAGATCCAGATCCAGCGTCGAAGAACCTCAAGCAATTCCATGACAAAGATGCCACCTTCTAAGTCGTTAAAGTGGTCCAAGTGTGGAGAGAGCTTGAAACTCCAAGTACAGCGGAGCATAAGGTCCATACAGATAGCACCGTAGTACATCTCCTTGGCATGGAAGTAGCGATTGCGACGCAGAGCCCACGGATGCTCTGGGTCGTTTCTCTCTCTGGCCGACGAGAACAAGGACAGATCCCAATCTTTTGTGACGTCCCAGTAGAACGAGTAGAAGGAATTGACAAAGACGAAGAACAGCCTGCAAGTTGTGTGAGCGACGTCCTAGAGATACGCGTCAGGAGGTAATCATACCATAGGCGGAACAAGCCAGCTTCGGACATGCCGATCTTGGCTGGGTCGTATCCTCTCATCAAGGCACTCAATATGATGACTGGGAAGGCACTCGAGTACTTGAGAGCGTTGGCCAGGTGCTGACCACCCCACCCATGAGCACCAATGCCTCCGGCCTTTGCATTGGCCTTACGGACTCTGGAGTACTCTATCAAGCATTGCCTCAAGCGAATCATGCTAGGAATGGCAATGATGAATGGGACCAAGTATGAACCTCCTGCATGTCGATCCGGCTTTTCTGTTGAACTCTTGCCCAACGAGAAGAACATGTATAGAGCGATGAACAAATCTCCCATGACTTTTGCATAGCTTGTCAAGACATCGGCCATCAGAACGTCTCCAAACTTTCCATCGTGAGCTTCGGCCAAACCACCGATACTGATGCGCTTGAGGGTAGCTAGAGTCCGGTAACGACCGCTGCGTGAGACGCGCTGGATGGGCAGAACAAATGCCAGTACGAGTACGATCAGGTATAGATTTGGTAGAAGTTCCCAGTTCGCGACCGAGGCGGGATTGCCATGCGTGATGGCCCAGAAGAGGAATAGTGAGAGAGCGAGAGGGATTGTGAGGATAGTTGCGAGACGGTAGGTCGAGAGGTGATGTGGTGGTTCGGTGGGGGAATTACGAGCGGGATAGCGAATCAGGGATGGCACGTCCTATACAGAAACAATGAGCTACTGTCTTGGTTCGATGATAGGGACGAAGAGGTGAAAGCATTGCATACAATCTTGATCATGTGCAGATAGTGTAGATTTAGTCCCCAAGCCCAGACACCTGTACATTTGGTCAACTTCTCTACAGAAGGCCAGCTGCTATGCGGAAACCTGGCGTACCCAAAACGATGATCAGAGCAACACGATACGGCAGCGGAAGCACCAGACTGAAGCCGTCTAGCTGTGACTCGACAGCTGGATCACCATCCATAACTGCGAACCCTTTGCTTGGATGTGTACAGGAGTCGACATTCAGCGAGTCGTGTGCGCTGTCGCAAACTGCTTTCCAAAATACATTCAGCGGAGCTCTTGTTGCCAACACCCCTGGCTGTGGAGGTTGAGAATGGGACCTCAGTCCGCATAAACGCAACTGCAAGCAAGCACGGTTCAAGCATAAAAAGTGCTTACCCCGCGATCACCAATTTATCACCGGGTCAGGGACCGTGTCGATTTGACACCAAATGTCGTCATAAGCAGCCAGTCTTGCACGCGCATCGAGACTGGTGATGTTACGTTTACGGTTGAACTTTAGAGTACTTGATCAGAAAGCTCGCACTGCTCTTTCGTCCTCCCTTGCATCAATTCTCTTCCTCCACTTTACTACATCAATCCGACTCTCTGAACCAGTTCAATTGAGATCCTTCGACAACCAACTTCCATAAACTAGTCGCTCTACTACACCTCACACTCACATCAACAATGTCTTTCTGGAGCCGTCCTCGTAACCTGGTCATCCTCGGCGGTGTCATCGTCGGTTCTTTCTTCGTCCCTACTTTCGGCGCTAAGACTACGTACGCTTTCCCTCCCTCTCTCTCTCTCTCCAATACCTTTTGAGCGAAAGTCTCTTCCGCAAGAGTGCTCAGGGGATGTAAAGAGCATGGCTCAGTGATTGGCTTGCTCTCCACATTCAACAACACTTTCAATCATCCTCAAACCCCTACTAACAGGATTCTCCAACTACAGCAACCCCTTCGAGACCCAAGGCACAAAGAACATTGGCGAACGTTGGTCAGCAGGAGGCGGCTCAGACGTCCACACTCCCGGCGCTGCCACTCCCCGTGGTGACAGCAAGAACACACAAGAGAACCAGGTAAATCCCAAAGGTTCAACTCCCCCAAAAGCTCCCCCCAAAACTGACACAACTGTCCTAACCCAAGTCCAATCCCTCAGGTATCCGCAGCGAACACTTCCAGGAGCACCAGATCTCCCAGCGTCCCGGCGAGCCTGGCCCATTCGATAAGGCTTGGAACAAGTCCCACTACGGTACCGAGAAGGGCAAATAGATTATTCTGCCTCTTTGAGTTTCCTGCCGATTCGCTTCGCAAGAACATGGGCATGAACGATTTACGCGCACGAAACATATTGCACACGACGATGGACTGTTAGCATCTCCCCCGATTGTTCTGGGTGACAGATGGAGTTTCACGGAAGGATCAGAAAACTATCAAAATACCCTTCGATGCTCCTGGGGAGCAGACTTGTACTTATATCTCGAACACGATGAATTAAATCATGAGCGTCGTTTCCACTCGACCTGTTTTCACCTCGTTCAGAGCTCTCTTATGTATATGTTTGACTATCATCACGTTTCAGCCTCTTTGACATCCAGAGCACTGTCGGCTCATTGAAAGGTCAACGAGGAGGGACGAGACTACCGGGACTGAGCTGTCATGCTCATCCGCATAAGACATGCAAAGTAACCAACCAGACAATCAATCCACCAAACAAAAGGACTAGAAACAAACCATGCCCACCCCTCGTACTCACCATCGACAAAAGCATTTCTTATCTTACCTTGGCCTCCAGATCTCGAGCTTAGTGGTGTGTGCATCAGCTCTAGTTTTGGGTTTTTGTCCGTCATATGGGTCTGGGATATCACCCTGTCCTCGACTTTACCGACCCATCATCGCTAGCATCGTTGTCTGAGCATGCTTTTTATGTTGATTTGTTCGTCAGAACCATGCTTTAAATCTCTTGAGTATGTTTAAAAGCGCTTGTGATCTCACTGCTGTTGTGTTGCGAGGAAAACCAGAAGCAGAAGGACATAACGCTCAAGGTATGGCGCACAACACACAAGTGTACCTAGTTCTCAAGATTACCCTACTGAATTTATCTAACACGTAGGGACGAGTTGGAGTACAGCGCTTGGTAGCCAACAAAGTGACAAAGACGTATGAGCCCAGCAGCATTGACCCATGACAGTCTGATATTGTTTGTGGACACGAGGCCGTTGTTCTGTTACCACAAACACGAAAGACCGTATGTGAAACACGATAAGCATAGTACATATTGACAAGTTTCTTTGTCGACTATCGATGCACAATTCTTCCCAAGTGGTAAGCTGGTCAATAGAGGGCCCAAGATTTCGCGTCTGTCAGTGAATGCTCCCTTCCTGTCACAAAGACCATGCGTTTCTATAGCTCTATAATCATCATAGTCTGATATATGTAGACACGGCTATGCGTCAACATGCGTCGAGTCCTTCTTCCACTGGGAGACCATGTCGATGTTGACATTACTGCCACCGCACACAATGATGACAACCTTGTCATCCTTGGATACCTTCCTCTGCAAAGCCTGGCTCAAGCGACCTCCGTAGCACAAAGCCGCGGTGACGCTGCATGACAGTTCCACCAACAGTCTCTCGTCCTCCGCCAACCGCCACGCACCCATCATAGCTTCCTCATCGCTCAGCACCAATGTCTTGACCTGTTGACTCTCCATGGCCAACTCGAATGTCCTTGCCGAAACCTTTTTCGCACCCAGAGTTGTCGCTTGAGAAGTTATCGCTGGTAGTGTGATATGCTGTCCCTGTTTCACACTTTCGGCCAATGAATCCGCGCCTCTGGTCTCAACAGCCAGTATCTTGGTGTTGTTATAAGAGTGCCTGCGAGCACCTTCCATGATACCGTTGAAGAGGCCTCCACCTCCCACGCTACAGGCCAAAACCTCTGGCTGTGCATCGGGGTCTCCAGTCATCTCAACAAGCTGCTCGTGGATTTCATCAACCATTGAAGAATGTCCGGTCCAAATCTTGGGGTGATCGAAAGGAGGGATATACACGCATTCTTCGCCCGCCTGTTCCGCTTCTTTGATGACTATGTTTCGGAGATGGTCATCTGCTTCCTGCCAACTTGCTCCATGCTGGATTACTGCTGTTGCGCCTGCTGCTTCCATCTTTGCCATCATCATAGGTTTGGTGGTTATCGGGACCACGATCGTGACTGGCCGTTCTAACTTCACAGCACTGTGGACAGCGGCGAGACCGGCGTTTCCTCCTGATGAGCAGTAGAAGTGGGTAGACGAAGGGGTTTGAGATTCAGAGAGAGCGCATTGGGTGAGGTGACCTATTCCTCGTGCTTTGAAAGAGCCGGAGAGCTGTAGGTTCTCGAGTTTGAGGAATATTCTGCTGTTCTTGTGTTACTCTCTCAATCCGAGCAAGGATGTTCTTAGAGACCTACCAGCCTGCCGCTTTTGAGAGCGTTGTGGATTCTATCAAAGGGGTCTTCACCCAAGGATTCTTGGTGTTCGAGGGTGACATGGTTGCAATGGTCGACGGATCAATTTTGCTGTGTACAAGGAAGGTATTCAGATTGCTTGTTGATGAGAGATACATAAAAGGACCAGCTGTCGTTGAGGAGCCTCGGCTAAATGCGACGCCCTTCAATGTCAAAAGAAGGGCGGATGTCCTCTTTATCGTTGCAGCTGTATAGAACGATATAGGAAACAGCCACGCTTTGTCTCAAGGATTGCCGTTCTTATGCAATCGCTCCTGTCAGATGGGCTTCTCCAGCATGAACCAAGCAGTCTGGTACTAGCATACTTGAAGGTCTTCTCGGACGTTGGAGAACGACGAGTTCAGTGATATGAACGAACCTACTATATACACTCTAGACATGATCCCACCATGAAGCTGTCGTCTGAAGCGGATAACCCATAAGATGTCAAGTTGTGCTGTCAAGCAGGCTGTGTGACTGTCAATGCTCGGTGGTTGGGAAAGGCGTTATGGGGCTACTGGAGCCGACTGGCCGGACCAAGGACGCTCGTTTCAGGACGTTGCGACCCCTCCACAGGTCGTTGCGACAACAAACTCTCCTTTGTTTCGTCTCTCCTTGACAACTAAATCTCGAAAACTACCGAACAAGACCATGGCCGCCTCATCGACATACATTCCGCGATTCCTTCTGCCCAGGCTGTCATGGTCTCAGCATGCTCAGTCTCCGTTTCATGCCGCCGCCGCCCGTATCCACGCCTCAATGCTACCCTCAGCCTCGATGAATTACACCACACGAGCACTCTCAGAAGCACAGCACTTGGCTTCCACTGGTCGCATTGCATTCGGACAAGCAGCAGTCCAGCCCAGGCGAAACTTCTCAGCCACCACCCTACGCAACAGAGACCACCACTTTGACACACTCAAGTTTGTGCAAAGGCTAAAAGATGAGGGCTTCACCGAGGAGCAGGCCGTGGCCATGATGAAGGTCTTGAGCGATGTCGTTGAAGAGAGGTACATGAAAACGAATGCCTGCACTGTAAGGGGGTAGAACTGACCAGGCACTCTATCACAGCATCCAAAACCTCACGCGGACAATGGTACTTCGCGAAGACCAAGAGAAGGCTACATATACACAGAAGGTCGACTTTGCCAAACTTCGCTCCGAGCTGCTCTCGGCCGACTCGACTGAATCATCCCTGACCCGCGCATCACACGAGCGTCTGACCAACGACCTGGCCAAACTCAACTCGAGACTACGTGACGAAGTGCAGCGTACACAAGCATCAGTGAGGTTAGACCTCAACCTGGAAAAGGGCAGGATCAGAGAAGAGGCGAACTCGCAAGATCTCAAAATCAAGGAGACCGAGACCAGGATTGAACAAGAAGCAGCAGTTCTGAGAGAACGCCTGGAACAAGTCAAGTTCTCGACGCTACAATGGCTGATGTACGTTTCAAGTCCAAACGCATTGACGACAAACGGGGCTACTGCTAACATTGGGATTCTAGGGGTGTGACGACGGGTACTGCCGCCATTATTCTCGGTGTGTGGCGTCTGCTCATGTAGCGGCTCCAAGAGCAAGAAAGTTGATCTCTTTGTTTCATTTGTTGTACCACGTCATAGACGAGTAGATTTCTGGAAGCCAAATCGGGCAACTTGTTAGTTTTCCTATGTCATTTGTCAGGGAGGGACAGGGGGGCGTTCGGAAGGATATGATGAGAAGATGTCAGGGAGATTGAGGACATTTGAATAGACAAGCGTGGTCGCTCTCGAGATTATCAGTATATACCCCTTTGAAGAGCCGGAATCGACTAGAACTAGCAGAAGCTGGAGATTGAAGACGTCGGGCTCGTGCAAACAAGGGTCTCGGGCGCAACCAAGGGCTCGTAGCAAGCAGAGGCTATGCTGAGAGGGTATTCTCGGAGCGAGTAGTGCTGAGTCCTTTGCAATTTTAATGATGATGAGGGGTACTCGTCTTGCGAAGCTCAGGGCAGTTCAGGGTCGTCATGTGATCGCATGTGGGCGGCCGCAGCGCTGCTCTTCTAAACAAGCAGCTTCAACCTTTCTCAAGACACATCCTCCGCCGCCCAACTCTCTCACCGCCTCAATCCACACACATCTACTCCCATCCCACACACAATCCACAATGGCCACCGAAGTAAGTCGTCTATCCCGCTATTTTGTGCCCTCCCGATGCGCAGCCAGCAAAGCCCAACAGAACCGCTTGAGCCCCCTCACTCGGATCCGCGACCCGATGCCTCCACTGATAGACAGATCGCTGACTTTTTCCTACCACTACAGCGTGAAAGGTATCCAGGAACCGAAACAACGCAGCCGTGACCGAGCAGACCATCTAACATCCACCCAGCAAGACCTTCCTCGCCAGACTGTGCGAGCAGGCCGAGCGTTACGATGGTACGTTGATCCAAAACATGCCCAGATCGCGTGTTCACATGCTAACCATGACCAACAGAGATGGTTACCTACATGAAGGTTCGCACATGCACCACACCCTCTCTCCGTCATTACTTTACTGACCATGGATTCGCCATAACAGGAAGTCGCCAAGGTACTTGATCCCGATCTAGACGTCGGTCCTCGCAGCCACTAACAACAACAACAACCAGATCGGTGGTGAACTCACCGTTGACGAGCGCAACCTCCTTTCCGTCGCCTACAAGAACGTTGTCGGTACCAGACGTGCCTCGTGGCGCATCATCTCCTCGATCGAGCAGAAGGAGGAGCAGAAGGGCTCCGACAAGCACGTTACCATCATCCGCGACTACCGCCAGAAGATCGAGACCGAGCTCGAGAAGGTCTGCCAGGATGTCCTCGACGTCCTCGACGACTCCTTGATCCCCAAGGCCGAGTCTGGCGAGAGCAAGGTCTTCTACCACAAGATGTGTGTTGACATTACATCATTGATTACAAGCCATTTTTCTGACAACTTTGTAGGAAGGGTGACTACCACCGTTACCTTGCCGAGTTCGCTTCCGGCGACAAGCGCAAGACTGCTGCCACCGCTGCCCACGAGGCCTACAAGGTATTCACCTGTCCTGTCATATCGCTGCCGTCGACCCGTGCTGACCTGTTCCTCCCAGAGCGCCACCGACGTCGCCCAGACTGAGCTCACCCCTACTCACCCCATCCGCCTCGGTCTCGCTCTCAACTTCTCCGTCTTCTACTACGAGATTCTGAACTCGCCCGACCGCGCATGCCACCTCGCCAAGCAGGCCTTCGACGACGCCATTGCCGAGCTCGACTCGCTCTCAGAGGAGTCTTACCGCGACAGCACCCTCATCATGCAGCTCCTCCGTGACAACCTTACCCTCTGGACCTCGTCCGACGGTAACGAGCAAGAGCCCGCCGCCGCCTCCGAGGCCCCCAAGACCGAGGAGTCCAAGACCACCGAGTCTGTCGAGGAGCCCAAGGCCGAGGCCTCGTAAAGAGACCACTCGACTATCACGAAATCCACTTGACCGTTTCACGTCTTTTTTCGCACAGACGCCCTCTGGCTTGGAGCGTGCCGTCTGGTCTGGAGCACTACTGAGCGTCGAAATGAATTGATTCCCCAAAATGCGTTGCAGCTTGACGAATACACTAGCCGATTTGACATTTTTTCTCTACCCAATCCCTATACTCTCCACGATATTCTCTTTCCATTTCGGCTCACCTCAGTAAAATGTGCTCGTTGCCATGATGCTCGCCGTTCCCTTTGACTGCGCTGAAATACCCCTTTTGGTTGTTTTTACTGTATTCCCTTTTACGTCATTCCTTTCATCTCCCGAGTCGCTCGTGAAGCGCCAAATCAACGGTTCCAACATTTATGGTTTCTTTGTTTTCTGTGACGCTGACGTTGCTTTGTTTGCGGCATCGAACTGTTACTGATGACTTTGATCTTGCTCATTGCCTAAACCTTCATGACTTGTAGTGTAGTTTGCTGACAGAATGAAGATTTTTAAGACAGCACAACTCGGCATGAAGAAATCGATAGTCAGCCATCCGCGTAAACCAGCCGTATGGTAGATGAACGTCCTACAGGGAAAACAAACATCGAAGAGTCACGGATCATGAATCCAATTGAGTGCAACAAAGAGTAAGAAACCAACATTGTAAGGCATAAAGGCTGGGTTACTCGTATCAGAGAAGAAAAAAACACCATTTCACTCTAACAACCCACAAAAATTCACCCCTTCCACACTTTGCACCCTCAGCGGTCTAACAAACTTACCATCCAGACCATCACCCAACCCCATCTGAGCCTCAGTACAACCATGCAATTTGATGAGGAAGTTTACGGTGCGGGCATCGATCGCATATCCTGACTTCTTCCATCGAGCGTTGAGCCATGAAGTCAGAGCGTCACTGCTGTTGTTCCATTCGTATTTGTGCCATGAAGAGAGGATTTGGGAGACTATGGGTGTAGGGGGGCAGGTGAGAGGTGCAGAGGAGGAGGAAGAGGAAGAGGAAGAAGTGGAGGAGCAGCGGGAGAGGGCAGGGATGGAGAGGGCAAAGAGGGCGGAAGAGGAGGAGGAGGAGGAGGAGCTGAAGTCGAGGTTCAAGTCTGAGAAAGAGGGGAGTTGGAGACGGAGGTGCGAACGCATCGTTTGCTGGCTCGCTCGACTGATGGTCTGAAAAGGTGTGTTTTGTTTGGAAACAGCGATTGAACTCACCGAAAGAAGAAGAGCTGGAATGTCGGGTATACTTGGAAGAAGAATCGTTGATCTCTCTCTACCTCTCGCTTCTTGCGTTACTAGACGGAAAGAATCTCCTAGCCCGAGGAAGATCTCTTCGTCTTGGAAGTGAAACGAGATGTATACGGTCAAACAGTTCCTTTACCTGGTGGATGAGTAGGGAGATCCAGAGAGTGGGACAAGGGGGACTTGTTGATATAAACCAAAAATGCTCAAAGCAACAAAGCAAACAAAGGATTAGATGATACGTGAAAGAAACAATGTCTGTTTGCTCCTTTCTTCTTCTTGTTCTTTGCGAGGGTTGAGGATACAGAGGAACTCTTTGTCGTTCTTTGAGAGAAGAGCTGGTTGGGGATTCCAGCGTTACGAGTTGCGGAATTGTGCAGGTGATGTAGGTATGGTCTTGTCTGGTGGGAAACGCGTGCATAAGTGATTCTCTCCTGATGCTGGTTTGCTTCTCTATCCATGACGTGTGAACGAGAATGTCATCGACGAGTGCAACGGTGGCATTTTTAGTGTCTACATAACATACGCAATGAGCACCTTGACTCAAAGGTGCAGATGGCGAGAAATAGACAATCATTCACCACTGAAGAACGCAAGATAAGAGATAAACCGCCCATGCTGGGTATCATGAATTGGAAAAGAGAAAAAGAAGCAACATGCGCTACCACATGCAACTGACCTAGAGACACCGAGTAACAAATCGCATCACCGCACCTGCATCTTCAAACCTCATCAAGCAACCGCCTGCTCCTGCCCCAACTGGCCCTTCAGATACGCCCAATAATTAGCTCTGATCGGATCGTATTTGCTAGCCAACAAATCATAAGCTTTGACAGCTTTCTCTCTGTTACTCTTCTCCACAGCATAAATCTCCGCCAGCAAATCCAATGCATGGCTGGATTTCACAGCATTCTCGTGTTCAGAGTCCACAGTTGCGAATTTGTTGACAAAGTCCAGCTGAGAGGAAATGGGGAGGTTGGCGGCGGAGAGGATGCCGCGGAGGTAGTTCCAGGGGGATTGGTTTTGGGGTGCTTTGTGGATTGCTTTGTGGGCGAATCTGTTGTTGTTGTCAGTTCTCCTGTTCTGGGACCATGGGGCTCTGTGACTTACTCAATCTCTCTATCCACCACAGCCTTGTCCCCAACCTTTGGCTCCTCACCCCCAGAAACGAGAAAAAACCGATGATTCCACGCCGAGTTATTTCTCACGTCCTCATCAATCAGTTTCTCCGTCGCTTCCAATTCTCCCTCGTCCCAAAGGTTGAATCTTCGCACCAACCATTGTCTATAACTCCATACGTGATAGTTTTTTGCGTCGAGGTCAAACATTTGAGATATAAATTCTGCTTCGCCGGCGCAAGAGTTCAAGCGGTCGACGACTAATTGGCGATGGTGCCAGATTTGGTAGTTTTTTTGGTGTGCGAGGGCGGTTTCGTTGAGCCAGTCCAGTTCTTGCGAGAGGTCCGAGTCGAGGGCTTTGAGGATTTCGGAGCGGTAGAGCCTATGGAGAGACGAAGGATGTTAGCTGAGGTGGTCGATGCAGGAAAGGTGGACTGTCACGAACCAGACGGTGTAGTGGGCGGCGTTCATGTCGATGATGTCCTCGGTGAGGCTCAGAGCTCGCTCGCTCATCTCGTTCTTGGCCATGATGGCGCGTAGGTAGGACATTGCTTCCGAGTACTCGTCTGTGTATGCGATTGCGGCGAGGGGGTTGGGTCCGCCGTCGTCTTGAGGGAGAGGCACGATGTCATCCCATGTTGTGTCGTCTGAGTATTTGCCCATGATTGTTGTGTGAGCTTCCGCGCGGAAATATGTTGTTTGGAGAGTGAGGGCGGCGCAAGAGAAAGGTGCGGTCAATTATTTAATGGGTCGAGCCAAACATCAAAAGCGTCATTGTCTAACAACGGGGTACGCCAAGGCCACATGCGTGCAGCATCAGAGAACAATACCAAGTCGTGAACGCCCACCCTGTCCCCTTTTGAATGTGACCACACAACTTTCGACTGGATACGCTGGGGGGAATGGATACATCATAATCATGTTTGTACAAAGGTCTCGACGTCTGCTTTGATCATATCCTCCAAAACTTCCAGCCTTCTCGTGCACCACCGTGAATGCCGCCCGTGACACCAACGAGTTTCTCGACACCCTCACGACCCTCGACTGCTTCAAACTTGTCTCCGTCAATCTCCTCGCCTCCAAGTTCGTCGCTTCCATTGTCAAGCACAGCGGGCCATAGCACACCAACGCCATCACCTCCAAGTGTCGTTTCGTACTTTTCAAAGCCCTCCTTCAGGAGATCTTTCTCGAGTCTTTTTAGTGTCTCTGCTTGTGAATTTGCTGTCTCCGCCACAGGCATGTCTTCGCCAACTTGAGGTAAATCTGGTTTGAGCAGGGTGAAAGCACAGCCACCGCCGCCCGCGCCAGTGAGTTTGGTCCAACCTGCCCCTGCTGTATCTACGAGCTCGCGCAATCGCTCGAGCTTGGGATGTGAGACTCCTAGACTGACCAGAAGTCCATGGTTTATCGACACCAGTTCTCCGAGTTGTGTGAGTGCTGAAGGGTCCTTGGGGTCAAAGTCTGGGCTGGTGATCAAGGCGTGTGCGGATTCGGTGACATTGTCGATCGCGTCCAGAATATGGTTGGCGATCTTGGGTTGCGTCTTCTTTAATCGGGCCACCTTTGCGACCTCTGCAGCAGTGCTCTTTGCTTGTTTCGTGTCCACCAGGAGTAGAGGTAGTTCAGGGAAGTTGCGCAGAGGCAAGACCAGCGGTGGTTTCGCATAGTCTGCACGTTTGAACAGGACTGCCTTGCCGCCAGAAGCAACTGTATTGTCCACGCCTGAAGGATTGCCGTGGATGAGCATCTCACCCACAAAGGACCATTGGTTGATCCTCTCTATCTGTTTCTCAGCCTCCTCGGGCATCTGATCGGGGTGGGGGCCAGAAAGGGCGCGAGCCTGGATTAAAAGAGAAGTAGCTATGCAAACAGAAATGCTGGCGCTGGAACCGAGACCGGCGCCGATGGGTATCGTAGAACGTAAAGTGTAAATGGTGGCAGGCGAAGACTTGTTGCCGAGAGAAAGGAAGAGGTAGAGGAAGGACGAGGCTGCGGCCTGGTGGATCTTTTGATTTTCGAGTGCAATGTGGGGAGAGACATTGAGGATGTGAGGTTTCATGGCTTCGACGAGGTCGGGGTCGAGTTGGGTGACGAGGTCGTAGTAGCGCTTCTTGCGATCGGGATGGGAGAAGGCATCCCAGGGTAGAGAGTCAATGTCCCAGGTGTGGTTGAGGTCGATGTCGCGGAAGCGCAGAGTGATTGTTCGGCGTGACTTGGAGAGAGTGGTGACGAGCATGTAGGATCGCAGCGAGATGGCAGCAGCCATAGCAGCCTGTTCAGGGGGTCAGCTGTGTCGGCGCAGTGAAAGTGGTTGTCGCAGAGGTGCTTGCTACCTTTCCGTGGACGACGGCATGCTCGCCGTAGACAATGACCTTTCCAGGAGCCGAGACCATAAAGGGAGGAGCCAAGGGTGTCGACATCTTGCGTTTGTATGCTGGGCGAGGGTCGCTAGCTGGAGAGTCTTCGTCGCTGCTGGACGAGTGGGTGCCATTGTGTCCGTTGGCCATTGTTACCGAGGGTTTTGCGCCATTGCGCACTTCAGAGCTTCCATTGGTGACTGTCATTGTTCATAGTCTGTCGAGACTCGAGATGGACATGGCAATCGAGAGACAAAGGGAGTTTGACTATTATTTAGAATTGGCGAATGACAGGGCGCGCATTGCAATCAAGTCTCCCCACAACCGCTTCCTCCCTCAGCCCACTTTTTGCATAACATGCACTCAGGACCTGCATAAGCCCGCAGATCTACCTACGCCCCGCAATCCTCATTGCTGCCAATCTCCTGAACAACCGCTGGCCCTTCGACATCAGACCATTACTCGTTCTCAGATCATGTTTGCTCTGTCGACAACAGATCCATCTGTGTTGCTCGTATGCACAGCAGGACTCACTGGACTCGTGGGGCCCGTGTGACCAGCATTCCTCGTCTGCATCTCGAATGCTGGTTCATACCCACTGTGCAAGCCAGATCCGTGGTGGTTGGTAGGCACACCGGCACTGTCGCTGCCAGTGACAGGTCCAACAAAGTGTCCACGTAGAGGCAGCAATGCACTCACGAGAAACAAGACACTACTGCTCATTAGCAATAGTCGAGTATTCATCTGGTACGCTTACTCACAATTCGACTCCAGCAAACGCAGCTGCCGCAGCTCCACACGCCCATGCTGTCTTGAGTTTGCTGATGGTGCCGTTGTAGGCCGCATACTCAGCGTTGCCATTCGTCTGTTGATCGAAGCCACCAGTATAGTATGAGAGAGACCTAGGCGCTGCCACATCACTGTACGCGGCAAGCTCAGCCATGATGGCCAGCCAGAACAGTGCAAAGAACAAGTCGACCGATCCAGCAGAGAGACGATGCGAGGACAGACCAGGCGGGCGTGACAAGAAAGCCAAAGGGATGGTGGCTAGAATGGTTAGTATAGCAGCCACCAGTGCAGGTATGTATGCAGATTGCAACTACGATATCTTGTCAGTTTATCTCTAGTTCAAACACCTTCCATCAAACATTCACTCACGAATGTGGCCTGGTAGATGTTGACAGCATAGGCTATGAGTCCAAGAATCAAAATGGCTAGCAGGAGCTGTACAAGACGCATGGCTTTGTGGGAAACAGCTCCAGCAGTGGCAGAGCGAGATGCTGGCATGACAGTAGCATCCTTGCGACGTCTGCCAAATCTGCTTATTCCTGTCTTGCCGTTCGTAGTACCAGACGCCGTGGTGTCGCTGGTTGGCATATCTGTGCCGACCTCGCCGTCGACCTTTTTTCTCGTGAAGAGGCCCATCTCTGTTGCGAGAGCGTGAATCTCCAGAAAATCAAACGCACACGAGTATCGGTGTTGTCTTACAAGCAAGTATTGGTGTTGTCGACAAGAGAGGGCGCAAACGACAAATGTCTGCCTGCTTGTTTGCACTTCTGCGCTGTTGTCTCGGAGATTCGGGTGGAATGTTGTGCACCATTGCTGTTTGTACCTGAGTGGAATGCAAACGTTGAGAATTGATTGTCGCATCTATCGATGAATGGACAGCTTGTTTTGCGACTAGTAATGTCATTTTGCTTTATTCATGCTAAGGAGCTCTATGGTCAAACGCGAGGTCGTACCGAGATGAGGCAGTAAGCTAATGCAACTAAGAAGCACTCTGTCGCTTTCTGTAGCATTCAAACACAAAGCGAGTAGCTTCGTACCTTGCGAACAGCAATCCAGCGACCCCCATGCTACATGCTTGCAAACGCCCATCATCTTGTCTCAAAACGCTCCAGTCACCTATAACAGGAATAACATCACATCTTGAAAGATGTGTTCGGGTATAAAAAGAAAAAAGAAGAAAGAAAAGCTGAAGATGCGCTCGAGTAACCATTAAGTTTCCTCAAGCCATCCCAGCTCAAGTTCGTTAGAGGACGTGTTATTTGTCATTCGTCGTATTCCAGAGGATGTGTCGCTCGTCAGCGTGGCTGCTGGAAGCTGAGGTGTCCCTTTATGGCTATCAAGTCTTCCTGAAGGCGTGATATGCGCAGCTCGTATTCGTCTTGCATACGGGAGAACCGCTGTTCTAGATTTCTAACATAGTTCCAGATGTCGTTGGTGCTGTCACCAATGATCTCCCTTATGCTGCCTCCTGAACTGTGTCCATGGCTCGACAGGCTTCCTGGATTCGATCCATGCAAGGGTGCAGATTGCATGTTGTTGATGTTGTTGTGCATCGAATTGTGTGTTGTTGATTGGATAGGCAGTCTCATTGAATGACCAGAAGCCAGACCGGCCAATGAAGGAAGTTGGTTGTGTTGTGAAAGCTGATGAGAAGCAGGTGGTGTAGCCTGTCCAGCTCGCGCGTTGTGTGCTTGCTGGATCTGTGTCAGACTAGGTGACCTGTTACGCATAGCGCTGGTGGCTTCAGCTATGCTGAGACGGTGTTGATCGTGTTGCTTGGGAGAAAGCGGTTTAGGTGAATGAGAAATACCACCCTCTCCGAGCACTACCGTCGGGTGTGAATATGGGTTCATGCCCATGCTGCTCGTTGAGTTGACGTTAGATATCTCGCCAGGAGACGTTACAGAGCTAGATGATGGTAGGATGTGGTGGTTCGGGGGACCCATATTGCCTCTATGCGTGCGAGCAGCCAGGGGTGGTGGATAAGTGCTAGAATGTTGGCGATAAATCGATCTGTTGGAGTCGTGCGAATCTTCGATATGAGCACGCTTGCGACTTGGCTCGCTCACCCTACGCGGGTCATCGTCATCATCATCCATATCGTGACCGTTGTCACCATGATCGGTGTATTCCATGCCGTCCATACCCTCGTCACCCATTCTGCTATCATCATCGCCTCCAAAGCTAGAGCGCCGACCCGCGCAACCTCCAGGACCTTTGTTGTGACGGGCCAGGGCGTCTCCGCGCGCGAAGCGTCTGCCACATTTGTCGCAAATGTGTGGTCTCTCGCCTGTGTGCAACTTGGTATGGCGTTTGAGGTCGTGCAGCCTTCTGAAACGTGATTGACATGTTTGGCAAACATATGGTTTTTCTTGGCTGTGGGTAAGCAAATGACTTTTGAGATTGTGGTGACGGGTGAAATCAGTCGCACAATACGGACACTTGTGCCGTTTGGTCGACGGAGAGGCTCTCGACTGACCTTCGGAGGCCGCCTCTGCTGCTACAGATGCCGGACCAGGGTATGTGAACGATTTGTGTGAGGGATGAGAAGATGTAGCTGGATTGTATCCATGGGTCGGTTCTGGGTAGTCCAAGCTAGACATTTCTGCGGGCTCGGCAACCAGTTGTGGATCTCGGGCGTGCTCGTGAGCGGTTGCGGTCGTTGCGCCATTGGGTGAAACAGCGTCCATGTCGCCGAAACTTCTCAGGCTCACTGGACTAGGTTGGGAAGCCTCGGCTGTCGTTGTGACGGGCACAGTGAGGTGTGTACTCGGTTTGCGCATTTGGTTGGTAGGTGGGTGATTTGGAGAAGAGAGGTCTGAGGCCTTGGAAACCGCAGGGCCGTTCATGAGAGCATGCAACGCAGTAGCAGCGGGATTTGCGCTAGTCTGACTGGGTTCTCGGTTTTGCTGCTGTGATTGCAGTCGCCTGGCATCGGCTTGAGCAGCAGCGCCTGTTAAAGGTCTGGGCGAGTAGCGTGCCGGAGATTTTGGTGAAGCAACGGTATACTCCAGGGCGTGTGGCCTGAGCAAGTTGTGGTGCTGAGATTCTTTGGAAAGGGCAAAGGCCGGTTGAGGAGCCGAAGTTGGTGTGTGAGGCACCTCAAGAGGAGGGAAGGGTTCGACCTGGGGACTGTCTGATCTAACTCGTGTGGCCATCGAGGAATACATGCATTCGACTCGGCGTAAGCGGGTTAGCAGTCGACTGTGCGCACGTCAGCCACCGTTCACCATGACAGGGATGATCAAAAAGAAATAAGAAAAAAAAAAGAACAAGCCACACATACGTGATGTGCCGGTCAAAGTGGCGGTGATATGCGAACCTGCAGAGGGTCCGCTATGGAGTTGAAAAGTTGCGCGCCAGAACAAAATCAGTCTGCGCGAATCTTTGTCGAGAAAGGTGGGACGAGTAGGGTAGAAACAGTCTCGACCATCAAGCGTGGATTAAACTGTGGCGTAAATACTGAGTCTGCGGGTGGAAGCCGGCGACGTTAATACAGCCGAAGCGGTGGTAAAACGACGCGATGATTTGGCGTTGACGGGAGCAGAAATGTAGCAGCGTTGTTACTAGAGCGTGAAACCAGGAAAGAAGGATGTACTCGTGCTGTAGGGTGGAGAACTGGAAAGCGATCAAGAATGCTCGGACAGCGCGATGGCCCGGCGCGATGGCGCAGCTAAAGATGTGAGCCGGTACTGCTGGTGCTGCCAAAGACTCGCGGTGGCTGCTCGACGTACGTCAGAGTCAGACGCCTTGCTGTGGCAGAAGAGAGGCGAAACAGCAGATGCTTTTCGTTGCTTGTGGCGATCAAGAGCTCGTTGCCACGCCGCGAACAGAGACGCGACGTGTGTGAGTAGTGGTGTAGTTGCTGATGACAGCAGAGGCAAACAGAAATGCCAAAAGCTGGAAGGCTTGTAAGGTTCGAGATCAAGCTCGAATGACGCAGCGAAAACCGCAGCCGCAGATCTTGACAAGTTGAACCTCGCGAGCAAGCTTTGGATGTTGAACCTCCTCCCTGCCCATCGGATCTGGCCCTTTGAGGCTTGCACCGCTTGCCTGCCCGAGCAGCACTAAAGCAACCTGCTGCTGACCAGACTTCTGTCCTGTTGCGCTCGACCCTTTTCGAGGCTGATTCAACGTCCAGCATTCATGCTGCAAGCAAACTCCCAGTTACAGAAGTCTAGTTGCGCATGCTGCTGCAGCCTCAAAACTCTGCAAGCGACCCGCCTTCTCTTGCAATTCTCCGACTCTCTCTGCTCACGCTCGATCCTAATCGTGTCCGTGGCTTTTCGCTTGCCGATGCCAGCCGCCGCCGTCGGCTCCATGCTGCTGCTGATGCTTCTGCTTGTCCCAAAAGCGGAGACGGATGTGGCTGTGCAAGGTTAGGGTCTTGTCCGAGAACCCATCTTGTTCAGATTCTAATACGTTTGACCGATCAGCGACAGGGGGCACGGTCTGTTCTCCTGTCAACTGACTAATGCGTTGCTTTGTTGGTTAACCATGCTCTTGCCAGACTCCATGGGAACATGGCAGGCCTGACGAACGTCAAGTCGCTCTTCCTTGCTCTGGCAGATCTCAAGCACTCGATCGAGGGGAAGTCGCGACTGCGCCTGCTTCTTCATCTACGTCGCGGCCACCAATGTGGATCTTTTGTAGAGATCACCATCGCCGCAGCCTATGCTTTCCTCGCACGGTATGCAGGCAAGTGTTTCCAACCGATCGATGTTCGTCTTGCAGCAAACAAAGATTTGCGCATTGCCGCACTCGCTTCTATCTTTCCAGCCGCTAGATGTTGTATCACAGCCATCTCACTCTGAATGCGTCACCATGATGAGTTGTGGCGCCGTTGCTCCTATTCTGCATTGCCTTGATCTTGAATTCTGACTGACCTTCAGCCTTGTCAGCAGCTGCATGCTAGACTGTCGTACCTGTCTTCTAGGCGGCAGTACGTATAAAGCCAAGTGCCAGAACCCGTCTGAAATGCTGTCGAGAACAACAGAAATCATCACGATGAGGATGACAATCGACTCGATCATCGCGAATGAGTAGCAGTCTGTGCTATGACATGCAATGTCCATCTTTGTTTATATTCTGGAGAAACTAGGCACGATGTCTTACATACTCCACAGTCCAGAGCTCTCTCATAACAGCCATAGCACCTATACCACAAGACAAGTGGAGCAGATCGCATGTCTATCCTGGACGAACTAAATTGATCATTTGAGTCGAGTAAGCACGTGAGCAGCTGTTGAGTCGTTGTCATCATATCGTGATATACCAGCAGACTTTGATCGGAGCAACATCTGACAATCTTCTATATAGCAAGTTTACTTCCCGCCCGGTACAACCGTCTGATTTATATAGGACGGAGAGTTTTCAATAACTCTGATGGCTCGTATTATCAATAGATGCCGTGTGGAGAAAGGCGGGTCATCCAGGCGCATAGAGTTCTGGCCTTGGTGATGGAAGTGGCTTACAATCGCGACGAGCCACAGAACCAAACCGTTCGATTCGCTTTTTCTGGTAGGCAGGGACGAAGATCGAGATGAATTGGAATACTGTACGAGAGCATTTCTCAAAGTGTATTCCCAGGGTATTGCCGCTGGCTTCCGATGATTCGATGAAGGTGTTGGATGTTGCAAATCGGTAGGACGGTGAGATGTCGAACAGGACAGGGTGCTCATGACAGTTTGTGTCTCTGATCAAACGACAAATCTGAAGTTCTGGTTCTGGATGAGCCAGCTCTTGCCTTCACCAGTCTTTCCCTTGCCCTTTGCGCCGGCCTCTTCCTTGTTGGGCACCAGAACCAGGGTGTCGGAGAAGGCGCGCATTGGACCCTCCTTGCGCTCGATCAACCGTACGTAACCGCTGACCTGGACAAGGATGCTCATGTTCAGCTCTTGCTCCTTTGGCTTTGCTGCCTTGTCCAGAGGGGCGAGTGCTGGGTTCAGGACGTGGGCGTTGACGGACTGGATCTCGAAGAAGGTATAGGGCATTTGAGTCGTGTAGGTGTTGGAGAAGTCATCGGGGTCTGAGACGACGGTTCCATTGTAGGAGATCTGGGGCAGAAGTTTTCCAGACGGGAGGACGGTCTTGGGTACGTAGTAGTCGGGCAGAGAGCCGCGAGCGCTGGTCAGGGCGACATAGTATGCGTCGGTGAAGGTTTCGGCAGCTGTGATCTTGTTAGCAGGGGCAGGCGTGTCGCGTAAACATGGCTGCTGCATACCATTCGCCGAGACGCGGACAAGAACATCCTCTCCAAGTGCGGCAGCCATCTTGTGTTGCGGTGCGGTGTTGCAAGAGGTGAGGGGATCAAAATACTGTCGCTATCACATGCAAAAGTGAGGAATGGAGAGGAGCTTGGGCCAGCAAGGACAAATGTTTGGCGACTGCCTTTCTCGACCGGCGCATTCTCTCAATGACTCCTCTGTTACGATCATTCGGTTCACGCTCCTGGCGTCCGCAATCGCCATGCTCGATACGTGTGCCTCGTCTTGGCCATGTTCGCTCTCTGGCGACGCCGTCAACAACAGATGATTCCAAGCCGTACTATGTCACCACTCCCATCTTCTATGTCAATGCCGCCCCTCATGCCGGTCATCTATACACAATGCTCCTCGCAGATGTTCTGAAGAGATGGCAGCTGCTCAAGGGAAGAAAGGCTGTTCTTCTGACCGGTACAGATGAGCACGGCATGAAGATCCAGCAAGCCTCAGCAAAAGCCGGAAGTGATCCAAAGCCTTTCTGTGACAAAGGTGCCGACATCTTCAAGAATCTGGCCAAGAGAGCTGAGCTCAGCAACGATCACTTTATCCGGACCACTGATCCTGCACACAAAGAAGCTGTCGAGTACGCCTGGCACTTGTTGAACGAGAGAGGCTACATCTACCAATCCAAGCACGAAGGCTGGTACTCGGTTAGTGATGAGACCTTCTACCCAGAATCTCAGGTCCATCTCGTCTTGGATCCTCCTACCGGAAGAAAGGTCATGGCATCCATCGAGACGGGTAAAGAAGTCGAGTGGACATCCGAGATCAACTATCACTTCCGGCTATCCGCTTTCCGTGACAAACTTCTTGCATACTACACCGAGAATCCCGAATGGATCACTCCTCATGTCAAGATGAAGGAGGTTGTGTCTGCAGTCACAGCCGGTCTCGAAGATCTGTCCATCTCCCGTCCATCCACAAGGTTGACCTGGGGCATCCGCGTACCCACCGATCCCACGCAGACCATCTATGTCTGGTTAGATGCTTTGATCAACTACGCTACCGCTGCTGGGTATCCCTGGGCTCCAGGTTCTGAACACATTGGTGGCTGGCCCGCTGATGTGCAAATCATCGGCAAGGACATCCTGCGCTTCCACTGTATCTACTGGCCTGCCTTCCTCATGGCTCTTGATCTACCTCTGCCAAAGCGCTTCCTTACACACGCTCATTGGACTCTTGGTAAGCAAAAGATGGCCAAAAGTACCGGCAATGTCGTAAATCCCTTCTTCGCCCTTGACCGCTTTGGTACCGACACTATGCGCTACTACATGATTCATGATGGTGGCATCGACAATGATGCAGACTACGATAATATCTATATCATCGAACGCTATAAGAAGGGTCTTCAAGGAGGTCTGGGAAACTTGGCTTCCAGAATCACCCGCGGAAAAGGTTGGGACGTCAGACGTGCTGTGGAAAGATTTGCTGGTGAAGGTCGTCAATCTGTTTCGCACTTTTCCGAGCAGCAACCCTCGATTCGCGCGTTCGAAGTGTTACTTGAGGAATTCCCTTCAGTCATAAACAAACGCATGGACGCTCTTCGACCCAACCTTGCTCTGAAAGATTTGATGGATCATATTTATGCGGCAAACGCTTTCTTACAGGCACAAGCCCCATGGGATATTGCTTCCAAGCTCAAAAAAGGAGAATGGGTGCTCAATACTTCGTCGAAGGAGGAGGCTGAGCAGCTGATGGACTATATCATCTTCCTGAACACTGAGGTGCTGCGACTTGCTGGAATTCTGCTCCAGCCGGTTATGCCCGCAAAGGCCAAGCAATTGCTCGATATGCTTGGTGTAGCGGACGACAGGAGAGGATTCACAGATGCCCACTTCGGTGTAGACAAGGACTATGGTGTGTCTCGAGTACCTATCGGCAAAGGACAAGCTGGTGTGCTCTTTGCACCTCTGATGAGTGATTCGTAATTCACATATTTCAGCGGACAGCTTCACCACGGGTGTTGCGATGTAAGATAGTTGTATCATAGTTTCGTAGCAGTCATGACAGATCTTCATCCGTCTCCAACCTCCCACCCTCGTACCCAAGCCTCTCTTCCCTTTTGCCGTGCTGAGATGATAACAAGGCTTTACTGAGGGGCACGCATGTTGGCCTTTACTCTAGCCATCAACTCCTCCTTGGATGATGTACTGCTAGCCATGAGGTTTCTGCGGTTCAGCCATCTGGTCAATTCCTCATGGGTCCAATCCTCAGGTTCTGTGATTGATCATGTTTAGTTTCTCCAGTCTCGGTATCATAATAGGGTGTGAGACTTACCACCAGTGGGATCAGGCTGTTGAGGAAAGATGTCGCCTCCAAAGATGGACCATGCTGCAGACGCGGCAACGAGTCCGGTGAAGGCAAAGAAGAGGTTCTGGGAGGAGTATGTTAGCGAGATGGTAGTTTGTTCAGTATTACGAGCATTCTGAACCTTTGAGTTGAGTGCTCTGTCGAGTTGAGTAGGCATGACGTCTGACTTTGATTATGTCTTTATAACGAGAAGCACAAAGAAAGCAATCAAGCGAGTCTCACGGGTAGGTAGCTAGGTAGAAGTATCTGGTTATTCTGTCTGCCTAATTCACATCTCGATGTTCTGTCCTTTGGTCGATGAATGGAGGAGGTCAAAGCGTAGCCGCGTCCTCCCCTTCCGCTCACGACGCAAGCAGGCCAAAAGTCTTGGCACAGGCAAGCTCGCTTAGTAGCATCCCACAGAAAGCACGACTGAGGACCTCACTGCCCAGTAACGCATACCACACGTCGTCTCAAACACCGCCAACATGCCTTCCCAAGTCACCGACATCAAGCAGTTCATCGAGATCTGCCGCCGCAAGGACGCTTCCTGTGTGTTTTTACCCTGGAGTCTTTTGAGCTAGAGAAACACGGCCGAAAAATGAACGCCAAGACTGATTTTTGGATTCCCCCTACAGCTGCTCGCATCAAGAAGACCTCTGCCCAGCAGATCAAGTTCAAGGTCCGCTGCAACCGCTACCTCTACACCCTTGTCCTCAAGGACCAGGACAAGGCCGAGAAGCTGAAGCAGTCTCTTCCCCCTGGTACGCGCAACTCTACGCCTCTCCATCGATTGTCACCCACTCGAAATAGGCGACACAAACTCACTGGAAGCGCACAATTTGGCTAACGAGATGCGATATCCACAGGTCTTACCATCTCCGAGACCCCCAAGAAGAACGAGAAGGGCAAGCACGTCGCCAAGTAAACGCAAAGAGCAACAATGTGTCAATAAAACAACGCAAAAACTCTTTTTTGAAGCGACCAAAACAAACGAATAAAATCCACGATTTCATCTGCCCCATTCACTTCACCGACCAATGCGCCCATGCGAAGAACGACATCCAACGTTGTTATGTAAAGAATGTGTGATTATCAACGGAGAGGGACAATCCGATTCAAGCAAGAGATGCACAAAGAAAGATATCACAAGCGGCTATCCTCTGTCGAGTATGAATTAAGGCGAGAGCAGAGAAGAAACAAGAGAAGGATTGCAGGCTTCAAGGTCATCAAAAGCTGCGACACACACGGGGAACATTTCCATTGCAACAATACACGGTGCTCTACCATGCTCAAGGTTCTTCTGCGTAGAACATAACATGACACAAGTTTCTTTCCGAGCAACGGCCAAGTATGCATCTCTTCTTCTTTCTCACCCTCTCCCTCTCTTGCTACTTTTCTTCCCACACGTCTACATGTGTGGCAAAGATAATCTGCCGTGGCACTCACCCTTTTCAATGGCATTTCCCTTGTTTCGTGGCATGTTGAGTGGAGTTTTGGTTTGGATGAGTTTGATATCATCCTCTTTTGAATTTGCAAAGCTATCATCTGGCTCGTCGGCCACGACCCTCCACCAAGTTGGACAGACTTTGAGTTTGTCCTCAGGCCGCTTGCAATCACTGTCCCTGCTGCACAGCAAACTTATACTGGTCCTTACGATCCAGGTACACAACCTTCTGACTCAATCCCGCCTCCTCAATCTCCTTCTTGAAGTTCTCGAGGGGATCCAAGAACACATCGTAATCACTGTTCGTGCACATTGATCAGCAATCTCCTCCCTCTAAGCTCAGACAAATCAGACAGGAAACTCACTCGTAGTGGATGGGGATAGTCAAGTCAGGGTTGATCATCCTCACAAGCTCAATTCCTTGCTTTGCATCCATTGTTACCATCAACATTGGCAGTTTTGGTGAAGGGATGGTCGTGCCGCCTAGATGAATCAACATGAGATCGATGTTTTGACCCTTGTATCGCTCTGGGATTTCTTTGAGTTCGTCGACAAGAAGTGTGTCGCCAGAAATGTATATTCTAGATCACACGCATTAGTGTGTCGTTCGAAGGATCTCGGGAGGGGTCAGATCAAACCTGTATCCATTCTTGAAGCTGTCAGTCGAACTGCCATTGCCCTCTTTATACCCCAATTCCAACATCCAACCATTGGTGGGAGGCACAGCACCAAGTAAATCATTGGCTTTACTCAACAGTCCCTGCGGCACATGTTTACCAGGCATACCCGTGACCTTCACAGCCGGTACTTTCTTGCTCGTGGCCTCATGCGTAGTCCCAGACTTCCGAATATCCACAAACATACTCTGGAAGAAATCTAGATCGTAGACTTTGCTGAAAGACTCGTCTTCGCCTTTGGAGGTCAAGTGATCTTTGGCGTGAGGAGTGGTGATGATGGGTAAAGAGCGACGTAACGATGCCTCTACTTTTTCGTCAAAGTGGTCGGCGTGGTAGTGGGATAGCAGGACTGCATCGATGCGAGGGAGTTCGTGCAAGTCGAGTGCTGGGTTTGTTTGTCTGGTTCCGGTTACGCCAGGGCCGAGATGAACGTGGTCTCCGGCGTGTAGGAAGTTGGGATCGGTCATGAGACGGATGCCTTCCCATTCTCTACAACATGTATAAGCCATCTACCTCTGGGGAGATCACATCTTCTGGTTTAGAGGTCTCACAATATCGTGGTCGCAGTGCCAACAAAGTACAAACTTGCATTCTCTCCACCTGCATTGGTAGGGTGTAGTCTCGTCTCTTTTGCTTCCGGCAGACTGCTAGGGTAATTCTGGTGGTCGCGAGTAGGTGCCTCCGCGTGAGAGGGATCGAGGACCAGATTCTTCGTCATGCTTGCTTTGGAATCGTTTGTCGTTTGCGATGAGAACAGGGTGTTGGTATCAAAAGACATTTGGTGTGTAAACAGATGGAAAGAAAGGGAGATCAGGAGCAGGAGCAGGAGTTCACTCCTTCTTCACCCAAGGGCCAAATATCAATGTCGACAATATCACGTCACTGCTGTCATGCACGCATAGTGCGGGCACTGCGGGGTTTTGTCAATCATTGGGATCTCAGCTCGTCGATATCTTTTCTCATAGTTCATTGACTCGATCATGAGCGGTGCAGTCAATATCGTAACAAAAGAGCTTAGAGTTTCCCAGTGCCTGAGTGGTGTGGAGGTAGTCGTCTTGACTCTTGAACATAACTTTATGTTGACTGTGTGACCCGGACCGTGTTCAAGTCGCATTTCGAAAATGGCAACTCGCTCGACGTCAAGTATCATCACACGCTGTGAGCCATGACTAGCTTTAAAGTAATCAAGAACTAAAGACCTTTGCTGAAGAGGGTTCTGTGTCTCTTCATTGCGATTAGTGTTGCCAGAAATATCGATCTAGTGATAAAATCGGAAACCACGACGCAAGAGGGAATTGCCCAAGAGATCAGAACATCATTTTACTTTTTGGATTGACAGTAGTTGTAACAGGACAACCAAACACATACCAGCAAAAGAGCCTAGCACAAAAAGTTTGGGTCAATGGTCTCTTGGTTCCAGGCATTTACTGTTTATATCTTCATATGTCAATTACCTAGTAAGCTTCAAAACAGTTCTGAACCCGACTCTCATCAAAGCCTTCGATGAACTAGTTCGCTCCAGAGGATCTTGACAAGCCTCGTAACGTGCATAGTTCGGTCCTGCTATATAGGCTTGAGAAGCCCTAATCGTGTAATCGGTCAATCGGTAGTCATGGCGCAAAAAGCGGTCAATCAACCTTGCTTTCCAGCCCTAGACGCCTTGCCAGCCGATAAGTGTTTACGCGTGTTCAAAGTCCCAATCGATCATAGTCCTCATCCAGTGTCAATGTGGGTTTCAGTCAGTGGTAGAAATATGAGACCTGGGATCTCCAGCAGATGCAGATACGCACAACAAGCTTTTCTCGTTTCCGGAACACGCAACCTCTCACTATCCACGTGCGAGAACAACGAGAAGATTGAAGAGTGATTAAGCTCGGTTTCGAAGACATATATTATTCGCGACAAGGGTATTCGAAGAAACGACACGGGCGTTGAGGGACATTACAAGACCCGGCTCCAATCGCTTGAGGAGAAGAGAAGACTTTTGGGACCATAAAGATCCAGGTCTAGTAGCCCGACAGGGTTGAGTTGCTGAACCAGTCAATGGCAGCCTTGACGACCTGGACATCCTGGTCGACGGAGCCACCACTGACACCAATACCACCAATGAGGTAGTCGTCCTTGTAGATGGGAAGACCACCACCGAAAACAACAAGACCACCGTTGGTCTCCTCAACACCTGTAGTGGCCGATTAGCTGATGCGATTAGGATCTCAGACAGGGTGTACGAACCATAAAGGGGACCTTGAGCGGCGGCAGTCAGGTCCGCTGTTGAGTAGGCACCGTTGAAGAGGACGACAGTGCGGGCCTTCTTGATCGAAATGTCAATACTGCCAGGGAAAGCATTGTCCATGCGGTGGAAAGCGACCAACAAGCCACTGGGGTCAACAATGGCAATGTTCTCAGGGATGACAGAGTTGGCTTCCTTCACGGCAGCAGCAATGAGGCTGTCAGCCTGGTCGATTGAAATGACATGTCTCTGTCATGGGAGAGTCAGCCGAAATTTTCAACGATATACTGGATCATCATCAATGCTGACTTGTGCGGGCGTGCTTCCAACGCCATTGGTAGCAGTCTTGTTGCCGGCAGCACAAGCACCGAGAGTTGAGCCCAAGAGCAGGGTGAGAGTGAGGAAAGACTTGATGACGGCCATGTTGTATATTGGTGATGTGTGATGATCAGATGAACAATACCGGAAGTTGTAGAAGATGTAATAAGTGCGTGCTTAGATCCTTGGATGTGGGGAATATGGAAAAAAGCAATGCCCCAATGCGATGGGGAATAACGTCTTTTGTACTTAGGCAGTATATGATTTTCTTCGACTGCCAAGGCAGGGTGGTGAATTGTAGTCTGGAACTCCCGGCTGTTAGACGGTTTGCCTCAGCAGCGGGAGCGGTGTTATTTCGAGTGTTTGATTAACTCTTAATGTCCTTGACAGCGATGGCTTAGGAAGATCATTAGTTTCGCAATACCCCCAAGCGAAAGCCTTTACGCGGCCATACCACTCTCGAGGGCATCCGCGCGGGTAAGCAAGGCATCGCAGCGTGGAATCCTTTGCGTTTCAGCCGCGAGTCATGGCATCCAAGACCCTGTTGTGGTCGGAAGTTGATGATCTGGGTCGATGTAGTCATCAAAACTAGTGCCGTGGCGCACATTGGCTAACGAAAGATCGTTCGCTGACTGGAGCTTGCACTATAAGTGAATTTCGTATGGACCGCGCGTGCATGTGGTGAAGCTCTAATATATGGGCCTCGACCGGATGAGGATACGCAAGCGATCTCACGTGGTTGGTAGAGGCATCTTCGTTGTTAGCCTGAGATGAAGTGATGTCCGCTCGAAGCACATGTTCGACTACTACACCACACGACGCTCAGTGCCGTGTTCAGACTCTCAATAGTGAACGAGCACGAGTGGATAAAGACGTTAAAATAGTCTTCGGCTCAGAGCCTCCCGGTTACGAAACAGTTGGAACGCTGGCCGTGCATGCCGCGATCCGAAGCTCTGCCGTCTTGAATCCTCGGCATATCCGAGCATCTCCTCCATAACGAAAGCTCTGTTATCGTTTGGAGGTAGCTAATGGCCTGGGTTAGCTGTTAGAATCATACTCGAAAGATATGACAAGTTGTCTTAATCTCGCACTTGAATCCTTGGAATCAGATGCAGATGCTGGAAGAATCTTGCCTAGCTGACAACGATCGCGGCCCCTTGATCTCAAGTGTAACTGCCGTGATCATTGTGCCGGGCTCTTCACGGGCACTGCGACTTTTGCTTCTTACGCACGAGTCGATACCATGGCTTGCTCATATGTCCGTCGTTTGGGGACGACGTCCATGATTCTTTGCCAATCGATTCTGATCGAGACCGAGTCATGGGAAGAACGAGCGGTAGTGATATCTTGCATACTCGACACAGAGGTTTGGTAGTGAATCTTCGGTTCGCAGCTTTAACTTTTGCTCAAAGAGGTTCGGCCTGTAGTATCGGTGAGCAATCCAATCCATAACAAATCATGGGTGTCTAGAGCTCCAAGTGGTCGGCGTGATTCTTGGGCTGTGGCCACATCTCTCCTGAGTGGATAACCCGCTCAATGTAAGCCACCCCCCTGGATTGCGATGGAAGGCGTGACCATCTATTGAACAACTTACTAGCGGAGGTAGGAGTAGTCTCTGCAGAAGTGTTCCAGAAGTCTTAGCATCGATGTATTTTGTCGCCAAGGAGAATGACATCCGATGTCAATAACATAGGTATCGAGAATCCGCAAGCATAAACGCGGTGTTGAAGGTTGTGACAGATTCTGGTCTGTCCATGTTGTGCATTCGCCATGTTAGAGAATATTGCGCAACTAGAGATTCTCAGGGAAGTCACGATCGTTATCCTGATCAGCTCCCCGCCAAAGTCCATGAAGCCTCGGCAATGTCGCCGGTCACCATCCTCAGCAACCTGTATCAACAACACTTTCCTTCACATAACAAAAGCTACAAGATGCCAGCCGTGTCTATCAACGCACCGGCGCATAGCAGTCCCAAAGACGGCTACTTCAATCTCGGGACCTACACTCGCAAGATCAGCACCAAGAACCCTGAGGCTCAGCTGTGGTTCGATCGCGGCTTAATCTGGGCATATGGCTTCAACATCAAAGAAGCATCGATATGTTTCGAGAAGGTGATTCGCCTGGATTCCGAGTGTGCGATGGGGTAAGGGTCTTAAGGAGCTGATACCATATTAAGCGCTAATAATGTAACAAAGCTATTGGGGACTGGCGTATACCAAAGGGCCTTATTACAACAAGGCGTGGCGACTCTTTGACCCGAAGGAACTCAAGGAAGCTCTGGTGATAACTTATGAGACTTCACGCAAAGCACAGGAGCTTGCACATAATGCCACGCCTGTGGAGAAAGCTCTCATCAAGGCTATTGTTGCCAGGTATCCTCAGAAGACACCGGCCGAAGACTATCAACCATGGAATGTAGCATACGTTGATGCAATGGAAGAAGTCTACAAGTCCTACAAAGACGACCTTGATGTCGCTTGCCTGTACGCCGAGTCACTAATGGTCCTGACACCTTGGGCTCTATGGAACATCCACACCGGAGAACCTGGTCGAGGAGCGCGTCCATACGAAGCAAAAGAAGCACTGGATCATGCTTTTACTCTTCCCGGAGCTTGGGGACATCCAGCTCTACTGCACTTCTACATTCATCTGATGGAAATGTCAAAGACACCTGAGTGTGCTGTGCAAGCAGCAGATAGTCTGCGCGGTCTCGTACCCGACAGCGGTCACTTGGAACACATGCCATCTCACTTGTATGTCCTCATTGGAGACTACAGAGCCGGCATCGCTGCCAATGCTTCTGCTGTTCGTGCCGATGATGCATATGTGGCTAAAATGCAAGGCAATGAGATGTATACCTTTTATCGTGCCCACAACTCGCACTCTCTCATCTATGCAGCTTTGCTATCTGGCAAATCAGAAGTTGCTCTCCAGAACTGTACACTTATGGAGAACTACCTCCCGGAAGAGCTTCTCGCCATTGAATCCCCAAACATGGCAGACTGGCTCGAGTCCTTCCTGGGTGTTCGCGCTCACCTGCTCGTCAGATTCGGCCGCTGGGAAGAAATCCTGGCCCTAGAAATGCCAAAGAACAAAAGACTCTACTGCGTAACCACAGCGACTCTACACTACGCCAAAGGTGTAGCCCACTCAGCCCTCGGCAATATCACCGCTGCCGAAAAAGAGCAACAACTCTTCCTCTCTGCCCAAAAACTCGTCCCAGAGTCCCGCTTCGACTTCCCCAACAAATGCACCGATATCCTTAGAGTCGGTGAAGCCATGCTAGCAGGAGAAATCGAATACCGCAAGGGCAACTTCGACCTCGCCTTTCAACACCTCCGCGAATCCATAACACGCGACGATAATCTAGTCTACAGTGAGCCTTGGGGCTGGATGCAACCTACCAGACACGCCTACGCTGCTCTGTCACTCGAGCAAGGTCTAGTGGAGCAAGCAGCACAAGCCTACGCCGAAGACCTCGGTTTCGTGTCTTCTATCCCCCGCGGTCACCAACATCCCAATAACGTCTGGGCATTGGTCGGATATCGAGAATGTCTAAAGTCGTTGGGCAGGGAAGCAGAGTTTAACCAGCTGGAGCAACCCTATCAGTTGGCAATACAAATGGCGGATATCAACGTGACTTCATCCTGCTATTGTAGGAGAATGAGTGAGCAAGCAGAGAGCAAAGAGGCAAAGTGCAACGGCTCTTGCTAACTTTGATGTAGAAACCATCGGCCATGCGGTTGGGAGAAGGGAGTCCAAATTATGATCGGATGCCATGCTATATGTTCCCCAGTTTTTCATCCATCTTGTGTCACCTATACCTTGCTTGGAGTGATAGCCAGATTGTGATGCATCCTAGTCCAAGTCGTGCTTGATTATCAATGCTTTGCCTGTCTCAACAACTTCCAACCATCATTAGCAGCTCGAATAGTCAAAATTCCGTACCAACTCGACAGCACACATCATAGTGACCTCTGGAGCGAAGAGGACAGACCCATCATCATCGCAATTGACACAAGGAGAAGCCAAAAGAACCATGACAACATTATTTTTTCTCTACTCTTCGACTCCCAAAAATCTAAACACCCACACTCTTGACCAAGAGCCACAGCGCAACAGGAACAACAACATTGTCGTTAGCCCCCGTCAACACCGCTTCCATAAAACTCGCTCCACAGCCACAAACAAACATCTTGCCAACCTCTATACCCCACCCTTTTACATCATGCCCAAAGAACCCAGAAGTGTTGTTGGCAGAAGAGGCAGAAACAAACACCTCACTCCAACCCCCAAATCTGACCCAAAGCTTTGCAAACAACAAACCAACGGTAACGGCAACGGCAAAAGCAGTGCTGCCTTCGAGAGACTTGCCGCCGATCCAAGGCCATCTGCAGCGACCGAAGCGTCTGCCGATGAGACTGGCTGCCGCGTCGCCCATGCCCACGCAAATGACTCCTGCCACCATGGCAACCTCGCGGACTTGATTTTCGGTTTCCCAGCCTGGCCATTTTCCAGTGATGGTTCTGCCGATGCCAGCGAGGGAAAGCCAGAGTGGAATAGCACAGCCGATGAGTAAGAAGACGTGGCTTACAACCATAGGTCCTCTGAGATCTCTTCCGTCCACATAGGGCGCCACGAATCTGCCAATCGCAATCCCCAGCGGTGGTACCTGGCCTGCACGGATGATTTCCAAGATCAAGAAGATGGCGAGTACGATGCCCAGAGCCAAGGAGCAAAAGCAAGGATCCACGAAGATGGAGGGTAGAAGCATAGATACCATGACGGCGTGGAAGACTTTTCGTCGTGTGTCGACTTCGATAAAGGGGGTGAGACGTAAGACTGCGACGAGGCCGATACAGAGGACGGCTGCCCAGTATGCAACGATGAGAAGTCGTGTATTAGCCGCACCCACCGCAGCTCTCACACCAGGAACAGAAGAACCGTGAAACGACAGATTTTGCAGAATTTCATCTTTGTATGCAATGCGGTCGACTCTGGAGGAGAAAGCGTTGAAGAATGTTGGTATATCCGAGAACAGATACTCGAATGCCCAGACGACGGGCTCTGCAGAGTTCAGAGCAGCTTCGGAGATTGTTCTCCGCACCGGGACCAAGATTACGAAGGCGATTGTCGTGATGATGTAGATGGCATATGCCCACTTGTACATGAAAGCACCCTCAGGCGTCAGGTTCAGATGCCAATCTCGGAATCGACGATGTTTGCGCTGAGCACCTGCGCTCGGAGTTGCGGCTGCCAATGACGTAGGAGCATCCGTACTCGCAATGGTATGCCTTCTTTTCCTAGAGAAGTCATTCGCATCCACAACAGAGTCTCGATGCGGAGGAAGATTTGCTTCAACAGCTGATTGTGGTTCGTCAAAATCGTGGCCAGTCGAGGCGGTATTGATACTCAGCTTGGGCGACTTGCGAGTCTGCGACAGAACTTTCTGGATAGGCACATGCTCATCGGTATCGCTTTCGTCATTCTCGTAACGCGTGAAGGGATAGATCCACCTTGTGAGCATCGAGGCAAGGTCCTGTTTGATGTGAGACGAACGACCAGGCTTGGAGGCAGTTCGTCGAAACCTCCATCGAGGGACACGTGCGAGAGCTACGTTCCAGCGTGCAACGTGAGTGCACAAGACGAGAAGCCAGACGCCTCCGACCCACAGCAGAGCACGCAAAATAGCAGTTTGAGGTGAGGTTGCGAAAAGGAGAAGATTGATCAAACCAGCCGACAAAAGGTGCTTCTCGGCAGCCAGAAGACTGGTTGTGGTCAAGTAGTGCAGCGCGGGTAACAATGCCTGGTGTAGAGGGTATAGCAGAGTGAGCAGTTCGGGCTGCAAGAAGGGAGGCTGGCTTGCCTTGAGCTTGTACGGGGTTGGAGGATATGCAGAGGAGGGCAGCTCGGTGTTCTCAGAGAAGATGAGGGGTGTGGTGGAGACGATCCAGTGAAGCGTGTTGATGTCTTTGAGACGAGATAAAGGAGGAAATAGGCGAGGCGGTAGAGAGGCCAGACCCAGGATTAGATTAGGTAGCAGTAGAGCAGGATATTGAGGCAGCAAAGAGAGGGCGATCAAGACAGGGACAAAGGTGGGATAGAGGATCGAGGCAGGGTCGAACGAGGCGGGAACTCGGAAGCGGCGCCATCTTGGACGGGTCGTATCGTCGGAAGGAGAGAAGATGATGACTCTCAGGGGGTATACAGCAATCAGGAGGGCAACAATGGCCAACTGGGAGGCGACCTCTACTACAGGGCATCAACGTTTGGCTCACAGAATCAGAGATAGTAGACAAACCTCTATGCCAGTTCCAGAGAGCATGCCTCACGGAGGGAGCGAGGACTATGATCAGGCCAATGACGGCAAGCAAAGCACCCTCTGAAATGCGACGAATGCGTTCAGCTCTGGTCCTCTTTTCATACAGCCGTCGAGCGACCAGCAGTTCATTTTCTTCCGCGTGCTCTGTTGGCGTTTGGGTCGGCTTGCGATCAAAGTATCCTTGGGTGCCTTGATTGTCGAGTTGTGAAGGAGTGAGCAGCGGAGAGGGTGTACCATCGGCTTGTCGGAGTCCTTTGGTCAGGCGTGCTGAGGGCGGCGGCAGGGCCTTCAGGTATTGTGAGGGTCGCTCATCGTCGGCTTCGGTGCCGCTCTCGCTCGACAGATTGTTTGGAGTTTGGTAGTTGCTGCTGTCTTCGGGACGGGCAGCTCGGCGGCCACGGCGGGCGTAGGGGTGTGGTGAGCGCTCTCGTTCATCGCCGGCGGTGGGCATTCTGCGAGCTTTGTCGAATCATCTTACGACCGAGATCCTACAAGACGAGCATTACGAGAAACAACCTAGTCCCTCGCCGTTTGCTCATCGAGGCCACGAATGCCTTGTCCCAACCGTGACGCACGCTTCACTTGGCGTCACCCTTCCTTCCCGAGAGCTGATCTCCGACATGTGGATTCAAACCATTGACCAAAGTCGCAACCGTCTTGGAACAAATCTGGTCAGAGATATAGCCATGTGTCTTTTCTACATAACCATCGCATTTCTACCATGTACTCCATAATATTACAAAATCTATCAACTCCCGAATCGCTTACAGGTACTTGTTGGCCTTGAGCCATGCCTCTACATCTTCAGCATCTCTCTTCAACCAGCCATCCTTTGCTCTAATTGCATCGAAGCTCTGTGCAAGACTCTGGTCGAAGCCCTTTGTGCTGCGCTCCTTGAAGAACGCATCAATTTCCTGAATCTGCTTCTCGCTGGTGAAGCTGCTAGTGCAGAGGCTGACCACACTGCCGAGCATGCTGAGACCAGGAGGAAGCTTCTTGTAGATAGTGTCCCAGTTGACCTTGACCCAGTCCCACAGTGCGAGAATACCCTCCTTGTGCGAACGAAGACCACCAAGAGGAAGGTAGATGTCTTGGTCCTTGACCTCCTTGCTGAGAGCCATGGCAAGTGTGCGCTTGATGAGTTCGGGTTGTCTAGCACGTCCGATCGAACGCAGTGCTGTGTTGCGCTCATCGGCCACCTTGGCGGTTCTGTACTCGTCCAGGATAGCATCGTACTCGGCCTCGCCTCCATTCTGGAGAGCAACGGCGTACACTCCGCCACGCAAGTTAGGGTGGATAGCTGATCTGTCACCGTTCTTGAACTTCTCAAACATCTCGAGCGCTGCTGCCTTGGTCTTCTCGTCACCCGAGAGAGCTGCACTGCTGAAAAGCAGCGACTTGAACTGCTGCTCAATGTGGCCATCACTCTCCTTGAAGTCCCAGCCAAGCTCGTGCGACTTCTTGGCGACAAGATCACGCTGGAAAGCCTTGAGGGCGTCCTTGACCTTGTCGTCCTGGAAGACCCAAGCTGCGCGTACCGAAGCGATGCGGGCAGTAAGCTCGTCCCAAACGACAAACTCGGGCTCCGTGTCGAAGCCCTGTAGCAGAGAGAGAACACCAGAGGTCTTCTGGTAGCCAGACGCAGCAAGAGCACCGGCGTCGGCAATCATGCCGGCTCTGTCCTCAACAGTGAGAAGACCCTTCTTGGCAGCCTCTCCAAGCTTCTGAAGGCGCTCAGGAGAGTACGAAGTTCTGTAAATACCCGAGTGGTCTGCGTTAATCTTGTAGAAGTCGAGGTCCTTGACCTTGAAGCTTCTCTCACGGCCATCAAGTGTGAGCTCCTCATCAACACCGTCGGCGGAACGGAGACCAAGGAATACAGGGTACAGAACCTTGTCCTCCTCAGGCTTGACATCTGCAGTACGCAAGAATCTGTTTTGCTTGACGTGGACAGAGTTGTTCTTGGCATCCTCGGTAACGCTAACAACAGGGAAACCGACATTCTTGGTCCAGATATCCATGATCTTCTCAACATCCTTGCCGCTAGCATCGCTCAAAGCAGCCCAAAGGTCGTTAGTCTGGGTATTGCCGAAGGCGTGCTTCTTCAGGTAGCGTCTAACACCCTCCATGAAAGTCTCCTCGCCGAGGTACTTGGAGACCATGCGGAGAACGCAAGATCCCTTCGAGTATGAGATGGCGTCGAAGATCTGGTTGATCTCATCGGCACGCTTGACAGGAACCTCAATAGGGTGAGAGCTGCGCAGAGAGTCGAGAGCGAGAGCACTTTGGAGGTTATCCGTGACGTAGCCCTGCCACACCTTCCACTCAGGGTAGAACTCGTTGCAAGAGTACCACGACATCCATGTGGCGAAGCCCTCGTTCAACCAGAGGCCATCCCAGAAGTCCATGGTGACGAGGTTGCCGAACCACTGGTGAGCAAGCTCGTGCTGCACGACTTCGGCAACTCTCTGCTTGGTAGAGGCACTGCTGGTCTTCTCATCAAACAGAAGGTCAACAACGCGGTAAGTGACCAGGCCCCAGTTCTCCATAGCGCCAGCGCTGAAGTCGGGAATGGCAACCATGTCCATCTTGGGAAGAGGGAACTTGCTGTTGAACTTGGTCTCGTAGAAGTCCAGAGTCTTGGCTGCAAGCTCCAAAGAGAAACGACCATGCTCAATGTCCTTGTCGGGGGTTGCAAAGACACGTACAGGAAGTCTGAATGCATCAGTCTCGATCATGTTGAGCTCACCAACGATGAAGGCCAAAAGGTAGGTCGACATGAGGGGACTCTTGTTAAAGGTGACGGCTTTCTTTCCGTTGTGTGCGTCCTTCTCATTGGCAACATCCATGTTACTCAAGCAAGTCAACTTCTTGTCGGCGATCAGGGTAATGGTGAACTCGGCCTTGAGGGCGGGCTCGTCGAAACAGGGGAAGGCCCTGCGAGCATCGGTGGGTTCCATCTGAGTGGTGGCAATGTACTTGTCGCTGCCATCCTCGCCCTTGTAGCTCGAGCGGTAGAAGCCAGCCATGTTGGCATTGAGGGTACCCTTGAAGGTCTGTGTAAGGGTAGCCTTGTGGCCAGCGGGGATGGTGTCATCGAACGAAACGGTCGTGGTTTGGGTGTTCTCATCGTAGGAGAGCTTGGGCGAGGAGGTAATGAGCTTCGAGCCGGAGTGAACCTCGGAGGACTTGATGTCGAGATCAATCGTGTTCAGCGAGATGGAAGTGGTGTCCTCGACGACATCGAGACTATGTGTGCGTTAGGACTGAGGCAGACCTAGGAGCGAACTACTGAAGGTACATACTCAATAACGACCTTGCCCTCATACTCGAAGGTCTCGAGGTTGGGCTCCAGAGTCAGGTGGTAGTGGAGGGGCTTGACATTCTTGGGCAGGACCTCGCGACCTTTGGCAATGTCGAGGTTGGCACCCGTTGCATCAGCGTCGCGGCGACACATTCTTCTATGCGAGCAGTGGCGAGCTTGGATACGGGATCTAGGAAGGCGGGAGCTTGAGTTTGGGCGGAGGAAAGATTGGCGTTGCGAGACAGTAGCGGGGTTGGTTGTGGCCGAAGATGTCGTGAAGAAGTGGGAGCGAGAAGCAGAAACAACAGCACGTCTAGGAATCACTGATCTGACGGCCTGAGAGCGGACTGTTCGGAGAAGATGAAGGTTCATCAGAGAAAAAGAGAGAAGGGAAGAGAGGGGGGAACACGACAAGAAGGAACGTAGACCGATACGAGTAGCTCTTGCTCTTAGACTCGAATGTTCGAACTGCACTTGCACCTTCTCTTTTGGTCACACGAACGAGGGAAGCATCGCGGAGTTTTGCAAACACCGAGATCTGTTCCTGCCACCTGCAGCTTGCAGCTTGTCGATCACTCCTGCAGCCCCGCGTTCAATAGACACGACACGACACTTGGCATCGTTTGCTGCATCATTCCCTGTGCTCGCAAAAGACCAACATGTCCATTGAAGCCTCGTAACAGTCACTCTTTACTTTGCTCCAGAACACCGTGGCCATGTGGATTCTACCTCTGGTCGGCTATCTAGGCCTTGCTCTTGGATTCGCCTTCCTGACACTCGCCATCGCATCTGGCCTGTACTATCTCTCAGAACTGGTCGAAGAACATACCGTCCTGGCTAAAAAGCTCTTGACTCGGTTGATATATCTGGTTGTCGCTTTTCAAATACTGCTGGCTCTGTTCGACAAGTTTCCGCTTGGGCTTTCGGCTCTTGCTATCGCCAGTCATGGTGTTTACCACCAGAATCTACGCCGCTTTCCTATTGTCAAGCTTACGGACCCCATCTTCTTGCTGTCTTGCGGTATGTTGCACAGACTGTCGACTCAGTTTCTTTGGCTAACTTCATAGCAGCACTCGTCCTTCTAAACCATTGGCTCTGGTTCCGCCATTTCTCTGCGCCGCCTTCGTCACCTCCCAGACACTACAACTACTACGCTCCGAACGAGTCCATCCCAAGCTTTAGCGAAGTGGCTGCTTTCTTCGGCCTCCAGGTCTGGCTTGTGCCTTTCGCACTCTTCGTTTCGTTATCTGCTGGCGAGAACGTCTTGCCGAGCATGGGAAGTGAATATGCTACCGGCGCTGGAAGCAGTTTCATCTCTGCCGGAAAGGAGCCAGACAACGCTGCAACTGCTTATGCTTCGGCACCTGGTGTGCGCAGATCGCGCTCCGGAACAAATGCTGGTATGGCCAAGGCTGCTGTCAATGGTGTTCGCGAATGGATTGGTGAAACCGGAGAGCTCATGGGTTTCTGGAGAGGCGAGCGAACGAGGCCATTCTGAGCACATCTCAGGAGACATTTCCCAAAGAGTCTAAATTAGTCCAGTTGCACGAAGTCATGAATCGAGATAAAAAATTGTTTGAGAGGTATACACGCTATACAACACACCCGCCCAGGCCTTGCGACCACGATTTTGTCCATGGGATATGCATTTACTGCTTCTCCATGTTGCCGAGAATGGCTCTTGTGAACTCATGAGTGGTTGAGTTGCCGCCCATGTCACGGGTGCGGGTAGTGCTGTGCGCCTGTTAGTACTGTAACCAGAAAGAATGAATTTGCAAAGCACATACCCCTCAGCGATGACATCGTAAACGGCCTTGGAAATTCTGTTGGCGTGGTCATCGAGACCAATGTGTCTCAAGAGCATGCTGGCGGAGAGGATGAGAGCGGTAGGGTTGGCCTGGTCCTTGCCCTTGATGTCGAGACCGACGTGTCTGCATCCGGGCTCGAAGACGGCGACATCACGACCCATGTTGCATCCGGGAACGATACCGGGACCACCGACGAGACCAGCTCCAATGTTGGAGAGAATACCTCCGTACAAGTTGGGCATGACCATGACGTCGAACTGTTGGGGTCTGGAGACACACTGCATCGAGGCGTTGTCGACAATCATGTCGTTAGTCTCGATGGTGGGGAACTCCTCACCGACCTTCTTGATGGTGTTGCGGAAAAGACCGTCGGCCAGCTTCATGATGTTGGCCTTGTGGATGCAGGTGACCTTCTTGCGGTTGTTGGCCAGGGCAAAGGCGTAGGCGAACTTGGCAATGCGCTCCGACTTTGCGCGGGTGATGATCTTGAGCGACTCGACGACGCCGTCGACCGACTGGTGCTCGAGGCCAGAGTACTCTCCCTCGGTGTTCTCACGGATGATGCAGAAGTCGACGTTCTTGTGGCGGGTCTCGTAGCCGGGGATGTTCTTGATCAGGACAACCGAGGCGTAGATGTCGAGTTCCTGACGGAGGGCGACGTTGAAAGACTGGTGGCCGGAGCGCTCGACGGGAGTGTGGAGGATGCCCTTGAGACCGAGCTTGTTGCGCTTGAGCGAGGCGATGGACTCTCTGAACAGCTCCTCGGAGTGCTTGTCGCCAGTCTCGATACCGGTGACATCGACCTGCTCCCACTCGATGGGGACGTTGTCGGCCTTGAAGATCTGCTTGACTGACTCGGAGACTTCGGCACCGATACCATCACCAGGGATCAGGGTGACGGTGTACTTGCCGCCAAACTTGGTGGGTCGGAAGATGTCCTGACCGACGGTGGTGGCCATGGCTGTAGGTAGAGTTCAGTACTTGATCGGAGGCCATTGGACTGGTTGTGGTTACTGACAACGCGAAGCGACCGAGGGACCAGCAAGTGCAGGCTTTGCGCCGCGAAGGAGAGTCTGAGGGGCAGGGTCAGATCCAGGGACTCGATGAGGGACGTCGACAGGGAAAGCGTACCTTGGAGAGCATGGCGACGGGTGCGGAGTGGGGGTATAGAGGGTGAGGACAGAGGGCGACGAGGTATAGCAACAATGCGGATGCGTCAAAATCGCTGCCAAGCGGCACGTCGACCTTTTGCGGGACCACTCGGGCGCCTCGACGCTCGGGGGTCAGCCATACCCGACATCCTCCATCCACTCACTGCCGACCGTCTAGCCGAATTGACTTCTTCTTCCTTTTCACCAAACTGCCACACACAGCACATGACCACACAGGACTTTACACATCTATCGAGCATGTCGTGCCTCAAGAACTCGACCAACACGCGAGGACACCTGACTTTACCTCTTATTGAGCACCCAATCTAGCAACTCTGCTTATTGATACCTGGATTCGAACTCGCTCCAAAGCCACATCTTACACCTGAAACTTGACTTCATTGACTGTCTACAAAGCCATCTGGAATAGTCATACCAAGCCCTCAAGTCTGATACTCGATCTCTGGTAGATGGCAAGCATATGCTTTGGTGTCGAAACATCTTTCTTTGCTCGCGGTTCCACACCTCGTTTCCACACTTTCGTGCATACTGGACTTCCTTTGCTGTACCGCGCTGTAGGTCAGTCCAGTAAGTGATCTCTTTGACATGCTTATTGTCATATCGTGTTACCACGAGGCCAATAACCCAATGGTGAGCTCGATTGAGTCGAGGTGTTGTATTTCTTTATTGGCTTATTGATACACACTTACATCCTCTCCAACACCGTCAATAAGTATATATAACACTTTCTCATCCTGCCATGCCTTGTCTCACCCACCCACAAGTCACTCATTTCAGAATACACTACCCATCACAAACAACTCAAAAAATCAATCATGAAGGTCACCGCTGTTGCAATGGTCACCATGGCCGCAGTTGCCACTGCTGCCCCCACCGCTCAACCCAACGCTGCTCCTGAACCCGCCTTCTCGTCCTGGGGCAAGAAGTACAACCCGAAGCTCTGGAACGGCTGGGGTGACGCTCCTGGCCAGGTCTACCGCCGTGAAGCTGAAGCTGACCCAGCATTCTCCTCATGGGGTAAGAAGTACAACCCTCACCTCTGGAACGGCTGGGGTGATGCACCTGGCCAAGTCTATCGCCGCGAGGCCGAGGCTGAAGCCGACCCTGCCTTCTCTTCCTGGGGCAAGACATACAACCCCAAGCTCTGGAACGGCTGGGGCGACGCACCCGGCCAAGTCTACCGCCGCGAGCCCGAGGCCACCACCACCGAAGCCGCTGCCGTCGAGACTGAGGCTGCTGAGGCCAAGTAAACCCATCATCAACCCATGGCTATCTCATCTTTTGATGCCGGTCAGACATTGATCGTTTGAGTATTGCTTTCCCTCTGGCGTTCAACCCTACTGCGATTCGATACACTCAACATTTTGAGGACTCGGAGATTCTTGTTCTTATATTCTTATCATCAGTCTGTCTCGATTGTTTCGGACATGGCTTTTTTTTTCTTTGCATCTTCCATCGCACTTTTGGCAGATTTTTGTATTCGATTATTATTCTCTGTTTCCAACATCTTTTCGTGTTCGTCTTGTTTGTCTCCATTATCGTTCTGTATCCGTCACATATGTCTCTTCATTGTCAAAACTCTGTCACGCGACCTCTTGACTTCCCGCAACGCCCCACCCCTGCTGTACTAACCTTTATATACGACCTCTGTCAGTACCCGTCAACAAGCAAAAAAGCCGTGGCGGTGCAGTGGTCAGCACACCCCGATCCTCACACTGTCGTTGAGAAGATACACTCGTTTGTATACAATACACTCTTTCCCAAAGGATCAGAGAGGTCGTTGGTTCGAATTGCAACTCATGGTGCTTGTGATTTTCTTTTTGGTCCATCTTCCTTCCTCCTGGTGGCTGTACACACTTTGCTGTTGCCTTCTTTCCTTTGCTTATGATATATAAAATCTGCTTGTCTTGATTCGGAGCGTCCCTCTACGCCCTCTTACTGTACGCCATCATGCTCGATCTACCACCATTGGCATGCATGAATGTTGTTAAACGGATTTGAAAAGATATAAAGAGTAGAAGACGAGGAAAGCATAGGCTGAGCTATCGCGTTTGCCGACAAGCCCGTCTAATTTTCTACTATGCTTGTCCTTGCCATGACACCTACATCAGGAGTCTTCCCGCGCTTCTGGCCTTGATACTCCCGATAAGCCATCTCTACAACTTTGCTACAAAGCGGGATACGAAGACAGCACAAAGGCAGGGGTGTGATGTGGAGAGGAAGAACAAAAATGATATTAGAGCCATGATGAAAGACGGTATGAGATCCAGCGTCCTTTTTCCCTTGGGTATTTGACATCCCAATGGCCCGCTCCCAAAAACACAAACATGATGCAAGAAAAGAATAAAAATGAATAAAAAAAAAAAACCAATGACACGCTTCACCCCCCGTATGTACAATTTGAGAAAACCATAAAAATTCGTGAGCACAGATGGAAAAAGAACAATCAAACAACCGCAATGATTCAAAAAGAGCCGGTTGATGTGTTGAATGATGGAAAGGAGAAAGATTAGTAGCGTTCGCGAGGACCATGACCGTGTTCCTGGAGCACATCATCAAAGTAGGCACTGGGAGCACGTTGACCGGGCAAATTGCTGCTAAGGTCACTGCCTTCCTGAGCACCGAAACCAACAGCTAGACTGCTCGTGCTGGGTTGATGATAAAGTGATTGTGTAGGGTTGAGCAGTGCATTTGACCCGGTTCGTTGATGCGCGTTTGGGTTCATACTGCTGCGAGGACGAGAGCCGTCACGGCTTGATGGTGGAGAGTATTCGGCGCGCGAGTAGCGGTTGACGGTGGGTTGCAGACTTGGTGCGCCACCCATGACCATTGAGTCCCTGCCGCCGGCGGCTTGAGCACTGGGAGTGGCGTAGTAACCAGCAGGTAGGTAAGTGGAGCTGCGATTCTGATTGACGGGCATGTATGCTGAGTTGCGTTGGCCGGCGGTGGGAGAGAAGAAGAGAGATGAAGGGTCGGCTTTGGGTTGCGCGCTCTTGCGGTTTTCCTTGTTGGGGCTGGCGGAAGACATGGGCTTGCTAGCTGAGGTCAGGGCATCAAGAGATAGGGAAGAACCTCCGGGCATAGCGTAGAGGTTTCCGCCAGGACCGTACTTTGTCTTTGCGTCCGAGGCCATGACGGAGGCCATGGCGGCGCGCTTGACGGAGCGGTTGATGGTCCAGGCAACCATTGCACGCCATGCGAGTACGCAACCGCCCAGGAAGGCCAGACAAGCGCCCACGGCAATAAATATGGTGCCCTCTGGTACGGTCTGCTTTTGCATAAAGGGAGCATCGGCTGTGTAGGGAATGTACATGTCGGGAATAGTGGCTCCAGCGAGGGTGGGCAGGTCGGTCGGCGCTGCGTTGGTCCTGGAAGCAGAGGAGGCAGGGGTCTTGGAGGCGGCCGAAGAAGCCTTGGAGTTGGATGTGGATGAGGCAGCAGCACTCGATGTACTGGACGACTTAACAAAGGACGAGACGTTGGTCAATTTGTCTGTCGTGGGGGCGGCGGTTTGGGCGGTCGTCTGAGCGGTCGTCTTTGCAGTGTCCTGAGCGGCGACCAGGCTGACGCCGGCAGCGAGGACCAGCAACAAGTTATTCCTCCTCATGATGGGTATATGGTTGGACGAGGCGAGCGAGTGTTTGGGGTGTCGTCTTCAGCCCCTTCGCAACAGGGCGACACGGGAGGCGATGTGGTGGTCGTTTTGGTTCTCACAAGACGGTAGAGAAAGTGTATAGACAAAGTCGGGAAAAGGAGTGACGCAAGATGGATGCAGGCAGGGGAGCGAGATGCGATGCAGCGGATTTGCAGGTTGCAGAGCGAATTGCTGCACAAATGCTGTTTCTTGGGACTTTCTGGTGTCTATTCTTGTCTCCCTTCCCGCACACGCGCATCTCGCTGGTCCGTGGCACAGGGCAACGCAACCTTGAGATGCCTTGGCATCGTTTCGACGTGACCCGAGTCTCTTTCTTGTTTAATCTCTGTTTCACCAGAGCATGAGAAACCCCTTCCCACCCACCGACTCTTTGCCTGGTCATGGGCGCGTTCATCTGGCTCTGCTGCCGCCAGCCCATCCTACCCTCCAGACCCTGACTTATCAGTATCCTCTGAAACTGATTTCACCTTCTCCTGTGACTATAACTCCATCTGCCGACAATGCCTCGTCCCACCAAGTCCACACTCTCTACATCTTGACCTATGGCGGCGGCATAGTCGCTGGTGATACTCTCACTCTGAAGATTGATCTTGATGCTACCACTCGTCTGCTCATCCTCACTCAAGGCAGCACCAAGATTTTCAAAACTCCAGCATCATCAACTCTCAGTCGCCAGGATACAAACATTCACTTGAAGCCTGCTGCTGCTCTGGTCTATCTTCCGGATCCTGTTCAGCCCTTTGCTCAGAGTGCTTTTGAACAGACCCAACGATTTTACGTACGCCATCAGCAGAACTTTCCGAATCCCAGCATCTGTGTTTTGGATTGGGTGTGTCAAGGTCGCAAAGCTCTAGGTGAGGACTGGAACTTCTTCAGATATTCCAGCAAAAACGAAGTCTATCTTGTTGACGGTTCCCGCGGGTCCGATGAGACGAGGCTATTATTGCGCGACAATGTCACCTTGGATGCAAGCGATGATGCAATACAGACTTCATTGACGCGACGCATGGATGGGCTTGGTGCAATCGGTACTCTGATCTTGTACGGCCCTACTTTTGCGAGTCTTGCGGCATTTTTCTTGGACGAATTCAAATCAATACCCCGGATTGGAGGTAGACAATGGGACACTTCCAACGAAGCTGACGACGCAATACGAGATCTGGAACCTCTCGTGGTCCGACGAACAGCCCGACAAAACCAGGAATTGACTGATGGTCTTTTATGGTCAGCAGCCATGACACGAGGATGTGTCGTGGTTAAGTTCGGCGCAAGGGAAGTTGAAGGCGGGAAGCGTTGGTTGCGCTCGATGCTTGAAACCGAAGGCAGCGTCACGGCTCAATTCGGAGAGCGAAGCTTGCTCTGCTTGCGATAAATTTGGCAGTCTACCATACCCGGCACTGATCTAGAGTGCGTAATGATGAGTCTCAGACTCTATTCTCCGGAAGCCTTTCTCATCAGAGCACGGTATTGCTCGATAATATTCTTTCTCTCTGCACCAAGCTCCTCTCTCCTTGCCAAACTACCAGCAGCATTTGGCACATCTGCGACATCGGCTCTGGCTCCGTTCTTGACCTTGAACTTCTCCCTGGGTACCACAGTGAACTCGGGAGGAGCTTGTGCTACATCGTGCAGACCCTTTGGTTTGTCTCGTTTCGTCTTGAGCACTGCCCAAATGTCGTCGTTGTCTTTCGACTCGCCGATCATCCTTTGACGCTTCTTGCCGTACAGCGTAGGCACGCCCGAGTCCTCTCCGTAGAGTGCATTACGTTCTTCCTCCTCTTCCTCGCGCTTTTCTTGCTCTTCCTCGGCCTTGTCCTTGATGCGCTGATCCTCTTTCCTCCACTCGTCGTACATTTTGTGCATTTTCTTCTCTTTCTTTGTTCGTGTGACCTTCTCGCCAGGTGCCAGACCTTGGTTGCCCTTGCGCGCCAGACCAGTCACTGGCAATGTCTGATCCACACGAGCATTGAAGTCTCGTAGTTTTTCACCAGGCTGTATCTTGGGCATCTCCATGGTTGTGCCCTTTTGCTGTTGCTTCTGCTTTTGCTTGATGTCCTCCTGACGTTTGCGTTTCTTGTTGGCGGTCTTTGACTCGGTCTCGTCGGGTTCAGTTTTGGGCTGCTGGCGATACATCAAGCGTTGAAAAGCCTTTGGCGTGTCGTCGAACTTGTACGCATTCTTCTCGGTCTTTCTCTTCTTCTTGCCATCCGAGGTAAAGACGGTTTGAGCATTTTTGCCTACAGGCAAAGCCTTTGCGACGGCCGTGGGAGGCAGATTGAAACTGTGCAGTTGAACATCAGCATTCGGACTTGGATCGGAGCAGTGGCGGGTTAAGAATTACTCGTCTGCATTGTCGTCCCTCCTTCTGTGTTTGTGAGGCATTATGCGTTGGTCAAGGTAAGCGATATGGCTGTGGTTGTTATTGCGACTTTTGCGCCTCGGAAAAGTCTCGACTTGTGAATTGTGATGCGTGATCTGCAGCGTTTGTCAACTAGGCAAACTCTAGATCTGGGGTACCCCGCGCACCAATCAGATTGCCGACAGAAAGCATACAGCAGTTGGACTGGTATTCTCAAAGCCACAGCCGACATCGTCGCTCTTCGTGTTTCTCGTCAATCCGCTCTGCGCGACGGCGGAAAGTGTACTTGTGTTCATGTGATTGGGTCAGCGGTGCAACGCACTCGAGGGGTAGCTTTTCCCTCGCGAGGTTTGCACTTTCCCGTCGCGCGCGAAGTCAAGCCTCCTGGGCGTTCTAGCCCAGCTGGAGCGAACCATCATTGAGCCACGACCTCGTGTCGCACTCCGGGCGTTGTCCGCGGCCGCCATATATCATCTTGCTTGTCCTCCACGTATGCCACCGGGTCTGCTGCTGTCATTCCTTATCATATAACTCCATTGCAATCCACTCTCGTTACTCACTCGCTGTCGGCGTCATTACTCAGGCTGTGAGAAGCAAACCCGTTTAAGAGCCCTGCCGCATTTTACGCCGTCATAGGATCCACCTATTCGACTATCGGTGTCATACCAAGCCTGAGAAATCAACTATTTGAACAGAGCACTATCTCATCAATATTGAGTTTGCTCGCAACATATTGTTCCATGGCTATTTCTGTTTTGGAAATCACTCCCTCGCCGGAACAAAGTCCATCGAGGATACCATCTCCTGCCGAAGTTGAGGATGCATGTTATCAACCACTTCCTCCGCGGCGCTGGCACCATCTTATCCTCGACACCCTCACACCTATGACTCTGAGATTACGATCTCAGCCTCATCCTCAACCTACATACGCCTCCGATAAACCTCGAACTTCATTCGCCAAGGCGAAAACAGAATATGTCGTCATAGAGACTCCTATATCGTTATCAGGACGGGAGCCATTGCTTGCGAAAAGACCTGTTTCTGTTGTTGCGATCATCAGACTGGCATGCGTACTCATCCCTGTGATAATCTTGTGTCTCTTGTGAGTTGATCACTCTCGCTGGTCTCTTATCATTACTGACCCAAACCTATAGTGGTATCTTACACATAGTATCCTGGCTGTTTGACGGAAATACCTTGCTCGTGGTGACCGACTTGGCTTTCTTGCCAGACTGGGGGCATGACGGAAGAATCGGAGGTGCTCTAGCACATTATCCTACCGATGCCACCCGAGATGTTATGCCAATCCGTAAGCCTTCCATAAGATCTATTACTATCTCTGCTTCAGTTCGACTAACTTTCTTTACAGCTGTGCATTCACACAACGACTACTGGAGGCGGATACCTTTGTACGAAGCCCTACACTATGGATGCACGGGTGTTGAGGCAGATGTCTGGCACATTGGTGATGATCTGTTCGTGGGTCATCACACATCTTCCTTGACCCCGAATCGCACATTCACCAGCCTCTATGTGGACCCCCTTATCGAGCTGCTGGATAAGCAGAACTCCCTGACTACTTTCGGTCAAACCAAAAACCAAGGAGTCTTTGATGAGGACCCGGATCAGACACTGGTTCTGCTTGTTGACATGAAGACCCACGGTCCGGATACCTTCCACAAGGTGGAAGAGCAACTCGAAGGTCTTCGCGCGAAAGGCTACCTGACCCACTTCAACGGTACTCATACAATTCCTGGAGCAATCACCGTAGTCGGAACAGGAAACACACCCTTCGACACATTGACAGAGAACTCAACCTACCGCGATATTTTCTACGATGCCCCTTTGGCAATGCTCTACGAGTCTTCTCCGCTATCACTCTCCGACATGAACGACAATACCGACCTCAGCACAGAAGTCGACGACTACCACCCATCCTCGGCAGGACAAGGCAAAACTGGCCTACCCGCAAACACACCAGCCTCCGCCTTCAATAACAGAACATCATACTACGCCAGCATCAACTTCAAAAAGTCCATCGGCCGCGTCTGGCGCGGCAAGCTATCAGACAAGCAGATGAAGCTCATCCGTGGGCAAATCAGAGGAGCCAAGAAAGCAGGTCTCAAGGCCAGATATTGGAATACGCCAAACTGGCCTGTCAGTCTGCGTAACCATGTCTGGCATGTTTTGGTGCAAGAGGGCGTTGGTATGCTCAATGCTGATGATCTTGAGGGTGCTGCGATAGAGGATTGGAGACGGTGGAAGCGTGAGTGGTATGTGTGAAAGCTGTTGGCTTTTTTTCCATTTGTTGCCGCTTTTGACGATGATATGATCAACGTCTCTATTAGCTTATTCATGAATCATGAGGAATGATACCCCTTTTCTTACTTTAACTCTGCGGCTTTGCTTCCGATTCTTCTTTCTGAATCGCTCATGCAAGGAGTGCCGATGCACGTGAACATAACCCGAAGCAAGGGATACTTGTTCACTCGAGTATAAGAGGCTACAACACCCTTCTTGGCTAATTGATTTTTCCATCTTGACCATGGATGCCAACTACTTCATGTGGTCGTCCTTTGCATCGGACGCCATCAACTGTGTATGTCTTACTTCCTTGGCGACTTACGCACAATACTCATCGCTGCATTAACGCAATGGTGTAGAAATGAATAGGACTATGAAGAGAGGGGTAAGGTTGTATTAGCTCGATATCGGACCTATGGTTTTGCTCAATCTAGAATGGATATGTAAACGTGCTAAAGAGGATCGATGGTGGAGTGCTAGTGAGTGTACCCTATAACAACATTGGCGAAGTCATTGGGTTCGATAACGATGCTGTCATTTCTTACTATCGTGTACACACGTTGATGGGGACGCAAGCTTGAAGTGAATTCATCATGCGGGGCTCGGGATATGTTATAAAACTAACAACACGTCTTTGACCCGAATGACTCTTCGACGTCACTCTTTCCTGCTTCCGAAACGCGCATCTGATAGATGATGAGAGGCAGGCATATCTAGTTGAGATGTTCTGTGGAGACAAGATATAGTCGTCGTCGATATCCATGTTTGGTGTTTAGGATGAGAATCAGAAGGGACGGCTTGTTTATATACTTGGTTTAGGCACATGCAAGGGACGGATTTCGTCTTGCTTCTATGTGATTTTGACAAATCTGTGTTTTTCCTATGTATAGAGGGATGTAAAGTATGTTGGCTGGTGGGAAGTCTCGGCAGAGATATCTTATCACAACAAGAAGTCTTTTTCGATCCTAGCTCTGACATGTGATGTGGTAAAGTGGTAGATGCTATTTCAAGTCTTGTCGAGGCAGGTGCATGTTGTTACCTCTATCGTATACTGATAATCTCACATCCGTTCGGATCAACAGCATGTAGAGCACACTCGGCATCGAAACTCCTATGTCGCCCTATGATCCTTTTCTTTGTGCTAGTATCGATGAAAAACGCATTTGGATCTACCGTACTTGTCGCAGACCTGGACACAAAGCCAAGAGAGACTTGATCGCTGGCTGAGGACATACGACCAAGTTCACCCTGTCGTGCCTACCTGTCAAGGAGAGATAGTAGGGGGTCAGTGAGGCAAACAACTTTGTAAGGATCTCCTCTACGTCTTGTGTGACCGCGGAGGGAATGTGTTGATGCGCAATGAATCCTGCGGAGAGTATGTGTTAGACAGTATGTATTATCATTGCCACATCTGAGCACCCCCTGCTACGCCGGCGTTAGCAAGTATGCGATTATGAACACTGGAGTGAGTGGCCTTGACACGTGAAGCCATTTCGTTATTCGAGTTTTCCCTTTGAGCTTGAGAAAAGGATTGCAGTCATATAGCTATACACCGTACAGCATCTATCGTGTATGTGACATGTGTCAGCTCTACTCAAGCACCTTCTCCGCAGCCTCGACAAGCAATCCGAACACCTTTCTGATGCCCTCCTCGCTCGCCAACGGATTAGCGCTGACCACACGAATAGCATAAGCCTCCCCCACCAACGAACTCGTCAGAAACACTTTTTTGCTCTCGTCCACAATCTCGTACACTTTCTTCGTATTGGCATTCGCAAGCTCCAAAGTTGAAGAGTTGGGTTGTTGAGGTATGGCAGCGAGATGAGAGTCTTGGTAGGGAACAGTGTTTTCAGCTTTTGGTTCTCCTAACGTTGAAGAAGGCTTGGGAGCATGTTGTTTGCGAGTGGGGTTGACGGTGAGTACCACAAGAGCAAAAGCAGGCGGTGTGATGATGGTTAAGAGATCGCTTCTGCTCTTTACCAACTCGACAAACAAGTCAGAAAGCTTGAGATGATGAGCGATATGCTTTCTCAACCCCTCGACTCCCCAAGTTCTTATTACAAACCAGACTTTGAGAGCGCGGAAACGACGACCTAGAGGGATTTGCCAATCGCGGTAGTCGGTGACCAAGCCTTGGTCTGAGAAATTGTTACGTAAGTAGGCGGGTGTGATCGATAGTGCGTCGGTGAGATGGCGACGGTTCTGGACAAAGAGACATGAGGCGTCGAAGTTTGTGAGTAGCCATTTGTGCATGTTTGTGTCGAAGGAGTCGAAGGTGGAGAAGTGCTTGCAGTAGTGTTGGTATTCGGGCAAGACCAAAGCGACACCGGCGTATGCGGCATCGACGTGGATCCAGATGTCGGGATAGTCTTTCTTGACTTGTGCGATGGACTGGAAGTCATCGACGGCGCATGTGTTTGTTGTTCCCAGCGATACAGTCAAGAAGTATGGCTCCAGACCTTGCGACTTGAGTTTCTCGATGGTCGAGCGGAGTTCGTGGCCCTGGAGGGCAAAGTCGTTGGACAGCAAAGTATCGATGCTACGGAATCTCGTGCCGGCGATGTTTGCACCCTTGTGGGTAGAACTGTGGGTGTGTTTTGTAGCCAGTGCAACGAGTTTACTCCTAATCTCGGCAGAGCGATCTTCCTTCTGTTGTTCGGTGAGGACGATGCCTTCTTTCTCGAGGATCCTGGTCACGTAGCGCTCGCGTGCTGCAACCATGCAGGTGACGATGGCTTCAGAGGCAGAGCCTTGGATGACACCACCACCTTTGCCTTTGGACAAGAAGCATTCGGGTAGTGCGAGCATCTGTGCGACCCAGTCCATAACGATGGTCTCGAGTTCAGTGACGGCAGGCGAGCAGAGCCAGTTGAAAGCAGGCACGGTCAGAGCTGCAGACCACAGTTCTCCCATCATGCCAGGATATGAACTGCTGGCCGGGAAGAAAGCCATAAAGTCTGGACTCTGCCAATGTGTCATGCCGGGCATAATCTTCGATTCCATGTCTGCGCGAATCTTGTCCCAGCTCTCGGCTTCGGTGGGCGGTGACTGGGGCAGGAGCTTTGCGAGGTAGCCCGGTTCGACTGAAGGGAGGACAGGGCGGTCGGCCATGTTGTCGTAGTAATTCGTAATGTCCTGGATGGCTTCTGTTGCTGCACTGTTGAACTGACTCGATGTCATGCCCATTGGAGGGACGGTTCGTTCGTCGCGGACCGTCTTGCTGGACTCGCTGCCGCTACCATTGACATTGCGGGCAGAAAGAGATTGACTGCTCATCTTGGCTATTCTCGTATACCTCAAGGCTTGAGGACGAACAGGGCGACGGACGAGAAGCATCAAGCTGTCGTGCCGTCGGGAGAGAGCCCCACAGCCCGCGATATATTCTCCATCATCGCGGAACCAAATTCCGCACCTTGCCCTACTCTCTCACGCCCTTACTTTGACAGTCCGTCTCGTTGTCATTCACTACCGTGCTATTGTTGGAGTATAAGTTGTGCCGGTCCTTGGGACCTTGACCGGGATTGGCACGATCTGGATCATCTCGCTTAGCTGAGGTATCAAGCAGTGACTGTCGGGTTGTTGTCCTAAGCGAATTATATCTCAGTGTCCCCCCCCCCCCCCATTTCTAGGCATCATTGATATTGGGTGTCGAAGGACTACCACGTGACACGCCAGTCTTTCGGCATTAGCATCAGGGCATCGAACTATCCTCAACACGTGATAGATAGTGGTATCGAATCGAAACGATCAAGGAAGAAACACCAGATCTCATGCCATATACGTGTGTGCCATTACAACCTCGTGGACAAATTGCGCAACCACTCCTCCTCCTAACTTCAGTCATCCTTCTCTGGACATTCCATCCATTCTTGGTTTTACTCACCCACTTCGATCATCCAGAAGCAGGGTTGGGCATACAATAATCGAGATTGTGCGTGTCAGTATCCGGGTTGCCAGCCCAAGTAGGGAAAGGTCTAGCCTTGCCACTACCACCAAAGACTGCAAAAGTCAAGATGAATACCAAAACTTGAGTGCCGCCGTCAAGTGCAGCACTGACAATGTAGTTGTACTTGACAAACAGCTCAGGGTAGCGGCGACGCACGAACCATTGCGACAAGAATCCGACAATGAAGAACATGGTGATGCTGGCGTTGATGCCAACAAATAGCCAGCCCATGTACCACAATATCATCGAGACGTTCATGTACTTGAAGAATGGGTGCTTGGTGTAGCGGTAAGCCAGCCAGAAAGGTACCGGGACGATGAAGCCGATGAGGTAGGAAATGGTGACCCATTCGTATCTACCGCCAATGGAGAAGAGCTCGGCGGGCATGGACCAGGCAATGGCGAGAGTGTTGAATCTAGACAGATCTTTAGCAAACATAACTCACGACTGTAGAGGGTCAACCTACTGTTGAACATTCTGGCCACTCCAGATGTTGCTGCCCAGGATCGATTTAAGGATGGTACCTTGATTATCGACAATCGAGATCATCCTAGGAGCAGCTTCTGTCAGCAAAAAGGTCCTTTTGTGCGGTGACGAAACGTACATGATGTAATTGAACAGAGCACCGAGAATACAGCCAGCAATCTGAACGAAGAATGTAGCCCCTACACATTATCAGCCAGGATTCACAAATCTCTTGTCGGTCTCCATTCGTCCGTTCTTCATTCGCTCTTTCTGCAGACATCCCATAGATCTGCCGACTCGTTCAGGGGTATAAGACTTACGAGGAGCTAGATGCATATACTGTCCTGTTTTGAGATCTTTGGCCAGTACTTCAGCCATCTGTAATGCGTTGTATGTATAGCACTTCATGAGAGTCAGTACTGATTGAGAGGACGAAGGATCCAGATGAGCAATCTTCTTACTGTGAAATACTAGAAAGGAAAGACGTCAGTAAGTTGTGATATCCACATAAAAGTCAACTTACCATATTAGCTAGTGGGCGACCCTTGAACATGTAACCAGCAAGCATCTGGCAGATAGGTTGGATATTGAACTGGAAGCCGGTGATTCCCATTTGGGCGCCGAAGAACAAGACGCAGATGAAAGTGAGTATGGTGGACATCAAGAAACCCCACCCTGGTGACAGTTAGCATCGGTAAGATATGATTAGGCAAACACTCACAAGGTAGTGTCGAGTCCATGCCGTAGAGACATCCCAGTCCAAGAGCCCACGCGATGACCACAACAGCACCCCACCACCAGATTGGGGTCTCTTCATACAAATTGCGAAGCATCAGCTTGTAGTGAGGATCAAGGTTAGGATCTGCTTCCTTTCGGGCGAGTCTGGCTTCGGGCGTTTCCTGGTTCTGCCAGAACTTGTACGTCTTGAGCATGAGTAGCTTTCGTAAATTACTTGGCTTAGCCCAAGCCCAGCCAGCTTTGATCTCGTCGTAGTTCCAGAGCAGCATGTGGACGAATGTAGCGGTAAAGCCAGCGTTGGATGTAATTAAATCTGCCTTGAGTTCAGTCTGGGAATATTTTTAAGACTGACAGAGCACTTACATCCAATATATGTTGCTGTGAGGTGTGGCGGACCCACAGCATCCAGCAAAGTTTGATCAATCTCCATTTTCGAGTTCAAGATGAGTGTCTGGTTGTACTGCTCATAGTATGTGCCATTACTGTTACCCGTGAACAGAACTTGGGCCAAGAAGGGGAAGCTGTTGCTCGGTCAGCGCTCAGATCTTGTGCTCAACGAAGTGGTACCTACTCCTGTGCGCGCCAGAGGTTGCCGTAGTAGAGACCCATGAACAAGATCACACAGCCAATGTAGCCGATGAGGTTGTTGGTCAAAGTCTCAAGCGGTAGCCAAAGAGGACTACCAAGAGACGCGACGTATTGCCAATCAAAGCAGAAGCTGAGTATACCAAGTCCTTCGTTACCACTCGCTCCGCCAAAGAGATTCGTGAAGACCAAATTCTTCTGATCTGCCAAGCAAAATATCGAAACACCTTCAAGAACCGGGAAAAGGTACTCTGGGAACACCTCCCAGATGAAGACGACGATGAAAATGATGTAGAAGATCTTGATCCTCTGCTTAGCAGCGATCTTATCCTTATGGAGACTCTCCAGAAGTGTTGTGACTGGTAGATTGACTGGCCAGAGCATCTTGGTCGGGTAGACCAGCACTTCTCGGAGCAGTCCAGCGATTCCGTAGCCGATCAATTGACTGGACAGAGTAATGAATACACCAAGAACTTTGCTAGGGTATCCGCCATACCAAAGCTCTTGTGCAGCCAGGACTTCTGTCGCCAGGGCGGATTGACCTGCGGCAGAAGCCATAAGCGTGATGGCACTACGACCAGTCAGCTAGGGTTGTGATCAATGGCGATATGGGGTACCTACGCATGTTCTTTCATGTTGAATGGATGAGGATTGAGATAGCTTCCGATCACACCCTTGGAAGGAAGGACTTTCGCCATGGCTTCACCAAGCACGTATGCAATAACGCACAAGAACACACTGGAGACATAAATTGTCTGTGGCTTGAAATAGAAGATTTCCTGGAGCACGGATGCGAAGATAGACAGCCCGAATCCTCTTGAAGTATTGTCAGCATCACGATGGTAGACACAAGCAGGACGACGCACAGGAAGAACATGCGGAAAGTCCACGGATTGAGCGTGGGGTCATCCTCGACAGTGAGAACCTGATTGACAATATCTTCTGCAGTCTCGACAATCTTGTGCTCTCTAGCCACATAATCCCCAGTGGTGCCTTCATGCAGGCTATAATCATCGCTGTCGTGGTATGCGGGGACCTCTTTGATGCTTCCACTAGCAGCGCCAGTCTTAGAGTCTGGTTCCAGGATCTCCAAGCCTGAAGAGAGGGGTGCTTTCGATTTACTGGATGTAGGTTGGAGCTCAATGCCAGACGCCATGTCAGTATCGACTCTGGAAAAACCAGGCCGCTGGTGAGGGTTCGCCATCGTGATGGGATGAAAGTCACGAATCAAAATAGAGACGTCGGCATTGAGCTAGATATAGTCGCACGTGCATGCGAGATTTGTTTCTTCCAGCCGTGTGGCTTCCACCACACGGATTCATGAGCATGCAGTATGCTGATAACGTCGTATCGGATAGCTGCATTGATGACCCGTGAGCCATGGGTAGTACTTATCTCCGGCGGCTCTCGATAGGAAATTCAATTTATAGTAGTAATCAGGCCGCGGAGTCATCCCACCCTCAGGCTCGCCTCGGATAAGAGCAACGGAAGCTAGGGACTTGAAGGCTTGTAGTGCTTGGTTATGCTTGGTCGACACGAACGCGCCTGTGATCTACAGACGATGCCGTTATAGGCAGGTGGCTCACGGTGATAACAGTGCACATCGCGAGTGCTATACTTTCATTTGTGCGATCCAGAAGTTCCGAGCCACATAATTTCCAGGCACATGGCTCCGAGAAGCTGCATGGATTGTTTCATGTCAAACTATCACATTGTGCTGAGCAGGAAGCGATTGGTATGACCGGGAAGAGGAGATGCTTGCTGGAAGAATATGGGGGTGGCTGTGTAGACTGGTCTTCGGCGCACCGACATTTTGGTCCAAGTACATAAACCAAGCAACTGCCACTGCTGAAGACTACGCTTTCCTGGCGTAATAGAGCTTCATCGAGACCTACCGTCTTCCAGTTTCGCTGTCCCGTCATTCAATCAACCGGCAACACTTATTGGGACACCAGTCGGTGTGTTTCAACACTGAGCGAAGTTACGATCTACATGCTGTGCTTCCTGGACCTTATGGATCCTGCTTTTGCCTGCTTCGGACGTGGATGCGATAGATCTGGCCCGCTACACTGACGATATTCTCACTCAAGGAGCGATGTATCCAAAACAATCTCGACTTATGTGATTAGAGAGAAGCGAAGGCTTCAATTCAAGCTTTTGACAAATAGGTGGTAGGTCAAATACGTGCTGATGAGCGCGTAGCAACGCTTCATCAGCTTCAGTGGTAGGTCGAGCTTGATTTTCCATATCCGTCATTGTCTTCCAGCCACTATCCACGTCTGTGAGAGGAATCGCACACTCCTCTCTTCATGGCTCCCTCCTCGATACCTCGGCGGTCATTGTCAGACACCAGTATATCTCAAGACGGATATCGGCGGATGCGCCAAGCTACGCCAAGACCAACACATCATGTTCGGAGTTTCGACCCATAGCAAGAGTCAGTCTGCAGCTTCGTATGCAATTGTCTCCACAGTCCCGGTGCCCGCCAGTGGAGGCCTCGGCGGAGATTACGGACATGATACTTGGCAGCAGGGAGTGTTACGTGGACATCTTGCACACAGGCCACACAACCAGGAGTAAAACAAAGACCAGCAATGTCTGTTCTCGCGATGAATTCTCATCTTCGTATACTCGGGCCTTGTGAAGATGCAGTCAACCACAACTCGCCTGGTCAACAGACAGGCGGAGATGGAGAGAGATGAGGACTTCGAAGTAGATTGGGTTCTGCTCTTTGATTTTGAGGATCTCGGTAAGTTATGGTCCAAATTCTTCGCCGGATGCGCTTTGCTAAATGTGTGGTAGAGATTCATCATGCAACTGACAAATACCACACCTTGATCCGCGATATCGAAGCCTTTGGCCTGGAAGCAGAAGTTCGACACGGTCATGGCACTACCCTGCTTACTCTGATTCGCATTCCTCGCAACAAGCTGGGCAACGAAGTCTACCGCTCGCGCGTCAAGGACTGGCTATTTGGTATCACCCATGTCCGACCTCTCGGAGACAGTTCCACAGTCGTTGACGCTGCAACCCCTTCCGAAGAAATACGTTCGGTGTTCCACTTGGTTACCTGGACGAAAGAGCAAGGCGGTGCAGGAGTAACAGCGAACTTTGGACAATGGAGACACGTTACAGCGTCATTCTCACCACATGCTTGGACAGCGAACAAACGGTTGCTAAAGCAGTTGTCCTCCAAAATCGTCCTTAGAGCAGATGACTTGGACCAGATCAAGGCACTGTTTGGAGAAAAGGTCTCGTTACATGACGTACCTCGCGAACTAACTGTATTAACACGCGTATAGGTCGCATTCTACTACGCCTTCATACAAGCTTATTCGCTGTTCCTTATCGTACCTGCAACATCCGGGACTCTGTTCTGGCTCTTTTCGAGGCCCTACTCTATCACGTTCGGGATAGTAACATGTGTCTGGAGCATCGTGTTTGTCGAGTGGTGGAAGAGACAGGAGATCGATCTAAGCATTCGCTGGGACGTCAAAGGCGTTGGTGCTCTCAAGGTGAACCGGGTCCAATATGCCTGGGAAAAAGAAGAGATCGATTCAATCACTGGCGAAGCGAGGAAGATATTCCCTGCTCACAAGCGGGCGGCGAGACAACTCTTGTTTCTACCTTTTGCTGCGCTAGCTGGTGTGGCGCTCAGCAGTGTTCTTATGGTCACTTTTCTCGCCGAAGCCATCATTTCAGATGTATATGGCGAGGAGCTGGCAAATTTTTGGGTATTGCATATGACTCACTATCAGCATTTACATACTAACAATATGAAACAGGCTGTACAATACCTCCCAACGATCCTTCTCGCCGTGTCTCTGCCATACATTACCGAGTTTCTGACATCCATTGCTTTAAGACTGTCGGAGTACGAGAACCATCGCACGAATGACGAGTTCGAACTGGCTCAAGTCCAGAAAGCTTTCGTTCTCAACTTCGTCACTTCCTTCCTCCCGCTCATCTTGACTGCTTATGTCTATGTGCCTTGCGGGTCGAAGCTTTTACCAAATTTCTTGCCGACATCCTTACAGTCGCGTGTTCCGGTCAAGAACTTCCACATCGATGCTCACCGCTTACAAGAAGAGGTCATCTCGCTGTCTCTGGCGGGTCAGGTCATAAACTTTGGCGAGGAGTTTGTTTTGCCGTTCCTGAAGCGACACCTCCTGGAAGCATACCGCCGCTACAAAGACGCACAACAAGGAAAATCACTTCATCAGCGTATGCATTCCGAATACACCAAAACTCTCCTTGTAGACGCGCCGCAAGAAGAAAGTCTTCTTTCCCGACTTCGCGCTGAAGCAACTGCCACGCCCTATGACGTACAAGAGGACATCATGGAGATGTGCGTTCAGTTCGGCTATCTCGCCATGTTCGGCATTGTATACCCACTCATGCCTCTGGGTTTCTTGATCAACAACTGGATCGAGCTACGCGGCGACTTCTTCAAACTCATCAGCGAATCACAACGTCCACCCCCCATCCGCTCAGACTCCATCGGTCCTTGCATCTCTGCTTTGGAGTTCTTGACATGGCTAGGCAGTCTATCTACGGCCGCTTTGCTGTACATGTATGGGGGCAACAGCGATGTGACTGACATCCATCTTGGTGGCTTGCTACTCACCGTCTTCATCGCCGAACAAGCCTATCTGGCAACGAAGCTCACCATCCGCTTCATCTTCGACAAAATCGGCTCTGAAGCTGTAAGGACTGAAGAAGCGACCCGCCGCTTGGTTCGCAAACGCTACCTCGAGACTTTTTCTGACGAAGTTGCTGGTGCATCTGTTCGTCAGGAAGCTCATACATATACTACTCTACATAAACGATGTGCTCCTGTCATCTCTGACGTAGAGGATAGTAAGGAAGCTTTGCCTGTTATTTCCGAGGTAGAGGAAACAGTACGCGTGAGGAGCGAGTATAAGACTGAACGAGCAGAAAGGTTTTGGAACCAGAGAAAAGAGTTTATGGGCACTGCGGAGGCAGGGGTGAGGCTGATTGTCGCAATCAAGGGTATGCAGAGAGATAGGGGTGGGGATGGTGATAAGTCGAAGTGGATTTGAAGATGCGTCTCCATGCCGCTGGAATCCTGCTTGCATTACCTTTCCTGCTGGACTATATATAGCCTTTCTCATCAATGTCGCCACATAATCCACAAACAATTCGTCCTCAACAACTACTGTTTTGCTTCTCTAAAGGACTCTGCGGAATTCTGCTAACATGTGCGGTGTTCTCAAGCTTCAATGTCTTCATGAACGATAAAGCAGGAAGAAGACTATGGAATGATCAGGTCCATGAGCCTCTACAACTTATAACATCTCCACTGTAAACTACAGTCAACGATCACCTGTGCTGCACTAGAGAAACAAACATCTACAGGAGGATTACAGACCCGATCAATCACGTTACCAGCCTTGACCTTGGATGCTCCTCGTTGGACCAGAGGTAATCGTTGTTCACTGACTTGATGATTTGAGTGGCCGATCCAGCCGTAAACTTGGGTCGTTACTGGTAGTGTCTATACGGGCTTCCACTGCCTATTGGCTTTTTGTCAATACCTGATTGTCGCTTCCGCTATGTAAAGTTGGTAAACCATGGATCCTTTCCATCATACCCAGCGCCCGGATACTCGAATGGGATGTTCTCAACTCCGAAGACCTCCATGCTAGGTACTTCTGCCCTGACTTCGACTAAGTTCGACTCATTCTTCGAAGGCCTGGCAACGCTTTTGGCTTCACTCTTGACCACGTTCTTTGTTGTATCTCCGCCCTCGCTGTCAGTCGAATCGTCTTCGTTTTCGCTCTCCGTTTCTGCATCTCCATCTTCGTCTTCATCGTCGCTCAAAACCACGACCTCTGGCTCTTTTGACTTCGTCTTCTGTTTAACTTCCGTATCCCCAATGCTCACAGGCATGATGACACCACACTCCCAATTCCTGCATCCAAGCTTCCACTCTTTCCTCTTCTTATCCCAGCTCAGCTTACCCCAAGCACTTTCGCTCAAGTTCGCACTTCCCACATATTGCCATGCGATTTGTTGTCCTTTGTCATTGACACCTCTGGCATAAAGGATTTTGTTATGAGAAAGAATTCCAGAGCGCTTGGAGCGGTAATCCCGGAAACATTCGCGAGGGAAGGGGGCACCACTCCACCAGTCCGATTTGAGACAGATTGTTCCGGCGCTACCGGCTTTGCTAGATGTTACTGTGGAGTGCAAGGGGTAGTACATGCGGAAGAGATCTCGGATGTTGGTGGTCGAGATGGTATTCTGGAAGGGCTTTGGTGCAGATCCGCTAAGGGATTTGGGTGTGGCTGTTGCATTTTCGCCTCGAGCTGCGTTGTGGATGATTGCGAGGAAGGCGTCATTGAGGGACCCGATTGATGAGGCTACGTAGTCAATGTTGAGGTTCGATGTAGAGGACAAGGAACACTCCGAGGAGTGGTTGAGCTCTCGAACTGCTTTGCTCAAGCCGACATAGCCGGTTCGTTCCATATCCTCACCATAGTGAGCGGAGGCTCCGATTGAATGCACAAAGGCAAGATGTTCAGTATTGCTGAAGTCGAAGTTCAAAACGCCTTTGAGAATATCGTCTTCACAGCCCATCTTTTGCAGAAAGAAGTGCAACTCGCGCCCAAATTGAGGCAATGCATTCGCGTCATCCATGGTTGTCTGTTCAAGTCGAGGAAGATCGATCAGAAAGACAGAGTTCTCCATGGTACCTTGCTCACCCCAATCATAGTCGGTCATGTTTGCCGTGGGAATCACGACCCTCAGCTTGTGTGGATGAAATAACAGCATGAGCTTAGAATGCATGCAATTGACATTGCCTTCCATGGACGGGAATACCAGTCGGAGGATCTTACCCAGATACTCAGTCTCTCGGCGGTATTGCTGCTTCACGGCTTCATTGTCTGCTTGCATGACCATAATAACTTTGGTCTGGTGGAGATTGAGTTTTGCCATGATCCAGTTTGTGTCCCATTGGAAGGCCGAGAATAGGGCTGTGCGCAGGGTGGACTTCTCGAGCACTTCCTCAATCTTGATGTCGTTGGCGCTTCGAGTGTGGCCAAAAGCCCATGTTTTCTTGACAGCCCCTCTTGGGTAATGGAGCAGATCTGATGTGTTCTCTCGTTCTTTGATTTTCTTGACTGGACGTGATGTTGCTGGCGGAGATATGGATCTTTGTCTTTTGGCAGACATTGGCGGCATTGTTGAAGGCACTTGTTCGGAAGTCTTTGGCTGTTTTGCTTCCATCCTTGCCAGACGTTCAGCCTCCATAGCACGTCGATCAAGTCCTGGGATGCCCGCCATGATAGAGGGACGCCGTCAGTGACGAACTTGCGATCCTGTGATTGAATAATTCCTCAGTGGACTATGTGAGATACTTCCAAGCATCGACCGTGTAAGACAGGTGAAGACGATTGGGACTTGAGGAGATGGGAGTGATGATGGTTGTTGTTGTCTGGTGAAGTTTAGAAGTGAATGTGTTTGTTGTGCAAGCGGAAGCGAGGTTGTCGTCTCGGCTGTGCTTGCCGTATAGAGACGGGCTACCTGAACACCTTTGACCTTTCATTTTCCTCCAGCCACGATATCACGAGCATATGTGTGTGTAGCGCGACAGCATTCATGGGTTCCCTCAACTTTTTCAGACATCCAAGTCTCGTGTGTAAGATTGAGATGCGTGGATGCTCATAGTGGTATCATAACTAATGGTACAAAGAAATAACGCAGTCCGGTCCAAAACCATCAATACAATTGAACCTCCGTGCGGGTGTCGAGAGAACTATTCACTCAGGGTCGTACTCCTAGAACAGGCCCCAGCCTCGTTTCCTTCTGTCACCCGTATCGTCGCCTGCACGCTCGCGATCCAGTCGAGAGATGGGTTCTCTGCTACCTCTGCCTGCTCTCTTCTCCCTGGCTTCCAGTGCCTTGAGAGCTTCCATCTCCTTGAGTACGTGTTCGAGGAGTTCTTTTCTGTGTACAACATCCAGATGGCGACGGATTTTGGGGTCTTCACGAGCAAACTGATCGAGTTGTTGTTGGGTTAATGAGCGGAACTTCGAGTCGAGTGCGCGAGGGAACTGTTTTTGTCAGTCGTTGGTCGGCATATGTGATAAATTGATCTCACCTGGTAGTAGAACTTGCTCAGCAGTTCAGCATCGATGAAGAGATCAGCAGTAGTGGTGAGCTTATCTGCCACTGCGTCGAGGAAAATCTCAGGGCAGATGTATTTGTTGTTCTTGTTGGCGCAAGCCTTACTTTTGACCGCGAGCAGGCGCATGCGCAGAATGTCAGCACGGTCGCGGAGGAAAACTGCCTCTCTACCTTTCGAAAGCAGAGCGGCTGAGAAGCCTCCAGCGCCTCCACTGCTGTTGCCTTCGAGGTTGATGTCCCCCTTTCTGACCTTGTCAATGAAGGTTACAACATCCTTGAAGCGCTTTTTGCCACCCATTTCTGCTTCGACAATCTTGACCGCATCTTCACAATCCCGGAGTTCGTCTTTGAGGACTCTCTGGACGTTCTCGCGGCCACGCATCCATTCCGAGTCTTCGAGATCGATGCGATGTTTGTAGGGCTTAACACAAATCTCAAGCTCATCGCTGGTATCGTAAGCTAGATCGTGTAGGATACCCTGAGCAGCTTGTGTAATTGCTGTCTGCGCGAAGGGATGAGCGTTGAAGGTGGAAGATGAGATGAGTCGCTCAACATGTGCTTGCAGGCACTCAGCAGCAACAGTCGTGGCAAGACGTCCAATGCCAAGTTTGGTAAGAGAAGCAGAACTGGCATCCAGTTTGAGGCGCCAGAGCTGATCTTTAGGATCCGCCTTGGGTAGAGCAGAGAGAATCTCGACAAAGCCTTCACCTTCTTGCGCCGAGAGATCCTCGAGAGGTCTGTTCCAATAGCGCGAGGCGAGCAGGTTAAGAACTTGCTGATCAAGCTCGTGCTTTAAGATATCGCGCAGTTGGTGGCGACCAAAGGAATCAGAGAAGCCCTTGAAAGAGTGCTTGAATGCGTCGAGACTCTCGGCCAAATATGACTCGGCTGATAGCGGGCGCTCGTTGTATTGCACTTTGAACTCATAGGTGGCTTCAGTCAACTCGTGATGGATGGCTTCAGCAGTAGTAGCAAGCGATGCCGACATTGTTGATTCCAGGACATGCATAAGCTTCTTGCGGAGGTTGGTGGTTCCCACAGTGACTTCGCTGGCGGGCCCAAAGCTTTCGGGATGGTTTGAGAAATAAGCTTTCTCGTTGCGGGTAATGGCAGATGTGATATTCGCATTGCCGCGAGAGAAGAGGGAGTTGGAGGACTGAGGCACGCGACATACAACACCGACATAGCCGAGTCTCAGAGGGTAGTTCTTATCAGTCAGCATTTGATGGCCCCTCTGAGCGTCTACCAGATCCATCTTGGTGATGACACCGATAGTGCGTTCGCCACGAGGGTCGACACGACGACTGGCACGAAGAGCGGTGGAGTTGGCCAGATCGACATCGGCAGCAGAGATAGCAAGAATGACATTCGGGGCCTGGATGTACTTGTCGCAAAGGGCAGCAATCTTCTCCTTAAGTTGAGTAGGCTGGTCAAAACCAGTGACCTGAATGTAGCCGGGCAAGTCAATCAGAGACAAGTCGGGGACGTTGGGCGAGTAGATGCGCAACTGGATCGGGTCATCGGATACACATTCAGTCTCAGGCACGGCCAGGTTGAGGTCGGTCAGAGTTCTCTGGATCTGAGCAAAGTCGGTTACCTTGCCCAAGCCAAGAGCAGGAAACTCGCCGTACTCGGCGTGTGCTCCAGGGGTGTTGACCAGTGTGAGCTCGATTGGGCGACGAGTGACCATGTTGGAGCCCTTGGGCAGGAACTCATGGCCGACAATGGCTTCCAGAACTGAGCTCTTTCCCGATGATTGCGAGCCGACCACGACGATTGAAGGTAGTGTGAGCGTCTCGGACTGGCCAACAGTCTGAAGCAAACTTCTGATCTCGATCATTTTGCGTGTAAGAAGCATCATCTGGTCGTCGCGAGCAGCGGCTTCCTCGGATCTGTCATCCTCGTCATCGTCGTTCAAGGCAAAAGCAGCGGCTGTCGCTGTGCCCGCAGCAGCAGCTCCTACACGAGCCTCCTTGGGACTCGGACCGTTTCCTCCAGGACCAGGATCACCTCCGGGGCCAGACGACTCTTGTTGTGGGAACAGCTCTTGCAAGTCCTTCTTGGTTTTCTCCCAACCAGCCTTTGTTTGAGCGAAAATGCCGCCTGCGCCTTCAAAGATGGAACGAGCTCCGGTTGTGGTCGCGTCTGAGGCTCTGCTGAAGAGATCTATCGCGTAGTTGCCCGCCTCTATGCATATGTTAGCGTCTTGAACAAGTGCATGAGGGCGGTGACTGACGAGCTGCTTGATATTGAATGTATGCAAGACTGCCTACAGCGGTGGCACCCAGAAGTGCAGGCAGTCGGACAAGCTTAAATGCGAGTTTCGGTATAGCGCGGGCGAACGAGGCATGTCGTACTACGGCGATGTTGCTTCCAGATGATATGGGACGACTCCGTGGGATGCTGTTGCGTGTGATTAAACCTCCTGCGCGTTGTTGGGCGGTATGGTATGGCGACCTCAGGGCCAGGGGGGAGCTATGTCGAGCAAGCGTCGCATAACGCGACGAAAGCAGCCTCCCACTCATAGTCACTGCATCAACCTGATAAATTCTGGTCGGTATAAGGCTGCAGCGATTTGGTCAGCGATGCTCGTTCGTTGCCCTCCACCCTCGGTGACGTTGTTTCAGAGCCCCTCACCGCCTTGGAATATCAGCCACAGACTCCACACCAGCCACACCTCCTGTCTCAGAACGAATAATGCATTTCATCATTTGCTTTTTTCCGTGTTGCCGTTCCTTCCACTCGGCACTCGATCCGTCACGTATCATGACCCTGCGTCAGGACAATCGTTGTCACTTTGAACATCGGTCCCAAATGAAGCCTCCTGCCCTTGTGTGATAACATTGCTTTATTATGACTGGCGCCGCAAGTGCCCAGAATCGACGCCCTCCGCGCCTGAACCACAAGAAGTCACGCGCTGGCTGTCAAAGATGCAAGGCCCGCCGAGTTAAGGTCAGTCCCGATCCGTTCCCTACCGTAAATCCTTCATCATCCCTTGCTTGTCCTCTGTCTGTCGTCTGTATGCCCTCTGCCTATCTGCTGTATGCCCTCTGCCTCTCTGCTGTCCTGCTTCTATCTGCCCTGGAGTAGCAGTCGCTATGTCCCAATCCCGTGATGAACATCCCTAACACGACCCACAGTGCGATGAGGCCAAACCTGCATGTGGAGGGTGCAATCGCCATCACGTACCCTGTGTCTATCTGCACGATGAAGTTTCCAGGACTGCAGGCTCAGAGACTTCCTTGTCGCCGAACACTATGCTGCCGCCCAATCAGGCCCAGCCAAAACTCGCCCTCGACCAAGTCCTGACTCCCCCAACCATCAACGACCCTGTTACATCTGATGATATCTTGGATCTACCCGAATCACGCCAACGCCGTCTACTGGAACTGCGTCTGTGGCATAATTACGTGACCATTGTAGCTACCCCCTTTCACTCTCCCGCCCCCAAGTCCGTCTTGGTTGAGATCTGGAACAATCACATGCCTTACATCGCCATGCGACATGACAACCTACTCTACACCATATATGCTTTTTCCGCCACCAATATGTTGCGGAATACTCCAGACGACGCCGAACTGCTCACTGCTCAGAGGGTCTATCTTAGTCTAGCCCTTCGTGAGCAGCGTAAGGCAATCATTCAATTTCACATCCACGCCGAAGAAGCTGATTCTCTCTGCTTTACATCAATTATGATGACCATGAACGCATTCGGTTGCCTACAGGAACGCAATCGAAACCCTTACAAGCCACCCACCGATATGTTGCGCCTGGGTATAGGCGCCTGTGCGATATACGACGAGGCTCTGAAGAGTGCCCGCAAATTCCCTTCTTCCAAGATTGCTACTTTCATCGAGAATCAGCCCTTCTTCAAAGCTATACCCAGGATGTTCGATGAAGAGCATCGGGAACCCTTCATTGGCATTCTGGGGCCGAAGAACGCTCAAGGCGTCTATGAAGACTCCGAACTCTGGGATCCCGATGTCAAAGAAGCTTACGAGTGTACCTTGAGCTACATCGGCACGATGTACACAGCTGTCTTGGACGGTGAAACGTTACATCAGATTTGTACACGAATCGCTGCTTTTGCGTTGTATGTGCCCAAAAAGTTTGTGGACATGGTTGAGGAGTTGCGTCCAAGAGCTCTGGTCATTCTGGCTCATTTCTTCTCGCTCGCTACTAAGGGTAGCGCGCATTGGTGGGTTGGACAAACCCCCATGAGAGAAGTTCAAGGCTTGAGGAGAATCGTACCTCAGGAATGGCAGCGACATTTACGATGGCCACTGGTTATGTCTGGACTGGAGCCCGTCTGAGTCTGGAACCAGTCTCTCGACTCGGCCTCGACCACGCCTGATTTACAGCATGGAACCCTGACAGGCAGTCTTTTTCAAGTCAACAGGATACCAGCTCCCTGCCTCCACGAATGAGCCACGGCCATTTCATGCCTAGACTCAAAGCACACTCCCACCTGAAACCGTGGCCCGATGAAACACCTTGGAGTGTCTTTCCTCTCACTTCTTCTAGGCGTTTGGTCATGTCGCGGGCGGCTGTAGACATGCGCAAAGACTCCATGAATAAGGCGGCTTCTATTGAATTCTGCCATCTCATCAGGCTTCTCCTGGATCCGTCACTGGCCGGAAAGCAACAGTGCACTCGATTCGGCCGTGTCTCGACTGACGTTGCCGTCATGAAATATCCCAAGCGATAGATCATGGTTTATGAGGATTTATGTACTGCTCGTACATTGGTTGTGTCCTGCTACAACTGTTTGACAATGACAAACTCTACGTTGTCACCTGTCTCGATGTAGAGCCTCCATGGCTGACTGACATGTATACGACATTCTCCGACAGAGATCAAGCGAAGATCGTGCTTAAAGGCATACCACTCTCATACAAGTCCACTGACATATACAACATGACTACATACTGATTGGTCTCGAGACAATCGCTTTGTTCGTCACTTAGGAATTCCTCAGATAATGTCTAATCAAACAAGAAGTCTTAAATTTAAAGATCTGACGTGACGTGCGAAGCATAAGTTTTGTGTGAGTTGTAAGGTTGCGTTGGATAAAGTTTCAACTTTCACATTCTCTGACTGCCTACCTTTGTTTCCAATTAGGACTTGATAGAGTAACAACAGTTCTCTCGAGATGTCCCATACGCAGAACAGGAACGTGATTGTCGAGAACAGAGCATCCATGATCATACACAGGGTCATCCAGCAGACATGTTTTGTGGAGAGCTCTCGGATAGAGCTTTTGCCGAAAAGTCCGATTAACGCCGGAAGTCAATTGATTGCCCTTCAATGACAGGGTTGAAAGGAAGCCTCGTCGCCTTAACATGACCTCAATGAAGTGGCACTTATGGCTTGAAAGAGGTGATAGCAGCTTCTCCGAGATAAACTCCTATCGTAGATTTTAAAGAACTGCCGATAGATCATCAAGTAGGAGCGGCACACATAGCATGGAGTACATTATGACGTGGCAGGGTCTCATGGATTTGTAAGTCAATGGTGGAGCTTACATGTCGCCATTGCTTGCCTCAAAAACATTCCATATGTTTTCTTCAATCTTTCGAGCTCAGTATAGATCTCTTGCAAGAAACAGTTGCAAGTCCCTTCAATTCAGACCTTTCACATCAACCATCAAACTCAACATGAAGGAAGCAATTATCCGCGCCGGCCCTAAGGTCGAGATCGTCGACTCGCCTGTTCCCAAGGCCGAGAAGGGTCAGGTTGTCATCAAGGTCGTCTACTCTGGTAGCAACCCCAAGGACTGGTATGTTTGGGGTCTATTGGCCGAGAAAATACACTTCTGATGCTCTTACAGGAAGTACCCTGATATGACAAAGAAGGGCGAGCTCAATCAAGGCGACGACATTGCTGGCACTGTTCACGAGGTCGGTGCAGGAGTCTCGGAGTTCAAGAAGGGCGATCGTGTCATTGCCTTCCATCAGATGCTGGCACCTGGTGGCTCCTACGCCGAGTACGCTGTTGCTTGGGCCCACACCACTGCCTACCTCCCCGAGCACGTCTCTTTCCAGGAGGGTGCTGCTCTGCCTCTTGCTTCTCTGACTTCTGCCCTGGGTCTCTACGAGCGTCTGAGACTGCCTCAGCCCTGGACCGCTCGCAAGGACGATGAGAAGCCCATTCCTCTGGTCATCTACGGAGCTTCGTCCTCCATCGGTTACTACGCTACCCAACTTGCAGTCCGCTCAAATATTCACCCTATCATCGGTGTCGCTGGTCGCGCCAGATCACACGTCGAGAAGCTTCTCGACCCCAGCAAGGGCGATACCATCGTCGATTACCGCGACGGCGATGAGGCCGTGCAGAAGGGCATCAAGGAGGCACTCAAGGGTGCTGAGCTCCACCACTGCTTCGATGGTGTCTCGGAGAAGGGATCATACCAGAACGTGGCTGCAGTCATGTCAGAGGGTGGCCACATCACTTTGGTTCTTCCGGGCAAGGACTTCTCAGACTGCCCTCAGCACGTCAAGCAGTCCATCACTATGGTTGGAGACGTCCACGGAGACCACAAGGACTTTGGCTCTGTCTACTTCCGCTACATTGCCAAGGGTGTTGATGAGGGTTGGTTCAAGGCTCAGCCTCAGGAGGAGATCGCTGGCGGTCTCGAGGGTGTGCAGGAGGGTCTTTCCAACTTGAAGTCGGGCAAGGCTTCGGCCGTCAAGTATGTCTTCAAGATCGCTGACACTCCCGGTGCTGGCCAGTCGTAAAACGTAGCTTGAAACTTAATGATTGCGGATCTAGCAGTAAGCTAGTATGATTTTATGTCTTCGCATACTCCAAGGAGCACTACAACCTTCCTTTCTTTTTGCGTGCTTCATGCATGTCTTGATGTGTGCTTGTACCAGAACAAACGCTCACACAAAAAGGCTGGACATAAATCTGTTTGCGCCGGCAGATCGATAATATTTCTTCTTTTTTTCTTTTCTTTTTCTTCTCCTCGCAAGGTTCAGGGTCTAGATCTCGAGTGTCACAAAAATCTCCCAGAGGATTCGATCCTGCCATGAGAAATGTCAGCACCTGCCTCACTCCACGCATCGACAATCTTTGCTGTCCGCGAAACAGCGGAATCCGGACGAGGAGTCTACGCGACACAATTCATCCCTCAAGGCACACTTTTGTTCGAGACAGCCGAGATCGCAGCCAGTGTCATCTACCGCGAATACTGGAAGGAAGTTTGCGCAGAATGCTTCCTCTACAACAGAGGGCGGAACTGGCGCATCCGGGACGCAAAAGCTGGACTTGCATTCTGCAGTGAAGAGTGTCAAGCCACCTGGAGGAATGATGTCGTGAACGATGACGCAGCAGCAGTCGCGATTGAAGGGCTGGGAAAGACAGGACAGTCAAATTCGTCGGATCCAGATGAAGACCCAGAGCATCTTCTCCCGCGACCGACGACAGAAGAGATCGAGGAGGCATGGACAAAAGCAGAAGAGACAGCGACAAGAATCCGCGCCGCCCGCACGTCCGCCAAACCCTCAAAACCAGAGCGCCGCCTATTGACACAAATCCTCGCTATACCACCTTTACGCGGCGTGATAGCCTATCAACTCCCAGCTATCCTCACCATCGCAAACTCGCCATTGCTATGGTCTGATGTACTCATCCTCGAGTCGGAACCTATGCCATACATCTCGCCCGCAGACCTCAAGTTCCAAATCACCAGTTATCACCATCTCCTAGCCTGCGTACCCCTCTCCCTCCTGGAACACATCACCGCGACAAACCTGCGCACGCTTGCGGCAAAATCATCACATAACGTGTTCAACATATGGTCGCAGGATTTAGACGAGGATACAAGCGGTGGCAGCGAGTGTTTGGGCTATGGTCTCTGGACGGCAGCCAGTTATTGGAATCACAGCTGTGGACCGAATATACGGAAGAGACGTGAGGGTCGCATGTGGAAGTTCTGGGCCGAGAGAGATGTGCAGGTTGGTGAGGCATTGTGTATCAGTTATTTGGGTGGTGATGAGAAACATATGACAAGGAGCGAGAGGAGGGAGAAGTTAAAGGAGCATTGGAAGTTTGACTGTGCTTGTACGCGGTGCGAGCAAGAGGTCGTTTAGAGATGCAGATACGCCCGCGAGGTCTGTACAAATGACGGCATATCGTCCTCTGACACGCCGCTCTTGTTAGAGATACCCGCTGCTTTAAAGTCTGTCGGAGAGCACAAAAGCGAGCTCTTGGTCGGACTGCCGAGTCGTGACGGTGGAAACGCTTGGACCACGGCCGTCCTGTCCGGTCTCTCTCAACACCCCCAACGAGAATCCCTCCTCCTTTCATCGTCTTGATCGGAGTGCAACAAGGCATGAGCTAGCTCCAATCGCTTGTTGACCTTGCTTAATTCTTGCTTATGTCGATAATGCCGGCAGCGAGTCCTAGTCGTGGTCGAAACCAACCCCATCTATGCCCAACGGTCGCCAACTAAGAACGCCTTGTGCGCCTTGACCCAAATGCATACCACGAACAGGACGATAGGGAAAGACAATCCATCGCATATATCACAAGGCTTGAGCCACACACGCTTCTGGAACGCAAATTCGCTGCAGATATCTCACATGCGGACCAGCGGTTACCGGCTCCATCAGATAAACCGTTCAGTATCCAACGGCCGACAGCCCTTCCCACCGGCACTTCTGTCATTATGCCTACATATTTTCTGCCCTCTCGTACTCATTCCGCTGAGATAACGATATATTGACAAGCGAGACATGTCTTCAGGTCGAGGCCTTGATCATAGCCTAGAATAACGCTTGGCCCCAATATTGTAGACTGCCTTGTCAGCCTTATGGTCCAACGACGGTATTGTTTCCATACATGTCTACCATGTGGCTTTCTTCCTCGCAGAACAATATATAGTAAAGGCTTTGCATGTTCTGGTAGGCTTTGTTCTTCGTCATCTGCGTCACTCTTTCATAACATACACCTTCTTTAATAACACTTCTCATCATGAAGAAGGCTGCTACCAATCTTTTGGCTGTTGCTACTACAGCATATGCTTACACTGGCTCTCCTGCTGGTTCGAGGAGTGGATGTTACTGGAGCACCGATGCTGGACAGTTCAACACTCGCTTTGGTCATGACTTCAGCCTCGATCTCTATGGAACGGTTCAGGACCTGATCCCTGATACCTACACCGTCAATGCCGGTGTGAATCCTCTTGCTCGTCGCTTTGACATTGTCAACATCGGTCTCGATGCAAGTGATCAATCTTTGACCCTCACTGTCCCTGGCGGACAAACCAATGGTAGTCCAATCCCCGCCCAGCTGTCATCACTCTTCTCTGACAAATCAATCAGGTCCCATTTCAACTGCTCAGCTCGCAACCAACTACAACGACATTCTTTACGCTTCCGTCCGCACTGTAGCCAAAATTTCCAACGTTGCAGGCACCACCAATGCCTTCATCTTTTACTCCAACGACACCCAAGAGATCGATTTTGCATTCCTGACCTCGGATATCTCCAAGGCTTGGCTCACCAACGAGCAAAACTCGAATACTTCTCCTTACTCAACCTACAATGTAGCTGCGCCCGCTGATGCCAACACTGCTTGGCACGAGTACAGACTCGATTGGCTGCCTGGAGTTTCCAAGTTCTTCATTGACGGAGTCTTGGTGCAAACGATTACTGACAACGTTCCCACTGCACCCGGATCCTGGATCTGGAACAACTGGAGTAAGATCTATATCTTTATTACCTTTTGCGCGAAGCAACATACTAATCCTGCTCTCAGGCAATGGCAATTCTTGGGCTCAGGGACCTCCTACCGCTGACAGCGTGTTGAAGATTCGCAGCATTGATGCTTACTTCAACCGTACCAGTGTCGCTGACAGCATTAACTCGAACGTTATCACCTGTCCTGCTGTTGTTCTTCCTTCGTCGTCGTTGAGTATTGCTCCTCTTCCGACATCGATTGTGTCAGGCCTCGCAAGCTTGGTTCCCTCTTCTTCGTCGAGCGTCGCTCCTTCCTCGAGCTCAGTCTCCTCATCCTCGTCATCGAGCTCGGTCTCGTCCTCTTCAGTCTCCTCTGTCGCTTCGAGCACTTCGTCCATCTCCTCATCAACCTCGGTTGTTTCTTCATCTTCGTCGTCCTCGACTGCTCCATCGTCGACCAAGTCGTCCTCATCTTCTTCCGTTTCTTCGTCTTCTTCTTCGTCTTCTTCGGTTGCACCGACTACTTCGTCCTCGTCGACTTCTACTGTTGCCCCTGTCCAGACCGCTCCCGCAACGGTCTCATTCACCACAATTACCACTGCCTGGACTGGTACATTTACCACAACCACAACCGCAGTGTCCGGTCTTGCTGCTACCGTGTACGTGCAGACTCCCGCCAAGAAAGGACAAGTCATCAGCACATCCTCGACTGCAAAGGCTTCCTACACCACTGTCACCACACATTCAGGCACTGCATCTACCGTCGGCTACATTACCGCCACACCCAAGGTTGTAGGTGCAACCACCACCGTCACAATCGTTTACCCCACTCCCGTTACCTCTTGCGGCAACTCTGGCATCAACTTTGCCGCCTACAAGAACAAATTCTCAGGTGGCCAAGCAACCTACGGCTACCCATCCTTCGTCCCCGAAAGCTACAAGAAGGTTACCCCATGGTTTGCCGACGACACCACTTACATTGCCGAGTCCAACGATCAATACGGTACCTACATCAATGTATACGGCTACTACCCAGTTGATGGCAGCAATCTTGTTTTGGACCACACTTTCTACCTCTTTGCGTCTCAGACTGGCTACTACTCGCTCAACATCCCTTACACTGACGACATTCAATTCGTGTGGATTGGCAGTGATGCAGTGACTGGCTGGTCCAGGGCAAACGCCGACATTACGCAATTCTGGAGTTCGCAGATCGCGACGCAAACCCCTCAGACTTTGGCTTACTATCTTACTGTTGGCAGTTATCTTCCCAGTAAGTCTTACCTACTTTTCTTGATTGACACAGTTGCTAATGGAATGATGCAGTTCGTACTATGTGGGCCAATGGAGGCGGTCAAGGAGATATGCGCTTCAACATCTATGCTCCTGATGGCAGCTCTGTGCTTTCGAGTAATGCGGGTCAGAACTCGGGGGTCAGCAGTGTGGATATTGTCAAGTATCCTTGCAACAGCGTCAATGGAGCTCAGTACCCTGCTTGGGGTAAGGAGACTTGAGCGTTGGTATTGGGGTCGGATTGAGAAGAGGCTTTGAATAAGGATATATAAATGTTAATGTATATGTGTAGTTTCTGAATCTTTGGGTGATAGGTTTACTGCTGTCTCCAGCACGTGAAGATGAGCCATTTCGACATGGCGGACTTTGTGTTTCATAAGATTGGTCAGCCTTCTTCTGCAAAGATGCGTAGATTTGGTTTCAGTGGGTTCGTGGATACGATGGAGAGTGTGTTTGAGATGTATCAGGATTTGGCCAAGATGGGCGTGATTCCCGCGCCCAAGGTTGACGCTGTGAGACCGATGATCTAGTGTAGAGAGATGCAAAAGTTTCGATATTCAGATAGTATGAACCTCATTACACACGCCCGCTCATTGGCTCTTGCTCAAGAATGCGGCAATGTCTTGTTGTTGACGGTGCACGATGTTCATTGCCTCATCAGTGTCATACAGATCGTACCAACCAGGTGCCTCGTGAGGCGGATCTCCAGCCCAGACCTCGCCAAATGCATTCGCATGCTGTGTCTCTGGACGGTACAATCCTCCGTAAGCCCAGGGACAGGTACCGACATAAGAGCCATTGTCCGACATGAAGTCATTCATAGCGGCTCCAATAATCGTCTGTAATCGAGTTAGCAATCGAGTACTATCGTCAGTATGCAGAAGTCGAACTTACGGTAAAGTAGTTATCCTTGTTACTAGTACCAGCCGAGCTCAAATAAGGATACTCTTTTCCAAAATTTTCCCAGTTGTTTCTGGCCATTCCAAATTCTTCCAGGAAAACTGGTTTACCAATTTCCCTGCTCCACTCGCTGGAGTTTGCCACGAATGCTGTAGCAAAACTTTTCGCTGCGTCAAGGTTTGCAAAAGATGAGTTCAGCATGTCGTAGACACCCCAGTTCTGTACCCAGCAATGAGTGGTGCCATAGTCGACGGTAGAAAAGTTGTGAACGGCTTGGTAGTACCATTTTCCTTGTTTGCCCTCGAAGCCTACGTTGATGAGTTGATTGGGGGCGAGGGACTTGATGTAAGTGCTGCTGTTCTTGACCCATGGGATGATGGGGTCTTCGGGCGCAGCAGGGAGTTCGAGAGAGTAAGGGCCGAGATACTCTGTGGGTACGACAGCGGGTTGGGGTTCGTTGGCTAGTTGCCAGGTCATTACTGTAGCGTCTTCCTTGTAGACACGACCATTGACTGTGTTGACTCGATTCAAGACTTTGTCGATGTGAGCGTGGTACCATTCCTGGCACTTTGGCATGGTATAGAACTGATTCGCATAGGCTGTGAAGTTGCTGTAGGGAGCTGCATCTACACCCTCGACTGTGTAATTGCCCCATCCGGTACCGGGTTCCGAACGTTGAGGTGCCGCTGTCAGATTCCAGGACGAAGGGTAGGGGATTTGACTGTCGTTTGTTGCCCAGCTGACGTATTGTCCGAAGCCACCGCTCCATTGCCATTCGTTCGCGAGAGTCATGGTGGCCCTCATACCTCGCTTGCTCATCTCGGCTAAGCAGCGGTCCAAGCCAACGAAGATGGCTTCGTTGTATGCGCCGGGAGCTTCCATCAGTGCGGGATACATCCTGAAGGGCTGATGTGTTGGTGCGCCCTCCGAAGATGCCATGATGCGAAGGTGGTTGACGCCATGAGCCTGCATTTGGTCTAGCTCTGTGATGAAGCGAGAGTGATTGCCTCCGACATGGTCATCAGCGGCTAGATTCATACAGGACCAGTAGTTCAGTCCTGTGAGGTAGACTGTGCCTTGGCGGTCTTTGAGCTTGAAGCCATCGATCGAGACGAAATCGTCGGCAGCGATTCCGGTACCATTTTGAATAGAGCGAAATTCATGAGGTCTGGCAGAGATGAGTGTAGGGATAGCAGCTGCTGTCAATACAGAAAGCCAGCCTGAAACAACCATGATGAATGTTTCGCTGCTCTTGCTTTTGGTATGTGAGGAAGCAGAAGACAAGTCACAACAGCAGCAGCTTCTTTATACTCTACCATGTTAGGGCTTTCTTGCAGCATTACTCGGCGGACGATCCTCATGATGGCATGAGGTTGCATTTCTGCAGAAGCATGATTTTTACGGCATGCATCGTGTGGAGTAGTCGTACAAGAGGCATGAGCCCCTCACCGCACCCTGCTGGCAAGATCGCAGTGGTTTGGAGGTCGTGTCTGCCGAACCCCGCCGTGGTAATCGGCGGATATATGACGAGATGGAGCGGAAGAATTGTGGGGGGGCTCACATCTTCTCCAAACTGAACCCGGAGGACGAGGCTCCGATTCTTTGAGCTATCGAAGAACAAAAGTTATTATTCGTACTTGAGTGTCGAGTGATGCAGCTGATCTCGAGATACACGGCCGTCTTTCTCTACCTGCCACAGATTCCTGTGAGGTAAGCCAAGACCTTCGTGCTGGCTACGACTGTTCGCCTCTGGACGTTGAGATGGCATAGATGAGCCCTCGGGACCTCGGGATTGTTAACCACTCACATGGTCTCCGGCTCCTTCAACTTCAAGAAGATGAGGGCATCTGCCAACGTGCGGTCTCATCAGTTTGGTCCACAATCAAATCTCAATCGGGGTGAATTATTAGCCTCAATTCTCAAACCGCTTGGCAAACTCCGATCTTGAAGAGTCCTTATAACAACACCGTGACTCTGATGATATACGCCACTCTCCTGACCTATACCTCTATTCGAATGCAGAGTCAAATCTGCTGAAGATGATGCGGAGTCTACGCCGTTCATGTCCTTGTCCTCGTGGCTGGGCACCTGGGAAGGTAAGGTGAGACAAATTTCTAGATCCGCGGCCAACGTTCCTTCCCAACGGTAACAATGGATTCGACCAGAACGGGTGTTGGACACTTCGGAGCACTTTCCTATAGCTCTCTCCAGACAACTGATCGCACTCATCCTCGTCGCCACGGGCGACTCAGAGATTCTTGCCAGCTCTGCATCCGACTCCAAGATGCGTCAAGCGGTCAACTGGTGGCTGTTTGGCGTGATCTTGGTCTGCTTGGTCGCGACACTGCCCACAGTCGTATTGAGAATCGTCGGACGACAGAGAAGGAACTCCCTGAAGCTGGACGATTGGACCATGATCTTGACTGAGGTGAGCCCGAGACAACCATACTACTGAACACAACACTGATGATTCCCAGCTTCTGTTCATTCCGTGTGCTGTCTGCGCTCTGGTGTCCATCTCGAAAGGCCTTGGTGTCCGAGATGATCAACTCCTGCCGGCACAGATAATCGCAGCTTCAATGGTCAGTCTCTACAACTATTCACCGGGAGCAGCAGCTGAAAAGAAACAATGCGTAGTACTTCAGCATATTCGATCTTCTCTATTGCATCACGCTGGGCCCGCTGAGATGTAGCCTCTGTTTGACCCTCCTCAGATTCGCGACCAGCAAGCGTTTGCGACAGGCCATCTACATGATGGTCATACTACACATCATCACAACTATCGCATGCTTTGCAGGTCTGATGGCGCTGTGCAGGCCGTATCATACCAACTGGCGGCACTTCTACGATTTTCCAGAGTTTCCGAGGGAGGGATCTTGCTTCAGCGGCACCGTAATCGAGGTTCTTGTCTACATGCTGACAGCAATCACTTCCATTTCTGACCTGGTTTGCGTCATCATCCCGGCCATCATCTTCTGGAATTCAACACTGAACCGTCAAAAAAAGATAATGGCGTGGATGCTACTCAGTTTGGGTTTGCTGGCCTCCATCGCTACGCTTGTACGCTTGCCATTCGTACCATACTTTCCTGCCAGGAAGGATCGTGTTTGGGGTCTAGGAATGGCTACTCTGTGTTGTTGCGTGGAGATTGCGCTGGGCATCTTCGCCGGGTGCGCGCCGGCGGTCAAGCCTTTCCTCATCGCGACAACCCACTGGACCAAATCAGTGTTCAGTGTCCGCAGAAATTCGTCGGCACCTTCTGGGTCATTGCCTTCTGCAAGTTCGGCCAGGCGTCGCAATCTGAGAGGACTGACAGATTTCTCATACAATACTTACGATCTGAAGACAATTCACTCACCAAGAGGCGACGTGGTTGAGGTCGCCCCAGTCCAAGGGCTGAACTCGTGGAATTTGGAACCCACTCCAACAAATACCATTGAGTGAAGTCGACACATTGCAGATGACTTGATTGTATTCCGATCTCTTCTTCCCGGACCGACACTCCGCCAGATTGCGGGGCATTTTACCCCGCCATCACATGCTGGATAAACATCTGGCGGCTAAAATGGTATTGGGTTGTGGTCCCAAGAAACGTTAGCTAGATACAGGCAATTATGCTGCTTCCATATGGCATATATGATCTGTCGACGCCTTCCATCTCAGCTCCTGCTGCTTTTACGAGTCCACCTACTTTTATACTATCAAAATGGCTCCTCACGCAGATACCAACAACAGTTCAACACAACAGTCGAACACGACTGGGTTCACCAACCCACCGTGCTCTATGCTACATGTTGAGGGTGCTGAGATCGTCGACGCCTCAGGTTCAAAAGTTATCCTGAAGGGAGCAGGCCTTGGTGGCCATCTGAACTTCGAGAACTTCATTACTGGTTACCCTGGACATGAACACGAACACAGAGCTGCCATGGCCGAAGTCTTGGGCAAAGAGAAAGCCCAGTACTTCTTCGACCGTCTGATCCACTACTTCTTCACTGACGCAGATGCTGCGTACTTTCAGAGTCTTGTAAGCTTGATGCTAGAAGCTGTTGCTGCTGGTATGAGCGCTGACGTGAATGAAACAGGGTCTCAACTGCATCCGTATACCCTTCAACTACCGTCACTTCATCGACGATGACAACCCAAGCGTGATGAAAGATGCAGGATTCAAGTTGTTGGACAATATCGTAGACATTTGTGGCCGCCACAATCTATACGTTATCCTCGATCTCCATGCAGTTCCCGGCGGACAGAATCAAGACTGGCACTGTGATAGTGGGATCGGAAAAGCACTTTTCTGGGATTTCAAGGTCTTCCAGGACCAGATGATCGACCTCTGGGTACACATCGCTAAACATTACGTTGGCAATCCTGTCATCGCTGGCTACAACCCTCTCAACGAGCCGGCAGACCCTAAGCATACTCGTCTCGTCGCCTGGTACGACAGAATGGAGAAGGCCATCAGAGAAGTTGATCCCGATCACATTCTCTGGGTGGACGGCAACACGTATGCCATGGACTTCAGCGCTTTCACAAGGATTATGCCAAACACAGTCTACGCCTGCCACGACTACGCAAACCTTGGCTTCCCCATCCCAGGTCAAGATCCCTACTCTGGTACCGAGGAGCAAAACTCCAAGCTTCGCCGTCAATTCAACCGCAAAGCAGAATTCTCACGCGAGCACAATGTTCCACTGTGGAACGGCGAGTTTGGACCGGTTTACGCTGACCCTAGCGCTGATCCTAATGCCGAGAAGACAAACGTTAGCAGGTTCGGCGTGCTCAAAGAGCAGTTGAGCATCTACGCTGAATCACAAATCCACTGGACCATCTGGCTGTACAAGGATATCGGCTACCAAGGCATGGTCCATGTATCCCGCGAATCTCCCTACATGCAACTCATCGCCTCTTTCGTCGCCAAGAAGCAAAAGCTCGGCCTGGACTTCTGGGGTGTAGTCGACAAGACTGGTGTTTCCTCAACCTACGACCCATTCCTTCGCGACATCAAGAAGATGGTCCCTGAGCATTTGCACGACATCAAGTACCCTCATCACTGGAACATCGAGAGACAATTTGAACGTATTGTCAGGGAGTGTTTGTTGTCTGATTACCTGAGCTTGGAATTCGCGGAACTATTCAAGGGGAAGAGTGAGCAGGAGCTTGATGAACTTGCTGCGAGTTTCAAGTTTGAGAATTGCGTTACTAGAGATCAGTTGACCCAGATCTTGCAGGCGGATGCGGAGAAATCTAGAGTACAGCAGTAGAGTAGTCCGTCCGTAGCTCAGGATTCAACTTCCTTGTTCACTTCGGCCAATAACCTTAATGAGATCAACACTCCATCCATTCCACTCAACCACTCTTGGTGTAATGGTCATCCTCCACCAGAAGGCAGTTGGCCGCAACATGTTTCCCACCTGCTCCTCTAACGCTTGTACCGAGGAATTTGATCTTGCAAACGAACCACTAGCATGCGCAGACACCTTACTCAGACCAGGATTTCAGCTCTGAGGCTGCTCCAAAAAAACCGATACATGATTTTGCGCCTGGTCGCCTCGAGACGGCATGGGAACCTCATACTCAGCACGCAGGAGAAGGTCGAAACGGTCGTCGGGGAGGAATGGAGTGCACATTATATTCGAACCAGTGAAGGCGTGTTGTGCGATTTGGTTCCGATGCCAGATCATGTTTCATCACCGTAGGTCTTTAGATTGAAGAAATTTCTTTACGAAAATTTGATTGAAATTGCGAAAAACGCCTATAGAAATCCGAATCAGAAGACAAAGAACATCTAACAAGCAAAAAAACGAACCAAGACAAAGAGATAAAAGAAGATTTAATCAACAAAGTGTAGTCATCGTCGACAAACATCCCACTCACTGATCCTCCGTCAAAACAGCAAACTTAGAATAGACTGCGTGATTTGAGGGGGCAAGTCGCAACACCATCATCAGCGCTGGTGAAGCTCGAAGACCACTGGATGGAGATGTTGCCCTGTCCGAAGTTCTTGCAGTAAGTAGCGGGATCCCAGGCACGCTTGTAGAAAGCGCACTGCTGAACGCCACACTTGCCGTTGGTGACGAGCATGTAGCTGGTGAAGAACTTGCAGGCGTTGTCGCCGGTGAGGTTGTCGCAGGCCTTTTGGCAGCGGGTGTGATCGAGGACGCCGTCTTGGAATGTCAGTGTTCTGGCGAGCAGAGAGTCGGGTTGGCCGGTGGTGCAGGTGGTTCCTGGTGCTTGGATGGCGCAGTTGCCCAGTTGGGTTTGGGAGTAGCCGGTGAGGGAGGAGTCGACTTCTTTCACGTTGTAGGCGTTGGATCCGGCGATGACGACCTGGAATTTGTTGCGGTACTGGCCAGAGTTGGTCGCAACGATGGGGTTGAGGACATTGCCCCAGAAGGAGGCCTTGATCACGGTAGTGGAAGCAGGGTTGGGGCAACCAGCTGCAGGGTTCTAGGATACCAAAGTTAGCATTGTCGACACTACTGATTTGACACGTGGACTTACCAGTGTGGGGTCGCGTTCGAAGAAGATGTTGAATCCCTTGCATCCAACGATAGCGTCGCAATCAGCAGCTGCCTGGTCGACATCGTAAGATGTGTAAGTCTTGTAGGTCAAGTAGCCGCAAGCGTTGACCGACGCCTTCTGGTCCTTGAAAGTCTGGACGTAGCGAGAAGGTGTTACGGCGCTGGTTGCTGCAGTCGAGAATCCACCATAGTTCTGGAAGGAAGTCGGGTCATCGGCGACCTCGGGGGAGGTAGGACCCGAGCCCAGGGGCTGAGGAGTGCATGCACCGCGCTCCTCAAGAGACCTCTTGTTCACAACGCTATTGTCATCCGATGTATCAGAAAGGACTACAGCGACTGCGGCAGCTGCGGCGGCATTGGGATCATAAGCAACGGTGTCATTGTCAGCGGCGCCGATGGGAGCCGAGACGATGTCCGGGATTGGAAGATCAGCAACAATGTCGTTAGGGTCCTGAGGCATAGGCGAAGCAACAGCGAGTGCTGCAAGGCCGGCGATGAGAGCGAAAGAGCGCATCTTGAATAGAAGACAGGATGAGGTGTAGAAAAGGCTCGTGGTTAGGTTGTTGTGATTGAGATGCTGATGCTGGTTGTTCCTTTCTAACGAGGCAGAGGCCATGCTTTATATCTTCTCACTCGACAATCCAGACCTCGATTGTCCAAGACCATATTCTACGAACAGACAAGGCGCTGGCAGCAAGTTTCGATAGCGCCTTTTGCACGGTTCAGCTTCCAAGGGACAGCTTCGATCCATCGCAGGCAGACTCTTGGTAGGCGGTATAGCAGTACGGCGAGGCCGAGCTGAGATGTTTTCAAGGCGCCAAACATCGGACTGTACCAAAGTCAATTGTTGGTAAGATCCCGTCTCTGGTCCCAGGATCTGGTAGTGCCATTTGCCATATTAGTATCTCTTCAGCTAGTTCTCCGCTATATCAAGCTCCAGATGAGCTATTGTTGGTTCTTCTCCAGATCTTTCAGAAGCCGGGGTATGATGTGGATAGAGAGATCGCGAGGCCATCATGCCGATCTATCGATTACATGCATGAGTAGGCACAAACTCACCTTGCGATGGGCAGTGTCAGAGCACGTGGGAGAGTGCACGTGTCGAACTCTAGATACGATCAGAGGTATGCCCAGCCAGGCCCTAAGATTGCTACGGCTGCCGTGATGTTGGATCGCATCGCCGAAAGAGGACTCTCAGGTGCTGCTATAATCCAAAAGGTATGTCTAATCGAGGACGACACGGCAGGAGGTTGGAGAAGTTGGACCTGGCGAGCGAAACTTGGGGCGGAAAGTTGCCGAGAACCAGCCGGCGGTTGAACCTTCCTTGTCCGCGCCCAAAAGCCCCCATGGTACGTATCTCGCACGAAGGATTCTCCAATACTTGACAGAAACTTTCTCCACCTCCTTCGTCTACATGTGCTGTTTCTTCAGCTAGCCTTCGTCTCGTTCCATGGTGAGACACGGCAGGGTCCTGGGCTTGCGCAGGTCCTCCGAGAGTCGGCCTCGTTCTGGTCACCCACACATCGCCGTATCCGGCAGCCCAAGTAAGCACTTACTGATCTCGGCCTGAGATGTATAGATGTATAGACAACCTACTGCGCGCTATCGTCACAGCCCGAAATAGGATCGTAAGCGGACAGTACATTTCCGATCGTAGAGAGTGAACACCACCACACCAGGTGCAAGTCGACGACATAGCTGCAGGAACCCACTCTAATGATAGACTTTGATCAAGTCACACTCGGTTTGTAAGAAACCAGGATGGGTCATGGAATCTAAGTGCAGCGCAGTTCTTGTTGTCGCGCTTGCTCTCACAACATCAGCTGGTCCTATCAATCGCGGCTGGGCATCAGCGTACGCCGAAGTCTTCGGCAAGATGTCTCAGATTTAGCCTCCCATGCTATTCCGCCTACAATACGAGAATAACTCTGCTTCCACAGTCCAGCCCTACCATCCTCCATCCAATGATACGGCTAGAGCAGAAGGGGCTTTTGCCCTAAAAGCTGACCACATCCCCGCCCAAGAATCGAAAGGTGCATAGCAGCTGAGAAGCCAATCTTGGCTTCTCAGCTGTCGCGACACAGCCATACACATCAAAACGCAGCAACATCTGTTGGATACAGCAGGCCGATACCGAATGCCGAACGTGCGGCCAGAAACAACAATCTCAGCTGCGAAGGTCGAGACCTGAAAAAGCAGAAGTGGAACCCGATACGGCAAAGCATCGTCAGATTGATCAGACACCTGAGAAACAAGGTGTTCAATACATCGATTCCGAAAAACGTGAGACTACAGTACAGCTGCTGCGAGAGCAAGTCCACCAGCCATTGCAGCACTCCAAGCATCCAATTCCATCATAGCAACACCACCAGTGCTTGCAGCTGACGTAGTCGCAGCTGCTGCGGATCCGGAAGAAGAGGAAGTCGTTCCAGCAGCGCTCGCTGGGGAAGAAGAACCAGACAAAGAGGTCGATGCACTGCCAGAAGAGGATCCTGTCGACGTACTCAATCCACCCGATGTGCTCGATGCCGCAGTGGTGCTTGTGACTGAAGCTGATCCCGAAGCCGCGGCAGCACTTGCTCTGGAGGCAGACGCCGAGCTAAATAGTGACTCTCTACTAGCACTCCTCGAAGCGCTAATACTCTTGATGACATCTGCAACAGTGCTGGCCGCGGTCCCTTTGGCGGTGAGTGGTGTGGCAGATCCAGCTCGGCAGGTGGTGATGTCGAAGCCGACGCTGATGCCTGTACGACCGTCGTCTTGACAGCAGATGAGGTCGTTGAGGGCTGATGCTCCGGTGCTGTCTGAGTTGCCTACGATGGAGCCGTTGCAGCAGTATGAAGTGTCGCTGCCGCTGCTGCTTTCGACATAGCAACAAGCTTGTTGGTCGACGAGGTCGCAATCTTGGGACTGAACCACATACGACATGGCCACAAGCAACGTGGAGACGATTGCGGTGTGGAAGGCTTTCATGATTGTATGGCCGAGGATATTCTCTACTGAACAGAAAATGTTTGACAGATGTGATCTTGGGGCAAATATCTCTTTATGAGAACCCGAAGGGGACACCTCTGGGGCTTTATATAATCTTGCACTCGCTGCCAATGTCTCTTTGCAACAAGTGACTTCGCAGCAGAATGGTCGTGCTGCCCTCACCGTTCAGCTGAACTTCTGTCGATCTCAATACCAAGGCATCCTCCAGGATGTCCGCGTCTCAGGATGTACCTGCTACTATAGCTTCTAGTGTGTCTTGACGGCGACAGCGATTGGATCCTCCTCGAGATCGACAAGTGGCTATACCGCTATTCACCTCATGGCCGCTGCGCCTCGTGTGCCTTGATTCGCTGCCTGAAACTCTGATGATTCTCTCTGCCTGACTGGCTGGACATGAACAAGCAAAAGTGAGCGAGCTTTGGCAACAACGGTGATAAATCTTGGCTTTTCCCGGTCACCGAAGGTGATCATCTCTAAGCGACGACAGAGAAAGAAAGAATTGCTGTGCTTGATATCGCTTATGGTATACCAAGCCATCTTGGCAATCCTTCGACAGACCATCACAACTTCACAAGACCCCAGACGGCAACGCCATTGAAAACAAGGACAAAACAAGCGACAACGAGGAAAACAGACGAAAAGACTTATACCGTATGATAGTTTAGTCTTTGCTCTTCAAGCCCTGCGTCAATTCTGCCTCGATCTGCGACTCCAGATTTGATGGGAATAGCTCCATCAAAGTCATACCAAGCAGGAAAGCACCCACAAACAAGCTGATCATTGTCGCCGCCGTCTTCACTGCAACATAATCTACACTCACAATGATAGCAGTGGACAGTGCAATCGTTTCAACTGCCGCGACCATGCAAAAGCCAGCCACTGCATCACAGTAATTAGTCGAGACAATTGTACTTTGTTGCAAGAACAGAACTTACCCTTGCTGGATATCTTCACCTTGTTTCTCTCTTCAGTCTTGACAAACACCTTGGCTTCTTTATACACCATCCACGCATCTTCCAAACCGAAAATCTCCGCATACAGCAGCGGCGGATAGCTGATCAACTCTCTTCCAGTGCCCAATGTCCATTTCGAAGCCACTCTTCTTGCATGGTCTTGATTTAACCCTCTGTTTTTGATGAGTAGTGCAACGAGGAATTCGCGAACTTCATCTGGAGTCGCTTTTTCGGAGGGTGCGGTCAAAGTGTCTGGTGTGGTGACGTCGAGAGAGGTATAGAGGGGTAGGCCTTCGTCTGCAGCGGAGTCGGTGGAGGAGCGGGGGCTGGATTCGGAGTGGGATAGTCTGCCCATTTTGTGCGATTGTTGCGATACGAGATTTGTAATATCGGTGCTGTAAGTTCTTGATGTTGAGCCCTTTGATGGGTTAGAGAAAGGAAGCAGGATGTCTTTATAAAAGAGTAGAGGGGAGGTGAGAGAAAGGCTTAGCTATAGGGAATAAGGTGGGAATGGCGGCTGTGTCGGCACTGCCATGCCCATCCCACCGGTGAACCACCGCGGAAGGATTCGACAATGACATCTTCCAACTTTGATGTTGTTCTGTCAACATTGAACAAAAAACAACAATAAACTCCTCTAGTAGTGATCACAACACTGCTTGTTCGTTCCCCGACACGGAGACCTTAGCCCATCCTGTGATGCGCGCTTGCATACGGTATATCTGCACCCGGAAGAATGATATCAAGGAAAGAGTCGTTAGGTAAAGAAAGTCAGCGAATCAGATCCAGTGTCTTTCAGGCATACTGCTGCCTATACTCGAATCCTAATCTGTATTGCCTTTGACAAGAACGCCGTTTCAGTCACGTCTGATGTGTGCTCCATCCATCGCAAGTACTAGCTTGAAGACTATCCGTCCTTTCTCTTAGCGTTGGCATGGAAGTGGTACCTAAAACTAAGCACAAAGGTAGTATAGATATGGCAGAACTTCATAGAGATAAATCTCAGACACGCCTTCGTGGTGTTTTGCAAGTAGGAGATATGCATGCTGCACGCTTGCGGATTTAGGATAATGCATGTCAATTTGATTTCTTCTCATTAGCTGAGATGTCTATGTAGCCAGAAGATCCCAAAACTAGTATCAGGGTCTTTCTTCTGCTCTTGATCTTGATGAGAAGATCTGGGAAAGCGGTTTCATGCTATGCACCGCGGTGAGCAGTGGTGGAGCTTCTCCCTGGTGAAGCGCGGCTGTGCGGCAGGAGGAGGGTCGGCAGCATAGCCCTGCACTTTGGCTAGTGTGTACAATCCGCAACAGAGCAAACATGGAGCCATGTTGTCTGCCTGTTGGAGTGTGGGCGTGAACGCACGAGGACGTGTCATCGAACTCTTCCAACGTCCACGTTGTGTACATCAACGGTCTCAGGCGTGAGACGCGAGGCAGAGAGTCTGTGACGATCATGCTGTGCCACATGGAAGTCGTGAGGCTCTGACCGAATAGGCGTCGACGACGAAAGGCGTATGGACGTCGTCGGCTCATCCATCCAACAATTTCTTGACCCTCTCGATCCTCGTCAGAGCATTCTCCACCATCTCAAGCCTCTTCTGCCCCACCGCGTCCCTCTCCTCCAGAACCTTCAACCTCGCCTCCAACTTTGCCTTTGCCTTCCTCTCAGTCGCAACCATCTCATTGGCCTGCTCAAACAACGTCGCAGACAAATCCTCCAATTCAGCCTCTAGATCTTTAAACTTCTTCTCTGCAGCTATCCTCCTTGATGTTTCTGCAGCGAGAGCAGCTTGGAGTTCAGAGATGGCGGGGGAGGGAGGGCTACTGGCAGGTGCCATGGGAGAGTTCTTGGCTGGTGTTTTGGGAAGTGGTTTTGTCGTGTTTGTGAGTGATGATGTGCGAGTCAGGAAGCTGAATTTGCCGGATGCGATGGACGAGTTGCGGCTCAGTGAGGTGGGTGGAGCAGGGAAAGGGTGTGCGGCGATAAAGTCCAGGGCAGAGTCGTTGCGAGGGTTCTGGCTGGTCTTGAGGTTGCGAATTTCTTCTTCGTATTCGGCGAGGCGGTCGGCTGTGGAAGGTGGATGTGGTCAGCCAAAAGTGAAGGAAGGCAGAGGGGGGAACACAAGGAGAGATGTACATATGCAGATGCAGCGTGAGGAATCGCACAGGCAGGGATAACAGCCAAACTCACCAGCTTCGACGCCTTTGCTTGTCAGACTTGCGACTTGGGCTTCGAGTGTCGCGACGCGGTAGTCGCTTTCTGCAGACAGTTCATATCTCGTTGGTTCGTACGACTCGAACGGAGGAAAAGGTGTCGTGTCCGACGCTGGCTGTGGTCTCGTTGTTGTTGTGTTTGTCGCAGGTGCGGGTGGTGGAGACGCTGGTGTTACATTCTTGACCTTTCTTGGTGGGGAGCCAAGATTCATAGCCAACTTGTCTCGTGTCAGAGTGTAGTTGAAGCCTCGTTCGGATTCTGGAATCATGGTCGCGACGTGTAAGTGACGTGAACGTGAGACGTGTTGGATGATTTGGAAAAAGACGTGTTTTTGTACAGAGATATGCTGTGCAACAACAATGTGTGTGGGAAGAGAAAAGAAGAGGATGCGAACCGAAAGGTACCAGGGGCAGTGAACCAGTTTGTGCCTGCCCGTTTCCTGTTCCCCTTTCCACCAGACCGCCTGCGCGCTTTTCCTCGTCGTCCTCGTGCACCAGATGCCCTACTGATGCGACCAAGATGTTGTAACGGCTGTTCAGGGGGGTCAACGGTTTGTAGTCATTCCTGCTCGCATGCTTAGCGGTCCGTCCCGTGCGGGGGATGTGAGGGTCACCCTGCATGTATATATATTGTCCCTGACTCCCTGCATCAGCATATCTATGTATAGTCATATGAGACACTGCGTCGGCATTGACTCTGGTGTGAATAAAGTTGTTCTAAACAGTCATGTCTTGCAGGAGGTTGGTTCTAAGCTCCGGTCATAACCGCGCCACTCAAGACAATCAACGTAGACTTTGCGGTGTCGGAATCGTGATGTGTCAATCATGACCAGTGACATTTCCATCTCAAACTGATGTCATATTCTTGTCAAGTGAGATTGATGAAATCTTGTGGTCGTATAGCACCTTAATTGTAGGTTGATCTTAAGTAAATCGACGTGTACATGCTAGGGCATGGATATGTATATACAGAAAGCCGCGACTAGGTATGAACAAGAGACCAAGACGAATCAAAGGCCAAAAAAAGAATAATGCTTGGTGCTTTTCTTCGTGAACGTTGAAGTAAATGATGCTGCAATGAGAGGAAGATTGAAGAGAAGAAAAAGAAGAAGAAAAAAAAAGAAGGGGGTATCGAGAGAGAAGTGATCTAGCAGATCCCAAAAAGATCAAAGAACATAAACCGCACAATGCCTGACCTTTTCCCTTGTGAATGCAGAGACCTTCAGAAAGGTCACCCTCGATTCGCAAACGCCATAAAACTCCTCGTAAATGCCGTATAGACTCAAGTGTTAAGTGGGTCTCGGCGTTCTATGCCCATCATCATCATCCTGTTGGACTTGTGTTGCTTCCTCGTCTGAACTCGACTCGTTCCTCGCTGGTGAAGCTGACCCCAAGACGGGACCTTGTCGAGGAGTTTCGTTGTCTTCTGTTCGAGAGTCCACTGGATCGTGGACAATATTATTGTCGCCTTGACTACCAGCGGTTGTGGAGCTGGCCCATGTCACATGCTGCGAGCTGTTTGAGTCCCGCACGGTATTATGTTGCGAGTCAGGATGCGTTTCCTTGCTGCTCGTGTCACTGTTGGTGTGTTTGAGTACATGTGGACTCCATGCGGCCGCTCCTCTGGTCGGCGCTGGAATTACAGTATAAGGCAGGTCGATGTTGTCTACCTTTTCTTGCTTCCTCTCGCGATATTTCTCGCCCTGTTCAGCGGCGATCACACCAAGTCTACCCTTGATATCCCATTTTGAGTAAGAGTGGGCGGGGAGATTGGGAGTGTCGCTGTCGTGTCGAGCAGCCCGGACTTCGGCAGGTGGACTCATACGTTTTCGCTTGAACGGATTCTGTACTGCATTTCGGAGCGCATTGCTGGTTTGTCGCAGACGCGAGGAGTTGGCTGGCTTGGCTCCTTCTCCATCTCGAATCTCCTCTCGTAGTGCACTTGATGTTTGCGCTTCCAGGTCGTCGAGTGGTGGATGCTCAGGAATGTCTTCTGTTCGCCTCCGTACAGGTTCCGGTTCTTGGGATTCACCATAGTTGATGACATAAACGGTAGAGGCAGCACTGGTCGTGTTTATCCGGTCAGGTGGTGATAGTCGAGGAGGCGGAGGTGTTTGGTTGGTGATAGGTGTCAGAGCCGTGTCAGGGCGGGGCAATGTGCCAAAGGTGATTGTTCGATTCTCCGAATGAGCTCTGCCGAGAGGGAGATGAGTATTCCGGCGAGGAGTAGCTTTCCGCCTTCTGGCGACGGGGTCCTGCTGTGAGCCAGATTTGTGCGTAAAGCCGGCAGAGCCATCGCTGTCGGCTGGACGATAGTTGTCTCGAGGCTTCCGCGTATATGTCATGTTGTCACCAGGAGTCATGTCGATCATCTCGTCACCATCGAAAACTTCGCGACCCAGGATGCCATCTTTCTTCTCATCTCGTTCCAGGGCTTCTATACGTTCGACCCACTCCCAAACAACAACACTAGAAGCGGCAGCACCAACCCATCGGAAGTAGTCACCCCAAGCAGCGACATCCGGCTGAGCGACGTCTGTTATAAAGAAAGCGACAGGGGTTAGTATGGCTATATGTGATAGCAGAGCAACAATAAAGATACTCTTCATCTTGCGATGGAAATAGGCGTAGCGACGTTTGGTGAGACCGTAGAAAATAACCCAAGCAGCGTAGAGAAGTCCGACAGCGAGTTCGAACAGATAACTGAGAGCTGGAATAGCATCGACGAAATGTCGGGGACGGTTGAAGCTGTCGACCAGGAAACTGTTGAGGCAGGAGAAGATAGTGTCCAGTACGATGAGGGCGAACCCGACCCACTTGATGACAACCTTTTCCTTATGTCGGGGAAATAGTCGAATCAGGGTCTGTACTTGGGCGAGCCAGAGAAAGACATCGGATATGACACGGGTGACACGAACTTCCATGCTTCCCTCGACTTTGCTGTGCATAGCATCTCCGTCCATGTATCCAACCAGATATTGCTCTTGAGCGACTTTGAACGTGTCTGCGGTAGCGATTGTCAGAGCGATAGCGGTCAGAAGAGCTGCGACCTTCTGGAGCCATGGTCGAGAGCCAACGCCAGGTGCAGCAGTACCACCAGTGGCGCCACCGATGAGTCCTCTTCCAGTAGCAAAGTTTGTGAGACCAAAACCAGGAGAGAAAGATCGCGAGTTGATCAAGAGCATAACAACCAGGACCCAGGCAAGTGATGTGGCGCAGGCTACTACAAAGGTTTGAGGGATGGTCGAGGCATAGAAGGGGTTCTCGAGGTCGGCGACGCTGGAAGGATCACTGCTGGTCCCAGGGGTCTCGTAGCCTGGGGTACAGGCGGGCGTAAAGACTATGTTGGCGGTGAGAGTGACGATATTATCAGGGGCAAAACTGAGGACGCCATCGGAAGGAAGTGTGTATGGAGTGCAGGTCTGGCAGGTATCAGATCAGTGGGTGCAGTTGAAGTGGAGAAGTCCGACAGAACATACGGCGGTGAGACTCGACGTAGTGGTGGTCGGCAGCCCCCATAACTGTCGAGCAACATGCCGCGACATGCCCGGGGGCTAGGTGTCGCGTCCGGAGCAACAACTACAGCGTGAGGCTGACGGTGGACGCGCAAGACACGGGGTCCGCGGCCGGAGAAGATGTGATCGCGACGCGCGACGGGGATTGAGCGGCCCGATATCGAAGTGCGCTGAGGAGTTTTCAGGATGGCCGGGGATGCGTCCACACTCGTCTGGAAAACATGTCGCAGCGACAGGGTGGTTCGGGGAAGTCGCAATGAATATGACGGGACCGATGGGGGAGACGAGCGTCTGGACAGACTGGGCAGTGCGAAATGTGGGTTGGCGAGTCGCTCCTGCCTGTCTCTGCGCTGAGCCTCGCCGTCGGTTGACCCACGACCCGCTCTTGGCAGTATCTTGAGTAGCTTCGTCCAGTGCACGGTCCGTGTCACGCCTAATCCTCTTGTTTCTCGCCGCATCCTCGGTCTGCTTGCGTGTGAGCAACTTGTTCTCGTTTCTGCCCTGTTGCGTGCTAACTCTATCCCAGGTTGACCTTATTCTTATTCAAATCTTATATCAACCAAACGTCTCGTCTCCTTGTTTTGCGCCATCTTCACCACAATCGACAATGTTACAAATGCCGTCTGACATCAGAAATCTCGAGTCCCTCTTCTCTCTCCGTGTTGAACGCCATGTCACCCCAACTTCTTCTGGCTCCACCGTGATCAGCTACACTAAAGACCTGGGGGAGGGTCCTGTCTTGTGGCTCGTCCACGGTTACCCTCAGTCTGCCTATATGTATGTCCAGACCTTTTGTCGTGTGTTTATTGTCCTGCTGACCGTCTCATCTAGCTGGCGCCATGTAATTCTTTTCAACGGTTCGCTCATTCCGCTGTTCTTTTTAACACTATCATCAGATTATCCCCCAACTGCAGGACAAGATATCCTTGTTCGTTCCAGAGGTGCGTGCAGCCATCCTCCGCTCCCTCCGCATTTATCCGACCACTACTGATCCTGCCTCCGAAAAAGCTGCCGGGCTACGGCCTCAGTACTCTCAAAGGCACGGCCGGAGTCGCCGCCGTCGGCGCCGCTCTGCTTGAAGCTAGCCATGCATTGTTCCCTAACCGTGACATTATTTTAGCCGGTCACGACCGTGGTGCCCGCATCTGTCATCGCCTTTCTGTTTCCAATGCCCATCCCCCCAAGGATGATACTGCCAACCTGCATTCTTACAAACTCCTGGGTACTGTGCTGCTCGATATCGTCCCCACTCTGGTCCAGTGGCAATCGTTCGCTCGCCCGTTGGCCAGTGTTTCCTACTTTCACTGGCCATTCCTGGCATCTCCTGTTGCAGCCGACATGATCGAGGCTTTTGGTGCTGCCAAATGGACACACCTGGGTTTGGACCGCATCTGTGGCGACAACGCAGAAGGGCGCAAGGCCATGCAGTCCGACGACGCCTGGGAAGTATACGAATCTCTGCTCTCGAAACGTGAAGCCATCGAAGGATCATGCGCCGATTACGCTAGTGGTTGCTTCGTGGAGCCACCCCTCCAAGAAGCAGATCAAAGTGAGGGTCGCAAAATTCAGAGTCCCGCGCTTGTCATGTGGAGTCTCTCAAGATTGGGCAAGATGCACGGCGATGTTGGATCAATCTGGAAAGACTGGGTGCAAGATACATCCTTGCTGACTGCTCAAGGCGTAGGAGACGATGTCGGACACTATTTGCCCGAAGAGGCTAGCACTGTCATCGGCTCAGCCATCAAGGACTTTGTCGAAAAGGTGACGAAGTAGGAGTATATGATAACGATCAATGGGCCATACAATCACGATCTGCACGCTTCTCTCTCGATAATACGTACTGTGACATGATCAGTGGCTTGCGACGTGCCAAAGAAACATAAATTCTCGAGACCGATAGCGACGTCTCTGCAAACGAGGAGTAACAGGAAGACAGCGAGAGATGATTCAGCCAGCAGTCGCCAAAATGGACACAGGAGTGTGGCAAGGATACTTCATCTCAGTCACAAGGACAAATATCAGAGAGAACAAATCAAGTAAAAAAAAAAAGCTTTGAGAAATTTACACTGACAAGAAAGCGAAGGATATCTATACCTCAACTAAACCCCTCCCACTGCACTCCAAAAGTCCTTAGACTTTTCTTCCCCTCCCCAAAACAAAACCACCATCAAACGCCTTTCTTCGAACCACCCCACTCATCTCCAACAAAGCTATCCTTTACCGCTATGCGGCAATTTATTGAGCAACTTCTGCCCACCCAGCAAAAGTCGACTCTTGAACCCTTCGTCATCACCACTGCCATCTCCACCCCCATTGATCCCACCACCATTGATTGCAGGAGAGTGATTGGAACTGCTAGTGCCTGGTCTCAATCTGCCAAAAATGCCTTTCTTTTCATTATTGTTGTTGCCTCCGCTGCCGATACTGCCACTGCTCTGTCCACCCTCTTCAACCCTTCCGTTGGTGGACGAGGCACCAGTCTGTACTCGTGAGATGTTGGAGTAGCCAGTTTGCGGGCGGCGAGGAACAGGGCCGCCTTCGGTTTCAAAACTCATGGTGAGAGAGGGAGTGATACTCTTTGTTCTGGTAGCGAAGAGGCTATTCGGCGAAGAAGTCAAGTGATCGTCAAAAACACTGGGTCGACCAGAAGTAAACGAAGGTCTCGCAGGAGTTTCCTCATTCTCCTCAGCCTCGGCTTCTCCCTCCACAATCGACGACGTAGTCATAGGCGTACTAGCCTCGCTACCCCTGTCGCCTCCATCATTGTTTGAGTGATGCACATGCATAGTACTCAAATTAGCAATTTCTCTCAACTTGCTCGTCGCCGCTTGCCGCGAGGGCCGGTGGTTGTGGAATTTGTTGCCTACAATGGCGCCGGCGTGTGAGATGAGTGCTTTGATGAGGTCTTTTTTCATTTGCAAAGCCAAGTCCAGGTTCGACCATGTTTTGTTGCGGTACTCGAGTGTGGGCATGCGGAACACGAGATCGTGTACGTCTTCGAGGTTGCGGCGGCCTTGACCCTTGTAGCTGAGGCATAGAACCATGCTGGGGACTTTGAAGAAGGAGAGGGTCATGTAGTTGGATGCGCGGGACAGCATGAGAGATAAATCGTCGGAGGCTTGTTTGTCGTCCTTGTCTGATTTACCTTTCTTGTTGGCCTTCTTCTTGGACATTTCGGATTCGGCGAGAGAGTTTGTCTCGGATGAGCGTTGGGATGGCGTACGGCTGACGAGACTGAGATTGGATGCTGTGTTGCCATTTTGTTTCTTGGCGGCGTTGTTCGAAGACTTGTCGGAACTGCTGAAGGGGTTCCAGTGGAGACTGTGCGACGATGAGCTAGGTTGACTGAGGCCCAGACCTTTGCCCTTGCCGTTCTTGATGTGGACTTTTCCTTCTGGCAATTTGAGTGTGGGCTGAAGCCTGTGTTCAAGTTCACCTGCACCAGTGCCAACACCTTGATGGCCCGATCCAATGGTACCCTCAGCGTGTGGTGCGATGTGGTTGCCATCTCTCTTCTCATCCGAGTCCTCTTCATCATCCTCTGGCACAGCCATGTTACGGACCATGAAAGGCGAGAAACCACCACCTTCAAATGCATTGCCACCAACACCTGGGAATAGGTACTCGAAGAGTCGCTTTGCAATCTCACGTTCGAGTTGGACACGCAAAGGCATGACATTGACTTCGAAGTAATCGACGACAGGGATACCAGCAATGGCTTCAAGCATCAGCCACTGCACGCGCAACATCTTCATATCCTTTTGCTTGTGGAATCCGCGAGCTGCATCAATGTACGGCGCGATGATTTCGGGGTAAACCGCGTTTGGCAATAGGTTGAAACCATTGATTCTACCAATCTCAACGCAGTTGTAATTTGAGCCATCGTTGTTGTCCGTGCGATCGAAAAGGCCATCCTTGATTTGGAACTCGAGAAGTGACTCGTTCTCACCGCGAATGAGATGCCAAGCGATCTCCTTCGATGAGATCAGCCATCTCAAAAGGCCGGGTGATTCGTCTTGACCGCGGTCTTCGTTTCTGCTCTGAGAAGTCGTGATTGCTTTCATCATGAAAAAGAGCTCGTCCTCGCAAGCAGCAAGATCCGCATCCAGAGCGATTCTATCCTTCCATCCCTGACGATCCAAGTATTTTTCGTGAATCTGGAAGTGCAGCTTGATATCTTCAAGCTGACGAATGCGAGCTTGCAGCATCTCTACCATCTCGGGTGCGCCCGTCAGGTCGCTGAAGTCAGATGCCAGCATGATCTTTTCGAGCCTCTCGCTACGGGTCTTCTCGAGTGGCTCGCTGTAAAGAAGCAGATCCAGCACGATGATGTACATGGCGAAGTACTGATTGGAATCGCAGATTGCCCGGAAGTGAGGGAACTCGATGTAGACGTGATCCATGCGGGGATCAGAGGCGTCTGGGTTATGAGTCTTGTTGCCATCTCCTCCACTGACATCATCATTGTACTTCAAGCGCAGATTGTTGTATTTGTCGTAGCGCAAACTTGCCGAGGTACGATGAACAACTCTTGAGAAACCGTATGGGTTGACTTGGAATTCAAACATGACTTCCAAAGGTACCCATGGCGGCCAGTACTCTCCAGCTTTGCCGCCATAGCGATTGCCAGAGTACATGTGGAGGTACTCAGTCGAGAATGTCTTGGTGCTTGCAACAAAGACTTGCATGCTGTCCATAGCGGCAGAGAAGCGTGTTTGCACCAAACCACTGATCTCGTCCAGCATTCTTTCCTTGTCCATGATTTGAACAACCTTGAGTTGCATGCCTTTGGCAGCAACCAGCATGACCGACTTTGGATTCTTCTCGCTCTGCAACTGAATCTGTGGAGCGATGAGACGGAAGTGATAGGTGTTTTGTGGCGTATACTCAGTTGAGATGCCTTCTCCACTGCCTTCCTTGCCAGCTGACTCTGTGCACTCCTGGTTCTCGGGATCATCTGCATTGACAAACTGTCTTCCATCGTTCAGAAGCTGGTCGATTCTGTCCTGCACGGCCATTTCGTCTTCTTGGTTGGGTGTTTTAGGGAAGAGTGTTGTGTCGCTACTGATCACACTGTTGCTACGATTTTCTGGCGCCTGCGGGCCGGACTTCTTTTGTTCTTCAAGGATATCGAGAATAAACTTGACCGCTCTTCGAGACATGTAGTATACAAAACCACGTCTTTGACTGACTTGGTGAATGTATCGCAGGATGATGTTTCGCAGAGAGTTGTTCCATTTGATCTGAGCGTTATGCACCACGAACCTGTTGTTAAAGTCGCTCGTGTAGTCTGCGAACGGAGTCGCGTCTTCCTTTGGTGCATCTTCTTTCTCGGCATCTCTGTCAGGCAGATCGTCCGTGTCCATTTGTTCACCGATAGATGGGTCCTCTTTCTGCAGCTTTTCCATAAGCACATTTAGCAATTCGCACAAGAATTCATGTTTCTTCTGCAATGCTTCGGTGTGGTTTTTCAGGGCTCGCAATCGGTCATTCAGCTGTTCGCCGCCTTCATGGGTTCTGACAACCTTGACTTCTTGTTCTCCGACTGCGCGTTCGTTGTGGGCCATTTGTTCTTCGATGCGATGGATGCGAGATTCGATCAGATCGGCTTGTACTCTGCGTGGATCATTTCGTTTGGACATGACGCAGTAATGAGTAGGCTCGTCACCAAACATACTGGATCTTGTCGTATCTCCCGAAACAGAATCACCATGATCTGTTTGTCTGAAGTATGTGAAGCGTGGTGCGAATCCAAGAGGGAGAATCTTTGTCGCAGGGTTCGTTTCTGCAGGTAGAATCCAGTCCAGCTCGACGAAGTCGTCCATGTCGATCCACGTCAAATCATTGTCAGGAATCGTGAACTTGGACATGTCGACTTGAGTGATGTTACCTGTCTGGTAGCTAGCCAGTGTAGCCTCATCAGCTCGGTCCAGTTCCGTGGTGCTCGTTCCCTTGATCGAAGCAGATATCGCACGAATATCGGCGGATATGAAGTCAAGTTGGCATTGATTGATTTTCATGGCCGTCGTTCGTTTCGCCTTCTTGTCGGCAGTAGCTGGAATCTCGAAGGTTTCCCTGCGTTGATGAAGATCCAACATGAAGCTATCAAGTTTCATCTTCAGGCCTGTGGCAGAAACAACGTCATTCTGATAATCTTCAGCATCTTTGTGCTTGTAGATATGACTGATGAACAGAGGTGAGAAGAGTAAGTTGTACTTGATCGTGGCAAGATGACGACCGAACTTCTTGCTTGATTTTTCCAGGCTTCCCCATAGAGGGCCTTGGCGGACAGGAAGTGACATGACTCCGGAGAAGAGTGACCACCAGTTGTAGAAGTGGGTAAAGAAGCGAGGTGTAAGATGAACGGAGTTGTAATTGTTCGATGGTTGAAGATTGGCAACGTTCCAGTCTCGATCTTGTGGTGCAGAGATGGCGATGGAGCCATGAATCCAATGACTTCTGAATGTCTTGAATGCGTCGTATGTTTCTCCTGGTGGTGCTTTGGCGTGGTCGGGGTGCTTGAGCTGAACTTTGTAATGAGGACAGAAATTAAAGCTTCTCTTACCATCCCCAACTTCGCGTTCAAACGTCAGACCAGCCATCCATTGCACGTTTCCAGACAGCTTCATGACCACTTTCTTGAAAGCAGCTGCGGAGTTGCTGCTGTTGACACTACTTGAGCCACTGCTGTGCTTGTCTGCCTCATCTTCTTGCAACTGTCGCGCGTAGTATTTGTATTCTGGAATTGCCATGACATAGTCACCGCTGTCCACAGTCATGAACTTGCGAGGATCATCATCCTGGGCGATTCTCCAGCGGACCTTGTTTCTCCATACCATGACAAATCCAGCACCTAAGCCAGTCACAATATATGGATCACGAGAACCCTTGAGGGCAAGATGGACATCGCCATCCCCTTTCCAATTGACATCCAGTCGAGAGTGGAAACTGAGTCTGATCTTGTCCCAGAACCCTACTCTTTCGGACGGATCCATGGGTGGCTTTGTGAAGTTCTCGATGACCTGCATCATGTCCTGAATGGCTGGCTGGTACGATGTTCCCCATGTGATTCTTGTGGGTGAGCTCGTGTTTATATCGATCTTCATGTCCGAGTAAGTCTTTACCGCCGAAATGGTTCTACGCACATCGATGGAGAAGTTTTTCTCGGTGTCTTCCTTGCCGAATTTATCTTTTGGCACTACAACAACATTGATATGGCGTTGAGATTCCAGCCCTTGGAACTCTTCCGCAACAACAAAATCGGTACTGAGTGACAGACTGGCAAGTCGGGGTGATTGACCGGAACGAATGGCAGGCACATGCAAAAGAGGCAAAGGATAGTCTCTCAGCATAACTCGTGCCTCACCCATGGTGACCTTTAGGTTCATTGGTAGAAGCAAGCCATACTTCATGTCCAAAGGCATACCCTTGCCGATATCGTGTAAGAATTTGGGGTATTGGTCAAGTGCAAAAGATGGCTTGTCGATGATAACACCAACATCACTGAGCATTGCGGCCATCAAAGCAGGTCGTTGTGGTATGGCCATCACATTCTCGGTCTGTTCAAATTCTTCTGGCAAGTCGTTCATACCCCACAGGATACCACGCAAGTCCTTGATGGTGTTACTCTGTGTGGCCAAGGCTCGATCGATGCGCTTCTTCCAGCTCTGGGCATTAAACTCTTGGAGCTTTGAATGCGCCTTTTCGACGGTACGAGAGTTTGCGCTATTGAAATCTGCTTTGCCCTCGGTATCGTATCGAATCTTGCGATCACGACCTCTACCACGACGCTTCTCAGGAGAAGACTCTTCGTCCTCTTCACGGAGTGTGTGGATTGAGTGAGCACTCTTGCTTCTCCTGTGGTGTGACGTTGCAGGGCGGGATACGCTACGTTTGCGAGACGGTGGAGGTTGTTGAGAAGCCGTACGCACGCGTGATCCTCTTCTTGGACGATGTGAGTCCGTGTGCTTGACTTTCAGTCTGAAGGCTTCTTCACGAGCAAGACGCTGCTGTTGCTCAACAAGACCAGCTCGATAGATTGTGCCAAGCTTCCACTCAAATCCGCTGTCCTCGATCTCAAACAGCAACAGCTGAGCGCGCACAGATATTCTCGGAATCTTCTTGGGGCCTTCAGGGTGCTTCTCAAGAATGTACTCGAACGTTCCAGTGCTGAAGTGATGGTGTAATTGCTCGCAAGCCTTGATAGTGTTGACAATGTTGTCGAATATAGCGTGTAGAACCATGCCGTGTGGGACGCCAATGCGAATAGTGTCTGTCGTCAGGTCGAACGACTTTGTAATCTCCGTCTTCTGGCCGACTTTGTTCTTCATCTCGCGGAGGTCGAAGCGAAGGTTCTTAACACTAACGATACGACTCCAGACATGTTTCATATTGGGAGTACCACCGAGTAGTCGTACAATCTTTAGTCGTGCAAATGGCGTTGCCCATCTGTGACGGCCACAATCAGCGCCAAAGATCTGTAACATCAGTGGAGGGTCACCAGGCATGTCCGCCTTGACCTGAATAAGGTTTGCCTTGAAGTCGATCGTCGTGACCTCGCTCATCAGGATCTGATCGTATTGAGAGTGATCACGAGTCTTGACAATCGAGCTTGGTTGATGCTTCTTACGCTCCTCATCAGCGTGATGAGGTTCTAGCGTGAGGAACATTCTTCGGAATGTCAAGATTGCAACACCAATTGAGAAGTGCTTGTAGAGCGAGTACTTCAACTGCAAGCTCTTAGCGTGCGAATTGATGTGGAATAGTGGTCCTTGTATGTCGCTGGATGTCGAGAATGCCACCTCGAACTTGGGCAAGCTGATGAAGGGATCAGCGGTTGAGTCCTCCACAGCATCTATTATGTGGCCTTCGAGACCTTGTATGTGCACGGCTAGTCTACGTCCGTCAGTAGGTAGTGTTTGCTTCTTGCGTGGGGCCTCAGGCGTCGATGAACGATCGTTTCTCTCGCGTGAGAAGGACCTGCTGAGAGATCTTCGTCGCGGTACAGGAATATACGAGTCTTCGCGGTGTGCCTTATACTCCACCGACCAAGACTCTAGCTGCAAAGCGAATCCGCGAGCGTATTTAGACACAGCTTGATCCACGCCTGCGAGCTCGACGTTGAAATCAGCCCCTTGTATGCTCACATGTTGCAGCCAATCAGGGACCTGACGAAGGAAACTCGGCTTCTTCACAACTGTTGATCCGCTGTTTGAGTCTGTCTCTCGACGAGCGGCTTTGACAATCTGACGAATGCCTTCCGAAATTTCCGTCCGTACAAGGAACACCGAGAATGTTTGGAATCTACCATAAACGAAAACCTCAGGTCGTGGTAGTAGGTTAACATCGATCTTGACTTCGATAGTCTCTGTCTGCAAAAGATCATGCTTGTGACCAGCATTTGTCTGGTAGTATAGCTGATTTGAAGTCTGTCTGTAGTGCAGATGCAATGCATATTTCGCAGCAGACTCAGTCGAGGAGTGTTGCGAATCAATGTCCAAGGACATTGTCGAAGTTGATGAAATCAGCAGATCGTATTCAACATCTCCAGTGTTTCCCGGAGTCAACGGAGGAAGTGAAACCCTGACAACAGGCTCTTGAACAGCGATCTTGATGATAGCTTTTGGCAGGAGGCGGGACAAGAAACCACGGCTTGTCAACAACGGAGCTTTCGACGACTTTTTCGATTCCTGTCGGACCTTCGCAATTGCTAACAACAGCGGCAAATGCTTTGGATCAAGATCGATAGATGGGGAGGTGCACACCAAATTGGCAAATAGCATGTTGCTGTTGCGCTCATTGACATTGGTGGTATCGTCTGGCTTCTGTAAGGTCTTGGATGGGAGTGTTGTTTTCACAGTAGCAGTGACCATGGGCACGTAGAGCATGCGCTCCGGATGATCATGGCCATCGTCGACACCAGCCGAGATTGAAATCGCTGTAAGTAGGGCTTGGTGGGCAACGTCTGTTGGCGAGAAATACATGCGATGTGCTGGACTCCTCGAATCGAGGCGCAAGAGATCTAGACCCAATTCCTTCATGGCCATATTGAAGTATACATGTTGACCAGAGGTATGCAGAGATCTAATGCGCCTGGAAAGACCCAGAAAGCCAATGGCCAGTTGAAACTCCTGTATGCCCTTGAGAACGGATCCAAGAAACTCTCTCGATTCTGCCACGGCGTCCATAAGCTTCTCTTCGCGATCCTCGGTGTCCCGAGGTTCCTTGAGCACGTCGTTGATGGCGATCTTGGGTGCCTGTGCTGAAGCTGAGTCTCTGAAATCAGGTTTGGAAGCACCGCGAATTTGATGCAGCTTCTCATTTGCATCCAACAGATCATCGTATGGTATGTCCAGCCGTCCTAGCTTCAGTGCAATCGAGGCATCGCGCAGACCTTCGAGTTGCGGATGTAGGAAACCGTGTACGCTCAGAGAAAGGCCATCCAGAATTTCGGAAGATTCTTTGCCCTCGGGTGTGAAGAGAATAGATCGAATGATACTCTTCCACTCAGCAGGAGTGTGTGACGAGGCCTTTGTCTGGTCATGTTGGAACAGACGACTGCGATCTACCGTCTTTGCTCTCGTGTCGACGGCCAGGGTAACGCGCTCGACAGTGATTGTTCCCACCTCCTTGATGACAACGGTGCTGGAAACAGCGACCAGATCGACCAGACACAGGTATCTTATCTTGGTATGCAGCCTCTTGATCTTGTCCTTGACTCCGGTCAACTTCTTCCATCGTGAAGTGCCCTGGTCGCGTGATTGAGCCTTTTCTTCGGCGAGTGTGTTCTTGGTCGAGTTCTGTAGGGCACGGAAGTCTACGACGACTTGTGGCTCGGTCAGGTGAAGACTGATCCAAGTTGGTTGCGCAAAGGTGGGTCTGTGTAGCGACAAGCCGATTCCTCGTATGTATATCTTGATTCCATCCTTTGGCGAGAAAGCGATGCGACGGAAGCCAGAGTAGCCGATGCGCTGGATGCTGACGCCTGTCAGGATGCGGACAAGGGCGAACAGGACAAAGGTGGACAGGTAGGCGAGGACCAGGACACCGCCGACGAAGGACGCGGTGGGCAGCGGCATGCTGGAGGAGATATTAGAGATTAAAAGCTATGGCTTTCCAGTACAGAGTGTTGCTATCGCAGCACACGATCGAGGCCCAGAGTCGCAAGGGTGAATGGATGGTTTCGAGCAGACTGTGGCATCTTCACCGCATGCCCATGCCTATGCCTATCCCAGAAGTCTTGTGCTGGTGTCGCGTAGTGGTCCAGTATAGCTGAATGTCGAAGGATTGGCAGCGGCTCACGCGAGCGTGAGGAGTTGGCGTGAAGGAACACTTCTCAACCTGGACGTCATTCGCAAGGTTAAAGAGCCTCAAATTGTGACCATCGCGATCCGGGGATGCCGGGGACTCGGGAGTTCTAGAGCCCTAGTTACCTACCTTGTTATTCCCTCAACCGCCCAAAGTCGAGATACAAGCACCATCACAAAGTGTTCTGCAGCCCAGATGGAATTCTTTCTACACAGCAGAGGACAAGCCCTCACCAACCAACCAGAAACAGCGACCTGCATGCAGATGCACAGTAGCTGGGACATCATGACAGCTTTGGCAGCGACGCCCATCTTTCCTTGTTCCTACTTTGTCCAACGGCCTCGTGCGGAAAGCCGCAGCAAAAAAGCTTTCGGTGCTATCGATGAAACCGTCAGGTATGACAGAATCTCAAAAGGCAATTTTGATCTGTATATCGTACTCGTACACCTCTGCGGATCACGGCAGCATGGTTGGACATGTCACTGCATAAACGATCAATACTGCGATACTCCGCTGCTTAAAGGTGGGTCAGCATAAGACAGCGTTGGGAACCCAGTATGAGCTCTTGTGTTGTCAACAGGCCAAGACATGACAGGGTCGTACTGGTTACAAGGGTCAAGATCCACGATAGCGACATTGTGGACGACAAGAGAGAGGTGTCAGCATCTGTTCTACTTGATAGTGCTAACCATATGTTCCTTGATGTCCTTGTGACTTTTCATGTTGTGCTGTGTCTTCTTCGTTGGATAATTCTGTTTTCAAGTTTTCAATCAAGATTCATCAGAAATGGGTACTCAGAACATTGCACTCAGCCGGTCATTTGGCCACAAAGATGTGAGGTAATGAAGAAGATGTCAAAGGCTGTGCCTTGTAAAGACAGGTTTAGACTCTCAGTCTCACAATCCCAGAATGATTAGGAAAAGAATGTCGGGTAATTATCAGCAATTGAGCGCAACTCCGACCCCGCGCATGTGCTTGTGCTTGGCTTGGCTTCCGTCAATCAAGCATACAGCTCCGTCACTCTTCACATCAACCACAACATCTCTCACCACACGACGCCAAAATGGGAGACGCAAGGAAGACGTGGGGTGTGTAAAGACACACACACTTCTCAATCTACTGCAACCACTGACAGAGTCACAACAGAGCTGGACAACGCAGTCAACCTCACAGACGCCACGCGCGACCAACCCTACGCCTACTCGGTCGAACAGCAAAAAGACATCAACAACAAGAAGCCATGGCGCTCCGACCCAAACCACTTCAAGCACGTTCAGGTCTCCTCGGTCGCTCTGACCAAAATGGTCATGCACGCCCGCTCAGGCGGCAGCATTGAAGTCATGGGCCTGATGATCGGCTACGTCCTCCACGAAACCTTTGTCGTCACAGATGCCTTGCGCCTGCCCGTCGAGGGCACAGAAACCAGAGTCAATGCTCAAGACGAAGCAAACGAATACATGGTCAAATATCTCGATCGCTCGCGCCAAGCTGGTCAACTTGAGAATGCCGTGGGCTGGTATCACAGTCATCCTGGCTATGGCTGCTGGCTCAGCGGCATCGACGTCTCCACGCAATTTACCCAGCAAACCTTCTCTGATCCTTTCGTCGCTGTCGTCATCGACCCCGATCGCACAGTCAGCTCTGGCAAAGTCGAGATTGGCGCCTTCAGAACATATCCCGAGGGCCACATTCCCGCTGGCTCAGAGTCTGCCGGCGAAGGCATGGCTGCCGTTCCTCTGGCCAAAGCCGCAGACTTTGGCGCTCACGCAAACAAGTACTACTCACTCGAAGTCACGCACTTCAAGTCATCCCTCGACAACACGTTGCTGGAAGCTCTCTGGAACAAGTACTGGGTGCAAACTTTGTCATCATCGCCTCTGTCTACCAACCGCGAGTACGGCACCAAGCAGATCGAAGACCTGGCGGGCAAGATCAACCAAGTCACCCAGAATGCCAAACACAGGGGTTCCATGTCCGTACGTCCGGGCGCCAAGGGAGACGCTGCTATGGACAAGGTAGTCCTTGCCGCCGACAAGATTGCCAATGAGGAAAAGACTGGTTTGCTGGCTGCTCAGGTCAAGGAGAAGGTCTTTTCAGCTGCTCCACAGAGTGCCGGAGATGGCAATGGACTGGAGGTCAAGATGCAGGAGGCCATGGAAGAATAGAAGATGGAATTTTGCCGACGGCGACGATGGACACGACTTTGCATGGGTTTGCTGGAGTTTAGAGGGCTGAAGACATGCATTATCATGGCGTTTTGACACGGGCGAGGACGATCAGGTTTACGGACCGTAGAGAGCATAGTGGGAGATCGAAGTCTATACCAATACAGCCTTTTGAGATTTGTTTCGACCTGCTTGCGCATGTGTGTAAATTAGTCATCTATGAAGCCCCTTCTATCTGTATTGATCCCACCAAGACCTGCGAAAAGAAACTCCATCCCCGCTTTCATATATACATCCCCCCCCCTCTCCACCACCACATCTCATGCCACTCAAATCAAGCAGCAACAGCAGGTGCATCACCAGATGCCCTCACAACCTTGTCGATCGCCTTTGCCACCATCTTGACATTATCCCTGTTCAACCCCGAGATGCTCGCACGTCCAGAAGTAAGCAAATAAATATGCTCCTTCCTCAACGCCAACACCTGCTTCTCCGAAAGTCCAGTGTACGAAAACATACCATTCTGATCAACAATATGTTGCCAATTGCCCGGTGTCTTTAGCTCCTGCAACGCGCCAAACAGAGCTGCACGCATGGTCTTTATGCGTCCACTCATGATGAGCAAATCTTGCTCCCACTCTGCCTTGAGCTCTGCATTCTGGAGGATAAAGGCAACGATTCTGGCGCCGTACACTGGTGGGTTGGAGATTTCGGCGCGTTGCAGGTAGATCAGGTGGCTGAGTGCTTTGTCTCTGGCTTGCTCGTCCGCAGTCACAATGTGGAAGGCACCGACTCTTTGGCCGTAGAGTCCAAAGTTTTTGGAAAAGGATTGCGCGACGACGAGTTCCAGCGTTCCTCTGTCGACGAAATGGCGGACTGCCCAGGCATCCTCGTCGACGTCTCCGGATGCGAAGCCTTGGTATGCAGAGTCGAAGAAGGGGAACAGGTGTTTGCGTTCGCAAAGATCGGCGATGAGTTTCCATTGCTCCTTGGTGGGATCGATGCCCGTGGGATTGTGCGCGCATGCGTGGAGGAGAATTACGTCGCCTGGCTGCGCTTGTTCTTCCAACGTCTCCATCATGCCTGAGAAGTTTAGAGAGCAGGTTGCAGCATCGTAGTAAGGGTACATCTTTTGCTCGACAGCAGGGGCAGCAATGTCAAAGATGGCATGGTGGTTTCCCCAAGTAGGATCAGACACCCAAATACGCTTTGGTTGCAACGAGTCGTTGAGGAATCTCGCACCCAGATGCACAGCGCCGGTGCCAGAAATCGTTTGTAGGGATCCAATGCGAGAAGTCAATGCAGGAGAAGGGTTACCAAACAGCAAGTCGCGAGCAGACTCCACAAAAGCGTGTAAACCTTCCATGGGCAGGTATTCGTGATTAGTGGCTACGTCCTCGGCGATCATCTTCTCGACTTTGCGGACGGTGGGTAGGACCCAGGGTTTGCCTTGTTCGTCGCGGTAGACTCCAATGGTGAGGGAAGCCTTCTCCTCGGCTGGATCCTTTGCGTAGAGGGACATTAGGCCGAAGATGGGGTCTCCAGGCATGGTGTCCAGATGATTGAAGAGCGAAGTGCTCTTGGTGCGAACGGGGAGTTCTTCCCTTGTGTAGCCCATGGTTGCGTGTTGTTGAGATGTATAGTCCTTAAGAAATGTTGTATAGGGTTCCAGATGTGAAGAAAGGTATCAGATGTCGTAAGTTGCAATTGGGATATCAAAAAGTGAATGAGTAAAGTCGTCAGGAAGCGGAAGACGAAGCACACTTTGTAGCCAGGACTCGACACGGCTCGAGAAAATGACTCCTACTCTCTCCTTTCAATTCTCATATGAATCATGGATACCAAGACGCCCCGGCATCTTTTTTTCTCCTTCGCCGCTCCAAAATGCACCGGTCTCGCCGCATATATCCTGCACAACTCACGCATCGGGCAGGTCTTTGCGGGAATATACGCGCTCATGCAAATTCATGCAAGGGCCTCAGGGCTCAAAGCCGTTGTCGGAGAGCGGAGAACAGCGGGGAGTGCAGTGTTGAAGACACGGATACGGTCCGCTTCCGTGGACGAAGCGACATCAGGTGGTGAGATTGATAGATACCAAGCAAAAGATACGATATGGAAGATAAGTGTGCCAGTTATGACGATAGTGTGTCAAGGAAATGGAAGAGGGGAATCGAAAAATTTTGATTATGATCTCGTGCATGGATTACACATCAGAGGCAGTTACTCGAAAGGCAAATCATAGGAGCGCATCCGGTGCTGGAGTGAATAGTGTTACAGTATATATACAAAGAATGAGATCGCGTATCATCTCACATCTTGAGTCTTTTCGTACACTCCTCATGTCCAAGTACAGCCATGACTTGCGAGCTGCTAGGCCCAGGTCTGCCGAAGCATAGTTTCTCTCGCAAGTATCGGTGAAGTGACTTGCTCCACTCCTTTGATTTTTCTTTGTCCACCTGGCCATCTATTGTTGAGCGAGCTTGACATATGTCTCCTATCACTCTGGAATACTCGCTTATAGCAGTGTCCAGTTGTTTCTTGACGTGTGCATAGTCAGTCGATGTAGTCAGCGCAACGCTAGCAGTGTTGACTTGAGACATGATCTCTAGAGCTGCGTTGTGGAGGTCCGAGGTAGGAACTAAAGACTCGACTGAAGGTGCGACCGGTGGTAGATTTGTGAAGAAGTAAGCATTACGTTTGGTGTATGAAGCCGGGTTCTCGTATGTTTTCGAGTCGATGAAGAGGATATTCATAATGTGTGTTTTCAAATCCAGTCCCGATACTGCTTGTGGTTCGGAGTAAGCAGTCTTTGCAGCCGACTCGATCAGACCGACCAAAGTCTCAAAAGATGGATCCGATGTGGAAGACTGCATTGCGCGCTCGATCATGATCTTGGCATGGTTCTTTTGCAGATACCACAGCTTGTCGAATGAGACGATAGAGTTTCCTTTGGTGAACTTCAGATCGAATAGTTCAATCAACTTGTTTATCTCCAGGACATCGTCGCGAGTTGGGTTGCGCCATCCCAACAGGGCCAAGAAGTTGGCCAGACTCTCAGGTAAAATGCCATGCTTCGTCTTGAGGGCTCCGATATCAGTGTCGAAGTTACGCTTTGAAAGTTTTGCTTGATCCTTGTCAGTAAGCAGACCCACGTGAGCAAAAGCTGGGGGAGTCCATCCGAAAGCATTGTACAGAGCGGCGTGAAGAGGGGTTGAAGACATCCATTCGGTGCCGCGGATGACATGGGTGATCTTCATGTAGTGATCATCAATGACATTGGCGAGGTGGTATGTGGGAGTGCCGTCGCCTTTAAGAAGGATGACACCTTCTACGGCGGCTCTTTGTGGTAGCGTCTTTTTCGACTCGAGCGAGACTTTGCCGTAGACAAGATCAGACCAGCTGGGAGCCTTGTCAGGTTTACCGAAACGGACGGCGTGTTTCTCAGTACGTGCTCTTTCGGCCGACTCTTCCAAAGGAATACTAGCACAGTCGCTGTGGCAGCCACCGATGGCAGACCCGACTAGTGAGGCGTCCACATCGACAGGAGCCTGGGCGGCGGAGCTGCAGAAACATCGGAAGGCGGCTTTGGAGTCGATGAGTTCCTGGGCATGTTTCTGGTATAGTGGTGTCCTTTCAGACTGCTTGTAAGGACCGTATGGACCGCCGACTTGCGGACCTTCGTCCCATTGTATGCCGGCCCAATTCAAGTCTTCACACAGCCTTTGCTCTGCATCGGGAACCAGTCTTTTCTTCTTCCATCAGCGTTTGGTTGTTGTAGAGCAGTGCTTCGAGGCTCACCTGATCAGTGTCTTCTATTCTAAGCAGGAATTGGCCTCCAGTTCTTTTTGCAAGCAGATAGTTGAAGAGAGCGGTGCGTAACGATCCAAGATGGAGGTAGCCAGTGGGCGAGGGAGCAAAGCGAGTTCGTGCTGGGCCTGGGGGAAGTAGTTCACGGGGTGAATGACCTTTGGCGAGACGTGTAGCGGTTGTGGAGAAAGTCTTGACTGAAGCAGGAGTTATGGCAGCTGCTCTCGGGAGTGTCTTTGCGAATGCGCCGGAAGGGATAGAAAGGTGACGAGAAGCCGGAGTGCTTAGTCGATCAAGGTATGGTTTGCAGATGGAGGCTGACCTCTGCGACCGTCGTGGTAGCACATTGAGCAGCCGCGACATTCTTGGTGAATGACAAAGGGAAGGAGCTACGGGCATGCCTCGCTGCAAAGGTGTGAAACGATCGTCACCAAATGCACAACTATGCACAGTTTGTGCAGATGATGCGGCTCTCCGCAAAAAAAGACATGCGGGTGTGACGCGCATGAAACGTGCAAAGACATTATTCATTCTGCTTTCTACCCTCTCACTCTCACACGTCGTATCTTGATAGACGTCTTCTTTCTTATCCCTCTCCTACACATCTGACTATCCAGTCACACAACCGCAATCAGTAATCCTCCCCTCCGTACCCACCCACCACCAAAGAAACCCTTCTAACAACCCACCCAACAGTGTCGTCAGAAATCGACCTCTACGAAATCCTAGAAATCGACCGCTCAGCCTCAAAAACAGATGTGAAAAAAGCATACCACAAAGCCGCTCGCGTCCACCACCCGGACAAGGTCCCCGAATCCGAACGCGCTGCCGCAGACGACCGCTTCAAGGACATCCAACAAGCATACGAGATCCTCTCCGATGACCAGACCCGCGAAATGTACGATATGCATGGCATGGCTGCCTTTGAAAAGGGAGGTGCCGGGGGTGGTGCAGGTCCGGATCTTGATGATATCCTAGCACAGATGTTCGGGCAGGGTATGGGTGGAATGGGTGGTGGCTTTGAGGGTATGGGCGGTATGCCTGGTATGGGAGGTATGGGTGGCAGGGGACCGAGGAAGAGCAAGAATGAAGTGCAGGAGTACGAAGTCAGTTTGGAGGAACTCTACAAGGGCAAAACCACACGCTTCGCTTCCACCAAGAACGTCATCTGCGGAAACTGCGAAGGAAGTGGTGGTAAGGCGAATGCAAAGCCAAAGAAGTGCGGCACTTGCGACGGCAGAGGTATGTTTCCATTTTCTCTCCTCTCACAACATCTCATACTGACTTATTGCAAGGCTCCAAAATCGCCCTCCGCCCCGTCGGCCCCGGCATGGTAACCCAAGAACAAGTCCAATGCTCTACCTGCTCAGGCCGCGGCTCCTACTTCCCAGATGACAAGAAATGCAAAAAGTGCAAGGGCGCACGCACAACCTCCCAGCGCAAAATCCTCGAACTCTACATTCCACCAGGCTCGCGTCAAGGCGATAAAATCGTGCTTTCCGGCGAGGCAGATCAAGTCCCCGATCAAGAACCCGGAGACATCATTTTCGAGTTGGTCGAGACACCGCATGAGGTGTTCCACCGCGCGGGAGCAGACTTGCAGGCGGAACTGAAGGTCAGCTTGCAAGAGGCGCTGACAGGCTTCAACAGAGTGGTGTTGAAGCATTTGGATGGCAGAGGCATTTCGTTGCATGTCAAGCAACCTGCGGGCCGCATCCTTCGTCCCGGCGAGATCCTCAAGATCTCAGGAGAGGGTATGCCTATCAAGCGCTCAGATGCAAAGGGTGACTTGTACCTCATCGTAGACGTCATCTTCCCCGAAGACGGCTGGTTGAGGGACGAAGCCACCATTCAAAAGATCAGAGATGTGTTGCCCACGACTGGAGAAGAGAAGATCACGGCCGAGGAGGTGGACGAGGTTGATTGGGAGGTCGTCAAGGATATGGAGGACTTTGGCGCTGGATCTGGAGACCCGAGGGCTGCTGAGTGGGAAGACGATTCCGAGGAAGAGGGCGAGGCTGCTCAGTGCGCGCAGCAATAGATGACGATTGACGAATTGGGAGAGAAACAAGCCATGTGCTCTGACGAAGAAGAAAAAGTCATAGACAGTTGGGATTATTTCTGGCGTACATACGGTTTGGAGGCTGTGATGCCTGTCTTTTCTAGACCAAGAATATATTGGAACCGCTTTGCTCAACAAGCGACCACTGCACCTCTGCTGTCCTCGCGTTCATAATAACCAGTGTTGTCATGATCAAACATCTGTCAATTCACTTCATGCATGGTTCTATCATGATGAGAGAATACCTGAGCCACCACTACTACCATAGCTAGTGCATATATGCCTCCCATCCCAACTCCCCGTCAATAACCACTGGATCTCGGTTGTACGGTGGATGCGGCGTGGTCCAGTGGTTCTTTTTTGCTCGCTGGTCGTGTTCAATCCGTCTTCTCGCCGTACAATTTCGCCCTCGAAGTCTGCACGTTGAAACAAGGTGATAGTCATTTTACACACAGAATGACAAAGGTTGTTCATTGAGAACGGATGTCAGGATTGTCCTTCGCAACTTTTTTGAAATCTCTGGTACTGGTGTACCAGATTTGGAAGTGGTAGATGTGATTGATCAGGTGGTATATATACACCACCACAAGAAGTGTATTCGTCTGGTCCCAGTCTGTGCCGCTTCTGCCTCGGGACTCTCGGTCGTGCGGTGGGGGCGGCGCAGATTGGGGTCAGCTTTTTGTCTCTTTTGGTGGTGGATCCATGTTCAATCCGCCCGCTCGCTGTCTTATTTCGCCCTACATTTATGATTTGTCCACGACAGCCTGGATGGAAGTGTGGTGACTTCGAACGATTCCCAGCATGCGTACAATTCTTGAAGCCTGGCGAGGTATACAAGTACTCACTCCCACCCACTCTCACGATTCGTCCTCTCAACTTCCGACCTCATCCTCTCCATCCATCTCCGCACCAGCTCTGCATTGTCACCCTTCAACTTTTCTTTCTCTCTGTCCACAGCGTTCAACTGTATCGTCAGCGCCACAACCTCATCCTGCACGTTCTCGGCAAGTTTCTTCTTTTCTCTGAGCTCTTCATCGCGGTCTTTGAGTTTGCGCTCGAGGAAGGCGAGTTGACGGTGTACGGAGGTGAGTTGTTGGGTTAAGGTGGCGTTGGAGGTGGTGAGAGAGGCACTTGTGGTTTGAGATGCGAGGAGTTGGGTGCTGAGGGCTGAGCGGGCGGCTTGGGTGGTGCTCAGATCTTGACGCAGACGGTTGATCTCATCATTACTGGCTTGGTCTGAAGAGATGGCGGGAGTGGTTCCAGGGATTGCAGAAGCTGGAGCGGTGCTCTTACGGTCGGCGAGACGGGTGTCTGAGTATTGTTAGTGATCAGGTCGATGTGAGAAGAGATGGTTGGGAGTCAAGACCGTACAGGCATCGATACATGATTTGTGTGTAAATTCGCGTCTATCGCGGACATCCAGAGCCGCGAGGTAGAGCGTGCTCCAGTCGGCCATTTCACATTGTGGTGTCTGTACTTGCAAGGTTGCTGGATGCGAGAGCTGGGGACGAAGTTGGACATGACAAGCTTCTGGCATGTGACAGTGCCAAGCCTTTGACATCAACCCTCCTTCCCTTCTTCAGTTCTACTCGTCTTATCAGTATACCCATCTCTTATATGAGTGTAAAGCACACAGCTGCTATGTTTCTGCTTTCTGCCGAGAGCGGACTCCGATCTCCACCAAGCTCCAATAATGCTTCCTTCCATGTTTGCCAGTGCTCACACATAGTACAAGTTACAGCCTGCTGCAATCCGTTTCTCGCACCGAGCACCGGCCTTGTATAGCTTCTAGTCTCCTCTAGCGGCAGACTCTGCCGAAGTTGTGTACATGCACAGTCGAGCCATGCGTGCACCTCGAACATCAACACATCAAGTCCTGCTCGTCTCGAACATACCAAGTTGATCACCTCGTATCCCCAGTCTGCAGTGACACCACCCAAGCCACGAAGAAACATCTCAGCCTCGATTCTCCCAACGGTCTTGAAGTGATGACATAGCTCGGCTCTCCTGTCATCAGTCCAGCTCTGCTTCTCCCATGGATCTGGACCGTGGAGGTGTAGGCGGTTGAGGTCACTCCACACAACGCCAAAGTCAGCCAGCTGAGACCAATCGATGCATGCGTCTGAGGGCAACGACTGCATGGCAGCAAGAAGTTCGAGTATCTTTTGGCGATTGTCTGTCAGCTCCACTAGTGCATCAGATAATAAGCTCCAGAGTCGGTACAGCTCAGAGGCAGGGTCTGCTTCTCCGAGGACGAATGATACAATTCTCTCTGCAGCTTCTTGTACAGTCAGATCGTTAGAGAGATAATCGTCCAGAGCTTTGGCCTCTTCGCGGTGGCAGCCATCGCCCGCCGCTAGAGCTCGATCATCCACTGCGATTTGTGAGTTGATCCAGTACGTTCGAGATGACATGTCGCTGGGCAAGTATAGGTCGTGGTGCAAATTGAAGACTTGTGTAATATGACGGCTGTTGGAAGGATCCACCATGTTTGCTGCATGATTACATCACAGGTAAGGATGACTCGTGCTTATGGCACATGTGAAACAGACCGCGGAATCCAGAATTGGCTGGATATTGATTTTGCGACCCTTCAATACACAAATTTTACATGCGGCAAGCAGTTTGTATATTTGATCAGACTACAGAAAGTCTTTGTGTGCTGATGTCTGTATAGATACAGGCCGACCCCTCAAAGTTCTCACAGTCTGGTACCTCCCAAGTACCAATTCCTCCACTCCATCCTGATACGTCCTGATTGAGCGAAGAATGGTAGGTCTTGCAGGAGTGATTCCTCGCTTCTGCCAATCTCCTTGCCTGCTTCACATGCTTGACAGACGCTTTCTTCAAAGCATACTACTTCCACAGAAAGATCAGCCAGAGCTTCCTACGTGTAGGACTAGGATGTGATTTGCCTGTACAGCTCAACTCGTGGCGGCCTTGGTTTCGGCGCGTGAGGATAGAATAGGAGTCTCACGTCTTTCGACTGTGAACAGTGGTATTGTTCCTGAACCGAGCCAACGGTAAAAAAGCCAGCCCACTCCCACGATAGATAGAAGATGAAGTGAGACCAAAACGAGGAAGGTAGGGAATGGATAGGTCTCTAGGCAATAAGTCGCAGCATCAAGGAGATTGTTGAGGTACGTAAGGGTCCATGTAGTAATATTGTCATGCATGTTTGCTCGGTTCAGATAGTTCGTGTGTTTTCGAGAGGACTGGCATACCAGGCTCTGCTTATATACCTTGCAAGTAGAGACGATGACAAAGTGTTGAATGTCCCTAGTATGGAACAGTAGACGTTGCGTGATGGCGTTGATAAGCTTTTTGCTTGATGCGATCTAAGCTTTGGGCCTGCATACTTCCAGATGTCTCAACTGGACCCTCAATATCTGTCACGTTCTATGGAAATAAGACCGTCGACGGGGCCGGAGGCATATTGCCGAGATGATCTTCTCTGCCTACGACAGAGATTCCATAAGCCCTAGAGCGATACGGACGTAAAGGGCAGACTCGTGAGAACATGATCCCAACTTCTGTCTGTGCGGCATGAGTGTAGCTGGAGACGCCACACAAGCAACCTGAAACTTGATCAGGTCGGCGTCACAGTCTTCGCCCTTGGTATACCTACCTAGTTTCATACCAACCCTTGTGCGCCAGGGCCTGGAGCCAAGGTAAGGATCATGTCAGCTCGTGCTCTCCCTATGGCTTCGCATCCATGACACAACAGAAAACGTCTTGAGCAAGTCATATCTGAGAGAACACAAGGAACATCTATACAATCGAGGATAAATTTGAACTTCTCAGTCACAAGTCAGACGTTGAGACTCACCCTCCCATCACTGCAACCGTTGTACACGATGTCCGCGTTATCTCTGGACACGAGATCATGCCGCAACAGCTCGAAATCTAGCTGCAACAAGCCTCATGCTACTAGCACTTGGGAAACCATGCTGTACAGCTCAAACTCTTGCGGACAGGTCTCGAGGTGTTGGTCTCATCCGTTGGACATGTCATGGAGGATCTGGGCTCCTTGCAATACGAGCTGGAAGATGTGGTGAGCAGATCACAAGGCTTCCCTCGTAGTTTCGCAAATTCTGCTCACTGCAATATCTCTGACAAACTGCACGAAAAGGGATGATGATAGGAGGCCGAAGCTGGGAGAGGGACAACCTGGCTTGGCTTATAGGTCCACTGCGCGTCACTCGATAGACGATTTGCCAACTTTGTCTTGGAGTCATCGTGTTGCATTCACTTTTTGAAGGTCTACTGCGCACAAACAAACTTCCTATCACTTTGTTCTGCGCCCTTTCAGCCTCGCACTTTCTCGAAGCATAACCTCTTGGCTCCGTCTCGCCTAGACCGTTAAGCAACCTTCCAACCTCTCCATCTTCATTCCCTCTTTCTCAACCGCACAAGCTTTCTCTGCGCTGACCGTTCACTGACACCCTGACCTCACCGGCTCAAGACACGGCGCCCGCTGCTCCAGTGTTTCCTCAATCATCATCGCGAGCTGAAGAAACTCGTCTGCGCATCTTCAGATCATTGTCTTCATCACTTCACTGGCACCGCCGCGAACACTTTCTCGCAGCCAACATACATTGCGTCATCCGTCTCCTATCTAAACATGTAGACCATCCTTGATCATCTTATGGTTGACAAAGTGCTAACACAGCTTCTCTTCCAGAATGTCAACCACCGCAAAGCCATCGCCCGATCTGCTCTCCATGCCCAATGAAGTTCTTGCCAACATATGCACTTACGCCACTGATGGTGATGATCTCAGAAGTCAATGGCGTGAAGGAAAGAGCTGGCTCAAGGCTGTCAGGCTCACTTGCAGACAACTTTATAATTCAGCTACGACTGAGTTCGCCGACAGGTTCCTGACAACTCTATATGTCATGGGAGCTCGTGTCAGCCTGGAAACACTACTCAAGATCTGCGAACATCCATTGATTGGTCCTCGGATTCGAAACATCTCATTCTACGGTTGCCGACTAAATCGAGATATGCTATCATCCTTGAGAAGAGGAGTAGATTCCAGCTTTCGTGGAGGAGACCTACGAGACATCCGCGAGGCTAGAGCCAGACTGCAGGCATTCCTGGACTTTCTGGAGGAGGAAGTGGAGCTAGAACAACGCGCGGGTATCTGGTTCCTGCTCGTAAAAGCACTCAGAGCTATCCGAGGATATGGAAATCCAGTCAGTCTGGCTGTATTCAATTACCCAGACACAGATCCACAGATGCTTGGTTACCAAGAAGTTCTCGAGCGAGTCTCAGAGGACCACCGCGGAAGTGGAATCGAGGACGTACTCACTCGCGACGGCATCAGATCTTCGTTTGACACTCTCTTCTCCGCGGCAGCCCGAAGTCAATGCCGCGTGGAGGGACTCTCGCTAGATGTTCGCCACTCATGGTGCGAGACCGACTTCCCGCAGAGGAGGATGGACAACGGTTTCTGCGCCCACAGCAGTCAAGTTTTCCTCAACTTGAAGGCCTTGGATTTTACGGTAACTGCGGACCTCTTCATAAACGACCTTGATGGATTGTTGAGAAGCTTTCTCTCCCTCAGCAAAAACTTGGAGAGTTTATACCTCGCCTGCGATTGCGACCTTGAGGATAAGAGCACATCGTTTGGCAGAGCTATCGAGTCATTCCAGTCGGACTGTCTGCGTCATGCCGATATTGGATGTGGAATTTGCTCCCAAGCCGATCTTGTGTCATTCCTAGGCAGGCATAAGTCTACCTTGAGAGATCTTCGTCTTTCATTTGTGACCCTGGAAGGCTCGTGGGAGGAGATTATGCTTTGGATCTGGGATCAATGTTCTCTCAAGTACTTGAACATTCTGCAGCTTTACGCATATGACAAGGACGGACATGAAGTATTGTGGGCTGATAGAGAGGGGTTTTCCGATGTTCTCTCTCAACTGAACAAATTGCTAGACGACAAGCGGGGGAAGCAGACAGAACTTGAGTGAGGAGACTGATGTGAGTGGAAGAAGGGCTTGGTCAAATTGGTTGCACAGTATAGCGAGGAAGCTGCAACGGGATCTAGGAAGTCTGAAGAAAGATGGTCCAGAGCAAAGCAGAGCAGGAGCGGCTGGAGGCGATGGTTGTAAGTTAGTCAAAGTGTAGATCAAGCAAGTCAAGGAAGTCGCTCAAGAATATCCGTTGACCTCTTACGCCGTGTTTTCAACCAACCTTCACTTGTTCATCTCGCATCTCTGCGACGCGCCCCATTAAGCCTCGCCCGTTCCGCTTTGAAAGGGACTCAACTCGATCGCCACGCTACTCTTTGAGCACGCGCAACACTTCCTCGTGGTCACTGCTCGGTCTTTGAGCCTTCGTTTGCACCGCGTTTGTCACAACTGAAATTCATGCAATCGACAAAGCTCGTTGTGATTATTTCACAAGCGTTCAGAGATATCAAGCGCACATCAGAGGTGCAAACTTCCTCTAGTCCTTACGCATCACTGCCTCAAAACCCTTCTTCCACTAGTGCGGCAAGCGTTCGATTACTTGCTGCAGATCCTACCAACTCACCTAGTAGGAAAGCTCAACCTCTACATCATCTGCACGCACCGACATGTAAGATCTTACATTAACTTTGGCATTGACTCCTGCTGACAAGCTTCCAGCATGTCGACCGGATCTGAACCCCACGCCGCTTTGCTTTCTCTACCGAACGAGATCCTTACCAATATCTGTGCCCATTCTGTTGACACGAAACATTCCATGCGCGGCAGAAATTGGCTGCAAGCAGTCCGCCTCACTTGCAAGCAGCTCTACGCTCCAGCCACCGAGGAGCTTGCGAAGCGGTTCTTCAAAAGCCCTGCCGTCATGGCGTCTCGAAGAAGCCTACAAAGGCTAGCTGCATTGTGCAAGCATGATCTGATCGGACCATACATTCGGGAGATCATCTTTTATCCTTGTCGGTTGGACACGAAGTTTTTCGGAGAGATTCAGCATGAACTCGGAAGGGGAACAATGACCAGAGACCTAGTGGTGGTTGCCAAGGTCAAAAAGCATATCCAATGGTACTTGAGAAGACTTGAGGATGAGATACGTTTGAGAGATTCGGGCGATGCTAAGGCGTTCCTTGAGCGAGCCTTTAGCGCCCTTCGAGCATATCGAAAGCCCATCAAGCTAATTGCGACATTAAGAATGTCGCTCGATGTCATGTCTACTCACCAAGAATGGGGAGACAGCCAACCTGGAATGGAAGAGTTGCGATCGTTCTTGGTGACTGCGTTTGCTCCTGGTGGTGGCTTGGAATTCATCTCAACAATATTCGAAGCTGCCGTCGCAGCTGACAACCAGATACACACCCTGGGAACCAAGATGGACACTCCGAGATACTCTCTTAGGCGTATCAGGTCATCCGAAGATACATCCCTATCCTGGCAGAGTGCTCAGGCCGTCGCCCGGTTGGAAAGGCTTCAAGTTGACCTCGGAGGCTCCTCCCCAGAGGGGACAATTGAGAATATCCTAGTGGCAATCGTTTTTAACGCCAAGGAGCTCAAAAGGGTTGTCTTCTTTTCCAGTCCTCGGTACGTCAAAAGATCCTGGAGCTCAGCTTGTTACATGTTCCGCCTGGTCAGGGTACTAGAGTCACGCGCGCTTCGTCAAATATGGTTGAGAGAGGTCGTGATACTCCCCAAGCACCTTTCCACCATGCTCAGGAAGCACAAAAACACTCTGGAAGAACTGACAATCTTCGATGTTCTCCTGCTCGGATCCTGGAATGAAGTTCTCACCAGAATCAGGACGATCTCCGTTTGAACAGCCTCGTTATGGTCAATCTCTTTGCTGCTAACGAGCATGAATTCAGAAGTGTGCAGGGTAATCCGAGGATCAACAAGTTACTCGAATGGGGTATCGAGATGAGAGGGAATGACAAGGTGACAGCTGGCATTGATGAAGTTCTCAGCCAATTGAATAGACAAAGAACAGATCCTGACTACAAACCGAGCTGGAGAAGTGCAAGCGATATGGGTCACTTGGCGTGTCCTGAGGATTGAGAAGAAGAAGAATAGTACATAGTCAAGAAAGAAGATGCAGAAAGGAGGTGGATAGCATCAAAATCTGTACGACATTCGCGAGAAAGAGCAGATGTCAAGTTGCCTGCATTGTTGGATCTTTTCCAAAAGCACGGATAGACACACTTCACACTCAGCCTTCCTAAAGCAACTTCAAGATGTTTATTAACAGTATCGTACTGGTCAAAAAGTAAACAGACTGTATCCCACACATATAATATCCAAAGCCAAGAGGGTGGACGCTTCTTCTCCGAACAGAGGGTGACGTTTTAGACATAACCTACTACCAGATGTTTGCGACTACATTCTTGAGTTGGAAACCTGTGCATGCTCTTCATGCTGGATAGATACACGTCGTTGGGGAAGTGACTCGAGGTTTCCACCCATATCTGGTAGGTTTTGGTTGCTCAGCAGTCGTATCTCTTAATGTACAGGTGATGGGAACTTCTGTTTTCGGCCTTCTCATGTAAGGAATTCTGTCACTCTTACTACACTCTCACTACACTTTCACGACGACACACAAGTGCAATTAGAAGCTATCACAATGCAGTGCTTTTCCAGATCGTAGCAACATTCACAGAGAATCCATGAGATATCGACTCTCTTTGGAAACTCTGTATCTCCTAAAGGGTTGTGCATCTCTATGAGTCAGAGGAAAGTGAGGTTCCAGCAAAGTCAGGGATGCACTGAGTTCTCGAGTGAGCGTCAGGCGACCAAGTTGATTCGACACTCACTATATTCTGAGAACTTCACCTTTGGCCTTGGAGTTCCTTCCTGTCCAGCACATATATCGGCCACTGATCGACTATAAAGCTGGCCTCTTTCTACCACAGCTCATCTCGACTACTACATCCCACAACATATCAGCTTCAGTCATCTGACATTGACGTCCACTTGTTCCTTCATACAAGACGTCTCTACCGAATTGAAGACAGTCCAACTATCAAATCTCTAACAAATCATCTTGTGTATGTCCGATTTCATAAAGCGCAGAATCTTCTTAGACTGACATTGCCTCCACAGAACCAACTCAACCATGACATCCAATGCCGGCCTTCTGGCTTGCTCTAACGAGGTGCTCACTATGATCTTCAGTGATCCGGGTTTGCGCAGAAGGGATCTCAAATCTTTGCGGCGTACTTCTAAGGAGCTCTGTCCAGCCGCGACGAGAGAGTTCGCCATGCGTTATGTCGCCGACCCAGTTTTTGCACTTTCTCAGCACGGCTTACAGTCCCTGGTCGACATCTGCAAACATCCAATCTTTGGCCCGCAGATACGCTCTCTCGGCTTCCTGGCTACCACATTGCATATCAAAGGCCTCGAGGAACGTTTGACCGGAGTGGAACACGGCTATAAGCGTTGCAAAGCAGACGATACGTACAGCATGATCAGCAGACTTGCTGAGATCACAAATTATGCAAGAACATGCAAGAAACAGCTTCAGCTAAAGGTCTCTGGAGATACAAAATACCTTCTTGTCAAGGCCTTCGAAGCAATCGACCATCCAATCTCGATCGCGATTAACAACGATCCCGAGTATGTGGGAATGAACAGGATCATAGGTCTACCATCCGCAGTTTATCGCTACGATTCATCGGGCAAGCGTTACACATCACCATCCGACACCGATTCAATGATGAGAAGCCTGTTCACCTCCATAGAGAATACCATCGTTGAGTTGAAGCCCAGGAAAAGTATATCTCTAGCTGGTCTGAAGATCAATATCAGGCGTCGTTTTCAAGTCGCAGCTTCTCCGGACTCCGATTGCATCGAGATACAACCACTCGACAGTGTATACTCCAATCTCACGACCCTCCATCTCGACTTGAATTTGGAAGCTTTACGGTGCAAAGTATCCTTCAAATCTTGGGAAGACCTGTTCAAAGTAGCTGTGAAGCTGCAAGAACTGAGATTCTCGACCACCTGCACAGGCGTAAGATTCGTTGGTATCAGCACTTTGCAGCGTGTCACCAAGATCTTCGACATCAATGCTGCCTTCAAGCTCAAGGTGCTTGTCCTGGAAAATATGCCATGTACATCCGAGTGTCTTCTGCAGCTCTTGGAAAGACACAAGCAGACACTGGCGAGCCTCAAGTTCTCTAGGGTCACACTGGTTGGAAGCTGGAAACCTTGCCTATCATGGGTGCGCAAGAACCTCAATCTTTCTTCCTTCCATTCTTTTCATCCGGGACTTGCTTTTTGCCTCGGCTTCTAGCACCATCTTCCATCGTCTTCCAAACGGTAGACGCTCTGGATCTTTGATCATCCTAGACCGGATACCGGACTCTTCCAGGACTCCTGGTTACTGTCTGGGGCGGAGCCACACTTCTATCGCAGTCGCCCTCATCTTTCGCCAATTCTGCCACAACCAACTCTGGAATTCTGCACCAACCTCTCCACCATGTGAGTTGCCCGTCATTCATACTTCCCTCAGCGATTACTGATATATCTCCTCTGCCAGGAAGCGACAGATCGACAGGGAAGAAATGACATCGATTCTACCCCCAGATCTGGACCAGCCATGGTCTCCGGGAGACCTTCAGCCGTAAGTCCTCCGCCGTGCCTTCTTCTTTTTCTCCACAGAGGCTAACCTCCTCTCCTTTCCAGCGAGCCCCCGAAGTCAATCTCAAGCATGAGCACAGTCGACAACACACGTAACCGATCGCTACCTGGAGAGAGTCTGCCGTAAGTCATGAGACAAACTTCCTTCCTCGTGATTGATACTGACCTGGTCTTCTGTGCCAGCGCAATTCCAAACTTAGACCTTCCCATGACCACCTCCGAAGGCCTGCGTTCGCTCTCACTGCCCAATGAGGCTTTGGCTATGATATGCGCCGACAATATTTTATCAGCAAAAGATCTGGCGGCTATGCGACTCACCAACAAGGAGCTTCACGTCATTGCTACAAAGGAGTTCGCTCAACGATATTTCCGGGATCCCTTCGTCGTGATGTTGAAAGGCAGCCTGGAAACACTGGTGGAGATCTGTGAACATCCTGTCTTTGGACCACATGTTCGCAAGATTCAGCTGCTCAACAACTTCATCAATCCGAGTGTTATCGAAACTTGCGTGGAGGAGATGGAAGACGCATACCAGGCAAAAGACATCCCAAAGCTGGTATCAGAAACAAGACGACTGCAGCGATGCACAAGTATCATCGCTGACCAGTATGGTCTACTCCAATCAGGCGCTGGACTCGAGTTGCTGAGAAATGTGTTTCGGATCCTGAAAGGATCAGGAAAATCAGTCGCAGTTGCTTCGCAGACGTTCAAAAGTTCTTGCCCACCGATAGGCTGGCGAAACATAACCAAAGCCTGCTGCAACGACCAGATCGACGGGATGCACAAAACGATACTGGGCGAGCCCGAAGTAATGTCAACAATCAAAGGTCTGCTCGAATCGGCACAGACGAGCGCATGTCCCATATCAGAGCTTGAGATTGATGTAGCATGCTTCAGCTACGATACCAGCGAACAACTTGCCAGTCATGATATCGATAGTTCGCTTCTGCTCGGCTTGCAGAACTTCAGTTTCCACTTTCATTGGGTGAGTAGAGATGTATACAATGATCCGCTCGCGTGTCGGTATCTCGACTCTCTTCTCAAAAGACTGCCGAGGGATCTCAAGATTCTGGCGGTGTCTTCGGACTTGGAACTTCCGGAGACTGACGATGAGGGTAGACCAGGCTACGTGCCACTGTCTGCGGGACCGCGTCGTGATCTATTCAAAAGCATCCGACCCACTGCCATTGAGGTCATACATCTGGGCAAGATGCTTTTGTACCAGAAAGACCTGTTGAGATTCCTAGACGCTCATCAGAAGTCTTTGAAGAGCTTGACTCTCGATGGCATACACCTTGTTGGAGAGTGGGACCAAGTTCTGCGTCACGTCGCTAAGAACTTTTCCCTCGAGTGCCTCAAAATCAGCAAAGCACAAAAAGCCATTGAATATCGTCACGTCCCGTACAATGATCTTTCGGTTAAGATTGAGTCTTGGTATTCGGAGAGCAGCGAGTTTAGGAAGAAAGAGGAGATGCATCAGGAGATGAACATGCTCATTGAGTTACAGGAGGCCGAGAGACGGGAAAAGGAGGCTGCAAAAGAAGCCGCAAAGGAAGCCGCAAAGCAAGCACGGACACGGCCTGGAGCGATACGGAGGACTCTAGTTCCAGCACGTCGCTCGAGGCGTTCTGGTAGGAGATAGCTGTGAGGGGACCAGAAGAAAGGGAAAAGGAGAAATGGGTGATGAAACCAGGCACGTAGTAGTGCTTAGGATGTCGTTAGCAGTCCGCATTGTTCCGGCGAAAAGTAGACAGCTCAATCCAGATGGTGTGAAACAGTATATCGACTGGGACTTCTCCAAACTCTGAAATTGTGTATCGTCTTCGACAATACTTACCTGCCGCAGGTACCTCATAAATGAGGTCAGCCGCCAAGTCAACGAGGCTTGAAAAGAGACATGACTCTCACAAATCACCAAGAGACCAAGACCTGCACGTTTGCAAGCCGCGGCGCCCGCACTTGCCCGCAAGCAACGCCTCCGTGAGTCTTGCCTAAATGTCAAGAGTTGGGCCACCAAAGCTTGCCAAAACCACATCTGCAATTCGTCGTTCGCTCTCTGAGACGCAATTTGAGACTGATTTTGTGATGTGATCTTTTCGGAAAATGTATGGAGCAACTGCCGCAGAGAACAGGAGGTGGAAATAAACTTTCTAGCCACTTATTGCTGCGAGGCTCATGTGATGCGGAGGTTGCTACATGTGGTGATGTGGTGATCGGTGTTCTCGCCGTCGGCCAGCCTCCGTACCCCACACCGGGGTTGGTCGGGGGGTTGTGCGGTGGCTGTTTTGGTTTCGTTCGTTTCGTTCGTTGTAAAGTCTGCTTGGCTGACTTGTGTGACTTTCATGTCGGGGTTTCGTGCTTTGATTGGAAGTGAAAGCGAGACCTTCGACATGTGAATGTGAGCATTCTTGCGATTCGCCTGGTGGTTGTCGGCTGACTTGCAAGAGCCGGCCGGGCCAGAATGCCTAAAGACGTATCAAAGGCACCGAAGATACATCGAAATGATTCGTGAAAGTCCAGGTCGACAATCCACCCCCCTCTTCCGAAGAGCAAGGAACACGATCGGAACGATACGCGCATGCCACGCTAGTTCCTCCTCGTGCACCCCGCGACACTAACCCCAGATGCGGGGATCCTGCAACGGTTGTTAGTGTCTTGGTCGAGATCTGGGCAGCGCCATGGCCACGTTGAGGATGCATATATAACCGCTGAGGGATGCATGCAGTTCCTTCACTGTTTGTCGCTGAGGATCAGTTGGTTGACTTCTCTTTACACCACTCTCTTTCGCCGGCTATGGCGACACGTACTCAACAAAACATCTTGGAAGAGAAGGCTTACAGCAAGCATGAGGAGTTTCTGGATGATGTGCCCAACGAGGCCAACATCTTGACTCCTGAGGAGCTGGAGGTCGAGAAGAAGTTGCGTCGAAAGATTGATCTTCTGATCATGCCTCTGGTTGTTTTGGTTTACTTGATGAACTATATCGATCGGTAAGGCAGTCGTTCTCCATTTTATTCGTTTCGCAGGGGACTGACAGTGGAACAGCAACAACTATGCAGCCGCTCGTCTGCAAGGTCTTGAAGCCGATCTTGGACTCAAAGGCGACCAGTACCAGATTGGTCTCTCGCTCTTCTTTGTATCCTACATTCTTGCTCAGTTGCCGAGTAACCTCGCCCTCAACTACTGTGGACGCCCCTCTTGGTACCTCGGGTTCTTCATCATCGCCTGGGGTCTGGTGTCGACAGTGACCAGTCAAGTCCAGAACTTCGCTGGCATTCTCGTGTGTCGCGTGGTACTTGGCTTCACCGAAGCACCTTTCTTTCCGGGGTAGGTTCTTTTTGGGTCAAATTGTGTTCTCCAAGCAAACCTAACGATAATCAGTATTCTCTTCTACCTCTCGAAGTGGTACACCAAGAAGGAGCTGAACCTGAGAATGTCCCTGTTCTATGCTGGTTCGTTGCTCAGTGGTGCATTCGGTAGTTTGATCGCCGCCGGTATTCTGAGAGGTCTCAACGGTCACAACGGAATGGGTGCATGGCAGTGGTAAGTGACTCGAGCTGGCAGCGAAACTCCGGAACTGACCCCACAATTAGGCTGTACATCATCGAAGGTGTGATCACCGTTGGCGTTGGCATCATCGTCGTGCTGTTTTTGCCCGACTTCCCCGAGACCTGGAAGGCCCTGACCCCCGAGATGAGACACGTCGCCATCAAGCGCCTTTCTCTCGATGCCGCGCAGGCCGATCAGGATGAAGAGGGTGGCATGTCGCAGCTCAAAGGAATGAAGATGGCATTCGCGGATCCCAAGACATACCTCCTGGCTTTCATGTATTTCTGCATCACTGGCGCTGCTGGTTTCCAGAACTTCTTTCCTACGCTCACAAGATCCTTGGGATACGGCCCCTTTATCTCTCTGTTGCTGGTTGCACCTCCATACATCTTCATGGTGTTCTGGTCGCTATTCCATTCCTGGATGTCTGATAAGAGGTCGAACAGATTCTGGTTCTTCATCTACCCGATTCCATTGGCAATCATCGGCATGGTCATTTTCATGACCACCAAGAGCTTCGGCCCCCGCTACTTTTCCTTCTTCTTGATGATGTTTGTCTTCACCATCAATGGAACGCAATTCGCCTGGATTTCGAGCTCAATCCCCAGACCACCTGCCAAGCGCGCTGCTGCTCTGGCCATTATGAACGCACTCGGAAACTCAACCTCCATCTGGACCTCGTTTACTTACCGTCCTGGTGACAAGCCTTACTACCGCCCTGGTCTTGGTATCGCGGCTGGTCTGTTGGTCGGCGCCTTTTTCCTCGCCAACATTCTGCGCTGGTACTTGCAAAGACAGAATAAGGCACTCGAGGAGCTGGAGAACGAAGGCTCGAACCTATCGCCAGAGCGCCTGAGAGCGTTGATGAAGAGAGCCGAAGTGACGGACTTGTCGATGATGCAGAAGGGCTTCCGTTATCTAGTTTGAGAAAGTGCGATGTTTGACGACCATAATGAGATACACGCGATCAACATATCATTATCTTGAGACCATGAGCGTCTGAGTGTCCAACGAGCTGTGATGATGATACCAATGTTGAGCACCAGCGATGGTCAATTTCGATTTGCGAAGGAGCTTTCAGCAAAGCAGGAGCCATCGCGGGTCGGGTGAAGATAAGCCGAAGAAGCCGAAGATACCCCGCAGCGTATCCTTCCTTCCAATCAGTCTGGATGTTCTCTCGACCATACTAAGATGTGATTTACTTTCCCCTTGCCAGCATCATGGCCAAGATCAAGGTCTCACGGCCGTTGATCGAACACCATAATTATGGAGATGCCGATGCGAACTTGCCTATCTGTACCGGACATCGCCAACCTCGACTCTCTTGGAGCTTTGAAGCCACAGATGGCACACTGAGAGGCTGGCATCAGACTCACTATACCATCAAGCTATCTGCGTGGGGTCAGCCGCATCCAGATATATACATTGTGGGCTCTGAGTCGGTGCTGGTCCCTTGGCCTGGAAAGCCTCTGTCCTTAGACAGCAGCTGCAGAGTCAAAGTTCGTGTCGATGGTGAAGATGTGCATGGTGATCTTGTAAGCTCACTTTGGTCTGAAGAGACTACTGTGGAATTCGTGCCGCCACAAGACCAACTTACTGCAAACTTCATTGGTTCAGCTCAACCCCAGCCTGACGGCCCACTCCGACCTCTTAGATTCCGCAAATTTTTCAACGTGCCCGATTACGACGGTCTTGCAGACAAGGCAAAGTTGTACGTCACTGCATATGGCGTATATCAAGTCTCTATCAATGGCGAACGGATTGGCAATGATCAGATGGCGCCTGGCTGGACAAGCTATACCCATCGTCACCTTTATCAAACCCATGATGTCCGGGAGCATCTAAGGCCAGGGACAAACGTCATCGGCATTGAGGTGGCTGAAGGCTGGTATGCTGGTCGACTGGGTTGGGCTGGACAACGTCAGTTCTATGGCAAAGCCCTGGGAGTATTCGCTGAACTGCAAGTGGTCGCGTCAGAGACAGAAGGTGCAATTATGATCACAACGGATGACACTTGGGAATGTGGATATGGCCCACTGATGATCAGTGACATATATGATGGCGAAGTGTATGCCCAAGAGAATGAACAGGTCGGCTGGAATGACATTTCCAGGTCTGACCAGTCAGGCCAGTGGATGCCAACGAAAGTGCTCCCACCCACTGGAGCTAAACTGCTCCCATCCGAGGTTCCCCCTGTCAAGGTGACTGAATATATCAAGCCTGTGCGGATTTTCGAGAGCAAATCTGGCAAGACCATCATCGATTTTGGACAGAACATGGTTGGCAAGCTACTTGTCAAGCAGCTTCGAAAGCCACTTGGTCAAGAGATCGTATTCCGTCACGCCGAAGTGATCGAAGACGATGAACTCGGGACACGCCCTCTACGAAGCGCTGAAGCCAAAGACACCATCCTCTCACACGGACAAGTGATCGAGACCTGGTCCCCACACCATACTTTCCATGGGTTTCGATACGTCGAGGTCACAGGTTGGTCTCCTTCTGACGAACAATGTCCGTTGACCCTGGAAAGTGTTGAAGCTCTTATCATGCACACGGATATGAAGCGTACCGGCTGGTTCTCGTGTTCGGATCCTCTGGTCAACAAGTTACACGAAAACACCGTCTGGAGCATGCGTGGGAACTTCTTGTCAATCCCGACTGATTGTCCTCAACGAGATGAACGATTAGGCTGGACCGGCGATATACAGGTGTTCGGCCCATCAGCCAATTTTTTGTTCGATACTAGTGCGATGCTCGGCCACTGGTTGGAAGATGTCGCGAGCGAGCAAAAGGATAATGATGGCATTCCGCCATTCGTCGTACCCAATATCCTTACCTCTGACACAGGTGACAACTCTTGGGGTAGGTTTCCTCAAGCGGTATGGGACGATGTGGTCGTCTTATTACCATGGTCTCTCTATCGTGCATTTGGCGATGTCGAGATCCTAAAGCGTCAATACTCGAGCATGCAGATGTGGCTGGAGCGGGGCGTCAGGAGGGGTGCTGACGGTCTCTGGGATCCCTCTTTCCATCAACTCGGTGACTGGCTAGATCCAAGCGCACCACCTGACAGACCAGGAGAGGCAAAAACTGATGGCACATTTGTCGCAGATGCCTATCTTGTGCATGTCACTCACCTTATGAACATCATCAGTGACATCATTGGGCACAAGGGAGAAGCAGCGAAATATGCCCTTGAACACAAAAAGCTGAAGAAGGCCTTCGGTAGGAAATATATCACCATTGAAGGTCTCCCAGTGGCCGACACTCAGACCGGCTTGGCCTTGGCGATTATCTTCGATCTGTTCAAGACGCCTGACCAAGCAAAGGTAGCAGCGGCCAGACTGGGAAGAGCAGTCAGATTAGCAGACTTCAGGGTAGCCACAGGTTTCGTCGGAACTCCGATCGTGACACATGCGTTATCTTCAGTCGGCCTGCAGAATCTAGCATATCGTATGCTGTTCGAAAAGGGATGTCCGTCCTGGCTCTACCCAATTACTATGGGAGCTACCACTGTATGGGAACGCTGGAATAGTATGTTGCCCGATGGTAGTATCAACCCAGGGGAAATGACCAGCTTCAATCACTACGCCCTAGGCTCGATTGTAAATTGGTTACACGAGGTCGTTGGTGGCATCAGTCCGTTTGAGCCTGGTTGGAAGCGTTCGCTCATCAGGCCTGTGCCTGGTGGCTCGCTCACACATGCAGAGGCCAAACATGACACGCCATATGGAATGTTGAGTTGCAGGTGGACTATCGAGGCTGGGCAGTTCAGACTTTCTTTGGTCGTACCACCAAACACGACGGCGAAAGTTGTCATGCCTGATAGGCAAGCAAGCCAAATTCTGGGCGACACAGAAGAAGGCTTCGAAGTCGGATCTGGAAACTATGAGTTCTCATGTGCTTACGAACCTGACAAGTGGAAGCCTGAAGCTATTCCTATTCCGTTCTACACCCCGGTCAAGAAGGAGCTATGGTGATGCGAAAGGAAGGAAAGGCAAGGAACACTGATGTGAAGCAACTTCCTTGCATAGGATATTATCCCTTGCAGCTCAAATCCTCATCCCTTGCAACGACGTCGTACTATAAGATCGGGATTTACATGCTTTGTGAACTATCATCATGATGTTATGAACGATTAAAGCAGATGACTTTGTCGTCGGTGCTAGCGACATGTGCTACTCCTAAATTTCTTTTAGTAAGTTAAGCAGGAGCAGCGCCGAAGACGCGAACGAGGTCGATAGCGCCGCGACTTCTCCCAGTTCTTCGCGTAGAGTGATTTGAATTCCATATTACATAGAGGCTTCGACTACGTGGGATGAGCTAAGGAGTGATAGAGTCATAGACCCGAGTCGCCCTTCGGTTCTTGCCTCTGCTAAATCTTAAGTAGGGCAAGACCATCGCCGACGACGCGAACAAGGTCGACAACATCATATTATCTCTCGCCTCTCCGTAAAGAATGATTGTTCATCTTGTCTAGCACATTTAACTCTTACATCGCGCGAGAAACTAAGAAGTAATTCAGTCGTCGACCCGAGTCGCCATTCGACTAGGCACTTTCCGTAAAGTATAATCCATAAGACATCATTTGTGACACACAGAATAGTGGTCGGGATTTATGCCGCTGAGAATTGGACGGGCTCCATCCAAGGTTGGAAGAACGGCTTAGATCTCTTAGGAAGGTAAAGAGGTTTCACTTATATAGGAGAGCGGGCTAAGCTGCATTGCTGTCTTCCCCTTCCTTGAAGCGCTAGATTTGTTAGGCGATGATACCCGATATTGCTAAGCCGCGATCCCTCATGTGTAAGGTTATGTTTCCTAGACCCTTATAAAAATGCACAGTTTCTTAGGTAGATGGGAAGCATTCGCCGAGAGTCGTAGTGTTGTTAGTTCTCTATGGTCTTTACTGTTTTCCAGAAAGAACTGTGCATTTTCATGATTCTAGCTCCGCCTAAAGCTTAATGGGACAGCTAGTAATAGCGATGGAACCTAGTGTGTAGGGAAGGGGTGGGATGAGTTATATATATGCTCTAAACTTGATGTTAAACGTAAGTATGATTGACTATAAGCCACGGTTATAGAAGAGTATATGCACATCAGTCCATCGTACTCATGTCTGCAGTATTGAATTCCAATTTCGTGTCCAAGTCAAGGAACGTGTTGCCAAAGAAAAAAATGGCAGAAAGCATTTTCGAGACCTTGAACTTGATTGGTTGAAAGTGTTCAACCCTTGCATTGCCTCCCTCGCATTATGTTGATATGGTACATTCGAGATCCGAGATTCTCTTGCACTGTAGGTCAGAGCAGGCACCACAAGATCGGTTGAATAGAAAGCAAGTGCAGACACAAAATCCGAGACACAAAGTTATGATGCCATATTAGGGAACAACATAGCTCATACAAGTCACGCTGGCACACTCCACGCCTCAAGTCACCAACATCCTCGACCGTGTATTTGTGCTCGAATGCTGCTAAAGTGTAAATCTGGTCAACAATCTTTCTCGCACTCGTATCCTTGCAAAAGCAAAGGCTGAGAGAGGCCATCCAAGCATGCCCGGGAATAAGAGAGGAGTACGACTACTTCAAGACCGCATAGGAAACGATAAGCGCACATATCCACAATCTGTTCATTTACGCAGAGTGGAGCAAGCTACCGGTACTCCCAGGAAACCAAGTCCGTAGGAACCATCCGGAAGGACTAGATGGTGCCTGTGCAATTATCACACGCGTACTGGCTTGGGTTGATCTGTTCCATGTTTTTCGTCGTGTGAACAGTGTGGAGTCTTTGTACGATTCTGAAGGTGACCAGCTGATATAAAAATGTCGCTTCAACTGTCTGGCCATACTGTATGAATGAATCCACAAGCATACATCCATAGACTTACGCAAAGCTCTCACCAAAAGATCGAACTCACAATCATTGCATTCATCGACAACATCCCATCCTCGCTCTTTCCTCGCAAATCTCTCACAACCTCTACAGACCTAGAGGATTACCTGCGTTCTGTTCCTTGCCCCCAAATTTTTCGTATGACTCTCCTCCACTCTTTTGCTTCTCGTCCTGTTTTGTGAACCCAGCCATTCTGTCTCCAGTGCCTCCTACTAGGTTGCCTACTGGAGATACGACTTTTTGGACGCCCTTTCCTAGGGGGTCGCCGATGAAGGAGAGGAGGCCTTGTGAGCAAATTAGCAGGTGCGAGAGGTTGATGGAGAGTGGCAGTGGTCGTGACGATAAGGAAAAAGGAGGAGGAACACGCACCTTTTTGATCTTTGGCTCCTAGATCCACTTCATTGATATTCTCGGGGAGGTTTTCTCTCAAAGTCCTGTTGATCTTGTCGTCGTCGTCTTGGGGTGCTTGGATGTGATCTTTGCCAGACATGTTGAGAACGTGTTGCTCAAAGGTGTAGATTCCTTGGCTTGGCTTTGACTGCTCGAAAGTGCGGCTTTCCCGAGTACTGGTGATTAGAAGCAAGAGATATAAGGTTTGATATGTCTCAGAAAGGTCTTTTGCAAGCACAGAGGAAACCCGAGCTCTTTATATTTCTTGTACTCGCAGGTCATGAGCCTCCGAAAGTTTAGCACGAGCCATAACACAAAAACGTCATGATGCGGCACCGAGACCCCGCCACAATCTGCAGGGCATGGACGCAGATCGACAGAGCACATCCACATGACTCCACAAAAGCCGGCAATACCACTATAGGTATGGAGTAGCACTTCACCGACTCGAACCTCGAGAAAGCAAAAAGTAAACTCGTCTTTCGACAGTTTGAACATACGAAACCCACTCTTCCTAGAACTCATATCTACTGTCCATGCTTGAGTGCCCCGTTCTCCCTCGCCGTATCCACAATCATCTGCAGCACCTCCTTTTCTTTATCCGTAAACTCGTACGCTACATTACTTTTGAGGGTAGCCATATTGTGACCTCCAATCCTCCACTCTGCTGCTTCGCGAGTTTCTTTGATCTCAGACATGTACACGTCCCATGTGCTCACATTGACAAACTTGTCGTCTTCGAATTTGTCATCGAGGATCCAGCCGTTGAACCACAGGGGTCGGTTGTTGAGGTCTAGATGCAGGAGTTGGGGTGAGTGGACTGTGTAAAGAGAGTGGACTTCTGCATCGCGTTTGGTGGGAGGAGCGACTTCGTTCTCGAGGCCGTGTTCTTCTTCGGTGGCTGGGGATGAGGCTTCGTGCTTAGGAGATGACTGGGATGCTGGGGGCTGGTAGTTGTCGATGATTTCGGCTTTGCCTTGGACGAGCTTGTAGTGGACATGCTCAGATACAACGCCCATGTTGCCAACAGCGCCTTCGTTGAACCAGTAGTCGGTGTCGCCAGCAAGCTCCCAGCCCAGCCAGAAGGTCTCCTTGTCGCCGTAGAACAGAGAGTAAACACCCTTGGCGCCAGTCTTGGAGTTGTCATCACGGTCAGGGCCATTCATGCGGGTGACAGTCAGCATAGCGACAAAGTGACGCCACTTGTCCACAACAAGACAGCCAGATTCCTGCTGCTCGCGACTCTCACCAGTCCAATAGCGCGAGGTTTGTGCTTTCTTGGAGATGGGCTTGGGAAGCATATCCTTGAGCCACTGCTTGCGGGAAGAAGGAGCATAGATTCTGTCGCGGAAGAACAGAGCGCCGGTCTCGACATAACCAGGGTCTTCAAACAGATCCTCAGGATTGACAAAGAACAAAGCATCTGCATCAAGGTAGATCACCTCGCGGAAGCTCGACATGAGGAGAGCAAAAGCCTTGGAAGCCCACCCCTTGAGCTCCCAACCCTCGTCAGAAACCATCTGACTCAAATCACGGGTGACAACGCTGGGGATAGATTCCAGCCTCATTCTCCAATCGTCGTTGAGGTCATTCTCGCCCAGATACATGATCTCGACAGGAAGGTTGCATCCCAGTTTGCGAAACGACATGATCGAGGTGAGGATGAACGGCGCCTGCTTGTCGTTGCCGGAAAGCACGATTCCACGACCACCATTGCGGAAGTGAGAGTGAAGAGTAAGGTGATCCGCAAAGTAAGGCGAGGTGTATGGGAACAGGATGTTCGACAATTTCGCAAGGAAAGCTCTGTATCTCTCGTATGCTCTGACAATGTCTCCTCGCTCCAAGTTCGAGACCTCAGCGAGTTCTTTCTCGGGTGCGTTTTCCAGGTAGTTGATGACATCGTCGCGGACATAGGTCAACTTTGAGTCAGCAACGACATGAAGTGCCTCCCAGACGGTGAAGAACTTGTTGAATGCTCTAACTCTGACACCCAGCTCTTTCAGGCGGTCTTGGCCGCCACCCTCGAGCGGCCGAAGAAGGTCGCGAACATAAATCTCATCCGGGATCATGTGAAGGACGTCTTTGAGAGCTCCGCGGAAGGAGTACTTTTCGCCGTTGCCAATGTTGTGGGCAACAAAAGGCGTAGATTGAGTGTGGTGGGATGGTTCGACGGCGGGTTCCTCGTCACTGCCTGTCTCTGGCACATAGTCGGAGCCTTCCTTCATATCAGGCTCTTTGTCGTCCGTCTGCGAGTCCTTGAGCTTTTCGTACTCGGCCTCCTCGTCTCCCTCGACATGATCGACAGTGTGTTTCATCTCTTCTTCATTGTCTGGCTTACCCTCCTCGTGTTCCTGGGCAGCGTCGGTCCATCTGCCACTTTCGGTATCACCGTAGCCCCGCGGTGGGGCATCTTCCGTAACAGGCTTCTCTGTGTGAGCACCGAAAGTGACTTTGTCTTGGATGGTCGTTGGCACCCACGTCGAAGATTCGGGTCCGCGTGTGGCAACAATGTAGCAGAGCACAATCGCAAGCGAGATAGAGAGGATGCGGACAACATGAATACGTCGTCGTGGTTGCTGGAAGTAGTCTGTGTATTTGGAGGGCGAGCCTGGTGTTGCTGGTGTTCGGAACCCTTTGTCGGGTGTGCCGCTCCGTGAGGGCACGTTGATTAACATTTCGATCAGGACAGGGCCAGTTGTGTGCAGTGGTCGCGAGAAGCAGGAAGGTCTTTATGTCAATCAATTCGCTTCGAGGATCTCGATGGGCGTGAAAGTGCTGGAGGTACGTGAGAGAAGAACAAAACGTGAAGGACAACAAAGCATGAGGAAACGATGCAGATTATACTCCTTTTACTGAGCCACGCAGTTGATGCAGTAGCCCATGGCTGCGACGCTGAGAATCAAACCGAGCTGGTCGAAACAGACGTACTGACCGTTGGAATCTAAAGGCTCAGGGCCAGGCTTTTCGGCAGAGAAACAGCTTGAACCCCCTGTATCAACGGTAACGGTCAAAGACGAGCCTCCCAGGAGATTCTGAGATCCTTCACGAGATGACGGCTCGTTGTGCCGATAAGGGGGGAGCATCATAGCGTATGCTTGCTGCCTAGTTCAACAGCATTGTCCCAGCTTCAGGAGTGGCAGCTATGGAAGATACACGTCGCGAGCATATCTCTCAGATTTCGACGATAGACATAGCGAAGAGCGTCAGAACGGCTTCGAGACATGGGCAGCTGGACCTGACTAGAGCAATACCAAAGAGGTGATGACCGTTGGAAGACGTCGGCGCTAGAAGCCGAAAAGAAAACCAATTCGTGCCAAGACATTCGGGCTCGATTCTCCAGATGTTCCCTTGCTTGTTTTGGTCCATCACGCTCTCGGAATACTTTCAAGTATGTTACAGTATCAATCTTTATGAGACGTCGTAGAGCAGGGTGTGATCATCTGAAGGTAACATCCTATCGACATGTTGTTGTCGTCTGATGGACCAGCTCATCCTCAGCTCAAACTCTACCCACAACTGCCTCAGCTCGTATACAAACCACGCAATCATTATGAGGAGATTGAATTGGCATCAATATGGATCTTCTGAGCGAGGTGCGAAGGGCAACGTTTGCATAGCGCCATTCTGTTCAGCCAGCCTGGAAGTTGAAATGTCGATATCCACGAGGAACTGCGGGACCGTTTTGCAGACGAGGAAGTGCCGATGTTAGAAGATGGGGAGACGATCAGCCAAAGCTGAAAAGTCCACATGGGTTGAACGCCATAGTCGACAGTGCGGTGCAGAAGTTGCCGACGCGAGACGGGTTTGTGTCTGCAATCGGTTCAGGTGACATCTCCGGTCCGTCCAACTCGTTCTCCTCTGTGATTCGGCGCATCAGGTGTATCACTACTTTGATGTTCAACGTCTCAGGTACAGTCTCTTGAATGAAGAGCGTTGACGAAGGAATTTTGACGACTGCTCGTACGACGCGTTCAACTGTTGAAGAGGGAATTTTTAGGTCTGCTGTTCACTGCTGGAGTTGCGACAAGGGCAGTGAATTGCGTTCAGGGAGATCCTGCTTGTTCAACAACAAGACCTTCTGCTGAAGTTGTATAGACTGTCCCTCAACATTCACGCTCTGGCAAGCTACGGTCCTGGGCTCGCAACACTTCAAAAGGATACTGGACACCATTTTCGCCTAATGATCTCCTGGGTAGCAATACCGAGTCTCTTGGAGTCAAGGCTAGTAGTAGGTGTCTCCTTCCTCGGAGGACTACTCATATCCTTGCAGATCGATAGAACCACGGCTCCTCCTGACATTTGCCCTCATATTTGCAGCTCGTTTGCCATCGGGGTAGCGAAGGATGATGTACCAGGCGTGAAGGATGCCAGGTGTCCAGCCGAGGCAGGTGAGGACGATATTGATGAGGAAGTTATGGTCGCACCCGGTTCTCTTGAGGACAGACAAGGGAGGTATGAAGAGGCCGATGATCGCAAGACAGAAGTCACCCTGTAAACGGTCAGTAGACTGTAAGGCCTCAAGATCACTAACATATCACGGACGCAGAGACCCATTATGTAGAGCCGGTGAGATTGGAGAGGATAGCGACAATTTTGGGTCAGGTGAGCGCGTGACACGAGGGAAGAGGTGTTGATGTTGCATATCATGGAAATTAAAAGCTTACGACCAAGTGTGCCTTACCGATCAGTCAGTAGCAAGTGAAGACAGGTTCATCAAGATCGCAGTCGAAGGGAAGGACGCTACGAACCCAACATAAGCTCGTTTGCGGAAGGCACACATTTACTGAGTTGCAAGTGAAATAGTTTCAATGCAAATCGCACTAATGCGAATCGAAGATTGAGTATTCAAGACATTTCTCGTTCTTCCATTTGCTATCAACGTTCTGCTATACATCATCAAAGGTACGGCAACGACGGACGGGAACCTCAGTTATAACGACTCAAGACTCAACTCCAGTCAACCTGAGGTGTCTCCTCCCACCGATAATCTTCACTTTCTTCCTGCCTCGCAAGTCTGATCTTGACCCATTCGCATTACATACTCGCTGCAGAAGGTGTACTTCTCCAATCGTATCTTCCCCCTAACATGCGAAACAATTCGAAGGTCCTTGGCGCAAAGAATTCAGTTTCTTCCAGTTCATACCAGCCGAGAAACTCGAACGTTCGACCCTGCTGACCAGATCGGACCCGAGAGAATAGGGCGATGGGCGAGAGACCGGCGCTTCCCATCTCGTCACTAGGCGAGGGTTGAACGTTGTCCCACTGCACAGAGGAAGCGGGTGTCGATGCAACAGACGATGGAGAAGAAAGCTCAGCTCTGAGAGAGGCAGCCGAGCCCGCACGGCTCCGTAGATCTATGAGGTCGGAATCCGAGTACATATCGCTGACATCATTGTGCTCGTGCTCAAACCCTTCCTGAGCTTGAACAGGATATGGGTATTCATAGCCAGGAAGGAGATGGAGGTTAGTCTTCGCGTAGACAACCAGATGTGGGTCACGGATCCGACCGTCAGCTTCATTGAGGACGATGAACCTCAGGGTAGTGGGTGCGTATGAACAAGCATTGAGGGTATGTATGCAGTCGCACGCGAGTCCAAATCGTGCGGCGATGTCGACGAGAGATACGAGGTGTGGAGTGTCGCTGTCGGGCCTGGGCCGAGTCACCGATGCCCATCGTGGAGTTGAGATCGTGTGTGAACTCAAGTGGTTGGTCAAGCGCCTGGGATTGAAATCTTTTGGCGCACAGGGCCAGTACAAGTAGGGGCCTGAGGCATGCCAGGCACCAGGTACTTCAAGAAGCCTGTTCTCGATGCTGTGCTGGGTGGTGGTGAAGTCTCTCGAAGAAACTCGGACGTTGAGAGCCGATCTCGAACGTCTAGGCCCTGATGGCCTCATGGGTCGGACGAACTGGCTGGTGGAGCGATCGAATATGACCGCAGGGGGTCCCAACATTGCTTCGGGTGCAGTAGGAACGTCTCTACGCATTGTAACAACAATATCGTGGATACGGTGAACAAACTGGGAACGGCTCGAATTTGTAGGAGCTGAGAATGAGGGACTCGGGCTCTCTTGTAGCCTGTGCAGTGCTTGTAGTGTCGAGCGGAGTCAAGGTGCTGATGTTGCGGATGTGGACGAGGAAAAGAAGGAAAGAATGGACTCAGCTCTACAGTTTTGTTCTCAGGTAGCACATGTTCTACGGCGATAGAACAAGGAATACGTGTAAGTGTGGTTGGCTTCGTAACGCATCGGGAGACTAATAGCTACGTGGATACTCGTGGCTATACTCAGTGGACCTACTCGTTCCCCATAGCGGGACCTCGTGAGCAAACACATGCTGGACAGCGGACCGAGGATGAGGTTGATGACCAGAGTCACGATAACATAGAACATATGGTGCAGAGTTGAAGAGCACGTGCGGGTTGTATCCTGCTGCAAGCGTGGCAGGGCTCATAGCACAGTGCGCCGTCTCGTACATATGCAATTGCCACGAAGACGTATGAGTTGAGGCAGAGTGTACAGCGCAGGTCGGAACAAAGCAAGAACGAGGTCGAGGCCGAAGGGTCGCAAACATCCCGATTGGGTTAGCGCCTTCTGCCGGCGTCATAGTCGCGACTTTTGGTTGCACTCGACTCTGCTCAAGAAACGAACCAACTATCATCATGGGAAAGGGTAAGTTCTCCCGAGTTAGACAAGACGACAGTATGGCTGACTTGCGGCGTAGGCACAGATAAGCTGTACGTATGTCGCCGCCCCCGTCACAAGAAATGGCCGAGGCCCAGCTAACACACGCCAACACAGATCACTCACAGCGAGTGGGCATCCGACACTGCCTTCTCTGCCAGCGCTGGAGCCGGCGTAAACAAGGGCAGCGTTCCTGGTGCATTCAAACGACTTCCTTACAACTTCTGCGCCTTGTCACTACAGCCCTTTGAGCACCCAGTCTGCACATCTGACGGAACCATCTTCGACCTCACAAACATCCTCCCATGGCTGAAGAAGCACGGCACAAACCCCGTCGATGGCGCTCCCCTGAAGTCGACCGACCTGATCAAGCTCAACTTTGCGAAGAACGACGATGGCGAATACGTTGACCCCGTCACCTACAAAGTCTTCACCGACAACACCCACATTGTCGCCCTCAAGAATTCGGGCAATGTCTTTGCATGGGATACCGTCGAGCGTCTGAACATCAAGGCCAAGAACTGGAAGGATCTGGTCAGCGATCAAGACTTCAGCAGGAAGGACATCATCACCCTCCAGGATCCACAGAACATCGAGTCCAGAGATTTGAGTTCCTTCAAGTACATTCAAGATGGTGCAAGTACCTTGACGCCAGAGCAAGAGGCTGAAAGGAACGCCAGCGTCAACACCGGCGCATTGGGAAATGCTGCAAAGATACTCAAGGCCAAGGAAGCCGTCGCAAAAGCAAGAGCCGAGAGACAAAGTGCTGCCCAAGGAAATTCGTTACAAAGAGCAATGGCCGAAGCAAAAAAGTCGAGTACCCCCACAAAAGCTTCGAAGCCTGTGCCATACAATGCTGCCCAGTACACGACAGGAAAGGCTGCAGCTTCCTTCACAAGTACTGGTATATCGGTTCACACTGGCAACGAGCGGGCATTGTTATCTGACGAAGACTACATGCTGAAGCCTAAACGCGTAAAGCACAAGGGTTACGCTCGTCTTCAAACCAATCACGGCGACATCAATGTCGAGCTGCATACCGACCTTGCTCCTAAAGCAGTCTGGAACTTTGTCCGTCTAGCACAAAAAGGCTACTACAAGAACATTCCCTTCCACCGGAACATCCGAAACTTCATGATCCAAGGTGGTGACCCCACCGGAACAGGTCGAGGCGGCCAGTCAATCTGGGGCAAAAACTTTGCAGACGAAACAGAGAACTCTCTCGTCCACGACTCTCGAGGTATTCTCTCGATGGCCAACAAAGGAAAAGACACAAACTCGTCCCAATTCTTCATCACATATCGTGCTGTCCCACATCTCAACAAGAAACACACCATCTTCGGCAGAGTGGTCGGTGGCAACGACTCATTATCGCGCCTTGAAGCTGTCAAGACAGATGAAGGCAACCGGCCTATCGATGACTGTATCCTCGAAGATGTTGTTGTCTTTGTCGATCCCTTCGAGGAGTTCCAGAAAGAACGCGCCGAGACTGAGAATGCACAAAGAGCGAAGGAAGAGATCCAACGTCAAGGCGGCACAGAAGATGACAAGACTACCTGGACTGGCAAGCGTATCAGAGGAGACGGAAAGGTCGAGGACAGTACACCTGCTGGAGTAGGCAAGTATTTGAAGACAACTCCTGCGCCGCCAGTCGAAGAAGATGAGATTGTGGGTGGGTGGGATGAGCCCGAGCCACCGAAAAAGAAGGCCAAGTCTGGTGGGTTTGGTAATTTTGATAGTTGGTAAGAAGGTCATTAAGAATCGGATAATCAATACATGCACTCATTAGCAAGCTTCTCACCTGCCATTTCGTTTCTTCTCTACCCACTCGTCGCTTTGTAAGTGTTCATATCTTGATCAAATGAGGTGCTGTTTTATTGTGACACGGAAGGATCTCGTGTTTGAGGTCAATATGTCATGCTAGAAATTGTGTTCCCATGATGACAAAAGTGTATAGCCATGCTATAAGGATGCGTGGCAGTTCCAAGAGATGATACAGGACCGGTAGAGGAGCAGACTCTCTCTCTAGGCAGATGTCCCACACTGCCAAACATTGCGCCTCTCCATAGTGGCAACGAGCAAACTGCGAGGCTCTAAGATAGGCATGGAGTATGGAAAAAAAGAAAAACAAATAGAAGAATAAAGCGGTTGAGACAGTGAAGTCTTGGCATAGCGCTGGATCGTCGTCGAGAGTTGACTCATGAGAAATTTATGATCTGGTATCACATCAGCTCGCTGTCGCCAACGATTTGTGCAATAGACCTATCTCAAACTCTGAGCATCTGACGGACAATTTGACACACGCAACCAATCACTTTCAACGCGACGCGACACAAGTTTGGGCTCCAAGGACGACTCGACTCGAGCAAACGATACATACACGCCGGACGCAGTAGTCGAAGATCGCAAACACAGCAGCACCATGTCGAAGGCTGTAGGAGAGGCTGAGAAAGCCACAACCCCACCCACGCAAAATGGAAGCGCAGACAAAGCAGCCGGTGCACCTAACAAGGAAAAGACACAAAAGGCCGAAGCTGGCAAGAAGGATGAAGGAGCAGCAGGTGGAGACGACAAGAAGATCTCAGGCGCCGAATTGAAGAAGCAAAAGCAGGCCGAGAAGGCGGCGCGACGTGAGAAGGAAAAGGCAGACCGCATGGCCCAGCTCGGACAGACAGCAGCACCACCACAGACACCTGCCAAGGGCGCAAAGGGCGGTGATGTGAAGAAGGGTGGAGAGACAGCACAGAAGGGTGGGCCTGCTCAAGGTCAGGCACAGCACAAGAAAGGTCAATCCCAGGGTGGAAACCTACCCATGCGCGGCAAACCTGGCCCCGGAGGAGTCGTTCCTATGACTCAACAACACCAGCCGCAGCGAAAGACAAAAGAGGTCGGTTTGTTTGGCCATCTCTACACATCGGCTTCCAAGAAGAACACTATGGAAGGTGTGAGCAAGGAAGTTCATCCTGCTGTTTTGGCATTGGGTCTGCAGATGAGCTCGTTCACCGTCTGCGGAAGCAATGCTAGATGTGTTGCTATGTTGCTCGCATTCAAAAAGGTATCCTTCGTCGTTCGTCCTTGAGCATTTCCTTCATGCTTCTGACACGAGAGAACAGGCTATCCAAGACTACCAAACACCACACAACACTTCCCTTGCACGCCATCTCACATCGCACTACCTCTCACCCCAGATCGACTACCTCAAATCACACCGTCCAATCTCTGTTTCCATGGGCAATGCTATCCGCTGGCTGAAAGATCTGATCATCAAGATTGACCCCGACATGCCAGAAGCAAGTGCAAAAGAAGACATCTGTACCGCCATCGACACCTTCATCCGCGAACGCATCACCGTAGCAGACACTGCCATTGCTGCAACTGCCTGTGCAAAGATCCGCAACAACACTACTATCGTCACATACGCAAAGTCTTCCATCGTTGAGAAGACACTATTACATGCCTGGGCGTCTGGTACCCGCTTCAAGGTCGTTGTTGTTGACTCACGTCCTCTGTTCGAAGGCAGGAACTTGGTGCGAAGACTTGCCAATGCTGGCATTCCTGTTTCCTACCTCATGGCCGCTGCAGCTCCTCATGCCCTCAAAGACGCAGATCTCGTCTTGCTGGGGGCACACGCCATGATGGCCAACGGTCGTCTGTACTCACGTGTCGGTACAGCTGCAGTCGCTATGCTGGCCCACTTCCGCGACATTCCTGTCATTGTACTTTGCGAGAGCATCAAGTTCACCGATCGTGTCGCGCTCGACAGTATCGTGCTGAACGAAGTTGCACCCGCTGAGCAGCTCATCCCTGTCTCAAAGTCTGTGCCAATCCCTGCAGCAATCGACGCCAAGAAGGACGACAAAGACGAAGATTCACAAGCAAAGTTGGAGAACTGGCGCGATATGCCAAATTTGCAACTGCTGAATATCCTTTACGATGTCACGCCTGCCGAGTACGTCAACATGGTCATCACTGAATATGGATCATTGCCGCCCAGCTCTGTGCCTGTGGTGCATCGTATCAGTACGGAGAGAGATGTCAGACTTTGAAGCACTTGAAGCTCGAGCATGTCTCGCCTGACGTGCAAAAACATATAGTAACATGAGAAAATGAAAAGCATCAATTATCAGCAACATCTCACTACTTCGAAGCCGATAAGGTCTTGCTCATCAGCGAGAGATTGTTGTGGTTCGCCGAGTCCGAAAAGGGAAAGGGTTGTTTTCCGGGAGAACAATACTAAGCTTCGCCTCTTCCAAATATGCTTCCAACACCATCCTCAGCTCGACATCACGGAATCCGTTTGCAGTCATCATGAAGGTCGAGCATTCAATTTACCTGTGGTGAACGAACGTACCATCGCAAAGCTGCGCAAGTGCTTGCGCGACTTCGAGACTACCTCGACAATCCTCTTCATGCATTATCAGACTCTAAACACTACTTCTCTCATCCGGATTATCAAGATCACCGCGAGACCCATGACAATCCTTGAACAATGCCCGCACTAGTCACGTCAAACTCAAACAATGCTATGTCTGTTCGCCGGCAGTGAATTGCCGCTCTGCCTCCCCTGTCTTTGTCCATACACAACAATATCAAGAGCATCAACACAATGCCTAGTCGCGAGAGATTGATAGAAACAAGTCCGAGTCGTCCCCCTTCTTTGATCTCTGCCACCTGTTCTTTATCCCAAACGCGAACCATACGCACCAGACCAAGTCAACACTCATCGACTCAGCCAACACGAACCGAGTCTACCACATCAAAGAAGGCTTCCTCCCATTGTGCCAATCAGCTATATAATCCATTCACCCACCTATCCACCATCATCTCTCCACTTCATCAAGTACAAACAAACTTACACACTCATTAGTAAGCCCACCACCACCACCTTCCAAAACACACTCTATACTTACACAGCTCCCCAGCTTTCCAAGTAAACCAAACTCTTCCACAAACAACCACTACAATGGCCGCTTCAGACTTCACCAACACCGGCGCCCCCGTCGATGCCTTCACCCAGAGCCGCGGCTACCGCGACAAGATGTGCGTGCTCCAGGGCAAAGGCCAACTCTACATGTCTTCGTGCACGCTGCAGGGCAAGGGTCAGCTTTACATGTCTTCATGCACTCTCCAGGGCAAGGGCAGAGGCCAGCTTTACATGTCTAGCTGCTCGTTGATGAGAAACTAAACCTTCTCTCACTCTTCAGCAAAGGCATAGGGACGCTAGACGTTTCTGTTCCTGGTGCTTTTCAGGTTTCTGTTTTTACACGGTTGTTGTCATGTATCTTTTCTCTTATCTTTTGCGAATCTCTGAGTAGCTGCGTTTTGCTCTACCTGGGGTTTCTCTTGTCATAAAATCTATTTTTTTGCTTTTGCAACCCTTTTCGTTCCTCGTAATTTGTCCCGTGACTTGTTGTGCTCTTCAAATAGTCCATCATACTTGACTGCCTCTCCCCCTTCCATGACAATGATTTGTTGAGCGTGGTTGCTACGGAAGTAGATATGGATAATCAATTGCTAGACGTGGAGGACGAAAGTTGTGAGCCCTAGAAGTAATTAACGAACCGTGTTATTGTGCAAGAGAATCAAGAATGGTTGTCAGATTGATTGGGATGATTCAAAGCAGGGTGGTGGTGGTCACGACTTCCACTTTGAGGATTAATTGTCCTTGCCACGCGCTAAAGTTTGTAACCATTAGTTTCCTACACTCCTCTTCTCCACAAAGGCATGGAACTCGACACTCGCTACAAAAGTGTAAAGTGGGCTTTGAGATGAGGAACACATCTAATCAGAGCCTATAGTATATCGTATTTCCATCAATACGCTCCAGGTCTCCAGTAATTTATGCATTTATATATGTACACGCGTTACAAACATTTGCATAGGTTTCGTGACAGGCTTGGCGCGTCGGTTGTCGATCTCCCGATTAGTGAATGGCGGCTTGTAATTCGAGGCGGTATCTTTTCAGATTCATAACTCACCAAATTCCGGACTGAAGAAACTGTGCTGCTTGCTAAGCTATTTGGAGCCGGAGAAGTTGATTACGGGACTGTGCCAGTGACTTCACAAGCCTGGTGTTGAAGAGAAGGAGGGATTTTGCTGTACAAACAGATCGTCAGCTCGGCATACAACTGGACAAAGCCGGCCTCCTGCCACAACACACTCACGACGCTCATGCCAACACTCAAGCGCGACCGCGAAGACATGGCTGAAGACGGTGCGAGGAAGAGGTCCAAATTATCGCCCGCCGTCGACGGACCTCGCTCAGTCTTTCCAACAGTCATGGATCTGACAAACGACGAAACACCTTCCAACCCTGCAGCAGACGCCTCCCTCTCACAGGAGCTTCAGGTATATACACCGCCATGCATCACTCGACCGTCCATACTGACATGTCGTTCCTCAGACTCTCAACACACTCCGCGGCGACTTTGACAGCCTGCGACAACTCAACACCTGCAAAATCTGCGAACGCCTCATGTACGAACCCTACGTTATCTCCTGCGGCCACACATACTGCTACAGCTGTCTCTGCACATGGTTCGCCACCAGCCACAAAAAGACTTGTCCCAACTGCCGCGAACTCATCACACAAGCACCTGCTCCCTCCTACGTCATTAGAGAAATGATTCACATCTTCATGAACCGCCATCACTTGCTCCCCGACGGCGAGACCATCGAGCAACACCAGCAATGGGCGTTTGAAGAGGCGGAAATGGTACGCAATGATAAGAGCAATGGCGATTCGAAAACCGGTGGGTTGTTCAAGGGTGTCTTTCGTAAACGTCGCGAGAGATTGCTTCCTAATCACGATCCCATCGATCATGTCGACAGATGCCCACGCTGTAACTGGGAGATTGAAGATGGCATGTGTGTCCAATGCAATATACATATGGACAGCTGGAGCGACACGGACAGCGATAGCAGCTCAGACATGCACGGCGAAAGCATCCCCGACGACTTCGAGGACGAGGATTTGGACGCTGACGCAGAGCATGGAGAATTCGATATGGACTTTACACCCGAGGAATACGCTGCCTGGATGCGGACGCATGACATACTGGGACCAGAAAGTGCGCATTCAACGCTGACTCGGAGGGAAGCCCGACAATTACGTGAAGAATTGGTACGGTCAATGCATAGAGCTCGCAGGCATAACGGTCGCTTCCCGGGGGGCTGGAACCATCACATCGTTCTGGATGAAGCCTCTGAAGACGACATCGATTTGAACGAGGAAGATGAGGACGAGGATGAGATTGATGACGACGATGAAGATGCAGGCTCCCTGGATGAGTTCGTGGACGACAGAGACATCAACGACATCACCGCCTACACAATGAGCTCCCCGATAGCCAGCGACGACACACCAGCCAGAAGAGACAGGCGACGCAACCGACGCGAACAGCGCGAATTCGAAAGACAAGCAATGGCACCCATCGACATTTCAAGTGCAGCTTCAGGCTCTGCTTCAAGCTCAGAATCAGAATCCGACTCCGACTCCGATGGCGTGCGCCACAATCCTCACTTCCGCCGTCCACAAGTACCCGTGTATGAGATCCCTTCAGACGACGATGAAGAGCCAGTAGCGCCTCTCCGCCGCCGCACAGCCCGGGTTATCGATAGCGAAGAAGACGATGATGAGGACGAAGAACCACAACCGACTTCCCGGCGCACCAGACGCCCAATCGTCGTCGACAGTGACGAAGAACCTTCATCTTCCGACTCTTCAAGCGAGGAAGAGGACGAAACAGATCATTCCTCACGTCCCTGCACCCACAACCGGCATAGCAACAATCCTCAAAAGCACAGCCATGCGCATCAGCTAAACCAAACTCTCGACTCTTCTGACCAAGACTCCTCCGATGACGATGAAAACAACGTCAACTCTGAGGACTACTCAAGCATGACCGAACCCTCGAGACCAGCATCTCAAGAGCCAGAGTCCGACGAGTACGACTCTGATGCCGTAGCAGCGGGAGCCAATTTCTCGCCGATGAGTGACGGTCAAGGTGAGCAAGAGGGCCAATTGGGATATTTTGACGTTTATGGCGAGGAGGTTGAGGATGAGGGAGAGGGTGGTGGGTATGAGGATTATGATGACGACGAGGACTGTTATTGATGAGTTTGAGGAAGGAGATGAGGGACCTCTGAAATACCCAGAGCAGAGAGAGACAGAGAGAGACAGAGAGAGACAGAGAGAGACAGAGAGAGACAGAGAGAGACAGAGAGAGACAGAGAGAGACAGAGAGAGACAGAGAG